CCCCCCGGCCATATCATGCAAGCTATTCATACACCTCGTCTGCCTCTTTTTGAGTCCGCTCGTAAACGTGCTAATAAGCTTTCGAACAGCTGCAACTGCACCTGGTGTCAGAAACCCGGCTATAATATTCTAAAGCTCGAGAACCCCGAAGACTTCCAATTGCTTACTCCGGCTTCCAAAGACGAGATGGGAGACTATGCGCCCAGGAAAGCCGAGGTCGATGGCCACCGTTATTTCTGCAAGACCTGTGGGACGCACATTTACCGCGAGGTAAGTGACAGGGTGTACTCTCTACGCATTCATGAGTTCTCTTCGCTACTCTGCCCATCAGCATAAGTTGCGGAACAGCAATTCACACAAAGGTGGCGCTGATGCTGATTCCGCTACACAGGCGAAGTACACCTTCAACGGCCAGCAACACGAGTCGTTCACTGTTAATGCTTTGAGCATTGATCAGCCGCAAGAAGGTATCGATCTGAGTGAATTGTCGTACTCCTACTGCGACGGGCTCACGGTATGGACTCTTCCGCATGACCCATCCAGTCTTTTCTTTCTTGTATCTGGCTGACCTGGGCATAAGAACAAATTCACGACGGGTGACAAGCCGTTCCCAGGAGGTGCTCCGTGAGGGCGAGGCGCAGGACTTCTGGTGCCGGTCTCGGTATGCGATAGGACGGCCCATAACTCGGTCGTCTGAAGTGCTGCAAAAGCTTTGAACCTTCTATACCACACTCCGAACTTGGCTTACCGTTCCCAGTCCTTGTTCTCTGTCATTCTCCGTAACGTGACCGGTTTCCTTGGTATATGCACGGACCGTATGTTGGATTGCTCGTTGCCTGCATGCTACCAGATGGGCGCACTTGCTGTATGACAGCGAGCATACCTCGAGCGAAGGGTATGCAATCGAGGGTTATCATATGCCAGACTTATGAGGCAGTGAACGAGCTCGTCGTTGGACACGTGTAGACCTTCCCAGACCAGAAGAATTGTATGTACAGCAGTACTCAGTCACGACTTCGGTGTCAGTCGATGCCATCAGCAACGATAAGACGGGCCTAGAGGGCCATTGTAATGCTTGGTCCGCACAACAACGGCAACTGGAGTCCATATGAAATACCCTGTAGCAACGCCGATGTCGTGGTGAGAGACTTTACCAGGATTCTAGAACAAGGTACCGTATTTCCCCAGGTCCTATGTATGTTGCCCAATGAGCACACTAGGAGGTTGATGAGTAGCTGCTATCAACCGCCACGACTGACTGATGCTAGAGAAGGGCTCGTAAGGTCGAGCACATGGGACGAATTACCTGTTCCTAGTGGTGGATCGGCACTCGGCGCCTGGGCTTGGGGCTACCGAGAGAAGCTCCTGAGCTTTGAGCTTAGCAAAGGCTTATCAGCAGTCGATCGGGTGCTTAAACGTGCCCTGGCTGACGACGAACGACCCAACCTCTGATCCGTCTTTCACGGTACTTGACTATGCCGCTTCTTCCAGACACGTTGACACGCAATCGAGCACACCAGCGAAATGATGCTGACAGCGTCACTCGACAAGTCACTGATCACGGTGCAACCCACGTGCTGCAGTGACGCGTCGCCGGAGAAGCACACTAACTACCCTTCGCGCAGCCCTCGTAGCCTTTTTCGCTAGCGATAACAGCCGCCCATCGGAGTTACATCATGCATTATCTCGAGGGGTGTGATCGTCGCTTCTGGTAGGTTGAGACGCTTGCACAGCTGTTGTAGCTGCCGCATCCAGCAAGAGGCGTTCTTCTGACCCTCCCCTCCCTGGCCTCAAGCAGCCACTCGGCACGCTCCTTCCGCTCAGACAACCTCAATGCAATCCAATCGAGCTTTCCAGAGAGTCGTTTGTCGCGAGCCAAAATCTTCGTGCTAGGATTTAGCCAACTCGTTCAGTGAGGAGCTAGCAACCGCTTTTCACTTTCTGGAAGTGATCACCTGCCACGCGGTCATTCATATATGGCCACATTCGCTCACTGGTCGCATCTCATACTGCCGCATCGCCTGGTTTGAATTATTTGGTCACCTGAGGCCTCTTGTGTCCTCTGCGCACTGTCATGGCAGAAAAAGAGATCAAGGAGTCTGGTGCTCTAGACAACACATCTAACAGCGACCGTGACCTCGTTGTCGCCGAAGGCAGCGTCGCGCAGACCCAGAAGTCGCGTTGGGAGAGAAGCTGGCCCGTGATCGCTTGTGGCTCTGGTACACGCGCCGCGCTTCATTCACCGTCGCTTATCCGCTGACAACGTCAGGTCTCTTCTCCGATGGCTTCTGCCAAGCTATCATTGGTCCCGTCAACACCATGTTGAAGATCTTGTACAAGGACGAGTACACCGGGTCATCTGCACAGCAGAATGTCGCATCCATCGCTTTTGCGGGCACTGTCCTCGGCCAGCTGGTCTTCGGCTATTCCAGTGATCACTGGTCTCGTCGTCATAGTTTGCTCATCTCTACAATCATTCTGATTGTCTTTGCCGCTCTGGGTGCTGGCTCTTATGGTGCTGGTGGCTCAGTCCAAGGCTTGTTCGCAGCCCTGACCGCATATCGCTTCCTGCTCGGTATCGGTATTGGAGGAGAGTATCCGGCTGGGTAAGTCATCGGCAGAAACCCTGACTTTGTGTTTACAACTGACTGCTCAAGATCCGTGGCTTGTGCCGAGTCTACCGGCGAGCTGAAGAAGGGTCACCGCAATCGCTGGTTCATCTTCTTTACGAATTTCATGATTGATAGTGGCTTCGTGGTAGCCTCTCTGGCCGCCATGATTGTCGTCCTTGCAACCACCGAGAAGCATCTGAGAGCAGCGTGGAGAATTTGTCTCGGTCTCGCCGTCATCCCTCCTCTGTCACTCATCTATCTCCGAATCAAGCTGAAGGAACCCGAGTCCTACTCACGCGCCAAAATGACCAACTACCCTTGGTGGCTGATTATCAAATTCTACGGCTTCCGGCTGAGCGTCGTCAGCTTGATCTGGTTCATCTACGACTTCTCGAGCTACTCTTTCAGCATCTACTCCTCCTCCTGGCTCGCGTTCCTCCTGCCTTCAGACGCTCCTCTGTGGAAGTCCTTTGGGTGGAGCACAGTGATCAACTCATTTTACATCCCAGGTAGCTTCCTTGGAGCATTCGTGTCAGATTATATCGGACCCAAGTACGCGCTTGCATTGGGCGTGGTCCTTCAGGGCGCCATCGGCTTTTTGATGAGCGGGATCTACGGCCACCTGGACCAAGCCAGCCACGTTGGCGGCTTCGTCGTTGTCTATGGTATCTTCCTCTCCCTCGGTGAACTCGGCCCGGGAGATAACATCGGCCTCGTCGCTTCCAAGACCTCTGCCACCTCTATCCGCGGCCAGTACTACGGCATCGCCGCGGCGCTGGGTAAGGTAGGCGCCTTCGTTGGAACGTACGTCTTCCCCGACATCATCGCTGCCGCCGGCGATGACGTGATCAAGCAGGGCCAGTACCCTTTCTTCGTGTCGTCTGCCCTCTGCATATTCAGCGGCATTATCACGTTGCTGTTCATCCCCTACATCGGCCAGGATACCATTGACCACGAAGACCAACGCTTCAAGGAATACCTGAAGCAGCACGGGTACGACATCGAATCCCTGGGCACACAGGAATTCAAAGAGAGACGGCGCTCAATCCAGGCTGGTGCTTGAAAGCTAACCCTTGGATAATTTTGATGCAGGCAGGTAGCAAGTGCTCTCTACCGTACATCTCGCACGTATCACCAGCGGGGCCTATATAGTATTGCGTCTGCCCACCGGGGTGTGGCCTTGTAGGACTCAACAGATTCAAGTAGCGATCATAACTCCGAGCAAGATAGTTGTTATACTAGCACTGGATTCGAAATCCCGAGCTCACCCCCGTGACTCTTCAGGCATGTATATGTTACCATTGACGTCGGTATAGTGGTTAGTTTGGCAGCCATGCAATACCGTCCGGTAGACGGACCGGATCAGAAGTCACCTCACGAGATGCACAAAACGGTGCAACATGGAAGCAGCAGCGATCGACATGTTCAACGGCACAGCTAGACGACCTATTTCATCCCTGCGACCCTCCATCCATCCATACACCACCGCCTCCTCCATTACCAACCCTCCTCCTCCCCTCCACCCTCCAACCAAGCCCAGCCCAGCCCAGCCCACGCACTGGCATCTACCGAACCCTTGAACTCGCCCTTGAACTCGCCCTCGCCTTCGGCGCCTTACTACTGCTCCGACTCTTGGCCTTCTTCGGCTTCACCACCTCCTCTTCCTCTTCTTCTTCCTCATCATCATCATACTCCGGCTCCGGCGTCAACAACTGCTGCTGCTTCTTCTTCTTGCTCTTCGTGGCCGCACCAGCAGTCGCCTTCTTTTTCTTCGGCGGTGGGGGCGGCGGTGTCTCCTCCTCCTCTTCCTCTTCCTCTTCCTCGTCGTCATCATCATCCTCCTCCTCGGGCTCGGGCTCATAGACGGGTTGTTTCTTAGCCTTCTTCTTTGGCTTGCCATTCATGGTTGCGGCGGCGGCGGCGGCGGCGGCTTTCTTGCCGGCTTTCTTCTTCGGAGGCGGAGCGGGCTCATCTTCCTCTTCCTCTTCCTCGTCCTCGTCCTCCGGTTCCTGGTAGGCGGCTTTCTTGGGTTTCTTGCCGCTCTTGGCCGGGGCGGCTGGGGAGGCTTTGGCTTTCTTGCTCTTGCTGCCTTTCTTCGGAGGAGGGGGCGCGGGTTCGTCCTCCTCCTCCTCCTCCTCCTCCTCCTCCTCTTCTTCGTCTTCTGGCTCGTCGTCCTCATCTTCGTCCTCCTCACCATAGTCATCCTCCTCTTCCTCCTCGCTCTCAGGTGGAGGGGGCGCCTTCTTGCCCTTCTTGGTCTTCTTCTTTGGCGCCGCCTCCTCTTCGGAATCGCCGGCGTCCATCTCCGCTCGCTGGCGTTTGATGTCCTCGAGCTCAGCCTGCACGGCCTTGCTCTGCTTCTTGATGGCGTTCAAGATCTGCTTGTCGGTCTTGGTGCGCTCGATCTCCTCGAAGACGTACTTTTTCTTGTCTGGTTGTGGGACGGTCTGTCCCGGCGCTGGAATCGGAGTCTTGCCTTGGGCGGTGTTGGGATAACACCAGATCGAATCGGCCTTCTGACTTCCGTTGCGGATGTAAGTACCCTCACTGCGGGGCAAATTAGCATGTTGTTTTGCAGTTGCCAACATTGGTCGCTCGGATAGAGCACTTACGCAAAGAGGCGTGCCTCAAAATTGACCATTGTTCCATCAGTCAGCTGAACATCGACCAATTGGCTTGCTAGCTCATCCTTTACGGGCGTCTCCCACTCGTCGTTCTCCTGATCCGTCACAATCAGAATGTTGAACTGCTTGAACGTCGCTTCCATAAGAGCAGCGCCCGCGCTTTTCAAGAAGCTGGAGCGAATGTTGAAGTCGTTGTCATCGCTCTGCTCCAGCTTTTTATCAACCCTGGCGATTGCTTTATCCTGCTGGGCGTACTTCCGATTAATGCTTGTCTGCTGTACGTCGCGCTCGAATTGGGCTTGCTTCTCGTCATTGTCTTCGATTTTGTTGTCTAGCGCGTTGGCGTCCTTGCCTGCCTGAATGGAGGCGTCGGCGAGCTTGTCGTTGCGGTCACCATCGCGCCGGTCTCTCTCTCTTGTGACGTTCATTTCGTCGTTATGCATCTTCATGTCGGCGTCCAGCTGCCGGGCCTGCATCTCCTGCTGTTTCTGCATCATCTGCTTTTCGTGGGCTCGGTTGGCGGCGCCATTGATCAGGTCGCCGATGCCACCGGCGATGGCACCTAAGAACGCCATGTTTGCGATGTGCGATGAACGTCTCTGGGAGTGTAATTGAACGTGAGAACGTAAGTCTGATTCGAGACTGGGTGAAGCAAGGGCTAAAGACCTAGGATAAGGCACAGGCGAGTGGCAAGCAGCTCTGCTGGTTGGAGAAGGAAATCATCATCTCGAGCGCCAGGAGCGTGGCCATCAGGTATATATAACACTGTCGGTACACCTATCTTTAGAAACAAATGGCTGGTAGCCGCAGATAATCGATTTGTATTGTAAGCAATAAAGCATCAGCCCGTCTCCAGCTGGGGGTCAGCAGCGACAGGGCCGCTTATCTCGCGCCATAGATAACCCTTTCAAGTGTCTCCATTGCTACAGTTTAGACTGATGGCGGGGCAGCCGCTGAGAACTCTGGTATTTGAGTCAGCATATGTAGGGTAATCGATTACTTCTCCTGGGAGCAACTGCCACTGCACTCGAGGCCGGGGCTTCTGGTACGCGTGGCTGGATGTGCCATTTTCGGTAGTGCTCAAGGTCTATAGCTCAGGCGCGATCGCTAAATCTGAGTCAGATGCAGGAGGGCCTACCGCAGTGTTATACACGGGACCATGATTGTATACTCCGGACCAGCATGGCCGTCCTCATTTGGAAAGTGCCCTCTGAAGGCCGAACGGATGCACACGATACACCGCCAAAGAGAAGGTCAACGAGGGTGCATGAAGGTCATAACTTCCATTGGTAATTAGTGCGGGCGGCGGAGTGTCCTGAGCGTAGTGAGAGGACTTGAAGCGGGCTGACAGAGGGCTGGTGAGCAGATGAAATTGATTACAAGCTGATGTTGGCCGCAGCTGCCGAAAGGATTCCAGATTTCAAATGACTGAAAAGGCAACCTCGCCAAGACCCTACCTCTTCCCCAGCCTCTCACCACACATCGCATGATCTCGCTTACCACTTGATCTCAGCTCACTCGCGACCGTGCTGAGTGAAAAGGCTCTGGGTAAAGGTGCCTCAATTTTGTTTTACTAGTGGCCAGGTTGGAATAGGGCGATGGGAGCTCTGGCCGTAGCCTTTTTCGAAATGCCAAGACATCTACTGCCTGAAATTCTTTTCCCCATCGTCGCAAGCTCAACTGGGTTTCAAGCCGCGCAAAGGTAATGTCACAGTGAGTTCCTGAGGGGCTGAGGGATAGGTGCTACTCAAGAGTACTTCAGCAAGGTCCAATCCTCAACGCCGTGGTCTTGACTTTTTCCTTCGCGATAGAAAGTCGATTACTGCGTAAGTCTGTATGGCATCAGAGGCCCATTCAGTGCCTCCGCATGCGAGGACTTGTGACGCCGAGGTGGACGCCCTCGTAGATCAGAAGTGTCTCAACCTCCTCATGGCCCCGACCATGCGCCACTCTGAGAGCCTTCTCCTTCTCATCCTGGGACACCATTGGATAGCGCTGAAGGATTTCACTGACCACTGCCTTAAACCCCACCTTTGCCGCGAATTCCAGGGGCGTGCGTGCCCAAGCTCTGTCCACAATGCCGGAGCGCTGTGCCTCGAGCACTTGGATGTGGTTGATAATTCCAGGCCGGCTGAAAGTGCGAATGGCAAGGCTAATCAATTCCATTTCTGTCGCAATGGCCTGGGACGCAGAGAGGTGCTGAGTGATCCATGATCCAGCATAGTACGAAAAGGCCCCGTCTAGATCAGACGGCGGCGACTTTCGGAGGCATAGTCCCTCCAGCGCCAGATACGTCAAGCAAGCCTTTGCAATCATGCTTTTGGTAGAATCCAGCTCAATTGCATAAGTCTGCAACGCAGGATCTTTCGCCTGAGTCAAGTAGAGCGACAGAAAATACTCTTGAACGGAGTAGTGCATGAATGTAATAGAACCATCCGGTAGAGTGGTCAGTAGGTTGTGGCAGGCGTGCAAAATGCGATCGGTATTCTTGACGATGTCAAGATCTGACCAATGTCGTGCGGCAGGATGGATGGCCAGCGCTTCAGCTAATTCATATCGATGCAGTCTGCGAAATGACCCAGCGAGCCAGGAAAATGTGGTTTTCGCGATTTGACGGAGCTTCTCTGGCTGCCGATCTATTGCTTGGAGGACTCGGTCGTAATGAGCGTACAGATCTTCCGGTAGGCTCTGGAGCGAGTCCAGTATCTGTCGGTCGGTGATATGACTACAGACGTAGTCGATCTGATACTTCACCCACAGGAACCTGCGAGAGTGTCAGCTTGCCTCTAGCAGCTCCAGAGCGAGGAGCCTTACATCCCGTTCGACTGGCTCGTCAGCGATGTCGATATCGTATCAACCAAGTCAGCCTCATCCACTACAAGACTTCCTTCTGCAATTCGTTGTTCGAGTTGTCCGTGTACGTAGGCTCGAATATCAGTGTCAACGTTCGTTGCTTCGATCGCAATTGTCGGCACTTCCGAGAAAGCTCTGTATATGTCGGGCTGTACTCGACTCGTGATGAAGATCTTGACTGTTGGTGCTTTGAGCGTTGAATATCGTTCTACCAGCTTCTGCAGCAGAGGTAGAAGCCATCGCCCCCTGTCAGGACACTCGTCCAGCGCGTCAAATACCAGCACCGTCTTTCGAAACTTTTCGATCAGGTATGCCAGAAGATTGGCCGCATCGCCCGGCTTCGTGTTGTTCGAGGGCACTGCGATGTCTTTCATAGATAAGTTCTTGCAGTTCGGACTCAGTTCATCGTACCGGTCTTCAACTCCGGTTGGTAGGTACGGGAGCTGCGTGACGAGTTGACGTAGATACGATCTGATGAAGAAACCAGGTTCTTTCTGATCGCGATAGCTGCAAAACACATGGGCGAACGCGGTATCTGGTCTACCGCCGAGGTCTTGCTGGAGGTAGTCAGAAACGATGGAGGCCAGTACCGTCTTCCCCACCCCTGGATTCCCGTGGCACCAGAGAAGAGTGGATTGTTCGCTTTGAAGCCAAGTTTGAAAATCACTGTGCTGAAGCAGCCATGATCCAGATTGCTCATATCGATTGGACAAAACGTGCTCTTGAGTGGAAGCGTAATCATCATCAGATAACCATTGGATGACCTCTTTTCGCTTTTGGATTCGCCGCTGTTCTGCTTCGTAGTCGCGTTGTTGCTGGGAGAGTAGCATTTCCTGATAACTTCGATCCATAAATTCGATGTCTTTTGCATACATTACTGTGCGTGCTTCACGGACAATCAGTTCCGTGTGCCGTTCAAAACGAGCCCTAGCAGCGTTTGCAGCATGGTCCACTTTATTCCAGACAGTCCGTCGTAGAATTGTGAAGGAGATTGCAGTTCGTATCTTCCCCGAGAGTTCATCGTGGAAGACCGTCCAAACGTGGTAGCAGATATCGAGCAGGTCGGTATAGGCTTGCACAAGGAAGCGCCGCACCTCAGGAACGTCCCGAAACAGTGTTATAGCATATCTCTGCAGAAATGGCAGATGGTCCGTGATCATTTCGAGGGTGGAAGATATGGATTCGAAGTAGGCATGAAACCGGAGGCCCAAGCTGAGGGTCAGACGAACCGCCCCAACCACGAGGGACGAGATATGGGGATCGTGCTGGATCGCAATGACAACCGATTCAAAAAAACCATCGAGACAACGCATGACCTTCTCGGCGCGTTGCAGAAATCGGCGTAGACGACTTTGGTGCGTGTGCGTCTCGTTGGACTTCGCTAGCTCGGCGACGAATGCTTCCAGGTTGACGGGTTCTTGGAACGCACGTTTGACACCATTGGGCAGTGTTGCGACATACTGGTTCAAAGCCTCAGCGAAAGCATGGTTAGGACCCGCATCTTGCTCTGATGACCTGGTCGCTTTAATCTGGGAGCATATTCAAGGCCAAGGGCGTACATACTGCACAGGCTCGAGGGGAGCATCTGTCGAGGTGCTATCCTCAGCGGGTCTGCGGCACGTCAGTTGCTAGTTTGTACACCTGGAGTGCCCATACTCATGAGAACTCGATGACACTCCCTCTAGAGTGTCGTTAGCAGGCTGGGTGGGCCCGGGATCATGAGCAGTCTGCTCGCCATTGCCCAGCCGCAGCGGAAGCGACATCACACGGCAATATGTTGCTAGGTATCGAACAAGCTTACTCCGCGCTCTCCATCACGTTGGAAGGAACCATTCTTGGGATGCCGTCCGGTTTGAGACGGGGTCCTGCTCGATCATGCTAAGGCGGCGGTCCGTAACGCGAGTGTGTCTGGCCGCACCAGGCGGTGCTTGACAGGTCGACAGGCCGACAGGCGCCAGGCGGGGCCAGAGCACGGGGCCAATCAAGTTGGGCTGTTCCCATTGCGCCCCCCAGCGCCAGCCTCGACGGCATACAGCACCAGCCTGCACACACAGCACTGCCACCACCATGGCGTTTGTGGCATTGACTGCCCAGACCTCTCCAGTGAGCTCGCTTTCTTCAGATGTGAACTTGTCGGATACTTTCGCGAAGCGGTGGCGTCCCTCGCTGGATCGCATTGACTCTGGTGTCTCCCCCAGTAGCCAAGCTCTTCGAACAGCACCTCACAGCCGATTCCACAACCTTTCGCGTTTCAACATCTACAACACAATACTGTTGGTTTGATTAGCAGAGCTCCAGTCCACACCAAACAAACCCTCACCAAGAAATCCTCTCCACAGCCTCCTTCCCTTCCCCCTCTCGACGAACACACAACCGCAAACTCAACCAAAACCCTCACGCCCTGCGGCCTCCTCACCTCCCCCATCCACCCCCACCTCTCATAAACCCCCTCCCCCATCGCCCCCAGCCCCTCCAACCCGCTCACACACCTCCGCCACTCCCTTCCACCCACCCTCTCAACCCTGCTCCCAAACAACACCACCCTCACCCCCTCCGCCCTCCCCACCAACTCCCCCAGCCACCCCTCCACACACCTCCCACAAACCCACCCCCTCCTGGCCTCCACCACGATCTCCACCTCCCTCACCCCCTCCCACACCCACCCCGGCACCACGTCGCCCGCAAGCGTGTACTCGCGCCAGTCGCGCCACCGCCCCTGCACGCCATCATACAGCCTCGCAGGCGTCGTGAAGAGCACGGCGTGGCGCGCCGCGCGGCGCGCCACCGGTGAAATCTCCGCGTGGAGGAGGCGGCAGGTCGATACGATGGGTTTGAGGGCCACGGGGTGGCTGGTGAGGGAGAGCAGGTGGGTGGTGGGGCTGTAGGAGACTGTGAGGTGGGTGGTGCTGAAGAGGGCGGTCCAGATGAGGTGGCGGATTTCGGTAGGGAGGAGGAGGAGGCGGGAGGATTGGGGGTTGTCGGGATGGGGTCGTAGGCGGGTCTGTGATGGTCGCGGCGGTGGGAGGGTGTGGTGGGCGAGAGTGAGACGCTGGAGAGGCCGGATGGGGAGACCGTGGCGAGAAGGGTTGGGCGCGTGCTGTGAGGCGGGTTTGGGCATCGTGTACGTTGTTGGGGCAGCATGGGAGTGAATAGGAGGCAGTTCACGATGGTGACACGAGTTTCTTATATTGGATGCCAGAGAGTGGATCCCCCGCCCAAGGTGCTCAATATCCATTTTCATTCTACCCATCGGTCTCAAGGTGCTCACATGGATGCCAAGAAGCCTCAAGCAACATCATTTGCACTGGTGGGGCGCGGTTCAAATACTACGAATATCAAACGCCTCCCTCCCTCCTCTTTATTTATATCGCCATCACGGTGCAAGGATCTCCGCCGCCCTCTGTACCGCGACCGCGGCACGCGTGACCTCGGCCTGCGCCTCGGTCAGATTCCCCGCCACGACCGCCTCGGTGACACCCGGCCATGTGACGGGAGCATACCCGGTATCCAGACCCGGCGCGAAGACGACGTGGCGGAAAAACTCCCGCCTCGGCATCCCGCCATTCGACACGAAGCCGCGCTGGTAGTCACGCAGTTTGGTGTTGATGAGCGTCACCGTGTCCTCGTCCATGTCGCTCGTGTACAGCTCGGCAAAGGCCGCGGCGGAGGCGTTGAAGGTTTCGATGGCCGAGACGATTTCCGAGAGGTCGAGCTCGACTTCGGCGTCGTCGATGGTGGATTGCAGGTCGGCGAGGTAGGCGGTCATCTCGGCGCCGTAGTTCGCGCTCTCGAGCGGCAACACGTCCTCGGTGGCCATGTAGTAGGTCAGCAGGGCCACGTACTGGCCGATCGCTTTGTGGTATGCGAAGTCCGGGTCGGCAAACGTGGACATCCAGTGGTAAGTATCGTAGTTGGAATGGTAGTGGTAGACTGGATCCTCTGGGCCGGGACCGGCACCGATATCAATGGAGGAGATGCCGTTGTTGTGCAGGAAGGCGGTGTAGTCGGACCCTGAGCCTAGCACGCCGATTTCGCCTGTCTCAGACCAGACGTCGTACATTGTGACATTGGTCAGGCCGTGGAAAGGGTAGACGATCTTCTTCATAGCTTCCATGGCAATGGCGTGGAAGTCAGGGGTAGCGGATACATCTGGGACGGAGCCGGACACGGCAGTGTCGAGGTTGATGTAGGCAACGTTGGACGTCTTGATCCATGGGATGTATTCCTCGACCCATTCGGTGGAACCGAGTAGACCGTACTCTTCGGCGTCCCAAGATGCCAGGACAATGGTGCGTTTTGGCTTCCAGCCAGTCTGGAGGAGGGCTCCGAAGGCTTTCGATAGCTCAATCATACAGGCACTACCTAGAAGGACATGTTAGTAGGCGCGTGTGCTGGTCACGTGGTTTCGTAAATCACCTGAGTTTGGATCAGCGGCACCTCCAATCATCCAAGCGTCGCGGTGGTTCCCAACAACGACAACCTCATCCTCGTTTGTGCCGTTGATGACACCAACTGCATTCCAGATGGGAGTGATCTTGTCTTCCATGACGTTACTCATAGACAAAGTCACGCCAGTAGTAGGACCAGAAGAGTAGCTGTAGTTCGCGGCGCCAACCCAGTTGGTGCGATTGATCTCGTCGCCTGCGGGACCGTTGCCGTCCAGGGTCTCCAACAAGGGAAGGGCGTCCTGCCAGGAAATTGGAATGGAAGGGATGCGTGGTGTCACAAGTTCAGTGCCTGTGCGGGGCGAGCCTTCTTTCGAGGGATAGCTGCAAGAAATTAGCTTCGAAAGCTTTGCAGCACGTTGTGCTTACCCGGGAGTAGTGGGATCGCCTGGATACTGGCTGAGGAATTGTACACTGCCTAGTAGAGGTCAGTAAATCCGCATCGGCATCGCAAAGGCTGAACAAGCGTGGAATATGATCCCATGGTAGCTTCGACACACTGTCTCAAAGCGCAGCACGGCACCATCTTCACTCCAACCTAGCTTTGATGGGGAATACTCACCCTTCTGTACACTCGTAGGATTGCGAGCATAGCCTTCCGGATACGCCGCATAGCCGTTCTGAGTCGTCACGTTCCCGTCATCTGCAATGTCCGTATAGATCAAAGTCCCAACCAGACCGTACTGCTGCGAATTCTTGACCTTCAATCCTCGGAAAGGCCCGCCATACCTAGCCAAAGCGATCTTGCCTTCCAGCTCGACGCCGAGCTCTACCAGGCGGTCAAAGTCGACTTGCTGGCCGCGCCCAACGTAGACAAGCTCGCCTTGGGCATCCCCTGTCCAGGAGTACCCGTGAAAGGTGGGAGTTCGGTTTGGCCAGCCGGTCGTCTCATCCTCTTCGAGCACGTCTTCTGCGAGCGAGGGTGTGTACACCGAGCCGTTGGGATATGTCAGGGTCACCGACTTGGAGACTGGGTAGTTGAGGTACGTGTCTGCTTGTTGTCAATTTGGATGTATCGGCTCTCGCTCTTGACCTACAATACGTGGCCAGGCCCGACTGGAATCCATTCTCAGCCCAGCGATCTGCAGTCCACTGGGCCTGAGATTGATTGGATCCAGCTATATGCAGGCCATGGGTGTAGTAGTAGCTCCAGGTGTCGATATCAGCTGCCTCGAAGCTACCGAGCAGGACCGATTCGTTCTCGTCGAGCGCCGGTGGGAAAGCGGTAGCTTCCTGGCGCTTGGTGAGGCGTTGCTCGAGGCCGTGAAACTTTTCCACGTGCTGCACCTCATGCTGGCAGGCGCTCACAACAGCGACCACTGCTAAAGCACACGCGAAACACTTCATGTTGGCTAGTCAGGACGTGCGGAGAACGTAAGAGAGAACCCGCTATCAGAGTCGTCTGCCCGGAGCTGCAGTCATTAAGTAGCAACGAGCTATCACCGAGCTGGCGGCCAACGCCGTTTACTTGAGCAGGGCAGGGACATCGTACTCGCGCGGGCAGCTCGGTGATTGACATGAATCCGACTGATAGCGGAAGGTGGTAGCACAGGCACAGCACGCCATGTGCTCTCCCGTACGCACCACGAGCTCGATCAACTCACCTCAACCCTATGAAATGCAGCGACGATAAAAAGAGCATGCACGAAAGCCTGGGCATGACGTGAGACTCCCAGGATCGAAGCTCATGGGCCGCGAGATAAGACTTGACCTATGTTGATTTGGAGGGTTCGTGCAAGGAACTGACTTGCGGAGATGCAACGGAAGACGCAGGCGGTGCTCTGTAGAGTTGAGCCGGACGCTCTTGGCAGGAGCGGGGGAGAGGGGGAGACGGTGGGGAGGCCTGTCATTGACTCCGTGATGGAGGAATGTGACCGGGGTTCAGTTGGAGAGCGCGGGCAACGGGACGATCTGGAGGGGCGAAAGGTACCGGCGATGACGGTGCAGATCAATAATAACATTCGCGCACATTGCAGATAACTGGAGGGCCAACTTGATGGAAAGTATCCAACTGTACCTTGATAAGGCTGGCCATGGCCAAGGCATCTTCCATACCTGTACGGAGTATCTGCCTGCAGCATTGGGAGCAGACAGGTACCCTTAGCGATTCCTACCGCCGGCACATGAGTTCGGTTCTGAGCCAAGTCGGCAAGTGAGCATGAGTTGTCAACTCTTTGATTTGTCGTGCTAAGAGTCTATGTACTTTTCAAACCTCGCCCAGCAAGGCGAGATGTGACATGCGATCTTTATACTGGTGATGGATACAATTGACGGCCTGATTACTGTTCCCAAATAATTCGTAACCCTCGCGCTAGGACCTTGAAAACACCCGTCGAAGCCACCGAACGTTGACTTACAGCATGAACATGCCGAGACCAAGGGCACCCATGGTCAAGAAGGTGAGCTGAGCACCACCAAGGCGGACGGCGGCGTCCTCCTCGCCGGAGCTGGAGCCGCTACCGCTGCTGCTGTTGCCAGACGAGCCACCCACGCCGTTGTCGCCCTCGCCAATGTCAACCCGCTCGCCAGTGCTGATGGGCTCGCCACCGGGAAGGTTGCTCTCGTCCTCGGCGAGGATGTTGAGGGCCAGGTCGGAGACCTCATTGCCGTTGCTGCCGGTCACGCGGTGGCCAACGGCAGTCTCGGTGATCTCGGTGACACCGGTGGGCCATTCACCGTCAACACCGTTGCGGATCAGGTCGGCGATCTCAGACAGTTGTTCGGGAACGGCGAAGCTCTCGGTGAAGTTGGCGCCCATGAGGAGGTCGAGGGAGCACTCCGGAGCAGTGCGTTCCATGGCAGTGCGGTTGGTGGCGGTAAGAGTGGCGAGGTCCAGCTGGTTGAGCTGCTCCTGGAGGAGATCGTAGTCCTCGAAGAGCTCGACATCGCCGCTGTCGTCAATCTCGACCAGACCGTAGTTGTTGGGTTCCTGGCTGTACTCGTAGACGACGCCGCCGGAGAAGACGCCCGTCATCTCAGTGCCGTATAGGGCACCGACCTCAGTGAAGGGGCGAGGAGCGACCAGGTTGCAACCGTATTCAGACATGAAGATGGGAATGGTGGTGTTGCCGAATTGCTCAACCAGAACATCATACTCGGCATCCTCCATGTTTGAGTCGCCGCACCAGGCGTACGAGTTGAGACCAAAGAAGTCAATCTTGGAGGCGGTGTCGTTGGCCAAGTTGCAGGCCATGTAGTTGTAGGTACCGGCCAGAAGAGGACGCACATCGGCAGCAGAGTAACCGACAGGGACCTCACGGTCACTGTGCTCGGCAAGGTACTCCTTGATGTCACGGGTGACAGCACGGATGTAAGCGGGAGCCATGGGGTGCGAGTCCTCGTTGATAACCTCATTGCCGCTGAAGAAAGCGAGAGTGTTGGGGAAGTTCATGAAAGCCGAGACAGTCTTGAAGACACGCTCGAGGTAGCCCTCGTTGTAGGACTCCCAGGGAGCCACACGGTTGAGCGACTCGTTGGGAAGCGGCGAGTTGACGTCGATGATCATGTAGATACCGGCGGCATTGAAAATGGAGGCACACTCGGTGTGGTCGGCATCAGGGTCCAGGTTGTAGACACGGATGGCGTTCATGCCGAGGCGTTGTAGGATGACGGCATCTCTTTGGCAGACCTCAGCGTCTGTGAGAGCGTCATTACCATCGCCATTATAGCCACCAGATCCACCAGGTTGGTATCTGAGGGCGAGTTAGCGTCGCATGCTCGTGCAGTAGGTGGTCATGGACTCTTACGCAACACCAATGATCTGGAAGCGGGTACCGTCAACACTGTTAACGAAGTCGGCACCACGGACGACCATGGGAGTGACGGCAACGGTGGACGTGATCAGGGCGCTGAGCGCCGCAACGGCGGCTCCAATCTAACACAGACGGTCAGCATCGGGCCATACGCAAGGGGATCTTTCGATACGTACTCGAACCATCTTGACAGTCAAAGAGCTGATTAAAGGGTTAATTCTAGCGAAAGGACAGGTGAAGAAGCTGTTGTGAGAGTGAGAGGACGTCTGAAGCGCAGACTACGCAAGTTAGAAATCCGGCAGAAGTTGGCCGGTGGATGGAAGAAGGGGAAAATAGGATGATACAGAGACAGGAGAAATTCAAGTCGGAGGGGGAGAGATATCATGGACGAGCCAGCTGCGGGTTAATCTACACAACCTTGACAAGCCGGGCGGCGCCCAGCACGCGGGTTTCAAGGGGGCAGGAACTAGCATTGCTTGAGTGACGGAGGAGAAAGCAGATGCGAGCACAAACGAGAGCGCAAGCAGGGCGGACGGCATCAAGCCAAGGGCTGGGCACCCCGTTTCCAAGCCCGATCAAAACTCTTGAATCTCTTTCGGGCCAAACACGTCGCGCCTCCCTGAAACTCCGTGTTGCTCGCCACCCACCCAAGCATTTGCCAGCGAGGCAGTGCAACCAAATCCACCCTCCGCCGAATCTCTTTCCGTACCGCATTCGTGCGCGATGTGCATTGAAGCACGTCTCCTATTTGCACTTGGCGGCTTGACAGTCCGCCCACTGCTCCACGACGCGTCAGATCATCCTGAGACTGCTCCAGGTCGTGTCGGTCAGCGTCTGGCGAGTGGATGAGATACAACATACTTGATATTGGATGGGCAATGTGCCATGTCAGGGCAAGCAGAGGATCTTCATTAGGTTGAAGTTGACAAGGCTTGAGCTCAAGCTCGGCGTCTCGCCGCCAAGCCTCTGTTTGTTTGGCCCCGGCTAACTTTCCTCATCTGGGTCCCTGGCATATGGATCTGCTGCCATCGTCGAGGTGGCTACTGTCCACAGTATGCTCGCTCAGTGCGGTACCACAGAATTAGATCAGATCCTCATCCGCCCCAGCTCTTGCTCCAGGTCTCGCGCAATGGTGTTGCCCTCTGCTAGTTGATAATTCATTCCGCCCACAGCAGCCCCACACTCCGGACATGTCGCCTGCTCTCTAGCAAGCCCGCAATTGCCAATGGTGAAAGGATGTCCATTGGGACAGTAGTACCAGTGACCCGTACCTCTGAATTCGCTGCTCATCGCCGCCACGACCGCCCGCTTCTCTTCATTGCTCACAGCTTGGTAGAATGTATCCTCCCGCAATAACAACTCTTGCGCCGCCGCGACTTCGGCCGCCATACCTTTCGTGCTCCCGGGTTTGGAAACGCATAGACGTTCGGCCTCTTGCAAGTACCCGTGCGCTTCGTTGACCCTGCCTGTGATGCCAAGAGCCTCGCGCTGCTCCCCAGTCTGCGAGTTGCCACGCTCGAGAGCGACCAAGCGGCTAAAGTAGATCGCGGCCTCAACCTCTTGCATCGGTAGGACACGCTCAGTAGCCTCCTTCAGAAAGCCACGGCAGGCCTCGTACGCATCGCCAAAGTCTACGGTAACGCCGACCCCTTTCCAGTCCTGGGGTCCAGTGTATGCGGTGCTGTGCTCTCGGCGGATGCTGAAAAAGTCGGTCAAGATTGCCAAGTCACACCGGATGCTCAGCGACGAAGCCAGCATGCGCTGCTTGCTCTGCAATATAGTGTGGTCACGCGAGTGGGCGTCAGACCGTCTACCGCTTTGGATGCGATGGGCGCGGAGCATGTTGTAGATGCGACCAAAAGGCTGTTCACCTTCCTCCACTTGACGATGGTATCGCAGAATGCGGTTTCGGAGCTTCCAAATGGCGTTGTACCGAGATAAGAGCTGTGGAATGGCCCGCAAGGTCTTCATCATGTCGGCGAATAGTCCCCGAAGCTGGATTTCCGCAGTTGCGGCGGTAGCGTCATCGCCGTTGCGAACATCTTGTGGGTTTCCAAGTGCCTTCTTCGCGAGAGCAGCCTCCTCTCTATCCACCCCTTGGGAAAGAGGCACGAATGATGAAGAACTCCAGCTGATGAACTTTTTCGTTGACTCATCCAGGATGGTCCGTCGCCAAATTCGGTTGTACCGCTGCAGGTTGGCGATGGGCATCCGGCAATTGACGCATAGCTGAAGCTTGGTGGAGAACGGGCGCGAGTCGCCTTTCAAGCCGAGGACCCTGCCGTCGGCATCCAAGTTGAAGTGGTCAGAAATGCCCATGATGCCGTCCAAGCTGGACATGGTCAAAACATGACCACAATTTAGTACAAAGCAAGGATTCTGATCGAGATCAACCTCCCGGTAATCTGTCAGCTCAACCCAATCGACCGTTTGTTTACCGATCTCATCGCTACAGCAAATCTGGCAGAACTCGGCCGAAGGACACGCCTCACCGCATGTACTGATACACCGATGGCCACAGGTCAATGTCTTTGCACATCTCAGTGAGCATGGCATGATATCACAGGGTACAGCACAAGGCAATTGACATAGCCCGGAATGCTCGCAGCCGGCTGTACATGGCTGTGCACAGGGGGCGCAGGGTTCGCAGCACTTCTTGCCACATCGCGAATGCTGGCAAGATGTGTTGCAGACCTCCTGACATGGTGCGCATTCTTCGCCGTCGTGGCAAGGCATCTTACAGTAGTGGTTGCAAAGGGTAAAATTTCTGCCGCATGGCTGGGAGCATCTGCCATGATTTTCCTCAACAACTTGTCCGTTCTTTCGCGTCCGGCATTCGAAGCAGCGGCGTGTGCAGAGGTGACCGCAAGGAAAGGCTGAGTTACAGATTGCTCTGCATGCTGTCATGTCGTCGATGTTGTCAGCGCACTTCATCATCTGCGAATGATGACAACCTGGCAGATCTTTCTTCACCAGGTGTGCGCAGCGAGCGGTGCTAATATTCTGTGTGACATGGCATGGGAGAGTCGACACATGATCGCAGGCAAGGCGCACATTGGCAATGGGAACTTCGCACTTTCCACAATCATCGCCGCAGGCCTTCTGACACATGTGTTCACAGCTATTTCTCGCCTTGACACACGGCTTGGCACAGTATACACTGTCATGCAAAACTTGGGCATGGCAACGTGATGGGCATTGGTGCCCACAGTTCAAGCGCTCGGTACACATCAGATCACAACCGCCCTCGGGCGAGAGACGGGCGAAGTCGTCAGCATTTTTGACTGCAATAGGCTTTGCAGGATGTCGAGGGCAGCGCAGCTCTAACGCCGGACCAAGATTGTTGTTCTTGCGAAGAAGCTCGAGAACTTTAGCCCACATCGGCTCCGTTTCGTAGCACGAGGAGTCGCCCACCAAATACATTCCATGCTTGGCCCGACTGAGAAGTACGTTGGCACGGTTTGTAGTCTTCAAGAAGCCGCATTTCTTGTTTTGGTTGCTTCTGACTAAAGACACGACGATGACTTTGGCTTCTTCACCTTGGAAGTTGTCCACTGTTGCTAAGCGGAGAGTGCTCAGCAGAGTCGTCTTTGACACGCCAATAGCTTGTCCAGCGGCGAGACCATCGCTCATGCCATGCTTCTCAAGGTCGTTGACATCGCGATCGTCGACAACTATTTCAAAGATGCTGCTCAAACGTTGCTTTAGCAGTCTCAACTGTCCCAGGTATGGTGTCAGGATTGCAATATCGGCAGCTTCATATTTGCATTGCCGCACTAGATGCTGCAAGAGCGCTGCGACGACATCGACTTCAAAGACATTGGAGTATGACGTCGAATCGTCCTTGCCGTCTTCAGACACTTGGTGGTCCATCCAGAACAGTCTTCGGCTCATGCCGACTACTGGTGGATAACAACTGACACCTGCATGATCTTGCAATTTGGGGTACAAAGTCTCGCGCACGAGTTCTGATATGGAAGGATGCATGCGTCGCTGGATCTCCAGTGTCGTAAAGGGAAGTCTAGGCATTGAGGGAGCACTCGGCTTGATCAGTCTCTCGAAAAGCGACATATCCAGCGAAAAACGCTTTCCGCGGGGATTTGCAGCCTCTAAATCGTAGTTGCAAATTCGTGGTCGCAGCTGCTCGTGGTCACCGATTAGGATACAGTGCTCGATAGACGGGATCAATGCCGTTATCAGATGACCTTCCAGCACTTCGCCAGCTTCCTCGCAGATCAGTACTTTGCTTGGTAGACGTCGGATAAGATCAAGTCTTCTTGCAAGACCGGAGGTAGTTAGTCCGATAATGTTTGCCTGAGAAAGACATCGTAGGTCGCGTTCATCGAAACATTGTCTAAGACCAGTTCGCTCGGTGGAAAGGTCTTCGAGCAAGATTTGCAATGATGCACAACGACGGCTCTGGACAGCTTCGACCCAAGAGTTGTAGAGCATTTGTCGTTCTCTGGAATCGAGAGTCGAGAGCTCTGCGTCATGGAGGTCGCTCAGAGGCCGAATCACAGTTGTCTGTCTCGCTACTTTTGCTCCTCGAGGGCGGAGAAATCTCTCTTCAGCAGGCCGCTTGTCATAGCTGACGGTTTGGAAGCCGTCGTCCTCAATCTGAACTTCCAAAAGCTTCTGCAATTGTCGATGGTGAGGACGATGTGAACGCTCCAGATGGTGGCAAACATCCAGCCAAGATGGGCCGTTATGGAGGTCGACGAGAGATTCTGTGATCTGCCCCTGTAGTAATTCGATAGTGCGATGGTGAATCGCCTGTTGCTGTCGCTCAGTTCTGGTGGTATCCATGCCGCGTACCACCTGTTTCAGATTGACGGCTTGCAAGGCCACTGACTTAGACTGACCTCCAATCCTAATAATCTGGCTGACTCCGTCCTCTAGCAAGTGCTCCAGAAGTTGATCGAGGGCATGGTTGGTGTAGCAGACACAGATGATGGGACCAAGCTTTGCTGCAGTCTTGTTGGCAAGGATCGTTCTGATTAGGGCGCCGCCACAAAAAGACTTGCCGGTGCCTGGAGGACCTTGGATGAGGGCTAGCCGCCTACTCAATGCATCAACTACTGCAGTCCGTTGAGCGTTGTCAAGGGTCGAATGCTTTGATAAGAGGTCAAAATCAAACTTTTGGCCGATCTTCAAAGCTATGGCAACTTTTCCCCCTGTCAACGTACTCAGGTTGTAAGAAAATCCCGGCAATCGCGCGTACTGAGGCGGTTCGTCGAGGCGAGCAGCTCGACCTGCGATTTGTGTTGGGGCAAGCAAATCGGCGAAAGGGGTGTCCAGCTTTGTACTCAACCTCTTTAATCCCTGTAGAGTATGATAGAACGATGGCAACAGGATACCTGGGAATTCGCACAGTACGAGGGGCTGACGCTTGGAGGCTTGGAAGCAATTTTTCGCACGTGTTAAGCAGTATCCGTAGGGTTCGATCAGCTGGGTGAAAATCGTGGCTCGCTTGCTGTCTTCATACAAAGAACGACGATCTTGAGCTACCTGTTGATGGTTCTTGGCCGCGCTTGGCTCGGGGCAGACAGCAAGGAAAGCAACGAATCCATCGGGGCCAACAAGGCACACGAGTGCTTCATTCTGGAGAATCTTGGACGACTCCCACCATTTCTTTCGTTCAGATCTTGACTTCGCTGCAAGACTGTAGGGCTGCTGGACTGAGAGTTTCATCGCAAGTCCTTGAGTGGTGATTTGCAGCCGGCGGAGCTGAACTCCTTGATACACCATAACACGAGTGCCATATTTCGCCCCATTGTCGTGCTGTGACGTACGGTTGTTAGGCCGACGGATCGTCTCAATCAGTGAACGGACCGCGTCGCGCAGCTGGCCGACTGTATCTTCTCGCAAGAGTCGAAACTGCCGATCGATGAGGCCCTCTAATCCAGGAACATGCAGCTTCTCAGGGTCTATTACAGGCAGATAATCCGAGTGTAGAGATTTCAGTTCACCTCTTGTTGGTAGTATCTCAATTTGATTGATATGCTCGTGGTCGTTGTCGTGCCGAGGACCTCCTGGATGAAGGCTCCCAGGGCCATCTACCGCAAGCTCGAACGTAGCCATTGTAGTGAGTGTGGTTCTGTTCGATGGCTCGGGGATAGACTGTCCTATTCCCATAAGCGCCTCAATATGCTGCAATGCTTTCTCTGCATTCAGGCGCGCAGTTGTCCTCGGAGAGTCTGTGGCGGCAATGAGGGCCGAGAAGGCCTCAATGACGGGAACGAGGTTCCTATCGATTTTTGCGGTTCCTATGACCTCAATGAGACTGTCCAGGACGAGAACGCACGCTGTCATTTCTTCTATGTCGGACTCGTCAGGCTTCTCGATTGTCCCAAATGCTGCAAGCACTGACTGGAAGAATTGCACACCACGTGTCCCATCTCGGCCGTAGAGAACGGTGTGAATAGATGCTATTGCATCTTCTAGGAGTGCGGAATGAATGATGTCCGGATGGGAGAGCAGTTTGACCAAGGGTGCGGCTCGGTTTCTCAGGAAGGAGTGGCACTGTCCAAGATCCTCGGGCAGCGCGGCTGATGCAGTGAGATGGCGAATCTGGTTCGAGCCCACTGGGGTACTTAGGTGCTTCACTACTCGTTGCTTTGTTTCAATGTGAGGAGTGTTGACCAACGCATAGGCTGACGCAATCCACGAATCCAGAGCACTATCCGGAAGTGTGAGTGATGGATCGTTTTGTACAAGTCCTAGCCACGTTGCTAACGTTTTATAGTCGGCGTTTGGAACATCAAAAGCTCGGGGGGGTTGCGGCGCATGGTTCGTCTTGGCTATCGGGCCTGCAGCATGCGTGAATGTGCAGCGATGTCCATACTGACATCCACCTGGCTTGTTATAGAACCTGCACACCCCTTGTTTCGGCCTGTAAAGCCGTTGGCATTTGTCTAGATTGAACAATGTCCTTGGGGAACGAAAGTGCTTACCGTGGTCTGTTTGTTCTCTGCATGATCGCCAAAGATGTATCGCCGCAGCTGTTGAGGTCACTGGAAAAGAGAAAGGAGAACAGAAAGACACCAACATGGATGCGAGTAGGTTTTCCAGTAAGGGCAGGCCTTGGGCAACAAAGGAACAGCTCCAGGCAACAGCCTGTCCCCGTCCGTCAAGACATGCAATCGATAGGAGTTTAGTGGTCTTGGGACCCAGGCTGACCAGTTGTCACCGGTTGGTGAGGCGAGAGCCGTAGCAAATAGATAGGCGGGACCACCCATGGGACCATGGCGGTAAAGTCATGGCCCCATGCAGCCCTGGGCTGGGGTGGCTCTGGCAGTTCAGAGCGCCTTCCATTGAGGTCGCAAGGCAAGATAGGATAGGAGCAGGCATTGCACTGATATCAGTGGATGCACCATCGGGAGGCTACCGATATTGACACGTCAACCTTGCACGGGTCGTAATGGTTGGGTCGATCATGCAATAGCCGGCATTCGACACACAGCCATAGCAGGGTACTTTGGATTGAGACCTGCCGGCGGCTGCCGAAGATATCAGCGGCAAGCGTTCGATGGGAAGTGTGAGGCTGATCAGTGAGTGCTTGACGGGACCAAGCTGGATGTCAAAACCGAGCGCGTCGGCTTGCGGCAGGTCGCCCGGCACCCGAACCAATCATCGCGTAGAGTCCGACTCCACTTGTTCGGGGCCAGACCAGGTCACCACCTTCAACTTCTCCCGTCTCGAAACTTGAACTCATCTACATACATTCGACCCACGCAATTCCGTCGTCAAGGCAGCCGGATGAAAGTCCGTTTCTCTCGCTCTCATTTTGGTTGCCGCACATGCCGAGTCCGCAGGGTGAAATGCGACGAAGCTCAGCCATCGTGTGGCCAATGCCAAAGTACCGGCCGGACATGCGATGGTCCGTCTCTGAACATCAGACCCTATAATCGTCAAGGTCCGACCATATTGTTAACGCCAGCCACGAAGCCCCGCCTCAGCTCCCACCAAATCCACAGCTTCACCTATTATCTGCACCACGCAGGCCCGGGGCTAGGTAGCTCGCTCGACAGCGACCTGTGGGGCCGCCTCCTTCCCCAAATCAGCCAATCCAATCAAGCAATTCGCCTTGCGCTCCTCTCGATAAGCACTTTGTATGAAAACCCCGTGAACGGTGTGCAGCAGGATGTGTCGTCCTTAGCCAACGAAGGCCACCGAAGGGCCACGGAATGGTACCAACAGAGCATCTCTGCCGCTCTCGGATCTCAAGCTTCCGAGGAGGAGCTTGAGATGCAGCTGGTCAGCTGTCTCTTGTTCATGTGCATCGAGACGCAGCAACTCAATGTGCTCAATGCCATGAAACTGCTCGAGATGGGCTATGGCTTGTTGGCGAGGTACATGAGTTTGCAGGCTGAGAAAGGGCGGAGCCCGCCTACATGGATGGTCTCATACGTATATCCTTTGTTTCTCCGCCAAAGGACACTGATCGGAGTGTCACGCTATCTCCTGCCCACGCACTTGTACGCCGTCGTGGCTCAACTCATGCCTCCAGAAGACGCCACGATGAATTCGTTGGCCGATGCCCGCAATCAGATTTACGCCATCATGTACCTCGCAGCCCAGGTCACCAGTACCGCCGAGCAACCATACCGTGAGACACGGGAACCGACCACATCTCAGCATATCTTCAATAGATTGGAGCAATGGCACGCCAAGGTCACAGAACTAAGGGCACGCAGCTCCTTCTCCCAGGGAGACGAGGCAGCATACCACGTCTTGATGACCGCCTACTGGATGTCACTCATCTGCGTAACTCGATGTCTGTCCTTTTACCCTTCTGAGTCTCGAAGACCGCATCCCTCCCTTATGGCCAGCGAAGAGTATCGCCGAACTTTCTGGACCGTCTTGTACCACGTCGAGCAAGCGCTGAACCACTCGCCCTACATCCCGCCATCCTCTCCCAAATCGTGGAAGACGCCCTCACCCCACGCTTCACCCACGCCCCCACCACCCGCCAGAAAACCCTTCAATCTCGACGTCGGCACCATCGGCGCCTTGCACTTCGTCGCCGACAACTGCCGCGTCCCCGAGATCCGCCGAAAGGTCATCGCGCTGCTGCACCGAGATGCCCTCCAAGAAAATCTGTTTGATTCACAGCAGATGGTGGAGAAGGTCAAGCAGTGGATGCTGGACGAGGAGCGTGGCTGGGGTTGCTGTGCCGATGGTACAACTTGGTTCAGGGAGCCTGCTGATCCGTCCTCGCAAGGGGCTGAAGTAGTATTTGGTACTGGTATCGAGCTCCTGGCGCCGAACGATCCCTTGGTGCTCGCGGGCCGGGAATGAGTGTCCAGACACGATGTGCGCGAATGCGCTTGGTATGAATTCTATAACGGTATTTCAACACCCGACTCTCGAAGTCTTGAGCTCTTGTCGTTCAAACCTGGTGTGGAGCCCGAAGCCACTTTTCACTCCTCCAAACCCCGGCGCAACATCAGTCCTCATACTTGCCGCTGAGCCCCCACCAAAAGTCACACTGCCTCTCCGCCCACTCATCCTTCCTACAAACCGCCAGCTCACCCACATTGCCGCCACCCGCCCTCTCGTCATTGCCCAAGCCAAACACCATCGTCTCCCCGCCACTCTCCCGCCACTCCCTCCACCTCGGCCTCTCCGCCACCACCTCCAACCCCCGATTCGGATCCCCATGCACGATGAACCCGCTCACATAGCCATGAAACCAGCGCGCCAGCGTCTCCTGACTCTCCGATACCGCGCGCACCTCCGGATCCATGGTCTCATACCACATCTGGTCCCCATGATTCGCGCCGCCCAAGACACTCGCATTCACCGCCCAGTGATACAGCCAGACATCCCCCTTTGCGAGCCTCGCCGTCTGCCGCACGGGACACACGTACGCGTACTGCCCGTACGCGGCCTCGACGCGGCGGTACTGCGCGCCGCGGCCCTCGCGCCACTCGACATACTGCTCGGGCGGGTACAGCAATCCCACGGGCTCCGTGACGTGCGGCAGTAAGGTGCGGAAGAAGTCGTCGAACTCGGTGGCCGACGACATGGTTTTGGGCACGTACATGGTGCCCTCGTTGTGCACGAAGCCGGTGAGGATGGGGATGTGGGCTGGCCAGGGCTGCTCGAGGGAGCGGCCGGGGACGAGGTCGCCGTCGATGACAGGCTGCCAGGCCCAGCGGACGGAGGGGTTGGAGGCGTCGAAGACCGTGGTGGAGGCGGTGGTGATGGCGGAGGAGGGTAAGGCGCGCAGGCAGGGCAGGTCGGTGCAGTTAGTGAGGGAGAGGAAGTGTTGGAACTGGGATTCGTGGAGGGCCGAGTTGTAGGGGTGCAGGGCGCGGGAGGTGGGGCCGCCGGATTCCATGACGGCTTTGTGGAAGGTGGCTTTCTGGTTGAGGAGGTGGTGGCCGATCGAGTGGGCGCCGGCGGAGAGGCCGATGATGGTGACGTCGTTGGGGCTGCCGCCGAAGGAGGCGATGTTCGTTTGCACCCAGTCTAGGAGGAGGGTTTGGTCGCGGAGACCGAGGTTGAGGAGGCCTTCTTTGGCTGTCATGGCGGAGTTCAAGAAGCCGAGGGCGCCGATGCGGTAGTTGAAGGAGACGCCGATGAAGGGCTCGGCGTGCGAGACCATGCTGGCCGTGTCGTGCATCTTGGCCGTGCCACGGTTGAAGGCGCCGCCATGGAAACTGGATTGTGGTCAGAACTTGAGTCGGGATAAGGGGGCTGCACAGAGGGAGCTGTGAGTGCGAAGTTCCTGAGACACAAGAACCAGATATTACAGAAGAGCTACTTCATTTGTCGCAATTCAGGGCTTCCAGAGACTTACTAGACGGCAACGGGCAAGTTGGTGAGATTGCCCATGGGTCGAAAGACGTTTACCGTCAAGCAGTCCTCGCTGCTCGCTGCTGTCCCAGGGACAACGAGGAGCTGTTTGCCCGGGCATCTGGGCCCATAGTCGAGAGCGTTGATGGTGGCATTGGAGTCTGGCACAGGCTGTGCGCGGGCGAAGCGTAGTGGCCCCACGGGTGGTAGAGCGTATGGTATACCCCGAAAAGCCTCGACGGGCTTGCCAAAATCAGAACGCTCGAGAACGACTCCTCGAACTGTACCTTGAGGCAATACGACGGTGGGATTCAGCGTGGGGGAGGCTGCTGGATAGAAGAGATAGCCAAGGACTACCACAACGGCCGCCAGCAACAGGCTCAACGGTCCAGTGGCTGACTTGGTCGACTTGGACGACATGATGTTGGCCTTGGCGGCTTTGAACGGCTTCCAGGTCTAGAAGGCGAGGTTCTGCACCCTTATCATATCAGTGTGTTACATTTCATGCACGCCTGTTCTTGGGAAGTCTTGCGGGCATCGGCCCCAGCACCGACCGCGGGGTTATGCGGATTAGGCGATATAATTACTCCGTTCAGCCGTTGCGTTTCGACCTTCCACTCCTTCATGATCGACGGGCATGGGCGCATATCTGCGAAGATCATATGCGGCTACCTTGCTGCTTAGCACGGGTGGCCGAACCTTCTGGCGTCCCAAGCCTCTTGGTAAAGCATCTGGAAACATGATTGTAGCACTCTATACCCTCTTCGGATTATCAGTTGGGGGACACGGCTCGCGTGTTGATATCAACGCGGACTTGTCCTCAACGGCCTGAGCAGTCGGCATCTCAGGGCACATGCCCGGGAGTCGGTCTTGCACTCCGTCTTGAGTATGCGCGGCAGCTCCTTGAGTTGCTATAATAGACCTGCTCTAGGCCTTGAAAATGACCCAGCAGATACACCCTGAACATTTTCACCAACGCCCTCAACCATGGATGAGAAAAAGGATCTCGAGAAGGTAGCCAGTGTCAACGAGGAGCCTCTCAAGGGCGACATCGAGGACATTGGCCCTCGAGAGGATCTCGACGAGGCGGGTATCTTCCTCCGTGAACACAACTTTACCCAGTCCTACCTAGCGGAGCTACTCGAAGACAAGGCACTCAATAAGAGAATCGTGAGGAAGGTCGACCTTACTCTGATGCCTCTTCTCTGCCTCACCTACTTCCTCCAATTTATTGACAAACAAGGGCTGTCCTACGCCGCTGTGTTCGATTTGTTCGAGGACACGGGTATCACGTCCTACCAGTACTCGTGGCTCGCCAGTATCTTCTACTTCGCGTACCTCTTTGCAGAATGGCCTTCCAGCTACCTGGCTCAGCACTTTCCAACCGCAAAGGTCATCAGTGCCTTTGTGCTGACCTGGGGCTCCATCATGCTTCTCACGGCAGCCTGCTCAAACTTCACCGGTATGGCTATCTGCCGCTTCCTGCTTGGATGCTTCGAGAGCGTCATCACACCAGCATTCATGTTGATCGTTTCACAATGGTATGTTAGACGCCAGCAGCCTGCCCGTGCCGGCCTCTTCTACTGTTTCAACGGTTTCGGCAACATGATAGGTGGCATTCTCTTCTATGCTGTCGGGTATGAGAAGAACTTCCCCGTCTGGAAGGTCATCTACCTTCTCTGTGGAGGTATGACTGTGGTCTGGGGTGTTGTTCTCTGGTTCCACCTCCCCGACAACATCATGTCAGCGCGCAAGTTCACTCCGGAGGAGAAAGCCCTCCTCATCGCCCGATCCCAGACCAACCGTACCGGCGTCTACAACCGCAAGATCAAATGGGGCCAGATCTTCGAGGCCTTGACCGACGTGCAAGTCTGGATTCTCTTCCTCTTCACCCTCCTCAACGAAACCATCAACGGCGGCATCGCCAACTTCGGCAAGTTGATCGTCAAGGGCGTTGCTGGCGGCGATCCCTTGCTCGCCACCGCATACGGCATTCCGCAGGGTGCATTCCAGGTCTTTTGGGTCTTCACCGGTCCGTTCATCGCCAGTCGCTTCAAGAACATTCGCACCGTTATCATGGCTGTGTACATTCTGCCAACCATTGCCGGCGCAATCATCATGTGGAAGCTGCCGCGCTCCAACACCGTGGGTTGCCTGCTGGCATACTACATTGTCGGCGCATACGTCGCGTCGCTGGTCCTTGCCCTGCAGCTGCCCGCTACTAATGTAGGTGGGTACACCAAGCGCGTGACCGCCACAGCCTTCGTCTTCCTCGCTTACTGCATCGGCAACATCATCGGTCCACACGCTTTCCTGGCACACGAAGCGCCCATCTACCAGACAGGGTGCAAGGTCATCTTGTCGTGCGCGGCAGGTCAGATAGCGTTGGCACTATGCTTGAGGATGTTGTTGATCTGGAGGAACAAGAAGCGAAACCAGGCGGCCGCCGCGGCCGGGATTGATCCAGGGGCTGTGGAGACCGAGGAGGAGGCGTTGGAGGATTTGACTGATAAGCAGAACCCGAAGTTCAGGTACTCGTACTGAGATGGCGTGGGATCATGCAGGCATGTCGTTGCACCGTTGGCAGAGTGCGAGGAACACGATCTAGTCGCAGGTGGGGAGTCTGCCCCAAGAGTGATCTAGGAGCCGGAGGAGGGGATGTAGCCAGTGGAATCACTTGGACTCCGCACCAACATGTCTTCCTACTTGTACTTTCCGGTGGCCATATTCTAGCCCTGTGAGCCGTCTGACGTGCCTGATGCAGTCGTAAGGAAGCGTGGTTGCCCGTGACTGCCTCAGCCTTGCTCCTCTTAGATCAGCTTAGTGCAGCCCTGTCCAGGGGGGTCTGCCAAGCATTCGGCGGCAACTGCAACACCTCCGTCTGCACTCTTTTCCACCCTCTCTACTCCCCACCATCCGGTAGTCGCAAGACTTTGCTTTACGCCTTCATGACCGCAGATCTGCTGCACCTGGGCTCATTAGCTGTGGTGTGATGACTGTGTGCACTACTAACAGTGGACTGATGCGGGCCAGAACCACACCTCTAATGTTCGAAACCGTTTACGGAGTAGTGTAAACAGCTTGAAGGCGCCCGCCCTCAGCATGGGTTTCAGGTCCCACGGAAAGGGCATGTTGAAACCCTAAGCGTTTGTCTCTCAAATCGATCTGATCCCGCTACAGCAGATGCATCTTCTCTTTCTCTCCTCACCTCATCTTGACGATCGAGTGCTTACAGTCCAGTTCACTTCTAATTCTGTGCCGGTCACAATCTTTTATTCAATATACGTTCTTTAAAGTATGGCGTTTTCCAGGTCGACCGTCTTCGTCGCTTTCACTCTTCTCACCAGCATTGCTTCCGCTGTCAACATTAAAATCATCGCCCAGCAAGCCTTTGGCAATCCCGATCCTTTCGAATTTTCTCCCAACGAGATCAACGCCGCAATAGGCGACATACTCGAATTCCACTTTGTCGGCCCCGCCAATGGTGTACTAGGAAGCAACATGAGTGTCGCTCAGGGTGTCTTTGGTGACCCGTGCAAGCCGGCCGCAGGTGGTTTCTGGTCTGGCTTCATGGGTGTCAACGCAACCTCCGCGGAAGCAGACATGGTGTTTAATGTCGAGGTTAACTCGACCGACCCCATCGCCTTCTACTGCGCCCAGGGACCTCACTGCGCCCGAGGCATGCACGGAGTCGTCAATGGAGCCGGCGACCAAACTCTACGATCGTATCGCAACAGCATTGATGTAAACTTCGATGCCACTATCCCGACTGAGGAGCCTGGCTTCGGTGGAGAGCTGGTCGCAAACAACGTGTCAAATATCATCCCAGCTGTTGATCCGAATGCCGCAGGCTCAATTCAGGTTTCACTCATCGCGACCTGTGCTGCGGTGGCTCTTACGTTATTCGTATAAACACCCGCTGTACCAAGGTACAGAGGCGGCCGCAACGTACGACGAGAGCTTACGAGATGGACAACCGGAAGACGCCAGCCTTCCGACTGCCTGCAGGCCGGGCACAGTTGTTAATGAGGCGCAATGAGTTTGATGTGGAGAGCGTCGGCTGTCGACGTAAATAGTTGAGATGAGAAAGACCAATGACCGGCCACCCTGTCTCCGGGGAAGCAAGTTTACAGAAAATGATACCCTGGGCCAACGTTGATGGTTCGGCCGTGCCCGCAGACATCCCCAATTTTCATGCTCTTACTCAGTCTTCGGCACTCTATGCTTTTCCCTCTCGGTAACACTCCCGAGAAGGCCCACTAGATCTGAACCGCTGCAGAATTGATTGTTTCAACGATTTCAGATCTGCCTCCTGACCCTTCGATCAGTTCATGACGCCCACACAGCACAGCAGTAGACGAAGCTAGAGGCCCTGGACGATCTGAAACCCGTTTCGCATCATACCCGCCACTTGGGGGAGAAGACGGGGGGGGGAGAGGGAAGATCTCTGAAGGACAGAACGGATCGGCCCTTGTGAGATCAAACCACTTTGTATAAGTAGTGGCGTGCTCAACGGGACAATACTGCCGGCAAACTGCGTACCCTTGAGCTTTTCAACGACGTACAAAGCTGACGGTGTACCTAGAGGTACCGGGTAATGCACCCAAAACTACTACTGCCATGTACCGAAGCTCGCATCCGCCAAGCGGGCCATACAGAGCCAATGAGATCTGCGCTTTGCAGGCAGTGAAAAGCGCGCAGTACACATACCGGCGAAGCCTAGATAGTAAAGGGGTCGGGCCATGTGCAAGTGGCATTCTCTTGGACGAATGGTCACACGTGTACAACAAGCATGACCGAAGAAGGGTTCGGCCTATTGTACACCGAGATAGGAGCAGGAGCAGGAGCCCGCCAGGGCAACGCACGTCACGGCCAATTTCTCATGGCGGCGGTGCTGAGCGCAGGTGGGACGGTGGGGGAACGGCGGGGGCTGGTCCCCGACGCCCACATCGGAGTGTTTGGTAATCACTAAACGGGTACAACACAGAAACGCAAGAATAGTCAATATGAAACAAATTGTAGCTGATTCCACACAATCTCATTATTCAATGTACATGATCTGGGCCTCTGATGCAGCACTGTCGTGACGGCCCCGGAGTAGAAAGCAGTCAACCCACAGCGCCGGTGCTGCATCGACCCAGGCCCCACGCATGATAAGGATTTTTCTCGTTTCTTTTTCATTTCAAGCGCACAAGCCCGCTTAGCCAAAGAGAGCACCGCCGAGTCTGACACGGACGGACTTGACCTGGGTGTAGTTGGACAGCGCATACTTGCCCAGCTCGCGGCCAATACCGGACTCCTTGAAGCCACCAAAAGGAACCTGGTAAGAGAGCATGTTGTAGCAGTTGACCCAGACGGTGCCGGCCTTGAGAGCGTTGGAGACACGGATAGCGGTGTTGAGGTTAGTGGTGTGCACAGCAGCGGCGAGACCGTAGGTTGTCTCGTTGCCGGCCTTGATGACCTCATCCTCGGTCTCGAATTTCGAGATGGAGCAGACGGGGCCGAAGATCTCTTCTTGCATGATCTTCATGTCCTCTGACACACCAGAGAAGATAGTAGGTTGGATGAAGTAACCTTCCTTGCCATGGCGATCGCCACCAGTCTCAACCTTGGCACCAGCATCCTTGCCAGCCTGGATGTAGTTCATGATGCGGTCAAACTGCAACTTGCTGACCTGAGGACCCTGGAAGGTGTCGCTGGCGAATGGGTCACCAACAACGTTCTTTGCGGTGCGGCCCTTGAAGGCCTCGATAAACTTGTCGTAGATGCCAGACTGGACGTAAATGCGAGAGCCGGCACAGCAGCACTGGCCGTGGTTGAAGAAAATACCAAAGTTCACCCACGAGATGGCATCCTCGATGTTGGCATCGTTGAAGACAATGTTGGGGCTCTTGCCGCCCAGCTCAAGAGTGACCTTCTTGAGGTTGGACTTGGCAGCAGCCTGGAGGATAGCACGGCCAGTGACAGTCGAGCCGGTGAAAGCAACCTTGTCAATGTCCATGTGGGAAGCGATAGCAGCACCGGCAGTCTTGCCGAAGCCGGAGATGATATTGACGACACCAGCGGGAATGCCAGCCTTCTCAACGAGAGTAGCAGCATACAGACCGGAGAGAGGTGTCTGTTCAGCAGTCTTCAAGATAACAGTGTTGCCGGTGGCGAGAGCGGGACCAATCTTCCAAGCCCACATGAGGAGAGGGAAGTTCCAGGGAATGATCTGACCGCAAACACCTACGGGCTCGTGGCGGGTGTAGTTGAAGGTCTCGTGGTCAGTGTCAATGGTCTTGCCGTGAATCTTGTCAGCCCAGCCACCGTAGTAGCGCAAGCAGCCTGAGGATAACCCGACATCGACCTTGGCCATCGAGAGGGCCTTGCCGTTGTCGAGGGACTCAATGGCGGCGAGGGTATCAATATGTTCATCGAGAAGGTCGGCGAGCTTGGTAAGCATTTGGCCACGGGCCGAAGGCGTGGTTTCTCTCCACACGCCGTTTAGGGCTTTGCGGGCAGCCTTGACGGCAATGTCGACATCTAATGCGGAGGTCAGCGGCAGGTCACCGATAGACGGCGTGGAGGGGACTCACCATCGGGGCCAGCCTCATGGACGGCAACAATGGGCTTCTCATTCGTGGGGTTGATGGTCTCGAAGGTCTTGCCCTCCTTGCCCTTCACCCACTTGCCATCGATGTAGAGGCCGAGGGGCTGCTCGTAGGTGATTGAGGGGGTCTCGATCTTTTGGGTGAGAGACATGATTGCGTTTTGCTGGGTATCAAAGTAAAATAAAGGACTTTTTCAGTTATGGCGATTGGGTATGACTGGAGATAGATTGCGAATATCAGAGCCAGCTGGTAATGTAGGAGAAGGAAACGACTTCTTTGCGCGAGCCGAGGGGTAAGAGCTTTATTTGAAATTCACTGCCTACAGGGCGCGGGGAAGAGTCGAAAAGGCAGTTGCAGTGACGAAAACGAGCGCACCGCGCCCGCGACCGCAGCTTCGCTTTCCTATAGCCCGAAGCTTGAGATTGCATATCCTGACCACTCGACCCTGGCCAGCTAGCTTCTATTGGGCAGACAACCCCGCAGTCGACTTCATCGGTGCAAGGGCTCGAGGGTGCTACACGAACGATAGGCCGGCTTTTGGTGGATATGACATTTTCTAGCCTCCACCACCGACCTTTGAGGCTTACGGTTGCCCCAACCACGGCATAGTGGCAAGACTTTAAAGAGGGGTGCGGAGGGGTGCAGATGGTTTCGGACGGGGTCTCAGAGCACATTGCAATGGATCTAGGCCATGAGGAAGAGGATACCGCGCGCGCTTGCGGCCGCTTCTCCGGTACAAGCTCATCGAAAATCAATCGCTACGGATAGGCGGAGCAATCATGTTTGTGCGATTTCGGGAACCATTGACCTCGTGTCAGCCCGGGATTCAGATCACTAGGCGGTTTGATCTCCGAATTCATATCCTCAGAGCTCGGTTTTGTAAGCACCTCTGGTGCCTGAGCGGATGATTCAAGTTTACTGATCTCAACACTCCGCTGCTTTAGCGGCGTTTCGTCTTGCAGTTCCGGACTCGCGCCAGCGGCCTAACAGAAGAGCAGTCGCCAACGCGCGTAGCTAGCTTGAACTGTGGACCCGAGTCAGCTGTCAAGAGTCAGTTCTCACTATGCAGTCAGACGCTTGGATCTCTGTAGAGCGGGTGCTGGAATGCACAACACGGGCGGCGCGCCTGGTGGAGCTGATGATGTTTATGGCGGGGGAACAGTGAGGGGCTGTCAGTACAAACTTTTGCCTCGGACCGGAACTAGAGCTCCGTGAGGATTAACGTACGACTGCGGAAATTCGCGGAACTGGCGTCAACTTTTGTCTTTGTATATTGCAGATAGCAAAATTTGCCACTATTCTGTCACGGAAAAACCAAGGAGATCGCTCTGACATCGTTTCGTCGCTTCACACTCCCCTTGACTTGCGTGTCTTACCCGGAATTCTGGCTTGTTGTTCTACTCGTGCATGTAAATCACGATGCTAGGCGGCACTAAGTCATGGCCCGCACCCCTGAGGGCAGCAATGTCGCAAGGATCGGGCCAGCCAGAGTTGGCGGCTTGTGAGATTGCACCATTTCAAGATACGCGAAGTTCGATGTCGTATGGCGGTCGACTTTTTGCTGTTTTTTGGGGCCTTGAGCCTTAGAGTGACCTTTTGGTTATCTCAATGCTTGCGTGTGCTCCACCCACAAGGACTAGGCGCCGCTTCGGCATGGGGCAGGCTTTAGCCGCCATTCACCCGGCTTGCAGCTAGCTACGCGGCTGGGAATAAAGAACCTATACATGATCAAAGAACCAGCCTATGAACCCACGGGTTCTAGCTGACGGACCAGAAAAGTTTTAGAAAGGGTTTCAAGCTTCTGTTCGGTATCGCTTCCGTTCGTGTCCGTAAGCATCATCCCGCATGAACGGGCAGATGCATATACCGTTGCATCCCCCACACCCGGCCGGCTCCTTCTTCCCTTGACAGCTATCGACTCCGACGAGAGTGCACTCATCATGGTCCATTACTACGATTCGATATCGCCCGACCTCCAAGAATGGATAATGAAGCAGCCCTGTTTCTTTACAGCCTCGGCTCCCTTGCATGGGCGCCACGTCAACCTGTCGCCCAAAGGACTGCCCTCCACATCTTTTAGTGTCCTGACCCCTAACCTGGTTGGGTATGTAGATGCTACCGGATCTGGTATCGAGACCGTTTCGCACATCCAAGAGAATGGCCGATGTACGATCATGTTCTGCTCCTTTGATGCGAGTCCCCGTATCATGCGCCTTTTCTGCACCGGTCGCATTGTCCCGTGGGATCATCCTCAGTTCAATGACTGGCGGCAGCGCATGGGCAACAAGCACTTTGAAGGCATGCGTGCTGTGATTCTGCTGGACGTCTGGAAGGTAGGCGCTGTGGTAGAGTCGAGAGCTGCCTTCACTTACATACCACAGGTCCAGACATCCTGTGGCTACGCGGTGCCTTACCTAGCGCTCAAGCCAGATCCAGAAGATTCATCCAAACAAGTCCCATATCTAGAGGACCGACAAACCCTCGGCCATTGGGGCAAGAAGCAAATCTCGAACGGCATCATGAACGATTACCGCGCTAAGATGAATTCTAGGTCGCTCGATGGCCTGCCAGGCCTTCGAGTCGCGCGCAAGGACATCGGCGAGTCACTATGGCTGCGCGATGTGGAAGCACAAGTGAAGAAGCGCAATGGAGCTCAGCTGGGCCTTGTTGCTCTCCTGTCCGCTTGTTTGACCATACTTACGATGTACCTGCTTGGTTGCGTTTCCTTTCCAGATTTGGAGCGCTGGGCTCAGTCATATGCCCGCTACTAGCCAAACTCGTGAACTTCTCATCTGGCGACCGGTACCGAGTAGATGTTCGATGCCCGTCGTTGCCAAGACTTTCACTGCCTGGTGACACAGTCGGCGGTATGGCAGCCAGATATTCATCCCGGCATCCCGGAGGGCTTCAAGAGTTCCGCAGGTATGACAAACGCACAGATTATTAGATTCGAAACCCATCCAACCTCTGCCATGATACATGCTATCACACCTCCGGCGCTTCTGGACATATCTTCATCTGGTTACAGCAGAGAGAGTGGCGCACGACATCGTTCGCGCGCGCAACCAAGACCGTAATCGTTCTCTCGCGTACCATGGCTGCTTTTATGAGTCCTCTCTGCATATAATGGTCACAAGCTCTAGGGCACTTGTTACACCGCATACTCCTCACGTGACTGCCCCTGGCTTCTCCGCACGGGAGCCGACGATTCCTCCAACCTCGGTCGGCGCGACGCGAAGCTCGTGGAGATTCCTAAATATTGAACACAAGTTCCACGGCGATGACAGGCCCTCAGCGTACACTTCCTCCTCATCTCTTGTCTCTTCGCCCCTACGACCTCTGGCTGGAGGGTCTGATTTCCAATCTCAAACAACCCAAGATGGCTTCAATCTCTACACAAAGGCGACCCGTGCGGATAGCTGGAGCTTCCGGCTCGGCTTCAGATCGGCGACATGCAATGGCTGCTTTTGCGAAAGCATACCCTAGTGATCCTGTGGATGTCATCATCTCGGACTACATGAGTGAAGCAAACATGGTGACTGCTGGAGCGCGCAAAGTCAACTCGTCCAAGTCTGATGAAGTGCCTGCTGATCCGTGGACGCCTGTTGGACCAGCATTTGAGACATCCTTCTTGGAAGCCCTGGAGCCTGCACTAGAGGACCTGGCTAAGTACAACATCAAGGTCGCGGTAAATGCTGGCTCAAGCGATACTGAGGGCCTCTACAAGGTCGTGATGAAGATGATTGAGAGCAAAGGCCTGAAACTCAAGGTGGCGTGGATATCTGGCGACGAGGTGATGCCGGCGGTTGATGCGGCCCTCAAGAGCGGCAAATCAAAGTTCAAGAACATCTACACTGGCGAGGAGCTGTCCACCTGGAAATTCAAGCCGATGTACGCTCAAGCATATCTGGGTGGCCTTGGCATCGCCGAAGCATTCAAGCAAGGCGCGCAGATTGTGCTTTGCGGCCGCGTGGCCGACGCCTCACCAGTTATTGGTGCGGCATACTGGTGGCATAGCTGGGGCCGCTCTCAGCTTAATGAGCTGGCCAACGCCTTCGTCGCCGGCCATTTGATCGAGTGCTCGAACTACGTTTGTGGGGGTAACTATTCTGGCTTCAAAGAGCTGGAGCACTCCGCTTCCGGGTGGACTGACATCGGCTATCCCATTGCTGAGATAGCCTCCACGGGCCAAGTCGTGCTCACCAAACAAAAGAATTCCGGCGGCCTCGTCTCGGTCAACACCTGCTCCTCCCAGCTCCTCTACGAGATTCAAGGACCCTACTACTACAACTCCGACGTGACGGCCTATCTCCCCAACATCTCCTTCACCCAAGAGGGCCCCAACCGCGTAGCCGTGCACGGCGTGACAGGTCTTCCCCCACCCCCCACAACTAAAGTCGGTTGCACCGCACTAGGCGGCTACCAAGCCGAGGCCTCATACTTCCTCACCGGCCTCGACATCCCCGCCAAGGCACGCATGCTCGAGGCACAGCTACGCTACGCCCTCCTTCCCTACTCCCAGGACTACTCACTCCTCAGATTCCACGTTATCGGCTCCCCTGGTCCGGATTCGCCCAATCAGGATGCCGCAACCGTGGTATTCCGAGTCTTTGCACAGGCCCGCTCCGCCGACGCTGTGGCCCCACCGCGTTTCCTGCGGCCCGTTATAGATAACATCATGCAAGGTTATCGGTAAGTCCTGCTGCTGCGCGACGCTTGCTCTAGTCCCCCTCTGCCCCTTTTGAGCCACTCCAAACAGAAATGCATGTACTGACCTGTGCGATAGTGAGTGACCAAACGGGACTGATGCCATCCCAGCCCAAACCAACCCCCCTTCCCACCCTTTCCCTCTTCCTGTCTCGACGAAAGCTAACACCGCTCCAACAGCCGGCGCCACCTTCCACCTGGACTTCCGCCAAGGCCTCCCCAAGCCCTTCTTCGAATACTACGTGACCCTCCTGCCCCAAGCCTCGATGGAACACGCCGTCCACTTCAACAACCACAAAACCGTCATCCCACCGCCCGAGTCGCAACACACGCGCACCTACCCGGAGCGCCAACCCAGCGAGCCCGCTACACAGATCCAGCTCGACCCCCGCCGCTCCTTCGGCGCCACGCAGCGCCTCCCCTTGGGCACCGTCGTCAACGCCCGCTCCGGCGACAAGGGCAGCGACGCCAACTGCGGCTTCTGGGTCCGGCACCCGGACGAGTACGTGTGGCTGCGGAACCTACTCTCCATCGACTCCATGAAGATGCTGTTGGGCGACGAGTACGATCAGAGCAGGCGGCCCAAGATCGAGATCGAGCGCTTCGAGCTGCCGAATCTGAAGGGGGTGCATTTCCTGTTCCGGAATCTGTTGGATCGCGGCGTGACGAGCACGAGCTCGATTGATTTCTTGGGGAAGAACGTGGCCGAGTTTTTGAGGGCGAGGGTCGTGGATGTGCCGGTCAAGTTCTTGGAGAGGGGGAGGTTGTAGGGGGGTCCGCTTGTTGAGCGGTGCCGGGATATGTAGTGGCGGGCGTGTTTATCCAGTAAGGCTCATGATGTGAGGGATTGTGGAAAAGAATGTGAGAGAAAGCACCATGGAGCTGGAACCAGGACGCCAGTGTCTGTGTTATGTGACTGTCAAGTTTGCAGACTCAGCGTGCTCTGATGTAGCAAGAAATCCTAGTATGATCGTGTTCCGAGACCAATTCGAAGTACATACACACCCGGGCAATAGATTCGGTACCCCAATTCACTGCCTGAGATCCGTCAACGTGATTGGCGGAGGAGACGTTTTCCTTGGCAATATCAAGCGACTACAAGTAATCTCGACCTGGTAGTCAGTCAACTCTTACAGTCAGCGCGTCCATATGAAAGTGATGTAAGATACCTACCATCACTTAGCCAGTGAGCCGGCCACCTTCCTCAGCAGCAAACTTATATCATGTGAGCTTAGCAACCGCTACCCGTGACACGACTCACACTCGCACGGTAGGGAGAAGCCTCGCGGTCGTTAAAGGTGTGCAAGTGGCTCGCAAGCCTTCTCTATTAAAAACCCCTACATCGCTCACGAGTACGCTCGCTGCGTAGGTAGCTAGAATCTAAAACTTGTAAAAGCCCACTCCTTCTTTTTGAGTCTCATCCTCGTACTGTACAACCCTCTGCCACACCCGAGTCAGCGCTTGACCCGGAAGGGGCCAGGACTGGCCATCTATGCACTCCTCGAGCATCGCTCAAAATGCATTGTGTGCAATAAGACATTAACATCAAAACCATTTTCTTGTGCGCTCACGGAACCCCGTCGGTCGGGGTAAGAGCTGCAACAATGTGCATGCATAATCGCTAAGCCTGCCTCAGCGAAACTGATAGGCAGGTATTCAAAACATTACTCTCTTGACAGAAGTAGAGCATCTAGTCGTCGGTCATGCCCGCACTCTCGGGGGGCAAGCCCATGTTGGAAAGTAGACGCTTCATCTTTTCACGCTCGGCCACAATCTCGGTTTCGAGACGTCTGGTTTGGCGGAAAGCTTCATCTCTGACAATTGTGAGCATGCTGTTGTCATTAGACGAAGTAGGAATAACATACCTTTCACCCTCCAGCTCCATGGTGCTGATTTGTGCTGTGTTCATACGGCCAACGACCTCACCCATTTCCTTCTCAGCCTCGGAAAGCGCCTTTTCAAGCTCAGACACCTTGCGTTCAAGGTATTCAGTCTTGAGAGCATCATGAAGAGCCACCCCTGGACCGCTGCTAGTGCGGTCGAGACGAGGGCTTCTGTTGGGATGGGTGAGCATCGGGCTCATGGGGCTTCTGGGAGTTGGCGACAGCAAAGTCGGATTGCTGTTTTTGGCTCTCAGCAACGACGCGTGTGTCGACGCGCGCATCACCCGCATCTCGTCTTCATGCTTCATAACGGCCGTCTCGGACTGCGTCTGCGCGGTAGTAATAGTATCTTCAAGCCTACGTAGCTTGGCCTGGAGCTCAGTGATTTGTGCAGCCGAGGCCAGTTGAGATCGCTCGCCTCGCGCAATTGCCTCCTTGAGTCGCTCGCGCAGTCCGCCATTGGTCTTTAGTTGCTGCCTGACTTGGGCTGCAAGGGCTTCGGAGCGAGCGGCGGAACGTTCAAGCTCATTTGACATTTCTTGCTCATTGTTAAGAACTGTCAGAGAATCGCGCTCGCTCATTTGATCACGCTGCTGATTCAAAGTCTGCAAAGCAGACTCCAGAGCTGACGAGAGGACGTCGGGATCATGATTGTCCTTGGCTTCAAGCAGCTGCTGCAAGCTTGCAGTCTCCTGCTTGCTGCGGTTGAGATCCATGGCTAAACTGGCAAGTCCCTTTTCACACTGCCACTTCTGCTCCATGGCGTCATCGGCGCGCTTGCGGAGGAGATTGATCTCGGACCGAAGAACACGGACTTCCTTCTCGTAGCCGGGTTTGCGGCCTCCGGAAAAGGCCGTTTGCAAAGCCCTATCACGCTCCGCCTCGGCAAACTTTAGACGCTTGTCATGCTGCTTATTCTGGTGAGTTTGCCTTCTCAGTAGGTATTGGACGGCCGTGTGAAGTGCTTCCCGCTGTTGCTCAACAGCCTTGAGTTGCTCGGCCAGCGACTCTCGTGACTCATTCTGCAGATTCTTTGAAATTGAGTTGGACCGGCCAAGACCGCCGGCACGAGAAGTCGAGCGACCAATAGTGCCGGTCCGCCGAAGACCGCCGACGTTAGAGTTGCGACGGGATCCTGTGGCATCGTCTTCTTCGACGATGGACTCGAACTGCGCGTTCATCATACGAGCAGAGTGCAGCGCTGCGTTCTCGTCTCGGAGACTTTGAAGCTCATGCTGCATCCGGGCAACATCGTATGGCGCCTTTTGAGCATCAGCGGTAGCAGCTTCAAGGCCCTCGAGTCTGGCTTTCAGACCCGGAACAACTTCGTCCTTTAGATTGTCCCGCTCGTTTCGAATACGGGCTAAGTCTTCCCTGAGAGCACTGAGCAGATCTTCGAAGTTCTGGTTGGTTTGCCTCTCCTCATTGAGTCTGCGTTTGGTGTCGTCGAGAGATGCTTCCAGTTCTTTGGCTTTGCTTGATGCACCAAGAGATTCATCTCGATGCCAGTGCTGGTTCTTCAGTCTCTGCTCCATGAACTGCAAATGCGACTCCATCGCTTTTCGCGTGGCAACTTCTCTTTGCCATTTTTGTGAGAACTCAACCTTTAGCTGGGCCCTTTGTTGTTCAGACTCACGCTTGGTACGTTCAATTTCTTCCTTGGGGCTGTATTCGCTGGTTGGAGGCCGTATCGAGCTCGTTCCCGAGTCGGAAAAGTAGTCACTGGTACGATCGGCAGGAACTCCACTCAAGGGGATTTCCGACTGTAATCGTTCAACGACATCTTCAAGATCCATTTCACGTTTTATGGAGCCAGCGAGCTCTTTGCTGATCTCCCGAAGCTCCGCCTCCAGGACAGCAGCTCGGTCATTGACACCTCCATTTTGAATCTGATTGGGGTCAAATTCGATCGAGTCCTGCGACTGCTGTGAGGGAGGTCCGCGGGATGGAAAGGGGTAGCCATTAGCGGAATTGGCGGAGTTAGGATACGGCGACGGCAAGGGCGACTTGGCCGTTTCTGATTCTGCGGCGCCCGAGTCGGCACCAGGCGAAGATGTTTGTTTCCTGGTGAAGAAAGAGGTGAATTTACTGCCAGGTGTTTGTGGTTTCCTTTGATCACTGGCCGTCACCGACGAGCCCGAGTCAGTGCGCAGGGGTGGCGGCCGGGTACCGCCAGGCTTGAGGGCCATATCTTCTATTGTATCATTATCCGCGGAGGAGGCATCTGAGCTGCGCGTGGGTGGGACGGGGAAGTCGTCGTGGGTGATATTCGGGAGGGTGTCGTATGTGGTCGGACTGTCGGTGTCTACGACGGATTCGTGAGTGGTTTCTATCCGAGGAGGCGATTCTAAGGCCTGCTTGCGGGCGGTGAGGTGCTGAATTACCTGACCGAAGATCTGAGTCGAGCTATCGTTCGGCTCGTGCGGAGGGGGTGATGGTGCGACGGCGACAGCGGTGGCCTTGTTCGGTAGCGGTTTCCTGCGGACAGGCGACTTAACGGTGGTGTGTGCAGGAGGGATGTTGGTAGCAACGGATTGGAGAGGAGGGTCTTCCTTGGGAGGAGGCGGCGGAGGTGGAGGAGAGGGAGTATATCTCCCGCTTATGTCGGCCATGGCGATAGGCGCGGGTCCCAGAGCCAGTCTAGTCTAGACTCTAGAGGCAACACATGTTTCGAGAAACGTTCAGTGGTCTCGCTGGTAACGAAGCCACGCCGGACTGAGAGTGATTGACAGAGTTGCGCGAGATAGGCAGGAGAGGGAGAATGGGCGGCAGTGGATCTCTTCGAGCTGGTGGAACTCAATTCATTGGGTCGCGTACAGATTGGCACTGTCGACGGTTGCGGCGCCAGCTATACGCTCGAGACGAGAATGGCCCAGAGTGACTGTCTTAGCACGAGCACGGGGACGCGATCGACGTCGGAGAAGCAGTAACGAGATTGACGGCGCGTGCGCTCGGGGATTTTGCTAACTGCAGCAGAAAGTGCTCGTTAAGGCGTTACGAGCATCACAGTATTGGATGAGATGCGACGTGGAAGCGCATGGGCGCGATGCACGCAGATTGAACAAAGGAGGCGCCGCGCCGCGAGAGGCCAATAATTCACTATGGCCGCCCCTGCAGCTCAAGTGCCCACCTTGGCCGTCTCAAGAGTCATCATTGGGTGCCTAGGTGATCAAGCTTCATGGCGGGCAATCTCTCTCCTCCTCGAGGCCTCCTCCCCTTTCGTCTGCGGTGCTCGGGTGCAGACGGCTGTCTCGCCCAGCAATGTATTTGTTGCAGGAATCTACAACAATGCATATGCATATGCATAGTTCGTCGGCAGCACGCGTGACGCGGGACGGTTCTGACAGATTCCACCGGCTGTGCCGGCGGCGGTCTCCGTGCCTTTCGTGGTCATACCCTTGGCACGTCCGCCCCTCGTGAACTCCAGAAACTCGCTTGGCTGGTCTGCTCTCTTGATCTTCAGGGACACTGCCGATCGACGAGCTGCTCGTCCAAGTCACCGTTCGGGCCAATCAACCAGAAGCAGTGTCGTGCATCAAAAGTAGCCATGTTGAGCGGCCTTTTTAGCCCGAACCACAACCGACCACCACTCTACTGAGTCTACGGTGTACTTATCGCCGTACAGACTATCAGCTAAACTGTTTCCAATGGCCCGGAGATTGCCATCCGTGCTTTCTGTACGGTCCGCCGACAGTCCGTTGACGCCATGTCTAAGAATTGCTACCCTAGCTCTGTATCCCTTCCATCGCCTGCTTAATGAAGCCCACTAGCTCGTGCTGGGCGGGTGCCTTGCTGAGTCAAGAAGGTGCCATGACCTTCGCCGCCGTGATCGTCTACAAGGATCAATCACCACATTCCTTGGACTGCCACACTTGCGTCTCTATCATCCTTGTTGGACCCTGATCGGCCTTTTACTTTTCGAATGAATATCGCATCCACTCTCCTACGGCCTTGAGGCTCTCCCACCGCACGCTTTCATCAGAGTCGTTCATCAGCTCCATAATCCGAACCTTGAGTCCCAGTTTCTCCAGTGCTGTTCGATGTTCAGGCGCTTCGCGGACGAGGTTGCCAATGTCGTTACAGCCAACTGCCAGCACCTTCTTGTCTTGTTCCCAGTTCTTACCAAGAATATCTGCCAATTTCTTGGGCAACTCGGCCTTGTCCTCTAAGATCTTGCGGGCGTTTTCTCGCCAGAACGTGGAGTTGCGATGTGGAGGCGACCATCGTAGGTGACCTGAGTTGACTTCGTCTGCGTACTCGTCGAACGTAGTTTGGTTCTTGGTGTAATCTTCCAGCATCGTTTTGAGCGCTTCCAGGTCTTCGAGTAAATCAGGGTCACTCAGGTGTCGTCCGCTAAGATTCGACAAAAGAGCGGGTAGCCGTGCAGTCGTGGCGGCTGGAATGAGTGCCTCTCGGTTGTCCGACAACAGATTGCGCAATGTGGAGAGCAGCAGGCGAGTCGTTTTCTCTTTCGGCGACACGCGCAGGAGCTGCGTATACAGAGATATCACTTCCTCGTCCTGCTCCAGGCCCTCGCCCACAACTTCAGCTTCGAAGCTGAGCTGCCATATAACCAAGAGTATATTGTACATGAGCTGCAGACCAACTCCGCCGCTGAACCTGGTGTCGGTGCTTCTGATGCTGTTGGTACCGCTTCGTAGCGTTGAATCGCTGTCTTTGGCCGAACCTGCAGCTTTCCGGAGGATGTCGAACAGCGGGCCCACGGTGTCTTCCTTTTGCTTCCAGAACAGCTTTTTGGACTGCGATGTTCGGAGGAGCGTCGAATAATGTTGTACCGCAATGTCTTGTAATCCGCTGTCCTGGTTTTTGGAGAGTGTGGAAAGGTAAGAATATAGTTTGGAAAGAGCCTCATTGTCCCGTTTCTGCGGCTTGGAGGTCGTAGTGATAGAGTAGGCTACCAAATACACCAACAAAGTTGCCGAGAGTAGAGGAATAGGGTCTTCGGGATTGTTCGACTGGCCGAGAAATGTGATGAAATATTGATAAGGATTCGACTGTTCCAGTATCGAGCCTGCAAGAGCAGGTGCATCTAGATTGTCCGTTAGATTCAGTCTTGCGTTCTGACCAGCATGCATACCAGCGATCAAATCTGTTGCGAGGACAAGAATATACTGCAGGATGTCTGTTCGTTTGGAGGCTTTGTCGAATACACTGCCGCCGTCTCCACCACCTACAAGCAGAGTACTGTAGCTCTTGACATCTTTCTCGATAGTCTGCTTCCTTTGCTCTTTGCGAACTTTGTCTACCGATTTGATGCGCTTCAGCTGATCATCGGTGAGGTTGCCGGCCCGGACAGCGCCATCCCATGGTATCTGCTCATGTTAGCAAGACCGGTTACTCTGCTATTAGGCGGTTTCATACTGGTCGAGCTCGAATGTTGCTCTGAAGCGAGGTGAGGTACGTGGGGGCGGCGAGAGCCATGACACCGGCGTGCAAAGCGGACGTGAAGCTGGCGGAAATGCGAATTGCACGCTCTAATACCTTAACAATACCGTGCCAGGATCACAGGTAGTGGGCTGAACTTTGGAGGCGGTGCTGAGGGCGGTAGATTGTTTGACCGTGGCCGTCGATGCAGCTCGGAGAGGTCCAACCTAGCATACCAGGAACGTCATCTAGGCAAGCTTTCCACTGGGCGGGCTCCCCCGGCAAGGCTGCGAGGCTGCGATCCAAGCCCAGACGCGTGGAACATGTGTCCGCAAATTCACGGACTGTTGACAGATGACTCGAGTAACCGTCTACATGTTACATATGTCCGCGATGCCCTTGGACAGAAGAAGACCCCCGGTTCGACGATTTATGCGATGGTGATCCCGAACCTCTAGCGTTGCTCAGCACAGACACATAACAGCGGCGATGGCCTCTCAGAAGCAGCAACAGAAGGCCAATCGATGGGGCTTCCTGTCACAAGCGGTGGCCTCTGTCGAAGCCGGTCTAGATACGATACTAGCCGAGGATGAAGCGGCGCCGAAAAGGACGGCGCCAGTCGCCACAAAACAAGCGAAGGACACCCCGTCCTCAACCCGTCCGTCAGCAGAGCTACCAAGGAGTGGTGCCAGCACTCCGGGCAATGACCGTCTGCAAGCCCGACTGGCGAAAGCGATGGCACAGAAGAATCAGGGCCGATCAGAGTCCCCTGCTCCAACTTCCACCATGGATCCTCAGCCCGAAAATGCCTCAGTGGAACAGAAGGCATCAGAAGAGATCGGCCGGGGAGGGAAGGGGCCTACGGATGAGGTTGAGGAGACGAACGTCGGCGGGCCACAAATGTCAGAGAATCCCACAGTCGGAGAGCCTTCAGACGCAACGAAAGATTCTACAGAACCCGTGATAGAAGAAAGGACAAAGTCAACGCCTTCTCAGACTGCATTGGACGCTCCCACATCTCAAGCGGACTCTCTCCGGCCATCCACCGAAGCAGCCCTGAACTCTACAATATCGTCATCGGTTCGGGCATCCACGGAATCAGTGAACAAAGCAGACCCGGCTCTACTTCACTCGCAACTAGAAGCTGAGGCCTCAAGACAGAAGTTACAGGAGGAGTTGAACGATCATATCGAGCGCATAGATGGTCTACAAGCCAAGCTGAAATACCTATCCGCTCAAGCCGCCAAAAGCGCCAAGGATGCTGCTGTAGCCGCTGAGGCTGGTAGCACCGAAAAGCAGATCCTGGAGAAGGATGAGAAGATCGCCCTTCTGATGCAGGAAGGCACGACCCTACAGAAGACAGAGTTGACGCTCCGACAGACTGTCAAGAAGCTGCGTCAACAAACAGCAAGCACCGAAAAGGCAAGCAGCGATAATAAGCAGCGAGCCGAGCGGGCTGAGCGCAATCTGCGAATCGTGGAAGATCGAGCAAGGAAGGCAGAAGCCGTGGCGAAGCGAGCAGAGCAGAACCTCGCCTCCAGTGCACACGCCACGAGCGGTCTCGAAGCCGTCACGAAGGAGAGGGACGCACTCAACGCCACTCTCGCCGACATCCGCACACAGCTCTCACGAGCCAACGCCCGAGCCGATGCCGCCGAGAGTAAGGCTACGGCAGAGCAACTTGAGAAAGAACGCAAGAAGACCGCGGATCTTCAGGACGACATCACCAGCGCTAAAGTCGAGCGAGAACTGGCGGAAGAGAAGCTGAAAAGGGAGATCAAGGATCTGAAAGCTTCGCTGGAACGCGAGAAGGCGCACTCGCGAGCCATGGAGACCGAGATGCTGGGCGAGCAAGCCGCTCTCGAGAGCAAGCTGGAATCGTTCCGAGCACGGGCTGAAGAGGCGTCCTCGAGCGACCAGGGCGGCGTACAGGCCAAACTCCTACGGCAGATCGAAACGTTACAGAGTCAGTATGCCGCCGCCAGTCAGAATTGGCAGGGCATCGAAGGAAGCCTGTTGATCCGGATCACGAATCTGGAGAAGGAGCGAGATGAGGTCGCGGCCCGCGAGTCGGACGTGCGGAGAAAGCTACGGGAGACGACGTCGAAACTCAAACGGGCGGAAAGAGATCTCGAGGACGCACAGAACCGTCTGCCCGAGACCGAGAAGCTGTTGGGCGAAGCAGAAGAAGAAGGGCAGCGTCTGTCAGCAAAGATCAAGCATTTGGATGGAGAGGTTGCGCAAGCACGAAAAGACCTCGATGAACAGAAGGCACAGGCCGAGCGAGACACAGTTCGTCGAATTGAGGAAGAGAGGGCTAAATGGACCGCATCTCTCCAAACCCAGCGTATTGAGTCGCCAATGTCAAGCTTTCGCAAAGCATCCGGCCTGGCACTGGACGTGTCGGATCGACCGACCAGCCGACGGTCTTCAGTGTTCCCCGATATCCCTCTGCGGCAACAATCTCACGCATCTCTCAAAGGACTTTCCAACGGTGGGATGCTGGAGACGCCGTCCATTGTTACTTCGCAAGACCCCGACGAGTATTTCAACAACGTCCCACCCACCCCAGCTTCTCAAGGCCACGGTAACTCCCCTCGTGCGCTGCACGACCTCGTGTCCACTTCGACTGTGGGTGCTGGCCCTTCGGTGCAGCTCGTCGAGCGCATGTCGGCTAACGTCCGCCGGCTCGAGAGTGAAAAGGCCGCTTCCAAGGATGAGATAGCGCGTCTGACGAGCCAGCGTGACGGGTCCCGCTCCGAAGTGGTGAATCTGATGCGCGAGGTGGAGGAGAAGCGCAACGTCGCGGAGCGGCTCAAGACTCTGGAAGAAGAGTATAAAGCGCTGAGCGATCGTTACTCGACCACGCTGGAGCTGCTGGGCGAGAAGAGCGAGCTAGTCGAAGAGCTCAAAGCCGATATCCTAGATGTCAAGCAGATGTACCGCCAGTTGGCGGATACGATGGGAAAGTAGGACTTCCCCACATCATGCCATCTCGCCCGCTTGGGCCCATTTCCGGTGTCAAGATAGCATTCGTTAGCGTAGCACAGCGTTGCCACCTTCTTTTGCTGCTTTCTTTACTCTCCAAGCTCGATTCCCTCCCGTGCCGCCGCCTGCTCCACAAACTCTCGCACCTTCTTGTCCGGCGCACAGTCTAGCGCCGTCCTGCCATCCGAGTCTCTCTTGTCCGTGTCCGCACCCGCCTTCAACAACTCGACTGCCACATCCCCATGTCCTTCACTGATCGCTTGGTGCAGGGGCGTCATGCCATCCACATCACCACCATTAACAGGGCTTTTGTGCTCAAGCAGCAACCTCACAATCGGGACGCTCCCCACCGCCGCCGCGCGATGCAGCGGCACCTGTGCACGGCGGTCCCTCACCCGCGCGCCCGCCCCCGCTTTCAAGAGCACGCGACACACCTCCAGACTCCCCTTGCTGCTGGCGAAATGCAGCGCCGTGGCCCCCGAGCTGGAGACGGCCTTGGGCTCCGCCTCCTTCTGGAGCAGAAACTGCACGATCTCCAGGCCCGCATCGTCTTTTAGCGAGGACGCCATCATGAGGGCCGTCCAGTCGGAGGCGTCGGTGGCGTCGGGGTCGAAGTTCTTCGAGGAGGAGAGCAGGCGTACGATGTCGGCGTGTGCGTATGCGGCGGCCCAGTGCAGGGCGAGGCGGGAGTCGGGGTCGCGGAGCGTGGCGAGGGAGGGGTTGTTGGCGAGGAGGGCCTCGACGGCGGCGAGGCGGCCTTCGCGGGCGGCGGCGTGAATGGCGTATTTGTCGTCGGGAGGATTCGCCATAGTAGACGTCTGTACTGGAGCGTTATCTCACAAGGATGGATGATACGAGACAATGGGTTGGCGTTCTATCGAAGAGTAGCTTGCTTCGCAGTAATTCGTGGATTGTCAAAGTGCAGACAGCGCGGGGTGCCGCGGAGTTTCGGGTTGGCGGTGCCAAGAGAGGTGCCGTAGATTCGCCTTGACTCGTGCTGCTTCTTGACGCTTGATTGAGCCTCATCGTGCCTAAATCTTCTGCCACCCTTGCCCGGAACCAGGTAGGTCCAATATTGCACAGCACCAATTGGAGGGAAATCTCATCTGTCACTGTTATCATAACGTGGCATTCAATGTAACGGGTGCCTACACGAGAGGCCTTGTTGATTCAACGTACATCTCAAACCCTTCCTCAAAAAGCTACGCGGTATCTACCAACTGAAAACATTTATTCCCAAAAGCGCTGATGTCGTCAGTCAAGTGGTGTTTGTTGTCTTTCTCAAGAGCGAGATTCGTTGGACGGAGCCGGCTGACCATAGCCCTTCTGGCAGATGATTACTTCTTTTCCATCATCAGAGGCAATCATGTCAGCGTTCTCCACCTTCATTACCATCTCGACTCCCATGAGCCACATTGCGGGCTTTGGCCAGACCCCACGGTACTCAAGCACATATGCATCTTCCTCGAACGTCGCCACCTGTCTGACTTTGAAGACATGGTTTCTGTCCTCCCTGCTACTGAATGCCAAGTACCCTTGTGGAGGTATAGCCAGTCGCTTTTGGTACGGCCCAATGCCGGTGTGAAGAACGAAATCTGTACTTTTGCACAGGCGTCTGGTTTTGTTTGCCCCGCCCGCATTCTGGCATAGTTTTCCGGTGCGACTGTCTTCCAAGCACCGCGCTGTGGCGAGCCCAAAGAGAGCGCCATTTAGGGTATCCTCGAGGATCGGTATCCAAGGCTCATCAGCGTACCAGGTCTTATCCAAAGCCAGACCACGAATTGCTGCCCGCGTAGGCTCGGGCCACCAGAGAAGTAAACTTTTCTTTGCTTTGTCGAGTCGGCTCCATTGTAAAGCTTCCATGAGAAGCACCACAACTTGTTGCAAGGCTTTGTACTGTTCTAGATCCTTGCGTTTGAGCTCCTCGAAAATTGCTGATGCTTTGTCATCTGATGAAGCATTGCGAATGCGCTTGAAGAGATCCGTATCAAGAGTCTGTGTAAGATTCTCTGCATGGAGGCTAGCCTGGAGGTATTCAATGACCGTTGTGTCTAAGAGTGCGCGAAGTGGTACTCTCCTGGCAACACCTGTGCACAGACTGAATTCGAGACCCCATGGCTCGTTGAGGTTTCCCAAGATCCGGCTTGAAGTTGCCAGCGACTGTACACGTTCTCCTTTCAGGTTAGTCTCGGCATACCATTCTTGTACCACACCTCCAGCGACTCCGACATTTCCAGGTGCCATGGGTCCACCACCAAGACCGGCGTTAACGTTGAAGGATCTGCTTTTTACTTTCCAGTGACCTTTTCGAACGCGCAGGTTGATTAGCCTAGCATCTAACTGACTTTGGCATGCATCGGCAGTGAGTGGACAATTCTGGTTCTCCGTAACTGCCCCAACCACTAGTTTGATGTCGGTTTCGAGCTCGGCGGTAGTCAAGCCTGTGCCATCTTCTTGAGGGCCCCAATGATACATTGTCTCGGTCGGTATGAGAGAAAATGGCCACCACGTAGGCTTTACTCGATAGAGAAAACCGTTACCCATTGCCACTGTAACAAGGTTCGGTACTGATGCATGGTCAGTGAGGAGTGTCGTATGCCAGATGTCGAGAAGCTGCGAAACCCTAGCTTCAACATCGTGTTTTGCACGAACAACGGTGTCGACATCAAAGTGCCATCGTGCCAATTCTGGCCCTACCAGTTGGAAAGCCCAAACTGGTCTTTCAAGCATTTCTCCAAGGCATGAGAGCTGAATCCTCTGCGCGGAGATCCGTGGACCGCTACATGTAACTCCCACGAGGTTGATCTTCTCGATATGACGTGAGATGTGACTCGTGTAGAAGCTCGAGCAATGCCCTCCACAAAATGTGGCCAATCCAACGGAGAACAGTTGTGCGTACAACGCTGCCAGATGTAGCACAAATGTCATTATATCATCTTCGGTCGTACACATGACGAAAAAGTCCAGAGCGTCACTCCGAGACCCGAAAATTGTTTCACACAAATCGAATAATCGAGTGCATATTCGAGACCTCCATGATATGTCCTCAGTCCCTTCGGAGAAAGTTGCGGATACGAGTGGTTGTTTGAGTATTGCAACCAGCTCAGAAATGTCCTCGAAGCGAATGTCAATTGCGGATAGTCTTCGACGACCAGACGATCGTACGAAGATCGAGAATGTATCGCAGCATCCTCCAGTCCTGTTCAATTCTTTCATCGCAAGCAGAACTGACTTGAGAGCTCTGATGCACTCTTTCAAGATATCATGATCCCAGATCTTTGCATTCGCTGCCTGATGTGTTGCACGGTGATTTCCGATTACTGAACGGACAGGCGATCTAGTCTTGCTCAGGCCGGCACGCACGATGTCTTCAGGACGACCGCGGAGCCATCGCACCAAGAACTGTCGTGTTGCGATCCAAATCCTCAGCGGTAAGCATTGCCAGGAATCCCACCTTTGGGTCAATTTGCCGACGAAGGCGGTAGGCATCATACTTTCGAAGAGCCCCATAGCACCAGAGAGACTGTTGTTTCTCATATACTCTCTCCGGATTTCTATCGCATCCTGTTTGTCGGTCGTATACAAGATGTGTACAATACCACCGTTGGATGACATGAGCGTAGGCTCTAGGCTATCTTTGGTCAGACTGGGATGCAGGACACCTCCGATCCCACAATTCTTGAAGACGATTTCCTCCCAGGTTGCGACCTTATCAGTAACCACCGACGGCTGGGTCTGTGGCCGGGCCAGTTTCGGCGTTGAGACGGCAGCGTGTTGGCCCACTGTCTTCGCGATGTTATGAGCGCATTCTTCTCCTGTATGGTCAGGCTTGTCGTCGATGTCTTTGTCCTCTGGGGCCTTCCGCCAAGCGTATGGTTCATAAGATGCGTGCGGTAGATGCTGTCGCCACCTTACATTCTCGACCTCAACTATCGCAAGGGCAATATCGGCCTTGTCTTTGGACTCGGTGATCAAGTCATCCACCCATGGATAGATGCTGATGACAGCTTTGCAGTCACTCTCAAGTAACCGTTGAACTTTCCATTGCCATCCGGCTTTGGCAATTGACTGGACATCTTGGTCTCGAGTGAAAAAGCTCATTGTTGAAACAGCTATCTGTGAATGACGTAAATTGTGTTGCTATTGTAGAGGCTGCAGAATCACCATAGCACATTTGCTGGGTGATGCTGGGTGATGCTGGCTGCTAAGGCCGGACGTGGTCCTGAAGTAGTTGAGCAATACAAGATTAGTCGACTGACCTCGCACTCACTTTGAACAGCGAGTGAAACACTGAAACGGGTAATATTGAATGGTTGATGGCTGATCTGAGATGAAAATGGGGGATTGACATACTTGAACGATTGGCAGTCACTACCAACACGAGAGCCCAGGCCACTGCCTTGGGTGGGCGTTCGTATCCAGTCCTCAGCTTGTCTTGGCCGGGTGCACAGCCCGAGAATCTGCTGCAGAGACAGGTGCAAGCTGCTCACATAACAGCGTGGTCAGGGCCGACAAGGATAGTACTATTGGTTGGCTGGTCTGTCAGGTGCAACCGGTCTGCATTGGTCATAAGGCATATACGACCTCGGACTGTCGTGGGTGCGACTGGGCGAGATCCAGACTGACTGACCGCCACCGTTTAGCAAGACTTGCGCTGGCTGGTCCACGCTCGTACTTCAACATCTGCTCGCTTGTAGAGGGTGTTGGGTGCTAGTCTCTTCGGGAAGAGCCGTGCCAGGTCTTTTCCCTCAAATCTCAAGCTGATCATTCCAAACATGACGAACTTAGCATGCATGAGGCACTTGTTCACTGCTAGTAATGTCACATGTGGACACGCTCTGCAGTGGACATGAGTGCATTAAAGCTAGAAACGTCCGGCAACGATCCGGACGATGATCACCGTAGCACCACTCAACGGAATCAGGCTACAGGTCTCGAAAAGACACTTTGGAGATGAATGCAACCCAGCAGACACCGTGAGTGGCAACCAACATATTCACTTTGGTCGCATTCATGAATCATAAGGAGGGAGGAGTGCATAACCTCATGCGGATGCGCGCCTCGGGCCGTCCAGCACCAAGGCACACATTAACATCTGACGGCATAGGCAGGAAATGGCGATGGCAGAGTGAAAATGAGAGACGACTGTTGGGACAAGTTGCTATGCAAGTCTTTCAAACTGGTCATGACGGCACGCAGGCCTGACTAACCTATGTGAGCGGCTATATTCAGCGCAATCAATGTTGGAGGAGATCGTGTTCTACGTATCATCCGCACGCTCCTCTTCTCTGCAATTGCAGGACCTCCACCCAACATACCTAGGTACTTGCGGTGGCGTTGCGCCATCTTTGTGGCCATCTCAAGACCCCTTTACATAATTTGGGAGACAAAATTCAAGCACGTAAAGCATTACACTAGCAGACGCCATATTTCCCAGGAGTTGAGTCTGATAGGCCTGTCCGGCGACAATGAAAAGCCCACATACTCATCAATTTGAGTGTCATCGTAGTCCTCAGGACTACTGCATCTGCGCGCGGCAGTATAGAGCTCCTCTGGTACTGCACATAATCAGCATCTCGATTCAGAACAACATAACTGTAACTTACCGTGCAAGGCCATTGGCGTACTCGTCATCCCCATGATCTGCATGAGTCCTGAGGTAACGTGCAGTATCCTGTTTCCAGAGCTGCACAAGAGTCGGCATGCGTTCGACCCAATCGTCACGCTGGAAAGCATCGGACCAACCAAATTCGTACAGTTTGTTCTCAACATCTTCGTATATCGGCTCATGTTTCGTGACAAAGCCGGGATTGACAATGCCAAAATTCCAGCGTTTCAGGGGAATGGTCTCAAGGTTCTCCAGGCGGGCGACATAGGTATCGAGAAGTTCAACTGCGTCACCGCTCCATTCACTATCATCGTCGATCGGCTTTCCGATTATTTTGCACTCAGCCTGTTCTTCGTCCCGATCGCTTCCCCACTTGTCGCTGTCATCCTCTTGCCAAGTATCTTCCTGGATAGACTCATTGAACAGGTTCTTACGGCAGAGGCTGCCTGTATCGGCATCAATGATCCAAAGATAGCCAAGAGACCATTGCTTGATTTGAGTGAGGGCCAGCTCTGATGGCTTCAGATCGCCAGGTAGTCCAAATGGCAGCCGCCGCTCACCAAAGCCACAACATGGGTCCAACTCACCCGTATTTTCATCATAGGTGAGTATCGTCGACCAATTCACCGCTGGACTATCCCAGTCCAGGTTGAGTGGCTCGGTGGGCCAGGGTATCATCTTGAGCAGGGTAATAGCTTGATAGGAGAGGCCTGCATTCTCAAGGGCTTTGTTGTGTGCGTAAGTGAAATCGTGAGGACCAAAAGATATCTTGGACTCTTCAACAGCACCTATACGGACGAAAAAGCGGTAGATGAAATTGAGTCGGGTGGCGATCTCGCGGTGCTTAGGGTTGGGCGGTGGCTTCTCCTCCAAAATGTGATGATACTCTGATGCATCGAGGTTGGGTCCGTCCAGGAGTCTCCGAAACAGGTCCGGTGAATGAGATTCAGCATAGCTGGCCTGTGCCGCTTCCTGGTCCCGCAAACGAAGTTGCTCAGATAGGATGAATGTCGAGTCTTGCTCGGCATGCCAATCTGACTGCGGGGAGGAAGACCAGTTGGGTAGAGGAAGCAATGGTCCAAATAACGTGGAAGCTTCGACTGCCTGGTGTCCCCGGGACTGATCTTGAACATATTCGTCTTCTGCTAAGCCAATAGCTGAGTCTCGTCGAGAACGGGGATCCAGGCCTGTCTGCGTGACCGAGCCGGAGGGGATTGGACGTGTCTCAGACATGTCGCTGACTGTACGGTACAGAGTGAGGAATATTATTCATAGCATCTATGCTGCATAGTATGGAGGAGCAGAGTCAAACATCAATATCGACGTGCACCACGGCAACGAGAGGAGAGACAAGGCTACGAGGCAAAGGGGATGTCGCAACCCTAACCCTAGCATCAATGCAGTACATAGAAAAGTTTCCTGTCCGCTACAACAGCAGATCGTCCTTGCTATGCACATGCGGGCAGCGTCGTTACTTGGACTTCTTCCCCTCCACGACGGTCCCTTAGAACCAAGATAGCCTGAGATTCCCCATTCATTATGGCTGCCGCCGCGGAGGCAAACTCAGCAGCCGCGCGCGACGTTTTCGGCTCGGATTTCGGTGAAGCAACCTCAGACGCCGCACTCGCAAACCTCATCACCTCCTACAAGCGCAAGAGCGAATACTCAGATGTTATAACTCTCCCAAAGTCATTAGAAGCCGCGTCGAATCCTACCAAAAGACCGAAAACCCAAGGCTCTAAGAAACAAAATGGCTCTTCAAACGCCCTAGTCCTGTCGCAACGAAAAGACGGCACCAGTAACTCAGCACAAGCACCTCAGTCTAATTCATTAATACGAAGACCAAACATGACTCAGTCTCGACCTGATTGGCATGCGCCCTGGAAACTTCTACGCGTCATCTCGGGGCATCTGGGCTGGGTGCGCTCCCTGGCTGTCGAGCCCAACAACAAATGGTTCGCCTCGGGAGCTGGCGACCGCACGATAAAGATTTGGGATCTCGCATCTGGGAATCTTCGCCTTACACTTACGGGCCACATCTCCTCTGTCCGTGGCCTCGCCGTCTCCGATCGCCATCCGTACCTCTTCTCCTGCGGCGAAGATAAAATGGTCAAATGCTGGGATCTAGAAACCAACAAAGTAATAAGACACTACCATGGACATCTTTCTGGCGTTTATAGTCTCTCATTACACCCCACTCTTGACGTTTTGGTGACTGGTGGCCGCGACGGCGTCGCTCGCGTCTGGGACATGCGCACGCGCTCCAACATTCACGTACTGGCTGGTCACAAGCAGACAGTCACGGATGTAAAATGCCAAGAAGCCGATCCCCAGGTCATCACTGGGTCGCTCGACAGCACGGTGAGGATGTGGGACCTCGCGGCCGGAAAGACCATGGGCGTACTGACGAACCACAAAAAAGGCGTGCGCTCGCTGGCCGTACACCCCAAGGAATTTACCTTTGCGTCCGCCAGTGCGCACAGCATCAAGCAGTGGCGGTGTCCAAAAGGTGAGTTTATGCAGGACTTTGGCGGGCACAATGCCATTGTAAACACCATCTCCGTGAACGAGGACAACGTCATGTTTAGTGGCGGAGACAACGGAAGCGTGCAGTTCTGGGACTGGAAGACGGGCCACTCTTTTCAGAAGACCGAGAGCTTGGCACAGCCGGGTTCTTTGGATGCAGAGGCGGGCGTCATGTGCAGCACCTTCGACCGCAGTGGACTGCGATTACTAGTCGGCGAGGCAGACAAGACGATCAAGGTGTGGGGACCGGATCCGAATGCGACGGAGGAAAGCCATCCCCTGGAATGGAAGCCCACCTTGGGCCGAACGAAGTACTGAATCGAATCAAGACCGCCTGATTGAACCCAAATTTACCGCCACATGGCCAGGAGCCATGAGCACTCGCACCGCTGCTGACGTGGTAACGATGACCACGGCTACCAAGGTATCGAAATGCCGTTCCGAATTCCGAGCGATTCTTCGGCCAACGCGGCATGTCAAGCCGGAACACGAAGTCGCTCTTCTCCTCCCGGCAGTCAATCGCCAAACGAGGGATTCAAAGGATGTCCGGTATACAGCGACGCCGCCACTGCAGGCCGTTAGGGATGTCTGGAGTCTAACTGCGATAATACGAGGATCCACGGCGAACGGTGCATTGCGGCAGACGATGCCAATGGATGATACATGATACCCAGATATACAGGAAGTTATCAAAGCTGTGCGGACGATCGGTCAATAAAGTATGCTGTCCCTCGCCGTCAACCCTCGTGTTGTCACGCCCACTCTTGCTCCCTCGCTCTTCCTCAGCTCTGTTCAGCTAGATTCATACGCTGCCCCCACGTGATAACGCTGCCCGTCAACCTCCCACATGCAATTTCTCGACACCTCCCGAACTTCAGCATAATTTACGTAGCATGCCTCTTCTCTCACACCATCCCTACCCTTCCCCAAATTCCTCAAAATCACGACACCCACATCTCAAAAAGGCTTGTAGCCCCGATACCCGCCCTGCCTCACCTCCTCCAGCTTCTTCCTATAATTCCCCAGCCCACCAAAGTAGAACATGACGGTATTCTTCTTCCCCGGGACATTGGCGCCAAAGATCCAGCTGGCCGTGAGCTTGAAGAGACTCTTATCGCTGAGGTCCTTGCACAGCTGCGTCCAGCCTTCCTCCGCCTCGGGCGTCGCCTCGACAATAATGTCTTCGCCGCCGCCGCCATCACTCTTCTCCTTCCTATCCTTCTCCGCCTTGCCGATCAGCTCGCTGATCCACTCGACATGCGTCTCGATCGTGGGTGGGATGTTGGTGAAGGGTCCGTTGGGGCCCGTGATCATGAAGAGGTTGGGGAAGTCCGGCACGGAGACGCCGAGGTAGGTGGTGGGGCCAGTGTCGGCCCAGTGCTCCTTGAGGGAGGCGCCGCTGCGGCCCTTGATGGCGACGCGTGTGTAGTTGCCATCGACGGCGTCGAAGCCCGTGGCGAAGATGATGACGTCGAGCTCGTGCTCGACGTTGTCTGAGGTGCGGATGCCGTGCGGCGTGAATTCGGCAATGTGCACTTTTCGTAGGTCTACGATGTCGACGTTGGGCCGGTTGAATTGTTGGTAGTACCCGGCGTCGCAGAGGGGGCGGCGCGCGTAGAAGTCCTGGGGGCACAGCTTTTCGGCTTTGACTGGGTCTTTGACCGTTTGCCGTATTTTCTTGCGGATCTAGGATCGTTAGCGATATTGGCACGCGGGGGCCACCGTTGTCTGGAAGGAGAAATAGGGGTAGGTGTGAGTTTGCAGGCCTACGCAACCAGCGGGCGGTCGCTGGACCCACTGATCCCTGCATAGACATTCGGTCTCGGAAAAGAGGCTGTTGCGATGGTGATAAGAAAGGGAGAGCGCTTACAAACTCGCAGGCATATTCGTTGCATTCAGGGTCTGTAGTAAGATCGTTGAAGGTCCAGAACATGAAGCGGAAGCCGTTACCCATCTGCCAGGCTTCTTCGAATATGCGCTCGCGTTCCTCGGGCGAGACAGACTTGGCGGATATATCGGACTCAACGAAGCCGAAGGCGACATTGGACTGCCTAACTTGATTCCAGATATTGTCGTAATTCATTTGGATCTTCTCGCGATATTTGGCATCGACTGGCCCATCGCCAGATGGGACAGAGTATTGAGGTGTTCGTTGGAAGGAGAGGAGGGACTGCGCGTTTCAGCAACTAGCTATTGAGATAGAGTGTCTGATTTACCTTGACCTGTTTTGCTAAGGCTGTGATGACTTGAACGCCTGCCAAGGCGTCAGCGGGTTCATCAAAGTCGCACTGGATGACCTACCAGTGCTGCCATTACCAATAACGCCAACCCTCTTGTTGCTGAAGTCGTGCTGATGGGGCCACTTGCCCGTGTGATACATCTCTCCCTTAAATCCTCCGATGCCCGGGTAGGGCGGGAAATGTTGCTTAGACAAAAGGCCAAGCTAGCTCAGTCAGTAGGCAGTCCGGGAAACGTTGTGTAGTGGGGCCTGAGGCAGCATCGGTGCATGGTTGGAGTACTCACTGTGGTAGAGGTTAGCATGTGGCACCCGTGCTGTGGACATGGCTGAACTCAGAACGATAAGGGATACCAGGCCTGTGAAGTTATCTTACCTGCAGTGACCAAATATCGAACCCTGTATTCGTTCCCGGTCGAAGTCTGAATGACCCATCTGTGCGTTGTATCATCCCATCTCGCGTCTTTCAGCTCTGTGTTAAAGTGCATATGCTTCTTCAGGTCGTAGCGATCAGCAACATGTTCAAGGTAGGCGAGCACTTCTGGTTGCTTGACATAATGCTCCTTCCAGTGATATTTGAGAAGGTCCTCCTTGTCCCAGCTGTACCGATAGATGTAGCTTTCTGTGTCGCTCATCGCTCCTGGATAGCGATTCCAGTACCAGGTTCCTCCGACATCTCCAGCAGCATCAATGACCACGACATTTAGTCCGAGCTCGCGGAGCCGGTATAGCTGGTATATGCCACCGAATCCGGCTCCTACTACCAGCGCGTCGAATTCAAGTACCTGGGTCATCTTGCCAAAGGGACTTGTACACCAATATTGCGAGGAAGAGTGTTGCAGCTATTATATGAACTCACCTGACCACTTGCGCTGGTATTCTGGCCAGGCTAACCGAGGAAGCAGGCATGGCATAATTCCGTGGAGTTTGAGTTGGAGGAGCCGGGCGGGACCCGAACCCCCCGCATGCAAGCTCCTGTAGTCATGGAGTTGTCATCACAAGCTTTCACGGCTAATCTCGAGCAATGTTCGAGGCTTGAAATATACTGACCATTCACGATCAACGGTGCTTCGGGTTTTGATGATCGCCGTGATCATTCAAACCCTGTCTCGAAAGGCAGCTCAAACTCGAGACGAGGAACATCTGCTTGCCAATGACGTTGAGAATGCCTGAAAATGCAGGAACAGACAAGTCGCCATCCTAGGACCAGCCAGACGATTCACCCGCAGCTTAGCCTGAGGAAGAGGAAAGGAGAGGAAAGGAACTCCGAGAAAGTCGACAACTTCGAGTTTCCTCGTAGAGGTCGGAACAGTTTAGCGGCTCTGATGCCAAGACCGGGGAAGAAGGCGTCTCGAACGGCAGCACCGACTTGATCTATTTCTGTCCGGAGGGAGAATCTTGGAAACGAAGATGGGTGTGACGGCTGCACAGAGACTGATATAGCGGAAGCCACCCACTGTTCTCGATTGCTGATCTGTTCCTGCACTTTGATTGCTCATTTCATAGCTTTGCTTCTGCAGGAACGACGGGAGCAGTCGCCTTCTCCACATCTTGGCAGGGGCCCACCGGTCGGCAATCACGTTACGATTCACGTGACGTTGCCACTCACCTCACCTCGCCAACAACCACCTGCCTCTCGAAACCTCTTTCTCATCCGTCCAGCCACTGCAGCCTCGCCATGCGCCATCGAGTCGAGCCAGAAACTCCAAAGTCCATCGAATGTTACGTCCCGATGCTCGCTCCTACGCGTGCCAGTGATTGACAGTCCCACTCGTCTCATCTAGTCATCAACTATGGCCCATAGCCGTGGCTCCAGTCATTGCCACATATTGACATGTCCACTGGAGAATCGGCATTTTCGAAACCGCCGGTCATGCTCCGGTAAAGATTTCCGACCCCTGAGGCTGGACCAATACGCCCATTTGGTTGGACGTGGGGCTGCTCCTCCTTCCCCGTCGGACGTATGTGGGTTCGACATGGGGCCCCCACATTCGACTCTACCTCGTCGTGGTGCTCCTGTGCCATACCTACGTTGCTACTACCGCTCATTGCCTAGACCTGCATCGATGGGGGGTAGATCTCCTACGGTAGGTGGAGGGTGGTCGGGCCACTCCTGTCTCAGCCCTGGTAATAAAGCCCGTTGGTGGTCCCATCTCGTGAAATGCTCTACTGTATCTAGACGGTTGCGCTTCCTTGGTCTTTCAACGCCCGAGGCCTGTCCTTTGATCCTGTTTCAACACCCACGATGGCGCCTCCAGTCTCTGATCTTCCCGACGATATCCCCGTTACCCATGCCGCCGTCGCTACTATCTGGAACTTTATCGTCGCCCATCCGTTCGTGATTCTCTTTGCCCTACTAGTGATCAGACCTCTGTATAAGAGGTACTCTTCGCCTTTGCGACAGTACCCTGGTCCTTTTATCGCCTCCTGCACTCGGCTATGGAAATTCTGGAGCACCTGGACCGGCAAGACCGAGCAGCACCACATTGCCCTCCACAAGAAGTACGGTCCTGTTGTACGGGTTGCCCCTAATGAGGTCTCCTTCGCCTCCCCGGAAGCCGCCCTCGCCATCTTCCAAGTCGGCAAGGGTTTCCACAAGACCGACTTCTATGGTGTCTTTCCTCCTCCAGAGAACCCTGACATCTTCACCGAAACCCGCGAGGCCGTCCACGGCGTCAAAAAGCGCTATGCTGCTACCCCTTACTCCATGGCCACCATGCAACAGTCCACGTCGCGAATCGAAGACACTGAGCGCCTGCTCGTCAGAAAGCTCGATGACTATGCCGATGGCCACCAGGTCTGTGACTTGGGCGACTACTTACACTTCTTCGCTTTCGACGTGTTGGGCGAAGTAGCCTTCTCCGCTAACTTCGGCTTCCTCGAGGCAGGGGTTGACGTCGATTCCGCTATCAAAACCATCGATAACTCGCAATGGTACAACGGCCTGATTGGTCAAATCCCAATCCTCGACAAGTTCCTGCGCCGAAACCCCCTGTGGAATTTTGTGCCTTTCCTTGCCACCAAGAATGCGTTGATAACGCGCACTGCCCTTTCGCAGCTCGCCAAGCGCCACGACCCGAACAACAAGGAAACCTACAAGGACCTGCTGAACAGCCTCATCCAAGCGCAGCAGCAGAATCCCGACAAGCTCGGCGAAGGCGATGTCTTTGCCATCGCGCACGGCGCCATCTTCGCCGGCTCCGACTCCACCGCCTCCACCATGCAGTCTTTCTTCTGGAACGTCCTCAACAACCCGCGCGTCTACGACACGCTCGTCAAGGAAATCACCTCGGCCGACATGTCCGACATGGTGCAGTACAACGAGGCCCAGACCCTGCCCTACTTCCAAGCCTGCCTCAAAGAAGCCATGCGTCTGCAGCCCGCCGTTGGGTTGAACATCACTAGGAAAGTGCCAGTCCAAGGGGCGGAAATTGGCGGCGCAAAGCTCCCGGGAGGGACAGAGGTGGCGGTGAACGGCTGGGTGCTGCACCGCGCCCGCGAGGTGTTTGGCGACGACGCAGAAGTCTACAGACCCGAGCGCTGGCTAGATGCCGACCCGGATCGGCTGCGGAATATGGATCGATGCATGTTCCAGGTAAGCTCCCCCACCCCCTATTTTCCCCTCCCATTCTGCATCAATTTCCTTCCAAACATGTATAGAAGTTCGCTGACTGAGCCTTTTCTAGTTCGGCGGTGGCTCACACCTCTGCATCGGCCGACATCTGGCGCTGCTCGAGATGAACAAAGTGCTGCCGCAGCTGCTGCGGCGGTATGATGTCCGACTCGTGACGCCGGGCAAGGAATTGGAGCACCACTCTAGCTTCTTTGTCGTGCAGTGGGGACTGAAGGTTTACATGACCAAGAGGCCGGGGCAGGATTAGGGTGGTCGAGCAAGCGAGGCAGAAACAGAAAGAGGAACGGAGTACAGAGGCAGGTAAAGCTAGCCAGCATGTAAGGATGGAGCGATATGAAATGCTCACTTATTGGCTTGAGTTCGCAGCAGCCCATTTGTCAAACTTCTCTCGTGCCATCATCAGTTTTGGTACCCCAAGTCCTGATGTCTAACCCGCGAACCTACATACCTCTCATCGCTCGCCTTTCCCCTTCAGCCCTGGAACCCCATCCCCTTGCACTCCTCATCCCCCCTCAAACAGCCCCTCACCTCCTCCTCCGCGACCCTCAACCGACACTTCCCCGCCCTCTCCCCGAGTCTCCGCCCCTCCATCGCCATGATCCCCGCCTCTACCAGCTCCACCGCCGCTTGGCCCATGCCCAGCACACGCGGCAGCTTCATTTTCGGCGTCACTTTCTCGCCCGCCTGGTGGCGCTCCTGCAGTAGAAACTCGCTCACGGCGGCAGAGTCGGCCACGTCGGCGATGCGCTTGGCCTCGAGCAGCACGTCGCCCAGCGTGGCCTCGGCGACGCCTGTGCGGCGGATGCGCGCGAGGATCGCGGCTAGGAACAGCTTGGCTGCGATGGGGAGGGCGCGGAGTTGAGATGCTATGGGTGAGGAGGTGGACTCGTTGATGGCGCGCTTGATGGTCTTGATGGTCACGCGGCCGACGGTGGCGTCTGTGTCCGTGATAGTGTGCTGAACGTCCTCGTAGTCGAGGTCGAGGTCGTCATCGTCCTGTGCAGCGGCGTTGGCTTGTACCATCTTACGGCCGCGGTTGGTTTTGGTCGGCGTTTGTGCCGTTGGCGCTGTGGCCGCGGAGGTGATCTCGTCCTGCCGGCGTTTCTCCTCCTCGGCAATCTCGACGGCGCGGCGGCAGATGTCGAGGGCGCGTCGGGCGTCGCCAGACACGGCGGCGACCTTCTGCGCGGCGAATTGGATGGCATCTTTGTTCACGATGGCGCCCGGCACGCCCTCGAGGCGCGAGGTAATGATCTCCATGAGCTGCTTATGTGTGTAGCCTGGAAAGGTGATGCGCGTGAGGCCGAGACGGGAAGAGATCTTGTTGGACAGTGTTCGCTCAGGGAGGTCCATTGTGTTGGCCACGGCCAGCACGATGAGCCGCGAGTGTCGGAGCGCAGGCCAGTTGAAGAAGTTGTACATCACGGACTGGTTGCGGGTGACGAGCTGGTCGAGCTCATCCATCAGCACCACGCACGGCACGCGTCGGGGCGAGGGATGCGAGAACTCGTGCTCTAGCAGTGACAGCGCGTGTGCGGGGCTCACACGGTCTCCTTTCAGCGCTTCCCACAACAGTGAGTATGACTGGTGCGGCTCCGTGACCTTCATGCCGTTGATCTCCACGAAGTTGAAGTCGTCCAACTCGTCTGCGTAGACGGCTTGCGTTAGGGATGCGACTACCTCGCGGACCGTGGCAGTCTTGCCTGTCCCCGGCGTGCCGGAAATGTAGATGCAGGCGCCGGAACCGTCGGTGATGGCAGAGTGCAGGTGCGTGTAGACTGTCGCAAATTCTTGTGACCGGCAAGGAAGAGAAGCTGGAACAGCAGAGACATGGAGTGTGCTGCGGGCCTGAGCATGAGGCGACGCCATGTAGGTTGAGGGGGATAGTATTCGTGTGCCGAGTGGGGTGATTTCGAGGGGCTTCTTGATCATGATACGTTTGTGCGTCGGGGTCGTGTAGTTGGCAGGAGTGGCCTTCGTGCTCGAACGAGGTGTAGCAGCTGTTGTGGTTTTCCGCTTCTTTCGTGGCGTTGATGGGAGAGGATCGTCTGTCTCACGGCGGAATTCGTAATCATCGTCGTCTGGACGGGGCAAACGCTTCTTCCCCCTGGTTTGCTCCTTTATCCAATTTATGAGGCCGAGCAAATCGCTCTCGCCCTTGTAGAGCTCATCCCAGGAGAATTCTTCGGAGAATTGCATTGTGCGCTGCTTGACTGCCCGTCGACAGAAGATGGTCTTAGCATATTGGTTGGATGCAGCCTTCGACTTTGGCTGCTCTCCACGCGGGTATGTCTCAAAGTATGCTTCCTTCGACATCACTATCGCTGTGCCGTTGATGGATGTTAAGGGATTCATGTTGAAATCCGAGGTGATGAACTGCTCATTTGGCAGGATCTCAGGCTTCTCTCGTATTCTCTTGCCGAAAGACAGCTCTTCGGGAGAGCAAAACCACTGAATGTGAGCACACATCTCCTCATCATCGTCTTCGTCCGTTTCCGAGAAAGCACAAATAAGACCAACCCAGTCTTTTCCCTGTTCAGGGGATTTCAGAAGAACGGTGTCTCCTACTGTCACGGAGAAGTTGCCCATCCGCGCCCCTACAATGTTGTGTTTCTTGAGGGCTTCGCTGGCTTTTCGCTTCCTCGATGGGGTCCGTTCATCCTCCGATTCCGGTTGGGTTCCCTCATCCTCGTAGATCCATTGCCAGGGGTGGTCCTCAACTCCCAGCTCATCGTCGGAATCCTCTCGGGCAAGCGCGCCTTTCATCAGATACTGCTTGCTTCGCGCCATTCCCGTCGAAGATATGCTTAGCACCGAAACTGAAATTCAGATGCTGGTGGGTCGTCCTGAATCTGGCGGTGCTGATGAATGAATAAACTTTCCCGGAAATCGCGTCGCGTGTGAGGACGCGTCTCGGACAAACATTCTTCCGGTGCTTCCAATATAATCCTATATTGGTTAGCGTAGTCACTTCCGGTCAACTCCCTTCCAATTGCCTCGATCTTGCCTGGGCTCTGGCGCTCACTGGCATCGTCAGGGCAGCTGAGGCCATAGTTGGCATTATAAACATTTCTGCGACGTAAAGTAAAGTCAAGTTTTGACGTACAGCAGGCGTTATCTCCCATATGCATCTGATATGTTATGACACTCTCAGCCAGCCATTCGAACATCATAGGTGCACAAGGCAAACTACATGGTATCCTGATCCACCTCACTGTCAGTGACTGCCACTCAGATTGGAGACGGCGCAGAGAGTCACGGTACATGATCTAATTTCTTGCCTTTAAGAACTTCAATTCTCCTCTACATTCCATCCTACTTACGCGCACACGCATTTTGCACCCAAGCCTAACTGCGTAGGATCAATCTGCTGGTCTAAGTGATCTGGGCCTTGTTGTTTTGTGCTCTTGGCTTGGGTAAAGCTCACAGCTCCGTCACGCATCTCACAAAATCACCACGATGTCTGAGTGAGTATTCATGAAGTTTCTGCGTTAATTGAGTCTAACGAGTATTACCTTAGTCATGAGGGCGATGTCCACGATGACTGGGAAGATCTATCCTTGCCTGGGGGCACATCCTTCTCGGCCGACTCGCGAAGAGGTACCGAGAGTCTCAACTATGGCATTCGCTTGCAGCAAGGTCTCAACGGAACACCTGCTGGCATCGCCCGCACCGGCATTGCTCCCAGAATCGCTCAAAACAGAGTCGAACCAAACTATCGTCCTCGGATACAAGCCATTGCCGGCATAGCAAACCGTCCTGGCGGAATTCAGGGTCGTACTAGTAGATCCAAGGCCGAAATAAGCCCTGCCGTCGACAACCAAGGCCATCGAAACTTCAATGCCGGACTCCCAGAGGCGGCTCACTATGATCTCACGATCGTTTGGCGGAGCTTTCTGACCAACTTGAAGCCCGAAGGGAAACAGACCCCCAGCGAGATTGCTCGAATGCGCCTAGACGAGATATGTCGTCGCACCAATACCTATCTTCATCCCAAGGATCCGGATTCGGTCCAGATCGGTATCTGGGGCGAAGACGAAGATGTCGAGCGAGCTCGAGCTGAGCTAACAGTGTTTGAGCACGACATCAGGCGGACCGGTCTGCGGCCAAACCGTGATGCATGGCACAAAGCGAGAGGCTACGATGGCCGTGTTGAGGATCGAGCTACTCGCAATCTCCGCGAGAAGGATCTAGCCGCGGCGCGTCTCGCTCACAACAAGCAGAGTCATTTCGAATACCAAGCCTTCTTACTTTGGCCATACAGAGTCGACATGAAGCGCTTCCGAGAGAAGCATGAGGACAACCTTCTACGGGAAATACAAGGTAGCATGATGTGCAGTATCGACTTTTTCGACACGAGTATTCGCTATGTAAGGATCTCGGCCCAAGACGAACGCGAAATCCACCATGTGTACCAGCGGATGGTCAACCTCATCAAGGAGGCAGTGGCCGAACACGGCTTATTTTCACGAATCAACCGCTTTCGTCTACCTAGAGCCTCGATCTACCGAGATAAGATCGGCTTGGATATGGACCCAACGACTAAGATCATGATCCCGACTCTTCATGGTGATCCGCTCCCTGAGGATGAATATGAGAAGTGGCAGAGTCTATGCAAGCAGTCAGACGCTCAGAACCGTGCCATACTTCGGAATGAGATGGAGTCTATCATTCAAGCGATGCAAGCTCCTGGTCAACAGGTTCGCATGCGGGTCACGTTCACCGAGCTCGGCTTCAGGCAGTATGAACGCCCATCCGATGGTCAAGAATACCACAAGCTTGACGATTTCTGTGAAATGCTTGGGAAGCCCCTTACTGAAGTCGGCATGGCTGGTATTCGCAGTACCTCCGACACCAACCTAGGCGACTTGGTGCCTATCCTCTCTGCTATGCCCGAATTTAGAGATGCCGAAACACGTTTTACTCTACATTTCGACTTCCACGGTTCCAACCGGAGTACCCTCCGTTTCGAACGCGAGATGTACATTGGCTTGACTGGCGAATTAGAGGATGAAGCGAATCGCTGGCTCCAGTTCTCACATGCTCAGAACGAGTACGAGGTTCTCGAATTCAACATGCTAGACTTTGAGAGGCTGCGCGCGAACTACTCTGTACATATCGGTAAGACCGATCTCTATGAGTCCACCGAGCACGAGAGATCATTGCATGGCTTTTCACACAATGTCACGTACACGCATGACCCGCGAGGATTGCAGGCCCCAGCACGCAGACGTGCAGTATTCCCACCTGGCAGGAAATCTTTGCTACGACACGAAGAGATCACGATTGCACGCTTCAGCTTCAAGGGTCCCGACGCACGCTTTGAGATCGTTCGTAAGGATATGTTCGACGCTGGTGCGCAGAGTGGAACCAACCCTAGCAAGACATTGTGGTACGCACAGTACTACTACCCAGAGTGGGACACTTTGTTGGGCGAATTCGGCAACTTGAAGCCTGGGGAGGAAGTGTCGTGGCCACGGAAGATGGAGACATTTTTCATTCCAGGGATGGCAAGGAATGATCACCGCCCGCTCCCGAAAGGGTTTAATGGCTTCTTCAGTGAGGTTGAGGAGATCCAGAGTCTGTTGCAGAAGGCGATTCAGACGCTCGAAGAAAGTAAGATGTAATTGGATTGGCGAGAACGTCGAAGTGGCTTGCAGCCATTGGCAGCACAAATCCCTTCGGGATCAGTCTTGTGGGCGCTCAAGATGGGTCAGGCCCAACAACGAGTTGAGGCTGGTTTTCTGAGACGGGTCTGGAGGCGAAGCATGCCGGCTACTCATAGTCGAGCCCGCATACCACTCAATCCGACTCAGCAAGACACTTCCCATCATTGGTTCTCTGTGTCTCACCTTTCACTTTCAGACGCGTCCTGACTACAGTACCATGGTACCGAGGGGTCTCAAAAACCTTCAAGGCACCCGTATCCAAGACGTCAGCTTTCTGGCACAGTCAAAATTCCAGTCCATAGACTGGCACATGACCCACGAGACCGTGGCTGCGTTTCCAGAAAACTTCGTGCCTTCCCATTTCCATCTTTTCGCAGCTGTGCATAGTCCAGCTTCAGAGTATTCGAGCCCATCTTGATACACTCTATCCCGTCTACCTCTGCGGTATGCCTCGCTCCTCGCGAAAGCCGCTATTTTGCAGCGTAGTTTCAGCTCAAATTGTAGCTTCACGTGGAGTTTTGATATGATGACTATCCCACCACGCGCAGCCATTCTCAATCGCCACCCTCATCTCCGGCCCCTCTCCCAGCCTGGCCACCGTCCTGCCCCTCACCCGCAACGACCTTGCGCCGCATGCCGTCCTCGACCGCGCGCAGCGTGTCCGTCTTCTGCCGCACCACCTCCTCGATCTGCGTGAGATTCTTGGTCAAGTCCTCGATCTTGCCGTCGTAGAACTTGGTTGCGTCGGACGTGCTCTTCTCCACGTAGAAGCCGGTGCCGATGTCGACTAGTACGGTCACGGGCTTGGAGGGTGGGGGTCGCGCGGGGACGTAGAGGGAGGGGGTCAAAGGAATGAGCAGCGGGTTTTCTGGAGGTTGGGGAGGAGATGTTAGCGGGTAGTCGTGTGGTATAAGGGAGAAGCGATTGAGTGAGAGAGGCGCTTGGGGAGGATGGTGTCAGGAGGGAGGGATTGTACCAGGGGTTTTTGACTCGACGCCGTCTTTGATGCTGCGTATACAATCCTTGAAGCGGGACTGAGCGGCGCGCAGGCGCTGATAGGAGGCGGACAGGTGCTCGAGTTCGCTGGAGAGGCGGGATTGGAGCTGCGAGAGTTGTTGTAGTGGGAGCGAGGTCAAGGGGACCGACTGCTGTTGGCCTGAAGGCTGAGCCATTGTGGCCGCGGAGGATGGGCCGTAGTTGTTGGCTCAGGCAGGGGGCGGGTAGAGAGAGGTGTCCGTTGACAGAGGGGGAATTGGAAAATAGTGTGCAGGTTGATAGTGGGGTGCTCTCGGAGACAAGGCTGCGCGAGGCTGAGGCTTTTGAGGGTGAATTGGTAGAACGTGAAGCCCGAGGGACGCAGATTTCCATGTTGAGGAATCAAGACATGGCTTTAGCAGATCTCTGCCAAAGGCCAATAGCTGTTGTTACAGAGTAGAGTTACATCTTTCCCCTTCCCCTATCCAAATCTTGTACAAGGCCCGTCACGGCGGCAGGCACCCCCTCGAGCGGCACATCTTGACGATGCCCAAATGAAGGGCAAATGATCTCCGCAGCGCCCTTTTCCAACGACTTTCCGAGCGCCACGATGATTGGGTATCCGATGAATGTCGCTTCTCTCAGCTTCCTTCTGTAGTTCTGATCTTGGCGATCATCAAGCACGACATCCAGTGGTGCCGACGGCAGATGTGGTTGGCTTTGTACAACTGATGGTGCGACAAGCCTATCGTACAGTTGATGCGCGGCTTCCAAGGATTCAGGCTTCTTGGAAACAGTGCAGATAACAACATCGTAAGGTGCAATGGTCCGTGGCCATAGGATATCATCCGAGTCCCCGGCATCTTCTTCCACTTTGCTGGCCACAGCAGCTGCTAAGAGGCGAGTGACGCCGATACCATGACATCCCATCTCGACAGGCACTCGCTCGCCGCCTTTGTGCTTGGGTAATAGGTTCAAGCCCAGCTTGGCTGAATAGCGGGTGCCGAGGTGAAATGTATGTCCAATCTCAATGGCTTTGTGAACATGGAGCGTTCCAGTTTTACACTCGGGGCATGCATCTCCAGTCCTTGCACTGATGAGATCAATAGAGACAGGACCTTCTCCGTCGCTCTGCACAACAAAACGGCGCGTCTGCGAACCTCCAAACTCCTTCATATCTTGCTGAGTTCTGTGGCGAATCTGCTCCTCAGTCACTCGCTTATCAACCACGTAGACCAGTTGAGCTGCATTTTCATCTGTTGCTTTTGTCCTGACATGCTGTTCGAACATTTGGACCGCTTTGTGCTCTTCGATACCGGTATGAATGTCGCCGAAATCCTCCATGGCTTCCTTTACTGCAAAGGTATTGAGCTCCGTGGACGCGTAGGGATGGGTTGTATGTGGGTCCATTGGGAGAATTACGCGTGCCAGTGTGCTGCCATTAGCATTGACGTAATCTCGTACATCGACAGAAATAGCTGGAGGCGTTTTGAGAGCTTCGTCTGAAGAATGGACTTCCTTAATCGTCCGATTTGTGACCGAAACAAATTCTTCGTTCCGCGAGTGGTCGCATTCATTGCAAATGATGACTGTATCTTCACCAACCTTACTGGGAATGTGGAACTCGTGGCTCAAGTTTCCGCCCATATCGCCCGAGAGGGCGCGCACTTCGAAGAAAGAGACGCCTAGCTCTTCAAATAGATTGCTGTAGGCCTGCCGGATGATCTGATACGTCTCCTTGGCATGAGCCGGTGTGGCGTCAAATGTGTACAGGTCTTTCATTAGGAACTCTCGCCCACGAAGGAGACCTCCTCTCGGTCGTTGCTCATCTCTGTATTTGCGCCCAATTTGGTACAATCGAATTGGCAGGTGCTGCTCGTTGAAGATCTCACTCTTGAGGAGCGTGGTAATCTCCTCTTCGTGTGTCGGAGTCAGGAGCCATTTCGCTTTCGCCCTATCCTCGAACTTGAATATTTCCGAGCCTTTGGTTAGCCGACCAGACTGCTCCCATAGCTTCTGAGAAGAAATAGAAGAAAGCGATAACTTGGACGCCCCGACAGACTGCATGTGCTTGTCGATAAGTGCCTCCACTTTTGATAGTACACGGAGGCCCAGCGGTAGGAGCTGGTAGATTCCAGCATATGCTTGTCGGATATAACCTGCATCAATCAGGAGGGTCGTCGCGTTTCTTGGTGAGGATCCATCATTTTCGAATTTCGGTCGAGGTGACCAGAGGTCAGTGACTCTTTGCCGATGTGATGTAGATGCTAGCCTTCTTGCTACCTGCTGATGCGGACATCGTCGTCCCAGGCTACGCAGTGGTGTTAAAACATGTTGGTTCATAGAGACTCAGCAAGCTTGGCTTTGAATTGACCAATATCAAAGTCGGTGAGTTCCTCGGCCAGAATAGCGGTATTGATAGCAACCTCAAGACTCATAAAGCAGAAGAGACAAGCCGTTGAAATTGACTGGAAATGTTCTGATTGTGGTTAACAGCATTGCATTAGGGCATCATGGCCGTCGGCCTCCTCAAAGCTGGCATGGCTCCACATTACTAGAAGAGCTTAGTACGGGCTCGCGTTGCAATGTTTCTCCGTTCCGTCGTACTTTTTCTCGGACTGCGGTTCAGGCAGTGATTTTACCAGCGTGCATCTGCGGCTTGTGTATGCTGCAGCAATGTCGAAAGAAAACTCGCAGAAGACCCAGCGGCCGCCACAGGCAGCGTCGAATAATGTTCCACCGGTCTCATCCAAACCCAAGACCACAGTCCAGCCTCGCCAATCATTCGGGCAGTTGAAAGAGAACATTGCAGCAAATCTCAAGAAGTCCGCTTCCAAGAAGACACAATCTCAGAAAGTCTCGGAGGCTTCCCAGGATGCAAGAGGTAAAAAACGAAACTCTCAAGGGCAGGTTAAGCCGCAGAACATGCTGGCGCAGCAGCAACAGCAAAGCTTTGAAGAGGACGAATTTCAAGCAGAGGTTCGCGCCCTGGGCGGCGATCGTGATGACCTCGTCCTCCTAGCTGGCATTGAGTCCGAGTCTGAAGTCGAAGGCACAAACAATATCGATCAGAAGCCTAAAAAGAAGGGCAAGAGTGATCTGGAAAAAGGCATGCAGAACATCCTGGACGAGATCGCACTCGCACAAGGCTCTAGCAAAGCTGAAGCAAAGTCTCAGGACGTGGACGAGACTGATGTCATCTCTGAGGCGGAAAGTAGTGAAGAAGAGGAGGCAGTGACCGAGCCGTCGAACCCACAACCCCATCCACAAAGGGCCAAGTTTGTCCTTCACTTTGAGCCTCGCCCAGACTGGTTCGCAGTGGTTGACTCATTTGCCAACATGGAAGTCAAGGCGGAGCCGAGTACAGAGACTGTTCAGCAAGTCTCGCAGTACGCCAAGGGGTTGCTTGAAGAAGAGAATGAGCGCTTCAAGAAGCCTCAAAAAGCGTCATCTTCCCAATCCTTTTACAACACTGTGATTCAGTCGGGCACTCTCTCAGACAAAATCTCAGCGTTGACACTGGCAGCCCAAGAATCGCCTGTTCACAACATACAGGCACTGGAGACTCTCCTGGGGCTTGCGGGCAAGCGTAGCCGCTCCCAAGCTGTGGATGTGTTAAGAGCCTTGAAGGATCTCTTTGCTCAGGGTTCACTCCTCCCTGCCGACCGCCGCCTTTACACGCTTGCGACTCAGCCAGGGGTTCGCGCCAAATTTGGGAAGAAAGCCTGGGCCAAGGGTGATAAGCTTCCGAAGGGAGTTGAAGAGGTTCATCTAATAGCCTGGGCCTTTGAAGACTGGCTGAAAGGAAAATATTTCGATGTCATCAAGATCCTTGAAGTATGGTGTAATGACGAAATCGAATTCGCGAAGTCCCGAGCTATCAGCTACGTCTACGAGCTACTGAAAGAAAAGCCGGAGCAGGAAGCAAATCTGCTACGCTTGTTGATCAACAAGCTCGGCGATCCGGTCAAGAAGATTGCCTCTCAAGCCTCATATCTCTTGATGCAGCTTTTGACGATCCACCCTGCTATGAAGGGCGTTGTCATTTCTGCAATTGAGACAGAAATTTTCAGGCCAGGTCAAGCTTTGCACCAAAAGTATTACGCTACAGTCACCATCAACCAGACTGCGCTGAGTGGTCGGGAAGAGGAATTGGCAGGCAAGCTTTTGGGCATTTACTTCGGACTGTTCTCACAACTGATCAAAACCTCTGACCAAGGGCTCGAGGATGACGACGGACCGAAATCCACGAGCCGTGAACACCGCCGGAGGCAAGCAAGAAAGAGCAAGAAAGCGACAGCGGGTCCAGCCCAAGCCGATGACTTGCGGGAAAAGCTGACTTCAGCCTTGTTGACGGGCGTAAATCGAGCGTATCCATATGCTGGATCGGAAAGCAAGACTTTTGCCGAGCATTTGGATACGCTCTTCAAGATTGTGCATTCGGCCAATTTCAATACTAGCATCCAAGCAATGCTCCTCATTCAGCAGCTCTCAGGTTCTCATCAAGCATCAAACGACCGGTTTTACAGAGTGTTGTACGAATCACTGCTTGACCAGCGGCTGATCACTGCCTCCAAGCAACAATTGTATCTCAACCTGCTTCACCGGTCTTTGAAGGCAGACATCAACAACAGACGAGTGAAGGCCTTCGTGAAGAGGATTCTGCAGGTTCTATCCTTGCACGAAGCGCCATTCATATGTGGCGCTTTCTACCTGCTTAAAGACCTTGACACTACGTTCCCCGGGCTGACAGCTCTGACAGACAATGCCGAAGAGCTCGACGAGGAAGAGGAAGTATTCAAAGACGTCGATGAGGACAGAGCTCAGCCTGTTGCGCAGATTGGACACGCTGATAAAAAGGAGCAACTGTATGATGGACACAAACGTGCGCCGGAGCATGCAAATGCTGACAAGAGCTGCACATGGGAGCTCCTGCCGTTTCTCGCGCATTACCATCCATCAGTCACACTCAGTGCCGATCATTATCTGCAGCACCAAAAGTTGCCCGGCAAGCCCGATTTGGCGTTGCATACGCTCATGCATTTCCTGGACCGATTCGTGTACAAGAATGCGAAATTGTCTGAAAGCCGGCCCCGTGGTGCTTCGATCATGCAGCCAATGTACAGCGACAACAACCACAACGTACTTATTGCACCGACTGTTGGCGGCGCACAGAGGATGTCAGTCACGAGCGAGGAATTCAAGTCGAAGCAAGATAAGGATGTGGCAGCGGACGACGTCTTCTTCCACAAATACTTTGCCAACCTCAGCAAAGAGAATAAGTCAAAGGGCAAGAAGCCAAAGGCAGATTACGACGTGGAACCTGTATCAGATGATGAAGACGCCATTTGGGATGCAATGATGAAGAGCGCACCCGAGCTCGAAGGAGCAGAGGAGAGCGACGACGATCTCAGTATGTCCGACTTGGAGTCGGCCATGGCTTCCGACGACGACGATGAGGACCACAGCCGCGCAGACCAGGGCGAGGGAGTGGATGAGAGCGATGACGGAGGTGTGGATGTTGAGTCTGGAATTTTCGATGATAGCGACGAGCAGATGGCGGAAGAGCCGAGCGACGAAGACATGCCCGACTTTGGTGAGATCGACCCAGACGACGAAGTCAGCGACGGCGACGAGGTAGTAGCCACGTCGGCCACGCCTGCGGCTCAAGACAAGTCAAAGAAGCGCGGCAAGAAGCTGAAGGCACTTCCCATGTTCGCCTCGGCTGACGACTATGCCAAACTGCTGGACGATGAGGAGGATGAGGATCTGGGCTAGCAGTCTGTGTGGGAGCAACATTCGGAGAGCCTCGGTTCTGCACAAATCGGAAGATACCTTCGTAGTGTCCACTGCATTAGCCCGCCTGGACTTACCTGTGTCAGCAAAACTTAGGCGAAAGTTGAGATCATGTCCTTAACTTGCGTACGCGGGCGATGAAACAATAACAACTGAGCAGCGGCTATTCGTGCGTTACCGAGCACGTAATCGCAGGTTGTGGATGCCGGATGGCAAAGACGTATGCCGAGACCGCTAAGCATGCACAAGCCCACCCACAGACGCCACCCGAACGCCTCCACGTCAACACGGGCGAGGCTTGCTTCTGCCGGCTGTGAGCTTGTAAGAGCTTGGGGCTATCAACCAAGACATGTCTGTTAGCAGCACGCATATCGCGATGTGAGTACGAAAACCACGAGCAGGCGCCCTCAGCCGTTGATATACTTTGGATGCCTAGCAAATTCAAATTGCACCTCCGACGCCTGTCAGTAAAGCCCTGTCAGGCGCACCATCGCACCCCACGGCGCACTCGCGCTGAGGAGGATGCAGTAGCCCGACGCGAACCCTGTCAATACACGGCGCAGAATCATCGATGCAAAAACTCGTCTCGTGCACTGTCACCATACCACGATACGTTATGGCTGGCTCAACGAACGCTCGGGGGCCCCACAGGATGTACCTTTGATCGCAAAATGTGGCCGACTTTACCGTCCGGTCGACCCACCTCAGTTCCTGAAGCCTAAACCCCTCCGATCAACATGCATTTTTTCAGCATGACGCTCCGCTGGTTCAAGCTATAATATGCTAGCCCCGTCGTGAGCCGTGTCCCGCGTGTGCCACCCAAGTGCTTTCTTTTATGTTTCGACGTTGCGCTCATTGCACGCAGTCATTCTCCGACTAGTCCTCTACTGCGCCGGATCTGTCGCTACTTCGAATTCCGCCAACGCGCCAACTGCATATGTGGACTTCACAGCACCCCGATCTCGAATCTTTCTACACCTCCTGCCTTGTGCGGGTGGCTGCCTTTCGCAAGTGGAAGTGAACGACTCGCTTCCGACGTCAACTCATAAAATAAAATGTCTGACTTCGTTGAGAAGAAAGACTCGTCTTTTGGCGGCCCTTTCGACCCAAATGGCTCACCGGACCCGGAAGCGGGAGGTCGCCGCCTTTCGACTACTGTCCAGGGCCGCAAGATGAGCAGAATCGGCCCTCCGCCAAAGCTGGGTTCTCTGCCCGCCGACTCGGATGAAGGCGAAACGCAGCAGAAGCTCATCGACATGGAGGCTGATAATGCCATCAAGTACCGCACCTGCTCCTGGCAGAAGACCGCCGCTCTGCTCTTCTCCGAGTACATCTGCCTCGCCATCATGTCATTCCCCTACTCGTACTCGGTTCTTGGCCTGGTTCCTGGCCTTATTCTCACCGTGGTACAAGCCGGTTTCGTGCTGTACACGTCGCTCATCGTGTGGGAATTCTGCCTCCGTCACCCCGAAGTTCGTGACGTGACCGACATTGGCCAGATGCTGTTTTGGAACTCCAAGATCGTTTGGTTTGCCACGGCTATCATGTTCATTCTCAACAACACCTTCATTCAGGGCCTGCATGTGCTCGTCATTGCTCGCTATCTCAACACCATGAGCTCACACGCCATGTGTACGGTCGGCTTCGCCGCTATTGGTGCAGTGATTAGTTGGGTTTGCTCAATGCCGCGAACATTCAATACCTTGTCCCACCTTGCGACTGCATCGGCCTTCTTTACCTTTATCTCGGTCATCCTGGCCACGGCATTCGCCGGCGTCGAAGGCAAGCACGGAACCGCGGGCTACACGCCCGAGCCGTCGCACATGGGTCCCGATGGATCCATGATTCCAGGCGGTGAACCTCTTGTCCTGTCCGTGCCGCAGGCCGGCACGACCTACGTCGAAGGCATGGAAGCTTTCATGAATATCGCCTATACCTTCATCGGTCAAATCACACTCCCCAGCTTTATTGCTGAGATGAAGAACCCGTACGACTTCCGCAAAGCCCTGTGGTTGGTGACCATCTGTGAAATTGTCGTCTTCTCCGTGGTGGGCGCTGTCATTTATGCCTACACCGGCACGCAGTACAACACCGCCCCAGCATTTGGCTCACTCGGCAACGAATTGTACCTCAAAGTCAGCTTCAGTTTCATGATTCCCACGCTGATCTTCCTGGGTGTCTTGTACGCGTCGGTTACCGCTCGATTTGTCTTCTTCCGCATCTTCGAGAACTCGCGACACAAGACGGAGAACACGGTCATAGGATGGGCGACCTGGGCGGGCATCTTGGCTGCCACCTGGGTTTTGGCATTCGTTATCGCCGAGGTGATTCCATTCTTCTCGGATCTGCTGGCGTTGATGAGCGCGCTGTTCGACTCGTTCTTTGGATGGATCTTCTGGGGAACGGCATACCTGCGCATGCGTAGAGCTGACCTGGGACCCGGTTTTTGGAAGAAGCGCGGGATCCGCGGATGGACCGGCTTCGTCGTCAACATCTTCATCATTCTGGTCGGGTTCTACTTTTTGAGTGCAGGCACATATGTGAGTGTTGATCGATCCTGTACGGTCGATCTGCATGCTGACGTGCAATCCAGGTTTCTGTCCAGTCCATCATCAATCACGTAAGTACTCTCAGCATCTACAGCCCTCATAGCTAGCTGGCTGGCCCTGGAACAGCTCTGCTAACGGTTTGCAGTACAAGGCAGGCACGGTCCCTAGTGTTTTCTACTGTGAGTCTTACCCTCGTTCTGTGCAACTGAAGGCATCCGTAACGCTGTGAACAGGCGGAGATACATCGCTGTAAATTTGGAAAGAAGGAGAGGAATGTGTATCAGGAATCGTCTAGCACAAACCATTGGGGTGTGCGATGCGCAGATCGGCACAGGGATAGCATCTCCTCAAACTCCGGTCAAATAGGCGAAAGGCACTGCCACAACGTTCAGAGACGCGCGTCGCCGCAATGGAGGAGTCAGCATGAAGATTTGACGGTAAGAACACGAATGACAGACCGCTCGGGCGCATCAGTAAAATAATCAGGTGCGAGGGCAAAACAATGCCCGCGGTGATACGATACATGCTGCTGAATTTCTGTGATCGTTCGGCAACGGTGTCATCCTGCGCAACATGTCAAAAAGTGCCTGAAACGGCTCGTTAAAAGATAGAGTGACTGCGCTAAGCTTTTTGCTGTGGATGGGTCGCGGCTCCCTGCAATGTGCATCACGACGAGTAGTCTTTTTGGGATCAAAGACAAAGGGATCCTTCAGCTCCCCAGTTGCAGACGGCCGCTCCGCCTTTCGATTTGACACCACTTCACCCTCTTCTGCTTCGTCCATTTCGCTCATTAGCTATATCCCTTGCCTTTCCTTTCCATTGAGACCAGACGATTCACGATTGCGCAACCTCCCCATCCGTTCTCTCTCCGAATAACGACCACCTCTTCCCCAAGATTCCCTCCCCCTGGTCCGAACACGAGAATCTGTCCAGTGCTGCCGTACACCGTGCCGCATTCCGCATTCCGCATACCAGTGGACTTTGTTCCTCAGCTCTCTACCGGTTGCGCTCTACTCGCTTCCTCCGGCCGAACCCATGAGCGATAAACATGCCCAGGCATCACGCCTCTGCTAATGGTTATACCAACAACAAGAAATATGACGATCACTACTCAGATCGAGCGGACCTGGAATCTAAGTACATCTGGGGAATGCACGATCTAGAAGAGGATGAAAAGGATGCCCGTTCGTTCTTCAAGCCTTCAAGGGCACCCATACACAGCCGTTCCCGCCTGGCCAAACAATTCGCGGCTGCCGCCGGTATATTCTTTGTCCTTCTCTACTTATTTCTACCTCCTCAAACATACTCGGGAGCCGGAACGGATTCCTCGTTTGAACAATACGACATAGAAACCCTTCGCTACTACGATCTGAGCGATAATGTTGGCACGTCCGTGGGCTGGGAAAGGGAAGAGCGGGTTCTGCTGTGCACACCCCTACGCGATGCAGCTTCGCATCTGCCCATGTTCTTCGCCCATTTGAGAAACTTCACATACCCTCACCACCTCATCGATCTCGCCTTCCTAGTGTCCGACTCAAAAGACGATACGGAAACGTTGCTGACCGAGTTGCTTGAGGGGCTACAAAATGATGACAATCCGTCACAACCATACGGGGAGATCTCTGTCATTCACAAAGATTTTGGCCAGTCGGTCAGTCAGGATGTCGAAAGTCGACACGGTTTCGCCGCCCAGGCGAGCAGGAGGAAGCTTATGGCGCAGGCCCGCAACTGGCTGCTGAGTGCAGCACTGAGGCCATACCATAGCTGGGTATACTGGAGAGATGCAGATGTGGAGACCTGCCCCTTCACCATCTTGGAGGATCTCATGCGCCACGACAAGGACGTCATTGTGCCTAGTGAGTACTATCGTGCCGTCCAGGGGCTACTAAACTAACACGGTGCAGATGTTTGGCGACCCCTCCCCGAATGGCTCGGAGGTGAACAACCCTACGATCTGAACTCCTGGCAAGAATCCGAGACCGCCCTTGCCCTTGCCGATACTCTCGACGAAGACGCCGTTATCGTTGAGGGCTATGCAGAATATGCAACATGGAGACCGCATTTGGCGTACCTCCGTGACCCCTACGGCAATCCCGATGTCGAGATGGAGCTAGACGGAGTGGGAGGTGTATCCATTCTTGCAAAGGCACGAGTATTCCGAGCTGGTGTCCACTTCCCAGCATTTTCATTCGAGAAGCATGCCGAAACAGAAGGCTTCGGCAAGATGGCGAAACGGATGCAGTTCTCCGTCTACGGACTACCACACTATACTGTTTGGCATCTTTACGAGCCTTCAGTCGATGACCTCAAGCACATGGAAGAAATGGAGGCGGAAAAGAAGGCACGCGAGGCTCAAGAAAAGGCAGCGCAAGAGCAGGCGAAAAAGGCACAAGCCGAATTCAAGCATGTCGACGACCAGTGGGCTAAAGACAAAGAGGGTATGGCTGGCGCGGCCGCCCAAAAGAAAAATGGCGAGGGCAAAGGCTACAAAGTCGCGTCCGACCCAGCCGAACCGGACAGCTGAGCGTTTCTACATCAGCTTTGGAGCTTTGATCTTGAGCGATGGATATTATTTTTCTTTGTTCGGGTGTGTGATATCAATAGACTTTACGATCGAGCGCTTACACGAATGGCTGCGCACACAAAAGCGAACACGAAGGAAAGGAATATAGACCCGCACATTTCTCGACTCTGTCAAGCAGCGCTCGCCTGTGCTCGGGGCGACGGATGACAGATCATATGGGGATCGGGCTGCCGTACAGCGCCAGTCCGCGACAGTGGGACCAAGCGCGGGAAACTGAGCTGTCTGCATGGCTGCATTGCAGGAGTACATTAATCGGATGGCTGCCCGCTGCTGCCTGGCCAGAGGGTCATAGGCTGCCAATGGGGGAGTTCGCTATACTACTAGACTAGGGTGTACAACAACAGCAACGGAGATACGTCCCGGAGACATCTCGCAGAGCATTCTAGACCTTTGATTGTGTGACCATGTCGTTGAGGTACGGATGTCTAGGTACCTGCAGTCTTCTCCTCGTATACATTGGTGCGATCCGGTTTCGACCAATCAGGAACGCGTGCTTGGACCCCCAGTCGTTGATTCTCTTAACACTGTCCTCGCTTCTAGTTTAGGGCAACACTACCACTTGTTGCCAGCAACATGTCGACGCAGTCGTCGCTCTCGGTGCCATTCTCTATCATCCACCCGCAGGAGCATGTCCGACTCCTGGAGCTCCCACCGGAACTGCTCAAATTGATAGAAACGAAGAGCGACCGTCCTGATCTGTAACGACTACTCCTCACCCCGTTTGCTTGAGACGCATCTAATGATTGCCACACAGTGACCACATCTACAACGCCCTCGGAGGCCGCGTCCAACTCAAATCCGCACCCACAGAGTCCTCCGGCACCACCACCAAGCCCAAAGACCAATACCTCCACCTCTGCACCGAGAACCACGTCTGGGCCGTCCGCCAAGTCAGCACCTCCAACTCCGTGCACATCCTCTCACCATCTACCGACACCCCCAGCCTCGATAACCCGACCTCTACCAGTCCCGGCCTCTCAGCCTTCGCCCAACCGACCTCCACGCTTGAGCTCCTGCCCACCCCCTACACCGCGGGCGATGTGGAATCCGCCATCTGCCGCCTCCTCGTCATACACCCGTGGCCGCTTGACCCTTCCGACCCTCCTCCAGCTCACACCCTTAGCGACCGCGACCTCTCTGCCTCGCTCCCTTACCCGCTCTCCGTCATTCTCCGCGCTAAGCGCCGCTGCTTTGTCTTCTTTGCCGGTGACGACGAGCAGCAGCAGCAATCTGTTTACGTGCCGGCTCCGGAGCTGCTGCTCGCGGCCTGGAAGGCGTTCGCGTCGCAGTGTGCGATCAAGAGGGTTGATGTCGCGGCGCTGGATGTGAGTGGGCTGGGGGATATTACGGCGGGGATTGCGTTGGATGAGGGCGCGGTGGTGGCGGCGGTGGTGAGGGCTGTTGTGAAGGAGTTTGTGGCGTTTCCTCTGGAGGGTAGTGAGGGAGGAGGGGAGCTGGAGCGCTTGGGGTGTGGCTTGAAGGGGCAACTCAAGGGGAAGGAGCTGACGGAGTGGTTGGGCGGCTTGTCAGTTCAGTGTGCGCCCAGAGGGGTGCTGGGGACGGCGGAGTTGATGGAGGAGTGGCAGAATCTGCTGCCCAGGGAGTGGTGGGAGTGGTGCAAGGTGGAGGCTCTTAAGGGGACATGCGAGGTGGAAGGCGCCGGAAAGGTGAGGTGGCGAGGAGACGAAAAGGGAGGACTTGCGGCGAGCAGCGGCACAGCCGCAGGCAATGCGGCGCCTTCGAGCATTCCCAATAAGAGGAACTGGCACGAGAAGTTCGCGGCGCAGAGGAAGCGTTGAAGCGTTTGCATCAACGCTGATTCAATTATTGATGCAACATCGAGACCGCGTCTCGGCCTCCGGACACAGTTTGTTTGCGTTCGTCAGAACACTAGGTCTCGGCTCCAGGAACGAGTCCGTTTGCTCGCAACAGCACCTTCAGATCCCCCACCTGAGCGTGAGGCTATTGTCAGAAACAAACGCTTCTGACTGCTACCTCACCGTGCGTTCGCAGCGCCAACGCAACGACCAGCAGAGCTACATCTATAAATATCGCCCCTCGACCAGTGCAAGCCCGGTCTCTTCTTTTTCTACAACCAACCCCACACCTCGATAAATATCTACCTTGCACTTCGGCCTGACTCAACGCGGAAACTACGACGACCCAGTTCTATAGACCGCCAAATCCCAACCCAACGCAATCCTACACAAACCATGCCCTCCTCCACGAAATCCTCGTCCTCCAACTCCAACAAGGAAAAGTAGAAGAAAGACTCCCACAACGAGTCTTCTTCATCCAAGAAGGACAACAAGAACAGTAAAGACGAGCGAAAATACAGTCCGCCAGGCACCAAAGGCGCATACTACATGTCGCTGGGCGAGCCGGCGCCCGTGAAGCCTCGCACCAAGGGGGCGTACTATAATCAACGATAGGTGGATGACTTGTTGGTACAGTGGGAAAAGCTGGCGGACGGACTAAAGGAAGGCCCTGTTGATACACATGTGAGGGAGTGGTTAGTGGCTTTGCTTGGACAAAGTCTCGCCTCGCCTCGCCATACAGTGCAGGCAGGCTCCTTGGAAAAGGAGTCCCCGCATATGGTCCGTCGCTTGGGCAGGTGGGTAGGCTACGGCTCGTAGATAGCTAGCTAGCTAGAGAGACACATACGAATGGATAGGCTAAAGACCACTATTAACTGATCGGAGATCGTGGAGAGAGAGAGAGAGAGACTGAAACTTTTTTACTGCCTTCTTTGAGGTAATATTATACTCATTGAATTCGAAAAATTCCGTTGGTCGACATATATAGTGCAGTGCAGTAAACGCTTGAGCAGACAAGACGAAGGCAAACAACGAGGCAACCGAGGCAACCGAGGCAAAGCAGCCAGTCCTAACGATAGCCTCACTGCCATCGTGGCCCAGATACCGTTTCCCTTCCTTTCTTGCATGTCCCACATCACGGCTTGCTTCCCCTCCCCCATTGGGCCCGAAACTTGTGCATTGCGTCTCGCCTGTTGGAACGACGCTCTAATGCAGCATGGCTTCGCCAACATCGGGTTTGCCTTTGCCGACTCGATATCTTCGGGCCATTCAGTCAGGTCAGTCAATCAGTCAGTCAGTCAGTAAAATCAGACCACCCTCCTGCGCACATTAACCACGAGGCCCGTCTGCTTGTTGAACCACAGGTTGTGCGTCTTCCACTCGGCGGCCGGGTTTGCGAGCGAGAGGTCAAAATCCCGTAGGACCTGCGGCACGAGCTTGTATAGTTCTGAGAGCGAGATCTGTTTTTCGCGTGCCTTTGTGTCAGTTCTCTGTTGGAGAATAGCATGGCAGAGTGGTATGTTGGTAAAAGGAGGGATGGAACTTACATTCTTGCCGATGCACGTGCGCGTCCCAGCGCCGAAGTGCAGCATGCAGCGGTCCATAGCCTTTGCGTGCTCTGCGTCGTCGAGCCAGCGCTCCGGTCGGAAGGCGGCGGGTTGCGCGCCAAAGACGTCGGCGTTCCGATGCACCACGGCGGCGTTCATGCCCACGCGGTAGCCGTGCGGCACGACAACAGGCCGTCCGTTGGGTCCTTTGAAGTGCAGGCCGTCAGTGGGGGCGATGCGCGGCATTGTGAATCCGACGGATGGGTGGAGCCGCATGGCTTCCTTGATGCAGGCGTTCAGATAGGGGAGTTGCGTGGCGGAGGCGTAGGGGATTGGCCCCGAGGTTGGGATTGTGATGGCGGCGATGGCGGCGCTGAGTTCGGATTGCAGGCGTTTGTAGGATGCGGGATGGCGGAGGAGGTGGTAGAAGACGGATCGGAGGGCTATGGCGGTGGTATCGGAGCCGGCGAAGCTACATAGGTTGTTAGTGGGGAGGTATGTAAGAGGTCTTTGCGGGATGTAAGGGTAGCAGGACAGGGTTGGACACAGAGGAAAGAACAAAGGGAATGGATCGAGGGCTTACAGGCCGGTGTACGCCTCCTGCTCAACCTCATGAATGCCGAAGTCGACTTTCTCGCCTTTGGAGGCCATGATGTCGAGTAGCTGATGGAGCATGTCTCGGCGTTGGCTTGGGCCGTCGCTTTGGCAACGCCGAGCAACACAGTCTTTGGCCGCGGTGGCAATATGTCCCAGAGCCCCAACCGCTTTGCGCGAGGTAGAGCTCAGCATGGACAAGGGGAGTATGAAGGGTCGCATGTATGAGGGTGCAACGGCAGAAAGGCAGAGAGGAGGCATGAGCGTGTCAAGGGAAGCGATGTAGTTGGCATGGTCGTGCGAGTGTTGCAGAAAACCAAACATCTGTCCAAAGTAAAGCTCGCCAATTACATCGAATGCGTACCTGAGATGTTGTTGTCAGCCCTTGTCATGTCAAGGGAAAGGGGTCACGACGTACCACTGAAGCCATTCTCCGAGGTCGACTTGTTTTGCCTGATCAGCCAGCTCTCCAAGCTTGATGGCAAAGAGCTTTGAGCACTCGTCGATGTATCGTTCAGACTGTAAGACGTTTGACATGCTGTAGATGTTGTTTACTATCCTCCTCCGCTCCGAATGCAGGCGCTCACTGGTGACAGTGAAGTGGTCGGGATATTTGGACAAGCCTCCGCGCCATGGTGGGTAAAAGTCAGTCTTCTCCAGCGGCGCCTGGGTCTTGTAGATGAGTTTGATGGCGTCTGGATCGGAACAGGCACACTCGTGAGGAGCGATTCGAACAATGGTGCCGTGGCGTTGATGAAGGGCCCGCTGGACGTGGTCCATATCTCCTTTCCATGTGTGCCACATGATCCAGAGGCGGCTCACTGAGGCAAACCATGGGCCAGGGATGTTGCTCAGTGGGTGGAGTGTCCGCGCATAGATGACCCAGATGATCCAGTATGATACTGGGAGGCAGAGGAGCAGCCATAGCAACTGGTGAAGAGCCCAGCTGGAGCTTTCTGGGAGTAGGAGCATATTGGTCAAGAAACAGTATTGATGGAGTCAGTAGCTTGTAAGTTTTCAATGTATTCAAGGTATTCCAGTGCAAGCCATGTGGGAAGGCTGACGAAATCGTATGAGCAACAGGCAGAGCTGGAGAGCATGGCTGAAGCAGATATGTTAACATCACTATTGGCAACGCGTTTGGATAGCCCCAGACTCTGACGTGTGGAGGTGGGAATTGTGGCGACCCTCCGTTCCTGCACTATCCATTATGGTGTTCCAATGGAGGCCATGTAGTGTAGGTGCTGCCCAGCCATTCAATGCAGCAGCAAGAGGCAGAGACCATAGCTATACCAGATTTGTTGACACCACTGCCAGCGAAGGATAGGAATGGCTCCAGGCTTGTACGTGAATGTGGGGGCTTGTGGCGACGTCCGCTCCTCCACAAGCGAAGCCTCGAGGCGTGTGGGTGCCTCCGTGTGCCTAGCCAGCTTCCCCGTACAGAGCAGTGACCATGCTTGAATCAAGCGGATGCGAAGACTTGATGGCTGCGTAGTAGAGTGGGCGCGAAGCTCTAATCCTGGTGTCCTGGTGTCCTGGTGTCCTGGTGTCCCCATCTCAGCCCCATGGCCTGGGGTGCTGAAGGCAGGATCGCGCGTCTTGCAACTGAGGTCTGGTCCTGCTTTTCTGAGTCGAGTCCAGATCACCAAGGGGCCCGTCGTCACGCGCTGGATCGAGAGTTTTCCCAGCTAGCGCCAGGTGCGTGCGAGCATTTGTGACCCCCTTAATGGACGACGCGTGATCAAGCCCAAGCAGTCGGGTCGATGGTCCATGCGAGGAGCAGGGATGCAAGCACAAGGCGTTGGGAATTGCCCATTTCCATGTGGCTCGCTTGAGTGCTGTTGCCGTCAATATCGGATCCGATTCGCTTTCGCAGTGATGATGGGCGCACTGAGAATGTGGATGGGGTTTGGCTTTTCGTGTCCCCAATCCACCTGAACTCTACAGCCGGGAATACACCCAGATCACTACCCCAAGCGTGGGGAATCTTAGGCGGGGCGTGTCTCCAGCCTCACTGGCAAACCTGGGGATTATGGGGCTTGCCCGACGAGTTTGGTTCTTGAGTGGTAAGCGAGCTCTAGACTGCCTGGACTTCCGCCCTAACAACTGCCGAACAGCACGCGGCTTCGATCTAGCACCAATGGCGGGGCGCCAAAGCTGGACTCGCCCACACCCTTTCGCCGTCCGCCGTGGTGCGCGGCCGGGCAGAAATTGGAGCTTCAGGGTTGCTTGGGAAGATATAATCGAAGCTTCATCCCTGTTGTGCCCATCTTCACCACCCACTGCTGCCTACTAGTAACCAACGTACCTGCCATTCTTGAAAGTCGTGAGCTATTGCCACCATGGGTCTTGGTGTTTTGGAAGGTCTGTCACGCTTTGTTATCGCCCTCTCTTGATTCACTTGCTGACTTAGCACAGATACGAAACTCGACCATGTGCCTGGCACGGTCCTGCTCAACGATGAGTCGTCTCAAACCGCAGCGGCCGTTCAAGGCCTCAAGCACGGCAAGGGTCGCAATGCACACATTGTGCTCTCGCCTCAACCCAGTGAAGACCCCAATGATCCCTTGAACTGGCCTCAATGGAAGAAGGAAGTCATCATCGCCATCCTCTGCTTGGGCGCCATGCTCTATGCAGGAACCAATGGTCCATTCCTGAACGCTTCCTACTTTGAGATGTCTCAGCAGCTCAACACCTCCATCACCACTGTCGTCATGGCTTCAGGCTATAACCTTCTCGCCGCTGGCTGTATTGGACCTTTCGTCTCTGCTTTCGGCCGCAAGTATGGAAAGCGCCCCGTCTTTCTCGTCTCTGCCCTCCTCTGCATCATTGGCACTGCCATTGGAGAGGCCAAAATCAACTACGAATACCTTCTAGCCTCGCGCATCATTCAAGGCTTCTCTACTTCCGCCTTTGAGTCCCTGATAATCAGCACGGTGGGCGACATATACTTCGTCCATGAGCGCGGTCTGCGCATCGCTGTCATCAATTTCATCCTCAACTCCGCCTCCAGCCTCTCTTCCATCATCTGCGGCCAGGTCTTCCAGAGCCTGGGCTGGCTGTGGCTGTTCCATCTATTCCAGATCTTTTGTGTATTGCAATTCGCCCTGATGTTCCTCTTCTGCCCCGAAACCACCTACATCCGCGACACCCGATACGAAACCGATATTGTTCGTGACGAGAACCTCGAAGAACTTGCTGCCGTCGAAAAGGGCCTGGCAACAACTCAGCATACTGAGAAGGCTCATCCCTCGTCCAACAGCAGCCAACAAGAAGAGTCTGCCACCCCCGCAGTCCCGGCCAAGAAGACCTTTGTTCAGGAACTCGCTGTCTATACTGGTGTATACTCACATGACAGCATCTTCAAGTTCTTGATTGGGCCTTTTGTCTGTCTGCTCAATCCCGCGGCATGCTATGCCATTCTCGCCTCTGGCCTCCTCAACAGCTGGTACGTCGGAAGTGCCATCATCCTCGCTGGCATCTTTGCCGGTCCACCGTGGACCTTCAATGCAGCCCAAATCGGCTACCTTGGTGCCGGTCCCTTCATCGGCGGCGCCCTTGGCTCTCTGGTGTGTGGCTTCACGGGCGATTGGGTAATCAAGCACCTGACCAAGCGCAACAACGGCATATACGAGCCAGAGTTTCGTCTGGTCTTCATGGTTCCTGCTGGCATTGCTTGCGGTCTCGGCATGTTCCTCTTCGGCTACACACTCGAGATCGGCGCCGCCGCTGAACTCTGTTCATTCCTGCAAGGCCTGATGATGGTCGGTGTCCTGATCGGTATCTTCTCGACCCTGTCTTACGGTCTCGACTCCTTCCGAAGCCAGAGTAACGAGATCTTTGTCATGAACATGCGTGAGTTTACTCACCCCCATCAATCCCCCCTCGTTGTTAAGTTATGGTTGCTAATTCATATTTTCCGGCGTCTTTAGTTTTCAAGGTATGCCCCTTCACCCTCCATCCTCCTACTCCTCTTCGTCCTAATACTTCCCCCCACCATCCTTGAGCAGAGCTGACTTTTGATTGCGCAGAACTTTATGTTCTACGGTCTATCCAACTTCGCCAACGACTGGGTCGCCGCCAAGGGCCCCGAGGAGATCATGTTCGTCTTTGGCGGCACATCCATCTTCATCGCCATCCTCGCCCTACCCGTCTACATCTTTGGCAAGCGCATGCGCAGCTGGTGGAGCCGGCACGACATGTTCGTCACTCTGAGAATGAGCACCACGGGCCCGGTGCAGGCCATGGAGTAGAGGACAGCAGAAGTGGAACAGGGCGCGGTAGGACGCCGGCCTGCAGGTATGCCTGTAGCAAATGGCCATGTGCAATCATAGTCTACCAGCTCGATTCAGTATATAAGCACGCTATGAGATATCTTCATTGGATCTACCCACCCGCCCGTGCATCCATCGATCCCCTCATTCTCTCACACATAGCTGCGTCAACGGGCCCTCTCCAACCACCCACCTAGCCATGAACCATTACAGCTCCAACAACGAGCACTCAATCTCCCACGCCAGCAGCACCCTTTGTCTCTCTCACAAACACTAAGCAACCAACCGTCTCAACTTCCCCTGCTCCTCCGCCGACAACTGCGCAAACACAGCCTCAAATTCCGGCCTGCTCCCTTCCTCCTTGAACCACCCTTGCAGGTACGTCGCCACCTCGTCGTCGCGCAAGCCCTCGTGACCCGCTCCCCCATTCTCCTGATCAAAGCCCATCAACTCGCTCCTCACGACCGGATTGTCCAGATCGACGGCGCCCGCGTTCGCCACGTCATTCCATTCATCGTCGTCCAGTTCCTCCTCGCTGCCCTCGTCGTCGTCGGCACCGCCATCCCCAGCTAAAGCGTTGAAGCGGCCGCCCGTGGAGGACATGGCGCTGTCAAGTTCGCCGACGAGCAGCTTGAGAATCTTGAGGTCTGCGGGGATGGTGGTGTAGCGGTCTGGGTTGAGGCGGGCCTGGCTGCGGGTTTTGATGCGGCCGGTGTTTTCGACGATGAGGTCGCCCTTGACGCCGATGTTCTTGACGCGCGGGTCCTGGAGAGCGAAGATCTTGGACAGCGCGCCGATGTTCTGCCGCACCTCGTCGAAGCCGGCGAACAGGATCGAGTTCTCCAGCCACTTGGTCATGACGACGTTGAGGCCGTTGGCGCCGTTGATCTCGAGCTGCGAGAGGAAGTCCAGCACGTCTTTGGGCGCCGCTATCGAGAGTGTGACGAAGACCATGCAGAGGGATTGGATGAAGTGCACTTTTTCGGCGGAGGCCAACCGGCTGGCAACGGCACGAAGGAGCTCCAGGAGATAGGGGCCGAGCTTCTCCGCACCGAACTTCTCAACGACTGAGGAGGCGAGAGCGCCGACTTCTTGGGCGGCGTTCTCATCGATTTCCGGCGCGTTGAGCAGGCGGTTAATGATCGTGAGAGAGACCTCGAGCGAGGACTTGCCATCCGAGTCCGTCCAGGAGGTAAACTGAGCGGTGCCCTTGGTAAGAAGGTGCTCGACAGCGGTAGTGGAAGGACGGACTAGCGTATCGAGAGTGGAAGCCATGAGGATACGTTGGAGCTTGGGCATGCAGGCAGAAACGAATCCGTCAGGAAGTGGGTCGGTGCCGTTCTCGGCGAGTAGTGACAAGAGCTCGGCGGCGAGCGTAGTCAGGCCGTTTTCTGAGGTAAGGTCACCGACCGAGAAGGCCGCTGTCAGTGCCGGGATGGTCTTCGTACACAGTTGAGCGTACGCTTCGGGGCTTGTGGAGGTAAGAGCAAGGACGATGCTCTCGAAGCTGTCAATGATTTGCTGGGTCAAGATTGGGCTGGACGCGCTTTCGGAGATTAGAGTCAGGTACGAGTCTATCGCGGATGAAGACATGATGGTCGAAATGTCGAGAAGCATGGCCTCGTGGAGGGCGGTGACGAGGGTGCCCTTGACTTCATCGGCTTCTTCGAGCTCGTCCTTTAGGTCATGAGATGCGATGAAGTCTGCCACAGCGGTGAAGATGGCTTGCTGCATCGGGAGTACCGAGTTCCTTGGTAAGCTGTCGACGAAACTTGGGATCGCGGCAAAGCATGCAACCTTTACAATGTCCGAGTCGTCCGTGGAGATGGCCTGAACCACATTGGCGAATGCCGTGGCTCCCGCTGCAGCATGTTCCTCGCCGGTGACCTTGAAGAAAGTTCCGACGACAAGATGAGTGCCCGCGCGTACGTAGGGGTTGCTGTTCTGCAGATAATTGGAAATTTGCTCCATCAGACGACCGGAGAAAGCAGGATCCAGGGAGACACTGCTGTCTTCGATTTCCTTCATTGACTGGTTCAGGAGGTAGAGAACAGCTTCATAGTCCTTCCAGCCGGCTGATTTGCCGGCAAGCTGAGCATCGTAGAAGAGTACAGCCTCGAGGAACGTCTGTTTCAGCCACGGTAATAGTGTCTGGGCAACAACCTCGGCGCAGGCAACTCTTGGTGTATAGTTGAGGCTGATGGAATTAATGTCTGTGAGGTACAGATCAACATCAACATCCCACATCTGTTGTTCCTCGTTGGCCGGGCGGGCGTAGCGGACAAGTAGGTCGAGTAGCTGCTGCACCCAACCAAAGCCGTTCTCAGGATTGCCATGTTGTTGCAGTTGACCATTGAGTTCAGCTTTAACGCTGGGAGCCTTGAGTACTACCTGGAGTAAATCAAGCTCTTCTGTGACTACCGAATCAAGGCTGTACGGCAGCTGATCGCTCTCATCGGCCAACTTCGACTCCTCATCGCCGTTGATGAAGAGCTGGTTATACTCGCCGACTATACGCTCAAGGTCTTGCCATACAATCTGGAAAAGTGACAGGACGTATGGAGCAATGCCAGCAGCATACACACGCCTCAACTTATCAATCGTCTTCACAACCTGGACCTTGAGTGTGATAAGGCCTCTTCTTGGGTCGTCCTTGTCGCCTGACGTTCCAGTCGGAGCCGGAATGGGCTCCTGAAGAACCGTAGTGAAGAATTCCATCCACTGCTTGAGAGATTCATCGAGGAATGCCTTTACGGCAGGCCCGTGATCAGACATGACCATCTCGAGCATGTCGAAGGTGGATTGGAAGACATTGAGCGAATATGCTCGTACATTGAGTCCACGTCCGTTGTCTGAAGCAATGCGGTGGAAAGCGCTGACAAGCTCTCGAGCGACCGCAAAAAATTGGTCCTCGGTGAGGCCTGAGTCGACCAGCTCGTACAGGACCTTCAGAGCACCCTTGATGGTCGCATCGTGGTTTGGAGCATTGATGATCTGGATGATGGACTCGAAGAGGTTCGGCCATTGATCGGGGAAATCAGCATTTGCGATCTTGGCAACGACCGCAGCTGCGATGGGTTGTAGCTCCTTCAATGCTGCGCCACTCTGCCCCGCGGCTATGTTGAAGATTTGGTCTCGGACGTGGCCTTTGGATTCGTCGTCTAGGTAAACATTACCCGTAAAAGTCTCATCGAATTGCGGAGACCAAGTTGCGGAGACATAGTTCTTCAACGTTGTCAGGGCTGACTTGCGTGTGGCAGTGTCGATGGACTCTTGGGACGCGACAGCCAGCAGAGCGAATGGGAATTGAGGATTCGGGTATGCGTTGAGGAGACCTTGCTCGGCATTCTTAATGGCAGATGTCTGGCTTTTTAGAGTGTCTCGTAGTAGCTGAAGCACTTGTTCGTCCATTGTGGCCTGCTTGGGTGCGCAGCACAGCCGATGGCCAGGGGTCTGAACGCCGTAAAAAGGCAAATCACTAGTTCCGGAATGGTTTAGCTTTCAAGTCGCTCAGATCTGGAATCTACTGCGCAAGAATCAAAGACAGTGCGGCAGAGTTGAAGGTACGTTGAACGCTCTCGACTGTATCCAAAAGACCGCAGACAGTGACGAGGTGGTGTTGTTTTGATGGCCAAAGAAACTGGCGAGAATTCATTGGAGCTGGAGAAAAGTAGCAATCGGTAAATTGACCGCCAAAAGGCCGCCGCCGCGTTTCACGTGAAGACGCGTCTCTTATGTAAGCAGTTGCCTGATTTGCTGCACCTGTCAAAGTTGCCTTCTTAGCCTCCCACTCGTACCCAGAACCAGCTCGGACGTAAACGGTAGCCTGAGAAGTTTGAAAAGTTCGATTAGCATCCTGGGGTCAAGGGTCTAGTCGTAAGTGTCTTTCCACTGGACGGCAGGCGTACTCGGTATCATACGTCACGATTGCCTGCTAGATACCTCAGCTGTGCGAGGGCTTGGGCGTCGTTCAGTATTTCACGTCCGAGCATGTTGTCAGATCAATCGAGCACGATTTCCCCCAGCGTACGTTGGTGGTGAAACCCATCATGGCCACCGTGCCTCCGCCCACGAATCCCAACCTCATTAGCACCCCTCGCGCCCTACTTTCGACCCTCACGTCATTTCTCGCCGTCACAACCCACCAAATCCTCTACCTCCGCCGAATATACCCTCCAGCCTCATTCCTCACTACCCGTGCATACAACCACCCAGTCCACCAAAACCGGCACCCCGCGGTATGCAGCTGGATCAACGACGCTATAGCGGCAGTCGGCGAGCAGCTCGCCAAAACTACCGTCTCGCATGTTTCGCTCTGCATCCACGAGCTCGATACCAACGCCGTCCTCGAGCGCTGGACCTTTGACTTGCACTCACTCCCCACTGTAGCGCGACGGGACCGAGACGTGCCGTTCGCTTTCGCCCCATCTGACGATGCCGATGCCGACGCCGATCAAGACCAACAGCAGCAGGAGCAGCAGCTCCCGCAAAAGCTGAACCTCACCGACCTCGAAGCGACTTTCCGCGCCTGCCTCAGTCGCCTGTCCAGCACCACCGCACGGTTAAAGCCACTGCCCTTCGGCCCAGACGCACCGGAGCTGACCTTCACCCTCACCATCGAGCTGCGACCCAACGCCGACAGGCCCGTGGGACGTCTTGACGAGGCCGAGCGGCGGTGGATCGTCGCGGAAGAAGACCCAGTGCTTCCGATACCAGCCGTCGCTACGAACGACAGCACCAGCGCAGGGGGTGAAGGGAAGACCGCTCGGGCCAAGACGCACCCCATCCGCCGCCTGTCTGCGGCGCCGCTGCACATTGAGATGTGGGTAGAAGAGTCGGCACACAAGTTGTCTCTCCCGGCCACGGCAACGGGTTCCTCACGGCGAGACGCGGCGACACGGGCAGCGGAGACGAGTTTCGGTGCCGGGACGGAGAAATTTGACCCTCTGAACGGCTACGAGGATCTAGAGGGCACGGATCTGAACCGCAAGCCCGGCGGCGGCGCCATGACGGATTACCAGCGCATGTAGTGCAATGGTGGAAACAGAGAGGCTCAAAAATACAGTACAAGCACAGACATGATCGTCTTTTCAGACGCTGAGCCCTTTATTAATGAGCGATCAGTTGATTAGAGCATTACTTGCTATCAGCTATGCCGTACCGTGCACTCCCTCCGAACGACCTATCATATATGCGCCGAAAATGCCAATGCTATAATGCACTGACGAAAGAATAGAATTCTCGCGCCCTGCCCCTGGGCAAGACGCCTGCTCACAGCTCAATCCGCTTATCTCGACGATGCTCCCACAAGTCCGGCTGTATGACCGTCTTGCAAAGTTTCCCAGTTAGGGAGTGCGCCCCAAATACCGATGGTGAACCTTGACGCCGCGCTGAAATTCTTGAAAGAGAAATGGAAGATCGTGTCGCTAGGACGGTCGTCGGAGACGAGGGGGTTGTAGCAGTCGTACTTCCCCAAAACGTCCGTAAAATTGAAGTCGAGAAGAGGAATGGAATGTTCGACCTTGTTAGATTCTAGGATTAAGCCGCCGGCCTCGCACCCCCAGTACTTCGCGCAGCCTCAGAGGCCGACCCTTCACTGGAAGTTGAAAGGTAGCCACCCATAAAGACGAGCCCAGCCTCCACCGCCATTGCCCTCGTTCTGATCATTGAGCTGGTCCAAATTCACCGCGTTCAGAGCCTGATGTGGTTGTGGTGGGCGTGCTGGCAGAGGATAGCCCGCGTATGCGGGCCGCTGAGGCGGTTGGTGCTGAGCTGGTAACGCAGGCGGCGCTAGTGGCTGTATGAGTGCATCCAGATCTGCTTCCCAGCGTGCGAATTCACCATTCATGCGCTGCTCTTCTCTTTGAGGAAAATTAGCATAATCACCGAGGTCTGGCAACCCCATGTGCAGACCATGGAAGTTCTGCTGTTGGTTGTCGCGAAGCTGCAGCTGAGCAGGCAGGTAAGCGTTGAAATTTGGCAGATCTCGGGCTTGATCAATGCGTACGTGGTCCATTTCTGGCATGGGAGGCGGCTGCCTGCCTGCGTTGCCTCGTACAGCCGCACGGGCTCTGGCCACCTCATGCATCGCTCGCTGATCTCGCTGTGCACGTTGCGCAACGGCACCTGGTCCATACATACCAGCAGCCCGCTGAAATAGAGGCGGCTCACGAGGCAATTCATTACCTGCTGGAAGTGCTCGCATAGCGGCGGCAACATCGCGGAGACGTTGACCAGCAACATGAAGGTCCGCAAGATGTTGCTGTAGACCATGGCGATCTCCTTCCAAGGCAAGCCCAGCACTAATATCGTTGTCTGGCTGTGCCCTAGGTTTCTTCGCTTTGCCAGTTTCGATCTGAAGCAGATTCACGTCCAGATCCGCATTCTGAGCTTTCACTTTCTTGATGGCTTCAAGCTCCGCAGCATCCGCTTCTTCATCGTGTAGGGCATTCGTGTTCCGATCGTAGAGCTGACACTTGCTACCCGGCTTATTGAAATGCTCATAACCTGTTCGGGAGATATCTATCTTGCATAGATAACACATTAGACACCCGCACTGCGTGCAAGCCATCTTGTTGCAGCCGTGTTCTTTCATGATCTTGACCTTACACTTCGGACATGGCCTCATGACTGACTCAGAACGCGCTTCTTCGACAAGATGGCGCTCAGACAGACCTCGTTCGGCCCTGACCTCTTCGCAACTTTTCGGAACGTGAGCATCCTGTCTGCACTTTCGACATGAGGCACGGCGGCAATCTGGGTTGAAGCATTGAAAAACCACAGCAGTCTCAACAGGATCCATGATGGCTCTGAACTCACAGTAGGGACACTGTTCGAGTCCTTCCAAGTCAGCGGCAGCAATTTCAGCCTGCTGTTGGTTAAGAGCTAACCTATCCACTGTCTTGATCGGCACAGCTTGTCCGACGCCCTCAGGATCAAGTGCGGCCTTGCAGCCACTCTCATCCATGCAAAGCATTTCGTATTTGAGCATGCCAGCCTGCGTCTCAGCTAGCTGTGCAACGCAAGAGAAACAGAAGAAGTGACCATTCTCGCCTGTGCAAATTACAGCACGGTTCATGGGAGTCTCTGTGTCGAAACAGACTCGGCACTCCACGAGCCAGCCATTGGCGCGGTGTTGCTCAAGATTAGCTTCTTCAGCAGCAGCATCTTTCTGTTTCTCATTGCTCTTGATTGTTTCCCGTTCAATGTGCTGTTTGGCAGCTTGTATCTCATTTATCCAGTGAGGATAGGCTTCGTGGTCACGCAGCTCATGCGTCTTTTTTGTGTACTTCTTCTCGATGTTTTGTCTAGGCTGTTTCATGCGCCGATAAGGCCTCTGAGACGACGGGAGGCTGTAGTAGTTGGTATCCAACGCGTGAATGTGAAGGTACGACTCGTAGATGCTTGTCTTCTCTTCAACAACCTTGAAAATGTAGCACGTAGGTACGTGGCGGAATTGCCATGCTAGTAACATGACGGCCTCCTTTAGATACGATGGTCGTTGTTGAAAGTGCTTGTTGAAAGGGATAGTTACACCTGTGCCATCTGGAGAGGGCTCTGTGGTTGGCTTCTTGTCCTTTCTGTCCGCTTTGTTATAGTCTGGTAGTTCGAGAAAATGACTGATCAATAGATCTGCCGATAGCTGCTCCGGGGCCAGTTGTGGATTCTGACGAGAAAGCAAGTTGAATTGTTCTCGGACGAAGGCGTGCTCGATATCAGGTAGGATCTCGAGAGCCGCACTCAATGCTTGATCCTCGCATTTGCGAAAGTGACTCTCCTGCGGGGAGAGGTCTACTGACTGTGACACCTGACTGATTGCTGCGGGCTCACGATCCCATTTTTCGCATAGCTCCTTGTGACCTTCAAACGTACCGATTGCGACGGGGAAGCGCTCGAAGCCCGATCCGCGGTACATGTGCATATCAAGTTCTGCATCGTAGTAATACGGGGGTTCGGTTTCTTCCTTTGTGCGTGCGGCAGGCTGTAGGGGACCGCTGTAATCGCTGTAATCAGGATGAGGGCGAGTGTGGCCACGGCGAGCGATGTCGGGCAATCTCTCGGGCTGCTCCGTTTTGAATGGCCTGGTCGGTGGAGATACTTTGTCGCGAGGTTGAAGATGATGTTCGTGATGCAATTTTGGTCGCTTAGTTGGTCGTGCCCTGACGCGAGCAGGCTGATCGAGACTGAAAGTCTCGTCTGAATCAGAGAGCATGGCCGGGTCTGAGATCGAGCCGCCTCCTACGGGAACGCGCGGGTCAGGTGTGTCGGGTCTTTGCAGTGGACTGCGATGGTACTGATGCCGAGAAGGCTCAATGGAGTCCGAATCGTCAGAAATTTCTACAAGATCTGGACGTGGTCGGGCAGTTGCGACCGATCGGAAGTCTCGTGGTGGTTTAGTGTGTGCATTGTTCAGCCGAAGCCCCGCCATCTTACTAGATAAGCTATTAGTATGCTGGCCGAGAGAAGCGTCAAGTTGCTGAAGAGCATTTTTGAATGCCATGGTGACGCGCGTGGTGAAATGAGGCTCAGTTTGGAAGTGAATCTGCCTAGTCTTCCGCCTGATTCTTACGGCAATGAGGATGGAAGCTCTTCTCTTGTCACTTTCCAGAGGCAGAGAGAGGAAGAAACATACTTGGGGGCACTTTGGCAATAGAAGTCTTTCAGGCTGCATCTGGGTGTAGCGGAGAGGAGCGCGTTCGTAAGGCGGGGTCGCAAGGTTCACAGCGTGGGCTGTGAAAGTATTTTGGTAGAACCAGACTTGTAAAGAGTGGATCAGATCATAAATGTACTGGTTGCACCTCGACTAGTCGTCCTGCTGCTGCTGGTTCGCGTTGCCTGGTACAGCCCCGCGCAAGGCTGAAATGAAGGCGGTCCGATTACAGACCCAGTAAGCCTGAAGTCCCTCTGCTACTCCCTGACAGAGATGCCAGAGCAACAGCTCTTATATGGTGAACAACTCCAGTACACCGTTGCATCATCGCGAGTGAATGAGGGCGTTCAGAAGGCCAACTTTCGAGAGACGAGTGACTGGTTGAGGTCGAAAGGGGCCCAGCCAATCCCAATGGCGGCTCGACCGTTCAGTCTTGGCAATCAAGACAGGAGCGCCGCAGCGTGACGCCCGGCTGTTCACCGGTCATACATTACTGGAGTGGTCGCCTCGTCTATATAGTGAGCTGAGGATGAAGGTCATCATAGCATCAAGAACAGCATGATTAGCCTTCATCGATCGACGCGATGCCGCGACTCGCTTATCGCTACCAGCTGCCCTTTACGGCCGTTCCCGCAAGACGGAAACTCCCTAATGCGAACGGTTATTCAAGGAAACCTATTGTCGTCGTCGACAGCCAATCCTGACGAGCGCTTGAGTTTCTTTGACCCAACGCTTTGATCATTCTGGAGCATTTCCACCTTCGAAGCGCACTGTTGCAATGTCACGGGGTACCCCGGGTTACGAGTTTTCAGGAAGCAGCAACTACTGACCCTGACACATCCCTGGTAACCGCAACTGCACGCCCTGCGATGAAAGGTTGAAGAAGCCCATCAAGGTTTGCTCTGCTGCCATACCCACAGGCTGTTCTGTTAGGTCTCTTTGCCTCAGTACCTAGACTATCGGCATATTCGTATCATTACTACCAGCTTCATTTAGTCCGCTCATTTTTATAGCCCAAAGAACGAGGACAGCATGGCAATCCCCGCAGTCCCTAACGGCGACACCGTCGTCGAGAAACCCGTAGCCGTCGATCCTTCCCAGCTTCCTTCCTCCAAGTCTTCCGATGTTCGACTCGTTCAGGCCACCCTTTCAGAGCACATACAATGCTCGCGACTAAATGCTGAGGAATGGAGAGGCCCATTGACTATTGAGCAATATCTCAAACGGGAGAAGCACCTTATGGCCCAGGAACTGACGAAAGATGGGAAGGAGGTGCCCTGGATACTTACAGATACCTCTTTGCCGGCAGATGAACATGGGAACAGAGCTATCCTTGCATCTTGCGAGACCATACCAACGCGAGCATACGTTGCTCGAGATGGTAAGGTCGATACGGTTCTGATTCATGGCATAGGATCTGTCTTTACACGTCCTGAGCACCGTGGCAAATCCTATGCATCACGTATGATGACGGAACTGGGAAAGACGCTGGACACATTTCAACAACCCAACGGTCACCGAAGCCTGTTCTCGGTGCTTTACTCGGACATTGGCCAGAACTTCTATTCTCGCTTCGGCTGGCAGGCATTCCCCTCTACTCACATTCGTCTTGGTCAGATGAGTTCAGCGACCTACCAAACAGCGAGTGAGGGCTTGCCCAGTGTGCAGGACCTGACATCAGCGGACTTGAGGACAATTCCCGCCAAACAGTACGTTCAAGATGAGCTACAGACTTTAGCTAGAACCATGCCGGGCGTATCGCTGGTGGCAGTTGCACCAAGCGTGGAGCACTTCGAATGGCATCATGCTCGGGAGGAATTCGTGTCCAAGGCTCTGGGTCGATCGCTCCCTCAGACCAAGGGAGCTATCCATGAGCCAACCGGCGTGGCTGTAATATGGTCGCGAACGTTCGCTGCGGAGAAAAGCTCTTGGACATTGCACATTCTGCATGTTGCTGTTCCGCCAAGTGTGAAAGGCTCTCAAGAAGGCCAGGCTGCTCTTGCTGCGCTACTGCTGAGAGCACAACACGAGGCATGCCGATCCGAAACACTTACCGGCGTTGAGGTTTGGGATCCGTCAGAAGATGTTATAGCTGCCGCCCAAAGCTTGCAGAAAGAGAAAGGAGACAAGATCGAGATTATTCATCGCGATCAGGATCATATCTGCAGTCTACGATGGATTGGACCGGAACCAGCCGGTCACCGAGTCGATTGGCGGTTCACTCAGAAATATGCATGGTGCTGAGAATGGCATCTACGGCCGCAAGGCAGTTGTTGGGAGGCTTGGTACCGCCATTAGACCGAGGCCTCTATAGTGATAGACGATGGCGCATGGACTGGATAGACGCGTGCCAAGTTGAAGCCTTCTGTCAAGCCGGAGCAGCCGGTGCCCAAGATATGCGCCGTATCCCGTATTGCGATTGTGGCTGCTCGTTCTTCGTATAAGATTTACCCTTGGCACAATGGTTGAACGTCCGGACATCAATGCGGCAACAAAGACATGGCAGTACTCAACGGTGTATTAAACCATTTGAGAAATGTTTTATTACAATACAGATTGACTTCGGGTGCTGCACGTGGGCGTGGCACATGCGAATTTTCTCCCTAGAACAGACCGTGCTGGCAAAAGTCGTCGACCCAACGGAGTTATTACCCAAACGTCGCATACAGAGAGCTAAGCATTTCTGGATCGATGCCCGTTCCACTCAGATGAGCAGCAATCTCTCAAGGGCCAAAAAGTTTCATGTTTCGCAACTCCTGCTGTGCCTGCTCGCATTTGCACCTCGGCTCGCGCGACGCGTGGATTACTACACTTTTTGTTGATTGCACATCAGTGGACTTGAAGTGGACAAGCGGGCCGTAAGTCTCTGCACCGGAACCTCAAACTTCCCAGCATCACTGGCTTCTTTCCTTGGGTGATCTCAGTATTTTGGTGGAGGAGCCGGTACTCGATTCATCCGTAGGCCAGTTGTCGTCTTTGTGGTTGTCGGTATAAAATGGCGGTACCTGTAGATCTCGATATTGATGCGATTCTGGACGCGGCCGAAACAGAACAGCGCACATCTAAGGACTCAGTCCCCATACCTACGCATAGCATCAACGGCGATATCAAAATGACAGCTCAAGCTCTGCCCAAAAATCCACTGGAAGGCTTCGTCAAGCTGCACGACAAAGTCCACATCTATGCACCATCGACATCACCGCCTGCCGATTGCAATGACCCTGGCTTCATCTTCTTCTGCTCATGGGCATTTGCACAGCCTCGTCACATTTCCAAGTACCTCAAGGGTTACCAGTCCATGTATCCTCACAGCACCATTCTGCTGGTCCAGAACCAGATAAACAACATGCTCTTTAGTCCGGACTCCTGGCAATTTGCAGCCTACTTCAATCTGGCTGCGCAGCAACTGCACTCGTACATTGACTCTCTCGGCTCCGCCACGCCGCGTATTCTCCTCCAGACCTTCTCCAATGGTGGTTCCCACAGCGCTGTGCAAACAGCCGAGGCCTACAAGAAGCAGTACGGCTCCGACCTTCCCATCTCCGCCATGATCCTGGACAGCACGCCGGGCAAGCCACATTGGATGGAGACTGCGAGCGCAATGATGCAAGGATTGCCCAAATCGGTCCCAGTACGAGCAGTTGGCGCGGTGGCGATTCAAACCACACTTGCGGTGACAACGTTGATGCATGTTACCGGGATCGCAGAGCTGGCAACGTGGAAGTTATACCGCACGCTCAACGATCCGAATGAGGCATTCCTTAAGGCGCACATCCCTCGGACATACATTCACAGCCAGAAGGATGTCATGATTCTATCCAGAGATGTCGAGGCCCACGCAGAGATTGCAAAGACTCGTTTACAAGAGAAGGCCGCAGAGGGTGACATGGTTAGGGTGGAGGAATTTGTTGATACAGTACATGTCAATCACATGGCTTCGGATCCGGCCAGGTATTGGAAGATTGTGCAGGATACATGGGACAAGGCACTGCGGTAAGATATCAGGTATTTGAGACGTGAGAGGGACACCGAGATGGGAGTGAAACTGGATGACACATTTATTGCCTGCGATGTCTTTTCTGCCACCGTCTGAGCGTTATAGACTGCAGATACCCGATACACCAATATACCTACTTTCGATCTGCCCTATGCCACGGAGAGAAGCCACTCTGACAATTACTCGGCGGCTATTGGCGGTGCCTGGCCCCCCGGAAAAGTTGCCCCGGGGATTTTAACGTTCCATGACGTCTTCACTCAACGTCACTTGCTGCACTTTTCTTCCCTCCACGCACCTCGGCATTATTCGCTGGCTGCGGCAGGTACAAACGGAGCTCTGGAACTGTGTTTCCATTCCAGCTCTCACCTTGTTTTTCTCAGGAGCACCAGTCAGTCCTTTCTATCTCACCCAAACTCTCAAATTTACCCACAGCGGTCACAGAATCTCGAAACCTACGCCGATCAACATGTCCTACCTCGCACGCTCTCTCCGCTCGTCCAGAGCTCCCACCGCTCGACTTCTCGTTTCCCGCACCGCCGTTGCGCCGTTTCATGACACCTCAATAAGGCGTGCTTTGTCCGAAGCTGACAGTCGTATGTGCCCTTGCTCTTTGCCTTCCCTATACACATAAACCTCATTTTGGGCTCAAGATTGAGACCTCCACCTCGTTGCGTCGCAGCTCGGCCCAAATCCCTCTTCCCGCAAATCCAACCTCACCCCTCCATTGGTTTTTCGTCAAGCGCGTCCACTTCACACTCACCTTTACACTCTAACACTAGCCGCCGGCCAACCGCGAACAGACGACGACGGTCGCGAATCCAAGATCGATACACACAAGCACGACTCGGTGTCGCGCGCCAGGTCGGGGAAAGGGGAGTGGAAACCCGAGCTCGCTTCTTCGTCCGAGCAGGCAATCCAAGGAGAAAAGAACAACATGTCAATGGATGAGATGCAGAAAATGGGCGAGAAGAAGGCAGAGGAGGGAAAGACTCCCAGCGGCAGCTCGAGCTCGCACAAGGCTTGAGTCATCGAAGAGGCAAGGAGCAGAAGAGGGGTTTCCTGCGGCAGCAACCGTTATGGGAATTCGTGGATGCAGGTCGTGCTCTGTCGTTGGGAGGGGAAAATCGAGCGTCCAACATGGATGTTGACTCGTACGAAACCGGCACCTGTTCAGCTGGAGAATGTGGTCAGTTCAGGATTACGACATTGCGTTTTGTGCATAGCAGAACCAGCAGCATGGTATTAACTTGTTCAATATGACCGTCCAAAGCAGCTCGATATATGTCCTCTGTTCCACCATTTGTAGGCTCTCTCCGGCCCACAGACATCTCTCATCAATCATGAATCATAACATGTATTTGAAGCCTGCTCGCTCCCGCTCGCGCTCCCACTCTTTCTCCTCATCCACGGCCTCCGCGCCCATCAACCTCTCCTGCAACTCCACCTCCTCCCCACCACTCCCGTCCAAGCCCTCCGCCCTCTCATTCAACACCTTCAAATACCACCTCAGCCCAACCGCCAACGCCGCCACCCCAGCCATGAACGCCGCACTGGTCAACATGCCCCCGACGAAGAACGGCGACGCCGAAGCCGGAAACAAATGCACCCCGATCAGCGGCCCGCACTGGCCCAGCACATTCAATACCGTCATAGCCACGCCTTTCCCCGTCCTGCCCCGCTGGTTATTGAGCGTCCACGTAATGACCATGACCACGCTCGCAAACATGCCCATGGCGGCCGGCCACACGAGCACGTAGCGCACCCAGCGCTCGCCGCCCCCCTCCGTCGCGATCCAGCCGCGGCGCGCGCACCAGCCTACGAGTCCAATGGCCGCATACGCGGATGCGCTCAGGCCCGCGGCGCCCGCGAGGAAGAGGCCGCGCGAGTGCGGGACGCGGTCGCTGCGGCGGCTGAGGAGGAGCACGAAGGCGAAGGCGGCGAGGTAGGGCGGGGCGGAGAGGGCTTGGCTCGCGAGCGGGGAGAAGGCCATGCTGTTGATGACCGTGGGGAGGAAGACGGGGAGGGAGGCGAAGGAGACGTTGACGCTGAGGAACATTAGGGCCTGTAGGTACGGGAGAGGCGTCGAGAGCGTGCCGCGCACTTCGGCTAGGAAGCCGCGCCAACCCGCCGTCTTTGGGCCGCTGCCGCCACCTCCTGCGGTGGTGGTGCTGGAGGCCATGCTGGCAGTGTGTCCTCTGCTAGATGAGGCTTCGGCCTCGTCCTGCAGTCTCAGGACCGCCACGCGCCGCTCCCGAGGACTCAGCCACTTTGCGGAGCCGGGGCTGTCGGGGACCCATGCGCCCCAGAGGGCGGCAACGCCCACGAGCACGCTGGGAAAGCCTTCAACAAGGAAGAGCACCCGCCAGCCCTCCACGGGCTCGCCGAACAGGCGATTCAGCCACAGGATGGCCCAGGCGAGCGCGCTGGCGAAGCTGGTCGCGAGGGGCGCGGCGCTGATCTGCAGGCCGACGCGGTACGCGAGCTCAGAGCGGCGATAGAAGAAGGTCATGTAGAAGGGAACACCTGGCCCAAATGCCGCTTCGGTGACGCCGAGCACGGCGCGTAGAATCAAGAGGTGAGGGAAGCTGAGGGCGAGGGATTGCAGAGATGCAGTGAGGCCCCATGACAGGACGCAGGCGGGGATATCTGTCCGAGGAAAGCGCTGTCAGTGAAAGGAAAAAAGGCATATGTCAAGCAGCACTTACAGATCCGCGGCGGCAAAACCTTGTACAGCAGTATCATCCACTCAAAGCCAATATACGTGATGTAGAACGCCGTGAGCAGCCAGTCGAACTGGCTGGAGCTCAGTGACAGCGACTCCTCCAAGCCCGCGATCCTGGCGTTGCCAATATTCGATCGGTCCAGGAAAGACAAAAGATACAGCGCCGCGAGGAACAGCGTAAGGCGGCGGTCGAGCTTGCGCACCACCTGCGCTTCTTCGGCAGCGGTGTAGTTTTTGGAGAGCGTGTTGACGCGGCGCGGCTTGATGAAGGTGGCCGAGGAGGGCTCGTCGTTGTCTGTATCTGACAGAGAGGAGGCCGCCGCATCGTCGTGCTCAGCGTCTCGTGAGGGCCGTTGGCGTGTGTGGTGCAGCCGGCGAAGCTCCACGGCAGCGGCGGTGTCGTCGAGGTCGTGCGAGGCACGTGCGCCGTGCACGATCTTCGAGTCTGTATCTGTACGCGCGTCTCCATCACCGCTGGGTTTCATCCAAGATCCCGACGCCATAGTTCTGGTTACTATTTCTCCTGAACACTTGCAGCGGTGGGCGCACTACAGTTGCGCAGGTATATCGCACGGCACCCGCTTTCGAATCTTTCATTAGCCGCCATGAACGAGCGTGAGATGTAAAATCTCTCGTTCGAGGATTCACACCATGGCGCGCCTGAAGTTAAGAAATACAGTTTATACTGCCTCTTCAGGAAGATACAAACTTCCTGCGAGGTCGGAGTTGAGCCAACCTGGAAATCATGGCTCCTCGGTCCCGGTGGTGGAGATCCCGCGTGCGAGTTCACCGCTGCGCTTGATTGGTGCCTAGAGAAATCCATCCGGGGCAAGGCTGGCATGGAGACAGGCAAGACGGGGCTAACTCTGGGGGGAAATGACAGGATGGAGACAGGGATCGGAGATGGCAACGTTATTACAACTCATCGTATTCTCTACTCTCAGAGATGAGTCGACACGAAAATGGACAGAACCCAAGTGCTCTCCCAAGCGCGACCTCTTTGCGGTCCAAACTCGCCCTGGAACCCAGATTCATCTGTCCTCAACAACGCCAACATCCGGCAGTACAGGCCATTCACACGCCTCAACACCTTGCTTGAATCATCAGATCCAGCGCGTTTACATCCAAGTTTCCGTTTCGATCGTGGCAGCTGCAACTCAAACTCCCACTAGGCGTCCGGTTTGTAGCTATCGACGACTCTGTCTTCGCGGTAACCGTAGGGGATGCCGCTGTGACCTCTGGCACCGCAGCCTTGACCTCGGCCCTTGACGCGAATACCTCTTTCGTCGACCTTGTCGCGACCTCGCTCTCCGCGCTCGGCAGGGGGAGACTGCGAGCGGCGAAGACGATCTTTACCCTCTGCACGTCGGACGTATGGCTCGTGGGACACCTCCCGCCAGTTTTCATTCTCTCTTGCACGTCGCGGGCCTGCAGGGCGGCGGAATTCGTGCTGGAAGCGGCGTGATTCGCCTCGACCACCGTGGCCGTTAGTCTGCTGCTCGTTGGTGGCATACCCAATGTCGAACTTTCTGACTCTTCCCGTCAAGTTCTGGACGACCTGCTTCGCAGTCTCGTACATGGCTTCAATCTCCGATAACTTGCCGCGATCGATGTCGGTCTCTTTGAGATAAGCGATGGTATTCTCGGCGGTGTCGCGCAAATATTTCGCGGCTCGAAGTGTCTGGTCATCATGACGCGACTCGACGTCAAAGTACTCGCTGACCGCCAACTCATAGGTGCTGATAAGACGCTTGAGGCCAGGCTGGTTTCTTGCGCCGAGCTGGCTGACATCGATGGGAGAGGAAGAGCGCCCGCCTTGAAGAGTGCCATCGTCAGGATAATACTCATAGTAGTCGGCTATGCATAATTGTGAGTACGCTTCTGCAATGAAAGACTGGCACTTACCGTCGAAAGGAAGCACGGCGAACTTAGCCATATCATACATGGATTCGGTCGGTGAAGCGATGGCAGGATCGTAGTCGCACCAGTATTGACAAAAGAATTGAAAGGGAATCGCACTTCCAATGTCGTTGCCGTTCCGAGTGATAACGAGGAGTGCTTTGTCGAAGATCGTGACCTGGCAATCGTCGAAATCTTGAGAACGGGCAGTGACCATTCGAACCTGGCGAGCGATGACGCGGGTGAAGAGCGGGTAGGTATTGAGGAAGCGCTGCATCTTGGGTGGCATGGTATGAAGCTGGTTAGCCTCGCTAATGAGGCGCTCAACCTCATTATCGGGACTCAGGCGAGTTCGGCTAGGGAGAGAGTACGAAGTCATCGCTGTGACTCGACTTGTATTGGTTGCGAAAGGATGGTGTGTAAGTGAAGCCTCTGCGGCAGAAGCGAGCAATGCAATGGTAAGTTCAGAGGAAAAGACAGTGTCGCAAGTCAATAAGTGGGCGAGGTTGCCAACTGCAACAATGTCACTCTGTCATGTTGGAAAGAAAGACAGACAGACAGCTAGCTGCCTGGGAACAAAACAACGCGTACAGCAGGAGCAGCCGCGCATAAAGAGGTTACATCTCGCAAAGCATTAACAAGACTGTCACTCTTTCCTCACTTGTTCCTCGTTTCCTCACGTCACGCGCAAGGCGGCACCAGGCAGGCACACTCTCCTCTCCTGGCCAAGACACGAGGAGCCTCAGAGGACCCTATGTGGATGTACAGAGGACATCGCATCGGACGCTAAAATCATAGACTGGGTGCTGAAAGGAAAAGTTGGTTGTCAATCCGTTCGCACGATTAATGCCTCATTGTGTCTAGACAGCTTCTTGCTCACCGCACACATAAGCAACAGAGTAGCATATGAACGTTCAACAAGCAAGTCAAATGCTGAACATGTTGGCAATGCTGAAGCAAGAAATACTGACCATAAAGAGGTATCAGTTAGCACAGAGACTCGCAAATACAGACAGGCACTTTGAGTAATACTTATGATTCTGCAATCTAAGCGGGGATATCAGCGTGCCAGGAGTCATTTTCGAGCTAGCTGTAACGATAGCTTGCGCATGTCGTTGGGCCACGACCCGGTTCAGCTTGAAGGGCTGTTCTCCCTGCATCATGCTACCTCTGTGGTAAAATGATGTCTATCAGTACAAAGAAAATGGGGAATATCCGCCACGAATAAGGCTCACTCCTCGAACCCAACGCCATTCGCCTGCACTGATCATTGGATCGCACCACCCTTGCCTCCCAAACACAACTCGTCGGCTTCGCAGCGTACTCTGCAAGGTATCAAACTTTTGGGGTGGTAATCGAGAATAACGTGAGAAGGAACGTGAAGTTCGGGAATGTTGGTAGCACACAGGAAGTCGACGCTTAGGCAGCGTTAGCCTCTCCGCCAGACTCGCCCTCGGCGGTGCCGTTGGCGCCGTCCTTGCTGCGAGACTTCATGTAGTCATCATACACCGCCAGCGCCTCATCGACTTTGTTGCGAAGAGCAGCATCATCATCAACACTGATGCAGGTTAGCCGAGGTTCGTAGGAGGGGTAGAATGTACTTACAGAGACACGAGCTCGGAGTTGTCCATCTCAAGGAGCATACCGGTGATCTTGCCGGCAAGCTCGGGCTGAATCGCCTGAATTTTGGGGTAGATGGCCTCACCAAGCATCTGCTTCTGCTGTTGAGGAGGCATGGAACCAAGACCAGAGAGTGTGCTTGTGCCGCCAATGTCCTCACGGTTGGATTGGCCACGACCTTGAGGAGCAGGGCGACCGCCCATAGGAGGCATGCCCTGCATGCCACCACGGCCACCCTGAGGGAAGTTCTGCTGACCGCCACGGGGGTTTTGCATACCTTGCATGCCAGGAGTCATGCCCTGCATGCCCATTTGACCACGACCAGCCTGGCCACGACCGCCCTGCTGCTGCTGTTGTTGCTGCATCTGCGCCATCTGAGCGAGCGCTTGAGGGTTGTACATGCCGTTGGCGGCAAGAGCAGGGTTCTGCAGGAATGGCATCTGGCCAGGAATGCCGAATTGAGGAGGCATTTGCTGACCTTGGGGCATGCCACGGCCCTGTTGAGGGAACTGACCAGGGAACTGACCACGGCCTCCCTGCATGCCAGGCATCATCATACCAGGCTGGGCAGCGAACGGCAAACCACCACGCTGAGCACCCGGGCCAGGCATGAATTGCTGGCCGGGACCGTAGAAGACAGGAGGTTGCATGTATCCTTGAGGCATGCCGGCAGCGGCAGCCTGCTGCTGCTGGCGCAGAGTGTTGCGAGCCTGGATGCTAGCCTCAAGCTGGTTCTTGCGGACATCTTTGCGCTGGGCAAGGGCAACATAGAGGGGCTTGCCGTTGACCATCTTCTGGTTCATCTCGGACACGGCCTTGGAGGCTTCATCCGGGTTGCTAAAGCAGACGAAGCCGAAGCCCTTGCTCTTACCGAAGTGGCGCTGAAGAGTCTTGCCATCCTTCTTAATCTCCTTGACGTCTTCTTTGTCGTCTTCTTTATCGTCTCCATCCTCCTTCTCCTCGTCTTTCTTAGCATCGTCGGCAGGCTTCTCGGCCTCTTCGTGCTTGTTCTCCTTGTCCTTTTCTTCGTCGTCAGAGACGGCAGTATCGGTCGCGTCACGCATGACCTTAGCAGAAGTGATGGTGCCATAGGCGCTGAAAAGGTCACGCAGCTTCTCGTCATCAACATCGTCGGTCAGATTCTTGATGTAGAGATTGACTCCCTGATATTTGGAGGCCTTCTCCATGCGCTGCTGCTCGTACTGCTTGCGCAGCTCTTCCTCGCGTTCGTGCTTCTTCTGGGCACGGCCAACGTACAGGTTCTTGCCGTGGAAGTCCTTGTCGTTGAGCTCGTCCACGGCCTTGGAAGCGGACTCATGGGTGGTGTAGTTAACAAACCCGAAGCCACGGCTCTTGCCAGTCTCATCGCGAGTAATAGTGGCAGAGATGACATCGCCGTATTGCTCAAAGAGCTTGGTGAAATCGTCATCTGACACGGACTCGTCGATGTTCTTGATGTAGACGTTGGTGAAATTGGCCTTCATCTCCTCAAACTTGGACATGCGGTCGCGCTTGGGGATGTGATGGCCGACAAAGACCTTCTTGTCGTTGAGCAACATTCCATTGACGGATTTGATAGCATTGTTGGCGGCCTCGGCGGTCTCGTAGTGGACGAAGCCATAGCCCTTGGAGTTGCCCAACTCATCTTGAGCAACCTTGCAACTAAGAATATTGCCGAACTGGGAAAAAGTATCGTGCAAAGCCTTGTTATCAATGGCAGCGTCGAGGTTCTTGATGAAGACATTGCCTTGGCCAGTCTTGCGCAGAGCAGGGTCACGCTGCGACCACATGATGCGGCATGGCTTGCCCTTGATGCTGGTGTAGTTCAGGTCATCGAGAGCGCGCTCGCCGTCGGCGGTGTTGTTGTAGTTAACGTAGGCATATCCGAGGGAACGACGGGTGACAGCGTCACGGCAGACGCGGATGGAGGCGACCTGGCCGATAGAAGAGAAGAGTTCGAAGAGCATAGCCTCAGTGACGGAAGTGTCGAGCTCGCCGACATAGAGAGAGGCGGAGTGGCTGGCGTTGGGAGCGGCAGATTGAGGAGTCTGTTCACCGCTCTCACCGGCGCCCTCGTTCGGAACGTTGGTGTTGAGGGTGGTACCGTTTTGAGCGGGAGCATCGGCCTGAGCCTCAGCGGCGGTGTTGCTTGCAACTTCAGCAGACATGGTCTAGACGGTTGTTAGCAGTAAGTTCGTTGTGAAGTGCGGCCGAGTCTCAGCGCACAGGCCCAGGAAATAGTAGCAACTCACGACAAGGTATTGACAAGTTTCCAAACGAACGGGAGAGGGTATCGATGTTCGTAAGAAGCTATGAGTTGCTGAGGATAAGTGTTGAAGTCGATCGGCTGCGGAAAGTCAGCACATGTGGCCGAGTCGGTGGTTAGGCGGTAGGGAAAAGGGTGCGCAGGCGAGCGGCAGACTTACTTGACGACTCAATGGGCTTTTCTGTGGTTTTCAAGTTTTTTTGGGTTGTGCGGAGGGGTTTATGCGACGGAAAGCGCAGAAAAGATCGAATGCGACGTACAACAGACGACCAAGAGGGGTGATGTGTAGTATGGAGATGGCAGAGGAATTCGTGGTAGCAAAGAAATCGCCAGAACAAAAAGTCGCAGCCAGAGAATTTGGCAAGAGCGCTAGGCCGAGAGTGGGAAGGCGTGATCACCGTTGCAGCCAACCACGCTAACACACCTGACTGCTGCCTTGTGAGTCGTGCCTGCCCGTCAAGTTGCCTCCTTTGCCTCCTGTCAGTTTCTAGCGACCTGCTTCCTTCTACGCCGTCGCCGTCGACTAAGCAGGACGGTAGCATGACTTGTGCGTCGGTCAGGAGGCACGAGCGGTTCCTAGTTTGGCCGGGCTCTTGTCCATCTCAACTTCCTTCACTACGCCTTCCCTTCAAAGGTCCGCTTCTAATACAGTCACATGCACCGGTGACAGGTGCCGTGTCATTCCGGACCGGATGTATCTGTTGATTCTTTTATCATGTGCACGGGCCACTACTCAGGTTGCAGGACTGTTCAATGTATACAGCGTTGACGATAATCCATTGCCAGGTTCTTCAGCTTGGTTGCAGCTCAACATACTCTCCAGTCAGACTTACAAACAAGCAAGCCATTGATTACGCGTCTATAGCGTGAGCGAGGAGGCTACTGAGAACCGGGGTGATGATCTGGCGGCATGCTGGAGGATACCAGGTCCATTCAATCTCTATCTCACAATCGCAAGTAGCTGGCTTGAGTGTTGTGCAGTGTCCCTACATTGGAGACATGCCTATACAAAATCTAGCAGCTGCTTTGGTGCAGGTAATCCTGCTACTCTGCTTGACTGTAGAAGGCAATCTCTTGGCGGTATCTCGGACAAGAGTGCCGCAGCCCCACAGTTTGGAATAGACACTGTATCTCTGAGGCTGTAGCGCATGGTTGTTGTTTCCTTACACTAGAGGTACATCATTCGCCTTAATAGACCTTGACTTGCCTATTGCTGTACGGAAAAGGTATGAACTAAAGTATATTGTCTGCTGAGACGAAGGCAGCGTGTGAGAGACGTATGGTCATGCCAAGCGTTTGCTGCCTCCTTCCCAGCACAAATATTTGAAGATGTCTAGTCGGACACCTGCTCGTTCTCTCCACCCACGTTCAATACCGTGGTTCCTGAACTATTCCACAAAAGCTGGGCCGCTTGAGACGATCATTTGCCCTTAATTTTGAATAGCATTGCATTTGAGAACCGCGGAAACCTCTGCGCAAGCCCCTCATCAACGAGACGAGGCTGCCGCCAAAAGGGACAATCGAGATGGCTACATCAACCGCTCCGGAGTCCAAAGCGGACGCCGAGGCCCTGATACCACTCTTTCACCTCGAGAAGATCCTTAACCAAGGTACCTAGCCGCTGTCCGCCTTACGTTTCACCTTCTAATTCTGTCTTCACAGATCAGTCCGGTCGCCGCATCACCCTTCTCGGCAGCATCAGTCGCCGACCCGCCCTACTAATTCTTGAGCGCGCCGCCTTCACCTCGTCCGCCACATCAATTCCCCCTCTCCTCCAACGCATCACCTCCCTCGCCAACCTCGGCGCCAACGACATCTACCGCTGGTACATGTCATCCCTGTCCCCAGCCGCCCCACCCCTCCCCAACGCCTCAGAGCCCTCCCCCGAATCGACCGACCTCAAACTCAACCTCATCTATCCCTGCACCCCGAAACACCTCGCCAAATACACGCGCCAACGCCTCCGCCACGTGACCGAAACGCCCGAGATATACGCCACACACCTCCGGCCCTGGATTGCGCGCCAGCGCGCCGCCGGCCGCCTCGACTGGATCTTCAATATCCTCGACGGGCGCACCGAGCAGGAAGACGTGGTCCTGCGCTCCTCCTGGGACACGGACGACGGCTTCCTGCTGCTGCCGGACCTCAATTGGGACCGCAAGACGGTGTCGGCACTGCATCTGCTGGCGCTGGTGCAGCGGCGCGACATCTGGAGCCTGCGCGACCTGCGGAAGCGGCATGTGCCTTGGCTGAGGCGGCTGCGGGAGCAGGTCGTCAGGGGCGCGGGGGCGGCTGCAGGGTCGGAAGGCGTGAGCGAGGGCGTGCAGGAGGATGAGTTGAAGTGCTATGTGCATTATCAACCGACGTACTATCATTTTCACGTGCATGTGGTGCATGTCATGTTGGAGGCGGAAGGGGGTACGCAAAATGTGGGGAAGGCGTGGGAGTTGGGTGGGTTGATCGCGACGTTGGAGGGGATGCAGAACGATGAGGATGGATTGGACGGCGTCGAGGTCAGCTATGTGGTTGGAGAGGAGAGTGACTTGTGGAAAGGCCTTTGGGGACCTCTGAAACAGGGTGAGACCCCCACGTTAAACCAGGCTGCGTAGGCAGAATAGCAAGTTTCTAGGACAGGGGAATTCACGGGCGGTGGTAGACGAGTCATAGACAGCTTGTGGTAGTAAGGAGAAATAGAGCGGATTGTCCGCATTGCTCATACTCTCCGTCAAGGCTCCAATGCCGCTGAACGTGTTTGTTGCGAGTTCACAAGGGTTCGACGGAATTGACGAGCAGAGTCCCCGGAATCACGGCTTGGGCACTCCTCCAAAACCTCTGCTATGGGTCCAGAGAGCCTGCATGTCAGTTTTTGTCGACTGTTGGTGCAACGGGTCCACGCGGAACTCGTACACAGCTCGGTTCATCGGAGGGAGTTTAGTGATAGAGCCACTACAGAAGGGGAATGGTCCAAAAAAAACACACGGCGCGAAGCAAGAAGATTATATGGCGTGAAGGTCATTCTGAATTCTGATCTCATCACGCGAGTAATCTAGGTCATCGGACAGCCAGTCCATCCTGATACTGAAAGTCGACATATTGTCTCAAGGCAGAAGGTGTATATAATGATGATACAGTGCCACAAGCCGCATCGCTGTTACGATGCCACCCTCCAATAATGTAGAAATCGAAGAAAGAACATCGCTGACTCGCTTGCTTTTACATGACCAATGTTCATGGAAAGGGGGGATGAAGGTGTGCTTGTGCGAGCTTATTCCTCAGCATAGCAAGTGAACTTGGTGGGCTTGCCGATGCGGCCAGTCCAGGTGCTGGTGAATGAAGCAGGGGCGGTGCTGCTGGGCTTCTGCTCGCCGACCTCGGGAGCAGGAGCGCCTGCGCCAGGGTTAGGGACGACGGGCTTGATGCTGTCATCACCCTCTTCTGCGGCGGGGACCTGAGGCGTTGGGACGGTCGAAGTCTCAACGACCTGGGTGGCCGCGGTGGGGGTGGCGGTGATGGACACGGAGCCGCCAGGAGGCTTGTTGCCGCCGGGGCGACCAGTGGGTTTGGGGCCGGATCCGCCAGTGGGATGAATGGTAGAGTTGCTATAGCCACCAGAGGGAAACGAGTAGCCCGAGGACGGGGCTGGAGCGGAGCCAGAGCCAGAGCCACCGCCCTCCATGAGAGGAGGACCAGGGATCTCGTACGAGGTCAGAGGGGGGTAGTAGATGTTCAGCTCAATACCAGGGTCAGTCCAAGAGTAAAACTCCTCGGCAGACTGGCCACCGGACATATCGTTGGTGCCTGAGCCACTGATCTCGACGTTGACACACTGAGGGTATGGCTGAGCACCATGCGACTCGTGCGCACTGTGGAGGGCAATGGTCTCGTGACGCCAGACGTACTTGCCAGGAGCAACATCAGAGGGCACCTTGACAACCCAAGTGTTGTTGTTGGTTCTCATGTCATCGGAAGCCCAGCTCCCAGGGGCGGGAGAGCCGTTGTTGAGACCGGCCTCGGCAACCTTGATGAACTTGAGCGAAGTCTTCTCGACGGTAGTGCAGTCACCACCGCAAGGGGCTAGGTAGTCGATCATAGGTCCGTGGTGAGCCTCAGGCCATTCAGTCCATTGGAACTCGAGAGTACCGCCGGCCGCGACCTTGACATAGGTCTGACCGTTGGTGGCGCCTCTATGGCAGACAATGTCGGGCCCGTTGAGGTCGGAGACGAAGCCTCTATCCTCGACAGTTGGAATGGACCATCCTGCAACGGTGGGAGGAGGGTTCCGGTATTTGAAACCCGGATCATAACCGAGGTTGTATTGACCATCAGCCACGATGCCGGTAACGATACCATGAGCTGCAGTCTTGGCTGCGAAAGCGAGGACGCCAGCAATGGCGGTGTTCTTGTTGATGACACACATTGTGGGGAGGTTCGCGGGTGTTTGAAACAGTTGCGGTGTGAAGGGACGAAAAGTCGGCTGTACCGGCTAGAGATCCAAAGAGAGTGATGGATCTGAGCTTCAATCAATGAAGCTAACGAAATGAATGAATGAATGAATGAATGTTATGGTCGACAGACCGTAGCGAATGACTGACTGCTGAATGAAGGAGACCTAGGCTCTGGAGAGGACAAGACAGAAGCGGTGAAAATGGCAAGCTATATACACAGGAAGACTTACGGGACGGCTGCTCTGCAGCGGGGCACGACACAGCTTGCCCATGCTGTCGACATGGAATTGATTTCGACGGGGTTGTTTCAAGTGAGACAACGTGATGACATACCTTGTACCTGAAATGCAGAATAGGCGAATCTACAAGGCGGCACAAATCATCAGGACAGAGTCGTCGGGCCACGAGGGGAGCCGGATTCGCTTGGTAGACAAGGGATTAGCGATGTGGCGTTGACTCTAGGCGAGATCGGGAGGCTGAAACTCGGTGTTATCTGAGAGACTCCCATTTCTGATTGAGTCGGCTGTCTGTGAAATGGGCTAGGTTATCGGGAGGCACAAAAAAGCTCTCCACGCAAATGCATAGCTAGAGCAGGGGCGAGCCACCAACTGACGTATCGGTGGCGCCCGGTCGCCTAATCCTGTACGGTTGACAGCAATAAGCAGGGAATAGTTTCCGATCCTTGCTGTGAAAGAGCAATGCGGGTGCAGATGAGGTGTTTCAAGGAGGCGAAGATCCATGTGCGGTCCAGATAGACGACGTCCTGCCAAGGCTCAATTGTTTCGGATTGGCTTATTTTGTGATTGGCCTGTCCCACGTCTGCACCGCCCTTTCCTGTTCATCAACACCAAGCTTACTGTTCACCAATATCATGTTGGCGTAGGCCTGTTGAAGCCCATCGCCGGCTGCACAACAGATCCACGCGAATTCCCGTCAATCCTGATGCTTTCAAGTGATCGAGCACCTTCGCCCTTTTGTTCTGGACCTCGATACCCAGAATTCAACACAGAGCCATCTCGTACGCTGACCCCTGCAACCATATGAGATTTTCACTAGAAAACAATCTCTATGGCCAGGATTTGCGCGCGGGAACCTTTTTGGGGAAAAAGTCACCCTGGAGCACGGGCATTATTGCTAGTCGACGCTCCTGGACGATCGTGGGGTCCACACTGATAGCTAAGCGTCCCCTGTTTTCTGCGTAAGGCTATCTCATCTGTGTTGCTGCATTACAAGCTCAGACGCTTTGAAGCTACTCTGGATGTTTGTCTGTGCTTGTTGAGCTCCGTCTGCGCCCTTTTGAGACCTCGAAGCTTGCCTCGAGCGTTCAACATACGGCCAACCCTCCGCTCTGACCAGCTCCGTGAGCTACATGTTTTCTCTGCTGAGACCGATATCTATTCGCGGTCAACAACAGCTTGACTCTGTATAGGGACCTTTGAACCGCTCATGTGATCGACCCTCGATGCAAACGCGAGGGAAAGAAACGAAAGGGGTGAAGATAAGTCCAGGTGAGCCATAATAGCCAGGCCGGGTCCCGTTCCACCCCTCGCTGTCGTCGCCGTTGTTGTGCGCTATTCCTCTTGGCATTCTCCTGTGCCCGGAAAACCTGTTCAGCCATTTCCTGTTCGATCTGCTCGAATTTCTCCAGGCTCTGGCATCTGCAGGAGGATTGCAGATAAGGGCCAAGGGTGGTGAGCGGCAGTATAAACGTACTACTTTCATGTTCTGTCAATTTGCTGAAGTTGAATCAGAGGTCAGCCTCAACTGGAAGTCCTTCTCGGTTTGGTCTAGCCGCTGCCGACTTCCTCATCTTAATTGATCCGTCATATCCACGAAGCCTAGTCAAGCACATAAACTCGAGGATCGAATACTGCACAATGGTAGCAGCTCCTCCTTGAAAAAGGAATGACTTGATCCGCCACGGACCGTCCAGCGACACGCAGCATACATGGTCCGAGTGTGGTCAATCAAAAACATGCTGCGGACTGCAGATTAGCATCTAACTCTGGCGTCCAACCTAGCCTTTGCGATCCGATCCAGTGTCATGTATCAATCGTGCAGCCCTCTGTCCAGATGCAGAAGTGACGCTCAATAGAGCAGGCAGAAGAGATGTGTGGGCACGACTATACAGGCGTGTATAAATTGCTTCTGTTGATAGGCGCATAAACTCGGAAGGTCTCGGTCAAGTGGGCTGCTCCATCGGCGAGCACTGGCCCAGCTGCAGACTTCACGCCCACATCTCGGCCTATCTAAGCTGGAGATACGCGAAGGCGAATGGACCATTGTCCTGTGGAAGATAGTCCATCAGATGGCGCTGGAGTGAATAAGGGAGTCATCCAGTCTCGAGCTCCGAAAACCTGAGATCCGGACATGAGGATAGTGTCGAGTTCCGTGGCTGCTGACTGATGGACCGGTGGTGTGATGCTACACACTGGCGCTGTCGAAGATGCACGTGCTGCAAGGCAACAAACACGCCACTGTCCGCCCGTCAATCTCCTAGCGACCCGCCAGCGGCGTGCGGCCATCGGCTATGGCAGGCGTCCAACCCCGAAGCATCGGCTCAGGTAAGGCGGTTGACCGGTGCCAAGATTACCCTGCGGCAATGGAGCTTTTGCCTACCATGTCCCATTTCCCGCTCCCATCTCTGGTGCCCGCTCGCCTATCCCTGTGCTTGCTCCAGATCCCCCAGACCTCTACGGACTGATGGAAACCCTATACTCAAGACCCCGGGAAACCATGGCCACCAGTACCCGGCGGCTTCGAGTGACCATGGCTCAGCATCATTGCTGTCTGTTCAGCCCGTCGCATTGTCGCCTCCAGGCTCTAGCCAAGTACGCCATGCGTCCGCTCAAACTTGGCGCCAACGACTTTCCCTTCTCTTCTTTGCCCGTGAACCAATCACGCCTTGTCCGTCACCGTCTTGTTCATCACACGCCCCGCAAAGCTTCCACCCGCACCACCGCCACATGCCTCTAGCGCCTTATCCCGGGCCTTCAAGCCCCGGACCTGCACCGTCATCGACTCTCCTCGTAGCGAGTTGGGCGACCAGCATCGTCGCGGGGTGAGGAAAAGATGCGTGGAGTCGCATTGCTGCTGGGGTGTGTTCGCGCATGGGTTTGATGCGCGAGATGGATTATAAATGCTCCTGTGTCCATCGTTCGTGATGTCGCTTCGACTCGCGCTCACCTCAACCCTCTCCTCCTTCCCTTTCTGCTTCACCTTCCCAAACACTGAGCTGTTGCTCTACTCCCTCCACCATGGCGGTTCCCAACCAGACACCCGCCGACGTTGTTCCAACGCACCATGACAGCAAGCCCGAGGTCCTCCATGTGAGTGACGAACGCGCCTCTTCCGACGAGGAGAAGTTCGGCAAGTCCACGAACAAAGATCAAGAACGCAACCAGCTTCTGGCCAACCTTGGCGACCCAGATGAGGGTAAGAGCGAGGAAGAGAGAAGGAAGATCGACCGCAAGTTGATGTGGAAGGTTGACTTGTGGATTGTGCCCTGGCTATCTCTGCTGTACGCCCATGACATCGCCCAAATCTCACACCAGAAGCATTCGCTGACGACTGCCTAGCTACCTGCTCTCCTTCTTGGACCGCACCAACATCGGCAACGCCCGCCTAGCCGGCATGGAAGAAGATCTCAACATGAGCGAGTCCGGCAGCGACTATAACATGTCACTGACGATTTTCTTCATCTCCTACGCTGTGGCCGAGCCCATCACCAACACGCTTCTCAAGCGACTGACACCCCGCATCTTCTTTACGGGCATCATTCTGCTCTGGGGTCTAATCATGACTCTCATGGGTCTCGTCACCAATTACTCTGGCCTACTCGCTGCACGGTGGTTCCTCGGTATCGCTGAGGCTGGTCTCTTCCCCGGTACGTACTCAGCCCAGCTTCTCAAAGCTTCAAATCCCACTGACATATCACAGGAGTTACATACTACCTATCCTGCTGGTACAAAGCGTCAGAAATCGGCCTCCGCAGCGCCCTCTTCTTCTCTGCCGCAGCCCTCGCGGGCTCCTTCGGCGGTCTCCTCGCAGCCGCCATCGCCCTGATGGACGGTATCGGCGGCAGGCCCGGCTGGGCGTGGATTTTCATCATCGAAGGTATCGCCACCGTTTTTGTTGGCTTTTTCTGCTGGTGGATGGTTTTCGACTGGCCCGACACTGCGTCCTTCCTGACTCCCGAGGAGCGCATCCGTGTGCAGCGCCGCATCATCCTGGACCGTCAGGGCCATACGGCCGAGGACTTTGACAAGCGTCATATCTACCAGGCGCTCAAGGATTGGAAGACGTATCTGTACATGGTCATCTACATGGGTTGCTTGACCCCGCTGTACGCTTTCAGTTTGTTCTTGCCGACGATCGTGCGTGGTATGGGTTACGCTGGTACTCGGGCGCAGTTGCTGACTGTGCCTCCGTACGCATGTGCCGCGGTCATGACGGTGGCGATCGGCTTCTTTGCGGACAGGACTCGTTGGCGCGGGTATTGCAATATGGCGACGGTTACGGTTGGCGCAGTAGGCTTCGTTATGCTGTTGAGCACGCCGAACGTGCAGGTTCAGTATGCCGGTGTCTTTCTCGGAGCCGTCGGCATCTACCCCACCATCCCGGTAAGTGCTTTTCCTCTCTTCTGCTCCTCCAGCAGAACCCCCCTCAAGCTAATTAGCCCCGAAACTAACTATGGCCAAATAGAACACCCTCGCCTGGGTCAGCAACAACACCGAAGGCTCGCTCAAGCGCGCCGTCGTCCTCGGCATGGTCGTCGGCTGGGGCAACCTCAACGGCGTCGTCTCGTCCAACATCTACATCTCGAGCGAACGCCCCCGCTTCTACACGGGCCACGGCGTCGTGCTGTCGTACCAGGTCGCCTTCCTCTTGGGCGGCAGCGTGCTGATGCACGTGCTGCTGGCGCTGGAGAACCGCAGGCGCCGCAGCGGCCGGCGCGACAATATGCTCGAAGGGCTGACGCAGGAGGAGAAGTGGATAAGGGGCGATAAGAGGCCGGATTTCATGTATACGCTGTAAGCGGGCGTGTGCGGGAGAGGGATTGCCGGCACCGCTTTTTTCGGTTCTTTCTTCGAGCGGAAATGGCAGTGAGGTTTGAGGTAGAACCGTGGCTGGGTGCGGCTTTGTGTTACGGCAATGTGATCGGGCGGTCGCTGGTCGCAGGCGGCGGAGCCCCCCTAAGACCGTAGGATACATTGGCTAGCCAAGAATGATTTAAGAGACGAGATATGAGTATCTATTTGCATGGCAAAAGACGAACGTATTGCAGGCATCATGGTGGACGTGACTAATTCTCAGGTGCTTTGAAGGTAGGCTGGTGAACTGTTACGACAATATGACCAGGTTTCTCATGATGGTCAATCTGCCAGTGAAAGCCGTATGATCATCGAGAGGACTATATGGCTTCAGTAAGGCCTTGATTAAAATATCGCCAACACGAGAACTCGTCCCTCTAGACGAACAGAGAAAAGCAACGCCAGTTGAAGTCTCCAGCGAGGGACTGCCAGCGCCATGCTGCGGGGGCAATGCAACAACAATAACAACCAAAGATAAATGACCATCCTCTAATATTCCTTCACGCATGAAACGGGAGTTCAATCCCGCTTCGCAGGCTGCACGGACTCCCTCTCCTTCTCCTTGGTGCTGCTGGGCGTGCTCCCACCCTCCGGGCTGCCGCTCAGGATCCCCACGCCCTCGTTGGGAGCCGCGCCGGTGATGTGACCGACGCCACCGCTCCCGATGCCGAAGAGCCTGCTCTCCTGCTCCTCGTCCACGTCGTGCAGGTACTTGAAGTCCAAGCCCTTGATCTCGTCTTCTTCGCTGGCGCGGATGTGGCAGCCGGGGATTTTGTTGATGATGAATAGCAGAATGCAGCTGATAGTGAAGGACCAGACGGCACAAGTGGTCGCGGCGGCGAGCTGGTAGCCCATCTGCTTCCAGTTGTGATCCCACCAGCCGCCGTCGTAGGAATCGCCAGACACACCGTCCAGGGCCGGGACGAACTTGGCGGCGAAGAAGCCGGTGAGGATGTCGCCGACGAAGCCGCCGACGCCGTGGATGGCGAAGATGTCGAGACCCTCGTCGATGCTGAGCAGGTACTTGTATTTGTTGGTGAAGAAGCAGCACGAGGACGTCATCAGTCCCACGAGAGCGGCGGTGTACACGGGAACGAAGCCTGCGGCGGGAGTGATGCCCACGAGACCGGAGATGATGCCGCTGCAGAAGCCCCAAATGGAGAACTTGCCGCTGTACAAGTACTCCAGAAGAACCCAGCCGATGCCGCCGCCACAAGCAGCAAGGTTAGTATTGATGACGACGTACACGCTTCTCAGGGACAAGTTGGCGGTACTGGCACCTGTTCGCTGTCAGCATGTTGATCACGTTCACGGCAGATGGTACGAACCATTAAACGCAAACCATCCGAACCAGATGAAGACTGTCCCAAGGCCCATCAAAAACGGATTGTGAGGCTTGTAGTGAATACCGCGCTTGCGGTCTGCGATAGTGCTGTCCGCAATGCGCGGGCCTAACATCATGGACCAAGCGAGTGCAGAGAACCCGGAGGCAATATGCACAGGTCCCGAGCCGGCAAAGTCGTACACTCCTAATTGGTACAGCCAGCCGTTGGGGTTCCATTCAAAATAGGCGAGCACGTAGTAAACGAAGGTGGTCCAGCATAGCAGGAACAGCATGGAGGGCCACAAACGCCCACGCTCCAACATGGCTCCCGCCAAGATCATAGCGGTGGCTGTGACGAAAGTGAAACCAAAACATGCGTAAAGAAGATCGGGGATGTCGGTGTTCGCAAGTGAGGGCTGGGCAAGGACGTTATGAAGAGCGGCCAGCGACCCATTGCCGAGGAAGGGATTGGTTGCGTGAGACTGGTACAGCGAATATCCATAGATCCAGAACTGAATACCGCATGCGGATGCGCAGAAGAGACTCTGGAAGATCATGGTCAAAGCAGCCTTTCGCCGATGCATGCCAGCGTAATAAAAGCCGATGGCGGGAGCTGTGATTTGATCAGTCGGTTGTAAAGGAGCAATAGTAAGAAGACATACTGATTTGCCAGCACAGAATGGTACAGACCAAGATCCAGCATAGATCTCCTTTATCGTAAGGCGAGGTGAGATCCTGGGTGAGAGGATCGCCGCCTTGAGGGTCGATACTGTACTCGGGCCATTCTTCTGGGATCGGCAGCGCATCCGACATCTTGAACACCTCCTGTAGCAGATAAATTGCTGAAGAACGATGATGGAGCACGTAGTCGCAGCGAAATGGAAGGCTAGAAAGAAGTACAGCCCGGCCTTACATATCTGACTGAGAGGATCTGTTAAGATGTTCTAGGTTCCCAGAGTCAAGCGAGCCAAGTGATATGGACAACCTGAGGGCCGTAGACTAAGGACATTTGAGGAAACGGTACCCTTCGATAGTGTTTGGCTGGGAGATGGTCGGCGCTTGACCTTACCAGTCTTCGCAGGTTGACACTTCATCGATAGGGGCCAGCCTCCTGAAGCCCGACGAAGGAGTACTATGCTCCACCGAGGCCCCAGGGTGTGGGATCATTCCTTTGGATTGGCCATGGTAGCGATACCAGATGCCGCCACGCAACGTGGTTCGGATACAGGGTTGATAAGCGGACCAGCGCAGGTCCAATCTAGTGGAAGCGTCGATGATAGGAAACAAGGGCGAAGGCGTCCAAAGGACATGTCCCAGCAATGAAGGTAGCACCTGCTCGGAATCTCTAGAAGATGACACAAGACGTTGAGCAAATGAGAAACCCCAGAGACGCATTCATGGGGAACGTCCTTATCTAGGTGGACCTTGCCCAGAGCGCAGGGTTCCGCTGAAAGAGCGTGCCTATCACTTGGCTGTACTTGGCTACGCCGGGGAAGTCTTGGGCGGGGAGCATAGATATTGAAAAGTGGGCAGTGTAGTGCGCTATGAGACGCAAGCCGTGGAACCGCGGAAGGTCGCGCTGTGGAGGAGGACGAGCACCTTTAATCCAGCATCGCTGCCACTGAGACTTGGAAAGTCGAGTTGCTAACCTGGAGCACGAATTAAAGTGGTGGCGAATGAAGAATATGCAAGGAAGAGAGCAAGTACAAAGGCGACCTTATCAAGAGGGAGGGCTGAAAACAGCATATTGGCTACGATTACGGAGTACAAGCTGAGAAGCCGAGTGTCGAGCGCTTTGTCGATCGAGACACCGCGGTGGATGGCGGAGGGCTTGGCATATGATTGGCAAGGCTGCGTTGGAGCCTTGTTGCCTCGGCTCCCTCACCACATGCACGCATCTGTAGACCCTTTACTCTAACACAAGCTGGCACGGCGTTGTCCAGATGGGAGTTGTGCCGCAGCAACATGGAGTACATCAGCTCCATCCAGTCCGAGGTTGACACTCTGAAGCCCTCCCTCTTCGAACTCCTCGCCGAACAGCAGCTTGCTGCACTCATTCCACCCTCCATCCGATACCTGCTAGCCATCACGACCCATCGCTATCCTCGTTATCTGCTGCGTATCCTGAACAACTACGACGAAGTCTATGCCGTCTTGAGCCTTGTGGTCGAGAAATATTACCTCAGAACATTCGGCGGATCTTTCACAGAGAACTTTTACGCCCTTAAGCGCGAGAAAGTCCTTGCCGTCAATGGCGGCGAAATCAAACGCACCCAGTTGGCTGTGCCAGCAGAGGTTCGCGAGCGGCTCAAGCTCTCTACAGTGGATGTCTGGAAGAATCTTGCCATCCTCGTCGGGATCCCATACTTGAAGCGTAAGCTAGATGAGAGCTACGACGTTCACATCGCCCCGTCTGCCTCGCTCTTGGGCCCACGATACCTCGACCGCGATGCTCTGCCTCCAAATCCCACGATTAAGCAGCGTCTCATGCACTACTACAAATACTTCCTCCGGCATGTCTATCCCTCAGTCAACGCTGCGTACTATTTCTCGATTCTTGCCTTTTCGCTTGCCTACCTCTTCGATGGTACGAAATACTCGTCCCCATTTCTCTGGCTTGCATCTACTCGCATGCGCCGCATGAACGATGCCGACTATCAGGCCATTGACGCCGCGTCCGAGGCAGCGCAGAAAGCTGTCACCGCAGCAGGCCGTCCTGGGCAGGGTCTGGCAGGAATGTTGCACCCTCGGACGCTCTACCCTCGCTTCCTATCCTCGCTACGCCTACTATTACCAACATCAATCTTTGCTCTAAAGTTCCTCGAATGGTGGCATCAATCCGATTTCTCTCGGCAACTTTCGCGAAAAGCTGCAGAAGGTCTCGAGCTCCCGCCACCTGTAGTTTCGGGTATGGATCTCGCAAGACAGCCTTACCAAGATGAAAAGCAGCGCGCTGCAACGGCCAACACATCAGCGAAGCGTGACCCACCTATAAGCAGCACATCGCTTCTACCTATCTTGACGGTCCCGCCTCCAGCATCGAGTGAGCTTTGCCCAATCTGCTTGCATCCTATCTCCAATGCAGCGGCATGTCAGACTGGCTATGTGTTTGATTACAAGTGTATCTTCCAGTGGATCGAGGGCAACCACGAGCGCCAGGAGGCGTTCATGAAGGGCCAGCGCAGTAATGAGTGGGATGACGAGAACGATCAACAAGAGAACGCGGAGAAAGGTAATGGCAATGGGAAAAGTCGGGAAGGGAAATGGGAGAGCGGGAAAGGGAGATGTGCGATTACGGGGCGCAGAGTCCTTGGTGGGACAGGAGGGCTACGAAGGGTTCTCGTGTGAATCGTCATTCACTTGAAGAGCCACGTCCACATCGAGACGGTGCCACCTCAGCTATGCGACCAGCTACAGGGACTCATTGAGAGTAAAGCTGCCAATTCGAGGCACTGACAACAATTCGCGGTCTCTTTTCCCGGCGCTCCGACCTCGCCCGCAAACGAAGGAACCTCATCTTAGCACAGAAGTGTGCCTTTGCGACATAGCAGCTAGCAACTCAGGCTCCCTATTGAGCTGGCGGACGTCACCTGTCGTGTCTCGTTAAGCGGGGAGACCGAGGTTTTGACACTACCGCAATCGTCTCCAACCATGGCGGTTGGTAGGAATCGGAACACTTCTGACACGTCCTGCGATGGCAAGTAACACTCTAGGTGCAATTCATTTCGATCAGTCTCATCTATCGAGGTCTTTGCAACAAGCAGTCGAGAGAGCAACTGACGGCAGACTCTTGGCCACAATCCGGCTAAACGCATATCACCCCTCACTACCCCAGGATTTAGACCTGACTACGCTATGCGCCATCCTCTCCGCAAACGGCCAAATTACTGCGGTATGATCTTCAGAACTGCCGGACAGATTCCCCATATCATGCCACTCAACTGTGCCTTTGGTCAGACGCATCCCACCGGGGAATGTCGATCATCGCGGGGAAGTTAGCGAAGAACTAGCAGTATGGCTCCCGGTGGGAGTCCATCATTCGGTAGGTATTCAAATTATACATGAGGTCTTGCTCTTCAGTCGATGTGCTTCATCGTAAGTCACAGACTCGTCACGATGGCGCGCCTCTATTCAGCTGCTACCTTCCTCGCCGCGGTCGCGGCATCGCCAACTTCGAGAGGTCGCTCTACCGGCACCGCAACGGTCGACCTTTCGAAAGATCATGGACCAGCTGCTGCACTGGGATCTGGCTTCATCTACGGCTTCCCTGACAATGGTACCTCCGTCTCAAACCAGGTGCCATCCCACTTTCTGACCGACATCTCATTTCGCACTTCTCGCGCCGGCGGTGCTCAGATCGACGCCAAAGGATGGTCAGCTGGTGGCCTTGAGGGCTACCAAGCGCGCTTCGATTCCGGGCTTTCAAACTACCGCACCACGCGACACTACGGCGGCGATTTCATTCTGCTCCCCCATGACATCTGGGGTGCTGACGGTGGACAGGGCGAGGAAAGCCACTACCCCGGCGATGACGGCAACTGGACGTCAATGGAGACCTTCCTTACACAGCTCACCTCCGACATGAAAGCGAACGACATGATCGAGGGAGTGGCCGTCGACCTCTGGAACGAGCCCGACATCGACATCTTCTGGAACCGCACCTGGGACCAATATCTCGAATACTGGCACCGCTCCTACGCCCTGTTCCGCGACCTCCTCCCCGAAGTCCTCATCAGCGGCCCCGCCATGGCCCACTCCCCCAACCTCACCGACCCAAACTGGCGATCCTGGCTCGCCACCGCCGAACACCACAATGCCATCCCCGACATCTACGCCTGGCATCAAATCGGCGACTGGGAGCGCGAGCCCGACACCACCATCCCGGTCTTCCACACCATGCGCCAGCAGCACCATCTCCCCCACCGCCCCATCGACATCAACGAATACGCCTGGCCGACCGAGCAGAACCCAGCCTCCTCAGCCTGGTACCTCGCGCAGCTGGAGCGGCACGACCTCCGCGGCCTGCGCGCCAACTGGGGCTCCGGGCCCGCCCTGCACGACTTCCTCGGCGGCCTGCTCGCCAACACCAGTGCAGGCAAATACTACCCCAACGGCGAGTGGCAGCTGTACAAATACTACGCGGGGATGCGCGGACGGCGCGCGTCGACCGCTGCGTCCGAGGATCTGCTCTTCGACGTCTTCGCCACCGTCGCAGACACCGACACCACCGGCGACGGCACCGCCGCCGCCGCCGCCGCAGTAGAGAAGCGCTCAGCCTCGCACATCACGATCCTCGCGGGCGCCCGCGCCGTACAGGCAGCAGCGACAGCGTACGACATCGCCATCTCAGGTCTAAACCCGAACGTCACGGCCGTGGAAGTGCGGACCTGGCGCTTCGACTGGGCTGGGCCGGAGGGCGAGGTCGGCAGGCCGAGGGATCTGGGCGTGCAGGAATACGTGGTTGGAGATGGGGAAGTGAGGTTGGTGTATGACCCGCCCGATAACGCGACGGCGTATGCGTATGAGTTTTTTGTTGGAAGTTGAGGAAGATGGGTGTTGGTGAGTGAGCCTTTTGGGGGGGGGGGAGCGGGCCGGGAAGGAGGGCGTGATGCGCTCTCGATTAGATCATGTGTGGGCAGATGGGTAGATATACAACGCATATGTGGACCTGTTACACACAAAACCAGTTCCGGCACCAGTACTGTGATGCATGAGCCACCCCATACCCAACCTTTGATATGTACCAATGGGCATATACGGCATCTGGCTCTTCGACGACAGCAGTCTCATTCCTCTTCGAACGTACGAAAACAAAGTCCAGAAAAGAGAAGCGGATCTGGTCTGAAGCGCATTCTGCGCGTATCATTAACTATGTGTATGTACAACTTTGTGGCCAATTCCTCGTACCACTGCGCGTGGCGTCTCTATCACCCGCAAACAAAAGGGTTTCCGCCGCTGCGCGACGCTTCGCCCTGGGTATCGATAGATTAATTCTGTACAGAAAAGTCATGTTTCTCGTGGTGATAGAGCTGTTCAAGCTCTCTGCTGAGTCGGTAGGCGGGCGGTCGGGGAAGGGGGGTCGGTCCCATGAGCGACGCCCGGGTGCTGCAAACCGACAGTTGTCGTCGAAAGGCGCAATCGCACGTCTTGCTGCGTGTTTCAGCCTCAATAGTCCTAATCTCTCTGCTCTTATACGTCCCTCTCGCGAAGCAGTCTGTCTGCTTCCTCATATCCTACGGCGATCAATAGTGGCGCTTCCCATGAAGCCCGTGGAAATCAGTAGTAGATCTTCTCCTCATAGATCGGTGGACGTTCATCGCTCGCATGATTCCACACGATCTTGCCCTTCTCATTCAGGTAGGCACCTTCGTCCGTCATGGGTGTCACTTTGTTGGTATGGACGCACTCCTGCGCCGACACGCCTAGCTCATCTCTCGGGATCCAGAGGAGCGGCACCGAGTCCGTGACAGCTGGGTGTTGATAGGCGTCACGCTCCTGTTCCGGTGTATAGTGGATGTCGGCAAAATCATGAGGGACAAGCTTGCGCATGGCATCGTAGTTGCAGTGGATGTCCGGGCGCAGCCATTTCTTCCAGAGGGACGCTTTGCCGTGGCCGGGATTGGTGGCACCGTTGACGGACTTCTCATTGGTAGCCTCGCTGTCGCGACCCTTGCCATCTACGTCATTGATGCTGTGTCCAAGGCCATTATGGCCGTAGGCGCCGTCATGCATAGCCATACCATCGTGATTCGCAAGCAATGCGGCCTCTTCAGCTTCGAGAGATCGAGGCAGGTAGTACAGCAGTGGCTGAATGGCACTGTTGAGCGAGACGTGGTACAATATCATGACAACCAGAAGAATGATTGACAACACCAAAGCTGGAGCCGCGAATTGGATGGCGGTAAGTCCAATAAGACAGATGACTGCCAGGTAGCAACCAACAAGCGTGTGGTTTAAAGCCTTCGCGTAGGTCAAACCTTTGGTGTCAACGTCTGACGTCTGGACGAAGAGCAGGTTGTATCGGTAGGCGATGTAGAAGATACACAGGCCGATTGTAGCGAAGCCCATGATCAGTGGTGCAATAGGCGAGTATGTGATCGCAATCACCGTCAGAAGTTCCTGGTATGGGTAGACAGTGCCCCAACCCATGCCCGCGAGATTGTACCAGCGGTTGTACATCTTGCGAGGGGTGCTGTCTAGGAGTCTGCCCAGCAGGTAGAACAGGACAAGACCCGAAAGCTGCACCAAAGTACCTGACGCTAGAGCCAAGCCTTGTAAGATGATGTAGGAAACGTAAAAATTTGATGCCTTGGGAATACTGGTGGCCAGAAGATTGGGAATGCTTCCAGGGTTTTTGAGAAGCGTGGGAACAGCGGAGCTGGCGGCAGATGACATGGTGGTGATCAGAAAGACCTGAACGACTTGGAACCAGAAGAAGGATTCGTGGCATCGTAGCTCAACAGCTGGCGTAGTCGGCTTGCCCGCCAGCTTGCCCATCAAGCGGAAGAATACAGGGACGAGCGAAACGAGGATGGCAAGCATGACCGATGGCAGCAAGCTCGTGACAACGCCAAGAATAACCTCGGGAACTGTATCTGCATTAGCGGTGTGTCGACGCATCGGTAGAAAGGACTTACTCGAGTTAATGAAGCTGAGGAAAGGCGCGATTCTGATCAAGTTGTCGATCTGTGAGATAGCACCAACCACGGCAACGGGAAACGACCAGAAGATAATCAAAGCCGTAGCAGCCGCAATGGAAACGACATTTCGGATCGTAGCGGTCTTCCAGGTCATGCCCAGGTTGCTCCAAATAACCTCGTCAGGGGTCATTCCAATCTGTCGAGGAGCCATGTGCAGGGCCTGGTGGTGGGTGACCATCTGATAAGCAGCCTGGGCCTGAGTTTGGTTGTGGAACTCAATAAAGACCGCGTTCCTTGGGTCGGCCTCACCAGAGCGATAAACGTTCTGGCCCTTCTCGATGAGAGGGTTGAGGCGAGCGATCTCTTCACGAGCCCAGTTGATGGTGTCGACTTTCTTGCCAATGATAGGCTTCAGCCGATGTGTCGGGCGGTCCTTGGGTCGGACCCACCGAGCAGCGACAGAGCCAGATTCGCCACTGATGTCTTGCGCATCAGGAGCCGTAGGGGCTTGCTGAGCGCCTCCCTTCTTTGCAGCCTTCAGTCGGGCTTTGGTGGCAAGCTTGACGAGCTTGGTTTCGGCACCCTCCAGCTTCGTGGCCGCCTTTTGACGATCTTTGACCATGTCCTCCAGCTCCTTGGTTTCAGACGCGATCCAGACATTCTTCAACTCCTGACCGAACATACGGCGGATCTTGTGTTCGTCGGCATATTCACGAGGCACAGCCTGGAACAGGACGGTGCGAGAGGAGATTCGATTGGCATAGAGGGGCGAGAGAAGATATGCCTGACGGAGACTGATGTAGAAGATGTATTCGCGGGTGACCATGAAGAAAATGAAGGCCATATAAATCCACGTGATACCGACATGAGCCAGGTAGCGAAGCTTCGGCACTTGGCCTTCGACGGAAATGTTGCTGAAATTGAGGACGTTGAGCTGCTGCTGGCCTCCGCCTCCAGTGGCATTGACAGGAAACAGAACGGGCCATGTGAGCAAGCAGCCGACGAAAACAATGACGATCGAAATCTTGATATAACGTAGGAGGAAGTATCCATCGAGAGAGTTGTGCTTGAGGACGAATTCGTCAGGGATCTACATAAGAGGTTAGGATGCATACTGTTGGCGATAAGCAGATCCTCACCTTCTGCATGAACGGTATCCAGCCGAACAGCGTATTCGGAGGGGTAGGCGATCGCTCCTGCTCGCGCAAGGAACCGATGTAGGTACGTGGAGCGTATCGGCGGGGGAACATGCGGCGGAGAAGCAAGAAGGCGATCATCCAGGCAACGAAAATCACAAATGCCGGCACCAGAGTCGAGACGAGACCAGAGAGTGATGGCGACTCCTCGGTAGCGGCACCAACGTTCTCGTCATCGTTGGCATTGATAGCCTGAGCCGGGTTAGCACGAGGACGAGGACAGAAACACAGACACGGGGATTTCACGACGTACCTGGCGCTTCGAGTGATGCAGGACATTGAGAGCCGACATGACTGCGGTGGGTGCGCGTGTATTGCACGATTGCAGTCAATGAGGCTCTGCAGGACAACAACGCTGCAGGAAAGGAAGAGAGATAAACAAGGCAACCAAATCGTGGGTCGGACGTCGATGAAATAAAAAAGACCGGGATCGTGCTGGAGGGATCGCGGCCAACGCGTTGGCCGACGTCAATCGAAACTCGGGTATCCAGAGCAATTCGGGCGATCACGCCAAATCGGGCCGCTATTGGCGGCGGTGGGGTGCGTATCTCTTAACCAGCTCACGTTGCAAGGAATGACGCCAGTGATGCAATCGGCTGCTCTCGCCTACAGCTTTCGGGGGTGGTCGAACCTCGCGTAAATCCTGATCTGCCCACAGCGCCAGAAGCCCGGCGCAGTCAACCGAGAGACAGTGTGTCAGGAAATTCACTCGGGAGACGTTGGAAGTGGTAAATGCAGAATTATAGGAGCTTCGACGCTCGTTGCCAGTCACACGAAATTGCAACCGTGGTGCTGCGTCCCGCCAGCGGCGTTGACCCGCTGCCGCGCCAGCACCCGCTGTCACTTTGCAGCTGAACCACCCCTGATCAGCTGTAATTCAGATCCGCCGATGCGCATGTGAAAGGGCACATTGGTCTGTGCTCCATGTCAAAATTTGCCTACCTAGCACACCGTACTGTATGGATAGTAGCAGAAATGCTTGCAGACGTGGCGAGTCTAGAAGCTCTCTAATTTCCTGTCACCAGTGCTTCCCTGTTGATGTGGCTGCAGTACCCCCACAGCAAAATCATCGCAGCCCGTTCCACTACACACTATCTGTCCCGTGCTTGGTACCCACATCATTGTCCTACACTTCGCTGCAGCCTCCCCTCGCTTCACAATACCTTGAACCTGTCCTTCAGCTGCTCGTTGTCGGAAAGCCGCAGATACCGGCTCTGGTCCTACCAGACGTTGAACGGTTGACGTAGCACCTTGCCGACGAGGATGATGCGATAGGCTTCGCCCAGCTAAAGACATCGAGCAGGACTGGGACTGCAAATCGCACGACTCACCCGCAGCCTGTGCGCATAGGCATACTGTTCCGATCGAGACAAGTAAATGTCTGATTGTCATGGAATCATCTTGTCGGAGAATATTACCCGTGAGCATCGCTGGAACGCGTACCCATGACGATGGCCAAGCGGTGAATCCAAACACAACGAGAACGACTAGTTGACTCGATTGCTCAAAGCAGTCGCGTGACCGCATCAACGCACATTGTTCCGATCGATTATGGAATATCAACGTCGAAATAAACATTTGTGTAGAGCGAGTTGCGCCATGTTCCGTTAACATGATACCACCAGTCCCCCAACATGCCAAGACTAAAGCCCCATGCCGACAAAGGCATCTATCTCGCAGCTGACCGTGACTCTCTTCTCTGGCTACCTTTTTAAGGGGCTGACGGTGTTGCTATTAGGGTAGTCTCGCAAGCGGCAGTGTAGAGCGCACACCATTTTCGAGAGCGATCCGGCCAGTATGACCCGTTTCGACCGGAAGTGCGCGCGTTCTCCCGCGTATAAATAGCCTACGAATTGACGTGTACATAGGAGGCTCTGTCACTGTCAAAGTGGGGGCCGAACCGATGCCGCCCCAATGGACAGTGGTTGCCTTGCGCACCTTGCCACTTCCTTTGCGATATCCGTAATCAAAGTGGTCTTCTATAGTACGATTGGCCTTTCGACGCAAAGGGGAAGAAGAGCGCGGAAACGAGACTGCGGATGCTTGTCACGATGTGAAGGCAACTGCACTGCGCGCCTGTATTGAATGCCCCCACAAATCCCCACGGAGTTCACAGACAAGGTTTCGTGGAGGACGTACCTTTTCTTGGGCGTGTTCTTTTGATCTCCGCTGTATCAAATACCCGATGGAGTCGATCCGATACAAACGGTCAGGATGATTTACTGCTAGCGCGGCAGAAGTGGTGAGCATTTGTCCGCAGCCGCTATGCTAGCTCGTTGTGTAGTCGGGTGCGCAAGTTGCACCCAAATGCCTCAGAGTACAAGCAAGTAGCATGAATGTCTCAGGCTGTGCAAAGACTTCGGCTTGATTGAACGGACGTGCGCCGACCGTCGAAGGGGCTACCATCATATATTTTAGGGGCCGGAAGACTCCCACTGTACGCCCTGGATATGAGCTAGTCGACTGCTCGGGACCATCGATTCCCTGGGGAGACTTTATCCCTGATGGTGGAAGGAAATTGCTCCGACTCGGTAGAAATTCTCGCTTGGCCCTTGGCCTTGATTCATAAGTAGTAGGAAGTATGATGCTGGCAATAAGCGGTTACGGGACTCGGGAGAGCCAGCGGATTCGTAACGCGCACGAAAGATGACGGACAAGACGGGTACTTGTACCAGTGCGGTCGTTTCGAGTCATGCCCACCCGCTTGGCGTGGCGGCTGAAACCCAGCTTACCTCCACCTTCGATGACATGCTAGACTCCTGCGAGCCGTTTCTCGCCACCTAGTAGGCAGCGTACTTTGGCTGATGCATGGTCGAACAAGTGTGAGGGGGGGTCACAGAGAGCAAAGTCGGATCAGCACATAACAAGTAATGAAATGGCTCATGCCACAAAGGGGGTATTATTTGCTGCCTGCAGCATAGAGTTCCTATCCAGCCGATACTGCTGAGCACCACCATGGCGCCTAAAATATGCTCCTCCCGCTCAAATGAATGCCCACCTGCTGTGTGGACAGCTTCCAGTGTACAATATGCTTCGCTCGTAAAGACTGTAGTCATACAATGCGGAAGAGTCATGACAGTCGCCCGCTTCCGCAATTGCCGCCTGAGTTATGACTGTAGCGACATGCATTGGGGCCGGCGTATTCCTGCTGACATCGGACGCGAGCATAGTTATGCCTGCACCTCTGTTTCCGGTCGAGATCAGCGGCGCAGATTGTCGGAGCATGTTCGTTGTGATCGGAACCGCTCTCCTCCCCCGAAGTCTTGAGTGAGTCGATGCCAACGTTGGAGTGACGGCTGAGTGCTTGCAGGCATAGGCAAGATTATCATGGCGACGGTCCACGGACTCTGCGATGGTGTGAAGCTGAGTTCGCGAGTCGACAGCCTTACCGAGAGGCATGTCCGCTCGAATAGCCAGAGTCACGCCAATGGCGACTGCCGGAGGACTTGTCTGAAGAATCATTCTTCTTCGACCTTGATGAATGATCTGGGCAAGCGTAGCCCACAAGTACCGTCTTCTCTGTCGTTGCATGCCCCCGTTGCCCGTAGCGTTGACACGGGTCAACCGAATGACGGTAGTATAGACACCGGCACACCGAATACCGTTCCACGATCTGAATGCACATAATGACCGCCGTGTTGCAGGTCTGATGAATAATGCTGTCGAGGGTCGTCAACTAGGTTGCTTCAGAGTTGGGTAACTTAATGGTGGGATGTTGTGGTAGAGTCGTAGGGCTGAAAGGGCAGCGCTTGCTCAGGCAATATATACGGCGTGCGGCACTAACGATGAGACCCTGAGCAGGCAACATTGACCTCACGAAGAAGAGCTTGCACCGAAAAGGGATTGCAGCCTTGGTAGTTGGACCAATCAGACTGGACACGAGCTCCAAGAGGCCGGCGTGCACTGCCAATGCTGCGGCCAGATGAGTGAATCCCCTGCTCACCTGTGCGTTGCGGAATTCCGAAGAGTGATGGAGAGATTCATGGACTGACAAGGGAAGACTCTGAGCAAGGCAGGCTTTCGGGTGCTGGTCTGATAGGATACGAGTTTCAAAAAGTGCAGTCCAATGGAATGGTCTTGAGGAGTATTTGGACCGTACAGCAACTGGCCTGATGGTGGCAGAGCCCAAAGGCACTGGTGACAGGGTCCTGAAATGAGTGGGAGAGGTTTAGCGTTCCTGGCTGATGGGTCGAAAACGTGGCAGCGTTGATCCGGAAAAAGGTACATCACCATACCGTTACGACTTATGCAGTTGACCGGCCCGCTTCAGCCTCAGGTCTTCTTGCTCCACAGGATCTCGCCAGTCCGATTTGAGTTCCTGGCACGGCCAAGGTGACCAGGATGATGACGACTCTGCATTCGCCGTCAGATGGTCGTTTCCCACCGGAACGTGACCCGGGACCGTGGGTTGGACTGGGGGTTCGACGGTGTGACCAATGCACAGCGGCATATACAGATCTCGGAAGATAGCTCTGGCCGGATTACCGTTGTGATCGCACTTTGCCACAGCATCCGCAGCCCAATAGTCGGCATCCGGGAGCATCCGTGAGAATAATCAGACCTCATCCCGAGAAGACACGGTGTGCCAGATGACAAGCAGACCAGGGATCACACGATCCGCACTTGCGACGGCCTCGGACTAGACCTCTAGTGGTGGAACTAGATCTTGGTGAGCAGTATCAAATGGTCGCTCTGACACATGACTGGCAGCTTGGCCACGGGAAGGAACGATGTAGACCGTAAACTCGCAGAGCTCTGAAGCTAGACCGAGGCTCTAATCTCACCCCCGGATTCGCATTGATCGGCCTAAAAATTGACGCATAGCACTTTGGCGACCTAAATGGCTGGGTCGTAATATCAACACCAGGCCTGGTGGAAGCTAGCGGGACTCGGTATGGGTCCTATGAGGTTGTTCGCTTTCAGCTCGTCCAAACCAGGTAAGGCGGCAGCAGGTAAGGCTGACACCGAGTCGCGTTCTCGAAAACTCCAGAAGTTCAAAACAGCCTGGAGCGAAAGCACTTGCCTTTCTGATTCCATCGACGTACGCGCTCGCATTTCTCACCTTTCTAGACGGCCATTCAGTCGATCACCGGTTGCACTCTTCGCAAGCTACCATGGTTGACATTTCCACGGATCCATGGGGGCCAAGATCCGAGGTGATGATCAAGCCACACTCACCAGCCACATGAGGCTGGTGCCGTGCCCGAGGGTGGGATCAACCCTTTGCCATACTCGGTCGATATCAGCCCCCACGTCAGTGCGCGTTTCAGTCCATGTTAGGCGACCGGTTTCTCGCTCAGCAAAGCGGGTTGTATAGTACATAGGCGAGCCTAATTTTGGCCACCCTGAGTCATGACCGCTTCAACGGGGGTGAAAAAGCCAGTCTTCCTGAGGGTCGGGAACTGCAAAGTTCGGTATCATAGTTGCTAGGTCGGAAGCCCCAGCCGCCTGATCCAGCACCTGGGCCTGGTTGCCGTTCTCCAAGCCGTCGGCGCCAGCAGTCGCGAGTCTCGGGAAGTTGAAGAGGTCGAAAACGTCGAGATACTCCAGTTCGTTGGGTTGCGGAGTATTGGCACGAGTTGGGTGGTACGACTTGATCGAGTTGTGTGGCTGTCGCGAAATCAGGAAATCTAGATCGTAGGCGCATCTGAGGTAAAGAGGTGTTAGCTCAAGTGCAGTGACAATGCTAAACCGGTCAGGTGAATGACTATGCGGTCTCACGGCTCATCCAACTAGAACTGAGCTAGACCGAGCTGCATTGCTGCGACATAGCAGCATAGCAGTAAAGCAGCATGCCGGCATTGCTTGCACATGGCCGGCACTCCTAGTGTGGTGCAAATTGGGGTACAAACAACAGGGTCAACGGTACACTAACCTTCTCATGTCGGCCAAGATTCGCACTGTGGACGGCGTAGTCCGCTCTCCGGTCAAACGGACAGCACTTCGTGAATGCTGATATTCGCTCAACACACGGTTCAATATCTCGCTATACCGCCGCGCAACGTCCCAATTGGCGCCCATCTCGGACAGAATCGATACGAAAAAACCAATATCTGGATCGACGTCGTGATCTATGGTTGAGCCGTGCACCAGTGTAACTCGCGCACACACCCACACGCAAAAGGCGACTGGCGGACCGAGCTTATCTGTCAGGCCACTGATCTGGACAAAGTGGACGAGCTGACGCAGACTCTCCACAGCCGAAAGACAGCGTTGCATAGCGCTGTATGACGATGAGAAAATCGGAGATGTTTGACTTGGGTATGCAGCCGAAGAGTTCAGTCGGATGACAGTTAAGCAGTACGCTGCATGAACCGTGATCCAGCCACAGTGAGCGTGCTTGGCAGGTACGTTACTTTTCATCAAGCGAATGATATTGGCAAAGTCGTCCGGAAGGCTGAAGTGCCAGGCATGCAATTCACTATCGAGTGCCCGGTACGTACCCTGCCATTGCTCGACATCCGTCAAAGACCCAATATCGATCGGTCGTTTTAGGAATTTGTGAATAGAGGAAAGAATTCCTAGGATCTCGATAAAATACGAGAAGTGACCGTGAGCGTCGCTAACATTGGCCGCGTATTTAGGACGTTGTGTTGGCTTGAAGGGACGAGTCTCGACTGGTTTATTGGCGGAGAACAAATCGTCTCGACATGGCAAGCGTCGATCGATCTCTTTGTCGTCCAAAGCAAAGTCAAATGCAGTTGCAACAGTGGTATATCTGTCGAGAAGATACACTGCCCAAAACAGTCGTCGACGTTCTTCGTCCTCGATCCATGTCTTTGCTTCGGGCAAGACAGCAGCACGTAGAGTGGAGATGGAGGGAAACATGGACGCAGTAAGTGTCGATGTCGCTTCCACTGCTAGTCCTAGCTGTATCACGCTGCGCGAAATAAGAGAGATCAGATTCCACCCCGGGGGGCCATTTGTGTCACCCGTAACATCTAGGGCTAGAATAGTCAAGGCCTGGAGCGACCGCACGCTGGAGTTTTCGAGGCCAAACAGCTGCACTCGTTGCTTGGACACAGCATGGTACTGCTGACGACTTTCCGGTGTCAGCCGTGGGTCTCTTGAGAATCTCAGGGTCACTGCAACCATGGCGTGGAGCAGGACACGGTCTGCTTCGTCGAGCGGTGCGGCGCCGAAAAGCCGATCAAGCGTCGTCTTTCGTTCCAACAATGGCAGCCAGGCATTGATGTGCTTGAAGAACAGGTCCACCAAGGCATAAAGTAGATCGTAGGGCGGCAAGTATGCGGCCTGCTCCTGATAGCCAGAGGCGGAGTGTGGTGAAGTCAGCGGATATGATTGGGCTGATGGTGTATACTGGTTCTGGGACTGGATGTTTTGAGGCTCAGGAGGAGCCGCAGAAAAATGAAAGGAGTTCTGGCGAGACAAGGGTCTGAGCTTGTGATCATTGGGGTCGCGAGGCTCAGACGCCGTAGGAAGGAACGGGTAGGGATCCTGGCGGGAGGGCGGTCTAAGATTAGGGTCGAGTGTGTGTTGCTGAAGTGTTGCATCATAAGATGGGTGACCTGGCCTGGTGTTGAGAGCTCCATTGGTATTGCAAGCATCTGCTAAATGAGCTGCAAGTTGCCGCGTCTGTTCCTGTAATTGACGCTCGAGACTGTCCAGCCGTGATTCGAGTTCACGCCCATAGCCAGCGCGTAGGCCCGGTTTCTTTCGCTCTTTGTATTCGCATAGATGGTCATTGCGAGCACACCATCCGCACGCTGGCTGAACGCGATCACATTTCACCTTCCGTTGTTTGCATGCCTCGCAGCTGATTACAATGTCAGCCATGACACTAGGTCTGTAAGGAAGGATATGCTATCCAGCCTGGCCCATTTTTCTTGGGCCTGGGCCGGAATGGATTTGGAACATACGTGACATTGTTCATAAGTCTCTTTCTTTTGCGAGACCCATGTTCACCATCGCTGTCCGACTCGGTCCCGCTTCGAGAACGCGAATCCACCAGCAGGGCTGAGTTATTGGGCTTGATGGCCGCCATGGATGGCGGAGCGTTAGATGGTCGACGTGGTCGGGGGAGAGTCTGGCGAACGGCTCATCGTAGGCCGAAGGCAGGACAGTCAATGGAGAGCTTGGCAGACTGCTCTGACGCTGGCACGCTGCTCTTCAGGTGCAGTCTTCGCTGATTCTCCCTTGACCTCTCACAAACCCTGAAAAGCTCGGCGAGATGACGATGCGCTCCCGAATCTGAAGACGTGCTGAATGTCTCAATCGACCTGGTGCAGTGAACGTATGGTGGTAGGCCGCTGTTGTCCGGCTACGATTGTTGCTACCCATGGTTAAACCAGCAACATTGAGCTGTGACAGGGAAGGTGCCCCCACTGCGCACTGGGGAGACCCACCTAAAAGGCACTGCAAGTCCCACTCTACTTCTCCGCAACTCGGGCTGCACTCTCCCATGCCGACACGAGCGTTGCGGCAACGTTGAGAGACGGGAAGCAATATGCGTAAATACTACCGGCTCCCTCAATCCGCACCAGGGTGTCTACCACTTCCTCTCGATCACGCCAGTAGCTACGATCAACTCCTATCGGTTACGCACTCATCATGGCCGGTGTGAAAGCATTCCCCACCATCAAGACCGTCCGCACCTTCGTGATCGAGGGTGTGGGCTCGGGCGGGGACTACCACAATGTCAAGGGCGGACACTGGCTGATCGACAACAAGATCGCAACGCCCATGTCGAAATGGGAGAACTACCGCAAATCGAGAACCCTCTTCGGCATCAACGTCCTGGGTTCCTTCTGTGTCGAATTGGAGGCCACTGATGGAACAAAGGGTTTTGCAACTGGCTTCGGCGGACCACCAGCCTGTTGGTTGGTTCAGCAACATTTCGAACGCTTTCTCACCGGCAGAGACCCGCGAGACACCAACGACCTCTTCGAGCAAATGTACCGAGCTTCTATGTTCTATGGCCGAAAGGGTCTTCCCGTGGCTGTAATTTCCGTTATTGACCTGGCAATCTGGGACCTGTTGGGCAAGATCAGGAACGAGCCAGTTTATAAGCTGATTGGTGGCGCAACCAAGGATCGCATAAACTTCTACTGCACAGGTCCCGAGCCCGCAGCGGCGAAAGAGATGGGATTCATGGCCGGCAAAGTACCACTGCCTTACAGCCCCGAGGAGCCGGATAGCCTGCGAATGAATGTCGAGTTTCTCAAGAATCATAGACAGAGCGTCGGGTACGACTTCCCATTACGTGTCGACTGCTGGATGTCGCTGAACGTGTCATATGTGATTGAGCTGGTATCGGAATGCAAGCGCCAGGACGTACGGATCGACTGGTGGGAAGAGGTCTTGACTCCCGATGACAGTGCTGGCTTCGCTCAACTGAAGCGGGCGCACCCCGACACCAAATTCACCACGGGCGAACACGAGTTCTCACGCTACGGGTTCCGCGACCTCTTGCTTGACCGCAACATTGACATTATCCAACCGGATGTCATGTGGCTCGGTGGCTTAACAGAATTACTCAAAGTTGCCGCCATGGCCGCGGCATTCGACATTCCCGTCATCCCTCATGCGTCAGGCTCCTACTCGTATCACTTTGTTGCCAGCCAGCATAATTCGCCTTTCCAGGAATACCTCGCAAACTCGCCCGACGGCAAGAGTGTGCAGCCTGTGTTTGGTGATCTGTTCATCGACGAGCCAATCCCAACCAAGGGCTACTTGGATATTACACAACTCGACAAACCAGGCTTCGGCCTGACTCTCAATCCCAACGCAAGATTGGTAGATGCCACCGGCCTCCTAGGTATGAAGCCTCAAAAGAGCTTAACCGTGCCCGTGGAGGAGCCATCGGAGACCAACGGATCTTCGCCACATAACACTGGTTAGATGTCGTCGTTGAGAGTTGAGCTTGTGTGGAGATAGAGCGTAGATGTGCATTCAGCGTATAGGATATAGAAAGGTTATCTGTCACAAATTGCCATCTTCTCAACCTCTTCGTATTCAGTGCTTCTTACGTGAGTCGCGTCGCCTCTCGCGAGCACCCACCTGAATATCCACATCGACCGTTCAAACCTGGGAGACTCCCAGACCAATGTTGAGAATACGCTTCGCCGCGATCATGTAAGCTTGGACGTATTTTGCAGTCATCGGCTGCTGCGTGTGGTTTTGGGGAGCAGCAAGTAATTGCCACCGTCCATCGGTAAACGGATTCCAGGCGTTTCGTCATAACATTTTCCTGGTTGCAAGTATCTTTCCTCTCGTCTTGAGCAAGAACAAAGACCACTTTTTGCTCATCTCAGCACTGTCAGAGATGGCGTGATGAGCTGCCTCTCTCGAGTCTGGAGGCGACTCAAGGCCAGCCATGTCGAAGTCAGTCTGATGCCGGGACCCGCTGAGTGGCGCCGCCTTTCATCGTCTCTTCCGTTCGCATGGCGCACCGGTTCGGCTGTAATATATCGAGCCATTGCCCCAGAGACTCTGCTTCTCAGCTCTTCTTGCCCTGCTGACCCATCCCATCCGGCTGCACAAGCACGTACAAGCCCCTCTCCGGCCTGAAACTCATCACCACGGTCTCCTTCTCCTTCGCACTCGCCACTCCATTCCAACTCTTCTCCGTCTTCACCACATGCAAAAGCCAATCCTCGCCCTCGACCAATCTCAGCCTCACACCATGCTTCGTCGCCGTCCTCTTCAACATACTCCAACTCATCAGGTTCACGCCCTTGGTAGGAAAGAACTGCACGCCATTCAACGTGACCCTATTCCGCCATCCCTGCTGCTGAGACCCCGACCCCGCCCCCGCCCCCTCCTTCCCCAGCACCCGTGCCTGCGTGTCTAACGTCACGCTCCCAATCCCCACCACATGGCTCAGCGTCCCACTCGCGCTCACAAACCCACTCTGCTGCTGCCCCCACGGCAGCTCCGTATAGCTATGCATCAGCTCCCGATTCGTGCACATGTGCGACGTGGCCCCCGTGTCCAAAATCCACTTGCGATTATCCATCTCCCGCTTCCTCGCCAGATCCTCCTCCGTGGCCGCCACGTCGCGGGGCGCGGGAAATTCCAGACCCTTGTCGCGCGGGCCCGGGTCGTGCGCCTTGGCGTACTCGTAGCGCAAGGTCCAGCCGGCGGCGTCTTTCGTGAGCTTCAGGCGCGGGTGTAGTGAGATCTTGGCGATGGCGATGGAGGAGAGGCCGACGAGCGCGAAGGGCCAGAATTTGAGGGGCCGGGGCCGGTGGGAGAGGGATGGCGGGAGTGACGATGGGTGCGTGCGACTGTCGCCACGGGAGCCGGGGAATCGAGACATTGCGTCGGAAGGCGGCCAGCTAGTTGCCTTGTCCCTGGCTTGTTGGCGTTCGCCCTCCGCCTCGGTCTGGCGTGCGAAGAGCAGCTGGACTCCTGATCAAGATTGGGCCTGATGCGTGGTGCTCCAGACCTTAGCGGTGGGTGCTGTAGTATAGAGTGATTCGACGTGTTGCTTGGTGTCCGGAAGTGCCCGGCAATTGTCTTGCAATGGTCGTTTGATGAACATGCAGTTCCTACTAGACCGAAAGGAGCTCCCCAGCCTTTCTTTAATAAAGGCCCGTCGCGTTTCGCCAGCTATGCATGCCCACCCACCGTCTGCGGGTAGACTCTTGCAAGGATTTTACCTCGACTGACTCTAACTCTGTACTTGGGTCCAACGTCAATGTATTTCTCCATGCAATAAAGACAGCAGTGGAAATGAGAAGGCTTTCATTCGCCTCGCGTCAAAGAGTCGAATTCTTGGCATTATGTGTTAGCCGGAGCGGGATTCTTCCTTATTCTGACTAGTCAGGTACGCAGAAACGACAGACATTTGGACGCCTTGATGGCAAAGATGCGTACTCAGCAGGAGGTCAGACACGGACCAGCGGCTTCCGAGTTCCAAGAAACACACGCCGCCATACATACCATAGGGGCTGCCGCCGCCCGCCAATGCTGCTATGGTGGGCAATAGATCTTTGCAGTGGCTACATTCGGTGGATTCGGTTGAGTGTTCGCCGAAGGTGGGGACGACGGTTGCAGCCGCCAAACTGAGCCAGGGGCGAGAGGATGAACCTGCAAAAGGCTCATTATCCGCGAGTGGGATGCAGTACGGCCTAGGCATCATATCGTGAATCACTACGAAAGATTTGCCAGCAGAAAAGCATTTTGCGTACGTGGTTGTGCGGAATAAAGCATGCCTCTGCCACCCCTCCTTCAAGGTCAAGTGTGTGCTGTGACTGGTGGCCTCACCGGCATTGGACGTGCTATAGCGATCTCATTTCTGTCACACGGTGCCAAAGTAGCGATCAATTATCTTGAATCTTACCAAGCTGGCGAGGATGAGCTGCTCCAGACGCTACGAACAGAGGCATTCGATGCCATCAAGGCCAGAAACCCGGCAACTTCGCCGGCATCGTTGGAGGACGTTCCTCTGCTGACAGTTCCTGGAGATATCTCCCAGCCAGGGACGGGGCAAGAATTTGTGAAAAGGACGGTGGAAGCATTTGGACGTCTCGACACCTTTGTATCAAACGCCGGCATTTGCAAATTCGAGGATTTTCTGGAGATTGACCCGACATCATGGCAAAGGCATCTTGACATCAACCTCTCAGGAGCCTTTTACGCTGTGCAGGCGGCGGCGCAGCAAATGGTGGCACAGAGTCCGTCAGGAGGCTCGATCATCGGCATCTCATCCATCTCGGCATTGGTTGGCGGTGCTGGCCAGTGTCATTACACGCCAACGAAAGCCGGCGTGCTGAGTCTGATGCAATCAACCGCGACTGCTCTGGGCAAACACAAGATCCGGTGCAATGCGCTGCTTCCAGGCACTATTCGAACACAATTGAATGACGAGGATCTCAAAGATGGGAGTGATAAGAAAGCCTACATGGAGAAAAGAATCCCACTGGGGCTGGGCAATCCTGAAGACATGGCTGGGCCAGCAGTGTGGTTGGCACAGCCTGAACTGAGTGGATATGTCACAGGAGCACAGATTCTTGTGGACGGAGGAGCGTTTGTAAATTTTCAGTAGGTGATTCGGTAAGCTTCGGTGGCCGTACCGTTCCAGATACGCGCGAGGTCTGCGTCGCTCAACGCGAGGTCTGAGAGGATGGTAGTCACCAGACCATGCCAGTGCTGCCACGATTTCGCTGGACCTGGACCTCCAACGTTGCACACCGGCCAGTCTGATCCAAACATAATCCGTGACGGCCCAAAAGACTTGAAGACGACCGAGATCCAGGGTTGCAGACGCGCAATCAGGGTTGCGTAACTCGCAGGTTCGTCTACTGACTGCGGAGGAAGTTCGGAGAAGAAGCCTGATAGCTTCATATATGTCGACTTATGAGTAGCCATTTTCTCAATGTATTCTTTCCATTGAGAGAATTCCGGGTGATCTTCTGATGCCTCGGATTCGGGTAGCTGTAAGTTAGGCTTGCAGAAGTGATTGATGACGATCCTGAGCGTGCTCCCAGTGCTATAAAGTTGGTCCATCATAGTGCAGGCCTCCTCAAGCTGAAACAGCCCGGCCGAACGCGCGTCGACGCCGAGATCAAAGGACAAGTTGTTTTGGCCAAGCCATTGCAATCCAGCGATGAAGTCGGGTTGTAGCATAGTTTTCGGTGGCTTGTCTTGAAGTAGATAGCGAAAGCCCTTCACCTTGTCCTTATAGTCGTCCGGGTAGAGATCCCATACTCGTCCAACGTACCTCGCAAGAGCGGCAGGACCTGCCGGCACGGGAGCAAATGGAACGATACCGAGACACAGCTTGCTGTCGCCAGCCTCGTGACCCTCGCCTTCGCTGGGCCTCCCCTGTGCGATCCGAGATAAGAACTCTGCTTCGGCTAGCGCATCTTCCCACTGATCATCGGACAGACCTGAAATCCGATCTGTTTCCAGGAAGACGAATCCAGCGAGAGGAGCTGTCCCTGCCGTGGCCTCTTTATACACGCTCACCGTGTTACCACGTTTGAGCACATGGTCGTCGGGCAGTGAACCGGCCCAGCTTAAGCGCGGTAAGTGAGATTGGGCAAACAGGTGGATGTGAGAGTCAATGATGGGGAATAGCTTTGGCGAAGACATGTTAATGGTAGACTTATGCAGCTTCAAACACCAAAAGATTTATAGCTGCTCGAGGACCATCATGCTGGTGGACTTCGGTCTGCAATTTCCCGACGCTTGAATTGAGGATAAAAGCGGTGCAGCTCTACCCCATCACGCATTCGAGTGCCCATCTCGAGCTGCCTGCCGCAAGTCATGTGTGATACATAGATTCGTGCATGTCTGCCACTGCGAGCCTCCAAGTCTGAGATTATCCTCGAGAAAAACTTGCGTGAACCGTGAATGGATTACCAGGTGTAAGTCATTCCACGTTGCGAGGCTTCCAAGTTCGAGCTACAGTACATGAAAGATCAGATAAGATAATCAGGTCAATTCTCGGCAGTGGCGTGTTCGGAGTCTCACCACAAAACGCGCGCGTCATCACGCACCTATATAGGCACCTTCACTTTGCGTCAACAGAGAGTAAATGTTCTGCAAGTCGAATATTGATGAAGCTGTGAACAGCATCATATACTGGGCGATGTCTGAGATCAGCAACATGCTCAGTCCGCCTATTTCAGCTGCGTCCCCCTCACCATCCACCGCGTCTGGCGTAGCGCTACACGTATCACCGAATCTACCCAACCCACGCAAGCAGCCGCTTGCTCCTGGCTCAGCAAAAGAGATCAATTTGATTCATTACCTGGACGACCAACTCCTACGTGTCTTCAGAAGATATGAGAAGCGGCTGCCGGAGGAGCAGAGAACGGTCGTTGAACCCAACCCGCCGGATGATGCACCTGGCTACAAAAACATGGAAGAGGTGGTAGCAGATCTAGATCCACTTGTAGACGTGGTCTGGATCAGCCATACACGTAAGTCAACCATACTGCCACTATCTGTAGGACGCGCGATGTCCTACGTCCAACGATGAGCGCATTGGCCCGGAAACCATCTGGAATGTGAATACTGCCTGTCGTTGCTCATCGACTTGGCACGTATCATAGAATCTAACCCATGATTTATAGCTCCTCTACAAGTTGCCTATCTACTCTCGATCGCGGGAGATATTGGTTCTTATATGCCAGCCTTTCCCTTCACACCATCGATCTTCCCAGTCCTCAGCAAGATTGACCAGGCCTTCGTTGCTCTCTTGAAACTTCCAAATCCAGCCGCTGGATCCGTGACTTCTAACCATCCTCCGACGAAGACCGACAGAGTGCGCATCAGATCGCTCACAGAGGAGATACGGGTGACTGCGGTGAATACTGCAACGAAAAGCGGAATCTCCGCCGACTTGGATGATTCATCAGACGAAGAGACCGACGGACAGTTGTCAACGTTCGACGCGAACCAGCCTTACAACGAGACTGCCATCGGCGCCGGCTTGGGCCGAATTTTCAAAGGTACAATAGAGATCCTCGGCGATTCACTAACTTGAAAAAACAGCCACAGCATTTCCCACAGACGATTCGGATAACACAGCAACTCCTTTTAAGGGCGTATTACAGCTCTAGGTCAGCTAAAGCTCCCTGGCACAGTCCCGAAATCAGCAAGCACACCTGGCCTTGTGGGTAGGCGTCAGCTGCCTGGTGGAAACCAAGAGCATCACACCATTGCAGACACCTTGTGCTATTCGTAACTCAAGAGAGCTACTCTTCGGCACCTTTCTGTACAAATCGACTATTCGCCGCCTGAGTTCAGATTGAGGTCGGTGGAGCTGTGCGAGAGCAGCTGCATTGTCACATCTCGTGATCGAGGCACAAGGAACGCGAAAAGGCTTTCGAGCTCCAAATCAGCTCTCCACATTCGACAAGGTATATCCAGACTTCGCGGACTGCATTAGTCGGCCAGGTGCTCAGCACGCCGATTGCTCGCCTCACCGTTCTTTTCGCTGAGGCAGGGGCCCCAACCAATCAGCGCGCGACACGGCGGTCCAAACCTCGAACACCTGCATCCCCGCTCCACCACTGACATCGAGGATTACCCACCACTTGGTACCCGAAGCTCGAAGCTCAAACTGCTGGATAGGCGGTGTTGGGTTGCTTTCGAATTTCTGAGCTCTTGGGTTCCGAACTGCCATCGGTCAAATACCCAGCTTGCTCCTTCCTGATCGAATTGGCCGAAACCACTCACCTTGACCTAACACCGGCCTCCTCAAAATGCTCCTCGTGAAAGCTGCCATCTGCCCATGGGCTCTTCTTGCAGTGCAAGTGTTCGGCCTGGTCATCACACGGGATTCGGACCAAAATGTCTTGGCCACCGATACAATAACAACGACGCCTTCTACTCCCACTTCCAACTTCGATTTGCATATCCTACAGACTGAAACTCCCACAGCAAGTCTCTCAGTCGCTGAATCTATACCTCTTATAACGCAAGCTCCGGCCTCGAGCGCTGGCGGCATTCGAAAACGCCAGCCATGCTGCTTCGATGATCGAGGTTTCCGAGTTGATTGTGCAACATGGACTGGCTACTACTGTAAGTGTTACAACTCTCTGAACCTCGCTAATCAGACTAACTGGGAGCATAGATACTTGGGGTCCCAGCGGAAACCCGTACGAAGGCGGACCTGAGTGTGACGGCAACTGGAACGGTGACGGAAGCGGCAGTGGCGGCGGGACCGGCAGTGGACAGAATGATGGCAATGGTCAAGTGGCGCCTTACGACAGCTCAGCAACGACATGGCCTCAACGCGAATTCAACCTGGCACTCGGCATTGGCCTACTGTTGATAGCAGTGATGCTGTAGAGTAACAATGTTACCTTGCAGTCACCGCAAAGCCGTTGTATATCCATGGAAGACCTCTTTCTTCGCCGACAAACAAATCATGATGACTTTTCTCTTACACACAGCAATCTAGCGACCAATTCCAAGCAGAACGTGACAACTGAGACCTGACTCAAGGTATCTTGGCTCACTTCGATCAATCTTCGGCCTGAAGTGCCTACAAGCAGTCATCCGAGATTCTACCCCTTCACCTGTCACTGACCGCAAACGTACCCTTGGCTGACTGGTGCTTTCAGCGGCCACTAGAGTTGGATGTCCAGATACTCCTACTGCAGGTTCTTTCTATGGCCACTGCACCCTAGAAGTCAAGTCAGAGGTTCCAAATTCGAAGCATGTCGCCAATCAGGCAGTTGGGTGTCGAAAAGTTGTCGCTCATTGCTACAGCCGTACTGACCAGTATGATCACTGCAAACGCCGCAGAACCTGTTCCTCGGTATCCCCGCGGCCCATACTCGGATTGTCAGGAGCCAGGTGCGGTCTCTTGCTGCACAGCTATGCGCGGCTCGGAAGGCCGGTCATGCTGGCAGAGTGGACCGTCCCTTACGATAGATCAAGCCTTCGCCGGACTAGAAGACAACGCCTCCGACACAACTCCAGTCAACCCGGTCACAACGCTCGACTCGACATCGACACCGCCGCCATCGACGGACGTCCAAACCTCGTTACAAGAGCAGTCTCCTACTTCGGCATACGTCCGGAATCAGAGCACCACTTCTTTTAGACCCACCCCGAGACCCTTTTACGTGACGAGCGACTCCTCAACCGAGGCTGATACTGTGGGTTTCGGTGAGAGCGAAGATTCAACCACTAGCCCCAGTGGACATGAGAGCTTGGCCACCGATACTGATACTATCGAAGCAGACGTTTCGCCACAGACGCCCACAATCTGCTGGAGGACAACAAGCATTTACATCACGACAACAATTAGCGTCGCAGCGTCGCAGAATCAGTCGATAGCAGAGGTTGAGGAGATTATGCAATCGATATCGACCCCGCTGCCGCCTTCAAGCTTAGACAGTTCAAGTTCGCAAAACATATTTCAACACGCTGCCGTATCTGCTATAGCCACTACCAGCAACAGCCTGGGAAGCACCACGACCATATATCACGACTACGGGTTGGGAGAAGCATCGTCCCTGAGTTCCACAAGTAATCAGCGGTACGAGAATAGTTCCAACGAATCTCACAGCTTGATTGGCACGCTGGCGCCTCTCGACACCAGCCAAGCCGGTTCGAGTGCAACGATTAGTGGACAAGCGATTCCCACAACCTTGACTTTAACAAGCATGGACGTGTCGACAATCACAGCAATAGTCACAGTTGAACCGCAGACGTGAACATAACCTATGGCTTCATTGACGATCCGTTTCGCATCGCGCCTATCAAGCCGGACCTTCACGGATGGCAGGAACGGAACGATGGCAGCAGTCATGAGGGTCACCGCCTGTGCCTTCTCTCCCCGCGTCTCAACGCCGAACCAGCTGTACCTTCCGCAGGCGCAATGGCGGAAGGTGCAACTCTGGTTGCAAGGCGTTTTCCTCTTCCAAATCCGAAACTCTCTCGCGAACCATCACCACTACAACGTGCAACAACACTAGCCACCAACACGCTCAACCGAGCATTAATTACTTTTACACCTCTTACATACCTCCCAAAGACCTTTCATTGCTGTCACAGCCGCACCCAACCAGCAGTCCACAACTATGCCCACCGGCGTCCCTGTCTCGAGGTACAACATGCTCGATAATGGACCGAATGCCTTCAGCTTCAGTCGGACTGCTCAAATATGTGACTTCGACGGCGTGTTCTGGCTCGATGAGCATGGTCGCTGCTCCGTACCTACCCCAATCGAGACAAAGGCTCCTCCGACACCCGTCATGGATCTCGAGACCAACTACGCCACCGTGACCGAGGCTCCTATTCGTCAAGAGAAAGCTCTTGAAGAATACGCGCAAACCATCATAATCAGCTACTCTGAGATTCCGGGCGGTGCTGTCTCGTCCTTAAAGCCATCTCGAGGACTTGCGTTCCTAGCCGGGGTCTTGATCATGCTGTTCTGGCTCTTGCCAGTTGCGGCAGCATATCCTTGCAGCATGGAACAATTTCAGACAATTTCAGAACGGGGCACGAGTCCTGTGATGCTGAAAGTGTATGACAAAGCTCTCGGCAATTGCGGAATGAGGAGTCTTTGATTGAGAAGAATACCATTGGCAGCTGATGTCCATATTCGAGGCTGGGACAATGCACACTTGATCAGTCTGCCTCGTCTGCTATTTGAGCCACGGAGAAGACCTGGTGTTCCTCCAAGTCAGTGCTGACGCAGACTGGTATGACCGCGTAACCTCGGAGCGATTCTAGTGGGTTTACGTCCAGCCTGGTAGATGGCGGAGTAGAGGCAAAAGGCTGAGAGTGACTCAAGGCGGTTCCATTGTTATTCTGAAGACGATCAATCATTGGCAGTGTAGCTAGTATCCGTAGCCATGCGAATCAAGTTCGAATCTGTGACTGTGCGACGGTTTCACTGTTTCCTTCGTGAGTGACTGGCAGCGGAAGAAATGGCCCTGTTCCTGCATCCCAACGGTGCTATGACCAATCTAGAACAACGACCCACAGCACTGACCGGATATCGCAACTGGCCGTGCTGCGTTCCGGCAGTCTGTGGCATTCGCCTGACGCCAGTCATCTAGTGGCGGACAAAAGTATCATCTACATAGATGCTGGAGCCTGGGCGGTCTTCCTGCCGCCCGCTCGGCATGGCACACCCCTGGCTCCAAGCACGGCCACCGGGCAACGGCGGCGGCGGCTTGGTTGCCGTCGCCTCGAAAACACTGTCGTGGATGTCATCACCACACACTGGACAGATCTGGGGCGTTGACTCTGGTTCGTGGTTCGGACCCACGCACATCCTGCCGTTGTTGGGACATGGGTAGACCGTCGCGCGAGTTGACATGCAGCGTTTGCGAAATCGGAATACTGGTGAGCGCAGGGGGGTTCATACCGATACTTTTCTTCTGCTGCCTATAATACTGTGGTATGTAAAAAGACGTTGATGCCGTTGTTACTCGGCTTTTATCACACCCAGATTGGAGTTCACCTCAGACACAAACATAAACACAGCGTAGCAACGTTGCGTCGCCAGATACGCGAATATCAGCATGGGATCCATCCAACGCTCCATCACGGTCCATGGTCGACACTACAAGGTCCCCGAAGGACCCGTCGTGGTCGTCTGTATCGACGGCTTTGACCCAACGTACCTCTCAGCCGGCTGTGAGGACGGCATCACGCCCAACATGGCCTCCTTCATCGAGTCGGGCTTTCACACGACCGCCACCTGCGCCATGCCGTCCTTGACCAATCCCAATAACATGTCCATCATCACGGGCGCTCCGACCGCCGCTCACGGAGTGTCGGGCAACTATTACCTGGACAAGAAAACCGGGCAGGAACACATGGTTCTAGACGACGCGTCGACCATTGGCACCACCATACTGGAGCAGCTGGCCGGCGCCGGAGTGCGCGTCGCCGCCATCACCGCCAAAGACAAGCTGCGGCGCATCATCAATCGAGGCCTGTTTGCCGATCAAGGCGCCATCTGCTTCTCGGCACAGTGTGCCGGCGAGTGCACCATGGCCGAGGCTGGGATCGAGGACGTCGAGGCATGGCTCGGCCGCGGCGCTCCTCCGCAATACTCGGGAGACCTCTCGCTGTTTGTGTTGGACGCCGGAATCAAGTTGCTACAGGAGGGCAGGGCGGATCTCTATTACCTCACGCTGTCCGACTACATCCAGCACAAACACGCGCCGCGATCCGCCGAGGCCGACTGGTTCATGTGTGAAGTCGACAAGCGGTTGGGAGAGCTGATCAGGCTGGGGGCCGTCGTCGCCGTGACGGGCGACCATGGCATGAGTGACAAAGCTGATCCCGAGGGCAATCCCAACGTTCTCTTTCTGGAAGATGCCATCCACGCCAAATGGCCCGAAGCAGGCGCCCGTGTCATTTGTCCCATCACGGACCCCTTCGTCAAACACCATGGCGCTCTCGGCGGATTCGTACGTGTCCATCTGCTCAACGACAACGACACTGCCAAGGTTGCAGAAATGGTGAGTTATTGTCGCACACTTCCAGAGGTGGAGGCTGCGTATACAGGACGGGAGGCAGCCGCGCTGTTCGAAATGCCCGTGGACCGTGAAGGCGACCTGGTTGTGATCGCGAGCAAGAACGCAGTGATAGGTGGACGCAAGGACGAACACGACTTGACTGCATTGAAGGGACATAGGCTCCGATCGCATGGAGGGCTTTCGGAACAGGCGATTCCATTACTGAGGTCGCGGCCCCTCCAGTCCAAGAACAGAGACGCAGCCACGGACCGTGCGTGGCGGAACTTTGACGTGTTCGACGTCGCACTGAATTATTAAACACCACCTATGCGGCTCTTGGAAAAGAGAAAAACAAAAAAGGGTAGCCATAAATAGCTTCGTGTGGTCGTCACAACATGCTTTCTCTTCTCTTCTCTTCTCTCATCCGACAGAACCTAGATCCACGTTCCACAAGTCGGCGCAATCAGCCTCAAACTCGGTGGAGAACGCTGTCCAGTCGATATTCTGCGTCGATGCAAGGCCCAGAACGTCCTTGGGAAGTAGTCGTAGATCGAATGCTGGGGGAGAGTGCACTGCTGCACTCTCACCGCCCTGCAGCTGCTGATGGGTGGCGGGACTGGACCTTGGTCGAGAACCCAGGGCCATAGACAACCCGTTCGCCACGACCAGGAAGGGATTTGAGGGGTGCACCCTCTGCCCCGTTTCATCCAACACGTCGAAGAGCTGGTGAAGGGCCTTGAGAACCTCGGCCTTGTCGACGAATTGGGCATTTGCGGAAGACGCCCCGAGTAGGAAGACCGAAGCAAAAGCGGCCATGGTGATCAGATACGATGGTAACAACGAGGCGGCCTGATATCCTGCCGCGACACACCGGACAAACGACAAGGCGCATTCAGTGGCGCTGCGGGCGAGCGTGGTGGCCATGCCCGTGTTTGTCGCTCGGGAGGGCGGGCCGCGAAATACATGCGAGAACAGACACAACTTGGCCGAGTAGAAGTACAGATCCATGTTGTGTTCCTCAAACTGATCCAACGCATCTCGGCGAGAGAGCGAGTCGGTCCATTGGCGCCGCCATTCATCGAAGTAGTGGCTGAGTTGCTCCAAGTCGGCGGACCGGTGCGGATCAAAGGGGCTGCCGACGTCGGCGCCGAAGAGATCAAAGACGCGGTTGCTCAGGGACCAGAGCTCGAGATGGCTGATGAGCTTCGCGTCGGACGGGACCGAGAATTCGCTGCGCAGGAGCGCCCGGGGGTTTTGGAGCGACCGCATGGTGCGCGTCATGGGAGGTCGGCCGTGTTTCAGAGAGCAGTGATGGTCGCAGATGAAGACCAAAAAGTACAGCCTGGTTCGTTCATAGCACTTCCACTTGATGTGGGGCATTTTGGTGATGCATCGATGGAGATTGAGCTCCGAACTGAAGCGAACCGCTAACGAATCGAGTCAGATGGACTTCGTGATTGGGGGGGGGAGGGGACTTTGTAGAAACGGCTTACCCAATGCGCACAGTGCGACTGAGATTTCTCCCAGCCAGAAGGACCCAATGCACATGGCGCGGATGTCGTCGAAGGTATGATCTTTGGAGAACAGCTCACCAGCCACCTCAGCTTGGAAGGCCTTGAGGCAGCTCTCGTAGTGGCGTGAGGCGGAAGCGAGGGCGGCAACGGTACACACGGCGGCCGTGAGCAGAGAAGAGCGTGACCGGACTTCGGACAGAGATCCGCTTCTGGCCAGTAGGTTGTAGATGTGGCGGTCGAGATGGTCGTGGTAGAATTCAAAGAGCTCCTGCCCGGCTTCTTCTGGCAGCAGTCCTCGAGCAATGAGGTCCGGTTTGGTGTTGGAACTTTGGCCGGCATCGCTCAAGGGTTGACCCGTGATGGAAGACGCTGGGAAAGCGCCCAAGCTGCACGAAAGATTCAAACTGGTGTCAGCGGCCGACGACGGCGTTGCTGTTGCCAGGGCCATGGGCGAGTCTTGCATCGGGCTCTCCAGGCCAAACGAATGGCGCACACTTGGGGCGTCGTCGTTTCTGGATGTGGTCTTTCGAGCAAGCAGCTTTTCCAAGCTCTTCACGCGCTCCTCGATTTCTTCTTTCCATCTGCAGCACCATGGTCAGAATGAAAAACTTTCATGGAAGTGATTCACACGAACGTGATATCGTTCTCCAGAATCATCTGAATGCTCTTATTCACCGTACAATTCAGCCCGCGGCCTTTGCAACGACTGCAAGGAGGCTTCGAATTGGTCATGTGACATTTGATCTGGATGTGGTCGTAGCAGTCAGCTGTTGAGATTCTGCCTCCACAGGCCTGCTGTTGTGTACCTTCAGCTTACGACATGCCACACAAGCTGTAATCTTGCGAGTGATATCTGGAGGTTTCCGGTCCCCATATGCCTCCCTCAGAGCCATTGCAGCCGATGGTGCCGCCATTGGAGCAGATGCGGCGATCTAGGTGCTGTGGCTTGCAGCTATGCCACCTCTCTGCAGTCGCTCTCAGCCTCGACTGTTTTGAGTCCCGTGTGAAGCGTAGCATTCGCGGTTACTGGGACGGTGCGTGTGTAGAATATCCCGGACGCACTTCCTGCCGTTCAGGGTCCACCGATCATGGCCAATTCGCACACGTGGGACGCCTCAAGCGCCAATCATATCGAGACATCTACAAGCTTGCAAAGAGAGCACCACGGGGTGATCCAGAGTGACCAGTAATATCAAATTCAGATTTGGCGTTGAAAGGTTGCAGAACTGGTGCTTCAAAACCAGGGGAATCCAGTTACTATCTTGGAAGGCTAGTACATGGCTGTCCCCGTTCGTGTTTTGGCTTTGTAACAACTTTTCGCCAACCACAGTGATTCAATCTATTTACTTTCCACAGACGGCTTGGTCTTCTTGCTTGTCGATCGACAAAAGAAATCTGCTCTTCTCAGTGTCCAATTGTTGCTATTTCCAGCCGTAGAGAGGGTATCGATGATCAGTTGTCCATGAGACGCTCATTTAGTAGCCATATAGACCGGTGTGCTCCGACATGGTGCTGGACTTGATCTTTGCGTTCTCCTTTTTCAGCAGGTATCTCATGTACCACGAGCCAGCGATAGCCAACGCAGCAAATCCACCGGCTGTGCCAAAGCCCACGGCGTACCGGGGTGAGTCAGTCTTTGGCCAAAGGTAAGCACCATAGATGGACCCAAGGTTGCCGATGACGTTGATCATGGCGAGAATAACCTATACTGCTGTCAGAGAAGCCCATTGTCGAGGCGAACATCTTTCTACTCACCGCTTTCTTCTCTTTTGTCTGACCCAGCGTGGAGGCTGCCCAGCCGACAATGACGGAATTGACCGAGTAGACGCCGATAGGGAATACAAAGCATGCAATGTAGCGAACAGGGATATTGAGAGTGGCAGGGGCGACGATAAATCCAAGCACTGCAAAACTCATGCCCGCAGTAATGTGCCACGTTCTTTCATGATGCCTTCCGGAACTCCATCCACACAGAAATCCAGCTGCACCAGCCAGGAGATAAGGGGGGCAAGTGAGCAGGAGAGTGATAGTGGTATTGAAACCAAAGGTCTTGATGACGCTACAATCAAGGCGTCAGTTCGCGTGGCCCGTGATATAGGTAGAGCAGACTCACGTTGGGAAGAAGGAATTGAAAGAAGCTGCCGACAGCTGGAACATCTTGATCAAGCAGAAAATCCAAGTTCGAGGATCCTTGCAAGCCTGGACGAGACCGTGCCATGTGCTGGTCTCTGTGTCGTCGCTGTCGGCGAGTCTGTCACGCTCCATCCGGGCGTGAGCAAGTTCGCGCTCCCGTGGCTTCAGCCACCGCGTTGTTAGGGGACCGTCTGGAAGAGTGAAGAACCCAAAGAGCGCAATTGCGGCTGTGATGGAGCCTTCGACGATAAAAAGCCTGCGTCGTCAGCCTAGCGTAGTGTTGAGGAGCGCGGCTATCTTACCATCGCCACCCGGCAATGCCATGCAGGCCATCCATGCCGGCGAAAATTCCAGCGGCGATGAGGCCGGAGAAACCGGTGGCGAGAATTTGGGCGCCATACAGGATTGCGATGCGTGCTGCAACCTCTGCCTAACGTCAACCTCTGCCAGTCGGTGGGAGTGCTTCAACTTGCTTACCTCGCCTCGTGTAGAAACAGGATAGAGTGTAGGTAGCTGCGGGATAGAATGGGGCCTCGGTGATACCTAGAATGAACCTGCACGCAACAAGTCCACCGTAGTTTTGCACCAAGGCCGTGCAGCCTGCCGTTGAGTCAGTACTGTACTTCTAGTTGAGGATTTGGAAATATCAGACCCGAAACAGCCGCCCACACCAGCATCCAGATCGACATGTACCATGAGGGGCGCTTGACTCGGGTGATCAGCATATTGCTGGGGATTTGCATGAGCATGTAGCCAACGAAAAGGATCGAGACGGTGGTGTTGAACTCGTTGCCCTTCATATTCAGGTCTTCTTCGAGGTCGTTGAGGCGTGCTTGGGCCACGGCATTACGGTCGACGTAGTTCATGAAGTACATGAGGCAAAACATTGGCTGGCAAAGTTAGTTGTAATGGGGCAACTGGGAGCACAGAAGGCGAACACACCATAATGCACCAGTCCAACTTGCGCACGAGCTTGAGCTCCTCGTCGTCGCGCTGGACGACTGCGCCAGCATAATCGGTTTTGGTCACGGCCGGATGCTTCTGTTCGTCGAGAACAGCATCCTCAACCGTGGCCAGAGCATCAGTTTTCTTATCAATGTGGGTATTCGTTGCCATGATGAGGTCCGAGCTACCTCTGTTTTAGGTATACCGTATAGGCTGGATGTAGGCGGTGGTTTCCTATCCTCCCTGTGTCATTTCTTCGAAATCATCGTGAGCTTTATATCTCAATCATTCTGAAGACCAAGACCGTCTGTTGAAGATCGCACGACCTTGAGTGAGAGGTAAGTATACACGTGCACAGCATCCAGCCACATGCCTGAGCGATCGACGCTGGCTGGCTGAGTATTGATATCGCCAACACGTCCTCTTGCCTCTCAGAGAGTTGACCGCGATGCGTGCACCAGCGGCAAATGCAGTCATCTCGAAAAGTGCGGCGGCAATCCTGCCGTGCATTATACCGACCGGTGGACGGCAACCAAAGCGTGCCCACGTGTAGCTTGACAGCGTATTCTATGCGTGCAGGGTCTCGTGCGACAGACCGTCTTTCTCATTGGCTGCTTACCTATACACGGAAGCACGTGTCCGCCATGTGCGGCTATACTCCACGTCGAGCTATCAGTCTTCACTACGGAGTAGAGGTTCGCCGATTCAACAAAAAGCAGCACGTGGACTCTGGACAGCTTTGATTCTCCTGTGGGAAAGACAGTTCGCCGTATGGACTATCTTGACTTCCATGTTGAGACCATTGCTAGACCAACACCCACCTCTAATCGTTCTTGCGGTCATCGTCCTTGTTGGGCTGAAAGTTGAGCTGATTGCCATTGTAAAACTCGTTCTTGCCAACGTCTTCTGCTCGTTGATCCGCCAAAGTCCTGACGCGCATAGACCGTTGGTTTGAAGCAGCACTTTCACCAAGTGTGGAACCTTGAGCGGGTCTTGTTTCGGCTGCAGGCTGGCCGTAGCCGAGTATGCTTCTGAAGCCACCAAAGAGAGCTCCTGCAGTGCCCGTCACCAAGTTGTAGCCTCCAGATACTGCCGAACCGACGATACCACCAGAGGCGCCAGAGTACGACTCGACGTAGCCTTGGACAGGAGCAATGACAAACGTGCAGCTGTGCTTGATGCCCAGATCTGATAGCGCCATTTCTTCCTCTGAAGCTTCAATCTTCTTGTTTGGTAGCGGTGTGAGGATAAGCTTGAAATCATAGGGAACATTGGATTCGATTGCAGAGTCGATCCACGGCCGGAGGTCGGTGGTGATGGTGGAGATTGGCTTGAACGTCTCTCGTATGACGCTGCCGTCAAACGTACGGACTTGAACACGCACTTCATTGCCCGTTGGTTTCAAAGTCCCCCCTGTAGGCGGAGAAGTGGCCGCTTCATCGTTCTGCTTCTGGACTTGCTCCCTTCGCCGACGCTCTTCTCTGTCAGCTTTGATCTGGGCCTTGATTCGCTCACGCTCCTCTCGCTGCTTCTGCTCTCGATCGCGTTGCATCTGTCGATACTCATTCTGCTGGGCCCGTTGCGCCTCGCTGAGTTCAGGTTGAGAGGCTGGGTCGGGCACCTGAGGCGCTGACGGCCGCTGGGGGGCAGGTGCAGGCGCGGTGGATCGTTGAGAATATACTCGCCCGGTAGCTGAAGGGGCCGCGTCCGCCTGGCCCGAGGTAGCCGATGTTTGTACCTTCATCTGGGCTTTGATGGCCGCGGCAGGAAGTCTAAGCATTAGACGATCCCGTGCCGTCTGCGATAATTCTGGTTGATCATTTTGGTCAAGGGAGCGCAGCCGTTGGACCTCCTCCTTGAATATCGGCAGCCTGCTCAAAACGCCTAGCTGAGCTTCCAAGATCTTTGCCGGTGACTCCCCACAAGCCTTGAGTCCTTCTGTAAACTCTCGTAGAGCATCGTACGCATTATTCGGCAGTCTAGGTTGACCAGCAGACGGCGGCAAATCGAGATATCCAACAGTTGGGCCAGAGGAGGATGGGTCTGCCTGAGTTGCGTCTTTGACGACTTCATCCGACTGCTCGGCAAGAGATGGTGCATTGGACTGTTCTGGGCCATGTGGTGCGATCAGTTGCTGAAGCTTCTGTCTCAATTGATCAATCGTAACCTCCGCAGCTTGGATATTTGCTTGCAATGACGCATTCTTGATGACTATCACCGCCGGTGTACTATTGACGGGTGCTATAGGCGTGAGGAAGGCTGCTTCTGAAGATCCTGCTCGTAACCTGATGGCCACGACTTGTTCATGCATATGCTCGCTAAAAGGGCTTGATAATAGAACTCCCTCCCATTCCTGAGACTTGTCCGAATCATCTGCTAGGCTGTTAGCGACATATCGCGGGGATCGGGCACGATCAACTCACCATGAACGAAGCAAAGCACCGCCATCTGTTGCTGGATCGCCAGTGCTATGCCGCTCTGCAGATCACCATCGTGGAACGCCATTTCTCAGATGTTAGCACAGTCAAGTCTTGAGGGGTCGCAGGCTGATGTACAAGACACTCTTAAGAAGGTTCGGCGTTCGCATCGCGGACCAAAAGTGCGGGCCGCGGCGCCGTCATGAAGATCTTCTAAATCTGGACTACCATGAATCCCTCTTCTCACCACCTCACGTCTACTGGTTGACAAATGAACAAGCAGTCAATATGTCCCGGAATGACCTGAAAGTCCTCCAGGCCATTCTGTCCACTTCGCGGACTGCACCGCGTGCAGTATCTCGCCGCATCGCCCCGAGACTTCGTCGAAATGCAAGCACGAGCTCCAGACCACCAGCCAAATCAGCAGAGGACCCAAACTTCATCTCGATAGTTGACGCTCCACCGCGACTTGTCTCTACGAAAAGAAGAACTACAAAACTTGGAGTAGCTGCGCTCGCTCTTATACCATTTACTGCCTTCTGTCTGGGGACGTGGCAGGTGCAAAGGTTGGATTGGAAGACGAAGTTGGTCGCGAAGTTCGAAGACCGACTCGTTCGCCCTCCTCTACCTCTTCCACCGCGGTTAGATCCAGACGCTATTCACGACTTTGATTATCGACGAGTTTACGCAACAGGCAAGCTTCGGCATGATAAGGAGATGCTGATCGGTCCGCGCATGCACGATGGACAAGACGGATTCCAGGTCGTCACACCACTTGAGCGAGAAGACGGCAGCACCATACTGGTCAACAGGGGATGGATCAGCAGGGAGAAACAGTTCCATCAAGACAGAGACCCATCATCTCTGCCCACAGGACAAATCACAGTGGCAGGCTTGTTGAGAGAGCCATGGAAGAAAAATTGGTTCACGCCTGAGAATAAGCCGGCGGAGGGCAAGTTTTTCTTCCCAGACGTCTATCAGATGGCAGCCAAAGCAGGCTGTGAACCTGTATGGATTGAGGAGACCATGCAGCCGAGTTTGCTGGAGAGCTACGATCGGGAAGCCAAGGGTAGGCCGATTGGAAGAGCAGCAGAAGTCAATTTGAGGAATAACCACGCACAGTATATCTTCACATGGTATGTCCAATCTATCCCAGGTGTACATCATTACTCATCAATCATAATAGGTACTCGCTGTGCGCAGCCACGTCGCTAATGATGTGGATGGTGCTCAAGCGCAAGCCGTCAGATCTATCCAGGAGAGTTCGACATACCACGAACTGGTGAGCGGGATTACAAGTCATCCGGCAACTCCAAACTGGACCGCACGTCTTTCGGCAGCCACTCTCTGGCAAGCTTGCGCAGCTGGCCCGGTTGAAGCACACGCTGCCTCTTCATCATCAGGAGCACATCACTGGTGTCAATCCGCCTCTTCCGGCGTCCGTGGCTTGAATATGCCGCTAGATCTTCACCAGCCTGCTCGAAGAACCATTCGGTCGCCTGCTCCAGGGCTTTGGTATGCTCCGAGCCAAAAGCTGGCTTGCGTCTTCCGTTGCGCACCTGGACTTCAGTCGCAATCTTCTTAATGAGACTGGTAGGTAACAAAGGTACAAGCGTGCCATGCTTGGTCATCTTCACCCGCTTCCGCCGTCTACCAGATTCTTGCCTAGCAGATGCGAGTTGCAACTCTGTTAACCTCCTCTTGGAGCTAGGTGAAAGACGTGCAGGCTCTCCATCGACAGCGTCTTCTTCGATATCTTCCCAACCATCTTCTTGAGGTTGGAGGAAGCCATCTTGCAGCTGCTTCGAAGCTGCAGCGGAGGCTTCGTCATCGAGGGGCATATCGAGTTGGAAGTCGCCGTTGCCCACTTCGGGTTCATAGTTGTTCAGGTCGGCTTCATCGATCGTCGAGCGCCGAGCGAGATGTGTTAAATCTTCGGTCTCGTCCAGCAGTGTTTCGCGATCGAGGGTCTTCCGCCTCATCTCACTATTTGCCTCCGATAGCCTTGCTTTCATTGCTTCTGGGCCCCTGGGATGTTCCAATTCCGAGCCAAAATCACTCATCCTGATACTCCCAAAACTGTATCTCGAAAGTCGTTCCGTTGCATCCTCAGTGAATGCCCGCCTCCCTCGCTCCGTGAGCATTGTAGCGTCGTCATCGAGTGCTCCTTCGACAGGCGGCATCGACAGGCGTGATTTCCCCCTGGTCCCATCCTTTGCAAAGTCGATTGACTGAAAGGTGATCGTTGGATCGTGCTCATCGTCCGGTAACACTGATGGAGTTGGTGCAGCCGGCAGATCACTGTCCTCCTCCTCGTACTGTGGGGGATCCTCCTCCATACTCTCTTCAATGCTCTCGTCGATATCAAATGTCATCCGAGGCCTCTTCTCGAGATGCCGGTCCTCCGCCTCGTCTTCGCTTCTAGGCTGCACATTCTCTTTTCCGGCCGTGGATGGTGTCCGCAGTGGGCGTGTACTCGGAGCAGTGATTTTGGCCAGTCGCCGCAGCACGCCTCTAGCCGATGCCGGGTCGACTTCCTCTGGAACGAACTTGCGCGCGCGCTGCGACCGTGTTTTCGCACCGCTACGCTGCTGTAGCGCGCGGATCGCGTGGGGTGTTGATGGTGTATAGCGGCGGGGTGTTTGGGCTGTAGAGGATGGGTTGGTGACCTCGGTGAGAGGTCTTTTACGTGTCGACATGTCGCAGGAACTGTTGCGAGAGGTTCTGAATGGGTTGATGGGTGTTGAAGTGGATATAACTGTGCAAAGGTGCCTCGCGACGCGTCCTCAGTAGATCGACGCGCTGCGATTCACCGACTCTTGGCATTGGAGTTTCGATGCTCCACCTCGGCATTCGCTGCATACTCCTAGTCGTAGGTAAAGTACCTTGGTACCGAGTACAAACAATATAGATCTGGAACCCTGCCAATATCTTCTCCTGTGCCACTAGAGAGGGAAATGAGATCTCATACTTTGCCGCCGTGTCACGTATACTTTGCTCAGACAGACAAAGAATAAAGTTAGTGAAGTGCTCCAGCTTCTGGGACCTTCACAAGACATTCTCATTACGGGAACTGCAGCAGAACGCTCCTGCCGGCTCATATCAGGTGGATGACAGTGGCGACGAGGCGGCGGTAGTCCTAGACGTTCCCAAGATGCGCTGCATGCCTCCCGCTGCCTTTCGCAGACCAGCCAGCTTGACGTGCTGTGCATATTTACAGGCTGGGGGCCGGCGACAACTTACCAATGCCGCAGCAATAGTCGACGAGTTGAAAAGCCGCCAGCTCCCCATCAGGATTGATGATATGAGCGCGGGTCCCTCCCAATTGCTGCGAGCCGCGGTCAGTGATTTTCTACCACCAGATTGGAGCCCACGCCAGCGGAAATTCCTGCCAATACATGAATCGTCACGGTCCCTACCCAATGGCCATCATCTAGTCCACTTCCCGCCTCTGACTACCGAGAAGGATCTTCTCGAGGATGGGACCGATGTGCTACACGCGCCGGACCGCTCTTGGAAATACCGTTTGTGGGCGGGCGGCAACGTCCAGTACCACCGCTCAATCCAGCTAGGCACTGCGAATCGATCTCTAGCGCTCGTGGAAAGGATCGGGGATGTGAAGGTGCGAGACTCAAAAGTCTTTGTTCAGATCCAGCGCGCAATCGTGGAGAACGAGTCTTCTGGCGCAACTTGGGGTGCACCAAAGGCAGACGAGGCAGCAGCACGTCTACGCAGCATTGCCTTCCCAGATACCGGACGGCATACAGACAACTCTCGGGACACTCGACAGCTTTACGCCCGCGAAAATCGTTGGCTCTGCTTCACGCAGAACAAGCCCACCAACCCACCACCGCCATTTAACCCACCGACCAAAGAGCCATTCTACACCGCCACCCTAACTCCAACGCCGTCACTCCTCTTTCGCTTCTCTGCCCTGACCTTCAACGCACACGCCATCCACATCGACGCCGAGTACACCAAGTCCATCTACGGCCTCCCGGAGCGCCTCGTCCAAGGCCCCCTGACCCTAGTGCTGATGCTCGAAGTCGCCCGTCGCGCCACCGGAGCCCTCTACGAAACCATGTCCGCGTCCGGGGCGGGAACCGGGTCGAAACAGGAAAGCTACTACGTCGACGCCATCGACTATAAGAACCACGCGCCGCTGTACGTCAACGAGGAGATCACCGTCGCGTGCGCGTGGCCGGAAGATTTGGACTCGACGGCGGCGGCGGCGGCGCCGCGCATGAGCGTCTGGATCCAGAAGTCGCATCCACAGATGGGCGAGCCGACCGTGTGCGCGAGCGGGACAGTGCCCTTGCGCCGCCTACCCATGAAGACTTGACAGAATAGTTGAATAGATGTCACAGCGGAAACACCATGTGAGGCGAGGAGGCACTGAAGCGTGGCTTCGTGTGGGATTTTGTAGATATCTGCTGCAGCGGGCTAGTCTGCTCATCAACGACTATCTCACCGGGCTGCAAGCTGTGTTGATAGACCGATAAGCACAGAAGCTAGATTGTAGCATCTATGAAGTTCCATGTACTTGGTCTGCCTCGCCATCGAGCACACACTGGCGGGGAACCCTCGCTATCTTGATAAGATTCGGCGCGATGGCATGAGTCCCGATCCACAAGCGTAATCCGTGTAGATCCGCAACAAGGGAGTGGTGGGAAGCCGCCATCACCGACTTGCAACGGTGTGGGCGTCAGTGTGCAGATCAATCGAGCATAACTTTGCGGACGATCCTTTCTCGGAGCTTGAGGCCCGCTGCCACGAAACTGTGCGGCAACAGCACTGATCAGCGCCGACACAAGTCTTCCGGCAGTGCCCAAATCTTGATGTCTCCATCATCGCCAGTGCTCACGATGATTTCTTCGCCCTCGAACCGCGTGTCTTTGTCCCGCCTGGCCGCCCAGCACACATGGTTGACCTCGTACTCGTCGTGCGCAGCCTCCACCAACGCAACCACCTCCCACTTGCTTTGTTGGCGTCTATGCTCCGTCTCCGGTGCCTCCGCCATGGGGACATCCTGCTGCTGGTGCTGCTGGCCCTCTTGAACCTCTCTGTAGACAACGATCGCACCGTCACCCGCACAAGTGACCACCAGCCCCGTCTGCCTGCTCCAGTCGACGGTGTAAACGCTGCGCACGTGGACCTGCGGCAGGCGTGCCTCCTCCACCCAGGTCTCGAAGTATCCCGTCGGCTTCAGAATGCTGGGCAGGCGCTGAGTGACCGCCGCAGCGCCAGCACCATTTATCCTTGCGTTCCGCTTCTTCTCCTGCTCTTGCTCACTCAACTCCCGCTTCCAAACCCGGACTGAAAAGTCGTCTGAGCACGTGAGCAGCCGGGGCTCCCAGTCGATCTCCCAGCCTTCCGGCATCTTCTGTTGATCGACCCAGCCCTCCCAGGAGACGCCCCATACCGTGCCCTCGTGGCCCTCCAATACACTCACACAAGCCCAGTCTCCCTCCTCTTCCACGTCCCGCCACAGCCGTACCGTATCATCGTAGCTCCCGCTGGCCAGTAGTTCCCGCGAGCCAACCACCTTCTCCTGCCCGTCCGCTCCTTGGACAGTCACGCCCTCACACCACCTCACACACTTGACATCTCCCTGATGCTCCTGCAGCACCGCAACAGTCTCCCACTCCTCATCTTCCACCTCCTCCCACACCCACACGCTCTTATCTCTACTGCTCGTCGCCAGCAGATTCGCGCCGTAGGTCCTAGGACTGAATGCAATACCCTTAATCTCCGAATCCGGACCGGTTAACAGTGTCGTGAAATTCCACTCCTCATTATCATTGACATCCTCCCCATCATCCTCCACCTCATCCACACCATCCCCCATAGCCGCATCCTCCAGCCCTCCAGCTGCAGCCGCAGCTGCAGCACCACCACCCCATGCCCGCCTCCTCGCACTACTCGCATGCTCCCACACCCCAACATTCGCATCAAAGCTCCCCGTCGCAAGTGTGACCTTCCTCCTCTTATGCTGTTGCAGTTGCAGCCCCTCTCCCCCATCCCCACCATTCCCACCCTCATTGCCATAATCCTTCCACTCCACACACCTCACGCTCCGCTTATGCCCTCCACCGATAGTGCTGAGGAGCTGGAACGTGCGCAAACTCCAGACGTAGACGTTCTTGTCCGCGGCCGCCACGGCGAGGAGGGGCGCTGCCGGGGACGAGTGCGCGTGCGCCTGCCATGCGCGGGAGGAGGGGCCGCGGCCGTGTGGGGCGGGGAGCGTGCTGAGGGGGAGGAGGGAGGGGAGGGCGGTTGTGTCGGGTGGTGGGTCGGAGGTTGACATGGTCGAGGGGTTGTGTGTCGGGGGGTCGAGTGGAGGGGGCGGAAGATGGTGCGTGCCCGAGAGAGAGCAGAGAGGAGGGGTGATGCGGGTTCGTTGAAGCTTAGGTGGGGTACTGGACTGGGGGTGAAGAGGCGGAAGAGTCTAGAGGACGGCCGCGGGTTGTATGTTGTTCCTCTTTCTCTATCGCCGGCTTCAGGGGAAGGTTTGAGAAGCGGTTTGTGAGTTGGTCCCGGAGCTCAACCGTGCCGCAGGTTTGTAGATACGACGACGGGAGAATTTTGGGTCGCGGCAAAATCCCAATTGTGACGTACGGGCGGATATGATACCCGAAGCGGGCAAGCGCTGAATGGGATTATGTACTCCGTATCTTGGGGTACCTAGGTACGGAGGAGGTAGCATTCAATGCCAGGCTTTGAGTGAACCATGGACTATCCGTATGTAAGACATGATCATTCGACAGTCAAGGCCCCAACAAATATTCCACGAACATAATGATTCCATTCTCCGCGGGCTATAAAACACTAGTATGCAATCCTCAAATCCAACACCAGCTCAGCAAGACCATGCTGTTGTAAATGCTTCAAATTGGTACCATTCATTTCGCCTACATTGTGGCACCAGTCCAGGGATATACAAACGATTTAGTGCTCTCCATGTTCTTCAATCCAGAACGATTCGCGGTGATGTCTGCATGGCAGTCTCTCACATGACCACACAGCGATTTCCTCTCTTCTTCACGGTTGATGTTCCGGCCTCACTTTGACCACTCCAACCCTCACTCTTCGCCTTTTTCTTCTTACCCTTCCCACGATTGAATGTCAACGGGTCGGTCCCCGCCCTCGTAGCCTCATATGTTGCACCCAGATGCTCTCTGATGGGACTTGGTATAGCTTCTTCCACGCTGTATGCTCGCATCCGAATAGGACCCTGGTGGTCAGGCTGGCTACCCATACTTTCGATCGTGTCAAGGCGTCCATACTTTGGCCGTCCTGGGGCGTGGAGATTTGGCGTGGAGCTGGAAGTCGGTATGGAGACACCGGTTCCTCCAGAACCGGGGCGTACGAGACCGTTTGGCGTCGTGATGGCGCGATTGAAGCTCGGTGAGCCAGGTACACCCGCCGCTCCCCATGCGCCGCGAGGAGGGGAAGGGGTTACAGCAGCAAGGTTAGATGAGGTGCCATTAGTCATTACGTTCAGTGGTCGACGTTGCGTCTGGGACACTCTCCGCTCAAGATTAGACAATTGCCCTGGCGTTGGACCACTGTAGCCGTAGCCAGCCGGCTGGTTTTGAGAGAGCGGCGCCGATACAGACCGCTGCTGATCCTGACTGCCTGGAGGCGGTGGTGGCACGGGATGGTTCAACCTGTTCTGCAAGTTGGCACCGGTCAACGTAATTCCTCCCGTGGCTGGTGGCTTAGGGCGCTCCGCCTGCGAGTGCACTCCAGGTCCGGCTGGATACACATGAGGTGTGGGCGATGACATGGGTTCATTCATGTTCGCCCTCATCATAGGCTGTGTCTCCTCTGGGGATGGCCGATCTGGCGTTGCTGCGCCGGACCTGGTATGCTCGGGGCTAACACCAGCAAACGGCACCGGCATAGGCGGTCGATGAGGGATGGCAGATTCCGATACCGTGGCCAGATGTTGTCCCCGCAATCGTGGTGCCAGTAATGCACTATTGTGATAGCCTGCAGTTGGTCCTGGGATATTGCCTGCCTGTATCTGTTGCCCGCGTGGCGGCTGCGGATACATCGCAGGGCCGCCAAAATTACTGCTTACGCCACCATTGGGGAGGTGCGGCCAATTCATGAATGGGGGGCTAGTAGGAGTGTGCCCCTGGCCCCCTGACGAATATGGAGGAGGCGGCGTCTCCCAGCTGTCCTGTGAGGGGCGTCTTCCTGGTCCTGTCGGCTGATTGGTGGCATTCCCTCCGTAGTCCTGGCCCAATGGGGGACGTGGTGGAAATCGCGCTGCGCGAAAGCCGCCCGAGGTATTGCTTCGGTGTAAATTCGTCGGAGGCAGTGGCACAGGAGGAGTATTTACACCCTCGCTCGGCGATGATGGCTGGGAAGCACTCGGACGGAGCGGCATGGCTCCGAAGTAGCTGCTGCCGGGGGGCGAGGCAGCTGTTTGTGAACGGCCAAGAGGTCCTCGCGGTGCGCTGCGAGGACCGGAGCCGCGTACAGTCCTTCGCCTCTCCAGGGCAACCTCGGTATCGATGTCTCCCGAGTGCTCAGTCAGTAGTTCGGGCATCTTGTCGCCGACTTCTATCGTAATCTCGCGATCCTGCAGAGACGAAGGAACATAGTCAAAATCGAGCAGACAGATCCTCGAACCGTCGACGGGCATGACATCCTCTCCCAGCTCTTCACCAAACGAATTAACGCCGCCTGGTGCCACCACGACCAAACGTTTGCCGGAAAAGCCGAATTTTCGAGCCTCAGTCCGCTCTACCCACTTCGCAGCAGAGCATCCTTCCAAGCTGTTGACACCCCGACATTTGACAAACAAACTCTGGCGCCAGTCGACCTTCTGAGCCAATGAATCAAGGCCTTCCATCTCATCACTGCTGCCTGATACCGAAGGAGAGTAGGCCATTAGGGGCTCGATGTGTCCGGTAGCTGTAGTGAGGTGAACACGACCTCTCATTCGCTCCTCGTGGCGTTCGACCACCGATCCCATGTCAGGACTGATGTCGAGTCTTTCTGGCACGCCATAAATCCACATCCCGCTACCATGATATCCAGATGCAACCAAAGTTCCGCAAGCCGAGGCGGTCGGTGCTGTCGACGGCGAAGGGAGACTGAATCTCCGGTTGATTGGAGGGTTGAGGAAATACGCGACGCCCGTGCGTGTGTCATCAGTCCGGACAGCTCGATATGACATGAGACTGTGGTCGTAGGCAAATAGCCAATTGGCATCGCCTTCAATATGCCCTTGCAACAGTTCTGCGTGGCTGCAGACGCTGCTGATCTGAGGAAAGAGGATCTGTGTTGTCCACATCCGACTGTGGATTTCCCGCGAGCTCAGATCTGGATCGTTCTCGGTGTAGAAAGGTGCGGTGATAACAACAGCATTCGGCTCATCCAAGCTCTGAGAGCTTCCTACCAGCATCGAGCCGTCGCCCGAAAACTGTAGGGTATCCATTGCTTCGCTTCGCACTGCCCTGCGATCGGTTGACAGAGCATTCGCCGCCAATGAGAACACTTCGACTAAACCTTCGTATGCTGCGGCAAGGACCGTCCCCTCGTGAGCCAGGGCTATTGTACGCGGTGGATCGTTCAGCGCCAGAACTTGGAGATGCCTTGGACCCTCCGGTGTAAGACCGTACACGTTGACCTGATGCCTCGAGGATAGGACGGCGAGAAGCGAGCCATCATCCGTGATGGACGCAGCGATGGGTCTTCTAAGTGTTTTCAGCTCCTTCCGGACCACTATATTGTCCGTTGTTGCATCCAGCACGTATATACGGGACGAGCTCAACGCTAGGATAGTCTGTCCGTTGGGAGAGAATGCGAAGCGAAATGCTTCTCCACCAGGAAAAGCTGCTGATGAATTTGCATTGACCGAGATGAGATTGATCAGTGTCCGTCGAGGTCGCATATATGCTTCGAATAGATTCCTCCTGACTTCGGCCGCGAACTTGGTTTTCAGGCGATAGAGATCATTTCGTCGAAACGGACCCGTGATGACATTGTTGGATAGTGCATATGAAGGGCATCGCGACAAATGGTGAGCATACAGCTCTTGTTTCTGTGCCAGGTGATACCAACTGCGATTGAGCAACGAAAGTGACGCAAACCCATCCGAATCTACCGAATATAGTATTCTGTGTGTAGAGTCAGTATAACACAGCCCTGGTCCGGACGGTAGAACAAGTCTTGGCTGGTTAGGCATCTCACCTCAGGATGACTTCCGGTGGCAGGCGCAAAAAGGCAGCTGCCGATGCTGTCGTAGGCGGACCAAAAGCTGGAGCCCAGAATGGCAACGATGTGTCGCGTGTAGGGCCATGAGCGTCATCAATGTCATCGACCCCTATCGGCGAGATTGGTTCACTCGGTACGTAATCCATCCTTCAACGCTCCAGATGTTGTCGAGGGTAGCGGAATAAAGTCTCGCTGATCATCGCGTAGTGAGCTGGGTATCCGCGAAGACACAATACAATCGCGGTGATGGCAGGGCAGCCGCCATTGCCCTGGACGTGTTTGCTGCGGGCTCAAGGTGATGGTTGCCCTTTGACCCTCGTATTGCTCGCGACGAACTAGCGTGATGCGGGGAATCCCAACTGGGGCGCAATATATGAGTGTTCGTGGAGGATACGTGTGCTGACCAGCCAGGAAACGCGATAGAACCGATCAAAGCTAGAGAGTGCTAAAAGGTGAACGTGTTTTGTGGAGGAGTTGTGGCCCAGGATGTTGCATGGAAGGCGTTGGCGATGCTGAGCCACCGCTGAGCTTAGCCGCGTCTCGCTTGAGCTGCCCTTCGCGGCGAGACGAGCCTGAGCTGGCCCCCATGCTACGCTTGAAATTAACGCTGGAGACGTCAACCTCGGACTACGGGCCTACCGAGTCTGGCAAGACTGTCTGGAAATCATCATCCCTAGGCCTTTCCTGGCATCTAAAACGATCTACACCCAAACGACGCACTCCCCTTTTTCTCGAAGCTCTTCGCGAAGCAGTAAAGTTGCATCCATGGCGGGTGATCGGCATCCAAGGACGCGCCGAAGCAACGCCATAAGCCTTAAAATAGAATACCTCCTTGGCGATATAGGCGTCAGGTCGCAGTGATACTGTAGAATCTACACAGCAATACGGAGTACATTTGCTTTACTCTGGATGCGACGAAACGAGGGTCTCTGCCCTAGCAGATATGGAGGGGAAAGGGGCTGCCTCGGTATTGTTACTACAATGGGAAGCTAGGGCTGGGAGATGAGCTTTCGTTATCTGGGTGAGAATGACGCTTCACCTGTCGTAAAGTGACACCGTCCATCCATCTGTTGCGCTCAACATATCCTGTGCCCAACCTGTCTACATTTGTGTAAATACACATGCCGGCGATATAGGTCGGCCGACACTCACCATCAGGGGAGCGTTTTAAAAATACACAGAACCTGTCCTGAAACGAACCAGGAGTGCTCCTCCATCACTTCTTCTCAGCCTCGTCTTTTTGGCCACCTCCAAGCCAGCCCGGTAGGAAGCCACCGGACCTCAGATTCTTTGCCGCATCTTCCTGCATCCGCTTCTCTTCGGCTTCTCTTTCCGCCAGAAACTTGGCTCCTTCCTCACGGATGTTCTTCTCAAGCTCCATGTAGTTGCGTTGCCCACGCTCTCGCATGATATCCCAGTACATCTTGCCCTCGGCCATAGCATCCTCGGTACTTGGTATGCCGTCCGGTGATTGCTGCTTGAACAACGAGCCCAGGCCCAGCGATTTCTTCGGCTTGCCTTTGCCCTTTCGCTCTGCTTCGAACTTTTCCCGAAGCAGCTTTTCCCGACGGGCGAACTCTGCAGGTATATACTTGCCCTCGAAGGATTTGAGGACGCTTCGCGCATCATCGAAACCCATGGTTGCGAGGTACTCCAAGAAAGGAATCATCTGAATCAGTGTCTGATCGTTGGGGTCCCCGGTCCATTTTGGTATAATAATGGCATTTTCGGGTTGGTTTTTAACATGGTGAGCATCAGTGTCCATGATGACGACCTTCTTAAGGTCACGATTCAGGTAAGAGAGGTCCTGCAAGTTATGTAAGCCAAGTCATCGCAACACATCTGGTGGACTCCCGTACCTTGACATAGCCGCCATCCTTATACAGGGTGGCTTCTCGAAACAGTGGCCATCGAATCATCATGAATGGATCCAGTTTCCTCAGGACCTGGTCGGCAGTCGCTGACGGTTGACTAGTGAACAGTACGAGCTCGTAATATTGAGTCAGATAGCGCAAGAAATCTGAGGGCGTCAGTGGTTGTACAGCGAATGTACAGCACAAGACTTACAGTCAACTCCCGGGCGCTTCGCGATTCGCCATCCGTGACTTCTTGACCACTCTTGATGAATGAGCATGTCTTCCAAGCTAAGCACCAGGACGAAGGGCGCGCGGAGATTGGGATCTTTCTCTTCGTCCGGTAGCAGCTTAGTAGTCATCGGATCATGGTAGTAACTCATAGTCGAGCCCATACGAGCCTTGACCCGCCCGTAGACCAGGCCCGGGCCCCATCCATTTGGCGCATCTTCGGCATGCTTCTGCTCCAACTCTTCGGTCTCCCAATTCCGCCCTAAGTACAAGCCATAGCCCACAGCACCGAGACCCAGAAACAGGTAAGTGTACCTGATAACGGAATTCTTCTTCCGGTCACTGGATGACACATACTCCGGGCGAGGATTGCGGTCACGAGGGCTCTCCTCCTCTTCACCCGGTATCGACTCCGAAGGGTCCTCAGTAATGTTGAGGCTTGCCTTGTGTGATTTTTGTTGCGACTGCGCTTTCCTCAATTCGGCATCCAATGTGGATGGAATGCCTTTTGTGAGGTCAGGCAATGGCTGTTGAGGCTCAGAATCGGCGGCTGAAGAATCGCTGGGCTGTTCTGAGGCAGACTGCGCCTTTGAACCCGTCCTTTGATCCTCCGGCGAGGATTGGGTGGAGTTCAGAGTTGCGCTGGCTGTAATGTCATCTTCACCGGTAGGAACTGCATTCGGCGACCGTTGTGGCCCTGCAGGATTCGAGGGAGATTTGCGCTGGAAAGACGGCTGCTGATATGATGGAGGCTTCCCAGCCTTCGCGTAATATCGCGACTGGGAAATGGAAAGCGCGGTGCGGAGAGCAGGCTGCGGCTGCGGCAGTCCCCTAAGAAGAGGTAAGGAAATACGGCGGAGCATTATTTATGGGAGCAGGTGCATGGCTCGACGCAAAACGATGGATTAATGGCGAGGCAAGAAGCAACAGAAAGCGATGTGATAGAAGAGATGAATGCTTCCGTTCTCATGACACTTTTTTGCTCGACTCCAAAAGCTCCTGCGTCAAGAGGTCCCAGGCCAAGGCCTGCAAGGCTCGATTACAGCCTCGACTCAGGCAGTGAATGTTGGGTCACAACGTGAATCGTCTGAAATCCTATTGAGCTACCACTCGCCCATTGGGACTGTATGTGTTTGGCGGCATGGTTGTTTCCAGAACATCTAATTAGCTGATGGTTTGAACAAGCTCGAAGTCTACAATACGTCCTAATAACGCTTCGAAATAGCAGCGCTTAGAAGTACTTCTATGGACCTCCTACTGCACAGGGGCTGGACTGGCCCGACGAGTCGTAGCATTCCCGATCACAGTCTACGACCGGCGATGCGCCTGCTATGAAAATTTCTGGTCGTGGTAGTGCAAGAGACCTGCCTGCAAGATACTTCAGTTACAAAAACGGGGGAATGCGAGGAAAATCCGGTACTTACAAACGACTTGATTCAACGGCATTGAATGGCTCACGTGGGGCAGTCGTGCCTTCTCGGCCTCATCGAAATGTTTTGTGGAAAAGCCCTCTTCCAATGCTATGATTTTTTTCATAGCGATGATCTGGAGCTCTTTTACGAACAGACTCTCTTGAAGCGGAAGGCGCTTCATCAATGCAAGCGTTTGGCGACGTAAGTCGCGGGAGCGACACTGCCACCCTACGAAAAACAGAGGAGCGGCAGTGCCTGATTCGAAAACGAATGGTATAACCCCAGGCTCATCGGAGGCTCTGGCCAAACAATCGAGGGCCCTTTCCGCATGTAACAAGATCTCGTGGAACATACCGTCCTCAATCGACGGATTCACGCCGGGGGTGTCCAGTACACGACCGAGCCAAATACATGCCACTCCTTGGTTGCAAATCAAGGTGTGGCATGTAGCCTGTTCCGTGGAGGACCGGGCCGTCTCAGCCATGAAACGATCGATTTCGCTGTGCCACTGACATAGCTGTTCCATAAGGGAGTGTTGTCTCTCGGCGACGTTATTCCTTATTACAATATCGCCGATATTTGAGACTGTTGCATCCTGCACGAGATTGAAGACACGGAAAATAATGGAGTAGATAGCTGTTCGGGCGTCTGCAATTGAATGGATGACGGTTTGATTGGTCGACACAAGCCTGTCAACGATGGCAAAGAACCCTGATGGCAGCACGTGGCCGAAGATGGTGAAGAGAACAGCCTGCCGCACGAGGAATGGCAAGACGATATCCTCGATCCAGACCGGGCTCCGGGAGGAGGTCAGAGTCTGAAGTGTCAGGTACCTCTCAATCAGTCTATAGCCTTGCCGCAGTAATGTGAGTGTAGTCTGCACGTTAGCGTGTTGTATTTCTACGCTGGCGAACAGGAGGCAGGATAACATAGAGAATTCAAGTTGCTGCTTTTCGTCGATGGCGGTTTGAGGCTGCAAAGCTAGCGAGAGTGATTCTCGATACCAGGTCATCGCTCGGTGTTGCCAAGTACTGTAGTGTATTCCATCGCTACGATAAGCGTCGGTTAGAGGATGCTCATACAGTGTGCTGATTGCGAGGACAACTTTGCGAATGGCTTGGCTGGACTGGCTCAATCGCGGCAGCAGAGTCATCCAAAAGTACGAATCCAGGCTACCAGCCAGTGCAGGTGCAGCTCGATGCACAAAATACTCGAAAGCCCGTGCTTCATCAGGATTGGTGAAGGGCTTGTGCACTGGGTTCGTCGTGGTCAGGGACTGATTTGTAACACTTGTTGGGGCATTGACATGTTGATGCCCGTAGTTTATGATGATTCTCTCGGTCAATGGTCCATCGCATTTGCGACCAGTCTGAACACACTTGTTGCAGCTCGGTCGTGTTTCATCGCATTTCACACGCCGGATTTTGCATGTTTTGCAGCCATGGCGGGAGCGAGATGAAGAACTTGTGAGTCCCATCAAGGCGTGGGTCTTGGATTCGCGGACCGACGCATCGATAAGGTTTCACGGGTATCTGCAACCCAGCGGCCAATTTCAGCTCCGATCAAGTGATTTAAGAGGCAGCGGAATGGACGATAGAAAGTGGAGGAGAGAAAGATTGCCATGGGCGAGAGACGAAATAGCGCCCAGCACAAGATGCTCCATCACCCTCGTTGTGATTGGACTGTTCGCCTTCGCTGCCATCTCTGGTATAGCGCAGCCTTAGCTAGCTCACGATACGGGTGCTTGAGAGGCTTCGGGTGGTGCTTCTCTGAGACCGGAGCACTGTTCGTCTTTTCCATAGCATGCCGGATATCTAGCAGGACGGGCTAGAACTTCGACTTGATTGGCCGCCAGAATGGGGCTCTCAAAAGGTCGGTGACACTGAATCATGATCAGGTATGCCATATAAGAGCTTCTCGCGACTTCCGTGTCCAAGATGATTTTCTGCACGACCTCCATCTTCTTGGGAGAGATTTGCGCCGTGCGGTTGCAGTGATCGATTGGAGATCGCCAGTGTGATCGTTCTAGAATTTCAGAATCTCCTACCACGCCGCTCATCCTGCAACGTTCAGACTACGTTCGAAATGGCCGAAGGTGACCTTGGACTCCCACAAGAGGTCGTGGTATTGGTTTGTGTGCTGGCTGGGGCCTTCATCATCTGTGCCGGTAAGTCTTGCATCTCTTAGCGCCCATCGAAGCTAATTTGCCAAGGGTACGCCGTGCATCGAATGTTCAGACCATCGCTATTCGTGGAGCAGACCTGGAACACACCCAGTCCCGATCAACATGCCTATATGGCGGAGCTTCGACGGAAGAACTGGGTGTAAAGAAGTCTGCCAAAAACAGCTTGACTTCGGTCAAGCTGTTTATTGAACCGCCATTGTCAGTCGTCACCTATTTTGCTGGGATTGAGGAATATCACTTGTATGACTATGGTTGCCGACAAAAGCTAGTGAGTATTAGATCAGCTTGAGGACGAAAGTTTATGGTTGACCGGTCAAGGTCCAAAAGCATCAGCGGCAGTACTGCAGCGCGGGCGAACCGATTTCCTTGCATAACGACACAGAGTGAAGCACGGCCCAAGATTGAGGGCCTTTCTCCGGGAGCTCTTCAACAATGCTATCGATTCATTACCGGGGGTCGACCAAGGTGACGGGCACGTGCCCCGAGCTCACGGCTCAACACACCTCAAAGCTTCTATTATAGCTCCGGAGAGGCTGCTCATCAGTTCTGTCGATCGCGGGTGGATCAGACCGACCTTGTCTCAAAAGCATCCGACGCATGGCCTCACATCCTGATCGACCCCCGACCTTAACGACGACGTGTCAGGGTCACACCAACGTAGCAATTCGAAGAGGAGCAAGGCCTGACATGGAAGTTAACCTGAGCACAGACACGATAAGAAGAGTCGGCTGCAGTTCAAGCCAAGATGAATGCTGAGCATAATCCAGACACATTTGGCCGGGAGGGAATGCCGGACACTAGGAAGATTTGGGAAATAGAAGATGGATGCGCTCGAACAGAGATGGCCTCAGTGATCCAACACAGACAGAAGGCACTGCTTTACGGTCCTTATTTTCAAGAAAACCTGCCTGATCGATTTATAGCCGTTGGCGACGGGCAGTATCATCGAAAACGAACTTCAGGTACTTAGCGACGGCGTTCATGGCGATGTGTATCCTTTATGTGCCCGAGATCGAGTTGAACAACGAGAGACTCGTCCACTCCCGACTGCCGTCAAGTCGAAGAAATCTTCAAGTGCTGAGACAACGAGATGTCTGATGATATGCTACTCCTCCTTTATCCTGGTGACTGTCGGTGGCTCGCGAATCGAATAGAATCGAGAATTGTTGATGCTTTCATCAGCAAAGAGGAAGGACGATGGTAGTAGAAGGGCAGTCGGGCTGCTACGGTGGCCAGTAGCACATACATTCACAGACCGTCGAGGCCTTGAGTCTGCGATTCACATGCTCCCTTCCTATCTCTTCCCATGCAGGTCGAACGAGTCTGGGCTATGATGATTGTTGGCGTGTCGGAGCAAGGAGCTGCGTTGGCCAATCTACGGTCTAGGGTCCAGACTGACAAGCATGGCACAGCAACTTTGCGCCCAGAACTGATGCGCTGTACATCAGATCACGGATATGACCGGAACTGACAGCACTAGACGACACGCTAAAGATCCCATTCGCTCATAACAATTGCATTGTCTGTAAGCGAGCCCCGGAAATTCAGTAGTGAACGCAGAAACTGCTCGCGACTCCATTCTCGGAGCGTGCCTAGTATCCCCTAGCCTCATTCTCCTGTAATCCTTGGAATGTACAAACGTGGGACTTCTTCAATGCTCCAGCACCGATACATCGACCGTTTGTTGATAAAGATCAATGGCGGACCAGATCGCTGCCGATGACCGCGAGTCATTCGACGAAGGCTATGCGGAATCGACAACCACATCCTACCTCAGTTCCCTGGCGTCCGACATCCGTCGAGGTGTGACAGAGAATGGTCGCACCTACGCATCATACGGCAGAACTGTACAGGGCATTCCAATCGATGAACCGGAACAGGATCGCAACGACCTTCAACATGCAAAGTTCTTGCTGCTACTAGGCGGCAAGCTTCACTTGGCGCCTATTGCCGACGACGCGCACAACATTCTTGATCTCGGAACTGGTTCGGGTATCTGGTCCATAGATATGGCGGATTTACACCCGTCAGCCACAATCACAGGTGTTGATGTCGCCCCGACAATGCCGACTTGGGTCCCACCGAATGTTCAGTTCGAGATCGAGGATATCGAGGAGGATTGGCTCTTCGGGAAGAGTCGCTTCGACTTCATTTTCGGTCGCGAGCTTCTTATGGCAATCCATGACTGGCCTCGGTTGATCAAGCAAGCATATGACCACCTCAAGCCTGGTGGATATCTCGAGTTGGAGATGACTTTTCCGAAGACCTTTTGCGAGGATGGTACACTGGACCTTGAGACATCAGCATACGCAGAATCCGCGCGGCTTCTCTTTGAGTGTGGTCGTAAGATGAATGTACCATGGGAAGCATCTTTGGAATGGAAGGAGCAGATGCGCGCCGCAGGCTTTGTGGATGTCGTCGAAACCACCTTGAACATCCCCATAGGCCGCTGGTAAGCATTACTTATCGCTCCGTCGCCCATTACTGACATGCTGGCCAGGCCCAAAGACAAAGATATGAAGAAAATCGGAACGTTTGAACTCGCCAACATTGATCAAGGTCTCGACGCGTTCTTGCTTCGAGGCTTCACAGGCGCATTGCAACGCTCCGAAGCTGAGCTGCAAGTCCTGACAGCTCTAGCGAGGAAGGAAATCTTCGATCCCAAGAATCATTTGAATGTTAAGTTGTAAGAAATCCTTCTTGCAACCCTGACCACCACTGATACCTTGCCAGTGTCATTGTCCACGGCCGAAAACCATTAGTGTAGTAACAGCGGGTTTAACTTGGCCCAGCATCCGCTATCGGTGCGAGACAGCAGGGCGGTCTCTTTCAAAATGAAGATTCTGGACTGAGCAGCTCTCCAGGTGGTCTTGCATATATATACAGTTTACACACCCATCCACCGTGTCCAATCGTAGGCTTGCTGCCTAATCTCCTCGGCTACCATCACTCACGTCACAGGCAAATATCACATCAAGCAATTTCAGCTTGCATTCGTCTCAGACTGTTCTCTTTACGCAGTAGACGGTCTCTATCTTTAGCTAGGTCCACATGCCTTGAACGCCGTAGAGGGGCATGCCACGGCCCTAGTTTGCGCGGCGTTTTGCCCCGCGCTTAGCTGCATCTCAGTGACAACCTACCGTCCCCTTTTATGCACCGTAACAATGGGCCACCCTGTGCCAGGCTGAAATAGAAAACCCAGCTCACTGGCCGACAACGAAGCGAGTCCCACAGTGGAAAAAGTTGACCATGCTGCGAAGCGGTGGGAGTATGTTTCGGTGATGGTGCCAATCCAGAGAGTCCACCTTACTTGTGTCGTCGAGACCTGCGCGTAGCAAGCTTCACGCAGATCGCGACTGTGTTCCGATAAGCGACAGCCTTCAATCATTCCCATCATTGTCAACTGCGATACGTTCTTCCTGACTAGCCCAAGATGACGTCCGAAGCCATCAAGCAGCTGACAGGCCTGCTCAGCCAAGCGAGCGAACTTCGAGAGAGCCTATCCAATGTTGAACGTCAACAGCTGATGGGAATTACCGGCGCATTCCTCGGCGAGCTAGAGCGACCTGATGAAGCCGTGTATAGGATAACCTTCAACGAAGTCAGTACCACCCTTCACCGAAGCGCTCTTCGCAGGGTTCCAGAGGCTCGACAGCATCTAGAAAGCTTCAATTGATAGCATGCTAATGGGGAGGCGAGTCATAGCCGGGCCACTACCTTGCTGTTCGTCTAGGGATCCAGTGGGGGATTTTTGATGCCCTGGGAGATGTCGGCAGCGAGCCAAAGACGAGTACGCAGCTCGCAGAGGCTTCGGGGGCCGATCCACGACTAGTCGGTACGATTCCAATCTCAAAGGAAGATCAGGTAGAACGAGGGGTCACGTCCACTCAACATGGCCTCCTATCAGTCCATGAGCTGATTTGCCTGATGTAGCTCGCTTTGTTCGCCACTTGGCTGCCAATGGCACCCTTCGTGAAGTCGACATCGACACTTACACAAGCACGAGAATGTCGTCTTCCTTACGTCAGAAGTCTTTTCAGAATTCCATTGGGTTCATGTGAGCAGCACCTCTTTCGTGACACGTTTCGACCCTAATCCTATCAACAGGTTCGATGACTTTCTCAACGTGGGATGGAAGGTGCCCTCCTTCCTTGATTCTATTTCACACCGAAATCCCGAAGACCCAGCCAACGGCCCATTTCAGCACGCAAACAACATGCGAGACCAACCCCTGTACCTCTACTTCAACCAGGACCCTGCCATGGGCGCTCGTTTTGGGGGCATGATTCAGATGTACAATGCCGGGAAGCCTTTCTTCTGGGAAGACAATTTCTACCCACTACAGGAACGACTGTGCAAAGATGGTCCAACAACCGACGACGATATCCTTCTGGTCGATATCGGCGGCGGGGATGCAGGCGACCTCGGCAGATTGCGCAAAGCCTTTCCAGACCTGAAGGGCCGGCTGATTCTGCAGGAGCTGGCGTATATCGTGGACAGAAGCGAGCGGGATGGGTTCGAAGCCCAAGTGGGCGACTGGAACGAGCTCCAACCAGTCAAAGGTATGACATTACGAATCTTTGCATGCTGAGCCACACATCCACGCTGACAAAGACGCCATTTTAGGAGCGCGAGAATACATGCTTCACCACATTCTACACGACTTCAGCAGTGATGATGACTGCCGTCGTATCCTCAACAACATCATTCCGGCTATGGAAAAGGGATTCTCCAAACTGCTGATCAAGGACCTCATGATCCCCGACCGTAACGCACCCTGGGCGTTCACGGCCATGGATGTCAACGTCATGCAATCCGTTTGCGGGCAGGAACGCACCGAGTCACAGTTCCGCAGCCTTCTCGAGTCGGTCGGGCTCAAGATCGCCGGTGTATGGAGACATGAGAAGGCGCTAGACGTGGTGATTGAAGCGGAGTTGCCCTAGATAGACAATGGATGCCGGGCCAGCTCACAACAGTCAGTCGATCGCGCAGATCTGGCTTTTACACGAGATGGGCGGCCAAGGGACCATCGCACGGAATACCACCGCAGAACTGTGGCCTCCCGTTTGGTCAGGTCGATACAATATGTCAGAGACCAGGTTTCGAGCCTGGCGATGATCGTATGTTGACTCAGTCGGTAGGCCACAGCACTGTTGGTAGGAGATGGTCCAGTAGGTGACTATGCAGCGGCACTCACAGGTGGCTGATAGGTACATACTGTGTGCACCATGTTGTTGAGACTCTAGAGCTTCTGGCAAGGGTTACAAAGGAAAAAGAACCCAGAGTGACATAACGCTGTCTGCCTTTGTGCATTTATGTGCTTCCCATCACGGCCATGATGGAGACCATGATCTTTGCTCCGTTCTCTGCTAGATCCCAATTTCCTCTTTCTGTACACACCTGGCTATATTATGCTAAGTAGGCTTCTTCGTTTCTGCAACTGACTCTGACGATTCGGCATCAACTGACAGTCTCTTCTGTGGGAGGTATCAATGGGCAGAGCCGTAGCTACAGCCTCGGCACAGATGTAGTGACTATCGGATTGCCTGTCTCGTTTCCTTCTGGCGACTTTATCAGCAGGCAGTGCAAGGATGAGTATTGGTCATCACCAGGCCTTCAAACCCAGTATGGTCTGATGGTCTGACTGCTCAGTCGACAATTTCAATCATTCTGCTCTAGCCTGAGGAGGCTCCTGCCGTATCCTACAAAGGGCAAAGTTCTGACACTGGTCGCTCTTCCGTTGCGTGTTACTTGTTGCTTGCCGTGCTTCCGTAAAGGACGACGTACAACAATTGAGATTGAGCATCCGCCGGCGTTCGTCGGCGCTGGGGGGAAAGGCAAGGCCACAGTCGTCGCGCGATGATCTCACGCAGCCAGTTGAAACTCATGGGATGCTATGGTCGTGAGTATCATCTGGCTAGGCCACCACCGTTTCGACTCCAACGATATCTGGCCAGTACACTGGCTAACTGCTTCTCGGTCTCGCCTTCTCTCGCACGATCACCCCTACCTCTGGCAAGTGCGATGGCGCTGCGCATTACATTGCGGAACTGCCGCTGATAGTCGGTTGGCAGGGTCACCTGTAGACAATTAGCAAGTCATGATTCAATAGCCTAGAGACCCCTTACGAAGCAGCTTTCAGTGGCTCTGACAACGGCCTCGCATGCTGCGAGTATGACCATCCCGCTGTCCGCCTGCAGTCTATACGCCACGAGTAACAGTAGAAGACTCCCGTGCAGCAGTTGAATACCAAAGAAGTACGGCATGAAGCTGAAGTCTGGGTCGAGCTCCAAGATTTCGGTGACGCACTCGCTTGCTGTAATAGTGTGTGACATGCTATCCTTGAAACCTGGACTCGAAGTCCAAAAGTCCGCATCCTCGAAAAGCTGCACTGGGTCCCATTTACTGCCCATTAAGATACGGAGGACCGCCATCACATGTCTTGCGTATGCAGAGACAGTCTTGGCAATATGCGTGGCTTCCGAGTCTTCGTGGACAGAGGCTGGAGGTGTTTGTGACCACTGCTGGGCATTCGTTGAAGTACGACGTTCAATTGGCGACTCGGGCACGGTCAGTCGGTCGAGGCTGTCCTGGTATTGCTCGAGTTCGGAGAGAATCTGGCGTTCCTGGGACGACCACATAGAGGCTCCCGCAGAGACAAGGACGGGATGATTCTTCGCTCGATTGAAGTCTAGAAGATGGCCCGTAACAGTCATCAAAGGAAGGAAAAACTCGAATAGACCAACACCTGTACATGTGACCGACGGGCCGTTATCGCGGCCAGTCCCAGATGGAGCAAGCACACAGCGAGGACCATTCTGCTGGAAGCCATGGCTATGCGGCTGTGCACCAGACTGCCAGGTGACATCGTCAAGGGGTAGTAAGAGGTCCTTGCACTCAGCTTCGAGTAGAGCCAACGGCCGATTGTAGCAGAGGGCAAGGTGTCGATCCATCAGGAAGAGTAGCCACCATGTTCGGCGCCGCTCTTCGCGGTGCACTTCAGTCATGAAATCTTTGCTGAGCTCCTGCGGATTCGAGCAACCGCAAGTGAGGATGGGCTGGTCGCCACTCGATTGTTTTTGAGCCGAGTATGTGTCGATCTCTCGGTTGAGTTTGAGATCGCGGGCGAGATTGAAAGCTACGCTCCACCAGCGGATACTGGCTGCCTTCTTCTCACTACCTGAAATTACGGAGGAGACGTGTATGAAGGTGATAATATAATCTGTCCCCCAGGTTACAGGCAGTGGTTCCGTGCCTTGGGGGTCGAGTGCGCGATGAATATCTTCGTCTGTGTAGCATGGCATAGAAGCACATGATGTGGGCAGCCCAAGATCCTCTTGACTGAGAAGTGATTCTAGGCGTGATGGGTAAAGCAGGCGATAAGTCAGCAGGCTGAGGTACTTGCATATGCGGTCTCTTTCCTCGGGTCCACTGAACAGGCCCAAGGCTTTGTCGCTTAGTGATGCCACGAATAGCATGCTTGCTAGTAAAGCCGGATGCATCTTCCGTGGGTGCAAGGGGTCCAAAACGTCGCATCGCCGCACGATGAAGTTGTGCAGGTGATGACACGTAGGATGCATGCGGCCACTAAAGGCGCTCGAAAAGTAGGTGTCGAGTAGATCGCTTGCAAGGCTAAAACCAAAGTCCCGATCCATGAAAGGGGCTAGATACTGCATGACTGGGTATCTGCATGTTGTCAGGGCTGCTGAGGCAGAGGATGGTGTATGTGGTGAGCGGGAATCGGCGATTGAGGGCAGTTTGTAGCTGTATGGATCCAAGACATGGAGTGTTGGCGAGACATAGGGAGACTGGATCAGAGATATCTGCGCTCTGTCGTTGAGCAAAGTGGTGCGGATATCGCTTTCGTAAGGTATCGTAAGATGGACCGTACTCGAAGTCGCTGTAGTTGAGGACAGTTCAGTATGAGAGCTCGTTGCCGTGCTTATATCTTGCCCAGGCTCCTCAATTCTAAGAAGGGTCGGACTTGTCAGGAAAGATTTCTGTTCAGACGGAGATGATGTGTTCGGTAGTGCCTCCGTTAGCTCCGATGCTGGAGGCGATAGACCGTTGGCGTAAGACTTCCCTTCAACATCGGACTCCTGATCCGTGTTCGAAGTTTTGGATGTGGTGCTGGTCTTTGGTTGAGTCCGGCCAACTTTGCCCGATTCATAGCTACACTCCTGTTGGAGTTGCTCGCACCGTGCACATGGGTTATTTCCCGTGCACCGGGCTTTTGAACGACGACATGGCGTACAGGCTCTCTGTGTTTCATTGTTAGCTCGAGCAGGATGCATCCAAACGATAACTTTGGGGCTCATTGACCGGTGCGGGAGACACAGCGTAAGGTCGACCTTTCGAAATCTGAAACCCGCTGCCTGTTTCCGAAGGGATGGAACATACAAACTTTTCATGCACTATGCGATGGAGAGGGCCGCGCTCCTGTGAGTGAACTTTCAAATGCCTTTGCAGAGAGTCCTTCCTGCTGAACTCGCGGCCGCATTTGGGGCAAGGGCTCCCCGCTGGAGTCCTATGTCTCTTCTCCGCAACCGTGCCCATTTTGCCATCCGGCTGAAATCGACGCGCCGATGAGATATACTGCCATCAAAGTCGATGGTGTCGGGTCTGTTTGGTAGAACGACTGTCGGTTGCGCTAAGGTGTATCGCTTCTAGATTTCCTTGGGTTCGGCACATGTATCACGTGGCTCAGCCTGGACTTCCCCGGGTGAAAGCATCGCAAAAAGTGGAATCTTGCGGAGGGGCTAACCAGGGTGTCATCGCCTGTGGTTTAGGCGGTGGTTTGCTGATTGGGTGTGCTTCAGGCAGTTCCCCGCCGCCGGCCTTGCCTTTTCCTGGGTGGGATTTACCGAAGGACCGCCTCCTCCGGAGTCCTTTGGGAAAAGATACACCTTCACACGCCTTTGGCGAAGCATCTGCATGAGTAGACGAATGCGAAGTGCGCCGTTAGCTCACTCCGCGCCCAAAAGGTATCTACATGCTATCTGCTAGCAGAAGAAGCATTCGCTGGTGGCTACGATCCAGGCGTTGTTTGGTCTCAGCAAGATGCCTCTTTCTCAACTTACTCGCTCGACGAGTAGGACAATCTCACGCGGTGAAGCAATTTGATTGCAAGTAGGTCATTACTCAGATAGTTGTGGCTTATGACCAGCATCGAGTACATCGGACCTGTGATCTGGACCTGGTCAACGGGAGGTGCTTGTCGCGAAACGCGGCCATCTTGTCATGGAGATGTGATCAATCTTTTATTGGCCTTCACGAATGAGGGCCCTCGCAAGTGAAGAGGAACTTGATGTCGTCAAAAGACATGTTGTAGGTCTCGATCGACATCTTAGCTTGCGCCTCGCAGTCACCAGCGCGAAACAGAGCCTCTCTCGGAGAAGTTGAAGTAGGATGGCGGAGCAGCGTGAACACCGGACACCAAGGACAACTATAACCAGTCAGCACTGCACCTCATCATCCACATCTCAAAGGTGACTTACCGGAGAAGCCTCTTTGATGCTCCAGAGATGGGCGGACCATGCAATGTCAGTGCGAAATTGAATAGACAACTGCACTTGTTTGGTCTACCTGTTTGCCTGATCAAAGATGAGTAGCATACTGGATGAGACGAACTCGCCTCATGCTTGCCAGCTGATATATGGGAGCGATACGTAAGTCTAGATAACTCGATCTTCTTTGTGGTCGTTATCGACGCAAATACTGCAGTCTCACCTTATATTCTCGTGTCTTGACCTTGAATTCCAAGTTCTTGCCCGTCGCAGGCGATACCTATGCCCGTAGCATATGGTGCCCAATACCACACCTAAGTCACGTAAAATATGAGAAGATATTATGAGAGTGCGATGACCGTTTACGCGCGAAAGCCAGTGACGCGAATAAGTAAACTCGGATTGCCATCAACAGCATACGGAAGGTCCTCAGCGCTGCTCGGTACTCGGTGGACCACAAAATGGCAGAGCCCAGAATCAGTGTATCGTCGGAGGAAATGTGCGACGACCGATCTTGCATATGTGCTCGGGACCATTATGAACAGCGGTGCACTCCAGAAGCTTTCAACTTATATTTTGAGATAGATCGGTCGTCACGAAGATGTGAACGATACATAGACCACCGGGTTGATGCCAGAAGGGAAAGCGCGCGTGGCACCCCAGGCCCGGGAAGTCACCCTTGTTCTTGTGGAGAGCAGGCCAAAGGTCGAGCTGCTTGCTGAAATGACCGGCAATTTAGAATCCCTGGCCATGACAGATCTTGAGAAGCATGCTCGCTACAAGTGTGCTGCGTGTGATGTTGGCGGTTGACAGACGCCTTTCCGTACAACTAGGTATGCTTACACTCGAGGAGCGTAGTAAAGGGACTACGGCCGCCAACCAAGAGATTTGCTGCAACGCTCACGTGCTCTAGCCTTGGCGGTGGGAGCCGTTGATTTGCGGCCTGGACGCCACCACCTTTCTTTCCTCTTCTTCATCTAATAGAAAGTTGTAACCCAGACAATTTGACTCGCGTTCACTGTCTACCTACTGTTCGCGAAGTTGTATTAGCTGGGAAGACCAAATTCCGCTGTCCTCAAGAGCGAGGGTAGACCTCAAAAGTTGATGATCCCGACTGCCCCGTAACACCGGTACACTTTTTCCCTTCATCTGCTATTGCCGAACCCCTCATCTGGTCGCCACGATGAGTGTGTAAAGCTCCCGTATATACTTAATCGAATTATTCACCTGTCCTCTTCTCTCTCCGAACACACGTACCTATTCCTTCGTCTGTGCGCGTTCGATGCCGGGGCAAAAATGGAAGACCAACCTCGTCAACGCCTTTCCAATCCCTGACGACCGCAAACCCAAGAAGGCTCGAGCAGAAGCTGAAGCTCAGCAGGACCAAGAGCAGGAAGACTCCGGCTTCAAGCCGAGGGGCACGTTTGATCTTCTTGCCCTTCCGACCGAGCTCCGCCACCGAGTCTACAACTTCGTTCTCTTCAACAACCCCGATCCCATCGCCGGCAACGGCCCTGACCACGAAAACCTGCCTACCTGCAAAAACCTATCTCTTCTCCTGCTCAACAAACGAATCCACTCCGAAGCGACGCACATCTTGTACAGCACCACCACCTTCCGCCTCTTTCCCCTGCAAGATTTCCTATACCTGCCTACGCCCTCCGACCTCGCCCCGCACTACCGCAGCCAAATTACACGCCTCTCTATCACCCTCGGCAGCAGCTGGACCGCTCCGCCTGCTGTCTGGAGAGTGACCAAGGGTGTCGCCCGCAGCCTCTCGCGCGTAAAGCTGGTGCGCACGCTGCGTGTCTTTGTGCAGATGGATCCCTCTCAGCCCATGTTTGAGAAATATCGTGTGAGCTACAGCTTCTATACAGACTTCTGTGGCGAGCTGTTGCAGGACGTACTCAAGGCGATGCCGAAGCTAGAGGCTGTGGAGCTGGCGGGCTATCCGAGTGTCGCGCCCGACGGGCCACTGGTCAGCCGGCTGCGCGCAGAGGCGGAAGCGAAGGGGAAGGCGGTGAAATGGGGCAAGGGGTGCGGGTGGCATCAGAAGATGGTGGAAGGGGATGAGACTGAGATGATGCGGCAATTGCGTATTGACTAAGCGTTGAATGATTTATGATTGTGGCTACCGAATTACAGCGGACTAGCACACTGAAAAGGTGCCCTTGGCCTGTCTTCGGCCAACATTGGAACGTCCGACCATAAAGTAATCCCAGCCCTATTGCAGGTCTCAGAACGCCATGCATGCATTTTGATCCTCGGTCGCCCGGACCAGTAGAGTTACAGCCGTGCGCTATGCTCAGGCGCTCACAGCTCATCATCGACCTCCATTGTTCCATTGCGATGACCGTTGAGCGGCTCCGTTTTCTTCGCCACGCTTGCTTCTTTGTCAATCATTTGTCTTGAGACGGCAACAATGTTGTCTTCAATCAGCTGCTGACCCACATCTTCAATGTGCTTTTTGGGATCGACCTTGCCCACGTATCTGGTCTTGAGCTGGTCCTTGGTGAGCTCGGTCTCCTCACGAACCCGTTTCTCGTAGCCGTCTGCCAGATCGACCAGCCGCTTGAGACCGTCCTCTGTCTTTTGACGCTCCTGGGCGAAGCTGCTTGGCAATTCAAGACCTTCCGTCCAGACCTCCTTGTGCAGGTTCATGAGCATATTCTCCTCCAAGCCAGTTTTGCGGTACTGAATACCGATGCTGTAATAGTGTCTGTTGAGGCCGTGAATGAGGGCTTGTATCGATGGCTTATTGAGGTGACCGAGGTTGGACGTGGTTTGTCTGGGCTCTTGACCCATCATCAGCGTCTGTGGGTTGATGAGACGGAAAGCATCGATGACGACCTTGCCCTTGACAGATTGTATGGGATCGACGACGACGGCAACCGCACGAGGTGTAAGCTGCTCGAATGACTGCTGGGTATTGATATCCACGCTCGACAGCCAGCAGCCAAAACCAGGATGCGAATGGTACCAACCAACAACGGTTTCTGGCCGACCTGTTTGCCGTAGCATATCCATCATCTTTGTCTGGAAGACTGGATCGACTGACTCAACGGAGACCGAGGTACCGGATTGCGGCATGGCGAAGACATCGACTACTCGCACGGTAAAATCGTCGACGAATTCACCCAGCATGAGACCCATGACTTCCATGGGAACCCCGGCGCGACCATGCCGAAGCATCTTGAGCAGGGCTAGTGATGATATATAGACGGTTTCTGAGTTATCGACGAGGTTCTGCTGGTCTCCGCCGCCTCCGCCGCCACCCATGCCCATCTGCGCAGCCTGCAACATTCTGTTGAAGCGATCCATGTTGTGCGAGGTGAGTGACTGATCGAAATGTCTGAGAGGATATCGAACGTCGCTGGGTGCGAAGGGTGTTTGCGTAGCACAAAGGTGTTATGCTGCAGACTGGCCCGCAGAAGCTTGAAGATGAGGAATCGCTTATGTCGGAGAAGTACAGATCGAATGATCTGGAAATCAAATGGTCAATTACACGGATCGCAGTTGATGGCGATTGATGATGGACAGCTGCGCGTACCTGGGAGCCTTTCAAGCCGCACGAAGCCTCGCCGAATTTGGGGATCCACTTTTGCGGTCACTGCTCTTCCCCAGCCCGCCCGAAATGCTTCCCTTGTTCTTGCACCCCTCGATACTTTTACCTTCTATATCGCCATACTGCAGACACTTACTCGCCTTCCAAGCTACGCAACTTTTGTTTGCCTCAATACACTACCAACGTTCCCGTCACCGCGACCCAACCGCATCAGGCGCTGGCAGCCGCCGCGATTGGAGAACCATATGCTCTGAGAGCAACGGTCGAATTTCAACATTCCCATCAAACAATCGCCGCGTCTTGAGAGTCCTACAGCGTCTGTCACTGTGACCTGACACAACGATCAAACAATTCTCTAAACCTACCACAGCCTCTACTGACCTACAAATCCTCTGCAATTCCTGCCCATTATGGCTGGCTTCGCGCCCGTGGACCCGGCGAAGATGAACGGAACCAATGATGGGAAGCGAGTCGCATACTTTTACGACTCCGACGTTGGCAATTACGCTTATGTGAGCGGCCACCCCATGAAGCCGCACAGAATACGGCTGGCGCATTCTCTGATCATGAACTACGGCCTCTACAAGAAGATGGAGATCTACCGGGCAAAGCCAGCCTCAAAATACGAGATGACTCAGTTCCACACGGACGAGTACATCGACTTTCTCGCAAAAGTCACACCAGACAACATGGAGTCGTACCAGAAAGAGCAGCAGAAATACAACGTTGGTGACGACTGCCCTGTCTTTGACGGCCTCTTTGAGTTTTGCGGTATCAGTGCTGGCGGTAGCATGGAGGGCGCTGCTCGTCTGAACAGGAAGAAGGCCGACATTGCCATTAACTGGGCAGGAGGTCTCCATCACGCGAAAAAGAGTGAAGCCTCTGGTTTCTGCTACGTCAATGACATCGTCCTCGGCATCATTGAGCTACTCAGGTTTCACAAGCGAGTTCTGTATATTGACATCGATGTGCATCACGGTGACGGTGTCGAGGAGGCTTTCTACACAACTGATCGAGTCATGACTGCTTCCTTCCACAAGTACGGAGAGTACTTCCCCGGAACTGGCGAGCTTCGAGATATCGGCGTGGGCTCGGGCAAATACTACTCGGTCAACTTCCCTCTTCGTGATGGCATCGATGATAACTCATACAAAGGCATCTTCGAGCCAGTCATCAAAGCCACCATGGACTACTACCAACCCTCGGCTGTGGTCCTTCAATGTGGTGGCGACTCGCTGTCAGGTGACAGGCTAGGATGCTTCAATTTGAGTATGAAGGGCCACGCCAACTGTGTCAATTTCGTTAAATCATTCAACTTGCCAACTCTCATCCTCGGAGGTGGAGGCTACACCATGCGCAACGTGGCTCGAACATGGGCGTACGAAACCGGTTGCCTTGTCGGTGATCCGCTTTCTTCCAATCTCCCTTATAATGACTACTACGAGTATTACGCTCCTGACTACGAACTGGATGTTCGGCCCTCCAACATGGACAACGCGAATTCCAGAGAGTATTTGGAGAAAATTCTCGCGCAAGTCTTGGAGAACATGAGGCGAACTCAGAATGCTCCATCTGTGCAAATGACTGATATTCCACGAGAGTCATTGGGCTTGAATGATGACGAAGAGGCGGAGCTGGATGACCTTGATGAAGATACATACCCAGATCAGCGCTCAACAGAACGCAGACGAGACAAAAAGGTCGAAAAGAATGGCGAATATTATGACAGCGACGATGACATGGAGGACGAACGGCCTGGCCGTCCCAAAACAATCCCTGGTCGTGACATGGAGAATGCGAGAACCAATTTTCGGAATATCATGGATGTCGGTCGAGACTCCGGCCTGGACACTGGCAGTGGTGTCGGGACCCCGCTTCAGGGGTCCAGCTTACCAGATGATGAGATGCACGTTGATGAGCCCCAAACCGAAGCCCAGACTCCTGATCCTACGCACACGACGAACGGCTCAGGAGCTGTCTCCGGCGCCATGTCACCTCAGAGAGCCGCCGATGCTGATGAGGATGTGGCCATGGGTGAGGCTGACGGCACCGATGGTGTCGCTGATGTTACCACTGCTGCAACTGCCGAAATTCGAGGAGCCGAAGAAGCTACTGTCTCTCAGCAAATCACTCCACCAAAGTCTCCTGTGCAAGATACCCCTGCCGTCGCAGCTCCCAGCGTCACCGCGGCTGAAACTACTGAGGAACCCAGCCACGCCGCTCCTGCCGAGACAGAGGGATTGCAAGCGGTCAAGCAGGAGATGGATGCCGAGGATCAGGCTATTGCCGCGGAGGAAGAAGGCAGGATGGAGAGAGAGCAGGCCAATGCGGATGGCGAAGCCAACACCGAAGCTGCTACGAAGGCGGAAGCTACGACTTAGGGCATTGAGAGCACCCGAATTTACAGCATCCCAAAGTACGGCGGCTCGAAGCGAACGAAATCAGAGCGTCCAGGGATTTAATCCAGGGTCATCAGGCTGGGGGTCTCGTGGTAGGGTATTTGAGCAAGGAGTTTATGGGTGGGCGAGGCCGTTCAGATTAAAGCTCGTACTATCGTTAGTTCGGGCTGCATTTTCAAGGAAGAGCATGGTCCGGCTATTGACACTGCTTCGGGCTCTGAGAGTCATGCTTGCTAGCTAGAGCTGAATGCGATCAACATTTTGTTCATTGTTCTCCTCTCATCTGTGGGTATCTATGCCCGCCAATGCCATACTGCAAGTCCTGTGTCATGAAGACATACTTGATACCCAGCAGTCTACAATTTGGATATCGGCCTTCAAAGCCCATGCACATAGATCCTTCGATTTTGCTGATATCTCTATAGGGTCTCTATCCACAATACAACGGGGCGTGCCCGAGCTACGAGTCCGAAATATGACCAGCCAGACTCGCCCGTCGCCTGCACTGTCCTCACATTTCTATGATCGGTTTCCCCCAACCGGGTCAGCCTCCACCCACCGCAAAGGCACGTCTCTCGTCATCTTCAGCGCGAGCTCCACCTCCGCCTCCGCCACCACCTTGCGTGCCTTCGCCGCGGCGGACTCTAGCGGCTCGCCCACCAGCTCGACCCGCCTGTTCCCCGCGAACAGCACGAACAACACCGCTACGAACTCAACCTGACTGAATTTCTTGCCGGGACACACGCGCGGCCCGCGGTTCCACGCCGCGAACCCGCTGCCGGGGCGATGCGCGTCCTTGAGCGCGTCCTTGCCTCCGGCGTCCGTGGTGATGAAGCGCTGTGGGCGGAAATCCTGTGCGTCGTCGCCCCATACGGCCGGGTCGCAGTGGATGCCTGCGAAATTGCAGACGACCATGGTCTTGGGTGGGATCAGGTAGGTTTTGTCTTGGACGAGGAGGGCAGTCGGGGAGGGGCCGGAGCGCGTTTCGCGTGGGTTGTTAGGGACGGGCCCGCAGAGGCGGAGGGTCTCGTGCATGAGGGCCTGGCAGCGGGGGAGGAGCGGGAAAGTCTGCTCGTAGAAATGTTGGGCGTTGGGGCAGGGGGCCTGGGAGCGAAGGCTGTGGATCTCGGTGGCGAGCCAGGCCTGTAGGTTGGGGTGGAGGGCTAGCAGGACGAGGGCAAAGGATAGGGTCGATGCCGTGGTATCGTGGCCAGCGATGTTGTACTGAGGAGGAGCTGTTAGTGTTCATGATGGAGGGGGAAAATGTTTACGTGGTTGACCTACGATGAAAAGGTTGCCGAAGATCTCCTCTTCCGTGAGGCCTTTAGCGAAGCTGGTTGGTTTGTCTGTAATGGCCGGAACATCTGTGTCGGCGGCGGCCTTAGCATCGGCATTCGCGCGGATGAGAGTCGAGATAAGATTATGGCGATCAGTATTTCCCGACTCAAGGTATTTGCGTTCGCTTTCAATCATGTCGGCCATATGTCCCTTGAAAGCGCGTTTGACAACGGAGAGTCTCCTGAGGGGGCCAATCATGAAAAATTGGGGCACACCGGCCTTCTCGAGCATTCCCACGACAAGGAGGGCCATGAACGAGCTCAGAATTGTCTGCAGCGCTTCACGGTAGCCGACTTGCGATGTGTGGAATCTGCTGCCGCCGGACATAGCACCACGCTCTGGAACGAACTTGTTCTTGACACCAAAGCCGGCAGAACAGAGCACGTTGAGCGCAAGATTCTGGATATCCGCACGTGTAGTGGTAACACATTCCTGTTTCTGCCAAGTAGCAACCATATCGGTGGCTTGCGCAATGCTCTCCTGCCATACGAGGGCACTGTTCTTTTCGTTGAAAGGAGGAGCCGTAATCTTGCGATGTCGAGACCATTGGGCTCCATTGACGGTGTCGAGGTTCGGCCCCAATATTGCTAGGGGTCCATAAATCATGGGGCTCTTGATGAAATCGTTGTGCCGCTTGAGCAGATCCTCCACGCCATTCACATCAGCAACAAAAACCTTGACACACCAAGGGCTGACTTCTACAACAGCAAGGCCGAGTCGAGCATGTATGTGGAATCGATCTCTGTACATCCAGTGGCCATGCAGCCGTCGTGCCCAATCACCGAGCCCAAAGGGGAGCCTCTCGAACACTGGGCTGATGATATCCTTCAGGAGGAACCATGCTGGGTTGAGAACGTCAAATGGCGTGACAACGATAGGTAGTCCAATCTTCTGGGCTGTACGGTAGTTGGACGTGAACGTTGCCAATGCCCAACTCACGTAAGCGAGCGCCAGCCAAAGGAATGCATTAAGAAACGCCATAGTTTTCCCTACCGCGAGATGCGTAAGGACATGAGGATGAGAGCCATCTCACGTAGTATTTATATCTCACGGTGAGACAGATGCACATATTACCTAGCGGTTGTAGTGCACAGCTTTAACATGGAAGAGGGACTGTACATCGGCTTCAGTAGATGGTTGGAGTGGGGACTTCTTTGCGCTGTTGGTTACGCGTGATTGGTTCCATGGGTCTCGCCTCGTATGTTTCAGAGTTGCCAAGGGGTGATTGATTGAGTGAGTGAATGAGGCCCCCCAAGCTTTGGCCCGGCAGCATCAGGTGCCACCAACTTCGATCACAACCTTTCCGCGCCCGACCGCGCCCTTCTTCTCGACCTTCATCATGGCCTGCTTACCCTGGTGCAGAGGAAACACCGAGTCGAAGTGTGGTACGAGGAGACCCGCAGTTATCAATTTGCCCAGTTCATCAAGCTGTGCACTGTTCATCTTCACGATGAAGAAATCTTGGTGAACGCTTGCAGCTTCACATCGGCTCTTGATTTGCTGTTCGAGGGACTTTCCGTACGCTGCGACTGGTCCGGCGAGTAGTATGATACGTCCGCCGCCCTTGACGAACGTTGGCTCCAGGAGCATGGCCTGCGCCGTCAAACCTCCCACACAGTCAACAACCAGGTCAAATGGTGGTAAGCCCTTAGCACGTGCGTAGGACGGGACATCTTTGAAGTCTGCTGTGGTATAGTCGATAATTTCATCGACTCCCAGTTCTGCAGTTAGGAAAGGCCTGTGACGTTTCGAACAAAGTGCTGTGACATGGAAGTCGTATAGCTTGGCGAGCTGGACCGTGGGGATGCCAACAGAACCGGCAGCACCTGTGATAAGGATTCGTTTGCGGGTGCTAGGGTCCTGTTTAGAGGCGGTAAGACGCCCGTGCTCGAACAAAGCTTGCCACGCAGTCAGGCCTGAAAGCGGGATGGTTGCAAGAGACTCCTTCCATTGCACTGGTGCTGTGGCGGGCTTCGCAGGTAGGTGTGTGATATCTTGTTCACGTACGAGGGCCTGATCGGCCGCAGCGCCCTCACCGTCTTCGTGAAGGAAGCCCCATATTTGGTCGCCGACTTGATACTTCGGCGTTTCGCCCGAGGCGCAAGGGTGCACACCAATAACACTTCCGACGAGATCTCGCCCTGGAATTGGGCCGCCGAAGGAGTGGAAACGCTGTGGTTCCAGGAGCTCTGCCCAGCCGAGCTCTCCTTTGGTAAGTGCGGTGGCATACACTTGGACGGTATAGGTGTTGGATGAGGACTCAACAGGAATCGTGGGATCTGGGAAGTCATCGCTATACTGCAGGTCGTCTGGAGGGCATGGCTTGGTGGGAAACGTGTAGGGAGAGAACTCGCCGTCTGGCACGCCAGGCATATGGATGGCGCGCATTTCGTGAGAAGAAGAAGCCCTTGGATGAACAGTCAATGATCAATGTTGAACTTACTGCGGTTTGTTGATCTTATAACGATATGATCTCGATGTAGGCTGCATTCGAGCTCACTTGGTGTGGGTTACATAAGAGTTGCCTGATTCGAACTGGATGCAGGACGATGGTTACTCAGCCGTCGGGCAAGGACAATGAGCAGCGGTCTCAACAGGCTCATCGCTGATGTCGGCGATGAATTGGCATCAAATTCCTGTCAAATTGCCGGTTGCTCGCAAAAGGCTCCATGGCATGCCATCTGCATAGCTGCGAACTGAGCCACATCGCTTGCAGCTTTCGCGCGACGGTATTCTTAGCTTATGCTTGTTTTTGAGAAGAAGCGTGCGGCAATCGTGCGAAGACCCGAACTCGTTGAGCTCCTCCCCAGAAGACTCTTTAAGAGAGCTTTCTTGCAGGAGAACCTGAGAACGTAGTATCTTGCAACTACCAGAGGTGCTGGACATACTATAAGGACATACTCTAAGGACAACACACTTCACAGCCCTCTCCGCTAGACTGGCATCTCAAGCGCACACCTCGTGGAGCAACAGGTGTCAAGGGGTAATCCTAGCGACGGATCAGAAGCCCGTTAATCCAGGAACATAGCGGTGGATCCTAGGGAGGCTGTGCCGGGGCGACACGGGAGGAGTCAAGTTTAGGCGGCGGGTTAAGCGCTTTCGGGTACGCCCAGACCGCTGACGAGCCATAGATCGACAGCCCCAAGCGTTTCTGATTTCATGAGCAGCAACACCTGCGACTTTCTCCTGCCATTGCGAGAGGAAAACAGGATTGACCACCTGGGGTTCACTCGTCTTTCCACATCCTTTTCATCAACATTGTTCTTCATCATGCTCGCTATTCTCCCCTAAATATTCTATAGTCGCCCTCCTCCTGTCGGGATACTACAGTCCCTGTTGATCCGGTGGCTGTGGCTGTGATAGCTGCTAGAATCCTGGTATCGCAGTGACACAAACCCGCAGGTCAATGAGGCGATCGCAGTTCCTAGTCTACAGATAACACGCTATCGTCAGACGACTCATCTTTTCTCTTGCTGTCAGCACGTCTTCGCGACCTACGCTTGAAGATGCCGCTATCCGACTATCTCACGATCACCACACCCACCTCTCTACGCATGCGCGAAGCTGTTTCCGCCCTCGTACCGCGCGATCAAGTAGCTATCACAGGTGCTGCCCTCGATACTCTCAAGAAAAAACTGCCGCCACACGCTGGTCACCCAGACTTTGGCCATCTCACTCTTCTCGTCTTCGAAGCCGTTCTCGAGGTAGTATGTGTCAGTCTGCCCGGATACATCGTCGCCCGGCAGGGCATGTTTGATGCCGAATCTCAAAAGTTCCTGGCCAACCTCAATGTCCAGCTCTTCACGCCATGCCTCATTTTCACCAAATTAGCGTCGCAGCTCACGGCCGACAAGCTCGCCGATCTGGCCATAATTCCAGTTATCTTCGTTGTGCAGACATTGGTGTCATACCTCTGCGCATTCGCAATTGGACGTCTACTACGATTCAAGAAGAGGCAAAATAACTTTCTGATCGCTATGGGCGTCTTTGGCAACTCCAACTCATTGCCCATCTCTCTGGTCCTTTCTCTTTCCAAAACTCTGAAAGGACTGCACTGGGATAAGGTGCCAGGAGACAACGACGATGAAGTGGCGGCGAGAGGCATTCTCTATCTTCTGATCTTCCAGCAATTAGGTCAGTTGCTACGCTGGAGTTGGGGTTACAACGTTCTTCTCGCGCCTCCGGAATCTTACACAGAGGAAGAAGGCGGAACCAAAAGAATCGACGGCGTCGAGCGAGGTCCGGATGCGTATAGGGACGATCCCTCGGACGACGAGGACCAGGGCCTGCTGAGTCGAAGCTATGATCAAGACAGCGACGACTATTCCGACCAGACCCGCGTTGCTAACTCTCCGACAATGACGTCGAGCGGTATCAAGACCCCCGGGACTCCACACAATAAGTCTGGCTTGACGTCCCGTTCGGAGTCAGCCGAGCAGCTGGCTTACAATGCTGAGTTGAATTCGACGCCTGCCAACGGCATGATCGCGCCCAATGGCTACCATCAACTCCCTGCCTTCATGAAACCTGATCCGTACAAGCACTACGATGAAGACGCTGGGGGATGGAAAGGCAGCGTTAATCGTGTACGCAATCGAATCCGCGGGTCTCTTTTCATGCTCCGCAGAAAGACTTGCCGCTTTGCTCAGGCACTGTTCGATCGGCTTCCGAATCCTGTTCAGAAAGTATTGACGGCTATCGAGTCTGCCGTCACGCGCTTTTTGAACGGGCTTTGGGAGTTCATGAACCCACCCCTCTGGGCGATGCTTATCGCCATTATTGTGGCGTCTATTCCTGCCCTGCAGGACGCATTCTTCCGTCGGGGCAGTTTCTTACGCAACTCTGTGACCCGTGCTGTGGAGCAGAGTGGTGGTGTGGCTGTTCCTCTCATTTTAGTCGTTCTAGGTGGAAACTTGGCGCGGAATACACTGCCTAATGACCCCTCTAGCAGAATCGCGGACCCAAAGGAAGAACGCAAGCTTCTGATAGCATCTTTGGTCTCCCGAATGTTGTTACCGACTATCATTATGGCGCCTTTCATTGCCTTGGTGGCGAAATATGTTCCCGTCAGCATTGTAGACGACAAAATCTTTCTTATTGTCTGCTTCCTACTTACGGGTGCGCCTACTGCCCTTCAACTGGCCCAGATCTGTCAAATCAATAACGTCTACATGCCGGTCATGGCGAAGATCCTCTTCCAGAGCTACGTTGTTTGGATTTTGCCATCGACACTCATTCTGGTCTTGCTCGCGCTGGAGACTGTTGAATGGGCGACGGTCTAGTTAGACCAGTTGAAGTCAGGTGTATATAGGCCAGCAAGGCGTTTGGGTCAGTGAGCTTCAGCGGTGGTGATGGGTGTTTGTAGAATAGATTCGCAGGCAGGATTACAAATGCACTGGACCAGCTAGTACTGGTCTCACCAGTCCTTACATGCCTCCACAGCTTCGGCTGATGACAATTGTCGGCCTCCTGGGCATTAAATAATCGTCGACGCTACTGATATAAATTAGGACAGAATCAATATGGCTTGCGCGCCCAGCGAGCGAAAACGAGAAATCGCATCAGCCAGGGACACGTACCATCAAGGCCCTAAGAAACGTCCGCGACACCACCGACGTACCTCATCTCAGACGTTACCGAATGCCTGCCCCACAAAGCGCGCGAGGTCCTCGGCTGCATCTCATATCCTGGAAAATTATCTTGCATGACTGGCTCCAGCCTGTTGGCTCTCGCGGCGGCTTCCCTGCGCTCGATGCCGGCTCGCCGTCTGCGGTGGGCAAACAGCAGAGCCGCACCGATTATTATACCAGCGGCAAGTAGACATCCGATGACAATGCCAGCTGTTGCGCCTCCAGAAAGGGATTTGTCGCTGTGTGAGGCTTCGGAAGCGGCAGTGCTTGGCCTGGCGGAGTGCGTGGCACTAGGAGTCACGCCGCCGGAACTGCCAGGGCTCTGTGACGAGTTGGTTGCCCTGAACCAGTTTGTCTGGGTAGTGTAGCTGGCTCCGTTGAAGGGTATGGTGAAGCCGTTGAGCCAGAGGCCGTAGAGGCTGTTGCGGCTAACGTTAGTCCACGCCAATCATTTGGAGAGACACCAGAGGATAGCGAACACGCAGAGCGTTGACATACCTTTCAAGACTGATCTTGGATGGAACGGTCCACTCGTAGCTGACGTTAAGCGATTCGAATTCGAGGCTGGCCCCTAGGCTTGTTACCTTGGTCCATTCATAGGCGTTGTCGCTGTCGTCGTTGATGATGAGCCACACTGTGTACGTCTAGGGTGACAAAGGTCTTGGTCAGTATCAAGCTGGCCACGAGCGATCGTGTGCTTGCTGCTAGTTCTGCTAAGCACTCACATAGTTGGCTGTTGCGGTCCAAGTCAGTGTGTAAGTCTCGCCGACATGAACAACATCGGGGAAAGGATTCAGGGTGATGTCTGCTCCGGCAAGAGCAAACAGTCTGGCTAGGGATACGACTGCGGAGACGTAGGTAGCTTTCATGCTGGGGTGGACCATCCGGTGGTGGAAGAACAGAACGAACACCAGTCTCGAGGAAAGTGTCCATCTCGCGATATAGATGCTATGCAGGGCTCATTCACTCGTAAGAAATGCTACAGGCGTGGTATTGGGGGCCGGCTCAGACGAAATGCTGCAGACATTGTGCTTAAATTGACTGGCCCAATTAGTCATGATGATGCTTCCGTCTCCCAAGAGATGCATCGAGAGCGCAAGGATGACACTTTTCGTGAGCTCCTTTCGTGCGGGAGATGGTTAAGAGCTGCAAGTCTAGTCAGAGACGTCTTGCAGCAGCAGCGGGACGACCAAGCTCTCATGTCTGGCCAGAGGAAGCGACAACGAAGCCAACGGGAAGGTCCAGACACCGTTGATCCGACGTCGCGCCTGATACAATTCGTGATCATGCAGGGAAAGGCCGAGCTCGATGACCACCACGCACATAAGTTGCGGGGGGGCGCACGAGGTGACAGGGTTCTGCTCTTGAAATTTCCCGCAAACGATTCAACCGTTCACGCATCCCGGACAGAAGCCCAGGCTGGGCTGGTCTACGCGAGCAAGTATGCGATTGTCGGGAGCTCTCGCAAGTCTTTCCCATGCATCTCGGAGCTGATCCGCTGGCAACAAGCTTTGGCGAAGCTCTATATCAGCTCGTGATTGGTCATTCGTGCATCTCGAAAGGCCACCACCTTACTCTCGCATCGATGCCACAGGCGCATTCTTCACCGATCGGTAGCTTATGAGTCGTTGTTAGCAATTGCTCCAGACCATTCCGAGGACCTAGCCCGCATCGTAACTTCGGAGCGATTAGTCACTCGGATGCCGCACGGGCAAAGTGTGGCAGCCGCCCATACGAGCTGTACTCGTAAGGTGAGCCGGATGGGATGCCGTACTGGAGATCGATTCGATGCATTATAAGGCCATCAGAGGTCCTTCTTCTTGAGCGCCCGTTCTCTCAAGGAGATCTTTCCCGTGTTTCACACTTACGCTAGTAGCGTGCAGCATTATCCACCACTTCTCTGCCAACCTTGCACAACACCTTATACAATGCTTAGCAAAGTTGCTGCCTTTGCGGCGTGCCTGACGCTCACCGCTGCCATTCCTTTAGACGGAAAGCTCGTCGAACGCCAGACGCCCAACTACCCAGACAACGGTACACTTGTCGATGCCCCAAATACCACAGCACTCACCCGTCCAAACCCGGACTACACAACTGATCAACTCAACCAGATCAAGCTCGCTTATACTGCGAGTGAAAGATTAGCCCTGCTGAAAAGCTACGGAGATCCAAACGACTATTTCAAATTCGATCTAACACCAAATGGGTCTCATTCTAATGCCGCCAACGGTCTTGGTGGTCAGGGCTACCTCGCTCATGTCGGCAACTATCCTGTCTTGATGGGAACTGGGCTCTCTGTAGCCATTGGATACCTCAACCCCTGTGGTCTGGACAGCATGCACATCCATAATCGTGCGACAGAGATGGTTACACTCGTCAGTGGCGTGTCCCTGAAGACTGGCTTCGTCCTCGAGGATGGCTTTGGTAAGCACGCTTCTTTGCGTCGCTCGTCACACTCACTGACCCTTCTCAGACCTGCCTGTCATGACCGAAATCGGGTTGTACCAAGGAACCATCCGCCCAATGGGTTCCATTCACTGGGAGTTCAACGACAATTGCGAGCCAGCTGTCTTCGTGGCTTCGCTCTCCAACGAGGACCCTGGTGTCTCTCGCACAGCCCAGAATTTCTTCATCAATCCCCAAGACGTCGTTGACGCCGATCTTGCGTATCCGAGCTGGCTTGATAACGTGAACACTACCGATTACAGGGCGTCGCTCCCATCCGCGTTCGCCCAGGGCGCGAAAGAGTGCTACGCAAGGTGCGGTCTGACATATGATACGAACCAAGCCGGTGGCATCAGCAAATAAATGCGGACTCGACAACCGACAGTCGGCCTGTGTGGCTGTGGCACAATGCCAGCCACGGGAAGATGAGTGTAGGACTGTCTGAAAATGTTGTTATACTTGCTATACTGCCGTATCGCTTTAGCCTTATCAATCAATAACATAAACAAATGAGCCATATGAAGTTCAACATGCCGAGTTATTGCTTGCTTCTGAGCCTGCACGTCCAAATAGTCGTCACTGGCCTGTTGTTGTAAGACATCAAAGACACGGCGAACACGCTAGCCCGATCTGGTCTAAGCAAGAGTGCCCTTATCGATAGGCTATGGTCGCCACGTGACCGCGAATTTTCTTGACTGCCTCTTCTCTTGCATGTGCTTGCCGACGATTCCATGCAAATATACGCTCGAGGTGTAGCGGAAAGCGGGCGCCTCGGAAGTGCCGCAATGAAAGGAAGTCGGCCCCAGAAGTATAATCAGCGGCAAACTTCTGCGCAACGTCCGAAAGTACTCAAGCGCAAACGAGATGCGGAAGACCTCGAAACGCTCGCTCGACGTGTAGAAGACCTTGAAGCACATCCTGCTGTTCCCCCCGCAAACTTCTCCGAATTGCCGCTCTCCGAAGCAACACAAAGTGGCTTAACATCGTCGCACTTCAAAACACTGACGACTATCCAGTCCAGAGCAATACCATCGGCATTGAAAGGTGGAGACATCCTAGGTGCGGCGAAAACTGGCTCGGGCAAGACGCTTGCGTTTCTCATTCCGGTACTTGAGAACCTGTATCGGAAAAGATGGACAGAGTTCGATGGCCTTGGAGCGCTCATTCTCTCGCCCACCCGCGAGCTTGCGATTCAGATCTTCGAGGTCCTGCGTAAAGTTGGTCGCAACCATGCTTTCTCTGCCGGTCTCGTCATTGGCGGCAAGGCGTTGCAGGAAGAGCGCGAGCGTCTTGGACGCATGAACATACTGGTGGCTACCCCTGGCCGTATGCAGCAACATTTGGACCAGACTGCGGAACTGGACGTCGGGAATTTACAAATGCTAGTACTTGATGAAGCGGATAGGATTATGGACATGGGATTCTCACACACTCTTGACGCCATTATAGAGCACCTTCCGAAAGAGAGGCAGACCTTACTATTCAGTGCAACGCAGACGAAACGAGTATCGGACCTTGCACGGTTGAGCCTCACAGAACCGGAGTTCGTCTCCGTGCATGACACTTCGCAGTCAGCGACCCCGGCGAAGTTGCAGCAGAACTACTGTGTGACGCCCTTATCAGAGAAGCTGGACACTCTATGGTCGTTCTTACGCGCGAACGTCAAGAAGAAAATCCTGGTTTTCCTTAGCTCAGGGAAACAAGTTCGCTTCGTCTATGAAGCTTTTCGACACCTCCAGCCAGGTGTTACTATCCTACATCTGCACGGTAGGCAAAAGCAGGCAGCGCGTCTAGATATTACGAAACGCTTCGGCAATAGTCGCTATGCCTGTTTGTTCTCAACCGATGTCGCAGCCCGAGGTCTTGATTTCCCGGCGGTGGACTGGGTGGTACAGGTTGATTGCCCCGAGGATACCGACACATACATTCACCGTGTCGGTCGGACTGCACGGTTTGAGCACGATGGCAGAGCCGTAATGTTCCTTGATCCCAGCGAAGAAGAAGGCATGATCGATGCTCTGCAGCGAAAGAAGGTCTTGGTTGAAAAGATCAACGTGCGCCAGAAGAAGATGCAGAACAGTATTAAGAATCAGCTTCAGAACATGTGCTTCAAAGACCCAGAGCTGAAATACCTAGGCCAGAAGGCGTTTGTCAGCTACGCCAGAAGCATCATCGTCCAGAGAGATAAGGCGATTTTCGACGTGAAGAAGCTCGACCTTGAAGCATATGCCGCAAGCCTGGGTCTCCCAGGAGCACCGCGCGTGAAATTCATCAAGGGCGAGGACGCGAACAAGCGAAAAAACATGCCGCGGGAATTGCTGAGACTGGAAGACGATGTCGAGTCGAGCGGTGGTGAAGATGCGGCCAAGAAGCCGAAACCTGATGTTCGCACCAAGTATGACCGCATGTTTGAGCGTCAAAATCAAGACGTTCTGGCCGATCATTACACGAAGCTCATTGACGAAGAACCCTCCACAAACACCCATGCTACAGACGACGACGAGGAGGACGACGCCTTCCTCTCTGTCAAACGCCGCTTTGATGCTGGTGATACCGCGCTTGGCCAAGTCTCCTCGTCGGAAGAATCGGATTCCGCCGGGTCTGATAAGGCGAAACCAAAAACCGTTCAACTAGGCAATAATCCCGACGAGGTGCTCACAATTGACTCGCGGCGCCGCGAGAAGCTCCTCAAATCGAAGAAGGCACTTCTTAAATTCAAAGGCAAAGGAGAGCACCTCCACTTCTCTGACGACGAGAGCACGCCCTACAAGAAGCAGTATTATGAGGACGAGGCTGCATTCCAGCAGAAGGGCGACGCTGAAGCGCAGAGACAGAGATTCCTGGACGAGGAGAGGGCCAGAGTCGCGGAGAGAGATCGGGTGGACAAAGAAGTGGCAAAGCAGAAGAAACGCGACAAGAAAGAGAAGCGCAAGGAGCGGGAAAGAGCAGAAATGGACGGCGACAGCGAGGACGATGAAGGTAGGGACGCCGTCGTGCAATTGGCGCCAGGCGGTATCGAGGTCAAGCCAGATTGGAGCGATCTGGAAGATGATGATGAGCTTCCTGTGGCTGAGCAGGCACCGAGGGAGAAGCGCAAGAAGAAGTGGTTCGAGGACTCGGGCTCGGATGACAACGAACAGCAGCCAGGAAAGAAGCGGAAGAAGGACAAGGGCAAGAAGAAGCACCGCGACGAAGAGTTGCCCGAGCCGCAGACGCTGGAAGATCTCGAGGCCATGGCTTCAGGACTGTTGGCAGGTCGATAGCGAGATTTCAAAAGAAACCCCGATTGCCAAACAATCCTCATGCCAGCTCTGACTACTCTGTTTCTCCTCGTAATACCAGTACCTCAGTTGAGTATAAGTACCATGAACACTATAGGCACAGCCAATAGCAAACACGAAGCCGCACCAAAAATGGGGCTTTCAAAACTCTATCTCAATACTCCCAACTTCAACCTCCACAACGCCACGCTGGGCGTTCTCACACCCATATCAGCGTATCCAGGATCCGTGCAAGCACCCATGATAGGGCTCTATCCGGTCACTGTGTCGTAGGCATCGGCCTGCACGGCCTGCACGGCCGCGGCGTCGAAAGAGCTGCTCAAAGGCTAATTCGTGCTAGAGCTCGGTGTCCAAGACAAGGCTGCGAGCTTCCGGCAGGTGAGATCTGGTATTAGGAAGTATCATGTGTAGGAATGGCTAAGGCGTAACTTCTCTGTGGTATGTGCTGTTCGCGTGTTAAAGGGGAGGAGGTACGGGCTCCACTCCCAGGCAGTGAAAGGCTTGGCAGGACTAAATGGACATCTTGCTCGTTGCTTGAAAGTCCGTTGAAGACAGCACATCGATCATGCTGGCGGAGTGGTAGGGACAATACAAAGTGCTTAGGTGGGAAAGCAACAAATGGAGGAAGGGGGAGAGTGTCATATCCTTCATCTAATCATTATCGTTACATACATCAAGTTTTGGAGGCATATATACCTCAGAACGTAGTATTGTACATCATGCCTCGCGCTGTCATCAATCTTTTGTCCTTTCTGGATGATGCTTGAACGCTTGAAGCATATCAACACCCGTCGCTGAACGCTACATTGAATCATAAGAAAGTTTCAGACATACACGGGGCGCGCCACTACCCAATGTATCGTCAGTCGGCAACCCTACTCCAATGTCGACGAGCGAGATCGTATGCAGGTGCAGCATCTGTCGATCCTGCCGTAGCTTTGTTGTGCTGCACTTCGCCCTCTTTTATTATAGGCTCATTACTCGTCTATGCGCCACGCATCATGCAGGCGTGGTATGCGCTTCTGAATCAGCGTGTGTCCGTTTGCGCGACCAGGGATTCGGTGACGCAAAACGCCCTCCCGTTGTTTCTGACGGCTTTTGGGATTGAGCACGTTCCAGCTGCGGAGTAGCGACGTTTATATGGCTCGGTACTAAGACATGTGGTGTAGACACAGGCGTCATCGCCATTGCATTCGTCCTTCCCGCCTCTTCGAGATGGCGATTTTCAACAGCCTCGACTTCTTTCAAAAGCTTCCCCACGGCTTCATGGCCGTGCTTGAAAGCCTCCTGGGATGGCGTACAATCGTGAGAAACCCATCTTGCAATGGCTTTGTGGTTCAAAAGGACTTTTACCACATCGATATGGCCACCAGCCGCTGCTGCATGCAATGCGGTGTATGTCGAGGGGAAGTACTGACCCCCTTCCAGGCTATATGGATTGGGGTTGACTTTGCGCTCCAGCATATATTTGACAATCTCCGTGCTGCCAGCCCCTGCTGCGATGCAGAGTATACTGCGACCCTCCACGTCGCGTGCGTCCAAGGAATGGCCGCATTGTACAAGATTTTCGAAGAGCTCCAGATCTCCTGTATTGGCGGCGACGGCGAGTTGCGTCATGTTGAAGATGTCCCTAGCTTCCGCAGTAGGCTTTTGCAGTAAGTTGACGTCGCCGAATTCTGCAGCGAGGTGAGAGATTCGCCTTTTCAAGATATCAGTTGACAAGCACTGGTCACGGGTTTGAATAAGTAATGCTTTGGCCGCCTGTGGCCTGTCAAAGCACAAAGCCACATGTGCTGGTGGAAAGGCTGGGCTGACGGTTGAGAAGAGATTGGCGAAGTGGCGGTCAAGAATGCGTGGCTTCATCGTGTCGAAGGCATTGGAAGCTCGGACCGACATGCTGTGGAATATCGCTACTTCGTCGATTTCGAAGCCGTCAGGGGGGAGATTGTACCTGTCTCGTAGACCCGATGCCTCGAGACGAAGCTCCGGAGCTTCGAATGCGTCAGTCCCAGTATCCTCATAATGTTTAGCGAGACGTTCGAGGACATTGACGTGTTGCCGTGCAATCTGACTGCTGCCAAAGGACTCGGCATCGCAGGCAGTAGATATTTCGAAGCATCTGTGCGTGCGACGAGACAGCTGTTGAAGAAGATCGCCCCTTTCAGCTGTTCCCGTAACCTGCGGTAACTGTAGCAGGATTGTCCTGCAATAATGTTCAAACTCGCCCAGTGTAGACGAAAGCGCCGCCGAGAGGCCACTCTCGATGTCTTCGAAACTGTAGAAGCGGCGAGACGGCTTCACATCTAAACTAGCCTGGTATACGGTCAGCCACATTCCCGCAGCGACAGCTTCATGGCAGGACGTGAAGACTCAATCATGCCTTAGGGTCATAGTGGGCGAGAGATATTGGAGATTCGACTTGAACGTACTCTGTGTCTGCTCAGAAGGCATTTATATGAGATGCAGAGGTCGGCGAGTGTCTGTAGCCTGTTGTACATCAGCAACGTTATCCTTTGAGAACTTGAAAGTAACACGACGCAGAGGGCAATTTTTGTTGAGAAGGTGGTCCTCCTAGTTGGGTCGTTACTCCAGCTCTGTATGAGTGGCACGCCGAGACAACGACATTGCAACAAACGTGGCGTAGAGAAATATAGTGCATGAGCTTCCGGTAAAATAGTTCTCTTCATGGCTGTGTGGGTCATATGAACGAGGGCGGTTGAGGGGAAAGTAGGGAACCCAAGATCATAACCTCGTTCTCATGCATATCTTTCGAATTCGCGGTTGCTACGACAGGAGGCTATCTGGAAGCCCCGGTCAATGGTTCCACGGCCGTCCTGCAAATCTGCGTATACTATGACACGCACTCATGTCGTCTACATTGGGAGGTGGGTTACAAAAGAGATCACCTACCATGATTTTATGGCATCTCGTGGTTTCTGCGGGGGTGCTGATATGCCCAGTCGCACATCACCCACCGTGTTCTCTCTTCGTCTGGGACGCGGTGTCGACGTAGACGGCAGTGCCATCTCCGTGTTAGGTAGCTGTTGTGACCAGGCATCATCTGTGAATGGGAGATCGTCGTTCGTGAAAAATGGATCGCCAGAAAGTGGCTGAAACTCGCTCGTGGTCGTGAAGGTTGGAGAGAACACGGGCTGAGGTTGGCTCGACAGAGGCGAGCGGTCATGGTGAGGAACATTGGGTCCGCATGGATGTCCTCCTGCACGATGTTAGGGACGTTGGCATGATTGCTCTGGACGAGGAGCATGCCTCTTCTGCAGCCTTCACACTTCTGACCAGGCCAAATCCTTTCGACGGGCAGACATTTCCTCTTCCTCAGACGACAGTAATGGCACTTATGAAAGGCTCTAGGAGCGCGTGAGGCGGGCGAGGCCATATCGTCGGTTGGCATAGCCTGGAAGCTCATTGTCGCGGCCTGAGGCTATACCCTCAGGGGCGGCGGCGAGATGACTCGAGTGTAGAAGTTGTTCCAACATTGTGGCAGGCAACAATGGTCGAGGGACTACAGGCCTGCGCTTGTGCCCGCAAGGCGAACCACGGTCGCCTTAATTGCGGGTGATGCGAGCTATCTGTAGGCGCACACTGCGCCCCGCCTGAAGCGGGCGGTAGGAGCGGGCAGTGCGCCTCGCCCCAAGCGACGAAGGAAGCGCAGCGCATAGCGGCTGCTAGCTGCTTTAGGTAAGCAAGGCTTGGGCGAGACACGCTTGGAGAACACAGATACAAAGGGCCATCCAATGACAGATATCTTCAACGGTTCCCAGCACAATTCTACCAATCGAGACACAGTAATAGAAGTCAGAATACCCGGATGGCACGCGACCGCGATTTTACTCCGTTGCTCTGGAACATCGCATCGTGAAGGCTCGCGGCCGCATATGCCGCCGAACACGACATCGTCTCGCCCACGCGATACCCAAAGCGTGTTGTCAAAGATCCGCATTGTGGCCTCGCCTCCCACTATTCGCCCTTAGAGCATGCCTATAGTCTCAGCCCGAGAGATGAGGTGTTGACGATGGAGTGACCCCTTCTCAGCCACGGTGTGATCTATGCTGTTTGAGGCCATGCTGAGCGGTCAAGCGACCGCTTTTGATACAGCAAACTTTGGAATCGGGCTCCGATGTTGCGTAGGTAGCCGTGCCACGCTCGGGATGAGTGGATTTGCCTTGACAACCTTGTGGGACCGGGAAGATGATATGCACTGACCCTAGGAACGTGGAGGCTAATTGGATACCATTATTGATCCATATGAACAGGACCTTTGCTGTATAAAGAAGTCTGCTCTCTTACCGGCAGCTGGTCTTCGGGTTGCGCGAGCCACTCTGGCAAAAGCTGCCGGTTCCTAATGTGTTAAGTCTTCAGTCAATGCCTTCAGACACAATATGGTACCTGACGCTAGGTATGGCAAGGTCCAGTCCCCAGCAAGAGAGGATAACTAACGTCAACAACAGATTCCCAGCGCCTTCAGAAAGCGGACGTCTTCGATGGCCTCCATGACTTGCAGCAATATGATTTCGACTTCTTTTCTTATCAAGTACCTCTGTCCTCAATGGACGTAGTGTCAAGTGTTACCGCCAAGAGGTACAGATCAGTTGCACTTAACCCGATTTTCGACTAATGCCTGTAGCCTCAATGTGTACTTCGGCAAATCGTCTGGCGTTTCGGGTATGACAGAGAATATTTCCTGCGCCACTCAATGCCTGGAAGAGGCGCCACGGAAATCTGGCAGTCTTTCGAGGCGCAGTTGTGCTTGTTCTATCTCTGCGGCCACGCACGAGGTCAGTCTTTCAGTGTTGGGATGTGCAATACTAACAGGACCAGCTGAATTTCCGAGGAGCTGCAAACATTTCGCGCCTTGTCCGATGTCAAATCGTTGAACTCCGCGACTGTGTCTCGTGGCTAATCTGGCAGACACTCGAGGGTAAAAATTCCCCAATTGACCACCAGGCCTAGTGACTAAGGCCAACAGGAATGCGGGCAATCCCGCGAGACTCTCTGCTTCTGCGTGATGTCGGCAATGTTGCAGGTGCTTGCCGTCGAGAGCTAGAGCTGTCGCTGAGAGCATGCAATGAAGATTTGGTCGAGTATCTGCTCACAGCAGTCTACTATGTGGCCATGGCATTTCGGTTACTCGATCCCGAAGAACTCTTCGATGTTGTTACAGAGTCAGTCACGGGCGATGTCTCCAGTCCGACCACGCATAAGCACTGGCCAGAACGTTTCCCTAGATCTAGCCAAGATCTGATGAATCTTTGTTCTCGAGTGCTAACAGTCCGAGCGGACGGCAGCGTTGACTTCAGGCACCCAGATTCGATGCGGTCCTTCTTGACCGAATCTCGATTCCTTGATCGCGATGGCGGTGATGAACCAATTGCTCGCATGTGTCTCCGATATCTGAACAACGCCGCTGACTGGTGCATCTTCAAACCGTGGAAGAAAATCCGTGACCGGTCAATTCGATCATCAGTCGGGCCGTTCTTCAAGTACGCTTTCGCGAACTGGCATCGGCATTGTCAGAAGGCACAGAACTCATCTAACGATCTTGCAGCACAACTCCACAAGAAGCTCGAGACCGATGTGATCTCTTGCTTTCAAGACGATGGCTTTCTACACATCGAGCTCAAGAAGTTGACCCTCCAACTTGGACTCAACTTGTGTAGAAATTACAGGTTTGACTTTTTGCATGGGATCTACAGCCAGATGGGTGCGGATGATTGTTCGATGCCCGCCGTGATTGTGCCATTTCCCAGCGGAGAAGACTCCCGCCTCCTACAGGAGCTTGAGGTTTTCTCCGAGCACGGTATGCAGAATGGAACCGAGTGGCCGGCGTGCCAGGTGGACGCACATCGCGGAGCCGCCGCCGATGCAGCTGAGGTGGAAGCAAGCTCCGTGGACGGCTTGACCGATTGTGAGAGCGCCCTCGAAGAATCGTGGGGATCTATTCCCTATGGCGAACAGGCTGACCATTGGGTCCTGGATTTTGATGAATTACGACTAGTTGACGACAGTGTAACCCTACATCGATTGAACCGCAAGGGTCGTGACAGTGACTGGCAGATGGTTGATAGAGGTGGTGGAGCTGGGTCCTGAATGCTCAGCGCGTTCCCTTGCACCGGATTGTAAGAATATCCCAAATGCTGTTTTCTGATGAGTTCGACGGCCGGTGAGAACACTCTTTTCTTAGGCGGCGGCCCATTTTGTGATTGATGGCGTACTATGGGTCGGTGGGCATCCTCATATTGGCTTCAATCCCGCCTTTTCGAGGCAAGAATCGGGTATCAAGCCTCAGGCACCAGCATCAGACCGAGCAGTGACTAGCTGACCAGCTAGCCTTTTAACAGATGGTTTCATACCAATAGCCATGCGTAGGAGACTTTTGTTATGCTGTTCTGGCGACGATATCGAATCCACATAGGAGCTATTAGGTGGGTCATGCGGTCGCATGGAAGCAGCCGCTCAAGCGCAGCCGGGCGCATGAATGGTAGGCCGTGATCTCTGCCTGAAGAAAGTTCCAGCGCGCGAATTGCGCTCTCGCATCAAGCGTGCGATGCTGGTGGATGGTACGCGTGAGGTACCAGCGCGCCGCTTCATGCGGAGTATGGTGTCGTCCTCAGTATAAATCAGGCACGACTTCGATGCATGGCTGCCTGGCCTTTGCCATCAGCTGTCTTCTCGTACACAAGCTTCCAAAGGCACACCAACCAAAATTTGAACGCAGTATACCCCATACAGAGGCGTTCTGCGCCTTGCATACTCTAGCGACGTCCGTACACGGCCATAATGGCGTCAATATCTTTCCGTTCGACTACCACGTGCAGTGCTTGCATACCCGGGTCTGCATGTTCTTGCCAACCTAAGGCTCGTCCGACTAACAGGCGACCACGAGGTGAGCGAATCACGCGGCCTCGATCAAAGGACATTCTTTGACACTCGCAGACACCTCAGTAATCGCAGTCGCACCGACCTCGATCCGGTCCCAGTGCGAGGTGCTCGCAACTGGCTCCGAAACTCATCGTAACGCAACTCGACTGGTGTCGCGGGCTGCGCGAGAAGACTTTATGTTCATTGGGTCACAATGGGATGGCATACCTGATCTTTGATCAACCCTTGTTGACAGCATTCTCTCCCATCGGCGCACCGAAAGCATCCATGACGTTGGAAATAGGGTTTGCCGTGCCAAGCCTCGTACGAACTCGTTGGGCGAAAGTGACGCCGATCTCCAGTGCAAGTGCAAAGGGGCCTCAGACCGCCCAGGCGAAAAAGCGCGTGAGAAGTCAGATCTCGAGCTACGGCAGCAGTCCTTCAAGGCGGCGCGCCATTTGCAGAGCCCCCAGTCTCTACAGTAGTCCGGGAGCTGTCAACGCCATTTTCGAGCCACGCACGGGAGACAACGCCCCTGCTAGCCCAGGAGAGAACGACAGCGCCGGCGATGCCCGCAAGGTCGTTACAGGCAGAAGCAACCACGCCCCTTTTGAACAGCAACACCACGGTCAGATACCGCGCTCCTTTGCAGACTCATCATTGCATTAGTGAAGCCAAACTGATCTATCGACTGCCACACCGCCTCAATAGCTCAAGGCGTGGCAAGTTCATGACCAAAGGCTCATGGCTGATGGTTACACAAATGCACGTATAGCGATGGCGCTATGGGAAATAGCGCGGGAGACACGAAAAGCATAAACCGGACAAGGGTGGTCCCCATGAGCAATCATACGAGCAGCTCTCCTCGAGGACCGAACAGCCGGGTCAAATGCTTCGAGTCAAAATCCGCCTGGACGCAGAGTCCCACAATTCAGACTTCCCTACTGCACCTACCCGGGGCCCCCACCATTTGACGTGGCGGACATTTTTCCCTTTCCACTCACCACTGCTTTGCTCTCACCCTAGACCGGAGTGCGGAGCATGTCGAACGAGTACCACTGTTCCCTCAACCCAAAAACAGCAGAAACTTTCCGCGCCTGCACATCAAGAAGAAAACAAATCTGCTTCAATTGTTCTTGCCGCCGGCGGCGGCAGCAGATCAAAATCGTCCCAAGCAGAGCGCTCTTATGACCACACCAAACACAATCAAAACTCACAGATTAATCTCCTTTTGCTACTGGGCTATATCGACACTTTCCGTCGGCAACCCACTCGCTTCCGGTCACGAACACCAAGAGGAGCCCTCCAATACTAAATAATAACTTTTCTCGGCCGTTTCCAAACACCCCGCATGGCCCTCCCCCCACCTCCTCTACAGTAGCCCGCCCACTTCCCTTCGGGATTGTGATCCATCCGCGAAATGCAAAACGACTCCCTCCTACAGTAGCTTCGCACGCTTTCGCCCGAACTTCGCTCCTGCTTGCATGCATGCTACTCCGTTGTTGCATATTGCATGGGGACAAAGGAGCCCCCCCTGAGACCTGCCTAAGCTGACAAGAAGAATCCTCCGGTCAGGGGAAATTTTTCTTTCGGTAGCTACCAAGTCCAAGTGCAAAGCGACCGACCGGACCACAGCCGCGGCACATTTCACCAAACCAAACACATCAAAAAGCACAATAAGCTTCCGAGAGGCACGACCACCCTACCTTCTCGTTTGTCGTGTCCGGAGGTCCTTATGTAACTACTCGTACTCGTTTCCTTTAAGCGAACACCGTTCTTGTGAACTCGCTGGTTGGGAGTCTGGGAGTTTGGCAGCCACACACACAAGATCGGCCGCTAATCGTTCCTCCTCCCCCCAGGCATTCACAGGTGTGGTGGCTTTTTATTGCCGGACGGACCCTGCTGGTAAACCAGCTTTCATCCGAAAGTGGCTTTCCAACTACTTTGGTTCGGGTCCACCTGGAGCTTTTCAAATCGTTCCTCGGCGCAGACTTCTCATGTACGATTCAGAACCCCTATCAACTGCCTCGAGAAGGGTTCGAAGCAAATTGACTACTTGGTATGGCCCTAATAATGGTGGGAACGCCACGGCTTTTGGGATTTGTATTTCCACATCATGGTGTAACATGCCGTCAACGGTGATTCTCGGGCTGCAGTACACGATCAGCACCCCCTTCGCAGTCCGTACAAGTTACTACTCCTACACAGGCCCATCCGTACAGCGTCAGTCGTCAGGCAGTAGCAATGCATGTTCTGCGAGCATCATTCGACGTTGCTGTTGGCCAATCAGGTCTTACATCACCGGGTAGGTTGCCAGTTTCTTGAGATTGCTTGTACACATGCATTGAATACCAATACTCCTCTTTATGCATTCTCCGCCATTAGCTCGGGTGCAAATGCCCAGGGACTTCACTTCAGAGCTGTTATCTGCACCGCTTCTTCCTTCGTGGGGTCGAAATTGGGTGTGGCTATTTGCGCCATGTCTTCTCGCTTCGTTAGTGCGATAGATTATGCAATAGTTCCTAGATAGAACATTTTGCAGCCTGGCGACGGCGCCAGCGCTAGCGAATCTCGTTCCCCGCCTTGTATTAACCGAGGTATCGGAAGTTTTGTATCGACATTTGCGAACGCTTCGTGATGGATGCATTACGGGAATCGTATAGTATACATCGAAACACTTTTGTGGCGGACTTCCGTATCGATCGGCCACTGATTCATGGTTCAATAAAAATAATATACAGAGCTTGTCTAGTCGTGTTTGGGGCCTAGGATGCCTTGGATGTCCATCTTCGGTCTCTTGGAGTCGGGCTGCCGTGTTGTTCCTGTTCCTTCTCTTGGGTCCCGAGGCGCATTATGTTGCGGATACGCGTGGCCTTGTTGCGTCAGCGCAGGGTCGATAGAGCTGCGCTGTTCTATAGGACGAATTGGAGGAAGTTGGAGGCTCGAAGGTCCTGCGCCTGATGGCACAGGGTCGTTGTGGGGTGGGGGCAGTTGATTTCGAGGAAATAGTGGCGCCGAGTAAATTTGCGTAGTTGGTGGGCGCATTGAGTCAGGAGGTCCATAACCGTATGCCTGAGTCTGAGGGTACGGCGCTATCGGCCGGGAAGGGCCCGAGGGTTGCACATATGGCGAAGGAGGTTGCGGTGGCATGTGCGGTCCTTGCCCGTATCCTCTTGATGGAACAAACTGGCCCATCGCAGTCGCACTGCTTGGTCCAACCGAGGGCGCAGCGTACAGCCCATATGGTTGCCCAGGTCGGAATTGCGACCGGCTCGCATCGTAGGAAGGTTGAGCTTGCAGGGGGCGAAATGATCTCGAGTACTGTCCTGCTTGTGCGTAGCTTGCTGGATCTGTGGTGGGCATGCGCCTTGCTGGGTCTGTTAAAAGGCCAGCGTCGAACGATCGCCGTGAACTCGGATCCTCAGGGCGCAGGGGCGGCCTCCCACGCTTTTTATGAACCACATCTTGACAAGTGTCCTGAAACAAAGTCAGTCAAATTGCCTGTCACTTGTGCTCGTGGAGAATTACCTCTTTCCCTGCCTGAACACATCTTCGACATGGTCGCGCGTTGTCACATCTCAAGTGCTTCTTCTTACAATTGATACAGGCAGAGGCAACATGAGCCTTGTTTTTTCGGGATGTGCGCGGAGAAAGTTGTCCACTGGGTAATCGTGGATCGGTTGGACTCGACGCTGGAGCCGCTATAGGTCCCGAAGCATAAGCCATCGACTGGGGTGGAACGTATGTTGTCGTGTATGGAGCCGGATAAGTGCTCTGCTCGGACGAGGATGCAAATCCGTAGATCGAGGGCCCGTGTGGAGGAGGGTTTGGAAGCGAGGAAGCGCCGGCGGTCGCAAGAGGGAGGGAGTCGGACCTCTTGCGACGTTGGCCAGCTATTTGTGGAGGAGAAGGTCGCTCTGAAGGGGGAGACCCTGACATGGGGGGAGTTGGGAGCGATGCCCAGACGGGCGCTTCTGGGAGTACCGGCAACGTGAGATCGACCTTGAATCTCGCCTGGTCGATACTGGATCTGTGTCTCTTGAAGGACGGAAGAAGAGGAGGGAAATTGGGATGCTGTGAATACTGCATGGAGCCTGAGTGGTTGTATTGGGCTGGGTTCAGGTCTTCATTGATAGTACCACAATGCTAGTAGACCAGTAGTTGCGGCTAATGAGGTTGAACAGGTGATTGTCGGTTCTCCAGAAAGAAGAGTCTTGGTTGCCGCAAAAAGTCCGTTGGATCTAATGTTAGGACGAAGTGATGGAATGCGGGAAGCAAAGGAAAGCTGAAGAATGGTTGGTCCCAGCAAGTCCGTGCTGTAGAGTCTGACACGCCCGTCAATATATTATTCCTGGACCAGACACCCTGCATGTGAGTACAACATACCATCTAATATATGCAAGATGATGTCTGCTGTGTTGGCTTGGTCATTCCAATCAACAGAGGGGTTCCTGATCGCTGATGGTTGCCGAAGGCGGTCGGAGTATTGAAGGTCGGAGAAATGTTGGCGAGCGATTGACGTGAAAAAAAGTGTTAGAAGATGGAAGGGGCAAGTGGATTGTTCTAAGGAGCTGAAGATTCAAGACCTGGGGCAAGGGCGGCTCGAGAGTGATATGGGCGATCTGATCAATGGTGGCCGTCAATCCGATGGAGCAGCTGCGAGTCATCCGATGGGAATACCAGGGTTGACTAGTCTGCACTGACTGGTCTGCAGCTTGCAGCACGATCACCAAGAAGAGGTTGAGTCAAAGACAGACGCAGTAACAGCAGCTGGTTGCGGGCTAGAGCAGAAAGATGACTGAAGTGTGCAGTGCGCGCGTGTGGTGGCCCCCGTGTTCGTCATGGCGGGATGGGGGGAGCATTTTGGATCTATTGAATGAAAGAATGCTGGCCTAATAGCTCCGCCGTGGACCTCCCTGGGCGATCCACCGCGACAGCGCAGGGAATTCATGGGAAATCCATGACAACAAGGTTTGTGGGCAGGGGAGAGCTGAAGCCTGAGGGCCTCAGAGGCCTGCAGTTTAGCCTTTGGGGTTGACGGACACTTGGCCCAACAGCCATCCGCTGTCAAGCCCTCTATTGCGACATGGGCTTTGCGCCAACGGCGTGCTACCATTAGCGACTCACAACCGAGAGATCCCGTCTGAAAGAGGAAAGTTAATGTTAGGCTGGGTCGATGTTTCTGGTAAGCGGCGAAGCCCTGCTGGCTACGCCGGGTAAGGGGCGAGATGTCTCGGCAGCACCGCCATGTCTCTGAGCGCCTGGCCATACACGCGACGCTGGCTCTCCAAGCTTTGCTCCCACTGCTGCACGAGTAAAACAATCTAGTGGCATTATTTATGCTGCAGGGTCACCTGTTCGACGACGTCGAAAGAAGGCTCTTTGCACGCAGACCACGGCGTCGACAAACACCGATGTGGCATAAGGTTCATGGTGGTACAACCAATAGCTTCGCAATAGTTGCAGCGGACGGCATACAGTACATAACACGCCAGCACGACCAGGGTCACGCCTGCCGTGCCCATCCTCCGCTAGCAAGCTCCAACGTTGGGTGCTTATGACGGTCGTTTACGGATCGTTGCCAACCCACTCCAGTGGTCGCGGAACCTGTCAGGCCTGGGGCCCGTTTAGCCCGGCCTGGGTGGAGCCCAGGCTAACGACTGTTTAGCACCCGTTAAGTCACCTTTATGGCGGTGTTGGGCGAAAAGCGACTCTACTGTGCACCAAGCATCCCCGTTCTGGACACTGTCATACCAAACAACATGGCTCGGCACCCCCCCTTTGGGACATTGGCAAATCCATCATGCTTTACACAATGCTGGGTTGTTGTGGTGCTGTTGTACTGATTGCAGGCACTGCACTACGGAGCACCAGATGCGAGGGCTGCGCATATCAGATCCCCCCTCCAGATGGCGGAATGCGTATTGACGCGGCCCAGAAATAGGTCCGCTGTGTGACCGTGTCCGTCCTGCATCTGACGCACTCCCCATTTCGGGCAGCACTCGCTTAAGAGCTCCCGTACCATGAATTTCGGTGTACCGGTAGCAGGCGACGCGAGTCATCGACTCGCCAGCCTTGGAAATTTGACGCTACGTGACTGCTGAAAACTAGGCCTGCACGCGTGATCACTGGCCCCGGCGATTTTATTCATCAAGGTCCAGAGCCGAGAGGCTATGGCAATAGTCCGAGTTCCAAGGTCCTTCAAACCCTGGACCTTGACCCCGCTGCCAGATCCAGCATCATAGTCCACCCGCTCGCTACATGAACTCCTCGGGAGTAAGACCGGGACGAGGAACGGGGCCACCATAATTAGCCTCTGGAAAAATACACGCGCTATCGATAACACTCCAGTTGAAAACTTCGCCAGGCGCGACTTCGAAAAACTTCGGCTCCGCAGCCTCTATTGTATCTACCGTTTTTCCACACCATCCTAGGTCGCTTGCCGGTCTTCTCGAGCGCAGAGAAGAGCTGAGCAGTGCTTAAGCTTCGAGTGCCCATCCAGCGTGCCGAGGTGACCGGGCTTGACAATTTGGTGCCGTGTGCTAAGCGAGATTCCGAGCAAGGTTGCGGGAACATACCACCCTTGAGCCTTGCATTCCACGAGCCTAAACGGAACATGGCAATCCTAGTTCACGGGACATTATTCAGGATCCATCGCGCGACTCGCGAGAGCCCTTCTCGAGCAGCTTGTGCCACGACTAGGGGTCAAGGAAATTGTAGAGCACTAATTTGGACTACACATGAGGCCTTGCCCTGCTGGCGTTCGGTGACCTCGCGTGTTTACCAGAACAATGCTCCGGTCCCCGCCCTGGCGAAAAACCCAGGAACCCTGACGGCCGCCGATTCGCAAACATCGATCCCATATTGTTTCCGTCGAAGCTTGACAGATCGTATGACTAGGTACGCTGCAATAGTAACGATCTTGCGCGCCGGTTGCGCTGATTCGGGAGCTAAGACTCAATAGTGAGGCAGGGCAAACCGAGATTCGTGAGATCATCAGTGCACTACTGCTACGGAGATGACGGCATTGAGCGTTGCGCTGCTCCTATCTTCTTCGGTGCCAGTCGTCTATGTCTAGCCTGACGATTTCCGTACGAGGTTTGCTGCAGAAGCATGAGAGCATGCCCTTCAACTCCGTACTCATCAGCATGTCTCGCTACAAAGTTTTAAGCGAACTGATCGGCCGGACATGAAATTCCACCGACGCGGCAGACATCATAACCGCTTAGTGTTGGGGGTTCATTGCCCTCAGCGTGTACGACACTTCTCTGGCCGAGTATTAGTTCGGTAAGGAAGTGCTACAAATGCCTGGCATGACATTAGGGCAGCGAGTAAGTTGTAGAGTTAATCGTTGAGTCTTTCGCCGGGGCAACCTGGTCGACAAGATAGACCCTCAAATTCCAATTCTACCATGGCGGCAGTTGGCTCTAACGAGCTTGGCCATTCGTGGTAGCGGCCATTCTAACCAAAGCCGCGTGGCCGCCACATCTGTTGAAATCGAGGCGCACCGGGTTTCAACAGGGTTTCGTCGTTTGTTTGCACTTCAAGCGCCATCCGGGGCATCAACAAGGACCAGGAATGTAGCTCAGTCCACCTTCACCACGCTGTCTTGCTGAAATCTCCGTGCCCTCGGAAATAAATTGGCAATCCCTGCAGTGGTTACTATGATCCGGTTGGGGGCAGTAATAATTTCCTAGGAGCACTTCCGAGGTCTCGACAACAATCTTGGCTGCAACCACACGTTCCAAGTTGGAAGAGCGACATTTGCATATTCGCTGACTCAACGTTACTGCTGATGCTGGCTTTACGTGAAATTCGATAGTGGATAACCCGCCACGCTAACATTGAAGTGAGTGTGCGAGTATTGCCATGTTCTGGGAAGGGTTTCATGGCCAGCTGTAATCGCAACACAATTGCCACCGTTTGAGCCTGAGACTCGAAGTAGCTCCAGCGTAAGGAACTCTTCAATTGTCAAGCCATGAGACATCGAATCCTATCGATCAAGATTAAGCGCCTCATTTGAACTCTGCGTTTAATATTCCGCCACCCACCGAGATTCGATGCATGGCGCACCTCGCCGTTGGAACAGCTACATAAGCCGGTGGGAACCATTCGATGCCGAAAATGGACCCTGGCTTGATGCATAAGGCTCCTGCAATTTCGGGCGCATCAGCTCCTCATGATCGCAATATTAATCCAACACAGAAAATTCCTCTCGTGACGCGAAATACTTTTGGGGTCATTTTCTTGGTGTTGCCTGCTCTCCTAGGCAACCCCCACCCACGATTGCCAAGCAATGAGGCATCACCACCACTTTGTAGGTAAGCTGGACCAACATAGATCCTGAAAGTCTTTGATCGCAACATTTGCCGGACCACGACCGCGACTCAGCGTTAGCCGGGCTTACTGTTGAGCTCTCTCCAATCGGCAGTTTCCTCTGACTCGACAAAACTGCCGGATCCGTTTAAAAATTCAGATCCCCGCCTCAGAGGTTAGTGCATTGGCGCGTTGCGGAACTCTCCTTTAGCTCGTCTTCGCGATACACATACCAAAGGCCAGCTCTAGGTATCTCTCAAAACTTGTGTATCGTTCTTGGGGACGATGTCGTCGAATGTGCCGGCTCCTAGTGAGGACCCACTAACGGCCGCCCTCCCGCCAGTCACGGATTACTTAACCTACTTAACCATCCTTGAATACCGACTGAAGCCCCACAATCTCAGTGTTCTGAACGGAATTCTGAACGGTGACGATGGTACGCTCGCGAAGGAGATCGGATGGGATCTCCTCAGGCTTGTACTTCCCATGCTAGCGGACGTGCCGGTCCCTGCTCAAGCATGTCTCGAAAGCATTGCCCGTCGGGGCAACCCGCGTGAGGTCGTCGTCAGAGTGGCAGAGGAGCTGGAAAAGCTTGGTCGCTCCGATGACGCCGACGATGATGACAATCAAGCTGACAGCGATGCCGACGAGGACGAGCTTCGCACGTTCTCTGGCGAGGCTACTAGGGTACATTTAGGTGAGATGAAGTTGGATGGCATGCCCGACGTGGAGCAGCCGCACGCGCAGCCTTCGGAGAAAGAGCAAGTGCAGGATGAGAAGGCCGGCGTTGACACGACTGCTCTTGAAGCTCTCGAATTCCCTGCCCTCCTGATGATGCTAGGAGCAGTTCATCCTCGTATCAAGACCCAATATCCCAGCCGCTTTCTTGCCACGTCGCTGCCGGCTGCACTTGCAGCATATCGCCGCATGCCAGTCACCTACGAGTCGACGATAGCCTTCTTGGAGTGTCTGGAGAAGTTGGGTGGTAAACAGCGCCCAGCTCTGCCGCCCCGTGCCTCCACAGCAGATACTGGCACTCATCACCCAACAGATACACCACTGCCTGACCCCGAAGCGCCAGCAGAGGCAATGGAAGGAACAAACATCGCTTCCCAGACGGAGAAGGATATCATGGCTCGATTACTTCAGGCAGTCATGCTTGAAATTCTCGACGAGTATACTTCATCTCTGGCGGGGCATGAGATCTCCTCCATGCTCTGGACGAAGAGGCTTCGCGAGCAAATTGGCAATGATACGGTACCAATGAAGGTCACGGCGACGCAGCTCTTCAAAGCAGGACCTTTGAAGGAGCGCGATGATATCATGACACGCGCTTTGTCGCTGAGCCAAACGCTTGGTCTCGATGCACGTGCCGAAGTCACCAGATCTGCGAAACAAGACGAGCAGAGCCCTGCGAACAGAGAAGCAGACGAGGAGGAGCCATCGGAGTACCCAGCCTCTCCTTCTCAAATTCCATTTCCGCCAAACGCAGCTCTGCTTCTCATCGCCGCACGAAATCTGTCGGATGTCAAAAGCCCACCATTGCTTGACACTGACGAAGTCATCGGCTTGTTCAAGCAACTCACACCTCTCTCAGAAACACCCAGGCTACCCAATCCGGTAGTGCAAGACGCCCTCCACTGCATGTTATACGCAGCTCATTGCAGTCAGCCAAAGATGCTGTCTCTTGAGACTGACTCCTCGATCTACAAAGAGCTAATGTCGATGCTGACTCAAAGTTTCACAATTACGCCTAACCCCCAGTCTCGGGATGACGCACATTTCATCGCAACACTACTCTTACGGGAGCGTGAGGATGCTCAAGACCGCACCGATATCATCAAACAGACCCTGCGGTGTGCGGTTCCCACTGAAGCGGCGGTCGAGCCGATACCGCTGGCGACACCCTTCACTGAAGGGGTACTCAAGGCTGTTGGCGTCAACTGGCTGAAGACCAGTATTCTCGCCCACATCACATCGTCGAAGTCTTCCTCAGAAGACCACATTGGCATCTCGCCCTCACAGCTTGCGACAGACCATGAACTAAGCGAATTGGTCTGGCACCCCAGTATTCCTTCCCCGACGCATACGCATCTCCTGAGCAATGTTCTGATGGCGTTGCCATACTATATAGCTCTGCTGAACTTGAGCCATGTTTTGCTGGCCCACCTCCCGCATGAACATGACATAGTTGTTAAGAACGCCAAGGGCTTGCTACAGGCGCTCGAGCCATGGCGCGACGATCTCGTTGGCCAGCTTTCCACGAGCGAGGCAGCGAAGGCGAGTTCGTCTGATATCTACTCCTTTGAGGATGCCGCGAAACGTGTGGCGAACGCAATTCCAACGACGGGGGCCGAGCCAGGCACACCCGGATGATCGTTGGGGGCGACGTCGGTCTATCCTGTAGATGGAACAATAATGAACTGAATGATACAAGAGCTCTGGATTTTGCTCTCGGAATGACAGACGTTTTTCAAAGCCCCGGTGACTGTATAGGGATCTCGACCGTAAGCTGATGCTTGTCAGTTAGTTCCAAGACATTTTCTCAGTCCATGAGGACCCCGTCAGACTAGCACCTCGATGGTCGGAGGGGAGTGGTCTAAACGTCTATGCGTTTCGTAACTTTGCCCAACCTCAAAGCACAACTGCATCAGTGACTACAAGTTGTGCAAGAATCTCTTCGTTTCTTGCCGCTCTCGTATCTGCCGCACACAAACCCCTGCCTTGGAGGCCTTAGACCCGACCTCACGACTGTTCCCCGACCCTTCAAGAAGCCAATGGCCAGCTCATACACGCCCCGATCCTCCAACCCGCCAGCCGATCTGTCAACGTCAAACACCACGCTCAAACTTGAGCCCGAGAAGCGCCCAACAGCACCGCCCACGAAAATCTCTCCTCACGATCATCCCACCACCATAAACGCACACTCCCTGGGCTCCCGACAATTAATCTCCAGCAAGTCCTGCGGACACGCACTCATGACACACACGACATCCGTCTCAGCGCGGAACACGACCTCATCGCCCGCCTTACTCACCGGCCGATCGAAGCTGACCTCGGCGCCACAGCTCGGCCCGCTACCACTCGGCATCGCCGCCTTGCCTTCCTCCTTGGGGTGCACGGGGATATTCATCCACAGATTCAGCGGCGCCGGCGGCGTCCAATCCTCGTCTCTGCTGAGGGCGGGCGCCAGCGTCATGCCGAGCTGCGCGGACAGGGCCAGCAGGGCGTTGCGGCAGTTGTCGGCGCAGTTGTTGTGGTAGTACTGGGGAGCCTGCTCGATGGGTTGGTGCGCCAGCTCACGGTAGCGGAAAATGTCGCACGCGGCGATCAGGGTGTCGTGGACGCCTGGGCTGGTGTCGGACTGGAGCGTGAGGATTGGGGCGCGGTGGTTGCTCGTCAGGGTGTCGTGGACGCGGGGCGTGAGGTGGTGGGTTGAGGCGCGAGTGTGTGGCATGGAGAGGTAGTGGTTGAGTGAGAGGGTGGAAGCGGGAAGGGGACCGGACACCGAGGCGGCGGCGGATGGCTCAACGGCGAAGCACCAAAAGTCGACGACCTGGGTGCCGTGGGTGTTGACGATGCGCAGAGACTGGCCTTGGGAGAGTGGGACGGCCACGCCTAGGCGAGCGGGGATAGGGTGCTTTTCGCCCGGGCTGAAGGGGGACTGGAGTGGCATGGTGATGGCGGATGTGTAGATGCGGAGCTCTGTGAACGTGGGCGAGGCTGAAGCCGACAGGGGTTTAAATGGGTGAAGGGTTCGGGGAAATGACGAGAGTTTTGCTGTACTGCTCACGGGAACAACGAACAGGAGGAAATGCTACAGGAGAGATCGGACCGTTGGATTGTCCAGTACGTGACTGTCCTTTTATTCTTCGCCTATCCCCACCTAGATCTCGTCGTCCACGTCGAGCAGTTCTCCTGGGCTGCCGCTCATCTCCGTAAGGCATTTATATTCCCCATTCAGGAGATGCACCTTTCGTGGAATGGCAATCAACGCGCAACGAAAGCTACGACTGACCACTAAGACAGCATTTATGAAAGCTGGGCAGAGAACGAGCATGCACGAGCTGCTCTTTTCGAAGGTGTCTGTCATACAGCGAGAGCGACAGCCATTTATATGTGGGTGCTAATGTGTATTGCAACTTAGAAAGGAGATGTCCGTTCTGCTGCTAGAAGGCCAGCTACGTCCAGGAGGCAAACCAATTCTTGTACGACTAATCACTACTAGTATTTCATTCGTGGTGGACGAAACCTGATGTCAATGGTTCGTCGCCCCGGTGGCGCACGGCCATCTCCATATCCAACGCCGTCCATTTCCCTCATATGCCTGTCTGATTTGTTGCAATTCTATGTCAGTGGCAGAAGTCGTAATTCGCTTATGTTTTCCCAATAAACGCTTGCAAAGAGCATAAGATAATTCCTCAATTTCAAGGCGCCATGCCAAGAATGACCGAGGCACCCGCCAGCGCCAGGTTGCGTTTGGTATTCGATGATTGCTGGGTCTGGGTGACCCGAAGGTTGTCGAGTTCGCACCAGTCGCTGACAGGCAAGCATGACAAATATTTGCACCAGGAGCAAGTGTCGTGATATTTGTAGAAGTTGTTGAGCAAGACGATGAACCCGACAAGAACACCAATCAGAGCACCAGCTCGCAGGAGCCACCATCCCCACCAAAGGGGCTTACGGCCTTTGAAGAAGCCGAGAGGTGCTTTACGGAAAGCTGTGTAATCGGCCATCTTCTCGCGTCGGGCGACTCGTGCAGCTGGCTTCATAGCCGAGATGTCTGGGTCTGAACCGACGTTGCGGTACGGCATGACTGATTCTCCGAGTCGCTGGCGGAGGGGAGCCGGCGAGTGCAAGATGCAGATGCCTAGCGCGATGCCCATACAGAAGCCGCCGATATGGGAGAAGTTGTCCAGGCCAGGCAGTAGTCCTAGAAGAAACGAAAAGATGATCTCGGCTAAGAGCCACATCAACTCTCGGATTGGCTGTGGGCGTTCGTTCCAGTGGTAAATTAGGTCCAACAGATTCAGAGCGAGTATTCCAAAAAGACAACCTGATGCGCCCGTGGAAGCGACGGCTTTACCAGCAAAGTTGGCGCCCAACACGAACCCAAAAATACCAGATGAGAAGTATACAATGGCAAAGCGGATGCTACCAATCAGCTTCTCAATCTCTCGACCAAGAGTGAGCTGCAGCAGCATGTTGAAGGCAATATGGATGAGCCCTGCGTGCAGGAATATAGGAACGATAAAGCGGAACCATTGGTTAGGTTCTTGATTGTCCAGTCCTCCAAAGCCACACAAAGCGCTCAGGTCACAGGTGTTGTGAGGGTCATCAGCGTTATTGCTAGTAGAATTAGGACAATGCCAGGTTGTAATCGGTGGGTTGGCCTCTTGAATGTCCTCGTCTCGCCGCATACAGGGTACAAAGCGGGCTCCCATATTGATCAGGACGTACGGGGAAGGTCCAATCATGGGGTTGAACTGCGGCCTGGTCATGATAGGTGATCCAGTGGTAATAGAATTTCTGATGATTTCGACGACGAACGTGGTTAGTTGTGCCAGCGTCACAACATACACGATCCATGGTATCTTGCCTCTGAACCAGCCCTCCTTTTTCTTCCTTCTGCGGCGTTCCGGCAGTAGCTGTGCTTCGACACGTGATTCAGGAGACGGAGGATACTGGGTGTTCTGATGACGAAGGTCTGAAGTCTTCGTATTCAGTTTGGATGGTTGCAAGGGGATAGACTGTGGGTGGGTGTCCCTGGCTGGTGGCACAGGTTTAGAGGAGCCATGGTAGCGAGGATCGAGAGGTTCGTCGCTGCCGAAGGTATGGTTCATTGTTGACTGGCTGTAGGGCGTGTGTTGTGCGGAAGATGATGACGGTTCATACGCGGCGTAAGTATTGTGAGAAGGTACATGATTAGGATGTGATGCTTGAGCATAATAGTTTGGCTGCGAGTTATAATAGTCGTTGGCGGTCATCGTTGCAGATGCCGCAATCCTCTTTGTTAGACTTTTGGGGTGTTGTTCCTTTTGCGGATGCTTCGCTGTAGTGTTGGGGGCTCGAATGCTGCGCCAGCAGTTTTATCTGGTAGTGAATGCGTGCGGCGCAGACTGAGGGGATGGTGTTAACGAATGATGTAAGGGCGGTATGAGACAACAGCTTTGAGATTGCTTTGATTGCCCACAACAAACAGCCCTGACAGAAACGGTCGAACAAACAGATTGGAAAAGCCACCAAGTGAGTGTCGTTGGCGCAAGGAAAGAGTGGCTATGATGGGTTGCAGGCCAGACAAATCTCAGCGTGAGGAACAGGAACAGGTTTAAGCCTGCATGCAGTCGCAGATGGCGAGGCTCGAGCCAGGGATAATCAGTTGCAGCTGCGACACGCAACCCGAAACAGTGGCTCCGATCACTTAAGCCCAATCAGTCAGCTTATTTGCAGCCAAACCCGCTTACTAGGCTTCGGGCCAGGGAAGGGGCGCCCTTTGGGGGCCGTCGGAGGCTGCGCATTCGTCACAGCCTCCTTGCGCCCGCTTTTTCACCCTTTGTTCCTGCAGCTCAGGATCGACAGAACACGGCGCTCGAACTCAGAATAGAAAGTCAATGTTCAACGGCGGGGGGCGGTAGACAAAACCCGGCTAATAGTCATAACCAGGCGACCATTAACTGGAGGAGCTTCCTTTGAACGTGCATGGCATACTCCTACTTTGTATTTTACACAGCCAATCATGGGCACACTGCTCAGTCTTCAGGCCATGCACTGGTGACCTTCCGCCCTGCCCCCCGGTGACCGCCCACATCTGTGACACTGTTGCACATTACTGTCTGCCTCAGCATTTCGCTTGTATTCAAAACATCATCATCAAGTCGTCATATTCATGTGTGACGAGAGCACGCGTCTCGCGGCAACGCGTCGGTAACGTTGAGGCTAGTCGTGCAGCCAGTCCAACTCAGGGTCCATCGCATGTAAAGAAAGGAGATTCGGCGCTCTATACTTTGTACAAATCGTCGTGGATTTGGCGGGTACACGCGATAATCAACCAGGTAATCGAGTGCGGCCACGGATCACTGGCCAGATCGGGATTCCGCTCCACAACCGGAAGCTGTAGAGGTTGTTGAATGCGAGACAACATCAACCATGAGTATTGCACAACATTCCTGCCGGCTCAAACGATCCGATTGCGATCCAGGCGAGACGACACACCACTTGGTATAGTGCGAAGAAACCTGCGGCGAAGAGCGATGCGACGATCATATTCAGCACCATTTTCTCGATCCCCGTCAACATGTACAGGCCGAACGTAACCTCGTACTGATAGTATCTCATTTGCAATTCTTTCGATAGCTTAGATGGCATGGATATGCGACGTTTGAACATTCGCGGCGCGGATGAGTCGGACGAGAGAATATTCAGAGATTCCATCTTGGACGAGATATTGCTGAAGTAGTTGGCGTATTCGGGTGGTGTGGAATCAATGAAGAGCGGGAATGGCTCGAGTGTGTTGCTCATAGTTGCTGGCGGCGCAGACATCGTGTCCAGCTTACGGATATACCTAGGCCACTTGATTGAATGAGGCGCAGTTTGGAAATGTTTGCGCGGGCGCGAAAAGTTGTGCTCAAGTGGGAGGACAAAGTATTGCTAGAGATTAGAAGGAATTGAAGCTGTCGTTACGAGTTCCAATGGCGACGGCATCGAAGACGGCGCATTGATGTTGTGGGAAGATCCAGGCGTGCCAGAGTGAGATAGACGACGGTGATGACGGTGCAAGCGGGCCGAGTAGATTATAGTACAATCCCATGGCCGGAAGTTGGCGGCAAACCAAGCCACTCCTCCCAGCTGATTAAGAAATCCTGACAGTCAGTCGCAAAGCAGTCTGCTGTCCCGCCTGATCCGAGTGTTCTTTAATTGGCAGGAGAGCACCCTCGGGGCCCATCTCATTACGCTGCGCAACAAATCTCCGTTAGCTGTGGCTGGGCTTGCCCGACGAGCCTCACTGATCACGATCCAAGTGTCAATCCACTAGCATCACTCACGACCATTTGGCTTGACCTTGGAATTACATAGGCACAACCATATCGAGGACCTGCAATGCTTGATTAGGTAGTTATGAGACTACACAGCTACTTCCTTCCCTTCCGGCTTGGTCGAGCGTTCTTCTCTTGTCTCTTCTGCTTGAGGTTCCTGGCCTTGCGGATGTCATCGACGGAGTGTACCTCACGCTTGTTGCCACGATCCGCGATCTCGCGCTCCTTAGCCACCGAGAACTTCTTCTTCTGCTTCTCATAGTCATCTCGGAATTTGTCCGCTGCCTTGGGTGCTTGTGTCTTGGAATGCTTGAACCTTTTACCACTCGTCAAGCCACCATGTGAGGGAGCTGTTGCCTCGTTCTCGCCCACGCGAGGTGCTCGAGTGATGCGATTTGCCTTCTTCCATGCATCGTAGCGACCACTGCGGAAGCTCGCAGCGATCTTGGCGCCGGATTCTCCGCGTACGAGCTTCTTCCCTTTGGATCCATCATCATCGTTGTCGCGGGCGACGTATTTCTTGTGGCGTTTGTCCCATCGCATGACTCCACGCGCTTCGCCGAACCCCTTCGATCCCTCATCGCCCGCAATATCCATGGTGGCCCCACGAGCTGCTTCAACGAAGTTCGAGTTGGAGCCTGAATGCACACCATATGCGCGCTCCTCATCCATATCTTGCCCCTCAGGAGCATAGCCCATGAAATACTCACTGTTCTTGAAAGAGTCTACACCAGCGTCTTTGCTGGCAGCAGACTTGCCATTGGGTTGGGGACCGCCTGAAAAGGTCACCTCCAACTCTGAATCTGACGCGGTTGACATGTCATCCAGTCCTCCAAGTTCCTCTTCCTCGGATCCATGGGTTCCATTTGCTACGCGATCGTCTTCTGCAACATGCTCAGAAGACTGACTTGCAACAGCTGCCGCCAGCGACTTCTGCCTCTTACGTTCCAAGCCACTGCGAATGCTGCGGATCGCCTCTATCGCATCGTCGTTGTTCCTGCGACCCGCTCTACGGGCGCCGATCTCGAAGATGGACTCCGGAGGGCGGAAGCCGCCTAAGCGAGCGAGCATAGCTTGTCGTGCATCTTCCATTCCATTCTCATCTTGTTCGAACATTGCATGCAGCTCCGTCCAAGCATCCGACCCGACAAGCGTCTTCGCCCGCTTCGCGCTCTCTGATGATGCAGAGTTCCGAGTCCGTTGGTAAAGCTTTTCGCCCTTGGTTGCTACCGACCGAAGACCAGCAAGATCGGCATCTGACGCGAGTGTCCTGATGACCCACTCGGTCTGAGTCTGAAGGCCGTCACGACGCTGTGCGCCGACAACGACGTCCGTGGCCAAACTAAAATTTGTTTTGGTACTTCTACCAACGACAAGTTGCCTCCCCAAGAAAAGCTGCAGATCCAGTAAATACGGTGCATCTGCATCGCGTACAAGACTATAACTCCAACCTTTCTGACCAGCGCGCGCAGTACGCCCAACACGGTGAACGTAGATTTTTGGCTGTGAAGGGAAGTCATAATTGATGACGTTCGCAAGGATAGGAATATCAATTCCTCGAGCTGCGACATCCGTGACGACCAGGATATTTGCTTGTCCATCTCGGAAAGACTGAACCTGCTCTTTCCGGGCTGTTTGGTCAAGTGCGCCGTACACATAAGACACAGCGTAACCTGCTGCCATCAGAAGATGCGCAAGATATTCGACATGGTGTTTAGTAGCGGCAAACACGATGGTAGAGTGTGGATTCGAAACTTCATGTCGTTTACCGTCAATCTCTTGTCGCTTCCTCTTTTTGGAGGACTTCCTGCTGTCCGCGGGTGTGACGGTGGAAGTAAGTTGCGACCCTGTGGGAACCTGGATCACGTCCTGGAGGAGGTGCAACAGCGCACCTTCCTTTTCTGACGACTTGACAGTGAAGAAAGCGCTCTGAAGATCAGGCGATACCTTGCTATCGGCATCCAAGCGGACCAGACTCGGTTCTTGTAGACCAGCTCGGGCGAACTCGACCAGGGATTTAGGCAGTGTCGCAGAGAACAGGAGGGTCTGCCTTGAGGAGGGCAGCGCATGCAAGATCTCGGTAAGCTGTGCGGCGAAACCCATCTCGAACAGTCGATCTGCCTCATCAAAGACCACATACTGAATGCTGTATAGGTCTAGACTCATCTCCACCTTCAAATGTAGGAAGCGTCCTGGTGTAGCGATGATGATGTCCGGATTAGACGCCATTGCAGAGAATTGTTCCTCCAAGCTGTCACCGCCCACCAATAGAATGGAGCGCAAGTCTGTTCCCCTTCCTAGCTCTTTTACTACTTGCAGCGTCTGCAGGGCAAGCTCTCGGGACGGCGACATGATAAGTGCTCTGGAGCCAACCTTTGGGCTATGCGCCTTCAGCTTCTCGATCATGGGTATCACAAAAGCAGCAGTCTTGCCAGAGCCAGTTCGCGCCATACCCACAACATCTTTGTCGCTGAGTAGCAGCGGAATCGTCTTGCGCTGAATAGGTGTCGGTACCGAGAAGCCTTTCCTCGTGATCGATTTGAGTAGGTTCGCATTCAACCCCATAGCCTGGAAGCCTCCACCTTTCTTCACGGTGCGGCCCTTGAGGTTGCCGGCTTTGCGGTTCGACGCAGCCAGCTGCTTCGCGATAAAGACCTCATCATCCTCGCCTGAGTCATCGGCCATGACATTCAAGTCATTGTACGCTAGAGGTGTATTAGTTTCGCCCGCTGAACTGCCCCCTTCGTCGTCAGAGATATCTGCATGCCGGTCGTGATTTGTGAAGAGCGACCGGCCAATGTCGGCTTCGTTCTCCGAGGGCGACGGAGACCTCCTTCGCGGAGCCATCCTAGGTCAAGGTAACAGATCTATGTTAACGCGATTACTGAACTCATAGAGATGCTGTTCTGAACTCATGAAAGTGCTGCCGAGCAGCACTGAAGAAAACCGCCAGCGCTCTCAACTGCCGCGAGCGCCGCTCGATATTTTTCTCCAAAACCCATTCCCGCTAGCCTTATCGATAATGTCCTAGCCTTGCGTTTTATGGGGGGGAAATACGCGCTTCTTCTGGACGCGTTGTGACTCGCCCCGCTTCAAATAAATCGTTCAGACAGGCCACCACCGGAACAACCAACATTGCCACTCAATCTGCGACCAGAAGATGGGTACGTAGCTATCAACGCAACGACATCAAAGATCACTAACAATGTCAGATTACGGCCAGCAATATACAACATCCTACGGCGCCAATGGCGCAGCGGACGGCGGTGGTTTCATAGGCGGCGAGCCAAACAGCAGTCAAGCCGGTGCTGGCGGGGTAAGTCTTCTTCTGACAACAGGCCTTGTGCATGTTCTGACAACGAAAAGCAACGAGGATATGGCAAAGACACAGTTCGACCAGTGACGATAAAACAAGTCATCGATGCGCAACAGCCACATCCAGACGCAGATTTCAAAGTTGACGGCGATGCAATAAGTCAGGTTAGCTATAGCAGATCCAACTGCAGGACGAAGCTGACACATACAGATCACATTCGTTGGTCAAATACGCAGCATCAGCACACAGACTACAAACATTACCTACAAAGTAGACGACGGTACCGGCATCATCGAAGTCAAGCAATGGATCGATACAGACGCGCAGAACGATCCAATGGACATGGACTCCAAATCAAAACTGGCAGAAGAAGTCTACTGCAGAGTCTGGGGGCGGGTCAAAGCCTTCAACAACAAGCGACATGTTGGTGCGCATGTTATCAGGCCCATCGCAGACTACAATGAGATAAACTATCACCTACTTGAGGCAACCGCTGTGCATCTACACTTCAGCCGTGGCCCCCCAGCAGCCCAGGGCGGAGCAGCGCAGAAGGGCGCCAATGGCGTCGATGGTGGACAGCAAGGTTACGATGCAGGAGGTGCCAATGGAATGCCTCATATGTCGCAGTATGCTAGAAAGGTGTACCAGGCCTTGAAGCAGACAGATTCGAACGAAGGCTTGCATGTGCAAATGCTGGCGAGTACCATCGGTATGCCAACCAACGATGTGTACAAGGGAGCAGAAGAACTTCTTGGCAGCGGCATTATTTTCACAACTGTGGACGACAATACGTGGGCGTTGCTTGATGGATGAGTATCGCATTCAGACGGAGACAGAGACATCACCCTTGTACCTGGCCCAGTTTGACATCGCGGTGATCGGCCTGTATGATGAGAAATGACTGGTACGGGAGGCCTACATGGCGATCTTTCTAGAGAGTCAACAATGCAATCATGTTACCACCACGCTCGAAGTCAGTAAGGTCTGAGGGTTGATTGTGGCTACGCGTCACCCCCAACTCTCAAAGAACAGGCAAAGCCTTCCCCACGTCCCTTCGTGCAGTGGAAGACCCCCAGCTCGACCCCCACCCCCACCCGGCTAAATCCGTTCGAAGATTCGTTGTACCATCTTCCGTCAGCCATATTGGACCTCCAGTGCTAGAGTATGTCATTACGACGCCGAGGACGTTTGGTCCATCCTAACTCAAAGATAAGTGCACGTGCTCGCCACTTTAAACTCTCCTTTTCAATCTACTGCTAGAGAGCCCCCTGAAACTTCCAACACTTGCAATCATGTCAACGGGACCCCCAACCAACTTCACCTCCCTCTCCACACACGCACTCACCACACGCTCCGACTTTGCCCACGCTTGCTCATCCCTCCTCCAACCCCTCCTCCCCTTCTTCTCCCCAGGTCGCACCCGCGTCAAGCTCGGCGCAACCGCCACCCGCTACGACGAAACCGGAGCACAGCTCGAGGGCTTCACCCGACCGCTCTGGGGCCTTGCGTCTCTCCTCGCTGGCGGCTTCCCATTCACCGATGCCTCCTTCTGGCTCGAAGGGCTTCGCAATGGCACGAACCCCGCACACCCGGAGTTCTGGGGATGGCCACGCGATCTGGATCAGCGCATGGTAGAGATGTGCCCACTTGGGTTTGCGCTCATCGTTGCGCCGGCGCAGCTCTGGGAGCCTCTGACGCAATCAGAGAAGCAGAATGTGCAGCAGTGGCTGGGGGCGATCAATGCGAGGGAGATGCCGAACACGAACTGGTTAGTCGAGAGCTGACAGCCGATGCTGTGTGCTTCTACCGCAGCCCAAGAAGTAGGTCCAGAAAGGGGCACTTGCTGATGTTTTTAGGTTATGGTTCCGGGTGTTTGCGAACCTTGCCATGAAGAAAAACGGAGCGCTATACGACGCGCAAAAGTTGAAGGCGGACATGGATCATCTAGACGGGTTCTATCGAGGCGAGGGTTGGAGCAATGACGGTCCGGAAGGGTATACACAGATGGACTACTATAGTGGCAGCTTCGCCATCCAGCTTTTGCAGCTGCTGTATGTCAAGATTAACGGCGGCGAAGACCAAGAACGAGCCGAGAGGTATCGAGACTGGGCCAGGCAGTATGCACTAGCTTTCGTCCACTACTTCGATGAAGAGGGTAAGCGACACCTTCCTAATGATGTCTATTTACTACTACGATTACTAACGCGATAGGCCGTGCGATTACCTTTGGTCGTTCACTCACATATCGCTTTGCGATGGCAGGCTTTTGGAGCGCAGTCGCCTTCGCAGACCTCGAACTTCCTGACCCACTCAACTGGGGCGTCGTGAAAGGCATCCTCCTTCGCAATCTTCGCTGGTGGACTCGGCAGCTAAACATCCTTTCCCCGCAAGGGACTCTCACCATCGGATATTGCTACCCCAATCAATTCACTTCCGAAAACTACAACTCACCGGGTTCGCCATATTGGTTCATGCTTAGCTTTGCAGCCCTGGCGTGTCCAGAGAGTCATCCGTTTTGGCAGGCTGAGGAGCAGCCCTACCCAACGGCGAGACTTCCAGCGACGGTGGCGCTGAGGCAGCCCAAGCATATCATGGTGCGAGGGGGTGGCCACACGTTCTTGCTAAGTTCCGGGCAGCAATGCCACTACCCAATGCGCGCGGCAGAGAGCAAGTATGGCAAATTTGCTTATAGTTCCGTCTTCGGCTACTCAGTACCTACAGGAGGGTACTTTGTACAAGCCGCGGGAGGCGACAGCATGCTTACACTCTCTGAGGATGAGGGCGAGAGCTGGAAGGTCCGGCGGGTCGCTATTGATGCTGCAATTGAAGAGAACGAGGGTACGCCTGTGCTGAGATCGGGATGGAAGCCTTGGAGTGATGTGAGTGTAGAGACATGGCTGGTGCCGCCAGAGGAGGCAACGCCCAACTGGTACTTGAGGATTCACCACATTAACACAGGAAGAAACTTGAGGACGAGTGAAGGGGCATGGGCATTGTGCGGTGAGCGTGAGAGCGACGGGAGGGAGCTGGAGGCCTTAGGGGTAGACGGTAGAGAAGGCCGCCAGCAGGGGCAGAATGAAGCAGTGGTGGTCTCCCAGGCTGGCGTCGTCGGTATTGTGGAGCTGAAGGCAAAGCGTGAAGGCGTAGTGCTTGAGGAAGACGCAAATTCCAACCTCGTCTCGAGCAGGTCGATCCTACCTACACTAGCGACGACGTTGGAGGCAGGCGAGGATATGTGGCTTGTGGCTGCCATCTTTGCCGTTCCCGCGGATGCACATGACTGGCGAGAGACATGGCAGACAATGTGGAGGACAAGACCGGCAATGCCTAGTTGGCTAGAGCGGTTAACTACTCAATAGTTGGACGCATGAATGAAACCGGAAAGCGAGCCATCGGCACACATGCTTGCTCGGATGTGCGGCATACAGGCTGACTGTCTCCCTATACACCCGCACTGTCGCTTCACAGAAGCGACATCCGCTATACCTTGGTCGTCCTCTGGGGGAAGTCGGTCTCATTCAGGCTGAAAATGAAGGCAACGGCACGCCCGTTTCCCATTTAGTACTGGAGAGGTGCGCCCCCACCGGAATGAGACCCATTTGTTACCCCAGTCTTTCAGTTTGCTCGCCTATGAAATTGGCCTCGACAAGCATCTTTCTCCGCAATGCTTGGGGAGCTTGTCGATCGTACCATTTCCAAGCTTCGTGGTTGCATCCATCCTCCACGCGTGGCGCCCAAACCCGGTCTGCATGGAACCCTTCCTTCCCCGACTGCAATGCCAGTGGGGGAGGAAATGCGGGACAGAGTCCACGGACGCACGTGTGATACGACACCAGGTGGGCGATGGTATGAGTCTGTTAAATAAGCGATGGTGTCTTTCCTCACCTTTCTCTGAACTTGCCAGCTATCTCATGCAAGAAAGCTGAAGCACTAGATATGGCTTCTTTCATTCGCAAAGTCGTTCGCAATGATGCGATCAAGCTTGATCCTCCGGCCGTCTATAATTGGAGAGTTTTTGCCATCGCCTGTGCTGTGAGTCTCTGCTGGTGACTCGGCGGCGATCTATTGCTGATAGATTTAGGCATGCTTTGGTGGGACATTGTTTGGCATGGAGTAAGGCTGTCCTCATTAGTGTGTCGACCCTCACTGACGATACACAGCATTGGTATTATCGGAGGCGTCACGACCATGCCAGACTGTAGGAGTCCACTCCCGTTCTGGTTCAATTTACCTAACGCATGCAGTCCAGCAGTATTTCCAGGCGCTGTTAGCATTGCTTCCGCTGTAACTAACGCAACTGTAGCGAATTCGGCTATGATGGCAAAAGCAAGATTGCCAAATCCAACCTTTCCGCCAACCTTGTGAGCGTAATGCAAGCTGGGGCCGTGGTTGGTGCCTTGGTCGCATTTCCATGTGCGGACAAATGGGGGCGGCGCCCGAGCCTTATGGGTGTTGCTTGCTTTGCATTCGTCGGTGGTTTGCTACAGGCCTTCAGCTATGGCCATCTGTCCTGCTTTTACATTGGTCGATTTGTGGAAGGCCTTGGCCTGGGAGGTGACTGACCGTTGCAAAAGATCCGAGCTTCTGCTGATATCAATTAGGTGCAACGATGCTCGCGCCTACCTACGTCGCAGAGAACGCCCCGAGAGGAATACGCGGTCTGCTAGTTGGGTTCTATCAGTTGTTCGAGACCATGGGAGCCATGATTGCTTTCTTCATCAACTATGGCAGTCTTTTGCATATCAAAGGACATGGACAGTGGATCGTTCCACTGTCGATGCAGTCCTTACCTCCTGTTCTGCTGTTTGGGGCGATTCTGTTATGCCCGGAATCACCCCGCTGGCTGGCGAGACAGGACAACTGGGACAGAGCTTCGAGCGTTTTGTCTCAAGTCCGGCATCTGCCTACGACTCACCCTTATGTCCAGGCGGAATTACTCGAAATGCAGACACAACTGGAGGAGGAGCGTTCCCACTATTCCGATAACAGCTTCTGGTCGATCATGAAGGAGTGCTGGCTGATTCCAGGAAACCGAAAGCGAGCTATAATGAGCATTGTGTTGATGACTGCTCAGCAGTGGACTGGGGTAGGTGCAGCCACGATCAATGCTTGGATGAACAGCTGACATTCCAAGACAAACGCTATCAACTACTACGCCCCGGTCATGTAAGTTGCCCACAAGATCCTCTGTTTGTCCCTCTACAGATCTAATTAGGACCTAGTTTCAGTAATCTTGGTGTCACCGGCAATTCGCAGTCGCTCTTTGCCACCGGAGTCTATGGCATCGTCAAGATGTGCTCGTGCGCCATCTTCATCTTCTTTCTGGCCGACACGTTGGGGCGAAGATGGAGTTTCGTCTGGACGGGGTATTTCATGTTCTTCTGCATGTTCTACCTAGGATTTTATGGTCGATTTGATCCACCTATCAAAGGCGCACCGATCCCCGCTGCTGGTTACGTGGCTCTGGTGATGGTCTATCTCTTTGCTGCGGCCTTCCAATTCGGGTGGGGGCCTGTATGCTGGATTTATGTGTCCGAGATTCCGTCGAACCGTCTACGGGGGCTCAATGTTAGTCTGGCGGCTGCGACACAGTGGCTGTTCAATCTGGCGGTGGCGAGGGCGACTCCGGTGATGTTGGAGACCGTTGGAAGCAACGGTTACGGCACGTACTTCATCTATGGGTCATTCTGCTTTCTCATGGCAACGGGAGCATTCTTCCTTGTTCCGGAAACGAAAGGGGTGTCTCTGGAACGCATGGATGAGATCTTTGGCACAACGAACTTCTCTGGTATGGAGGACGTTGGCGTTGCCGCTAAGCGAGGAGACCTGGAGAAGGCTGACGGTCTCCATGTGGAGCATCCCAGTTGAGGGGCCGTGATGAGGAGCCAATAAGGATTTCATCTTCGACAGTCTTGTCAGGGTGATCGCCAGAGTCAATGGCTGGCCAGTGCTTATCTGAGAAATGGCGTCGATACCACTAGAATCACAAACCAACTCAGGCGTCTATATCTCCATCATTCGTTTCTTGGGATTCCGCGGCTGCTCCTCTTGGCGTTTTCGTTCCTCCGGACCGATAGCGTCAACATTCGTGCCTTCGGTTTCCTGCTGCTGCCCTTTTTGGGGCGGCACGTCATTAGAAGAACGTTCAGAGTCTGGCTTCTTGTCATGTCCTTCCATCGCCACCTTCAAGATCTCTTCCTCCAAGGTAGGAAGATACTCCCAATCGATGCCCGCTTCTGTCAGTAGGCGACAGGACTGACTATCCTGAACGAACGTCCCGGGCTCCTTGGCTCCAAAGATGACCTTTCGTACACCTGCGTTCGGGGATTGCTGTCTGGTAGCAATGATACGTTGAACACAAGGTAAGTTGCCAGACAGACGTTTCCCACACGGCTCAAGCGTGGTGTACAGTGTGACGTTGAGTGATGGTGTCAAAATTTTCGGCAGGTCTGATTCTTCCGAAGAGTGGAAAGCAGCGAGCTTCAGCAATGCGCACTGTTCCGCGTGTGTGTTTCCGGGAAGTTCGAGAGTATATCCCGATGCCAGAATCCTTGGGGCAGTTAGCTGCTCGTAGGAAACGATGACGCAGCCGACGCGGAAGTTTGTGGGCTTTGGAGGCGATTTACGGGCCTCGAGTAGAGCCTGCTGGAGGTATTCGATATGTTGACTTTGATCTGACATGGTGAGGTTATAGTGCATATGATGGGCTGTTAGTCTTGAGAAGAAACGAACCGGTGTGAAGTGGTGGAGATGACGTCAACCGATATAAACGCGACTCCCGAGACGCGTTCTGACCTTCACAAGCCTCATTTGATGCTCATCTGCGATCCCCGGTTAAGCCTACAATTACATATTTTACATTGCTTTACGACTTACCCTCCGCTCCCTACGATCATTCAATCCCATTTCGTCCACAAACTCAATATGTCTCGCAAGACCAAGGCTCCCAAGGAGGAGACTCTTGAAGATCCTCCCACTGCCATCGATCCCTACAAGGTCCTCTCCCTTGAGAAGACTGCTACGCCTGATCAGATCAAGACAGCGTATCGAAAAGCTGCGCTCAAGCATCATCCGGACAAAGCCGTGGAAGACGAAAAAGAGGATGCGCATCAGAGATTTCAAGAGATCGCATTTGCGTACGCCATCCTGTCCGATGAAAGACGAAGGAAGCGCTACGATACAACTGGTAATACATCCGAGTCCCTTGATCTCGAGGATGACGATTTCAGCTGGACGGATTTCTTCCGAGAGCAGACCGCCAGCATGGTGGACGGCACTACGATTGAGAAGATCAAGGGCGAGTATCAAGGGTCTGAAGAAGAGGAGCAAGATGTTCTCCGTGCATATGAAGAGTTCGAGGGGGATATGGATGCGATCTACGAGCAGGTCATGTGTAGCAATGTGCTCGAAGATGACGAGCGATTCCGCCAGATGATCAATCGGGCTATCAAAGAGAGTCGCGTTCAAACGCACCAGGCATACACCATGGAAAGCAAAGCCAGCAAGAAGAAGCGGACAGCGAAGGCCAAGGCTGAAGAGGGCGAAGCCATGGAAATGGCAGAGGAGCTAGGTGTGAAGGACAAGCTCTTTGGAAAGGGCAAGGTAGACAAGAAAAAGGACGACGATGATGGTGCATTGAAAGCGATCATCCAACAACGGCAACAGAGTAGGGGCGACTCGTTCCTAGCCAATCTTGAAGCCAAGTACGGCGGAGGAGGAAAGCGCAAGAAGAACGATGAACCACCGGAAGAGGCTTTTGCACACAATGCGAAGAAAACCAAAGGCAAAAGATGATTGAGACTGGCTGCGATGCAACCAACGACACGTAACATGTTTTCATCACAGCCTGCGGCTGAATCCGCGGCACGGTCCTGCCCACTTTCTGAAGCCCCAACACGTGGGAACCTTTCGGAAAATCGGAGCGGATATACGGAGTAAGGCCGATTTTGAAGCAGCAAAGCTTACGGTTATTGGACAATTGTGGCAAATCCTACATCGAAGTGCCTCGTGAGGAGTTCGGCAGGAGGACAAGCAACCCCTCCCTTCGAAAATTCGAATAAAGGGGTGGACTGCTTCGACGAGGTTTTGGAATGGAATGAAATGAAATGAACACGTGCTCTGATGAGGCGAAGGGATAAACCATGGCTATCAACACGATCGAATGCGACGTGACCCATGTTTATGCGGATTCTCTGTTTCTTATATCATGCAAAATGTTTGCTTCTAGAAAATGAGGCAGCTGGGGCTGGTGATGACGGTGGACGAGTAGGGTGGAGATCAGCCGCGCCGGGGAAGTCGATTCTGAAACGTTGACAGGGGAAACAGCCGAGAAAAGGAAAAGAACGCTGGTTGTGGCCCAGTTGGTCCAGTGGTCGACAAAGAGAGGTCTGACTGCATTCGTGCGCGATGCGGCTGCGGCTCAGATGACTCCCAGGCCTGTTGTTGGCTGCCGTTAGGATTTATGTGAGTCACTCTCGCGCTATGCAGCAGAAGCGAGTTGCTGTAAGATGACTATTCAAATAAACACAGAATGTTTGCGGATCAATGGCGTGAGACTTGAACAAAGTCTGGGTGGCTGTCAAGATGCCCAGAACAGGGCGTGTCAGCCTAGAAAGGCGCCTATAACCAGAAATTCTTAGGGAGTCACAGGCTTGTAGGTACTCCGGCCTACACTCTACCTCCGGGTAGTAAGGCTTGGCACCGTGTGAAGACTTACCTGTTAGCGCGAGGGCGGATTAGGTCGCTCTTGCCTGCTCCCTTTTCAAAATTTCTTCCATCACCACTTCCATCGCACCTTTTCAACCCATTCACATCACCACACTGACAAGTCCCTCACCATCGCGTGAGGTTCTCTTGTACCATCAACGTCTTTGTTGTGGTACCTCGTCTTTCAGTCTTTCAGAGGGCAATTCCCTGCTGCAGTTAGGCTCCTCAACCTACTGCAAGCACATCTCCACTCTCTCGCACCTTCGCACAACTTTTCACTCAGCAGAAGAGCGGCTTCCGTTGACTCGAGACAGTCGCCGCTTCGTGCTCCTAGAGTGAATCTTGCGCCTTTCACGAGAAGTCTTGACTTCTGCCGCTTCGCCAGGCATTCTTCGAGTCCGAGTGTATCACCCGGTCTCCTCAAGTTTGAACCGACACGGCAAACGCTTGACAAGGTTCTGACACTCTGCATCGTCGTCACCAAGTCTCCAGTTTGTGGAAAAAGTCGAGATAATAACAAGTCTTGCAACACCTCGTCGACTGCGCGATCGACCAATCGAACCTCTTAGACCCGGGACAAGTTGGCTTTCTTTTGGCCACATCCTGTCCTACCACCCAACACGACTTCTTCAAACATCAATGCATTCGAGCCTTCCAACATGGCTACACCAGTTGGAGGCGCTCAATCTGCGCATAATTCTAGCGACTCCGTGAACGGACGCAACCCGACTATACCTGCCATTCCCGCAGTCAATGGCGGCGCAGCATTCAACCCAGACCATTCGCGCAAGCCGTCCATGACCGTCACTCCCGCGGGCGCAAATTTCAACCCCAATGGCAGTGCAGCTGCTGCTCAGAACAAACCCAACGTGCAGTTCGGTAACATCTCCGCCCAGGGTGGTTCGCCTGCGATGGGAAATCCTGCGGTAGCACACCAGAGCAATGCTAGCCTTGGCGTTAATCAACTCAATCCTAACCAGAGAGCAGCCTCGCCTCAGGGCTCACCCTCTCCTATCCCTCAACCCAAAGAGATGAGTGGTGGACGTCCTCCTTCCACCTATGGCAGTCAAGGCAATGGCATGGTCTTCGGTGCGCAAGGCGACCAAGGTGATGCTGCAGTATGCGAGCTCTCTTCGCTTCTTGCTATAGATGCTAATTCATTGCAGGGCCAGCCACGACCTGTATCCAGCCTCCAATTTGGAAACCACGATCGCCGCGGTTCGTCACACTCGATGCACAGCGACATCGGCGGTCCTCCCACAGGACCCGGCAATAGGAACTTCGCCACGCCTGGCGGTCGAGGCAGAGGCGGTTATCCTGGCGGTGGTTACGGACAACAAATGCAACACTCTCCTTACAACTCTTACCGCGGTCAGCCCAATGGTCGTGGTATGCCATCAGGCTATCCTGGCCGTGGCCAAGCCGTTCCTGGCTATGTTGGAGGATCCCCAGGCATAGGCACCCGCAGCCCTGCGATGATGAACGCTCAGCCGAATACACCTCAGCAGATGCACATGAACATGGCTCCCAACGGAATGCAAGGACCACCGGGCCCCTACTATTTCCAAGGACCCCAACAAGTAAAGCCCCCTTTCCTTCCCCCTCCCACTTCTGAGCCGACTCGAGGCAAGAAGAGTAAGAATCGTGGTTCTATCCGTGGTACGGGTGGTCGTGGTCGAGCTGGTAAAGGTTCGCACGAGGACCAACCTCGTTCGAGCCGTGATCCCGCTTCCAACTACTATCGCCCGGATCTCCCTTCTGGTGTTCCGCTTTACTCCTTCCCTGACCTCTCACCCGAGAGTGGCAATTTTGAGAATCTTCTAACCAAGCACTCACAGGGCATTCCCACTCACCCTGATCCTAGCATTCAATCGATGTACTCCATGAACATGGCGTACACACCCATGCAGGGTCAATTCAACTACATGCCGCCCCAGTCTCCTCGACCTTATCAACAGGGCTATCCTATGCAGCCTACCTACAGCAACCAGGGTCAGCCCCCAAACATGTCACGTACCTCGTCACAGATGTCGAACGCCCCTGATCGGCCAGGTTCGAGTATCGGCCAACAACCTCATACGCCATCCGTGTCCACTCCTTCGGTGCCATCGCATGCCAACGCTCGCACCCCCAGCATGTCTCAAGGACAGAAGCCTGGTGCAAATTTCACAATTCCCGACAAGACAAAACGAAGTGCAATTGTCATCAAGAACCCCAACACCGGCGAGGCTGTGAGCTTCAAAGATAAGGCGCCTGCCTCTCCTGCACCCACTCCTAGTTCATCTGCTGCCCCGGCGGCACCGGCCGTTACTCCCTCCGTTCCGACCCCTCCCAGTCGCACTCCCAGCGCCGTTGAGCCCACTCACATTCGCACAGAGAGTGTTAGCGCCAAGACAGAGGAAGAGAAGAAGAGAGCAATGCAAGAGGCTGTCAAGGAGAGAATTGCTGAACAGGCCAAGCAGGATGCCAAGCAGGGCGAAACAGTGCAAGAGAAGTCCGAGATCGACAAAGAAGCCAGTGATGCGGCGAAGGTCGAGGCGGAGGCCGCTAAAGCTAAGGCCGAAGCTCTTGAACAGGAGGCCGTCGCTGCTGCTGCCGCGGACAAGAAGGCCGACGCTCCTGAACCCGAGGTCACTCAGCAGCCTGTCACAAGCGAGGCTCCCACTAAATCGACACCCGCTGCTGCTGGTGACGACGACGAGATCGACTTTGACGCGATCGAGGCTGAGATGGCTGCCCAGGAAGCTGAAGAAGCAAGACGCGAAGAAGAATACCAGAAGAAGAAGGCGGCCGACAAGGCCAGACAGGCCGAGCGCGAGAAGGAAGAAGCCGAAGCTTACGAGGCCAACATCAAGAAAATGGAACGTGAAGCTGAAGAGGCCGAGCTCGCTCGTGAAAAGGAACGCGAAGCTGGCAATACTGGTGACGACGAGGCTAAGCGGATGTTCGCCGAACTCAAGGGCATCAAGACGCCTGCCTCCAGCGAGACTCCTGCTGCTGCCAGCCCATCAGGGCCCAGCGGTACCGCCACCCCTGTCTCGGATGCCTCCATGCCTCCACCTGCTCGCGGTCTCGGTCCGAAGCGTGGCAAGGCTGCCGAACTTACTCTTGATACAAAGAAACCGGTCGAACCACCTGAGCCAAGTGCCACACTCAAAGCATTGCAGTCGGCGAAGAAGCTCGAGGACCTTTCAAAGGTCAACTACCCCACCGATATCGCCTCGCCCAACGCGGCCCTTAACCAGAACGCACCCGCAGACCGCGGCTTCAAGTACGATAAGACCTTCCTGCTACAGTTCCAGAGCATCTTTAAGGAGAAGCCCTCGCTCGATTGGGACACTAGAATCAGAGATGCCTTGGGCGAGGGCGATTCGGCTCGACCTTCGGCATCTGCCAGAACTCCATCAGGACTTGGTGGTCGCCAACCTTCAAATCGTCCTTCTGCTGGACCAGGAGGCTTCGGTGGCCCCATGGGCTCGTTTGGTGGCGGCGGAGCGCGACCTCTGCCCCCAAATACAACTTCCGAGCAACGCTTTGCAATGTCGACTGCGGCGATGCGCGGCGGTCCAATTGCCAATCCTTTCGGTCGGCCCGGTGGCATGGCCATGGGTCGTCAGCCTTCCAATAATGTCCCTGGTTCCCCACGTGTCGGTGGTAGTAGCCGAGGCGGCTCGCGTGCTGAGAGCAAGCGCAACAAGCACGGTGGCAAACACGGCGCTGAGGACAACAAATCGATGCCTCTAACTGCTGGCATGAATGTGACTGCTCTAGAGACCTCATCCAGCGGCTGGAAACCCCGCAGCGTTGGACAACAAGTTTCTCTTGGACCCGTTGTTGGCGGTGAAGGTCACCTCGACCCTGAGACTGTCCAGCGCAAGGTCAAGGCTGCTCTCAACAAGATGACTCCCGAGAAGTTCGAGCGCATTGCCGATCAGATCCTGACCATTGCTGCCCAATCGAAGGATGAATCAGATGGTCGCACACTACGTCAAGTTATTCAGCTAACGTTCGAGAAGGCGACTGATGAGGCTCACTGGGCGTCCATGTACGCTATGTTCTGCCGCAAAATGCTTGAGAGCATGAGTGTCGACATAAAAGATGAGAATGTCAAGGACAAGAACGGTAACGTCGTTACTGGCGGCAATCTCTTCCGCAAATACCTTCTCAATCGCTGCCAAGAAGAGTTCGAGCGTGGTTGGAAGGTCAATCTTCCAGCTCGCAAGGAGGGCGAGTCCGAAGAGGCTGTCATGATGTCAGACGAATACTACGAGGCCATGGCTGCGAAACGTCGTGGTCTTGGTCTGGTCAAGTTCATCGGTGAACTTTTCAAGCTTCAAATGTTAACAGAGCGCATCATGCACGAGTGTGTAAAGAAGCTTGTCGATTACGAAGGTCTTCCTGATGAAGCCGAGATCGAGAGCTTGACCAGCTTGCTAAAGACCATCGGCAAGCAGCTTGATGATCCTAGTAGCAAGGGTGCGGCGCGCATGGACATCTACTTCGAGCGCATCAAGACCACCATGGAGATGCCCGAACTTCCAAGCCGTCTTAAGTTCATGCTCCTGGATATTATCGATCTCCGCAAGAACGGCTGGATTTCCAAGGATGACAACAAAGGCCCGAAGACCATTGCCGAGATTCGCGCTGAAGCCGAGCGACAAGCGCAGGCGAATGAGGCTGCTCGCCTTGCTCAACAGGCCAACCGAGGCAGAGGTGGCGGTCCTCTACACATGGGTCGTGGCGATGCCCGTAGCTTCAGTGGCTATGGTGGTGTTCCTCCTCCCGATAACTCCAACCGGGTTGCTACAGATGATCTCCGACGACTTGGTGCCCGCAGCACACGCAATGCTAGCAACACCGGCGGCGGCATGGGTCCGACGCTGGGACCCCGTACCAACAGCGGCCGGCGCGGTCTTGGACCTGGCAGCCTGTTGTCTCGTGGTGCTGATGACAGTGGAGCTAGCAGTCGGACCGGCACTCCACCCGCAAACAAGGATAAAGACAAGAAGGATGAGTCTAGCACGAATGCATTCAGGTAAGTACTCCGAATGTCTGTGCAACATGATCAACTAACTCCTCTAGTGCACTGGCCGCCCTTGAGAACGAAGCACCTAACTCGCCACCATCAAACCCAGCCTCACCACCTACCCAGAAGGCACAGCCATCCATCGACCGGACGGGATCCAGATCGCCGGAAAAGACAGCCGAATGATCTGGCTGCAAGCTTCAGTCTTGCATGTACCAACATAATGCCCCTTCGACATACACTAATAGCCACGGCCGCTTCCTTTGGTAGGGAGGTTTTGGAGAGCGAGAGAGAGACCGAACGACAGATGTGCATTGATACCCGGCGGGACAAAAGCCACCTAACTGCAAAGTGTTTTCTGCATTTTCTTGATCTCAATCGACGCAGGGAGATCTCGACACCCTTTCTTTTCGATTCGTAATGATAGACTGTCTTCATACACCGGGATTTGCGCGGTGCTAGCCAGACAAGGAGATTGCGTTTGATATCTGGGTGTGGAAAGGCTTCTTTCGCGGCGATTGTACCACAGGAGGATCTACTTCGATTCGCTCGGTCGGGAAAAGTTGATATATGCATGGACCTGCTTCGCGTGTGGAGGATAATGGGAAGGGGAACGCTCGTGGATATCTGCTGGATATCATCCGCCGTTGTACTCGGGCTCGGAGAGCCGAGCCAGCGCTTGAGAATCGGGAGTGGAACAAGCACGCGAAGCAAATCAGGCATGTGTGTAGGCGAGGCTGCACCAGGGCAGCGACAAGAAGGGCGCGGCAATGGTCGAGGTAAGATGGTTATCCACCTACGACCAAATGGACCTGAGGAATCCTTTTGCGAGTCGGGGGTCAAACCACCTGCCATCATCGATTCAGTACTGCTGATACAGAAACCATCCAGTGCGCCTGGCCGCGAACGTTGCCTACAAAGCGAGTAGCTTCCTACATTTGTGAATGCAGATTTCCTTGAAAATACGATTGTCCTTGACAAATGTCGCTTTGGAAGTGTTTCGTGAACGTTAATGCCATGCCTCGCTAATAGACTAATCTTTGCCTTCCTAAGCATTATAGATATACACTAATGCTTCCTGCATGGTCGTGCAACCGGTCCTTTGGAAATGACTCCGATCATTCTGCAAACGAAACCGAAGTCACCCGTCCATGCGTGACAGGTCGCAAGAGGCCGGCGTGGAGGAAGCCCATGTACCTCATCAAGCGAATGCCCTGTGCGAAACAATTGCCCGCAAGGCCCGAGCTGACGAATTCATCATGCTGACTGCTCCTGATATGCACGCCGCCTCCTCATTACCCTTTCGCCATCCTGCTTTGCCTCGTCTGCGGCACGAGCGCGCTTCTGCTCCTCCTCATTGTACTTCCTTCCAAGAAAATCCTCTTGTCTGTTCTCCCACGCGGCTTGTTCCTGCTTCCTCATCATCGCTTTCCGAGCACGGTCGCCCTGCTCGACCTTATCGCTCTCCGCCGCTGTCCTCAACTTCCGCTGTCGGGATTCAGAGAGTTTCCAGGGTCGAGAGAGGGTGTTGGCCAGGAATTTCGTGCGCGCGTCGATGTGGTGGATCTCCTGGGTGGTAGTGGTGATGGGTGTGATGCGGAGCAGTGACAGCTGCCGCGTGTCTCGGAAGGTGCTGAGTGTGCCCTTTGCTAGAATCGAGTCCCCAATGTTCAGCGAGGAGAGAATATTTAGGAGGGCAGATTTGTCCTTGGTCTCGCCGTCTTCTTCTTCGTCATCTCCTTCACTGTTGTCCTCATTATCGTCCCTTTGAATGCTACTCTTTGTGACTGCGGTCTTCGGCGCATGCTGCAGTGCTTTCTTCCGCTTTTTCAGCCTCGGCTTTCTCAGGACCACGTCTAGCGTTGCGCCCGAGGAGTCGTCAAGCGTGAACAGGAAGACATTCTCGTAGTGGTCTTCGATTGCCACTACCATACCGATTAATTGGACATACTGGATCGGGTGGTTGAGGTAGAATAGAACCAAGCTCGGGTTGAGGCCGCTGCTGGTGTAAGAGTGTTCGGTCCCTCGGTGGTAGTGGGGTCTCAGAGCATCGTGCACGTCCCGGCACGTGAGCTTCACCCATGTGGACCAGGTCGGCGAGACAGTGTAGCAGAAGGCGGGGTAGAAGGTCAGGTCGAGCTTGGGTTTCACTGGGGCGTCAGGTCGTGACATTCATGTTTTCGTGTCGATCAGGCGGAGCGAGACTCGAGGATCACAGTGTTGCAAAACGCGTCTGTGATGCGCGCCGTGTCGGCGGCATGGGGTGGGGCCCTGATATCGGAGAAGGACATCCGACTTCGGTGAGCATTGGAGTACACCACCTCTGACTGGTCAAAGGAGTTGAGCGACTTCTCAGCCAGGCGGTGCTCATTTCCTTCCAATGACATGCCCAGGACTAAGGTAAGTGTTGTCCACGCCATAGCTGTTCTCAGCTACTAGCGAAGTCATTATCAGGCAGGTGGTGCTACATCCGGAATGTTGCTACTACCAACTCACCGCTTGCCACCCGCTATCGCAGTAGGCTTTACAGGGATGCTGTTGAATCGGCTATTGCGGCTCTGAACCCTCCACCGGTATAAGGATACGCTGATCGCTTCCATACGTGCGAAAAGACCTCCTCTTCAATCAAATTTCACTTCCCCCGTTGCGGTCTTGACCCTATACCGATGACAGATGACCTGGTCCAGCGCAAGGACCATGATCACAAACATGGAACGGCGGTAGCGTCTTCAGCAGCGCCGTCTTCGCCCTTACGAACGGGTGCCAAGCCACAGGAGGACGACAGGATCTCGAGATCCTCTGCAGAAAGTGACAATGGCTCCTACGAGGATCCTGCCTTCCGACCCGCGCAGCTGGAGCGAGCTGTCACAACCGCCTCCAGCATCCCGCCACCATATTCCATCTTCAGTCGCCAGCAAAAGCTGTTCATCGTAGTCATGGCCTCTTGGGCTGGCTTCTTCTCCCCTATCTCAGGGCAGATCTATCTGCCAGCTCTCAACACTCTCGCTCGGGATCTCCACGTCTCCAATGCCTTGATCAACTTGACCTTGACGTCCTACATGATCTTTCAAGGGTTAGCACCAGCGTTCATTGGGGATCTTGCCGACAGTATGGGTCGCAGGCCAGCATACGCCGTCTGTTTTGTCGTCTATATCGCCGCAAATATAGGCCTTGCCTTACAAAACAGTTATGCGGCCCTTTTTGTCCTCCGGTGTCTCCAATCTACCGGCTCCAGTGGCACCATCGCCATGGCCTCCGGTGTAGTTGCCGACATAGCCACAGCATCAGAACGTGGGGCCTACATGGGTTATACCCTCGCAGGCAGTCTACTGGGACCTGCCATAGGCCCTGTGCTCGGAGGCGTCCTCAGTCAATATCTTGGCTGGCGTGCCATCTTCTGGTTTCTGACGATCATGGGTGCTGCCTTCTTCATCACGTTTGCAATCTTCTTCCCCGAAACCGCCCGCACCCAAGTGGGTGATGGATCTATACCACCGTCCAGCTACAATATGTCTCTCATGAACTATTTGGCCGTGCGGAAAGCCCGGCGCTCCCAATCAGAGGGCGACATTCCACCACCAGACACTTCTCGATTTCCTGCTCGGCCAAAAGCTCACTTCCCGAATCCTCTGTCCTCATTGCGCCTAGTCTTCGACAAGCTGAACGCCTGCCTCCTCTTCTACAACGCTTTCCTCTTCTCCGCATTCTACCAAGTCTCCTCGTCCATTCCTTCCCAGTTCGCCGCCATCTATCACTTTGACGATTTTCATCTTGGTCTCTGCTTCATCCCCTATGGTTTGGGGGCCATTCTAGCTGCCCTTATCAACGGCCAACTGCTCGACCGCAATTTTGCCCGATGGGCCGCCCGTTTCTCGATTCCGCTCCGGCCCGGTCGTCAAACAGATCTGACACACTTCCCGATCGAGAAGGCTCGCCTGCAGATAGCACTGCCTGCCATATACACGACAATCGGGCTTATTCTCGCGTTTGGATGGGTTCTTGACGCTGAAGGCCCACTCGCCGCACAGCTTGTAATACTTTTCTTCCAAAGCTTGACCATGAGCATGGCGTTCAATGTGACCAGTACTTTGATCGTGGATTACTACCCTGGCCGCTCCGCAACAGCGACGGCGGCGAATAATCTGGTGCGTTGCCTCCTGGGAGCGGGCGCTACGGCGGCGATCGTGCCTATGATCGAATCTTGGGGTAGGGGACCGGCGTTCAGTGCACTGGTGGCGTTCCTGCTGGGCACCAGTCCGATGGTCTGGATTGTGTTCTTCCGAGGGCAAAGATGGAGGGAGGAGCGGAGGGTCAGAGAAGAGGAGCGGGAGAAGGAGAAGTCGCAAGCTGCCCTTGGCGAGGAAGGGACGGCCAATCCGAGCGAAAAACAGCCGGTACTGTCTGAAGGCCAAACCCACGGAGTGGCAGCATTGGAAGGGGACAAGCAGCAAGTTCGAGATCGAGAAGGAAAGGAACGAGTATTATAGCGCTTGCATCATCTATTCGTTGGTTATCATAACGGGAGTGCCACCGTGGCTGCCTTCACAGATTTTTCTGTTCCTTTCCCGTCGTTGCGCGTTTCACATGAGGGCTGATATTCTCCCATGGCATATCTTTGTACCCACCCGTTATGGTCTCATCATATCAAGACCTGCGAGCCAATGCAGCCCAGGAACATGATAGCTGCTACCTGTTCACGAGAGCTGAGGGCAGGCTTGGTAGCCACCGCCACGCCAGAGCTGGATTTGGTGACAGATGGAATGCCCGTCGCGGTAAAAACACCGGTCGGTAGACTCGTGGACTCTCTGGTGCTGCTTTCATGGCGGTCTGTTGATGCAGAAGGACTGCTTCCCGCGGTCGAGGTTGGCACACCACTCATAATGGTCGGCTTGATCCCAGGCATCCCAGCCTGTGTGGCTACAGTAGGGTTTGGCTCTTCCCAATCACTGCCATGGTCGTACAGGACGCCATTGATGATGACGCCTGCTCCATTTGCCAGCATGTTTCTGTGGTCGGTATCACAAGTGCTGTTGACGGCACGAATGAAGCATTTTGGACTCGCCATTTCAGGTGCAACATTCTGGTGCGTTGCGTTGGCGTCACCGGTGGTGCTGTATAACGAGAGATCTGCAATGGTGCCGAGACTGATGTCAGTTCCTGCAATGATTCGAGAGAAGACGGTGAACATCGTCTCCGGCTGGTACGCGGGGACGAGATGGCCAGCGTCGTAGATTCTGCTGAAGCTGAGATTGCCATATTCTCGGACCGTGCCTCCGATGTAAGAATTGTTGGCGACAATTGGGGCATACCCTGCAGCATACCAGGGAGCGTATAACGCTCCTGCCTCGCTCGCAATTGCAAAGGATACGGCTTCACCACCGAGCCAATTTGCAACGTAGTCCCGATCTCCGTATATTAGTGCAACGCGAACGCCGGAGTTGAGGAGGCCGACCAGGTCCTCAATACCACTGTTGCGTGCCCAATCACCTGTACTGTTGAACGCATGCCAGACGGCCCAGGACGATTGAGTGAAGTTGACCGGTACTCCAGTTGCACTCTGCACTTCGACCGTATTGAGATAATCGAGGTAGTGTGAAGCAGGGAAAGGGTCAAAGTTGCTCTGGGCGATGTCGTAGGGTGAGCGACCTGATGTCAAATATGGTGCATAAACGTCCGACATGCAGGTTTCATATGCCACTGAGCACGCGTCGTTAACAAGGATGGAGTCGCCATTGTAATCTGCATCGTACGCCAGTTCTTGAGACCGGCAGGATGTAATTCGCTCCTGACAGCCGCCTGCGCCTCGAAAAGAGCTAAGGGCATTAAGTTGTTGGACTTGGTCGATTGTTTGAATACTGTAGGAGTTCTGATATGCGAACATGGGGTACATAGGAGTCTGCACCAGCGCGTCGATCCAGCCGTTGATGATGCCAATGGAAGCGAGTCTGAGCCCAATAGTTGAGTTCATGAGACTAAGATCAGTCTGCCGTTTTGCACTCTGCTCTTGGAAGAAAGAACCTATGGCTGGCCCATATTTCCCGCCATAAGATTCGGTGAAAAGATTGATCTCGACAAAATCCTCTACAGGAGGTACAGCTATTTGAGGAGGTCGAGAATACTGCGGAAACGTCGCTAGAAAGCCTTGCAAAAAATGCCAGATTGATTCAGCTGCGAGCTGAGATGTGTTGGAAGTGAAGGTAGGATTGTTGGACGCAAAAGTGCCATTCAAGAAGGTGTACGACGGCTGCGTAAGTGGTACCGAGGCCGGAGGATATATCAAATTGTCATTGAGAAGATTCAGCGAAGCGTTCGTGGGCTTGTCAAACGAGAAGCCGGTTTGGACTGGCTGGTCAATGAAAAGGAGGTTCGAGCTTCTGTCCCAACCCCATTCTCGAGCCACAGTCCCAAGCCTGTCGTGACTTATTTCGACGACCTGACAAGGGCCGACTTCTTGGAAAAGGCCGACCATGCTGGAAGATCCCGGTCCACCGTTCATGAAAACTGTAAGTGGTGCAGTCTCGGGCAGTTGCCTGGCCTCGATGAACCAGAAGAAGGTATTGACGGTAAAATTGCCTTGGTTTGAGCGGGCCGGACTGGGAGGGAGAGTCACATATCCGGTATATTGCTTTTGTGTTTCAAAGACGGTGGTACATGTACCTACCGAGGGCTGTTTGAAGCTGATGGTAATATTGCCATCGGCTGGCGAAGCTATGATATTGATTGTATCATAATTCCCGGCAGGTGGCGCTTGGCCGTAACCAACGGTAAAAAGTATCCAGCAGAGAGTCCACGACCGCCACCATTCACAAAGCATGGCGTCTTGCAGCTGCTGCGTACCAGCAGCACAATACGACTCAGCACTCAGAGCGTATTCTCCGGGCAAGATAGCATTGTTGAAGTTGGAATAGAATGTGAGCCGCTTGGAATTTCAACTGCTTCCAGGCGTAGGACGGGGAGACCCTGTAGCTTGACCGAGCAAGCCTCCTCTCCTAAACGAGTGGCACGCGACGTATATCGCTTAACACAAGCACGTTTGGAATCGGTTAGGTAGTGCGAAGGTGAGGAATAGATGTATGTGTAGAATAGCGGCCTTCGCATACCATACCTCTGGTGGGAGATGACGTTGAGGAGGGGACCGATGTGGGGTATCAGCGGCTGCCTAAGCTGCTTATGCTCAGAGTATGCAGGAACGAGCTTGCGGGTGTGCGGGAACTCGCCGATCCTCGCGTGTTTCCCGAGTCCAAGGCAGTGTGATACTGACTTTTGAGGCTGGGTCGGATCTTCATGTTAATGCTGCACGACAACCGTATGACGAGGGATAGATACTGTCCGCTATTGATCTTCAAGCTAGTGCTACACAAAAAGCCATTACGGACAGCGAAGTTCTCTTGTGAACGATTTATTCACACAGGGGAAAGCCAAGTCACAACACGGTATATACACTCATACACGACCTCTATTTGATATCGAGGTGAAGAGCGGTAATACTTTGCGTTCAAAGAGTCAAGTGCAGAGGTTACGAAGCTCACTTCTCTCAGTCCACCGTGGCGCAGAGTAAACGGCGCCAAGCCTCAGAACTACACTAAGCCCAAGTTGGCACCGCAGGCAACTCGATCTTTTGGCCTCTTCCGAGCACGCTGGCTATTCGCACTTATTCTACTTCCCGAGAACGCCGGCGTGCACTCTGTCCATCGTGATTTTCTGAGTCCGCTTGCCCAGGCACCCTTTGGTCATGTCAGCACTTTACAATGGCGGAGCCTACGGCGCGGTTGCTATCGATCAAGAGGACCAAGGGCCAAAAGTGACGGTGCGCAAGGTCGGCTCAGACAAGGTCGATTTCGTCCTCCAGTCCTGCAGCCTTGGTTTCGCCAACGCAGTCCGTCGCGCTGTCATCGCCGAGATTCCAACCGTTGCTATCGACCTCGTCGATATCAACACCAACTCATCCGTCCTCCCCGACGAATTCCTCGCGCACAGACTCGGCTTGATCCCTTTACACAGCAGGGGCGTCGCGGACAATCTCAACTACACACGCAATTGCGAGTATTGCGACGATCATTGCGACCGATGCTCAGTAACACTTCGTCTCCGCGCAAAGTGCACCGATGAACACAATATCTTGAAGGTCTTCGCCTCTCATCTAACAAGAGTAGACGATCGAGCTGACAGCATCGGTCAACCTGTCATTCGCGACCCCAACGGCGAAGGGCCTCTCATCCTCAAGCTCCGTCACAATCAAGAGATTGACTTTACTTGCATCGCGAAGAAGGGTCTCGCGAAAGAGCATGCCAAGTGGGCACCTACAGCTGCTGTCGGCTTCGAATACGATCCATTGAACAAACTGAAGCACACATCATACTGGTTCGAGAAAGACCCAATCGAGGAATGGCCAGTGGATAAAGTCAACGCAGAGTGGGAAGACGCCGACGAGCAAGCCGATGTAGCCAATAATCCTGACGCCCAACCTAGTGCCTTCTTCTTTGACCTGGAGGGTGTGGGCGTGTTGGAGCCCGACGAGATCGTTGAAGGCGGAGTTAAGGCTTTACAGCTGAAACTCACAGAGATCCTCCAGTCACTGAACCCTGGCCAAGATGGCGTAAATGGAATGAACGGCGTTGACGCCGGGGACGATTATGAGCCAATGGACCAACAACCATACGACGCTGGGGGATACGGAGGATATGGAGCGACTGGAGGCTACGGTGCGTATCAATCAGGATATTAAGCTGCATACGGGGACTTTTGCTGCATAGCGTGGCGTTTGGAATGGCATACAACTTTCTTCAGTTACGGACGAGGAATTTTGAGTGAAAAGTAGCTTCTATACCGGTATACCCGAGGTTGAGCGAGGACAGCGAGGCAGGCGATTTCAAGACGAATGGTGCGTCAGCGTGGGCAGCTGACGAAGGGAATCCCTGGCGCGAAGTATGCACCAGGAACCGAGTGCACATTCAGCTCAAAACGGAAAACATCAAACACTGTGTCGAGGCTCGAGGGCAGAGCAGCATATTATTCAGCGACTGCAGCGGGGCCAGCAAACGATGCATAAGCGCAGAGCTCCCGGCGGATTCGTCGGAACAATGACTGGCAACTCGACCATTACCAGCGCTGCGTCCATGCATAGAGGGGGCTCTAAGGAGGGAGGAACAGAATATCATCGTAGCTTCCGCCCGCGGCAAAAACAGCTGCTTCAGATTTTCGGCTTCAAACACCGCTCTCTTACCTTATCTACTTGGAAATCAAGCCAGTGGCCCCCAACCCTTTCGTACGCCGACAAGGGTCCAAACCCAGTGACATAATTGAATAACGTGGGGCACCCACCATTCAGCCAGAGTTTGACCCGCCATAAACGGAAACCCGCTGGCCTGTCCAAGACAGTCTGGAATATCCTGACAATTGTTTCAAAACTTCCGTTGCTTCTTCATCTACCCAAATTCTCTTCCTCACCTCCTTTCATTCACCCACATACCACTACCGCAGTCATGGGTTACACCGACGCCGACTGGAAGGCGATCAACACCATCCGCATCCTTGCTGTACGTTTCCCAACTACCCCGCTATCCCCAATAGAAATTTTGACCGCAACCAAAATGTTCACATGTGGTCAATGAGAGCTTCTGTTAACACAATGATACCTTCGTACAGGTCGATGCCACCTCAAAAGCCAACTCCGGCCACCCTGGCGCCCCCATGGGCCTGGCCCCAGCCGCCCATGTCCTATTCAACAAGTTCATGACCTTCAACCCTCAGAACCCCAACTGGGTCAACAGAGATCGATTCGTCCTTTCGTAAGTCGTTCTGCACATCCTATAACCTTCCATATCTATCACAAAAAAGTCTGGGTGCGCATATAAGCTCCCCGAGGCTTTTATCAGCTCATGGAGCTTCCTACAAAGTTTTGCAGAAAAGTGCGGTAGCTCACGCGAAATAGCAATGGACACGGATGTATGCTTCAATATGCTCTTCTTCATCTCTTCGGCTACAAGCTCTCCCTTGACGATCTGAAGGCCTTCCGCGTTAGTATATCCCAGACCAATACAGCTTCCCAATGCTAACAAATGTTTAGCAAGTGGACAGCATTACACCCGGCCACCCTGAAGCTCACGATACTCCTGGTATCGAGGTGACCACCGGTCCCCTTGGTCAGGGTTTCGCCAACGCTGTCGGCCTGGCCATTGCTCAGGCTCACACCGGCGCAGTGTTCAACAAGTCCGGCTACGACCTGCTCTCCAACCACACATACGTTTTCTTTGGTGATGGCTGTGCTCAGGAAGGTGTTGCCTGCGAGGCAGCTTCTCTGGCTGGCCACCTGCAGCTCGGCAACCTCATCGCCATCTACGACGACAACCACATTTCCATTGATGGCGACATCAAGTGTTCATTCACCGAAGATGTACTGAAGCGCTTCGAAGCCTACGGCTGGCACACTCAGCACGTTACCAAGGGTGACGATGACCTTGATGCCATCGAGGCTGCCATTGCCAAGGCCAAGTCCGTCACCGATAAGCCATCGGTGATCAAGCTCACCACTACCATCGGTTTTGGCTCGAAGCTGCAGGGAACCGGTGGTGTCCACGGTAATGCCTTGAAAGCTGATGATGCCAAGCACGTCAAGCAGAAGTTTGGCTTCAACCCTGAGGAGTCGTTCGTGGTTCCCCAGGAAGTGTATGATATGTACCACAAGCACGCTTCCGAGGGTGCCGCCGCCGAGCAGGCATGGAACGATCTTTTCAAGAAGTACCAGTCTGAGTACAAGGATGAGGGTGCCCAACTTGCCCGGCGCCTCACCGGAAAGCTAGCCGAAGGCTGGGAGAAGTCTCTACCTGTCTGGAAGCCTACCGATGCCGCAGAGGCGACCCGCAAGACCTCTGAGAAGGTTCTTGAGGCCATTCACAAGGTAGTGCCCGAGCTGCTTTCCGGTTCCGCCGATCTGACTGGAAGCAACAACACACGTTGGAAGGACGCCGTTGACTTCCAGCCTCCTAACACTGGTATTGGTGAGTGGACCGGCCGGTATCTCCGATATGGTGTCCGCGAGCACGGCATGACTGCCATCATGAACGGCCTTTCTGCTTATGGCACCGTCATCCCAGCTGGAGGTACTTTCCTCAACTTCGTCTCATATGCGGCGGGTGCTGTCCGCCTGTCCTCGCTCTCCCACCAGCGCGTCATCCTGGTGGCTACCCACGACTCAATTGGTCTCGGTGAAGACGGTCCTACTCACCAGCCTATCGAGACTCTCGTTCACTTCCGTGCCCTCCCCAACATGATGGTTTGGCGTCCGGCTGACGGCAATGAGACCTCTGCTGCCTACTACATGGCTCTGACCTCTCAAGAGACTCCATCCATCCTTGCCCTGACCCGCCAGAACTTACCCCAACTTGAGAACTCGACCATCGAGAACGCTATCAAGGGCGGTTATGTCCTCATTGAGGACTCCAGTGCCGACATCACCCTCGTTTCAACTGGTTCCGAAGTCGGCATTTGCGTGGAGGCACTGAAGCAGCTCTCCGACGCCGGCATCAAGGCTCGCATCGTATCAATGCCATGCGTTGAGCTCTTTGATGCCCAGCCGAAGGAGTATCAGCTCAAGGTTCTTCCTGACGGCAAGCCCATCCTCTCTGTTGAGGTCATGTCCACACTCGGCTGGGAAAAGTACTCTCACGAGCAATTTGGGCTCAACCGCTTTGGTGCTTCCGGCCCCTACAAGGACGTCTACAAGGTAAGATACTTGATCATGGATGTCGAACTATGCTAATGCCCATTCAGAAATTCGAGTTCACCCCAGAGGGTATCACCAAGCGTGCGAAGCAGACCGTCGACTTCTACAAAGGTGTCAACCCACGCAGCCCTGTCAACCGTGCTTTCCAGCAGATTCTGTAGAGGGCTTAATGCTTGCCTGAACATGTTCCCTCGTACTATTGGAAGCGCTATTCGGATGGTTGGGTGAATGAAAACAAATAGACATTATCAAAGGAAGTAAGGTGTAGATACCATAACGAAAGCTGTCAAAACAGTCATCAGTGTCGCATGTGTACGACGATCTTCGTGTTTGCATCATCTCTACTTCTAAATGGCACGAGTCACCTGCCTATGTGCAACTCCAATCCATGCCTTGAGTCAGGTTCGTAACCGTACTCCACTCTCATCTTGCCTACTCCGCCCGGAGCTATCAGTCCTGGCAAAGAAGCTATGGACCTAACATATGATTCACGTTCCTCTTATCTAGCTGTTGCACTGTTTTCAACATCAGACACACAGGTTTGGCAGTGACAAACGAACATACACAATTACTTCCAAGCTGCACTTGGTCACTGCAACCCCGGCTGGCTGCAGGAGAAGCCTTTACCAGCACAGGTAGGTGACGATAAGGCTAGACTTCTACCTCGACCTTCTCACCGCCGCGGCGTCGAAGGATGGATGCATCGGCATCGGGAACTTGGGTGGTGGTCGGAGCCTCGCGAGGCATCGGTCTCGAGTTCGTTCGCCAACTCCTCGCACAAGGCAAGCAGGTCATAGCAGCGGTGCGGGACCCTGGTACGGCCAGCCAGCTATGGCAGATCACGGCGTCGCAGTCCCGGCCGGGGAGCTGTCTGATCGAGCAGTGCGATGTCACCAGTGAGGCGAGTATCAAGGTATGTATTGTATTTGCTGTCTGGAAGTGTACATGGGATCCTCACCGAACTAGGCTTTTGCAGACAGGCTCAAGAAGACCGTGGATAGAGGCATGAAAATCAGCAATGTTGTGCTGAATGCAGGGGTCCTGCAGTACCCTAATCGTGCTACAACAATGTACATCTCTCGGCCCTTCTTTGACCATCACCTTGTCACCTCACCAGAAAACACTCTACTGACATCTATTTTCCGTACCCACAGAACTTACGCCCAATTCACTCTCCACCTTCACACAAATACCATCGGGCCCATACTGTGCGCTCAATCACTCCTCAACCTCTCCCCGATCGGACCGCCAAGCAAGGTGGTGTTCATTTCCTCGGACTCAGGTTCCGCAACACTTTTCCGCGATCACGAGGACGGCTTCGGTGCGTACGCAGCCAGCAAAGCAGCATTGAATCAGATGCTGCGGCACATGGCGGCGGAGCTGAAACGTATGGGCGGCGCGTGGGATGAGGTGTGTCTCCTGGCGATGCATCCAGGGGAAGTTGCAACGTAAGTGTCAACCCGTCCCACAAACTTTGAGCACGAGCGAATGTGTTGCGTTGAGTATCTGGCTTTGAGAAAGCAACTGCCAGGTATACTGGAGGCCAGAGAGCATTGGCTCTAGCCCTGGTGTTGGTTGCCAAACTTCTTGTGACCTAGACCGGGTCTGTTTGCCATTTATCTGCTCACAATTCCCGTTCGGTGCGCTTGCTGCTAAGCCATCCACTAGAAATGGCAGACGCGTTTAGAAGGCTGAGACTTAGATTGTTTCTGTGCAGCGATCGGAGCTGACGGAATAGCAGTGATATGGCCAACATCGAGGTTGATTGGGATGTAGAAGGCATTATTGAAGCCAACGAGAGTGTCAGAGGAATGCTTGAGGTGATCGAGAAGAAAGGTAAAGCCGATAGTGGCACCTTCTGGTGTTGGGATGGAAGAGTCAGTTGCTCATACCTTAGCTTTGTTCGGAACTCCCTTTGCTGATGTCAAGCAGGAACATCCATGGTAGGCATTGTGAAGCCCAGGCATCTACGGAACATTGGAAGAGCATAGTCAATCGGCTCCGACATCATCATCGACTTCACGTTCTTCCTTTGGCGTAGGAGTGCTCTGCTCCTTTCCACCTTTTATCCCGTGCCCACGGTCCCATTCCTTCTTCTGCAGCTGCCACCGCTCCTTCAACTCTTTATACCCCTCGTGCTCGATACACCATCTCCAATGGCCCTTGAACAACTCACTCGCCTCCTCTTTCTCCGTCCTCGCGGCCCTCTGCGCATCGTCACCGCCCTCCCACTTTGTCTTCTTCTCGCCACTTTCAGCGTCATACTTCCTCCCGCCCCGGTAATTGGCGTACCGCCGTGCCCGTGTCATGCCCATCTGGATAAACTTTCTGGTCATGTCCGCGCCGACAAGATCTCCCCGCTCGACGTAGCTGGTGAATATTGATGAGAGCGCTGTGGCAGAGGAATGCGCAATGGGAACTGTGCGGAAAGCCCAGAAGGGGAGGATGAGAGATTTGTAGGGCTCGAAGCTCAGCACGCCCATCTCACCGCGGGCAATGGCGTAGGAATAGTTGATTTCCGAATCACCGAGAGCTGGTGTTGGGAGGGGTTGAGCTGGTGGTGTTATTAACGCATCTTTGTTCCGCTTTGGAATGGGTTTGGAGGCTGTGGATGCCCTTGAAGCATTTTTGGTCGTGGATGAAGCTGTCTTTGCGGCTCTTGGGGGCCGCGGTAGCATTTCGATGATGCGGCGTCGTAGAAGGTTCCGTAGCAAGGAATGTAGATCAAAAGCGATTCGTGTTTAACCCACGTGAGACCCTCCCAAGCCGTACTGATGGTCTACAGCAGAGGATGCAAAGGCTAGAATGTCATCGAAGGACAGCCGAAACAAGTTTGTCGCTTCTGGTTCAGATTATAGGCTGCGCATAGGAAGACGAAGTATGGCTCTAGAAGCAACGATTTGAAGGTCGCGGTGTCGTCATCATAACAGGGGAAAGGCAACCACAAGGCGTCCACGGACGTTAGTAAGAACTCTACGCTCATCATGCCGCGCCAGAACAAGGAATCGGAATACAGTCGTTCATTACATCTGATTCTGGTCTGCAATATGTGTGCCTTGGTCAACCATAGGGCAAGAGAAGCCAACGCACTAGGCGGCCTGAAGCCGCCGTTAATAATCTCATACGTCGTAATATGTCATGTCGAGGAAATCACGCCTAGTCGTACATCTCGGGGTCCTCAGCATGTTCACTCTCCCGAGTCGCTTCTTCAAGCACACCATCTTCGTACACTTGGCTCTCCCGGTGCGGGATAATACTCTCTTTGATCCCGAAACTCTGAACAATCTCCTCCCACATTTCGAAGCTCATCGTGAACACTGCCTGTTTCCGTTCCTTCTCTTGGCGTTCTGCTAAAGGTCGCTCGGCGGCAGCCTGAATCGTCGGCATTCCTTGGCTGTCGTATCCTAGGCCTGCCTTGCCCTCCTTGATTAGGAAGCTCACATAGAACAGATTTTCAACCGTCTGTCCGAACGATCTGGGGTTGATGCAGAACTTGAACAATGGAAGGCCCCCATCATCGGCAATGCCGTGCTTGTACATCAGGTGATAGACTTCGTCATGACTTGGCATGTACTCGATTGCATCGTATTCTTCTTGGAGGGAAGATCCATTCCTTTCCACAGCTTCCACGAGAAGTGTATAGATTTCGCCACAGATGGCTGTCAGGGACTGCTTTTCCTGGTTGTCAAGCTCTTCTTCCGTGAGCTGGAGCGTGCGGCTTCTTTGTGTGGGCTCTTCTCGTTCCTCGCGTGCCCTTCGTTGTGTCTGCTGGCGTACCTTTTTCTGCACGGAGAGAGGACCGAGTAAGAAGCCGGATAGGGATGGTCTTGAGTTGTAAAGAATACAAGCATTACGCCCAAGGTACTCCCAATTCAAGGTGTCGCCGCTTTCTTCATCGTCGATATCAACCTGCTGACGTCCCCTGCGTTGACTTTGTGTGCCTGACGGGGCTTGCCTGCTGGCATCCTGGTTCTGCGGACGTTCTGGGCGTTTCATGAATGATATGCATTTTGTGACGAAGTCGTCCACATCAACACCGACCGACGAGTCGCCGAGCGTAAGCGTACTTATTTTCTTGAAAGATAGATCAGCGGTTGCAACGAGCAGGCGTGAATCGACTGTCGCATCTGCGGTCTGCTTGACCTCCTGAAAATAACGGTCTGCTGCCTGAATAGTCTCAACCAGGCCAGTTGAGTTGGCTTGTAGATACTCGGACCGTGAGTCGTTGAGCTTGGAATGCAGGTCCCGAAGACCTCTTTTGATTCTGCGACGTTCTTCTGGGGCCTGCTCTGGGTCGTAGTATCTGGTATCGGTCTGATTGTCCGTTGCTCGTTTGCGTTGACTCTGCTGTGTTCGCTCTTCGACTCGGCGTCTCTTTCTGGTTAATTGAACGGGTTCAGGTGTAGCCATATTGGTGCTTCTGCGCTTCTGCGCACCAGAATCTGTTCGAGCGTTTTCCTTGTCAGAACTGTCGGCCACTAATGACTCGCCTCGGCTCGAGGGCGCAGGTGACTCGGTGAGTTGCGCGCTTCTTGCTTCAGAATTGAGTAAGGTAGCAGTCAAACGCGGCATTTTGGTGTCATTCTGCCAAATACAACCGTTCGTTAGGCGACGTCACGTCCGCGACAAGGAGATTCGCGCCGCCGTTGCTGTGGACAACTGAGAATCACCGTGCGGAAGCGTAGCCTGTAGACGTCAAGGATGTTGATTCAACGACTCTTGAGAAATGCGACTGAGTTGAGGTGGTAGACGATCTAATTGAGTGGAAAGCACCCGTAAATTGAGGTCGAGAAGCTGCGATAGAGGCACGCCCGGGCACATACGAAGCGCGACGCGCCGAAAGTGTCTTGGCTACAGCAAGGCTGAAGGTGTTGCCTTACCTCACCATCACCTACCGACCTACCTGTCTTCTTACACCAGCCTACACTTACGACTGGCGCAATCCTGCCAGGTCACACGATGTTAAGATGGACACATATTCGTTCGCGACCTCCAGGCAGGTGGACTTCCCCGTTTATGTCAAGATGTATGTCTCCTACCAATCCCTGTCGCCCACCAATGGTTCATGGACGGGCCTGAGTCCTGATGATGTTATAGAAACCAACTTGAGGGGAAGCAGACTACAGTTTCGCAGTCGACATTGATCAGACATCCGGAAATCCGACATATTGGCTCGGTGCAGAGCCCTACTTCAGAGCTGTATGTGACCGCACAACTCTGGGCTGAGTCAAAGCCGCTCGGACTCCCCACTCAAACTGCTCATGCATTTTTCAAAGGCGAACGGAATTGGGATCAATGGTTGCAACTGCCTGTCAATATCCAGGATTGTCCAATTACCGCGCAAGTTGCTTTAACCGTCTGGGATCTCAGCCCCATACCGAAGGATGGGCGACTTGATCATAGTGTGCCTTTCGGCGGCACAACTATTCCGCTGTTCGATGAGCACGGGGCATTGAGAAAGGGACGGCAGAAATGTAAGATCTATCGTCGAAAAGTCGCGGACGGTCAATCACCATCCAAAACACCTCACATCCCGACCCCACGTCGACGGGGACGAAACGAAGCGCCAGAGCCTACCGATCCCGAGAAAGAGGAGCTAGAGCGGCTCCAAGACCTTCTCAAAAAGCATGAGATGGGCGAACTGCCTACTAACGACTGGCTAGACCAACTTGTCTTCAAACGAATGAGTGAACTCAATGCCGGCGTTGAAGATGCCGCTCGCAAACGTGCGAACCAGAGGAAAACCACGAAGCGGCTGGCGCAGGAAAGATTAGATGACTCAAAACAAAATGGGGCTGTCAGTGGAGCCCATGATTCAGACGATGAATTTCATTCCGATAATGATCTTGATGAAGAAGAGCGATTCAGATTAACGATCGAATTTCCTCGATGGGATTTTCCTATTATATTTGCAGACCACGAGTATGATACGCCGAAAGCCATCAGAGACTTCCAAAACACACCCTCAGGATCAGGTGTGACTGCGAAGCAGCCGGAGATGAGATACGGACCAGGAATCGCTGCTGGGAATGCCGTCGTCGACGATGCTGAATTCCCAGTGATACGTATTTTCGACCCTGAACAGTTCACGAGAGAAAATCCCTGTGAAATTAAGCACAGACGCCTTGTCAGAAGCGAGCGCAATGCCCAACCAGACACAGATATGAAGCCCAACGCCAAGTTAAGGGACGAGTTGAACGAGATCCTTTCCTATGGCCCGACGCAAGAGCTCACGGCGCAGCAGAAGGATGTGCTCTGGTCCTTCCGTCGACATCTGAGCAGAGATAAGCGAGCTCTCACCAAAGTCGTCAAGGCGACAGACTGGAGCAACCAGAAGGAAGCCCGCGCGTTGACTGAGCTCATTCCTAGGTGGGCTGAGATAGATGTCGATGCCGCGCTGGAGTTGCTGGGCCCGACCATAGATAATCCTGTGGTTCGTGCTTATGCTGTGGATCGCCTCCGGAAAGCTGACGACAACGAATTGCAGCTGTACTTGCTTCAGCTAGTTCAGGCACTGAAATTCGAGAACCACGAGACGGGGGAGGAGGGCCTATCACCCACGTCGCTTGCGAAATTCCTTATCGACAGAGCCACCAACAATTTCAACCTGGGCAACTTTCTCCATTGGTTCTTAATGGTCGAATGCGATGACCGAGGTCCTGACACCAATGCCACCAACCGCAAGCGCTTTGCACGAGTCGAGTACCATTTTATGCTAGAACTAGAAGCTCGCGATCCTGAACAGCGCAAGCTCTTGCTCAAACAAGCAGAGATGATCGCCATCCTCCAGAAAATCGCCAAAGACATCCGCTTTGGCCGCGACAATCGGCTGAACAAAATCGAGCGTCTAAAGAAATTCCTTGCCGATCCCAAAAACGACCTTATAACTCTGCCTCAACCTGTTCCATTACCTCTCGCACCGGAGAATATCATTACTGGTGTCTACCCAGAAGAAGCCAACGTCTTCAAATCCTCTCTCTCCCCACTTCTCATCGCTTTTAAGGTCCAGCCATCCGCTGCTCAGAATTCGCCGTCTCCATCCAAATACTCAATCATCTTCAAAACGGGCGACGATCTCCGTCAAGATCAGCTTGTCATTCAGATCATCACCCTGATCGATTCGTTGCTCCTAAAAGAGAACCTCGACCTCAAACTCACTCCGTACCGTATCCTCGCCACGGCTCCAGCCGCTGGCGCAGTCCAATTCATTTCTCCTTCCGTTGCATTATCAACCATCAGCACCAAATATCGAGGTAGCGTCACTGCGTACCTCCAACAACACAATCCTGACCCATCCGGCCCACTGGGCATCCGCAAGGAAACGATGGACACCTACATTAAGTCCTGCGCGGGGTACTGTGTCATAACCTATATCCTGGGCGTGGGCGATCGACACCTCGACAACCTCCTCCTACAACCCAACGGCCGCTTCTTTCACATCGATTTTGGCTTCATTCTCGGGCGAGACCCAAAGCCTTTCGCGCCGCTGATTAAGCTCGCGAAGGAGATGCTCGAGGGCATGGGTGGCAGCGTGCAAACAGAGCAATACCGGCAGTTCCGGCAGTATTGCTTCACGGCGTACACGGCTCTGCGCAAGAACTCGAACCTTATCCTCAATCTCTTCAGCTTGATGGTGCAGAGCTCCGTGCAGGATGTGCGGCTGGCGGAGGAGGCACAGGGAGTCGCTGCTGGGGGAGAAGGACATGGTGGCCTGGGTGTGGGGGGCGCGGTGGGTAAGGTCAGGGAGAGGTTCCATCTGGATGTGAGCGAGGAGGATGCGCTTAGGATTCTGGATCAGACGCTGAGTGATAGCGTGAATGCACTCTTTGGGGTCGTCATCGATCGGCTCCACGAGTTCGTGCAGGGCTGGAGGGCCTGACATCATAGGAAAACCTGCAAGAAGAGACAGCCAGCGGATAATTCAGCGTAGGAATGGCTCACGGAGTTGCCATAGGCACAGCGTTTCTCGCTTTGAAACGCTATCTCTCTATTCTCACATGGGTGGTGTCGCCGGAATCGTATATTTCATACTGAAAGCCGACTCGAAGCACCGATCGTAATGGACTGCGGATTGTAGCTGAGCTCCCAAGGTGAATTTCAGAGCGTTTGGGTACCCTACACTCTGGCTGTGCTTGACCGCGGGAAGAAAGGGGAATGCACGGATGCACTGCCAATGAATGTATGTTCTTGAACCTGATACATTGTATTCAAAGACGGTGGTGGTAGGCCGGGCGACTTCTTGCTGTCGTCCACATATCGTGAGGCTTCGTACGCTTGTACAATAGTTCCCAACTCCTCGCTAGCCCTATGACCCATCAAAGACGAAGCTAAATGCTGCTCGGTCAGACATTGATCCCAAAGATTTCGTGGTCAGCAGCGACTCTGCGCTTGAATAGACCCAGATCCGAAATCAGCGCCTCCATTTCGGCCTGCATTTCAGAGTCATGAGCACCCCCCTCGAGATCGCTTTCTGCACCTTCGCTGTGAAAGCCTTCATCCTCCCAAATCATGTCTGGTGTTCCTGGTCGGGACACAGACTTGGTGTGCTCCTTTCTGGCCACGGGATCCTCCTTGGGTTCCACAGTGGTAGCGCTCTGAATACGGATAGGGTTCCTCAATTCCTCGAGAACAAGATTTAGATGAATAGCCTGCGCTTCCTTTTCGCTCTCCAACTGCCTCACTTTTGATTCTGAAATCGCCAGTTTCTCTTCCATGATTTGCAACATATCCTCGTACTTGGCTGTGAACTCGCGTATCTTCTCCGACTGGGCTTCGGCCGACTCTTGCATAGCCTTCATTACTGGCGCACTTGCCTGCTCCTGGTGCTGGTCCAGTGTCCAGCGCAGCGCACGGATTGTTTCCTGCATCTCCATGATCTGCGCGTCCTTCTCTGCCGAAGACACGTGGTCCTGGTTGACAACAGCCTTGGTGCGGATACGTTTGGCCTGGTCGGCGTAACGAAGTGTAGAGAGCGTCTCGTCATAGTCAGAAGGCGCGATGCAGGCTATCATGGCAGTCTTGGAGTTGCCGCCGAGTGAGTCCTTGAGAAGCCAGGTCAGGATGGAGTCCCGGTAGGGTACGATGTCGCGAGCTTTGCGCTTGTTCTGGGAGCGTGGATCCGCAAGAGCAGCAATTACGCGGCCAAGCGTTGTGAGAGACTTGTTGATGTTGCCGCCTTCGCGCAGGCGTTGCCCGGTGGCTTCGGTGGCTTTGGCACGCTCAGAGCCAGCAAGATCGACGAGTCGTATGCGAGCGAGGCGTTCAGTGGTCTCATCTGTGCGATAGTCGTGATGGATCTGTTTGAGCATGATTGTGAAAACGGCATGGGATCGAGAGGAGGTGTCGTTCATTTTGGTGGAGGCAACTGTCCTTGAGTGATCACCCAGCCTCATGTATTTGAGGATCTCTTGATAGTTCCTGACCTGTATCTCGGTGAGGTCCTTGACGTAGGGTCCTTCGGTAGGCGACTCGCGGATCTTTAGGTAGTGTGGAGGGTCGGTGCGTGGCTGAAAAAGGTCTCGAACATGTTCGTTGTAGACTTCAAAGTATGACACTCGAACGCTATAGCTGATGTTGGGGCTCTCGCTGGCTTCGATGCGCTGGAACAGATCTTCGCATGTTCGCGGGATCAGCCCTGAGTTGTCTGGTGAGCCCATCATGGTGTACGATTTACCCGAACCTGTTTGACCATAGGCAAATATGCAAGTGTGGTAACCCTCAAAATTGTGGTCCAGGAACTCTTCTCCTAAGCAGTTATAGACATCCTCTTGCGTTGCATAGTGCTCGTCCTCAGTATTGTGAGACCAAAAGGAATTATCGAAAGTGAAGCTTTTCTCTTCAACGATTTTCCGAGACTGTGTCTTCTTGTTGGCAGGGTCACTGGACGGTGGCGCGAGAAGAGTCGTCGATTGTGTATCTGGGTCCATTTCGATCAGGCATTCTGCGCCACGATCTCGCTCTGATTCAATTAGCACACGGAAAGCAGCAAAGCAGCGACGTCTTTACCTCGCTGGAGAAATCCTCTGACTCTGACAACGACCTTGACATTGCCGCCTCCCGCCATGCTGTCAGGAGGAGGAGTGGCTGCTGCAACTGGAGTCCTGGATCGAAGAGAGGGACTTGAGGCAGAGGAAGTGAATGGCGTTCGCGGTCGGTCATCGCTTGCAATGATGCGCGCAGGCGCCATCACTTCACTGAGGAGTTCGATGCAGTCGTATAGCGCAGCCTGGTATCGATATTGGAGAGAAGAGTACATGGAATGCAAGCGTAAAAGCCACAGGCACGACTTCGCTTGGGTCAATACTAACGTGTTATAGCAAAGTGCTATGGATCACTGGGAAAGCGTACCTACTCAATTCGGCCAAATCCAAACAATCGTGGATTGACGTCACTGCGCTCAATGAACTACATATGAGACTCTTGGACACAACTTGTCTCACGGATGAGCCAGACAGGGTGATTATCACGTAGCTGCACGCTTAACACGGAACACAAGTGATTTGACTGAACCATCGTTACTTTATAATGGGAAGATTCAGACTTTGAACGAGTGCAGCGACGGATACAGCTTGTACCTACATTTTATCATCATCCGTTGCCATGGCGACCTGAGTTTGACACGCAAAGACCGCTTTGCTGTTCACTGGTGCTAGGGCATTTCAGAAGGCCCAAAGCAAAGATCTACAAATCCTGCGACTGTCTCGGTTTACCTTGTTGACTGGTACAGTCTATGGGCGCTGGTACTTAGTATACAAGGCCATGTAGCAGGCAATACCTGGACAACATCCAACGTCACCCCGGCTGAGTCAGCAAGAGTGGTGGCCTTAGACTGCTATTGCAGCACAAGAGAAGAACTCTCGGTGCCTAGAGCTTACTCACACGAAATTTCGAAACTTCAGATCTCTCAAAGGAGGCGCCGGTTACAGCAGTCATAGACGATGGGTTCGACATGGGTCAACGCACATTCTACGGCGGACCCATCCCCGTCGAGAAGGGGCCACAATCGTCCCGGGTTCGGCAGTGGCACAGCAAGACTAGAACGGGGTGTGACACCTGTAAGCGCCGCCGTGTTAAATGCACCGAAGAACGCCCTGTCTGCAGGAAGTGTTCCCTAGGAGGGCGCGACTGTATTTATTTGGAGCCACCTAAGGCCAAGCTCTTTGAACCGAAGACCGTCTCCCCGTCTCAATCGTCACCAACAGCCTCCCTGACGCCACCTGCTGAGCCTGAAGAGCAGCGCGCTCTCCAGTTCTTCAACGAGAAGACTGCGCTGGCCATGGCCACCTTTACCGACTTCACAAAAAGGTTCTGGCAATCTGCAATACCACAAGTGGCCGCTACCGAACATTCAGTACGCCACATGACTATTGCACTTGCTTCTCGTCAGGAAAGGAATCTCGTTACATCCAGCTTTGACTCATCCCGCCTGGAACGTATGGAAAACAAACATTACGCTCTTGGCCTATCCGCACTGACGAGAAACACCACAATAGGCGATGTCGAGGTTATCCTGCTTGCTGGGTCGCTGTTTATTGCTTATGGAAATTTTGAGCGTATGGAGAGGCAATCCGCCCAGGAATTGATGCATATGGGCAGCATAATCAAGATTCTCCATCAATACGCCGCCCGTCCAGGTTCAAAGCACAAATCCGACATCATCGACAGCTATATCACACCCATGTTCGTCCGACTCGAGCTTATCTACTCTCTCTTTATGATGGACCAACGCGGAGCAGAGTACAATGTGATTGTTGAGCCTTTGGAGCCTGAGATGCCCAGAATACTCTCCAGCCTGCTACAAGCTCGCCAGCTGTTTGTCTCGATATGCTGCTATCGCCATCATGCGAAATTTCGAGGACAGGCGTGGCATTATGGATCACCAAGTTTCCTTACAGTGCGGCAACTGTTCCTGACTTGGCATCGCCTCGTGACCACCTATCAAGCGGAGCTCTCGAGTACTTCGGAGGCCGAACAGCAACGCATTCTCATAATGCTTTCACAGTTTCGCCTGCTCTACGTCGCCTTCGTCTACTCGGCACGTATTGACCTCCATAAAATAGAGGAGCACCTGCGGCCAGCCCGTGTCGAGCTCCTGGAGCCGGAGCAAGTGGTCATGCGGTACGATCTTCCTGGGCGGTACGTACGTCTGTTGGCAGGGTTGGACTGGGAGTCAAAGCCGTGGGAGGATCCTATGCAGGTGAGACTGTGGCCCGTGGCTGATATTACCCACGCTCGTGAGGAATCAGCATCGATGACGCTGAAGTTCTATGTATGAGCCTGCGGAGGACGACAATATCCACCCTGGAATCCATATCGATCACTACGAAAATGACCGGAGTACGAGCATCGGCTCGAATGAGGCGTTACTGAGCCGCCTTGACGACTCGCTCCTCCTAAGCCATATTCGGTTTAGAAACGGTCAAGAAGCGCCAAGTTTCCTGGCTCGATCCTTCGCTATATCACACATTGCCTGTTGCAGAAAGTCAGCACATCTAGCCCGTCGACCTGAGTTACACGACAGGGTAGTTGTGACTTACTTGAATAGCATCAATCTTCTCCTGCCGCAGATCCGCCGACTTGATGCGCCTTTCCATATCTTCCATGATTACAGGTCTTGGTCGTCCGTTCACGAATGTTCTGTCGAATAGGTATTAGCCACATGTCTGCATAGTGCATGGGAACAGGCCGTACACGTAACGCAAGCCAGGGAAAGTTGCTTCATAGGCTCGATTCAAATCTGCTAGCTTTTCCGCGACGCCCTCAGCTTCGGCTTGGGCCTGACTATCGCGGCCGGCAGCAGACTCAGCAGCTTTCATAGCAGCTTGTTCCTGGCGGCTGAGCGCGCTGTCGACCTTCTTCTCCCCAAGTCGTGGATGGGCGCCAAGAATGACATCAAGCCATTTCTGATCAGACTCAAGGTCTGAGTTGAGTAGCGTATTGAACTGCTCGCCCACCAGGGCTATCAGGTCAGCGTAAGACGAGAATGTGGTCTCCGCAATCGGCGTGACGGAAAGAGTATGAAGCTGCGTGCTGGGCTCGAAAAGAAGGTCTAAGATCTGGGCCCGCGCGACTGCATCAAGGTTTGGAACATCTGCGATAGGCGGTAAAGAAGGGACGTCTGAGGCCATGATGAACTCCAGTAGGTCACCTTCGGAAGATTCGAAGTTACTAGAATGTTGACACCTCGTGGCCTTCTCAACGACACCATGGGTAGTCCCGAGCCTCATGGCATGGTGCCCAACACGAAAGAAAGCGTGAGCTCGCGGGGTTCACCTCTTGGCGCCATTCGGCTCGGCCTCCATACCCTGATAAAAGTCCCCTGCACCTTCCAGGGGCGGCTTGCAGTAGCGCACTGAAATATTCCGATGTACGGATACTCCGTAAGCAATGCAAACATGGCACCTCGCAAGCTCATTGAATATCTTTGTAGTCATCCTTCCTGAGTCAGTGTAATGTATTTGTTTCAAAGAAAGTCCCCAGTGCACAGGGTCAGCGCACCGCTGTCGACGAGGCAGGCTAAAGCCTCAGATTGATAACGTGAGTCTATATTCAAAGTTCCCCCACCTTGCGGGTATCTGCAGCGCTGTCGACTCGCTTACGCGATATGCATCAGCCCGCCCGTCATCCACATGTTCAGACTGATCCATGGGTGCTCAAGTTTCTATGTTTCAAAAGACCAAGATGAAGCTGCTGAGCGGCGGCAGAGGTTCGCCGAGCTGGCTTTATTGACGTGATCTCTCTTATGACTTGCAGACGAGGTTTCTGGCTAGTACCTGAATCTAATCAGGAAATTATACAGGGGGCAACCAGCCGTAACTAGGCCGTCTCGGGTCAAATCCCGTGGAGTGCCCCCTGAAACGTACTCACCGTAAAGCTGAATCGGCTTGGTGCATTGATCTCCAAAGGCTATCGTCGCTCACCAATGACAGGCCAAGCAGCCGGCTTTAACGACTTGGCCATTCTGAGCGCGCTCTGCAGTAGGCTTCGCGGTTCGTCTCAGGGCCTAGGGCCAGTACTCCGTAGTGAGGACCACTTCTCCTCCCTCCCTTCCTATCTCAAACATTTGCACAATGTCCCTCGGTCTCTTTCTTCGCTCCCAGATCTCACCACGGTAATCTGTAGCATGCGATGAGTTTGGCGGGCTTAGACACCCCGGCGGTTGTCGAAGCCCACCAGGCTTCGATAGCCGATCCCACTGGATGGTATGTCCGCCCATGTTTCCTTCGCGACGCACTCGGGACTAATTTTGCACTCAGGTTCTTGCTCAAGTACGAGGACGGCAGCCGGGACACTGTCGAGGTCTTCAAAACGGGCACGGGCGGTGTCCCTGAAGCTCGTAATGCGGTTGAGTCGTATCAAGAAAAGTCTCCCTTGTACGGGATGGTGCAGCACCGGAGGAGAAAAGTGATTCTCAAATATGTTCCTGAAGGCACATCGCGCATTCTACAAGGTCGGTTTATTCACTCGCAAACGGGCCGCAGTCATTAACGTGGTCACAAGTACGCCTAACTGTGCAGTTTCAAACCGTCGTCGATGCATTTACACCTCACGACTTCGTATTCTCCTTCATCACCCCCAGTGAGCTGTCAGAGCCTGCTATCGGCGTTCAGACCATGCTTGCCCCTTCTGCAGGCTCGATAACCTCTTCAAGCTCGTCGTTGCGACGGCGCAGGCTAAAAGACATCTCCGAAGATGCCGAGGAGCCCGCCGCAGTCCCACCTGAGAAGACTTCACCGCTGTCAAAATCAGAAGAGAAGGAATCCGCGCCTGTCCAGCCAGAAGAGAAGCGTGAAGAGGAGGCTGACGAGTTGCCGGCAAGCGCGTTGCGGGCGAAGGCGCTCCTAGCCATGCGCATTTCCCCAGAGATTGATATCACCGATCACGACGACCCAGCTTCTCGGCCGCGATCAACAACTTCGCACAAATTATCGGGTGCTGACGATCCCACATCGTTTGACACAGCCCCCATTCTGCCTCCAATCCCGATCAGCCCGGGCCTGGACAAAGATCTGCCTCCTCCGCCTGAGGCTGACAGGGAGGGGACTCGAGAACACGCAGGGGAGAGGGGAGAAGAGAATGTCGACAATTCCGAAGAGCCTCAAAAACAGCTGACAATCGATCAACTGAGACAATCACCTCATCTATCGCAAGCGGATAACACCAGCATTAGTCGATGGAGCAGTGATGTTGCCGCATACACGGTAAAGCCCAAGAAGAAGAAATTAGGTCCACGCCCTCACGTGGATCCGCCTGGTCGACCTCGAACATCGAATCTGTCGGACACCGGCGCAAGGCCACGTCCAGTCGCCAATCTTCCCACTACCGTCAAAGTATCCTCAGACAGAGCAAGAGGCCCCCCGCTCTCCTTCAGGCCGAGCTCGCAGCAGTCATCGAAGAGTGTCCCAGGCCGATTTCCCCCGAATCATCCCATGCTTCCTCCGGTACCATCACCAACACACATGTCAGGCTTTTTCCGTCAAGAATCTCGATCAGTCATGCCCAAAACGCCATCACTGACCTCCGAGATCCCATCGGGGGCAACCCCTGAGAAGATACGCCTCATGAAAGCCTTGCAGCTCCGGAAGCGTAACATGCTCGCGGCCCAGCGAGCATCTATGGTGCAAGAGGCTGAGATGGAGTCTGGAGAGAATGGTAATCTAGCTGATCCAAAACTAGTGTCCAGTACTGCTTCTCCAACAACTGCTACAAACGCATCGGAAGACCACTCGAGGGCAGAAGAATCATCTTTCACCAGTCGTGATGAACCACTCCACCGGCAAGCGTCCTTGTCATCAGACACAAGCTCCTCTATAACCCCAAGGGCCAAGGCGGAGCTGGAGGACAAGCCACCAAAAGCGTTGGCGAAGGAAGAGCCTATCAGAGCGGAAATCGCGCCACGGGCTCCGCCCAAGAACGAAAGCGAAGAAAAGGAGACTAAGGCGTCCGTTAAAGCATTCGAGGGTGGAGACGAGAAGGAAGCAAGAGCAGCTGTTGGCTCCTCGATTGAGACGTCACAGGGTCACAGAACCGCTCCCGTTGAGTCACGTCAAGCCGATCCAAAAGCATCTGGCGACGATAGCGCCGCTGTGACCTCCGCCCCGAGCAGCACAGCTTTGCGGGAGAAGAGAGGCCTCGCAGTACCACAGCCACTTCATATCTCGGCAGGTGCTGAGCTTTCGGAGCAATCTGATGGCGAATCGTTCATGGATGAATTGGCTAACGCAACAGTCCATGAGGCTAAGCCGGTCCTAGTCGGTCGCACGCCAGTGACCCCTATCATGTCCGCCCCGGCTCTCAGAGACTACAAAGATGGTAGCCACAGTGGGGAGCCGACCGTGCAGCCTCGATCAAGCTCTTCTGGACAACTGGAGAAGCCCAGATCATCTAGTGGACGCAGCACTTCCGCTCTCCCACATTGGCCCCCTTTACCCACAGAGCCTGTCCCTCAACCACTTTCCAAGAAGTCTACCTTAGGCTCAGGCATATCCAAGAGGATCAAAGCTCTGGAGGTTTTGTCCACTCGTGACTCCACGAGTCCACCTCGTCAATCAGTACGTGACATACCCTCAAAGCGGTCAGCTCTTGATACTTTTATGAAGCGTTCGTCGTTTATGAAACAAGCACCAAATGCATCGACTGACCAGTCTCCGCCTAAAAAGCTACCCGAGAGCCAGTCGATGGCCCCAACAGTGAGAACTGCTATGTTTTCCCGAGGTGGTGAGAATGAGAAGCCCGGTCTGTTCGCTCCTGCTCCCAAAGGCGAGGCCGTTTCTGTTACTGCTCGGATCGTTCGAGACCACGACCTGGTGCCACCTTCAACAGCCCCTGGAGATTTGAACCTGCACCGGAGTCCACTCATTGTCGAGCATGAGAGGCCTGGCGACCAACGACCCTCATTCAGCAGAGATTCCAAGATGCAAGATCCACCTCGAAGCCCGCAAAAGGGAGCGCGCTTTTCCTTCTCTTCATATCGATCGGCGAATCAAGCAAGATTGAATACGGCTGATTCGTCAAGCAAGCTTTCGTTCACCAGTAAGGCGAAGATCCCGCGGTCAGTGAGTGATAATTCATCTCTGTCCGAGGATAAAGCCAAGGGAAGTCGGGCCCAGCGCCTCATGAAGCGAGTGTCGAACCTAACAGGCAGACGAGGCACAAAGAACCTGTCATCTTCCTCCGTGGTTGATTTCCATCCTCAGGAGCATCCCGACACTATCGAAGAGGAGCGCAACGAACGGAATGGCTCTGTAGCAGAAAGCTTGCTCCATGTTGTTGACATTGGCGATGTCAACGTGCAATTTCCGGAGACACTTCTCTGGAAGCGCCGGTTTATACGAATCGATGATCAAGGATATCTCATCTTCTCGCCACCAGCGAATGATCCCAATTTGCGAAACGTTAGCCGCAAGTTCCACCTGGGCGACTTTCGACAGCCGACTCTGCCCGACTTGGAAAGAGAACAAATGGCATGGAGCGTATTGCTGGATTTAAAAGATGGAAGTTGTATTCAGTGTGCTTGTGAGAACCGAGCCGCGCAGCAACAAGTTCTACAGAGTAAGTCAGCACATCTTCCACTAGAACCCTGGACTAACAACTGGCAGTGCTCGTTGATGCCCACAGCGCTTATCACCAACTGTATGTTAATTAATATCTTCGAAGTTGTACATAAATGCACGTTCACGACGGCACGACTTTGCTGGCGTTTTGGGGAAATCATTTCTGGATGAGTACCTCTGGCGACATGCGCGTGGAGATACCCGAGTCACGTCCTGGGTCGCATAAGCAGCCACAGCTTGTCACTGTCCCTTCTGAATTTTTAAGACTTCTTCGACCACTGGCAGGATATCAGTGTATAGGACAGAGAGGGCCGGAAGTCCACTGAAGTAGTCCAGTGCCTCAATATTACGATGACTTACAAGATCTCACCTATTCAAAATGCTCAACACATCGGCCATAGTCTTGACGGGCACCTGGCAGATGACCCGAAGTTGTCAGCTCATGCTGTATTCTATTTTGGTGATAGACATCTCTCCAAGACCCCATTGTCACTTGTTCTGGATCTAAAGCGGCGAACCCCTGAGCAAGTAAACAAACGAGTGACGTAGCGCAAGGCTGAGGCAGTGAGTGAACAGGCTGGCAAACTTCCCGTTGCGGCGGATGTCTGATCGCAGGTGCTTGGAAATCAATTCTCCAACGGTATACCCGGATACTCTTTAAATTCCCGAATGTCCTTTGCTCCCGCCCAGTCCTAACATTCTGCCCGTACCCAACAATCATCAAGACACTACGCCAAGCGCGAGACACAGGACTTCAGATCAACCACCCTCGAACAACGCCCCCCGTCCCCCGGGACCATCATGGTCCGCCTACTCTCGTATCTCCTCCCCCTCCTCCCCCTCGCCCTCGCCGAATCTGTCACAGTCCTTGACCCCAAATCCTTCGACAAGGTCGTCTTCAACAGCAACAAGCCTGCCCTTGTTGAGTTCTATGCACCCTGGTGCGGTCACTGCAAGAACCTCGCTCCTGTCTACGAAGAGCTGGCCACCGCCTTCGCATCCCAGTCTGATAAGGTCACGGTCGCCAATGTCGACGCCGACAATCACAAAGATTTGGGCAAGAAGTTTGGCGTCACTGGCTTTCCCACTTTGAAATGGTTCGATGGCAAGCCGGGCTCGACGCCCGAGGACTACAAAGGTGGACGTGATCTGGAAAGCCTGACCAGCTTTATCACCGAGAAAACAGGCATCAAGCCTAAGGCGGCTAAAAAGGCTCCCAGCTCGGTTGTTATGCTAGACGACAAGGCCTTCAAGACTGAAATCGGCGGTGAGAAGGACGTCCTGGTGGCGTTCACTGCGCCGTGGTGTGGTCGTATGTTACACTTTGTCTTCTAACCCATTCTTCGTCCATGCCGTACCCGAGCTCAAACCCGAGTCCAAGCAATGGCTAATGTTTTCAATCTGACAGACTGCAAATCCCTCGCTCCTGTCTGGGAGAAGGTTGCCGCCGACTTCGCCGCAGAGCCATCGGTTCTTATCGCCAAAGTCGATGCTGAAGCCGAGAATGCGAAAGCAACTGCCCAAGAGCAGGAGATTTCGGGATACCCCACCATCAAGTTCTTCCCCAAGGGCTCCAAGGAGCCAGAGACCTACAGTGGCGGACGCTCCGAAGACCAACTCGTCGAGTTCGTAAACACCAAGGCTGGCACATACCGCATGACTGGTGGAGGCCTGAGCGTCGCCGCAGGCACCATCGAGGCCTTCGACGACATTATCGCCAAGTATATTGGGAAGGCGGAGTGGGAGAAGGCTGGCGCGGAGATCCAGAAGACCGCCGAGGGCGTGACGGGCGCGATGAAGGATTACTATCTCAAGGCGCTGGCCAAAGTTACTGGGAACCCGGAGTACGCCATGAAGGAGCAGACGAGATTGGCCGGGATCTTGAAGAAGGGTGGACTGGCCCCGGAGAAGATTGATGATCTGCAGAGGAGGAGCAACGTCCTTGCAAAGTTTCTGGTCAAGGAGGACGATGAGGCGAAGAGCGAGCTATAGAATGGCTCAAGCGTTTTGCGTCATGGGGAAAGGGATGCTTCGCCACAGCTGACGAGACCTGTTCTCGTGTAGACGCGCGCAAGTAGTCTCGCTGAGGAGCGAACGTGGACCATGAGGAGAAAAAGTAACATAAGGAAATACTTGTACGAAATCACCATGACAGTGGATATCTCTTTGGTAGCTCTCAGCTTTGCCCACGACGAGATTCAGTGTGCGACGATGTCCGACACTGAAGGCCTCTGGACAATTATTGGTTAGTGAAGTCATCGCATACTCGTATCTTACACCTTCAGTCGCTGTTCCCACTTCTCCGAGTCTTCGGCCAAGCTGACTGTGCCGCCTCCTCCGCTATACGAGTCAATGAGTCCTCCGAGATCATCACTACACCAGAAGCGGGACTTGGCTGTAGACCGAGTCGCATGACGCTTGCTCTGGCGCTCGGAGACGTCCACATCTGTGACTTGACACCCGGCTGCAGCCCGATAAAGGGGTTGCCCGAGGTATAAAACCAAGGTGCTGGCGCCGTGTGGCTGCTTGGTGGCACTGGCTGTAGTTAAGCAAGCTACGGGGGTTGTTGTGCCCATGCCTGCGGCTTCGGGATGGCGGAACAGTCGCGTACTTGGTGGTGTGCGAGGCGTCTGTGGCGAGCAGCGCTTGGGCCTTTGGACGTCCTGCGATATTTCCGATTTTCCAACGTGAGGAAGTCGTGAGGTGTATCGCTGGTTATGCTCCCACGGCAGGCTTCATTTAGTGGTAGTGCGGCGCCCCCGACTTCGTTACCATGGTCTCCAAATATCTCAATCGCGCTTCAAGTCTCGCGTCTAGCCTGTAGTATCGCCGTCCTTCGCACTCTCACCAATGCCCAGGCCCTTCACAGCACCACTATCCCTCAAGAGGATCTCCTGCTCCAGTCGGTCGCAACGCTCGGCCATATCGTCCAGTCGCGTCAGTATCTCATTGCTTATGTTACTGAATTTCTTGTCCAGGTCGCCCAAGAAATCATCAATCGCTTCGGCGAGGCGGTGGGATGCCTCTTGCGCGGTGGACGTGGACTGTGTCGTGGGGTCGAGTTGAGCCGAGGTGTTGGCTTGTAGTTGCTCCTGAGGAGGCGGCGAAGTTGCAGACATCATGGAATGTACAATCGAGTCAGTTTATAGGCCTGGACCGGACCAACGCTAGTCGTGTCGCGGCGAGGGTCCAGAGTTCTGAGAAGGGACGTCGCTAAGGAAGCTAGAGCACGCGTAATGTGTGGTTCGGGATGGAGTTGCGGAGACTTCAGTGCCGTCAAGGGGCAGCTGGATCAAAGCTGATGTTCGCAGAAGGATCGATTAGATCTCGAGCCAATCTGTCAATACGTGCGGCGTCGGAGTCGGGGTCGTCGAGGTCGCAACAAAGCCGTTGGATTTGGCGCTAACCAGAAATAGTAAGGAGGAGCTTATCGATAAGCTCGCCTGAGTTTGGCAGGGCAGAAAAAGTTGCCGTGTAAAAGCAGAACCACCACTGCCTTGTTCGGCGACTTGTAGAATTACTCTTGCTCCTCCAAAATTCCTAAGAAGCTCAGATCAACTCTCCCTCCTTCGAAAGGTCGGCATGGTCAAGAAAAGCAAGCTCCTTGCGGCGCTCGACGCTCACAAGGGACGCGACTATGAGGCGGAGAAGCGCAAAAAGGCGCTGAAAGCAGGCGAAAAAGCAAAGAAGGAGAAGGTCGAACGGAAGTTGCAGCAAATGCAAGAAGAACAAGACGCCGCTATCGACTCCGTACCGGCTCTGAATGCTGACAAGGCGGCAATCAGAGACAACAGCTCGGGAGAAGAGGGTGATGTTGACGGCGTGCACCTTGATGCGGAGGATGCCGCCGAGCATCTTTCAGACTCTGCCAATGAGGAAGATGAGGATGAGGACGACGACGAAGACGACGACGACGAAGACGACGAAGACGAAGACGTTGCACTATCAGATCTGTCTGACGAAGACAAAGAAGATACCGTCCCACACCAACGCTTGACCATAAATAACGGCCCTGCATTACTCGCTTCGCAATCACGGATCGCCTTACTAAGGAAGCATCCTCGCAAAGAAAAGGCGCCATTCCACATCCATAATTCTCTAATATCATCAATGCCAGCTGTGTCGGCCTCTGTGACTGACCCCAATGATGATCTTCTTCGCGAGCAGGAGTTTTACAAGGTCGCTCGAGCAGCGGCTCTCGAGGCGCGGTCACTCCTCAAGAAAGAGGATGTTCCATTCACACGGCCTAGCGATTACTTCGCTGAAATGGTCAAGAGTGAAGGGCACATGGAAAGGATTCACAAAAAGCAATACGACGATGCAGCTCAGCGCAAGGGTCGTGAAGAAGCGAGGAGGCAACGTGACGCGAAGAAGTTTGGCAAACAGGTACAGGTTGCGAAAGAGCAAGAAAGAGCGAAATTGAAGCGGGAGACGCTGGATAAAATCAAGGACCTGAAAAGAAGTACGGACACTCGTCACCATTCTAGAATCTTGCTAACTTTCTGCAGAACGAAAAGGCAACCCTTCAGAAGCCACTCGCGAAGGAGATGGCGACATGTTCGACGTTGATGTTGAGGCGGCACCAAAACAGTCACGGACAGGCCGAGATCGAGATGGCAGCGGTTCTAATGCCAAGCGTCAGAAGAAAGACTCAAAGTTCGGTTTTGGAGGCAAGAAGCGATTCTCGAAAAGCGGTGATGCGGAGAGCAGTGCGGACATGCGTGGCTTCAGCAGTGCGAAAATGAAAGGCAAAGGTGGCGGTGCCAAGAAGCGTCCGGGCAAGAGTAGGAGGGCTGCTGGTCGGTGAATGCATATTTCAGTCAGCTTTCGTCGAGCGCGACGATGCACCAGCCTCAAATGAGCTGTCAATACCATCAAGTTGGGAGCCAGCATTGCGCATGCCTGAGATTCTACGAATGCAACGGCCAAGATAAGGCCCGCCAAGACAAGGCTGGTTCCCCTGGAGGCCTACTGAGCTACCAGGAATGCTTCTCCTGCTGGAATGTGCGGGTACTCGCCTCACCCAGCCACTTGCGGCTGTGTTCGTCTACTGTCGCCGCCACCTCGTGGTATAGAATGTGTCTGTCCAGCAACATTGTGAAGCAATGCCTCTGCTGGGCTTCTAAATGTCACGATACCTGCCACACGCCTCAACATCTACAAAAGGGAGGTAGCAATCGCAATAGACCGTGAGATGCCAGACCACAGCTCTGATACAGACCAGACTTACTTTCGTTATCACGGAGCTACTCCATTCGTGCTTTCACGACTCTATATTCCCCGTGTACACAATGCTTTCAGTGCTGCTCACGGTTCTTCTAATGGCGACTCAGTCGTGTGCTTATGTTCAGATGTCATGGCCCTATCCCCTTCGAAGCCCGCGTGACCCTGCTGTCTTGGAAAATCTGAAAGACTATGACCTATCTTCGCCCCTCAGGAACGATGGCTCAAATTTTGCCTGCAAAAGATATCAATACAGCGATACGAATCCTCAAGCTGATGAGATCAAAGCAGTGTACGATTCTGGGAGCGTGTACAATATCAGCCTCGTCGGCGGGTCCACATACAGTGGCGGCTCGTGCCAGATATCCCTCTCTTACGACAATGGTCAGACCTTCAAAGTCATCCAGTCGATCATCGGAGGTTGCCCACTGACACCTAACTACAACTTCACTATCCCAAGCTTCGCCCCCTCTTCTAACACCGTGCTACTCTCGTGGTCATGGTTCAATCTTCTCGGCGACCGCCGGATGTATCAAAATTGTGCCCGCGTACAGATCGCCGGAGCTGCTCCTTCGCAACGACACCGTCGTGGACCCGGCTCGTACATGTCAAAGCGACAGTCATCCATGGACGAGCTTCCCGACATGTTCACTTGCAACATCGGCAATGGCTGCATGACTGTCGAGGGTCGTGAAGTTGTCTTTCCTGACCCTGGTCCTAACGTCGTGTACGGCCAAGATGCTGTCGTGGTTGATCCAGGTTCGGGTATATCATTCGAGGGAGCCAGCACGACTCCAGCGTCATCCTTGTCCCCATCCACAACGACCACCATGGATACCACCACTTCTGAACTAGCCTCATCCACTTCACTGTCGACAACTTCAGATTTGGCTACTTCGACAACTGAACCCATTGACACCACCTCGTCATCCACATCGACCACCATCGATACGACAACTTCCGAACTAGCCTCACCCACTTCACTGTCGACGACTTCAGAGTTCACCACTTCGACCACTGAACTCAACAACACCACCTCGTCATCCACATTTACGCCCCCTTTCCCCATGCCTAATGCTACGACTACTACAGGTGGCACGATGAGTGGCACCTTGCCCTATACCCCTTCTGCTTCTTCCGAATCATCTAGCGCGACCTACACGTTCACCTCGCTGGACTCGACCACTGAGACATTCACACCGATTCCCTCATCCACATCCTCAACTTCGACCGATATCCTTTCTGCCTCTAGCTCTGTTAGTGATCTCACGACCACCTCTCTCACCGCGACTTCCACCTCCACTCTCACCACCTCCCCTCTCGCCTCCTCAACCGTCGACTCTTCCACCTCGTCGTCGTCGTCGTCCTCCTCCTCCTCCTCCACCACAATCGTCGTATCTTCCACCTCCACTCTCATCACCTCCACCTCCTCCACAATTGTTGCCTCCTCCACCTTCACCACAATCGTTACCCCTTCACCTTCCACCCAATCAAGTACTGCTTCCTCCTCCACCCCAACCGCCACGGCTTCCTCCCTACCCTTGCCCTGCCAACCGGGCACTTTCGCCTGCAACTCTCCCACGTCCTTCTCCCAATGTGTGCCAGCCGCAGACGGCGGCACCACCTACACCTTCATGGGCAGCGTCGCCGCCGGCACGACCTGCGTCAATGGACAGATCATCCGAGAGAATGCAGGGCCCTGTTCGCCCAACGGCCAGATATTCTGCAATGGGGACATGGCGTTCTTCATGTGCGACCAAGGCGGGTTGGTGAGCATGGGATCGACGGCCGCGGGCACGGTTTGCCAGAATGGAGTGATCGTGGCCGCACGGTAGGATTGTAATGAGGATAATGGGGCTGTTTGTTTATATGGCGTTTGACATGATGAGACATGAATGATTATTGGACACGGGTAATGATTACGACGGCTTGATATACCACATAGTTATAGCGGACTGGAACCAAGGTGATAAAATGTGAAACCTTAATGAATAATATTCAGTATACAAGTGATGGCTGTTCTTGTTGGCTGACTTATTTTGATCCATCACCGAAGATTCGAGTCGTCGGGATGCAAAGCGCAAATACTCCAATTGGGCATGCACGCTTGACCCCTAGTCTCTTTGTCCCACGTGGTCCAGCTGCGTTGCATCGCAACACGCTCGCTATATTCAGTGGCATGGTCTGACCAGACTTTGTCTCTGCCCTCTGTAAGCAAGGGTCCGAGCCAGCGGTAGACAACAATGATCAGCCAGATCTGACGGCGGCCAGACGCGTCCGGAGACAGGCTCTCTCGGGATTGAAACATGAACTGCGTTTTGCAGCCCCTGGTGAAGCAGGTTCCCTTGCATCTTCCAATGATCTTGTCCTTGGCGAAGTCTTTCTTGTCTGGCTCGGAGATGCACGGTGGACCTTTGACTCCAGGAGGTAGCTTCTGGGTGTTGATGCACGATCGGCAGAACTTGCTGAGGATGTATGGGTCGCCCAGCTTGATATGCGGACACAGACGGAAGTCGACAGCTTGAAGAGCGTCCGAAACTTTTTTGACTTGGAATATCTCCTTATACATACCAGACGAACCACTGGTGCCACGGGTGTTGTACAGGGGCGATGGAGCTTGCATTAAGCCAATTTTGGAGATCAGCAGAGACTGTGACAATGGATTCTCAAGCTCCATCTGCGACGTTCCCTTCTCCGGCCGGTCAGCTATCGATCTGTGCCGGATGGTGTCTCTGCATCGTGAACAGGGCAACAGGCTCTCGGCACGAAACGGCGATGCTGGATCGGCTTTGACATGTTTCAAGGATTGGTTGTAGCTCAAATGCTTATGAGCACAGAGCCAGACCTGGCGGCAGTCTCGTTGCAGAGGCTGCTGGCGAACTTCTGAGGATGGGAAAGCTTGACGGGGATGAAGCTCTTTGCAATTACCGCAGACAAGCCGCTCCAGTTGAGTTGGATCCTGATCGCGCTCAATCATGCACAGAAACTCAAAGAGTTCTGCACCGACTAGGTAAAACGATTGGGTCTTGTACAGGTGATAGAAGCGACAACAACTCTGTCGCAGGCTGACCTCGCTGCTAGGCGACAGGTATTCTTGGATCTTGAGCAAGCATTCGGTTGGCAGAGCCAAGAAGCCTGCTTCTACATTGTTGAAAATCGTCCTCTCAGACCATCCTGTGTTTACGGAAGTACATTTCTGACGAGGAGATCGGTCGACAAGATCCGTGTTAGGAGCAAAAGACAGCTTTGTTATGAGCTGCTCATCCGACGGCGTCAAGGTCAGATGCCGGCTCGGTGCGGTCGACGATGATGGCTCGGCGTCCGGCACCGACTTGGTACGAGAAAGCTTTCGCTTGAATTTGCCGATCATTGGTTGATATCCTGAGCTCTTGTGGGAATGAGAGGGACCGCCAGAGGTTTCAAGAACTGAGAATCCTGGGGACATCTTTTCTACGACCAGGCTCTGGTCTGTTGCCACTGCAGATATTCTAGACTTTCTGGTCTGCGGGTTGAGTACTTGGTGAGGGGCTTACTGCAGGGTGGACGGTGTCTCGCCAACCAATCGGTTATAGGCTCACCCCGCGAGAGGCAAGCTGCCGCTCTTTGCCTGCTGGATCGGCCCCCCAACAGCAAAGGCAATGCCGTCAGCGCCACGAGTGAGGCAAGTAAAGGGACGAGCCACAAATGCTTTTCAAGCGTCAACGGAGCGTGTCCCTTGCTTGAACGCGCTTTCTGCCTCCTGACGCGCCAAGACCGTTCGATCGTGACGTCAACCAATCTGTCAGCGGCGTCGTTATGGATGAAAGATCTGGTAGGTCCAAAGCAGCTGCAAGGTAGGTTTCTTTTACTATCTTATGTTTACTTGCGCGTTTAGCACGTGCGGTTCTTGAATGTACGGGAGGCAGTTGTCCCTGATAGCCACGTCGCGGTATTTTTCGACACCCTCTGCCGGGCCTTCCAAGCAATTCTTCAGATACAGGTCCACGGGTTCGTCGCCACTGATCATGCCAAAACGGAAGAGGGCATCAGAACTCACCAATGGAGACTCTGAAATACCGACGTCCGTTGCGCCGCCTCCCGCTCTACCGCGTCGCCGATCAAGTACAAGGAAAGCATTGCAACCTGCTCCTGCTGCGGTCGATCCCAATCCCGACACCAATGCTTTTATAAAGGACGGACAGAGCGCTCTTCGCGCGTCGCCCGATGGCGAGGTGGCGCCTAAGCCCAAGAAGACCTCAAAGGGTGCCAAGAAGGCAGTCAAATCCTCCGCCCCGCTGCTCAAACAAGAAGAGGTTGAAAATGCTGTCCCAGCAATTGTCACTGGTGAGAGCCAGGGTCAGGGTCTCCCAGACCCTGAAGCCGAAGGTGACGAAGAGGCAGACGCTGAGGAGCTGAAAGAGGCCTTGGCACGACCACCTCCTGTCAACAGCTCGTACCTACCCTTGCCATGGAAGGGAAGGCTGGGCTACGCCTGCCTGAACACATATCTGCGAACTGCAAATCCTCCGGTCTTTTCATCGCGGACGTGTCGCATAGCGTCAATTCTCGAACATCGACACCCCCTGAAGGATTCATCCCAATCAGAACACCCGACCAAGAATCGGCCGGATAAGGAACAGCCAGCAGACATTGCAAGAGGTCAGGCATACGTCGAAGGACTGGGTCTAGCCAACGCCCGCGACATCGTCAAAATGCTTCGGTGGAATGAACGATTCGGCATCAAGTTCCTAAGACTCTCATCTGAGATGTTTCCCTTTGCCTCGCATGATGTCTACGGTTATAAGTTGGCGCCCTTCGCCTCCGAGGTACTAGCAGATGCTGGTCGTGTCGCAGCCGAGCTGGGACACAGACTAACCACCCATCCCGGGCAATTCACGCAGCTGGGCTCTCCACGTAAGGAGGTTATCACCGCCTCCATACGTGACCTGGAATTCCACTGTGAACTCCTCGACCTGCTCAAAATGCCTCCTCAGCAGGATAGGGACGCCGTTATGATTCTGCATATGGGTGGAATTTTCGGTGACAAGGTCGCCACGCTTGAGCGTTTCAGAGAGAACTATGCCAAGTTGTCCGACCCGATCAAAAAGCGACTGGTGCTCGAAAACGACGATGTATGCTATAGCGTTCACGACCTGCTGCCCATTTGTGAAGAGCTCAACATTCCATTGGTGCTTGACTTCCACCACCACAACTTGGTCTTCGACGCTGACAAGATTCGTGAGGGTACGCTAGATATCATGAATCTCTACGATCGCATCCGGGCTACATGGACTCGCAAAGGCATTACACAAAAGATGCATTACTCGGAGCCTACCCCGTCGGCTATCACCGCTCGACAGCGCCGGAAGCATAACCCCCGTGTTGCGACCCTGCCACCATGTGCACCCGACATGGACCTGATGATCGAAGCCAAGGATAAAGAGCAGGCAGTATTTGAGCTCATGCGTACATTCAAGCTGCCGGGCTTTAAGACATTCAGTGACATACTGCCACATGTCCGTGGTGATGAGAATAAGCCATGGAAGCCGCCCAAAAAGAAGACGCCCAAAAAGAAGACGCCCAAAAAGAAGGTGGGGGAACAAGTCGAAGAGGAACCCGAACCACAACCCCCACCTTTAATTCCCGATGAAGAGGTCGCTATGGGCGGGCCCGAGGGGCGAGTCTACTGGCCCCCAGGCATGGAAGAGTGGCTTCGGCCGAAGAAACGCGAGATCAAACCGAGAGACCCGGCCAAGATCAAGTCTACGGCTCAGAAAGCGGCGGAAAAAAGAGCGGAGAAAGCTCAATGGCAGGCTGCGAGAGAGGCCAGTGCTGAGCAAGACAGAGATGCATCAGCCTCCGTCAGCGCCTCGGAGCTTGTCAACGGCGCGACTCCCGTCAAGGATCTGGCAGCCTCGAAATCGGTATATGATAAGCCAAAAGCCTCGAAGCCTGTGAGGGCGCCAAAGTCAGCTAAGAAGGCGAAACCTGCCCCCACGCCTAGTACAAGTGAGGATGACGAGGCTGAAAACGGCGATGACTTGGACATGCCAGATCTCACGGATGACGAACATGCGGCGCCGATACAAGCTTCCAGGCCGGGTCGAGTCAGTCGTCGACAAAGTGGTAGAGCCACGAAGCGCGCCGTGAATTATGCAGATGCGGACGAGTAATCACAACAGCAGGTATCCGTCCCTCGTATCCCGCCTGGGGACAACATCTGTCCTTCCGTCACCGTAACATCATATGGCAAACGATGGCTAGGTATGACGCTTGGATATTCAGACAATTTGTCTTTACGTCACCGTTGATGTTGTGGAGTCTGTACCGATGAAAGGCAAGGGATGGCTAGAGTGCTAAGCCATCACGTGCCATGTATCAACAAGAAGATAGAAGAATTGTGATTCAGCAAAAGGCAACATGGCTGACCATATCTACTGCAAAGATCCTCGGGCCTCCAGCAGGTACCTGGAACTGAGATCTCGGCTGAGGCGCCGGGCGCACGGTGTGTAGAGAGGGGTTGAGGAGCACGGTGGGGGTAATGGCCCGGAGTGGATTCCGTGTCGGCGAGCAATGACATCTCCAAAAGTTAAGCTCGCCAGCCAGGCACACGTCACAAATCGCAAAAGCGCGTTCCTGAATGCCACCCAATGCCCCACGGCCATACGCAAATTCTGGCTGAAATAAAAATGACAATTGCCCGTCGCCCCATTTCGCTCCTGCTCGTGACATCTACATTCTGTGCTATTTCCGCTCTGCTCATTCCTCAACACACACTATCAGACTCCTCCAGCACACCTCACCAATACCAGCAACATGGGTTATCCAGACAAGTTCGAAGGTTTCATGATCAACGACCACGACAAGTGGACTGATTGTAAGAGAAAAACCTCCGTCACATTCATCTAGATGCTAACACTGCACAGTCAAGAAGCAAGAGGTGATTCCAGGCACCCGGACTCTTCCCAGTGATAGACTGACATCGGCAGTTCAAACCCAAAGTCTTTGGCGACAACGATGTCGATATCAAGATTGAGTGCTGCGGCGTCTGCGGTAGTGATGTACACACCATCAACGGCGGCTGGGGTGGTGCCCCTCTGCCTATCTGCGTAGGACATGAGATTGTTGGCAAGGCTATCAAGGTCGGGTCCAAGGTCAAGACCGTCAAGGAGGGCGACCGCGTTGGCGTTGGCGCTCAGATCTGGGCCTGCCTGAAGTGCCCTCAGTGCAAGAGCGATAACGAGAACTATTGCCCGCACCAAGTTGGTACGTTAACCACTTTCTTCTGCGATGTAGCTGACCGCCCCAGACACCTTCGGTGCCCCCTACCCCAAGGAGGTCGATCCGGACGAGACAATTACTCAAGGCGGCTACGCCTCACATATTCGTGCTCATGAGTATTTCGTCTTCCCTATACCAGACGCGATCCCATCGGAGCTGGCAGCACCCATGATGTGCGCGGGATTGACTGTCTGGTCACCTCTGAAAAGAGCGGGTGTTACCAAGGGCAAAAAAGTAGCGGTCGTGGGAATGGGTGGTCTCGGCCATTTCGCCGTTCTTTGGGCCGCGGGTCTCGGTGCCGAAGTGACTGTCATCTCGCACTCCCCACGTAAGAAGGACGATGCCATCAAGTTAGGCGCCAAGGAGTTCGTGCTCAGCAACGAGGAAGGCTGGGAGAAGCCGCTTGCGTTCAAGTTCGACTTTGTGCTCAACACCGCCGATATGACCCACACTTTCGACATCGCCAAGTACCTATCGATTTGCAACGTCAATGCTCCCTTCCACCAGGTCGGCCTGCCCGATGAGCCTCTTCCTCCGTTCAAGGCTCAGGGTTTCATGGCGAACGGTTCTTCTATTGGCGCGTCCCACATTGGCTCACGACCGGAGATGCTGGATATGCTCAAGTTCTCCGCCGACAACAAGCTATTCCCTATGGTTGAGACCCTGCCTGTTGGTGAGAAGGGTTGCGCAGAGGCTGTTGAGCGCGTTTCCAAGAACAAGGTTGCTTATCGCTTCAGTAAGTTGCTTTGTCCCATTCCGATCTCGGTGTGCTAACGTTGGCTAGCTTTGACCGACTACGAAAAGGCATTCGGTGCCTAAACATCCAGCTACATACGAGCTCAACGTCGCCCTTTGTGGATGGGTCAATGGGATGGGTTTCGAGTATCAGGCAGTGAATGAGTGGAGCCTTTTAAATGACGATGGTACAGGTAGTTCAAATGACATGACCGCCCTCCTCTGATCCCCTGAACTCTTTACCCCCACTTGGGAATGGAACTGCTTTGCTGTGACCCTGACGTCCAGTCGATGTGGTACGTGGTGAAGCACAAAGGAAGTTCTTTCTTACCGCTGGAGTCTTCAAGGAATTCTAAATGCGCAGATGTCCGACAATGGATCAGGGACAAAGAACATGTCACGACCATTGGGCAAGAGCCCGAGAAATTGTTTACCTGCGGTATAGGCCCGCTGTCCACCGAGGTTTGTCGGTGCGTTTCTCTCCCAATCAACTTGAAACAATCACATCGTGTCCTCGAAATGCGAGTGTCTGCCACAGCTTTGATACCAGCCTTGGTGGCCCTCGTCTCTGCGGTCCCTACACCAGACCATTACGCGTACACTAACAAAACTTTTGTCCACAACGCCCTCGACCTGGCCAGACGTGCATCTGGACCCAACATGAACCCTGCCGAGCCAAAATGGGGCTGCAAATTTGCCTTTTCCAGCAACTCTTGCACCAAAACTGGCACCTCTGAGAATGTTTTACCTCTCACTCTCGCAGCTAACCCGACAAAACCTGTGAACATAAGGCCTGACCAGCTCGGACAGCAGATCGGGGGTGCTTCCGGGTGCTACAGCCTGGGATCTAATTCCAAAGCGGCCGCGATGAACGATTTTTGGTTTCTTACCGATACCTGCGCGCGTGCGGACACTAGCAGGTATGATGTACGTGCCCCCACTCCTTTTCTCCGAGCTTATCAATGCCGCAAGCGCTCTCTGCTAACGCTGTGTAGGTCATTGCTGTCTTTGATACTACGGATTGTAGGAACAGTGGTAAGATGACGCAGTTTGACATTGGCAGCAGCTGGATCCGTAGTGGACGCAAAGGGTTCTGTAGAAAGACTAACTTTCCCATAAGAGGCGTACAGCTATGGCAGTGGCTGCCCAATACGCTACCAGGACAGTTGACAGGTTAAGATGGCGGGGCTGGCGGAGTTCAGGTGAGGGTAAAGCTTGTCCTTCGAATTTACGGTCAAATACCCTTCATTCATCACCCGGTCAACCTCTCCGCGCTCCACGTTGGCAGTCTGAGAACGGCTGAGGCGGGCTTTTTGACTTGGGGTAGATGCTGTACGCCCACAATAAGTGAAGTAAACCACCCTCCAGCGAACAGCAGACACGCCAAGACTTTTACTGCCTGAGATCTTAGGTAGCGTCTTCCGTGGTCGCCTCGCGACCAACAACGGAAGGGTGTCATGAGCAGTGACAGCATGGATATCACACTGCTTCTTCCAGAGTCAGCACGAACCAAAGGCGATTAGGGCTTCTATCGTTCAAGCTTTCGCGATATATCACCCGCATGAGTGATAACTGCATTCGCTCAAGCTTCGAGCATAGCCGATAAGCCCGAGAGGCTATGATGATGCCCTTGGTGGACAAGGCTAGACAGATGTGAGCACTGCTGACTATCAGCTTGCGGACACGTTCTTCACGACTACCTGCGCTGGACAAATGACCTGACAATGGAAGGACTTCACGAGGCGGCTTGGCCAGGGAGTGAGCCCCAATGATTGGTTGAATGGCATCTGGCTTCGCCTGGCCTTACTGACTAGGTGGGCTGCGAGAAATGCTGCTTTTATTGACGATGGTAGTTGGGAGCCTGGTCTCAGTTCGGTAGTAAAGGTTTTGTGACCTCGACCTCACATCCGAGGAGGTGATGCTTAGAACACGTCCAGATTCTACTGGCAAGGGGGATCGAGGTTTAGTTTAGTTTCGGGCCCCACATGTAGGGATCTCGGCGCCGAGCCAGAAGGTCCGTCAAATAGTCCACCCATGAACGCAAAGCTACTTGCAACACCGACCTCCTTCGCGGTCGTCATCCTTCATGGGGTCCTCGTCATATGTGCCGTCGGCACTGATGACTATGCGATGTCTAGAACCAGATTTCGAGTTTGTTTGCACCGTGAGAGAGGAGCCACGGCAACATCTTGAGCACATTTGTTCCTTGCCAACCTTGTTTCAACCATTAATCATTGTCAACCGAATACTCCTAGCCCATCAAAGTGACTGCTGATCTTCAGCGCGTCCTTTATTTAACAAGTATGGATCAGACCCAGTCAGGCGCAAGGTTTTCTTGCGAGCGATGTTTCCAGAGAAAGGTTAGGTGCGAGAAAGCCTATCCATGCCGAAGATGCGTCGACTCGGACCTCGAATGTATAGAACGAGTTCCTGCGGCACCAAGACGTAGAAGGCGCGAAGAACTGTATGTGACGACAACGCGCTCGTGATCCCTCCAGGTGACTAACGAGCAAGGCTCCTCGAACGGCTCCATCGTGCGAACCGGTTGTTGCGGACTCACAGCGCCGATGAAAGTGTCGGACGCAGCCCGTCTGCGGCTGCCAGCAGTCCTAGTTCCACACAGGGAAAGCTGATACTCACGAACGAGCGGAACGCACGTTTCGTCGACAATGACCTGTGGAACTCGGTTGGAGGCGAGCTCCTGGAAGCCCATGAGACCAACTACGAAGAGCATTCCGAGACCGACAGTAACAATGATCCAATCGACGACAGCTATGACCTTATACTCGAGCTATATTCCACCGGACGTACTAGCATTGTCACCCTGCACCCACCAGCCAGTGACATTTGGAAGCTCTGGCGCGTCTATCTCGACAACGTCAATCCACTGAGCAAGCTAGTCCATCGCCCAGTAACCGAGAAGCTTATTCAGAGAGCTTGTGAAGACGTAAGGAGTATCGACCGGGCAAGTGAGGCCTTGCTCTTTGCCATGTACTTCACAGCGGTCGGAAGCCTAAGTCCGGATGAGTGCCAAAATCTACTTTCAGACTCAAAATCGGTTCTGCAAAAGAGATATCGCTACGCCTGTAGGGGTGCGCTGGCTAGAGCCAAGTTCCTCAGGACTTCTGACTTGCGGGTGCTTACTGCTTTTGTGATTTATCTGGTTAGTGGTGACTTTCTGCATCGTGTTCAGGCCATGGCTATCTTCTCGGCCTCGTGAGCTGCAACCAAAGCTGACTTCTGTGTAGCTATCAGCGCGCACTAATATAGACGGCCGCACTTTATGGTCTCTGACAGGTGTGGCCAGTCGAATCGCCCAAGGACTAGGACTTCATCGCGACGGGGTTTCGTTGGGATTACCAGTATTCGAGACCGAGATGCGACGTCGATTGTGGTGGCAGATACTCTGGCTAGAATTTCGCTCTGCCGAGAAAACTGGCTCGACCCAGCTCGGCGAGTTCTACCATTTTGAGACTAAGCCTCCTCGCAATGTCGACGATATTGACATCTGGCCTGGCCAGACAGAAGAGGAGCTTGAAGAGGTGATGAGTCGGCGGGGCGAGGATCGTGCAACCGAGATGATCAACGTAGCGCTACGTTGCGAGAACGGAAACTTTTGGAAGGAACGTATGACGAAGGGCTCGACGCCGGCCCCAGGCTTAAACTATGCTCCCAACGCCCCCCAAGAAGATCCACGACACAATGACGACTTGATCGACGAGCTCGAGAATCGTGTGCAAGATAGATTCGTCCGCTACTGCGATCCGTCGGTACCACAAGAACTTCTCGCCATGATCCACATCAGGGGGGCTGCGGCGTATATGAGGCTCATGGCACACCACCCAAAGCAATGGAAGGGCCACACCCCGATACCCGAGGAGCAAAGACGGCGACTATGGGGCTGGGCAGTGAAGATAATCGACCTGGATCTCTTACTCTGCACCACACCATCCTTACAACGCTTCGCATGGCATTCGAATGAATACATTCAATGGCAGGCACTCGTCTACTTGCTGGAAGAATTGCGCAAGCATCCGACCAGGGACGACGCCGCCGAAGCTTGGGACAAGGTCGACAGTATCTTCGAGCATCACGCCATGTTTATCGACGTAAAGATCCCGCTGCATACTGCAGTCTGTACTTTGGCGCTGAGAGCCTGGTTGGCGAGAGAGCAAGCACTCCAAGAGCGAGATCCACAATCTGCTCTTCAGGTACCTCCGCGCATCCTGAGGATACGTCAGCAAAGGGAAGAATCGGGCAATCCTAATCTAGGAGGGTGGGCGCCGTCGCAGAGCGTGCCCGCACAGCCTAGCCAACAGCCACCGTGGGACTTTCACTCCGGCCCGTTAGGTCAGTCTTTTTCAGAGTCGATGGCAGACGCTCGAGCGAACGAGTACCTTGCTGCAAACGCTGATCCATTGCAAGCGGTTCACGACCATGCCACCAGCAACGGAGCAGGTCTCGACAGTGAGATGGACTGGGGGATGTGGGACTATTTGATCAACGACTATGAGAATACCGACATGACAGAGTTTTTAAGCACAGATATATAACGAATGTACGGTGAGATCCAGTCTCGATGCTCGACGATCCATTCCAGGCAGTAAAAGTCTTGGCGCTGGCCTCCCCAGGCTGGAAGTATTCTTTGTACTGCCGCCATAGACAGGCGAGAGACTTGGCTGCCCTGGTATCAGCTGTTTTCTCTGTTGAACTTCGAGCGCGTGACTTTTGGATGTGATAGGTGGTCCTTATTTTTCGAGACCAGCCACCCGAAGGTAGCAGTCTTCTCGAGATACATTCAACAACGGTTTCGGGCCGCACTACGCAATAGTCACTACGGCATCGGCAAAAGCTATCAATCATCTCCAACACGTAGGCGGATTCTATTCCGACATTTGTCCTTGTCCTGGGTAGAGGGTAGCTTACATGACCTACCATCTGCTTCGAGAGCCGTATCATCGCCGACGACTTCCCCAAGAACTTCCCCAGCACTCCAAGACACGGGGTTTCTAGAAATTAGCGGGATTGAAGCGAATCTCTTCTCGCGTCTCTATCATCTTGGCCTCGGCAGTATGGGGAAGCACAAGAAGACGGCATCCGAACATTCGGGATCATGTACGTACCCCAGAGTTGTCAACACCCGATGACTTCTGCGGGGTCATGCTAGATCTATTCTAGCATTCGTGTTCGGAATGGAACGGGGCCATGAGTCTTGTCACGCCGTTGCCCTCGGTCCAGTCGGGACAGTGTCCGTTTCATCGTGCGGGACGATTGTCGACAGCTGGCTAGCAACTGCTTTTTCCAGAAGAATTCTTTTCATATCCACAGCTCGAATTTTCAGTGGGTTTTATGTACTTGTACTCCATGCGCACATGTGGACAAGACAATATCGTGCGGCGCTGGACCAGTGGCGTTGACGATTTTCTTCCACGTTGCATCCCGGCGGTATGGAGTCAGTTATCGTGCAGGTGGAGAAAGAGATCGCAGGAACTGGACAAATGGCTGCTTGCAGCTCTGCAAAAGCCTAAGGGTCGTAGCCATGTGGCGGGTGGGGGTCGTTTAGTCTTTGCACGGAAAGGGTAGGCATTGGGAGAAGTGGGACATCTTGGACCATGAGAAGTTTTTTTCTTGCAAAATACAATAACATACCGGCTCGGGGTTGAATCACCGAAGTGGTTGGTTTGCCACAGGCAAAAATCCATGCTGCTCTGTGCACTAGACACGTGTGACCTTACTCTTCACATGGCAGAAGAATCTGAGCACGGAATGCGCAAAATGCGGAAGGCTAAAGTAACAACCACTGCGCAATGAGGGAGGGTTGATGGTCAGCTTCGGGGACGTACTTGGGACCCTGTGTCCTTGGCGTTCGATAATCGTGCATGATGCGTGGGTGATGACTGACCCTCGCACGTCCGGCTGACGGAACGCGACCGAATCCCCCTCTGCTCGATCATCGCAAGACCTCGGATTCTATCCCGTCGAAAGTTGTGAGTCAATTCGTGGATGCGAGTCAGAATCCAATGGTATTGTCGACGATGAGGTCAGTGGGAGAGGTGCAAGACTTCGCCAAGGCCGAAAAACACCCTCAGCTTCTTGTTTTCAGCTTTGCAGTGGCAGCGCGGGCTCGTGGCACAGAAATCTGGGGCATGCGGTAAGCCAGTGCCGAGGGAACACCTCAGGCCGCCGATAGCGTAATGTGGCGAGGGCCGTTCTTTTGGACCGCCTCAGGTGGCAACGATGGGAACTACAGACATGTGTTGTCGCACAATGAACGACGACGGGAGAACGTTGAGACCATGTTTAGCAAGGGCAGTGTGTAATCAGCCCTAAAATGCGACGGTGGCACGGTGCAAGATGCAGGTGAGGTTGCGATGAGTAAGAGGCCTTAAGGTGCGGTCCTATAGGCAGTTTGCGGGCAGTGGTTTTAGGCGCTCAGGCTGCCAGATTGACACCCCAACTCCTCAACTAGGCAGTAGCCCTCTCCGTCGGACTTGCGGACCAAGCTGCCAACTGCCAGCCTGGGATATCATTGATGAAGTCACCGCCGTCGCAACGACAGGCGCCGGAGTGTTTTGGCAGTCCGGATCACCCTCGTAGACGAGAAAAGGAAACAGGTTTGTTTCATCACGGCTCAACGTTCGGGTCCCGAAGAAGGCAATAGCAGCGACGATGTGAACGATGTGCAGGCGCAAGTCGCCGACGGCCCTGTGAATAATCATAAGAGCAAGCTGCTGTTAGTCGTCGGTCTCGTCCGCGCCTGTGGCCTCTCCATCACTCCTCTGTACTTTGTATGTGATCCGGAATCGAGAACCTGTCACCTGGTAGTAGTTCTGGCCCAGCATCCCACGCTACGCGGTATCGCTTGACCCATCACAAAGCGCATCACGGCCACGCGGACCTCACTGGATCATATTCGTTTTCGGACTGACCTCTGTAGTCTTTGGGGTTATTATCGAAACTCAGCCAGGGGCAAGACGGAAGCAAACCAGTCGCCATCGTCTGGTAGTCTCGCTGTCGACTCGCCGGACTATCATCGGCCGGTTGGCCTCTACTGAATTTAACCGGAGCAAATCCCGTTTGGGAACCAGCACTTCCAAGCCCTGGGTGGCCACCGGTGGTCCACCGAAACGACCGAGGCCTCCTTCCCCGAGGTCTTTCCCCCACGGAACGAGCTCCATCACCGGATCGGTGAGTCGACCGCCAGAATCGCTGGTCGCCGGACCCCTGCCTAGTCCTGGTCGCGGGACCTCAAGGCGCCATCCGCCCTCAGCCACGCCTCGGTGCTCACCTGGCCGCCAATTATACCAACTCCCGTACCACTTTGGGCATTTACCCAGCATTCTACGCCCGTTGACTGGCCCCAGAGTGTTCCAGGCGGTCAAAGACACCTCCAATTGCAATTGTCACGCTCTCGAGTCATCAGCTGCAAAAGTATTATTACTGCCTGGCCTGCTCCTGTTTCTCGTTCCGAAGCCACCTTTCTTCCTTTTCACAGCACTCCTCACTCTACTCCGTACTCCGGAAACGTCCACACACTTTACCGATCACATCAAGGAGGCTTCGCTAGAGAGCAGCCCCTGCACCGGAACCGAGGTCCCGCCGCGGTCTTGAAACTGACGGCCGGCGCACGGGATAGCGCCCAAAACTGTCCAAAACTGTCCCACCGGCCCAAGGAAACCCACCCGGTCCACATCGACAGGGTTTATCGCTTGGCGGATCCGAGTGCACCTGGGCCCCATTCCCGAGAAGAGGGCGAAATCCCACCCCACCGACCCGGCTCCAGTAGTCAGCTCGAATACTACCGTGCCAAAGTCAAGGGGGTAAAAGCAATCATCCACCCACTATTCTATATTACCCCAAAGACCCCTACATCTGGTCGCCATCTGGGCATCGATCTTGCATCTCATCAACACATTCCATCAGTACCGACAACATATCTAATTGCCAGCCATCCAATTCTGGTAGTACGGAGGAGCCGTTGGTTGCCAATTCCGTCGGATACGACAGATCTCCGATCTGGGACATCACCGCGTTCCGCGATCGCCATACAGCGTCCTGCATATGCACTGACGTAGAAACACAAACAACTTTCCACGTCTTATCCGAAAAGAAAACACAAACACACCGACCGCCTCCTCGCCACCTCTCACTCCTATATATCTATATGGTTATCGCCAACAATCTCATCCCCGCACACCACACAGACACAATGGCCAAATACAATCGACCGCCACTATTCACCTCGCCATACTCAAACATCTCTCCGCCAGCCACGTCCTTCGACATGGCGCGTTCGTCATCACGCGATTCTGCCAACTTCCCTTGCGCGTTCTCCTCCTTCTCAATACCGCTTTCGCGCACGTCCTCCAGCTCGTCCACATCACATTCGTCGCACGCGCCAGCGCCTACTAGCCACCCCACCTCAGCACCAATGCGCCGCTCGAGTAGCGCCTCGTCCTCGCAAACCACCTGGCTTGCTTCGCCATACCGCTCATGCCTGGGCCCCAGCTCTGCTGCCTCGGAACCCAATTCTTACCTCTCGGACGACGATCTGCTCAACCTCAACATCCCTGTCGAGACTATCCCGACGCCTGCCAAGCGCGTCGCTGAAATGACGATAGAAGAGCAGATCGCGCATCTACGCGAGCTTCAAGCCCAAGAGGAGCGTGAGGACCGCGCGCGTCGCGAGACTCTTTCTCCCCGGAGAAAGCAAGTGCGCTTCCAACCTGGTACCAACCAAGAAAAGGCTCGTCGGCCTAGTCAGCTCAAGCGCCGGTCAAACACAGTTCGACGCGGCCTCAATGGGTTGAACGGTCCCATGTGACCGGCTACTACTTTTCAGAGCATTTTCGGGTCTTAATTCTTCATGAGCATACGAGCCACAGCAAGCGAATCATTTCCAGCGAGAACGATGTACAATACTACAGGCAGCAGCATCATCATCATCACCGCCACTATCATCATCAGCATGCGGGAGGATCGGCATTACAGGCCATCTTGGATGGACATTTCTTCAATACCCCAGTTGACCGCCCACGGAGGCTTCATTATTTGCATTTTGACGCGTCGGTCTGTGGCCCATAGTTGCCACTACAGTGGCATGGCCAGACAAAAAACATAGCCACCTAATAGCTAACCCGCAATAAACAAGTTTTATTGCCACACACATCTACCATTGCCTTCTGTTTCGTGCTCTGTCTCAAGTTTCCATGATTTTCTCTCCTTTGCACAGCCTCCCTTCTTGAATCCCCTTCGCCACTCGACTCATCCGTCCAACACGGGGAATGTCTGTATGCTGGCGGTTGCTGACAACGAAACGGTTGGGCGCGATGACGGGCATGACTGGAAACACTGACTCACCACCCAGCCATCCTGCTTGCACCGGCATGGCATCCCACATGTCATGGGTGTTTTGTCCGTCGACTAGCGCGGACCGGTTCTCCGTTCCAGTGGCCCAGAGAAAATCCCGTTCTGCCCACCCCCACTCCTAGCACCTTTTTCCCTGTCGCGTTCAAAACTCTGCCAAAGCGACTCGCACCCAAGGGCAAGCGGGCACCCAACCATGAGCCCGACGAACCCACGCCCATGGGACATACACCCGGGCTTGACACAACACGAATTTTGCTTGCTTGCTTTGCTTGCCTGCCTACTTTTGGCCGGCGGGCTGATGAATGTGAATTTTATTATTGATCTTCTCTATCTTCGCCCACGCTCGCTTTCGCTTACTTGCTCCCTTTGGGCGACAGCTATTTCCTTCCAAAGGGAATCATCGTTATTGGTGTATCGCAGTCCAAACTGTTGCTCCCGCAACATGCAGCAGTTCCAATGCGCGCGCCACAGATTGCGGGCGTCATCATTTCTGCCTAACCAGCACCAGCAGCGGTGACTGACTGGCACAAAATGGTCATATGAGGCGGTCCGTCGCCTGTGCCTTCCTTCCGCCACGTGAGTCGTGGCTTTACTTCTACTCTACTGGTTGCCTGCCAACACACACAGCACATGCATCGCAGCCCCCCCGGCCAACAACGCATGTGCTATTTCGCATCACCTGCCGGGCACACATGCATATGCATATTCTTTGCAGGCAGGAGGATTTTACGGTGAAGCGCAACCTGCCACACCGCCTTGCTACGTCCCGACCGACACCCGTACTGCTACTTCGTGCGAAATTACACTTTCTTCTCGTTTTCGTAGACCTACCTTTGATGCTATCCTCCGGCGGGCAGCTTCCCCTCATGGTTCGCTAAACGCTTCCGTGCCATTTTCTTGCGCCGGGCCGAGGGGGTTGCTGCTGGGGGAGGTTCGGCGTGTTGCCGAACACCCCTCGGAACACTGTCCCCGCAGTGCCTCTGCCGATCAATTTTTGAGCGTTGTGGGCGGTTTAGCGGTCTACCCTCTACTCCAACTGATGGCGTTGGGGTAACTGCGATAGATGGGGCTCTGAGCAAGCTGCAACAGTGTTCGTGTTCCGTGCTCGGACGGAACCCTGCATACTGTACCCCGGAATTACATTTACTAGTGACTACTAGCTAGTGTTCTATCGTCGTGAGACCCGATCATTCTCGTGTCGCCGGACCGCGGACACGATAATGGGCCTCCAAAGCCTTGCGGAGTAGACCTCAGCCGCCGGCGGTCAGCACTCTGCCGCACGGGTTTGCAGGTGCGGTCGACTGTGCGCCAGGCTACTTCTCTTCGCCGCAGGAAGACCTGTCGATCATGCCAAGGGCAGATCTTTGGCCTGGCTTGCCTTTGGGTTTCTTGAGTGTCGGGGTGTATCGGCGAAGAAGCCGGCATCCATTGCGGACTGGTATGGAGTAAAAAGTGGTACCTTTCTCACGCTGGACGCTGAACGTTGGCGGACGGCGAGACCAAAGCCCTCAGCTCTGGTACCGAAATTGCTTGCAATGATGGGGCGTGACAGTGCCCCATCAGCAGGGACTGCGGTGAGCCAAAAGAAGTTCTCCGAGACGCGATGGGACACTGGAGGTTTTCGAGAAACATCTGGCTAGAAGTCCCACTCGCTTTGAGAGAGTCCCACCATCGGGGCCAGCGAGGGCCGTTGTTCTCAAGCGATGCCTGTCCGCAGTAGTGTATCCATGGCCAAGATGGTCTGGAGTGCGATGGGGCAAGCTCGGGTTTTGCCCACCGACACCAGCCAGAGACCGTGCTTTGGGCTTAGCCGTGTCCACAGTACTCTAGATCTGCTCTCCAATATGGACCTGCGCAATGCTCGAAGTCCAGACCGTTCACAGGTACCATGTACTTACCGTGCGCACCCACAATCCGCCTGAAGGTTGGTACCTGCAACCTCGGCCTTGCGAGAAGGGCAAGTCCGATCCAGCCCCTTCCATTTGCGGCTCGGAACTGCTCGAAACGGAATTGAAGGCTGGAATTCTGTGCAAAGCTATCGAATGCGGAAGCGGGGAATGACTTGAATCATTAGAGGTGGTTTACGGGGAAGCATTAGTACGGAGTATTCAAGGCCAGACGGGAGATCTGCGGCTCCGGCGGCACTGCGGGTTTCGACGCGTCGTCACCACTCCCTCGCGTGGTATGCAGGGGTTGCCCAGGCGACTTCTCTTAAGCTCCCTTGGGCAAGGAAAGTCGAGACTCGAGACCCGCGTCGTTTGGGCAATGTTTAAGGGCCCGGGAGGACAAACGTCGGCAACGACAGCATCGCGTAGGCTACATCTTAAAGGTGGTTGTTGACAAATTAGCCACGGCTCGAACAAAGTAGGCTCAACGTGTGTTTGCCCGCGGTTCAGGCTGATTTGTACCCGATATGCGCAACAAGCGTGTAAACGCGCTTACGCGATGCGAGCGCGGTGAAGGTAGCTGAGCACCGGACCGTTTGTGCCATCCGAATTGTTTCTACGACTTCGTTAATTTCACAAGCTGACTTCCCCAGCCAATGCTCTACGGAAGTGCTACTCCAGACTTTAGGACTGAGCTTGGAATTCAAACCTATCAAAGTAGCCAAAACTGTGAGTTTCTCAAAGTGCGACACCCCCGCTTGCTCCGCCTCACTCTTGCCTACTCTGGACAAAACGTCGACGGGTAAAGCTGAACCCCCCGACGAGCTCAACGCTTCAGTGAGCCTGTCTGCCGCCCTTCGCGCGAAGATCTCCTCTCCTATCACATCCTAACACTAAGCAGCCAATGTCAAACACCCTAGCTCTGAATATCAGGGAATAAACAGAGTGGTATATGGACATCATTGGCTAGTCAGCTTCTTCCGCTTGATGAAGCTGTCCCGGATCGGTGTCTGTCAGATCTGTTCAGCCCCAGCATTCCGATGACCTGTACCATATGTTCCGTATTCCTGATGGCTACCGATGAGCCAGGAGTACGGAAGCGACGCAAGTTGCAATCCTCAAGCAAGGGCGTCGTCCCGTACCTGTCTCTACCCTTGAACCCAACAAGCGGTGATGCACTGTCGCGGGGATGGAGATTGACCCATCCCACCACCCCCTTAGCCGAGATCACCTATCGCACGGAGTTGCCATCTTATCGCGCCTCGCGGCCCGTGGCGTCGGAAAGGGAGCCCCTGTCACATTTCAAGGGCGCCACCATGTCCCCTTTGGACCTCTAGCGAGAAGAAGCCATGGCTTCCCCGGGGCCCGGCGGTGCTGCCATTTCCCCTAAGAAGGTTCGGTGGCGGCGACGGTGGCGCTTACCCTTGCTTCCCCGGCGACATGGTGGCGGAAAGGGCCGCCCGCGCCCCCCCGGGGCAATAGTGGGGACGTCAATCAGGGGGAAGCGGCAAGGGGCGCGATCGACATCGTCGCCCCAAGCCTTCCGCGGGATGAAGTGTGGGTGGCCCTTGTCAATGTCCTGTCAAGTGGCCCGTAAATGCGACTCTTCCTGCCAATAATACCTTATCGTTCTGCCGAAGCTATCATGGTTTGCTGTGCGAAATCCGGAGACGTCCAGTGGGTAGAGACTCAACACTGATTTGGAAGTTCACCACTTGTCAATGAGAACGTCCATCGAGATCTGAAAGCTGTGTGGTAGTGGCGGCACAGACCGCTCTTTTGTTGCATAACTGAGGCGATCTCCCCCCAATTGCGCGCTCACCGCAGAACAAAGAGCGGCTTTGTGGCGATGAGGTGGTACGCACTAGACGACGCAATTTCAGTGAGCTGTGAGTCTCCATATGTGCAAAACATGATAGAGCGTTTAGCGCTGCGCCGCAGAAGATGGTCTTGGGCCATGTCCTCCGTACTACTGCTTCCAGAAACACGGCAGAGCGAGTTGAGCAGAAGACAGCCCGTGTTACCGCTGCCGCGCTAGAGGTGGTTGTATGCAAACATCGTCGACCCTCCTACGCTGCACTGTTGCACTGACGACTCTTTTCGACTGACCGTCCTTTCCTAGGATGATTCCATGAGCGACGACCTCTCAATTCGTGGGCGGTCTTCCTTTGCGCGGAATACGAGTCCGCGTTAGTATGGCTTGGCGCGCCCGCCTCGCTATACTTGCTATGAGGAAATGCGGCTCGTCCACTGCGATGGCAGAATATTTTTCATGGCCAGTGTCGGGGGTGCCGGTGCGCGTTTCTCGGAAAGTGACTTGTAGCTGGCCAGGAGCCGTCAGCAAGGTCCCGGGATGTCCCAGCGATTGAGCACTCCCAAATTCGAGACATAGCGAGCACGGGGCTGCAGGTAAGTGGTGAGTTCGAAGCAGCGTATCACACTTTCATGCTCGACTCCACGACCGCAAGCATTGAGGAAGGCTGTGCTGTCGCCAGGTGTGACGCGGTTACGGAAGTGGCAAAACCGATGCGTTGAAGGCATCATACTTCCCGCCAAGCCTCACCAATCATATGTCATCATTACCGTGGACTTTGCACCTCTCCCGACGAGGTCAAGATATCGAGAGCGTTAGCACGATCACAGTGCTATCAGATGCGAATGACCTTTTGCTTCATGCTGACCACTAGGCTCCAGCAAAAGTGCACGGCAATGTTCCTTTAGTGACCGACGCAGAATACACAGCCACCTTCTGCTGCTCGTATACTATACCACTTGAGCAAATCCGCGCGCACCGGGTTCTCCTCACTGGATGATAACGGAAATGGTGACGCGTTGCAAACTCGTCTTGGGACTGCTGGACCACTTGGATTTCCACCAACATGAACTTCGGTCGGTCACCATCGATGGAGGGCGTTATTCTAGGTATGCGACGGATATCGGTAGTCTGTCTCTCCCGTCATCTTCGTTGATCAAGGCTTTACCGAGCTGACTTAAATCTCTTGAAATATCTGGGCGGTTGATCGCTACTTCATCTCGTACACACAGCTTAACTCGAAGTACCCAAGCACGGACGGTATAAAAGTTCGAGTACAGTCAACAAGCGCCGGCACTGATCTACAGTATAGCACAACACTACGTTCGTGCCTCAGATCTCTATCACTGCTCTTCCAACGCTCCACAATCAAATCTTCTCAAAGGAATCGTAGCCGCAACGCGCAATCTACCTCTTTCGCCTCCCCAATCGCCCCATAAGAAGAATGCCCTCCCTCACCCATTCCACGTCAACCGGGTCCCAACCCTCTTCGCCCCGCATACGGCGCCTCTCTTTCTTCTCCGCCTCCAGCACCTCATCCTCCTCCTCATCTCCACAATCCGCCATCCCGTCAACCAACAACACATCCAACAGCAAACAATACCCTACGTCCGCCTCCCCTCCGAACCCAACAGCACCCCATCACCACTTCTGCCCTTCCCCATACCACACTGCACCCACCCAACCATCCGACTCCCACCGCCTCGACACCGAATCCCACCACTGGGACAACGTCACCCTCAACAGCCACCTCAGCGTCGACGCGTGGAAGCGGCAGAGCAAGGTGGTGCAGAAGGCCGAGCAGCAGCAGCAGCAGCAGCGCAAGGGGTCGTCGAAGCAGTCCTCGCCGCGCGGGAGTGTGGACGGCGCTGCTGCGGGTGGAGAACGCAGTGGTGGGTCAGGCAGTGATGAGGAGAGAGGCAGGACAGCCGAGAGAAGGAGAGCCAAGAGGCCGGAGAGCTGGAAGGTTAGGGGCATGAGTTGGGCTTTGGGCGTGAGCGGTGTTTAGGATGCTTGCGCGCTGGGATCTAGGTGGTGTGGCGTTCATCTGTCAGGATTTCGGGTTGGGAGCTGAAAATGGCGGCAGCGAGACGTGTTCCGCTGTGTGGGAAATGGCATAGCGTTGCGCGACTCAGGTTCCATTAGTGGATGGGAGGCGCAATGAAATGTGGCTGCACAATTAGCGATTTGAGAGACCATTACTTGCACCGTGACATCTTTGTTTCGTGTACTTGGCCGAATGTTAGTGCAATGAAACGTCCTGTTGAGCGTCTAACATCTCGTGTTGTAGGCCTCACAGCACTATAGTATAGCTCTTTCGCCAATAGCACCTCGTTGTCGCTACGAGCTTGGTAGCAGGCGAGGCGATGATGTCATTTGGCTTTCTGATCTTACCTCAGGTTACTCACTTGCCAGCGCATTGAGCTCGTCCCCACGTCCTTCATGTTGCGACTGGCTTGCCGCTCAAAAGGATACGCCTTGTGATGCAAGGCGTTCGCACTAGTCTAGGGCCTTGAGCAAAGTACGGAGTAAAGGGTTAGCGGTTCATTTGGCAGTGGGCTTATCACTTATCTGTGCCGCTCAGCGTGGAAGTCTTAGACCGCGGGCTCGCATGTCTTGCTGTGCCGTCGGCGCCATCTATCGTTCTTTCGTGAGACAAAGACCAACGACGAGGATGAGGCGGTCTGGTCGCTGGGTAGCAGTGGAAGATGCCCCTTGTCGGACAGGCTGAACAAGGTCGCCCATGCAAAATGATCGGTACGTGTGATACCTCCTTTTCGCCCCCACTGGCAGCGTCTACCCTGCAGCTCGTGTTTGGACTGGACATCCGCCCAACATGCCGTTGACTTTGGAAACAAAGGGGGCAGATGCACTCGAAAGTCTACGGCCAGCAATACGATTCGGCATCTGGTGTGGACCGAAGAGACCCAGGAATCCGTAGAGCGCGTTTCAGACATTGTGGGACAGCATTACCTTGCTTTTGGCGGGAGCTCGCGGCAATAGGTCGTTACCAGCGCTCATATCAGCTCCCTTTGCCGCCTCAACAAATGAGTATCAGATCTCGACGTCACAGTCGCGAACTCATACGTACGCATTCCCTTGAGGCCCCATGTTGAAGTCGATAGAAAAGTCGATCCAAGCTTCGGGGCCACTATATTCGTCAGGCGGGTCGCAGGCGGTCGCAGCCGCCGAAGCAAAAGCGCGCGACTGCAGATCCCGGCGATCAAGTCGGCGAGGACATGTTCAAACGCTGTCGCGTGCCGGACGACGCAGATGTGCCCGAACACCTGTCGATCAACAACTGCAACATCGCGAGACAGTGCCATTATCGAGAAAAGCGGTAGAAGGAATTTTGAATCTGGCTGCATCGCTCGTGGACGATTGGGTCAAAAGCCCGGAGCAAGGCAACAAAAAAGCTTGGTCTTAGGCGGGAGCTGCGGGGCTCCGGGCGGCCACTCGCGCAACTCTGTGCTCCAGCCTATCGATAGCTGAGCAGTGCATTGATGGCGTGGCAGAGGCCCCACGGGTACCTGGACTTTTGGCCATGCTCAACCATCAATATGAAAGTCCTGATATCGTCTATCAATGTGAGGCTATTGGTGAGGCTTTGCCGTCAGTGGTAGACGATATTACGCACTTTACATAGTGCACTACCAAGATTGCTGCCAGTGAGCGATGATTACAGTAGCCCCAAGCCTATGCCCCAAGTCCAATGTGCTTCGAGAGATAGCCGCCAGGTCATACGATCGGCCCCGGTCCCTCCCACCCCACTAGCAGCTTGGAGCAGCGATCTTAGTCGTGTTCCAGCCTTCCATTGGTTACTGATGTGATGTGAAGTGTGCGAAAATGCGCAGTCGGGCGGCTTTTCTGGCCTATTCATCCAATCCCCGCTCTCGCTGCCAGCGTCGTGCCTGGATTTCTCGACTTCAACCTCTCTGCACCTCATACCGTTGCTTTGTCCAACTGCGATGCATCCACAAGTCTTCCAGGGTCTTCATGCTATTCCTCGAACGGCTACCGTGCTGCGGGGCCTGCAATCATCGGTTGCTGGCCCCAACCGGCCAGTGAGAGCTCCAACCTGCCTCTTCTCAACTGTCGTTGGTACCTCTATCTTGATCATTTGCTCCTGTTCCAAGCTGCTGTCCTGGTCGCTGTTTCCATTCACCACCTGTTCACTACCTCAGCCTCGTTGACCAGAGACACCATTGCCCTAGCGGCCTCAGTGCTCTCGAATATCCCCCAGTCGTCAGCTACTCCACCCCGCATCACATGAGAGGTACATCGTGATACCTTCAACGGCCGCAATACCTTGTTGCGCGACTGCGCCCGTCTGCTTTTGGTTCCCAGAGCGACTTCAAGATCTCCTACTTTGCCCGAGTCATATCTTTCCCGACCACCAGACTCAGACCTCCTCTAAGCGCCTGCCTCGCTGCACATACTTGTGCGCCCAACCACACCTCGAGCGATCGAGACCTCTTAGCCCTGCGCATTGCGAATACCCATCCGCCTCTCCTTGACGGCCCGTGCCAATGTTGCTCATCACCTTGTCCTGATAAGGTTTGCCACCTGGTCCCCTTTCACAGGCCGATATCTTAACCCCGTGCCGCAGTCTTACCCTGCTGTAGATGGCCTCCTCCGGGTTGTCCAGACAGCACTCAACATCTGACCGAAGGAGAGACCCAATGGTGCCTTCCCTTCCCAAGGGCAAGAATGCTGCCGCGACCGCCCCGTTTGAGCCCTGCGCCTCCACCGGATCCTTATTCCTCTATGCACAAGGGTCCAACGTACTATGCCTCCATCACGACTCACTTGCGATCGAGAGACGCTTCCAGAAGCATACAGACACAATCCAGCTCATCGCAGTAGACAATGTCAGCGAGACTGGGGCTGGGCGACTAGTGGTCACATATGATGCTCGCCAGACGGCCATAGTTTGGGATCTATTTACGGGGGACCAAATATCAAGGTTTGCTTCGTATGAGCCACTGAAGGTTGCCTCATGGATGCGTAACGGCAACATAGCTTTCGGTATGTTGTTCAACTCTTACCACTTCTTACTCGCTGACTGGCTATAGGCAACGGCAAGGGTGAGGTCATCCTCTTCGAACCCTCCACCAGCGAGCACGTTTCGGCAAGGACCATCTTTGACCCCATCACGGCCCTTGCGCCCTCATCAGATTGTAAGACATATGCCATCGGCTACAACAATGGCTCCATTCTCTTGGCAGCGCTTCAGCCGTCGTTTACAATACTCCACACCCTGACTACACCTCGCGCACCCTCCCCCATCGCGTCTCTGACTTGGCACGCATCCTCTTCCAAACAGAAGTCGGACATGCTAGCGACCCAGACGGCCGACGGGGATCTTAGAGTATGGAGTGTCTCCAAGCCACCGACATCGGAACAGCCTAGGGTCATCCGCGTTCTCAAGCGGCCAGATCCGAATTTCATCTCTGGCCGGACGTGGATCGCCTGGTCCAAGAACGGCAGAGTAGTCCAATATTCCGAATCAGAAACCTGGGCGTGGGACGTGCGTACCAAGGATGTCAAGTATGAAATGATTCCGGTCGTGGACGGTGTGCGGGGAATTGCAGCATACGGTCCCAGCGCATCTCTCTTTACCCTAGGACCGGACTACACCATACAACAGTACGATATCGAACAAGGCCAGATCGTGCAGAATATCCGCAATATGCCGACCACGATTCCACCAACGCCCCCGGAAGAGAATAAACAACTGGGCTGGACGACGTCAGGCAGTGAAGACGATGCATCCCCAGTTGTGCGGCACAAGGTACAGACAGAGCGCAATCGTCTGGCAAGCCCTCAGTCTAGTGCGGCCGCGGTTTCGTCTTTTAATCCTAAGCCACCCAAGCACAATCCTAAGCCGAAAGATGTCAGTTCGCCTGCCCGACAGAGCGAACTTACGGGCACGACTTTCTCTGCAGGTAGCCAGCCAATCTATCTACACGACCAGCTCAAATCCCCAGCTTCGTCGAAGGCCTACCGAAAAGCCTCTCGGCTACGCCAAGAAGTAATCATGAGTCCAGAGGAGCGACCTGTAGACGATCTCTTCCCATATACGCGCTCTCGTCTGAATGATGTGCCATACAAGAATCCGCGGCAACTCAGTGATGCCGAGATGACACCAGATAACTTGCGGCGGCAGATGCTTGAGACTGTGTTTGGTTGGAAAGAAGACATTCGAGATCTCGTTCGAGAAGAGTTGAGTATGCACCCACCAGACAGCCAGCATGCCATCTTTCTGTCCATTTGGCTCAACGAAGACGACAGCTACCTTTGTGAAGTCATGGGTCAGACTAGCGTGCTCTCGACCATGGATTGGATGATGCTTGCGCTCGGCACGATGGATCATTCGTCTAGCTCGAAGCGAATCTGTCAGGTCTTCATTGAAAAGATGCTCAGCCGTGGTGACATCCATGCTGCTGTTGCAACTCTTCTCTGTCTAGGGGATCGTTCAGACGCGATTGAGGTCTATGTGTCACGCAATCAGTACCTAGAGGCTGTTCTGTTGACCTGCCTCGTCACGCCCAGCGACTGGCAAAGGCAATGTCATTTGGTCAGAAGATGGGGCGAGCATGTTGTAGAGAACTCTCAACAACAGCTTGCGATGAGGTGCTTTTCCTGTACAGGCGTCGAGCCTACAGAACCTTGGACATCGCCCACCGCAGCGCAGCTCTCTGCGCAGCCGATGCAAATTAGTCCGCAAGAAATTCCCATTCTTGCTGCTCCGAACGAAGGTTCAGGCACGTTCCCTGAAATCTACCGCAAAACGCTGGAGCGTCGCCGCACCATGGATGCACCAACGCCGGTCGCAATGCCTGCTCCTCCGACACCTTTCCGAACCGCTGCCGCTCAGCATTCCCGCATAACGCCGCAAACCTCCGCCTTGAAGCTCATTACGTCCTTTGGCGTACAAACAAACCCACAGTACAAGTTCCCTGGACTCAAGTCGGAGGACTACACCCCAACTGTTGGCGCCACAGTCACTCCGATTGCTGAGTCCGCAATTGATCGATCCGCAATATCGCCTGGAGGAAGCGGTAGTTATCGGCAGAATAACGTTCGAAGTCTCAATGCCGTCATGTCAGCACGCACGCCTAGTGCGATGCACAAGCATAGACTGCCATCGATTGGCGAGACGCCTGTCGATGTTGATGGTCCCTCATTCAAAACGTCTCCTCCTCCCCCCCTGCCACCTAAACGCTTACCCACGCCGGGCGATTCCCAATCAGACGTAGAGAGGCGCAGCAGTAGTGCTAAAGAGGCGAGCGATCAGGATCAAAATGCTCCGGAATTGCAACAGTCTGATGAGCCAGGCGATGCATTGCTCATGCTTACACCAGCTGTCTACAACCCTCCAAGTTCTTTCAGAGACAAGCAAACACCAAAGACTGCTGTGAGACAACGAGTGCCGCCGGTTGACTTTCCCTCTCATTCGCAACGTCCAGAGTCACGGACGAGTGATCTGGATGAACTTGCCGCTCTTGACCAGAAACCATGGATTGGGTCCAAAAGCAAGAAACCTGATGGCCTCTCCATTCAGATGACTCCCATTGGAGACTACGAGTCAAGCGACCGCTATTCTGGCACCAGGACAGGAAACACCCATAGTACCACACAATTTGACACCAATAGTGAGGTGACCAGTCCTCCCCGGACGGGTGAGTCATACGCGAGCCGAACAAAGAGCCCGAGCTTCAGTGGCAGAAATATCGACCAGTATATCAGCAGCCTGGAGCAAACGCACTATTATAACAATAACGCGCGGTCTCGAGAGACAGCCTCGCAGAAAATGTCAGAGAAACGAAGCCGCCCACTTCTTCGCCGAGACTCCGACGTGAGGGATGATCGAGACCGCACAGTCAACCCTGCTAAGCGCTCACCTTCCTCGCCCGTCCCCATGTCACCGGAGGATCTCCGCATGTACACTGACAGCGTCGACAGCATGCAGACTTTTGCTTCAACCATATCAGCCGAAAGAGGAGGCACTCCTGCAAGCCGCTCACGCCTAGGCAAACACCGAGCACATCCGAGCAAAGAAGAGGCTCCAAGGCAACGGTCTCGCTCCGCCCAAGCCGGAAGCCGAACGCGGCATGGTGCGAAAGGAGACCGCCGCGGCGAGAGCCCTGAGCGCAGAAGTCGTAGCAAGTCTCGCAAGGAGGCGAGCGGCCGACGTTCTCCCTCGTCACCTCTGCCCATGGTACCCTCGGAGGAAGATCGAAATCAACTTTCTGATCCTTCCCTTCGCCTTGTTTCGGCTGATCGTCAACACCGCTCTCGCGAACCTAGCTCCCATCGGGATCGCTCCAACGAGCGCCGTAAGCCCCGACACCGGTCCAGGAGTCGGCAGACCGAGGAAGGGGAAGGACCTCTTTCACGGAAGAGTAGCATCAGCACCAAGAGTGGGAAAAATCGCCGTCACCGTGATGATTCGGCCGCGCGATCTGAGGGACGACGTCAAGCCAATGGACTCGGCTATGATTCACTCACAGGCGATAGCTCCTCGGCGCTACCCCTCGATCCTGAAATTAGGTCGAGAAGCAATCCTCAACCTCGAGCGGATGGTAGAGCCAAGGATTTGTCGAAAGGGATAGCTGCCGCTGAGCTGGAAGCTCGACGTTTGTCTTTGGCTCGACGTCCTTCGGCGCCCAATATCCCGCTTCCCGGCCAGGCTGCACATGGCAAGTCGGCATCCGAAAGCCATGCACCTCCTCTGTATCGTGCAAATACCGACGAGCCGGGGACGAGATATGGTGAACCACGACTGCGGCGGCCGTCTACCCCAAGGGCGATGCAGGTGACTCCAGGATCTCTGAATGAACACCAATCGGATTTGGACCTACTTCCCAGGAGGACTTTCACGCCCAAGCTTGAGCCTTCAGAGAGTCCTCGTCTTAACAGCAGTCAGACGAGCAAACCCCATTCTCGTAACGCTTCTCGTGGCCTTGTGGTGGAGGATTATCGCACAGCAGCAGAAATTGAGGCGGCGCTTGCGCAGTTGCCTCGTCATCCCGCTTATGACCATCAACTATCCAGGTCCCGAGACACGTCACGTAACCGCGATGAACGCAGTCGAGGTGCCTCGAGAGATCGATTGCGTGTCTCGCCCCGAATGGAAGAGGTTGGGAATCTGATCATTGCACCAGAGCAACAAGGAGCGCCTCAGCCGCCCATACTACCAGAACTGCAGCACTTGGTGTCACCTCCACCACCTCCGCCACCACCGGCTCCACCCAAGACACGTCCGAGCTTGTCTGTGCGGACAGACTCGGCAAATGCGTCACGGATTCCTCTCCCGCCGTCTGCAAACCCTGTGGACGACAGCGGACCATCCAGCGCGCATCCTGGACTGGGTCACCGACGAGGGAGAAGTGCCAATGGTGGTAGTGAGAATCAATTCATGGGCAAGATCAAAAATTTTGCGGGTAAGATGAGAAGCGCGAGCCAGAACAGGGACAATGCCGTGCGCAGCCCGCCACAACCCCCCAATGGCGAAGGCTTCCAGGTCCAATCACCGTATGAGACTAACACCGCTTTCCCACACCAATCTATGCAGGTGTGAGATTTCGGGCAGACTTGGTGATATCTAGCGACACTATTTGTGGTAATGTGGGGGAACAGGAAAGCAAATAATGAGGCAAAGGAGGAAATGGAGGAAATGGAGGAAAAGGAGGAAAAGGAGGAAAAGGAGGAAAAGGAGGAAAAGGAGGAAAAGGAGGAAAAGGAGGAAAAGGAGCCCCACAGACGTTGATACTGCTCCATACTGGGAAGAGATTGGCGTCTGGATGGACATGGAACGGGACATCATTCATTTGAGCCACTTCAATTCATGACGGACTTAGGGTAACTGTGATCGAGAGGAGCTGGGCTATCAATACCATGAGTGTGAGCGAGCGAGCGAGCGAATAGCGACGATATGTCGTGGTTGTATACCTCTGTATGTACTACCATTAACGACAGACCAGCGCAGCAACTGCACAACTAGAGACCTTCTCCTCCCATACACATACTCCACGAATGTTTGGCACGGCAAATAGTTCCTTCTCACTGTCACTGCCCGACTACAAGCACGGTGCTGCCGATGGAATTCCCTCCCCAAGTAAGCTACCTCATTTTCGCGTGTTCTTGTTTCTCTTCTTCTTTATTCGCGACCCAACTTTACTCTCGATGTCCTCGCCTGGCTCGTTACTAGCCGCCAAACATCTTGGACTGCCCTGTCCAAGCAGCGCTTCGACCTGATCAGCTGTTTCCACTGACAGGGCCGATCTGTCAAACGATAATTGGCGATGATTCACTGCCTGATGAGTCTCCTAATAAGGGCTAGCGCCATTTCCCCACACCTCGTCCTGCTCCAAGGTCCAAGGTCCGAGCTCCGGGCGGATTCACGAGCACATCTGAAATATAATACTGTCACCGCACCAACCCTGCTCACGGAATCTCACCAGAGCTACGAACCGACGTCGTGCGTGAACGTCACGCATCAACCGTCTGACACGGCCCGGTATTACTCGAACTCGACCCCATCCAGCACAACCAACGTGACCACGGGCTCCCCCTCCTGGAACGTCAAAAGAAACACCAGAATGTCGTCCATCCCGTCGCACAACCCTGGCCCAATCCTCTCCCGCGGCCGCAAGCTCTTCCTCGCTGGCCTCGTCGTCACGCCTCTGCTGAGCTACGCCGTGCTCAAGAGGAGACAGAACCAGCGCGAGCTAGAGCGCAGATTGCTGGAAGAGGAGGGCAGGCGCAACTGGATCGCGCAGGAGAACCGCGGCGATCTGAGTGTGAATGTTGGTAGGAGTGGTGGGGGCGTGTAGCGAGGGGAAACAAAGAGGTGGCAGAAGCATGCCGGGAACAACCCTATAGCGTGGTTGAAGAACATCAGCAACATGGTATAGCGCCATTGGCCCTAGCAAAGGAGCTGACACCAGTTGCGATCAGCTTGGTCATGTTTACCCCCAAATCGCGAGCGGTGCGCCCAGTGTCATGACTCTGACGAAGGGCAATGCAGTCACTTCAACTCTCCTCCTTCCACGGAAGTGGGAGCCTCGAACACATCGACTTCACGATGGAGACTTCGAGCGCTCTGAAGGAGGAGGACACATCTCTAGGAACGGCATGCCGCTGCTCGAGTACGAAAGCACTCCCCAACTCACTTTTGGGAGAAGTCTCGAGTTCATCCAGGAGAAGGCTTTCGCAACTCTTGGTACGGGACCAGCGGACACCAAACCGAACAGAGCTTGTCGACACATCGCCCCGTCACCGGAGCACAAGGTGTGGTCAGGGTGCAATGAACGGTAATCGCTAAGGTTGTAACGGGCATGAAGAGGGAATGCAAAGAACAATTGGAGCTTGGATCCCAACATCAGAATCGCGGACGAGGCTGAGCCTTTCACATATCGTGGGCGGCGAAGAAGATCAGAATCTGTTTCGAGAGGGGCCCGCGAACGATTGCAAAAACGTGGCTTTTCAGGCGTGTGCTAGTGGTTTACTCCATTTGGTGGATGCCAACGGGAAATGCCCCTCTATCGGAAATTCTCCTAGACGTTCGCAGTTGAGCCTTGATGTAGCAACCACGGAGCTAATCCCCGCCATCACCAGACTCGTCTCCCCGTGCCACCAGTCCAACTCATCCCGCAGCAAGACGTCGCTATGCTGGAGCGCTTGGCCCAGCATGAGCTGGACAGCTTAGCCCCTGCTGATTCGGCGTTCTGCACGTGGTATATGTCGTAAGAAGCGTAGTGTCGGTGGATACCGTCAAAGGTCCCCTCTGAATCGCTAAAGAGCAATAAGTAGAAAGTTTAGAAGCTTGGTCCGCCACTGGGACCGTTTTCACTTCTTGGAATCGTCATCCTCGTTCGCGCGATGGCAGCGGTCGAAGACGAAGGGGCGATGCAGGCCATGAGTGACACTCAGACCAAGATTTTCTCAGCCCTGGCCGCTGCTGCCCTCTCCACCGTCGTCGTCGTCGTCGTCTGCCGCCGCATCATCTCCGTCGCGGTCTGGCACTGGCCTACCCTCCAAACGCGCCAGACGCTCGTCTTCCTTCTTCTGTCGTGCCCTTTCCGTCTCTTTCCTCATCGCTTCCAGATTCCACACATCATCGCCATTATTGTCGTCGTCGCTGTCGCTGTCGTCGTCGCTGTCGTTATCCCTCCAGCCGCCCGCCTCAAACATCGCTCGGCCCGTGGCTTCCTTGGCCTCCATGGCCTGCTTCTCCGCGGCCTTCTTGTCGAGACGCTCCTTCTTCCACTTGGCGAAGCTGTCGGGCGTGACGGGCGTGAGGGTGCCGGTCAACTTGTGCCGCTCGCTTTCTAGGAAGTCCTCGAGCGTCAGAGTCGCGAGTGGCGAGTTGGCCATCTCCGCTTTTTCGAGCGCTCGCTGTTCTTTGGTTTTTAGCACGAATCTGTGGCACACTTTGTTAGCATATCTGCCCGGACACAAATCAATGCATGAAGACTTACCCGGGCGGTAAGGAATGCTTGTACATGCACTTGTTGCCTCCGTTCGGACACGTCCAGAACCATCCATACTTGCCGTCCTCGACCGCCTGAATAAAATACTTGCAGACCTTGTCGGTCGTCGTCTTGGGGTTGCCGTGTTTGCTGAGCACCACCTCGCGTAGCTTCGCCTCGTCCCAATCATCCATTTTATCCTTCTCTTTCTCCTCCTTCTCGGCTTCGCGCTCGTCCACATACAGGTCCTTCTTCGCGCTCTTCCGCCCCACGTCCAGGTCGTGGCTGAACTTGCATTTTTTGCCCTTCTCGCAATTACCCTTCTTGAAGAACTCGCACAGCACCGTTTTAGGATCGACGCCAAAGGGCACCTTCTGCGTCTGGATCGGTTTGAAGAGTTCCGCGGCCTCGGCTTTGGCGGCCTCGGCGGCGGCTTTTTCCTTCGCCCTTTGCTCCTTCTCGGCCTCCTTCTTCTTTTCTTCGGGAGATTTGTTGGACTTTGCTTGCGCCTGTAATTGAGCGATTTGCCTCTTTGCGGAGCCGCCCTTTTTGTTCTTCATGCCGAAAGTTTTGTCGTCTACCGTCGCTTTCTTTTTCGGGCCCGCATCTTGCTTTTTGGGAGGCATGATGGCGCTTTCTGGTGGGGGTTTCTAGACTTCGAGGTGGTTTGATATGTGGCTCTGCAGAAAGAGGTGCCGAACGCTAGCTGTGGCAGGGAGAAGAATTAGAAATCCCTGATCTACGAATTCAAGGGCGTGCCATGTGCACAGATATATGGAGGCTCAACGCAAGTTGATTAAGAAGGAGTCACGAGCGTTGAGGCTGCAACGAAGCGGTTGTGGCAGACAAGAGATTTTGTGGGGCGAAATCCCCGACGACGTCATTTGATTGATCGGCTGGTTTTCGAGTGGGGTATCTGGCTCTTGACGGGTCTTCTCTATATACATAACTATATACAAAAGTGGTCGACCTCCTGCTATTTCGTCTCGTTCTCCATATCGGTCACCGGTACCAAGGAGTAGGCAGCGTTTCTCAATCCGAACTGCCTGCCACCAAAGCAGACATAAGCTAGCACGATCACCGTCATCAAGATGGCGCCTAGCGCGATGGCCAGGATTGGCATCGGTAGCGTTAACCAGACGAGACTCTGTTTCGCCGGTTGATCATCTTCTCCGGACTCCGGCTGAGCTTCGAGTGGTGATTCTGGTGTCGCTGTCTCCGTATGGCCTGTTCGACATGCTTTCGCCGGATCAGCACTAAGCTGATCGACCTTGCCCGCCAGCTGCTTCTGCAATTCGGTTGGTGCTTCGATGAGAGTTGCCATTAGCCCTGAGTGAGCGTGCCACTCCATATGGCAATGGAAAAGCCAAACACCTGGGTTATCTGCCCGGAACCGCAGCTTCAGTGTCCCATGGCCGTTGACTACGACTGTATCTCTGCGCATCGGCGCCTGGTCGGCAGGAGTGTCGTTGAGTGACTTACTGCTCCGGTGCGTCACTTGGAAGTTGTGTCCGTGGAGGTGAATCGGGTGTGGATACATATGCTTGTTAGACATCTCGATCTCGACGACAGCACCATGCTCAAGAACGTGCGTCTGTGTCGTAGGTCCGTAAGTATTGGGGTCCGCCGCCTCAGGACCAAAAGAAAGTGCAGCAAAAAGGGAGGGGAGTGTTGGCTTCTCGTAGTGCTGATCATTAAACATCCAATGATTGATGCCATCATCCCGGACGTGCATATCAATGTTGAGTGTGATGTTGTGGTCGACTTCAAGCAACGGCTGTTCATCGTAGGGCGCCAGCGTTAGATCGTCCAACGGCTTGAGCTCGTCGACTTCCCCTGGTTGCAAGTTGGGCAAGTCATCGCCATAGGTGAGCCAGGCTACGCCATCGAGGCTCTTGAGTTTGTCACTGCTGGTGGCAAAAGAGCTATTGTCCATGCGTGAGACGATTGGGAAGTTTGCCGAAGACGCTTCCCTAGTCTTCAGAAGAAAACTGTATCTTTGGCCGGCAGCGATATAGATCATGTCAGTTTCCGCGACTTTAGTGTAAACACCATCAATCTCCACGATCGTTAGGACGTGATCGCGGATCCAGAAATACTGCCCAACAAGAGCACCTATGTTGGCAACTCGGACCAGATACGTTCTCCCAGGTTCAATTCGGACCTTTGCGTCGCGAGTATCGTTGATGAGATTTGAGTCAGGGACAGGCTCGCGACCCATCATTTTGGTTTGTTGATCGTAAGTCGATAGAAGAGTAGGCATCGGATCGTGATACCAATCCGATAGTGACAGCACGAGCTCATCATCGTACTCGGAGCGATACGGAGACTCGGGATCATCGACAATCATCAAGCCCCTTAACCCATCGGGATACTGTGCCTCCGTGTGCGAATGATACCAATAGGCGCCTGGTTGCTTGACCTTTTGAGGACATTGGCATTCTTGTCTGTGGTTGTAGAGGTGGATTGACTTACAGTGAACCTGTACTGAAATGTGGAATCTGGGCCGATTGCACACTGACTGACCCAGCTCGTTCCGTCCATGTGAGAAGTTCCGTTCATGAAAAGGCCATGGAAATGCAGTGAGGTAGACTGGTTGCCAAGCGAATTAAGGACATTGACGATGACCATGTCTCCTACTGCAGCATTTAGGGGCGGTGGCGGCCATTGGTCGTTGACGCCAATGACAGGACGAGGAAAGAGGCCATCCGGATTCGCCCAGACCCAAGTGATGTTAAAGTCATACTGGACGGTAGCAGCTAACGCAAGCTGGGTATAAAACAGGCAGACGGCTGTAACGTAAGGAAAGAGCGACATTAATGCAGGTATGTTCAAAAGGCCATGAATCAGAGGCAAAATAGCCCAACAGTACAGATCATCAGAATAGGACACGATGATAACAGTCAGTTCAGGGATGATGTCTGATGAATCGTTCCCAAGTTCTGACGCGCCGTGGCGTGAGGACGAGGATGAGCACGTTTCTGGGGGCCCGAGGTGCTCCATATGCCGGCTCTCTTGGAAGACAAGACATCTGAAACTCATCATCTTACCTGCGTTCGTGCCCCGTTGGCTGATGCTTGGGCTCGTCAGATGCCGACTGTCCCACGCGTCTACAGTCAGTATTGCTCATATCGGTCGTCCGCTGCTCCTTCGCCAGCGCAGAACTCTTCATGTAGAAACGCTACCACCGCTGACTCCACTGAAGGGCCAAAGTTCGTTCATAGCGTCTCAGAGCAAAGCAAAAGGCTCGTCAGGTGGCTCGGACAGGTGTACTGCCTTGCACTTCAGAATCGAGGAAGGTATTTTTGTTTCAATTGCAATGTATTCGTAGTCGATTGGGATGCAGGACGAGACTGAAGAGCCGTTCCAGAGGGACAACCTCGAGTGCGCCCCAGGGAACAAAGTGCGGAGCGACCGCCTATGACGTCTTTCTATTGGATCTCTCCACTACTAACCACCACCATCGCGAAGCTGCAGCAAATGTTCCCCTCAATGCCCCCTTGACAACCCATCACCTTGTATGCAACGCAACGATCTCTAGGTCAAGGCCAGATTCCGCAGCTGTTGTCAGTCTGAGTCTTGTTGGGATGGACTGACCTCTGCAAGTCAAGGCATACGTCGCCCATTGAGCTCCGTCTCTTGTCCCTCCTACCTCACACGACCGCCATCATGAGCTCGCAGCAGCCTCCACCTTCGCAATACCCGCCGTCCCTGGGACCTGGAGCCCGACCAACACAACAAGGCGAAGGCGAAGGCCCAGTCTCTCAACGCGATCGCTCGCAAAAGTCTCGTCTGCAAGAAGTCATCGCCATCCGTAGCGACTACTCCGTAACTCCCACTCCGACCAATGTTACCCTTGCATATACCCTCAACAACCGTCGCCGATCCTTCACTCTAGAGTACTCTGCCATTCCGCTATCATCCTTTACCTCATCCATCCTTTTCGGCGGTAGCAGTCGCGCCAGCACGACCGGCATCTTCATTATCGACACTATCCGCGGAGTCGAGAACATTACAAAGGCACAGTTGACTCAGCAAGAAGCAGAAGGCTTCGCCAAGTATGCCAGCAAAAGGATGCTTTATTCTTACGGTGGTGTTGGCGCGGCATTCGGCGCTGCAGCTTTCTTTTGGCAGCGTGGAAAACCCAACATGAAATTCCCTTTCATGAAACCCAAGGATCCAGCACGGTACCTCAACTTCCCCAACAGGTACCTCCCCATTCTCAAAGGTGATTTTGCAAGAATAATGTGGCAGATCACTCGTTTCAATGTCTATGCTGCACTCGGTATCTTCTCACTGAGCCCAGTCTTCCGGAGCCTAGGCGATACGAATATGACGGTAGGGTTATACAGGGATGATCGCACAAGACCTCTACTGGAAAAACTAAAGGGTCAGATGCAGAATGGCGGTCTACAACGAATTGCAGGGAATCTACCTAACGCGTCAGGCCAGGAATCTGGGTCAACAGTTGGTCAGGACGATGCATCTAGCGAATACTCGTTTAGTGACCAAGGCGATGGCTACGACGGCGGTGCGGGCGTTGGCTACTCTGATGCCATGAACGACACGGGCGATGTTGCTGCTTCCGCGCGGCCTTCGCCTTCACATTTTCCCTCGCAAACGCCACAGCAGCATCAAGGTTTAGCGCGCCGGAATCAGCGCCCTTCTAATCAGGACTATTCTCCCGCGTCCTCCGCCCCACCGAATCAGATGTCGCAGCAGGACGCCGACCCGTTCAGCTTCAACGAAGATCCTCTCAGCAATAGTTCTTCCGACCCAGACTCACCACAGTATAATCCTGCGGCAGTTCAGCAGCAGAAGCCGCGCCGCAGCTGGGCAGAGATCCGTACCGAAGCACGTCAAGGGACTGGAACCCAGCCTCAGTCAACCCCTTCCTATGCTGGAGGGCAAGGAGAGCGATTCAGCTATGGTAGGGAGGAAGAGGAGAAGCAATATGCAAAGGGACAGGCGCAGAAGGATTTCGACGCAATGCTGGACAGAGAGCGGCAACTGGGTGAGCAGGGGAACGAAGGAAGTGGCGGTGGAGCATGGAGTAGACGGCGAGGTGGAGGCTAGGCATCGGCCTCTCAGAAAGGTCGACACTGTGCGGCCTGGTTGGACGCCTCGGCCGAGCTTTGAGACTCTTGCTTCCACAGAGTCAGAAAAGATGTCAGAAACGGAGGTCATTCACGCTCCAAAAGCAGTCGAGCAAGGGCTGGAGGCGAGCTCGTCCTTGGCTGTCGATGCAACGTTTTATCTCCTACGAAGAGCTCCATGGAAGGTTGAAGGGATCTTCGCACGCCAGGGTCCAAGGAATTGCAAGCACGACCACAACGAAGCCGGGCACAACGGCCACCCAGTCGTTCGAAGCCATTCCCGTGGTTCGTCTGCGCTGTCCTAGACAGGGTTCGCCGGAGTAGCATATCTCTCAGCGTGTCGGGACCCTATCGGCTCACCCATGGTGTACAACAATTCCGCGGCCTTTTCTTTTCTAATGCCACAAAAGTTCTGTATACTGTTTCTGGACGATTCACATCAACCAGGCTCAATGAATTGAAAGCTTCTGTGTGGCTCTTCGAGCGGGTTCTAGATTATGGTGTTGTAGTACCTTGATAGCGATCCTATTGCAGAAGAACACGACTCAATATGAACCAGATGCGCTTGAGTGCTGCGACTACGCGTGAGTTTTGCAAGTATAGGGTGTCTCAATTGCCTCGGTAGGCGAGATCCAACAGCATGCAGAGTCTAGGCGAACACGGGCGATCTGAAAGGTCTCTCGCATCAGGTGTGGCTAAGTCAAGCATTGCATATGGGTGCTCGGGCCAATGCTACACGTGTGGGTCCTTTGGCGATCAAGATAGGGCTGATCAGTGGTGAGCTGTGCTGGGCTATAACTGTCCGGGTGTGGGCTCGACTCAACATTGATCGACGAACGCAGCATGGAGACTGCTGTCAGAGCAGCAAACTAGCCGGGTGTGAACACATGCTATCGTGCTGTTCCTTGCTCTCCAGGTTTCCCGCCTGGGGATCAAGTTTGCTGGCTCTGAGCTCCATACCTACCTAGTCATTCCAACCAGCCTTACGACTTGGTCAGTACTGGATGCCATCGTGTTGCTAGAGTACGTCATGAAAAGCAAAAGCAAAGCTGAAACGAACGGGGCAATGGACTGGAGGTGCTTTCAGAAGAAAGCAACAACTCGATGGTATTAGGCCTCTTGTCAGTGCGCCTGGTCTTTGGTATCGTCTGACGTGTACTCCATATCGAAGGTGAAGAAGTGGTGTCGTTCGTCCATTGCGGGGGTGCTTGACCGACCTGCCATAGCCTGATCCAAGCACATCCATAGCACCTCCGGCAACTCCAGCGAGAGGTTCAGGAAGCTCATCTCGCATTCAGTTCCGCGGTAGACGTAGCTTGCTGGGAAGATAGCGGCAAAGTCGCTTTCTAAGCCTTGGCCTTGCCCTTGTCAGCGGCCTTGTCATCCTCCTCGAGGTCAGGCATGTCCTCATCATCCTCATCGTCGTCATCGTCGTCGCCGCCTTCCGCACCGATGCCTTCCATGCCAGGCATGCCTCCAGCGCCACCTCCGAGTTTAGAGAAGTCAATGCCACCGAATCCACCGTCCTCACCCATACCACCACCGAACTGATTCAGGTAATCGTCTTCAGGAGCCTCGTTCTGCTCGTCCTCGTCGACCCACTACCGACTGTTAGTGACGTGTCCAGCACACACACACGCAGTCTGCTTACCTTGTCGAAGTCCGTCCGCAGGAAATGCACCTTAGCCTTGTCCTTGAGCAGGCGAGGCCAGTATTCCTCCTTGAGCTCCTTCTTCCGCAGGATCATTTGGATGTTGGCCGGGGTGTGGTGCGTCTTGGAATTTTCGGTGTCGACCTCGGCAAAGAATTCAATGTCGAGGAGATAGGTGGTTTTCTTCGTGTCTGAGGTACCCTCAAACTTGAGACCGGTAGGCTTCAGGTCAAGCTTCAGAGACTCTTTGGGTACATCGGGAACACTGATTGTGAGGATGACATAGTTCTTCTCGGGCTCGGTCTCAGAAGAACGCTGAGCCCACAGGACTGGTGAGAGTCAGAGAGTGATCTAGAATGGGTGTCCAAAACCGATGCGGCGCAGAAACATACCTTCGGGAGTCGCCTTGTCTGAGGAAGCCATGGCGGGGTATGGAATAAGTAGCGACGGAGCTTGGGAGGGGAGGTGCGAGGGATGGATGGAGTCTACTTTGGGAGTGTTGCGCAGTGAAGATGAATGAGAGAAGCAGAAGCGGTTTGGGGCGGGAGTTTGTGTGTGCCGGTCGCAGTTTGCAAAAGAAGTGCAAGGCTCTGAGGATTCAGAAATGGAACGAATGACATCGAAGGTTCAGCTGTGGAAGATCGTTGCACTTACTCCGTAGTGACCGCAGAGTGGGTGCCTTGCGCTTGCCTGAGTCCAGCCCCCCGCCATGCGTCAGTCTCTCGCGATTTTCATCAGTCTCTCACCGCACCGCCTGCCTACTGCCCACTGCCCACTGCACCTATCGTGGCATGCGCATTTAAGCCTTGCGCTCTTAATCAGCAAGACCTGCGTTCTGCTAAGCGCCCTACCGTGGTAGCAGTCCTGCGTCTAGGCAACGGTGCCTGAAGCCCCTCCACACCACCGTTCGGGGATCGCCCAGCCCTCTCGGTGTCGTAGTTGCCTTCATCTAACCCTAACACATGCAACGTCGTCCATCGCAGGCATCAATTACAATTTTATGCTGGAGACGACGGATTGGGTTATAACGTGGAGTCAACAGCCACGCTCTGCGGGGCCTGCGTCATGTAATTGTGGTCGCTCGTGCAGTCGCAACATCAACACAACCTATCCCATTCCGCGCAATGGATACTTTCAAGTCGGTCTTCTTCAAGCCCGATCCTAAGGAGCAGGTATGTTACGCGCATGGTTGTCAGCGGCTCTACTGATGCAAACAGAAACGAAAATGCGATAGCCTCATCCGCAAGAGCCGGCGGCAGATCGATCGCCAGATCCAAGATCAAACCAACGCCAGACGCAAAGCTGAAGCACAAATACGAGCAGACTTCCGCAGAGCAGAGAAGAACCCTTCGCAAAGAAAGCAAGCCTTGCAGGCGGTACGACAGCTAGCCAAGGAGTCGGCTGGAGTTAGGAAAAGCATCAATCGCCTCAACACCAACAAAGCGCAGCTTGACAGCATCCAGATGCAGGTCAATGAGACCTTTGCGCTCAAAAAGATACAGACCAGCTTGAGAGACAGCACAACTGTAATGAAAAACGTCAACTCGCTTATCCGCCTACCTGAGCTGGCCGGTACAATGAATGAGCTTAGCCAGGAGTTAATGAAGGCTGGAGTTATCGAGGAGATGGTCGATGACATGCTGCCAGGAGAAGAACTGGAAGAGGACGGGCTTGATGAGAGCGAAGCCGAGATCAACAAGATCATTGCCGACGCGTTGGGCAAGGAGAAGGACAAATATCTTGAACAGTCCGAGGAAGCCTTTCCAGAGGCTCCTAGTCAGATTGAGGAGCCATCAAATGAAGTGTCGGAACAGGACATTGCCAATATGCGCATGAAGTTGGAAGCATTACGAAGTTGACGGATTTCACGAGGGTTCATGAGCGTTGAGAAAGTCGATGCACTCCAAACTTATTCCGCCGGATAAAATGTCTGCTATACGGTGTTGCGAACCCACCACGATCTACTGGATCGCAAGATGGAGAATGCGGTAGAGAGGCCGGGGCATCTTCGTTCTCAGTGACACGATACAGTCGCCACAAGCCTGTTGTTTCGAGGAACCGCTGAATCGCTGCTGGAAAGACCACGTGATCAATACTCAATCTAGACTAGCGCTCTGCGGTTGCCAAATGCGTCGCCCGGGGCGCGGCTGCCTTGAGCTGCAATTGCGCTTGCGACCTCCCCTGCCTCCTCAGCAGTTCTTCTTCCTTATCATCTCGACACGTCGTCCTCAATACAAACCTGTCGACGTTTTTCATTCAAAGATCACTCACTCCTTCACTTCCATTGATTATTTTCGCACATCCGCATTCGGCGACTTCAACTGCATAATACCCTCATCCAATCCGGCTTTTCCGCTTCGTTGCGACAAACACGCCAAAGCGCGCAAGGACCACGCGTAAACGCTTCATCCTCATCCTTCTATCCTCTCTTCGATCCGATTCAAATCGATCAAGATGTCTGGCCGGCTAGACCAATCTCTCGATTCCATCATCGATAGCCAGAAGAAGGCGAAGCGCGACAATCAGCGCCGTCGCAAGCCTGTTGGTGTCAAGGCTCGTGCTGCTCCTGTTGGTGGTGTCAAGAAGGCTACCAAGCCTGCGAAATCTGCCGTCAAGCCCGCTGGTGGCGCGTCAGCTTCCGCTCAGCCCAGCAAGATTGTCGTCAGTGGTCTAGTGAGTCTACTTAAGCCCTCAGTTGCGATTCCTAGCTAACAGTCTAGCCCTACGACGTCAATGAGGCCCAGATCAAGGTATGTTGATGAAGAGGCCTAGAGACCTTGGATTTCCATCGCCGTCCGCGTGCAATTCCTATCCTGCTTTGGAGACCCGAAGCGGTTGAGAGCGTGTTGTCCTTGTTGAACAAGAGTGACAACTGGTTCACCTAGCCATGCTGGAATGCTGGCATGAGGGTTGAGACTGGAACAGACGCTTGAGTTGACCTTTGGTCCTTGATGCTCTGTATGACTCCCCTTCGATCGTGCAGAACCACATCGTGCCGGCTAGCCACCGTTGTGCGATTGTGGTGCACACCACTCGGGACAAGGCTGATGCAGAAATGCTCATCCCTCCCGTTGTGCGCAAGCACTTCACGAACATCCGAAATCATCGCATTTTGCAGTTGAGCCGAGCAATCCTGGATCAAGACTCGGTAAAAGAGCCTTGATCCTTGAGCAGCCCCACCACGAGCATCGAGTTAAGAACACATCAAGTACGCATTGGAACATCACCACAACATCTCTGCATCAACTACACGCCACTTTACGCCTTGTTTCCAAACATACCACGCACAACTTTCGACTGCTCGATGCCATGTTCTTAGCTCCGCGCGGTTGTGCGCAAATTGCTCACGCTCCTGCTGATTTGCTTTGACGGACGATGTTCTCCAGGAGCTGGATCCCTGATTCGAACCGCGAGCTGCTTTCTGACACGAGGACGAATGGCCGGGGACGAGGGTGCGAGGATGGGCGGATGTCGACATCTTACACCAAGCACGATTGCAGCATCATACTGATCACCTGGCGCGAATAGGAATACTTCTCCAAATCTGTTGGTCAGGTCAAGAAAGTCTCTCTTCAGTACAACCAGAATGGCCAGAGCCGTGGCATTGCCGACATATCCTTCAACAAGCCTGGCGTCGCCGCCAAGGCGGCCAAAGAGCTCAATGGCATGCTGGTCGATAAGCGTCCAATGAAGGCAAGCAACAACTCTTTACACGACTGGGCCATTTCTAACCCGGATAGATTGAGGTGGTGGTCGAAGCCAGCAGTGTCACGGTCCCGGAGGCCAAGCCACTGTCTGAGCGTGTTGCGTACGCCAATCCTAAGCACAATTCCAAGTCAGGTCCACTGATGCAGGACAGTGCCAACCCCAAGGCTAAGCCCAAGTCTGCCACTGCCACCAAGGCTACTGCCAAGGATGGTGCCAAAGGTCGCAAGGCCAACACGAACAAGAAGACTCGCACGCAGCGTTCCAAGCCCAAGACGGCTGAGGAACTCGATGCCGAGATGACCGACTATTTCAACGCCAACAATAATGCTGCTGCTCCTGCTCAAGGTGTCGCTGCCAACGGAGCTGCTGCTACCGCTGCCCCAGCCGCTGCTGATGACATGGGCATGGATGAGATCTCGGTTAGCTCTTTCGATATCATTGTGTGACGCTGGCACTAACGTGTTGTGAAGTAAATGAGAGATCGAACAGTGGAGATTGCGTCGAGCTCATCACTACTTGCCAACTATCAACCAAGGAACCCTTCTCAGAATGTATTGAATATCGAAATAAACCAAGGCGAAATTATCTGGACGAGCACTCGAAGCTGGAGCTGGGCGGCACGATTCGAGGAGGAGCCAGGGTCTAACAAACTGAGGTCGGAAGTCGAGCATTACTCACACATCCCTTCAACAGCCTTGCATCACGGGACGGCATGGTGTCGATCGTTCCACATAGTTATTGATCCAAAATCAAAATTGAAACTGCTGTTACTAGCCTTCCGTTCACGCCCCATTCTAGTCCAAGGAGGGGTATCTTTACTATGCTTCATCGCGGGTCCCTGAGATGATGCCCTAGGCAGAGCTGTGCCGGTTGCCTAAAAGGAGGTGTTCGAGCGTCGACCGGGCATGACACGTTCATGGCCTCCGCCCTCGTCTTCAAGAAAGCATTCTAGAGATCCCAAAGTTAGGAAAAGGGGGGCGCGGGCAAGTTGCAGAATACGATGGTCCTTGATTTCGTTCTTTTATCTGTGTAACCTATTTGGCTACTGAATGATCTGTTCGCATCTGCTCTGCTTTTTCGAGTTCTTTTTCTTCTACCCTTTTGGATTTGGAAATCGCAGTCGGAGCACGAGACACAGTCCATCGTGATCGATGCCCATCGATAAAGCCCTGAAAATTCACGCGCTGGATGCGGCCCTGGAACGCCGCCAGCCCACGTTGTGTGATTCCGGGATATTCTTCGAGAGGCAGACAGAATCTTAGTGCCCGCGCTTGATACTCTCATGACTGATTATTTTCCCACAAGAGTACGCCAGCCGTGGTTATCATGACACTTAGCTCCCACATCGTTACCATATGAAAGTTACCGTGGTGAAGCTTATCGCACTATATGTCGACAAGTTCGAAAGTGTCGTCATCGTCATCGTCGTCATTCGTATCGTCAGGCTTTGCGTATTTGCCTTTGCTGTCCTTGGACGACTCTTCAATGTTGTCACCGTCGTCTTCGTTAAGAAAGTCATCGGCATCGTCACCGAAGAAGTGGCCTTGCACATCGCTGCCCGCACCCATGATGGTTGAGACATCTCCATCGTCACTGTCAGCCAGAAAATGTCCGCCACCCTTCTCAGCTTCCTTGAGAGCCTGTTCGATGTGCATCTGCTGCACTTGCCCGTAAAGGTCGGTGTAGTCGAAGTCAGTATCACTCTCCTGATCATTATCAAAGCTCTTGACCGTCTCTGTGCCATCCGTGGCAATCTTGCTGGCTTTGCCGACCGTGCTGACAGCCTCACTCGCCACGTCGTCAAAGCTGCTCGACCCACTCTCGGAGTCATCGGTGGCCGTATCGACCTTGCCAATACCACGCTTCCCGCCCCGAAATCCGCCAGCTTCGAGATTTGGGATAGTTTCGTCGAAGACGCCGCCGGTGCCGTCATCGAAACCTCCAACAGATAAGGGCAGGAACTTCCATTCTTCGTCTGTGAGACAGAAGACGTGGTCAATAAGATCAGTCGGCATCGAGAAGCTCTCGTGGAAGATGTGCGCGGGATACACTATTTCTTGTGCACGGTTCCGTAGAGAGCGACTGAACTGGATCATCATATCGACAAAGTTGATCTGGTTGCCGTAGCTCCACTGAGTCTGATAGGGTAGATCGGAGAACTGCTGTAACACGCGGCGCTCAGGCTTCTTCTTTGGGTTCATTTTAGGAGCCTTTGACACGGACTCCCAGTCGACATGGAGGTGGTCCGGATCCCCGGCGCCTAAGTCGGCGGACCACTTGGACTTGAGAGCCTTCCCTTCTGTGGGATCGTCCCAAGAGCCCGCAGACTCCTGACTAGCCATGTTCGCCAGTTGTACACCATCAAGATTGCTGTTACCTGGCCGAACACTATCAGGGAGTCCATCTCCAGGGGTAGCACCGAAGACTCCACTGTTCCAAGCGTCGTCTGGGTGCGAAAACCCGTCTTCTGCAGGTTGTGGCAGATTGGACCTTGCTCCGAAAACGCTGCCGATAGAAGGCCACTTTTGGGTCATGTGGGGCCAGGAGATGTTGGATCTGGGGGTAGCTGTCGTGGTGGTTGCAGTTTCTTCCTTTATGGGCGACGTGCCGCTGCTTCGGCTTGCGAATAAGGTTCTCTTTTCGGGCGAAGTGTTCAGAAGAGTTGAAGTGAAGGCAGGTCTCTCGTCGAGGAATGTAGTGGGCGCAGGAGCTGGTCGGATAGGCAAGGCAAGCGCTGGGCCGTCGTCGGACGTCTTGCGCCGCTTCCCGGGGGAAGTGCCAGGATCAAATTCGCCGATCTGTTCACGTTTCTGCTGCAAAAGGGGCGTGGTATTTGCGTTCGTTGCTATCGAGATCTGGGACTCAGCAAATGAGTGCCCATCCCAGGCACCTGGGTCGTTGTATGTGTTAGACCTCGCTTCAGGAAATATCGGCTTGGGAGGATACAACAAGTCATTGACCATCATGATCTTGCGATCTACCGCAGATGCCCTATTCCTATCCTGCGGTTCCAAAGTCATGTCTCGGATAATAGTGTTTTTCTGCTCAGCCAGATCGCCATCCCACGCGGATGCGTTATCCAAGCGCAGGTCCACGTCTTTCTTGAAGTCGATCTCCGCAACGGCCATCCAGAAACTTCGAGTAAAAGGTCGTGCAAGATATGGAAGATTGTTGTAAGTGTCAACGAAGAACAGGGAGTGCTTCGCATGGGGTAGTTGAGTCTCGCGGCCTGCGGGCCGTAGATGGTCGTGGGTACCCACCAAGGCTTTGATCATGATGGCCTTCAGCCTGTATTTGACGAAGTCTACAACGGCTTGTTGCGCAACCTGAACAATCTGGGCTTCCCAGTCATTTCTGGGGGCGCATTGCAGGAGTTTCTGGTATGCAGGACTTTCTCCCAACCAGTCTGGCTCCAAGACCATGGTGTCGATGACCCGACGAAGCCGTACGACCATGGACGATGCAGCATGACCAACGCGATTACGTTCGTCGTCGTCGAGGATTTCTAGGGGACGGCCATGCATCGAATGGTCGGAATTCGCGACTTGACCGACAAATTGGTGACAAACGTCCATCAAAGCCTTCTCGCCAACCAAAACGGCGAAGGAATCTCGGGTGAGATCTGGCCAAACGCAAGCCAGGCCGATGCGGTAGCCAATTTCGGGGTTGTTCTGGACAAAGTTGGCGTTTCCCGTCTTCTGGAGCCACTGCAGAATCCATTTGTTGATCTGCGGACTCTGCGCACAGCCGAAATATCGAGCGAGAGCAAAGTATGTCCACATTTTGGGAGCAGAATCCAGCTTTGGATCGCCCCCAGTCATTGCATTGAAGAGGCGCTCAAGCCCGGAATGGTGGCGTAGAGGGCAGTATTCTGTTGCAAGTGGCAGGTCCCCGATTTTGTACGGTCCTTCGCGAGCTCGTCGGTATTCGAGATAGTAAGGATTTGAGGGATAGTCAAGATGGTCTGTTCCGGCAACAGCAGAAGGCGGCAGGTCGAACATGTCTTGGGCTAGGTGCCAGGCACGGATACCGTAGCTGCAACTTAAGTCAGTTATCAGAAGGACGGCCTCGTCGTCTTCATTTGGCGGGCGCAAATCCACATGATATTTGACCCGTGCTTTGAGAGAAGGATTGAATTTCTTGAACGTGTCGAGCTTCTTGAAGCGCGTTTCGGCGCGGATGCACGGGGTAGCGCCGAGTAGCTTGTCGAACTTGCTGGAATGCAGAGCCTTGATGTCGCTGCTCTTGACCAAGAAAAAAGTATCGAAGTGTTTGCGGATGTGGGTGTACTCGTCTCGTGACTGATCTCGCAGAGGTGGTGGGATGCCAATGTAGATAAGAGTGTCACCAGCCTCATCGGCGATTGGAGTGAACTCGTTTCCTAGACGGAGGTCGACGTTCATGGTCATAGCCTTGATAGGATCATGAGGAATGCTATCGGGGCTTCTGTCCGGAATACTTTTTTCAGGCTCAACACTGTCACGTCGCTCCTGGCTTCTGGCCTGACGAGCTTGTTCGTCCCATATTGACTGAGCGATGGCATGGCTGAGGTCAGGGTCTCCTTGACCAGTATCTCGAGGCGAAGTCATGCTGGGGATTGTGACGGGCTATGTGCGGGCGGAAGAGGTTGGTGAATCCCAAGATTCAGATGTTTGCGCTTTGAGAGAGTTGGATGAAATGCCACCAAGTGTCAAGTCAGCCCAAGGCGCGATCCAAAGACGGCAGAGGGCCGCTGCTGAAAGAAGTTGATTCTCCTGGTGGCAGGTTAATATGCAGAGACTTTTGATTGGCAAAAAGTTCAGTGGTAAACCGATGATCAGGAGTTTGTGGAGGGTGAATGCAGGACAAGGCTGAAGGTGTTGTATTAGAACAGGTGAGGAGAGAATAGAACGTGATGCCTTTGTCTGAAGCAGAAATCGGAGCCCGGCAACCGTTCAAGAAAGAAGTGAGCCGTATCGAAGACATTCAACAAGACAGAGGTAGAAAGAAAATGGTCGTGGGTGTCAAGGGTGAGCCTGGGACGCATGGTCACCAGGGCAGTGGTTGCCTGCTCTCGATCCGCGGGGTACACATCCACCAATTATATTCGCCAGAAGGGTGCTCCGCCATCCCCAAAGTTCCTGGGATCAGCGGAGCAGCCGTGCTGCCCACATCGATGAAACTTCCATGCGACTTATACATTGGATGTCTTTGTCTAGAGCTGTTCGCTCAACACTATGTTGTACAAAAAGGTTTAAAGGCACACTATGCACGCTTCCTTGGCTCCGAACGCCTCCTCGAGTCAACGCACCTAACCAAATCACTCATCCAATGCACCTGCTCCAGCCCGGCAAGCCGCAACCAAAACCCACAAACAGGTAGATCAGGAAAATCACCACGACCACGAGCAGGACCATGATGCGCACGTTTTTCCACCACATCTGTCGCCTCAACCCCCGGCTGCGAACACGAAAGTCTCGCGCGCTCCCGCCCAGGCGATCCGTTTTGTCCACTAACAGGTCAATCCGTTCTCCGCGCTCCAGCACTCTCTCGATGTTCTCCGTCATGATGTCCTTGACGCTATCGATTTCCCGGCGGGCGTTGGACAATGAATCGCTGGGTGGTGAGACATTGTATTGTTGAAGCATGCCCTTGAGTTGGCTGTTGAAAGCAGCAGTACCATACGCTGGCAGCGACTGGTAATCCGTGTCTTCTGGCTTGAATTGCCCGAGGTACTTTTTCTTCATCTCGAGAAGGAACGCAAACGGCACTCTCCGCCCAAGCTCCGCCTGCGCGACAACGAGGTACGTCAATGCGGCATGGCTGCTCAGCTGCTCATCGGGTGCGTTCGACGAAGACGAAGGCGAGTCGGCGATGTAGTGCACGAACAGCTTATCGTGTGTGTAGGTGAGCTTCGCAGGTGTCGAGTGCGAGATCTTGGGGAGAATGACCGAAGCCAGAGACGAGGCAGACGAGGCAGAGGTCCCTGGCGACGTGTGTTCTGTCAATATCGTGGTGCCATGTGCAATGCACGCACTTGACCGGCGTTAGTACCGACTTCGAAGCAAAGCTGTCGGCGACAACATACTATAGCATTTGGGATGGTGGTGATGAGCTCGACGCCATGATCGCAAAGAGTCGCTTTCAACTCAACAATATGCGGTGAGGTAATGCTCGATGCTCGAGGTGTCCCCAGTTCTAAGAGCCTCTGATGAAGCGAAAGGGTTGTCAGAATTGTAAACGCTGGTTGGACTCAACACTTGCCGCCTGCGATTGAAGTGAAGTGCATCCAGAAACCGCAGCTACGTCACGAGCACGTGATTGGTTCTCGCCCCTTTTGGCCTGAGCCTGGTCGCCAAGAAATCAGACTACATGTCAACGGGGACCTCGCACGTTTCCTCCTATCAGGGGCAATACTGAGTATCACCAGACATGGCTTCCGTCTACTTAGAGAGCTATATATCACCTCAAGTCTGCGCTAATCAGCGCACGTGGTTGAGACGACAACTTCACTGTCCTGCATAGACTCTACTGCTGGGCGTTGTGAGCGACCTTCCCAGTGTCTATGCCTCCTACCTACTGATTCGTTCCAATCACGATCTTGAACCTTACATGGTCTGTCCGCCAGGCAATGTGCCTTCTTGCTGGCAAGCAGAGAGCCTTGACTTGACGTAGTCGCATCGTTTTCCCATATCCCGTGACCGATGAACCCTGGCCCACCACCGGCGTTCGAGAAGAATCAGAGTAAGTTGATCGCATGACACACATCAGCGTCTGTGGTCCCCAGCATGAGCAAAGAGCGGCCTCTTGTGGTTGTATCGTCTCCTACCTTGACAATAGGAGCCTCAGGTCAAGATGCCGCAACCTGTGCTGCATCATCCGATATTCATCGCCAAGTCCATTCCCTTATGCCTCCACGGGCAGAACGAAGGTGAATACTGACCAGCCTCGCAAACCTTTCGCACCACACTTGCCATACGATGCAAGAAGCATGCTAAACCTGAGATGGCTGGGAATCCATTCACTGTGCTAGCTTATCCTCGTCCTGACCTGGCGCAACTGGGTGCGATCTGCGCGGCCTGCGCGGCGGCGATGGCAGTCTCGTACTCGACAACATCGATTGACAACCTGTGTCTAAGCATCTTAATGCTCTAGTGAGAGTCCTGCGTGGGACAACAGATGGAGCAATGCGGTTGCTTTCCCGTCTAACCTCTGGCAAAGGCGTTCCGGGTTCATTCACTCAATCACTCTGCAACGGCTCCGCCCTCGAGCGTCCGCCCCGCTGACCAGCCTCTCCGCCTCCTATTCTTCCGCCCTTCTGAATAGGAGTCGTGCTATTGACGCGTTACATGGTGGGAGGCTGGGAACCAGCATGGCGGGACAGCGGGATTTTGCAAACTTCTAAAAAGAAGTCTCGTCCTCGAATACCTCGACCTCTACCAACTTCTTCCTTCGAATCATCATCATCTCGTTCATCACAAGCATCTGCTCAACCACTTCCTTGCACTACAGCTCTAGTAGTCTCTGACAGACAAAAGACACTCTCCTTCTGTCCGGAACAGAATCTTCTCTCCCAAAGCTTCACCATGTCTGACACCTTCGACCGTGCCGCCTTCGAGCGCCAGCTTGGAACCTCCCGCGCCACTCCTGTCATATCTCCTACTCAAGACTCTGACACCATCTACCACTTCAAGAGAACGCTCGGCAAGTCTGGCCTCAAGGGCGAAGACTTTGTGGTCGACCCGTTCCAACACTACCACATCCTGGACTGGATTCAAGCTGTCAAGAAGGACAACGACGGCGTTTCTCATGACGAAGATGATGGTGTCCTATCCGAGACGCCTGGCACTCCCCATGAGGCCGCTGAGCAAACTACCAACAACCTTGATTTCTTCAGCCAGAGTCCGGTCGACCAGTACGGTCGTCTTGTCAATGTTCCCAGTAAGCATTTGCTTCGTTGCTAGTCAAAGCTTCTAACGATTTCCAAGCAGCTGCTCCCAACACCGGCATCGATACTGACCCTGGTCCATCCCACTTCGATAATCGTCCAAGCGATGATGCGGATGACGAGGCAGAGTCAAGCAGCGACCTTGAGCCTTTCTCCGATAGATTTGTCCCCACAGGCCAACCCATTCCGGTCCCTTGCACACTGTTCCTCAGTCCCAGTGAGGAGCTGGCGCCATCCGGCGAAGAAGGTGGTGACGAGACCCAGGAAGAAGATGAGTCTGACGTTGAGAACGTGCAGAATGGCGAGCACTACATCAGAGAGATCGTGATTATCCACGGCACAGACTCCGAGCCAGATGATGACAGTACTCACTACATCCGAGAGATCACTCCCCCCAGACGTTCCAACATCGAGCTTGACGATGTGCTTGGGCTCATGGACGAGGATGACTACTCTGATCTCCCAGACTACGAGGACTTCGGTGCGCAGGTTGACTTCAACCACCAGGAACCCGCCTATGAGTACGCTGTCGAGCCGGTCGTCCCTCCCCCCGGTCCATACGAGATCTACCAGGTTCCTCCTCACACGCCGATCGCGCTTCGCCGCTTGGAAAAGCACCAAACCATGCTGTCTTCGGCAGAGAAGAATTACCAATCGGTCAACAACGTTGTCACCACCGTTCCTGAGCTCATCACTACGAGAGCCAACAGCAAGAAGCGCTCCGCATCTGAGGCTCGCACGCCCCGCTCTGCCGTTGAGGCTGCCAAGCGCTCTCGCCTAGACTGCATCGAAGCGTCGCGCCTTCTTGACCAGCTTGACGACCACATCGAGAACGAGCTGTCTCGTCTCAACTCGCCAGTCCCCTCGGTCGAGTCCGATCTCACACCGTGCACTCCCAACTTCGCCGCATACCCAGGACAGTTCACAGCCATCACCAGCGACTACCTTGGTACACGTGGCATTGGTCAATCCTACTACGTCTACGGGGACCCCACCGGTGCCAACGCCAACGGCATGTATGCCAATTCGGCATTCTCCAAGGCCCCCCGCAATGGCAGCATCGACCTGGCTGCGCGCTTCGCCGCCGGCGACCGCCTCACGCGCCGTGAGCAAGGCATGCTCACGAACCTCGAGCTCAAGAGCGACTTGGCCTCTGCCGCGCACGTCGCTGCCCAGCGCAGCGGCGAGCAAGCCTTCAAGCGCGTGCAGGTGCACTACGAGGCTGCGATCGCGCGCCTCAACGGCGTGGCGGTGGGCCAGCACCGTTACGAGAAAGGCCACATGACGGTCGAGGAGTACGTCGAGGCGGGTGTTTGTGTGTGCTGGGCTCCGTGTGCCTGTGTTGCGTTCTGCGGTCGTAAGTCAATTCACCCCTTTCCGTGCTTCACAAAGAGATTTGCTAATTTGGTGTTCGATAGGCTTCCCAGACATGATGTGCCCGTGCAACGAGCACATCGTGCTCGACGACGAGTAGCCTTGTGGTGGCGTTGGGGTGTCGGCGTTGGCTGGACGTGTGCGTGTTGTCTTTTTTGGTTGTTTGTGAAGCGTCTTGACCGGGAATGAGTGGTGAATACCACGAGTATTCACCGATCGAGTGTTTTGGGCTTTTTGGTTTCTGTTTTGATTTTTGCTTGCGAGTCACCGAAACTACGTGGTGGCCATGACCATTCGCCTACAGGGCGACAGTTGAGTGAATGACAACATCTTCGACATGACGACTGATTCCTAGTACCTGTATCTGCTTTCCTGAGACATGCTACTCGCATCAGCCAATTGCGCACGATGTTCCTCCACCACTGCGGCCCTGCGCCGTTGCCGAAAATATGCACGGCAATTTCCGCCTTTGGCACGATGGATTCCCCGTGGTGCCTTGCAGCCAATCTCCGTGCGGAATGCAGAAACCCGCCCCTGTAAAGCTCGGGAGTCAGGGGTGCCTGGGGTGCCTGCGCCCCGCAACCTTTCAGGTTTGATTTGCAAATGTCCCGTTGCGACGGGCGCGCGTGTGTGCTTCAGGTCCCGTTTCAGCGACCAGGCAAAGATCTCCCTTGTTTCCTCCCTCTCCTTCCCCAGAAATCCAGATTCTGTCACTCCGCAGAAACAGGTGTCGAAAGGGATAGGACCATGTGTTGATCGACGTTCCGTTGGGTTTCTTGTTCACCTTTAATTCTCGACGTTCATTTCAAGCCACCACGACCAACGTGAAGCGTGCCTTTGTTTATTTCGCACATACGCCACGGACCACCTGGTCATTACAGCTTCATCGAGCAGACACTTACCATCGCCTTTGGACAACCGTCATAGCGACTTGCACCTCGCGCCTATCCTGAAATACGGCTTTGATCCATCATTCATTCCATCGCGCGCTTGCCTAACCACAGCCGCATTCGACCTCTCGGTCCAACTTACATACCATCCCCCATTGCCACCACAATCTCTACCGCCAAAATGTCTTCAGCAGCTGACCGACTGGCCGCCGCCAAAGGCAGCCTTGAATCCTATTACACCCAGTCCCACCCCCAGCTGTCCAAGCGTGACCTCTCCGCCGCCGCCAAAGAGCACCTTGCTCAGATCAAAGGCGCCTTCGAATCTTCTCACTCACCACTCTCGAAGCGCGACCTCTCCGCCGTCGCCAAGGAGCACCTCGCTGAAATCAAAGGCGTCTTCGAAGCCTCTCACTCCCCGCTGTCCAAGCGTGATCGAATCGCCGCCTCTGCCGCCGACCGCCTCGCAGCCGCCAAATCCGCCCTCGAAGGCTCCATCTCATCATCATCCAAGCTCTTCCGGCGTGACCTCTCACATGACTCCGCTGCGCAGAGACTCGCGGCCGCGAAGCAGGGACTCGAGGATGCAATCGGCGGTGCCGGTTCTGCGCTCGTAAAGCGCGCCGAGGATGACCAGGACAAGCCAGTCCAAGGCGAAGCCGAGCTGCCCGTCAGCAACTTCCAAAAGACGGTGATGCCCATCGTCATTGGCCTTGTGTACGTCCCTTTCCCCCTTTAACCCTCTGCCTCTCCCCTTTGCTCGTCTCCATCGACACAATGTGTCCCCACTCCAGCAGCCACTACATCCCAAAACTTCATTAACTTCAACTAACCCCATCTTCCCCACTACAGCCTCCTCTTCCTCTTCGCCGCCGCCGCGAGCTGGATCGTCTGGCGCCGCCGCCAGAAGAACAAGGCCGGTGAATCCGCCGAGCACCGCCGCAAGCACCTCGACCTCGAAGACGACGGCGCCGACGAAGACTATGGCTTCGAGCTGCCCCAGAACCAGCGCGTCCAGAACGTCGGCTTTGGCGGTGCTGCGGCCGGTGCAACCAGCAATGTGAGCATTGGTGCCGGTGCGCAACAGGGCCGCAAGCGGACGGGCAGTCTCAAGGAGGAGCACGCCAAGGGGGAGGACGCGAGGGAGACGAATAGTAAGGAGTTTGTGTAGTGTGGGAAGGGCTGGTATGGGGCAGTGGGCGGGGGGAGGCGAATAGGGACGCGGCAGAGAAACCGCGGGGGAAACCGCAATGACCTACGGAGGAGGGTGCGCATCAGCGACGGCGATACGTCCCAGGTAGTGCTTCTTGTTGCATGAGTAATGAATGATACTTCCTTTTGAGCAGTCTCGTGCGATGACGGCAAATCCAGCTTCCTTTTACTCCTTACCCCTCCTGGCAAGTCTCTCGTGAAGGCGGACTTTCCAATTAGCCAAGGGCAGGGGTGGGCGCCGTATTTGCAGCGGTGGCGGGACGGGGGGGAAATGTGGATGCTAGAACGACCGATGGGGGGGTTTATAAGCACAGTGCACAACACTCTGCATTCATATATATGTATATATGTATATTCATTACCTATCGTAATAAACCATCGCTTCCTCCCCTTTTTTTGTATATAGATCATCGCTCATTACCAGATCGTGAGACACCTCAATATCTGACCGTACCATAGTCATAGGAGACCAGACTGCCACCGCCGCCGCCACCACCACCGGCCACGCCATCATCCACACTGATACACCACCTCTCGCTCCCATCCTCGACCTTCATCCAGCCACCACTGTATATCGCGCCCCTGCGCTTCGCGGCCCGATCTCGTTCCGCGCCCCGCGTCGTCTCCCACCCGCCGTACTCGCGCAGCAGGCCGTTGCCCTCATCGGCCATCATCAGCCACACGCTCAGGATCGTGTCCGGCTCGCGCGGCAGCCGCAGCCGCTTGACCTGCGCGCGCCACCAGAAGACGGCCAGCATGACGAGGACCATCCAGCCCAGGATCGCCAGCGAAATGTACGAGCTGTAGAGGTAGGCGTCGAAGAAGCGGCCCTGGCTGAAGGGCACGCCGCCGACCGTGATGATCAGCACGTCCGACAGGATGGCCGTGACGGCGACGATGGAGTGAAACACCTCGCCGCGCCGCATCGCGCCCCACAGGGCGCTGAGCGGGACGCCCGCGACGTCGACGAGCACGCTCTTGTCGGCGCGGGCGCGGCGGGCGCCCAGACGGCGGTAGGGTGCCAGAATCCGGACCTCGCGCTCCAGCGTCTTCCATCCGAAGTCGATGAGGGCGGCGATGAGGGTGAGGGTGAATTTGGGGCCGAAGCCGCCGGAGTTGAACCAGTTGTTAAAGGCCGAGCGGTTGCCTACGAGATAGTATGCTAGCACGATGCCGAAGAGTGCGAGGATCACGAGGATGAAGATGGCGTCGCGGACGAGGCGCCAGGAGACTGAGAAGGGTTTTTGCTCTCTGATTGGGTACTCTTGCAGGGACATGTTGTTTGGGTTGGTCAGAGCGGCGTATTGGTGTCTTGACGAGGCGTCGAAGTTGTTGGCGCTTCCGAGCGAGTAGGGGTTGCTGGTCATTGAAGAGGTGGATTTGGTGATGCCATAACGCGGGAGGCCGGTTGCGTCGGTGTAGGATGTGAGAACATATCGGGTGCCCGATAGCGCGGCGAGAATGGACTTGTCTGACGCAGAGGGATCGAGTTGGCGAAGATCTTGAAGCATGTCGTCGTGGGAAAGAAGTGAGGCCATGGTGGCAATCGAAGAGGGGTTGCTGTGGATGCCAGATTTGCGACGGAAATTGAAGACGATGACCAGAATGATCAGCACAGCAACGGCGATCAGGATGCCCTCCAGAGCACGTGCGGGGCCCTTGTTGATGACCCACACTGGACTGCAGGGCTGCATTATTCCAGATGGCTGGGGACAGAACTGCGTGGCAACTGTCGCCATGGACTCAGATGCGATGGGACTCAGTGTGGCCATTGCGATGTAAGCAAAGGTGCTAAAAAGCATGACCCAGTGCCCACTGAAGATGTGACGAATGTGAGTCCATCCATACGCCGCAGACAGGTAGTCAGCAAGCAAGGATTCGGACGGTGTGGCTCCACCAGGTTTTGAGAGCTGGTAGAAGGGCTCGAGCATCTTCAGACCCGAGAAGACAAGACCCCAGGTAAGCTTTAGCAGCACAGCGACTAAGACTGCCAGATATGATGACAAGAAGAAGTCGTGGTCTTTGTATGTCTTCGAGATTTGCACTTGCGAAGACTTGACGCCAGCTGGTGCCGTTGGCGTGCTCGACGATGCTGGAGCTGTGACTGTTGTAGACGTCGAGATAACCTGAGTTTCGCCGCCAATCACGGTTGTTAGAACTGTTGGCGAAATTGCCAGCGTTACCAGTCCGTTCGATATGATTTCTGAAGTGGTGACCGTAGAGCTCACAGAAACGACCACAGTATTAGTGACCGTAGACCCCATGGAATCGGTGGTCACTTGTGTCGCCGTCTCAGGTGATACGGTGACAACAGTTAGATGCAGAGTCTCACCCGAAGGGGCATCAGTAGTGATGAACGACTCGGGGTCTGCGGATTCTGTGACGGGCGGATCGGGGGAAAGCGATGTTGTCGGGGTCGCGTTGGTGATATGCGCATCCTCGTCCGTGCTTGCTGCGGTGACATCGTTGGATCTCGAGGTTGTCGGCGTTTTGTTGGTGATAAAGCCGTCAGGATTGGCGTAGGAGGCAGTGATCTCGGTGGGGGAAGTGCTGTCTCTCGATGTTGTCGGGGATGCCACACGACTCGTTGTAGGGCCAGATGTTGTTGGGGACGTCACAGCACTTGTTGTAGGAGTTGATGTTGTCGAAGGGATAACAGTCGTTGAGGGCTCGATAGACGTTGTAATGGTAGGCTCGGAATCGGTAGTTGTGAGGATTGAAAACTCGGGTAGAGTTGTGCTATCTTCTTGCCTCCGAGCCAGGGTAGCAGAGTCGTTGGGATCGTCCGCATCGACGCCTGAATGAAAAGCAGTTTCGAGCGCGGCAATGCAGCCTAATATTACTACGAGCAGAGTGACGAGCCATGGTGTTCTTGTAGTGAAGGGCGCATATTCGCGCGATTCTGTTTTACTCGGTCTCCATGATTGTGCTGCAGCTGTCAGTCCTTGGTCTTGATGGGCGCTGTGCCATTGCCTTACATTTGTCATTGTCGATACTCCAGAAGCCATCGTCCTGTCGCATGGCTGTCATTGAGTGCGCAATGTGGACATCAGACGCAAGGCGCTGTGGTCTTCAGAGTGGTACCATGATGGGGTTTTGTTTTTCTTCCCTCGAGAGACTGCGCCTCAAGGAATTTAGGCCTGCAAGTAATCCTTAGCAGCGGGGACATCTTGATCCAACCTCGCCAACGGCTAGGGACATTCATAGGGGCCATAATGGCTTAGCAGGCAAAGCGTAGGGCTGTGTTTCGGAAGATCCTGGCTAGATCGGAAAGCCTGGGAGCCACAAAACCGTCGTTCATGGTTGCGGCTTGTCGTGGTTCCTGGCACTTGGCTGGAAGAGGCAACCATCGTGCGGCGAATGAGACCAGCGCGTTCAGGTCAGTGTGTAATGATGCGCAGCCCATCGTCCCCGAAGCAGCCCAGCTCGCTCGTCCCATGGGCGTCCGTGACCGTGGGAACCAGATCCGGTGGCTGCCATAGCGAATTGAAGGCCAAAGCGAGACATTTGGCTTGTATCTAGTATAGGTCAAGCAAATGCTTATTGGACCTCTGTTGCCACGGTCTAAAATTAATCAGGGTGCTGCCAACAGGGTTTTAGGGTTTCTGGTCAGATGAGTAATGTCTTAGGGCGATCACCGTCTCAGCCGCAGCAGCCACAGGGCCAGGCGAGGTTTGGTGCAAAAGTCCTTCTCTACTGCGTACCTACACTTACGTGCGTTTCGAGTGTCAGCTTCGAGACCTCAAGACTACCCTAGCCAGTTTGCACTCTCAGAATGCAGTCACCACGGAGAATGGTTCATTGCAAATGCATCATGAGCATCACCACCTGATAGTTCAGCTATCGCCTGGTCGAATCGATGCTTGCTAACCATAGTTCAAATCCTTGCCGAGCTTCCAGCCTTTAACACCGTATTCTGTCCCAACCTCATTAGCCGCACTCGGAACGGCGCAACTACTTCCACCACGAGACGAAGCGTGTCAAGAGACCTGGGCCTGTAATGATGCATTAGCACTGTAGTCGTGGGGGGGGGGGGGGGGGGGGTGAGGCAACTCACTCTTGTCCTCGATGGCCTCGACAGACGGTAGAACGGTCTCTTCGCCGGGAGGGGTTGCACTGGTAGTGGTGATGAGATCGTGCTGAAGCTGAAGAGCATGGTAAGAAGGCGTCACTGATTCGTTGCTTGCGTCGGAAGTGGCTGTAGCTTCGCGATCGTCTGGAATTCTAAGGGTGGGAGTGGTAGCCACGGAAGCAGCAGGAACTGCAAATGCCTTGGGAGGAGTTGGGACAGCCTTGACAGGAGCTGGAATCGTCTGCTTCGCAGCGTGACGGACTGTCTTGCTTGTCTGCCACATCTTGACTCCGGATAGACCAGCTGGGGTGTGCTGAAGTCGTCGCTTGATGACCTTCTGAACAGAAGAACGAGTGCTTCCAGGGACACGACGTCGTCCAACCACAGCCGCCTTGGGAGTGTCCTCGTCACTCAAGATGTAGTCGCTATCGGTGTCGTGCGGCTCGTAATCATCACTAAACGAGTCCTTGGCTCCATCAGTGGAGGGAATCGCAGCAGAGTCGTCGTCACTGTCAAGAGATTCGGCCAGGTCAATTTTCTTGCCGCGGGTCTGACGCTTCTCGACTGCCGGCTCTTCTTCGATCTTGATCTTGTCGGGTGCCGCTTTTGCGTCAACTTTCTGCTTCTTGGGTGTCGCGCGCTTGGTATCGTTGCCAGACTCGTCCGATGTGGCTGCCTTTCGCTTCTTTGCAACGTCGTCTTCGGCCTTTTCGGTTGGCTCGGACACAGACACGTTGGGCGACGGAGGAGCAGAGACGGCAGCAGACGGAGCAGCACCAGCGCTTGAGTCGATTTCATCGTACTTGTGTCGCAGCCGGGTGTATCTCATGTGGGCAGTTCCAGCCTTCAGACCTAGCGCGTCGCCGACGGCGTTGAAGTCAACCTAGCCATGTTAGTTCTCCTAGTCATTTAGGGATGATACATGCAGGGACCTTAATGTCGCAAGCTCGAATGCACTGGAATAGGAATACGGCATCGGCATCGTTTAGTTGACCACTCCAAGCTCTACCCTGAACGACGCCAGCCTTGTTGATTCTCTCGCGGAACCGAGTGTATCTCATGTTGGCAGTACCAGTCTTCAGATCGAGAGCCTCTCCGATGAGCTTGAAGTCGAGCTTTGAGAAGTCAGTGTCACACGTCTTTGCAGTCTCGATTCTGCTCACCTTGGTGCCACCGTGGTTGATGCATTGATACAGAAAGTAAGCGGCCTCACTGACCGGCTTGGACGACATCGTGCCAACCGATGAGGGACAAGGTCGTTGAGGGTGTGCGGCATCGAGCTACCTGGTGGTTTCGTAGGTGGGTCGAAGAAGTAGTAGAGATGTAAGACTCGACCGGATCGAGGGACTCATCAGGCACCACTTTTTCCGGCAGTGAATATTGAAGCCACAGGTGAGCTAGCACCGACGTTACCAATTCTCATCGCACAGCGATCAAATCGGAGGAGTTTTTGAGACAAGGCCTGCGTAAAGAGTTGAATTGCTGGTCGCAACCCAGAAGGCCGATTCAAGTTTTCATTTCGATATCATTCATCTCGTCATTCATGGCTGACTTGCCTTTAATCTTGCCGGAAGAGACTTCGGACTGACGTGAAGCTGATTCCCGTATGACTTCGTTCAACACAGCGTGTACTGCCTTCGCGGCACCAACGGCACTATCCAAGAGCTCATCGAACCCTGAGACGTTGCTTTGCGCCTTCTCTGATGTGACACCAGTAGTCCAAACCTCTGTAACTTCGTCCCTTCCGGGTAGATAGCCCACCGCACATGCAGCTTGAAAAGACTCATGCTCGGTGGCCGAGGGATCCAGAACCCGGATCGTTGTTGGACCAGGCGCTGCAACGGAGGCAGCGACGCCACCTGTCATCATGTCGAGACTGTCGATTCTCGCATCAAGCAGTGCTGCAGTGGCCACGGTAATGCACCCCGCAAGAATATTCATCAGTCCCACCTGAGCTGCTACACTTCCCAGCGACTGCCCTGGAAATGTGTCTTCATTGTCTTCCCCCTCAAGTACTGTGACCGCAACATCGATTGAGCTCTTTGGCCATCTGTCCGGAATGATCAACCCCTTCAACGCATTCTCAAGATGTACCCCCAAGTCACGCTCGGTAGGGTCTCGAATATAGCCTCTTCTGACTCGTGTAGCGAATGGTGCGTATTTCACGGAAGCGTTCAGTTGAAGGTTGGGTGAGAAGTTACTATTTCGAGGAAGTGGTTTTGGGCCGTGTATTGCGCACGACAATTTGATTGTAGATGTTGTTGGAACGAGCGCATTGTTTGAGGCAGGTGCTTCGAGTTCGTAGTATGCAGAGCCACTGGCAGCAGGTATGGTGCCAGTCTGAAGGTCTGCTTGGTTAGCTGACAGGAACATAAGAGCCTGAAACCTCAACCTACAGATGTTACGTAGTTGGTTTGGCTTTCTGCTCCGCTGTGTTCGTCCTTCGGGCGATGGGAGAGGTGTGGGAGGGATCGTACCCCCGCTGGGGCCATTGACACGGCGACGGTCACTCATCTTCGCGCATTCTTCTGATGCTCGTTCTGAGCCTTAAGGAGCGGACAGCCAACACGACGAGGCCCTCAAGATCTTTTGCTTGACATAAATTGTTCAAAGAACTTTGGTCGCCCGCGAAAATGACGTCCTGGTGGACCTGCCAAAAGTAGAATAGCGCAGCCTCGGGAACTCGCCAGGTGTGAGGTTCATCGGCGACCAACATGTTGACGAGCTACAGACTTCGTTAAAGCTCTACGTTTCCAGCCAGAAGCACGACCGATTCTTGCACAAATCGGGTCGTTGTAGTAACTTGTTGATGTGCCCTCTTCGAATGCCTGAGGGCTTTCGGACAGGTCTCATGCGGGTTCTTTTACAATAGATTACAAACGCAGTACAGCATTGGCTTGACGACATGTGTCAGCGAGTGGATACAGGGATCTCGAGAAAGTCGTCTAGGCACTGGGAGCGCTATCAGGCTATAATGCAAGGCGACCTGGATGAAGATGCTGACAATCCTTGATGACCACTCACTCGCTTTTTTTTGGTCTCTTGGCTCATGGGACCGCCAGCTGATTCAAGATTGGCAGGATCTAGACAGCATCACTACTTTCAGGCTTGACAGACGATTGTTCTGGATAGTCTACAGCAATTTGCGGTGTCATCTAGCTTCGTGAGGCTTTTGCCCAGGCTCTTGGTCCAGGATAGCGACCGCAGATACGACTGTTCTCACCCGCCTTGGCACATGCGGAGTTTGCGGCCGCATCGGCCGCATGCAGTATGCAGACACATCTCCGACTATTTCCCCCCCAGAGTGTTCATATAATACGATCAGGGCTGGAGAATTCAACCTGTCGACAACTAGCTTGCTCTTTGTCATCGACCAACATACACTAATGTTCTAGGCGCAGAGACGACCTCATACGCCTGAGACCGACGCATGTGGAGAGACCAAAACGTCGACGCATCGGGGTTCTATAAAGGATTCGTCCTCCTCTCAAACCCCAACAGATCACAAAGCACCAGCACCTTGCTGCAGAGTAGAGAACCAGAATCTGCATCGACCTCCCACCACTAGTCCTGTCAAGCCACCTACAACCATGTCTCCTAAAGTCTGGCTCATCACAGGCTGCTCCTCCGGCTTCGGCGGCGCCCTTGTCCAAGAAGCCCTCTCGCGCGGCGACGCCGTCATCGCCACGGCCCGCAACCCAGCCAAACTCTCCAACCTCGCCGCCGCCGGCGCGTCAACGCTAGCACTCGACGTCACGGCTCCGCTCCCTACGCTCAAGGAGATCGCGTCCCAGGCCTTCGCGATCCACAACCGCATCGACTACCTCGTCAACAACGCCGGATACAGCCAGACGGGCGGCCTCGAGGAAATCACGCCCGAGGAGACGCAGGCGCAGTTCGACACCAACGTCTTTGGGCTGTTGAACGTGACGCGCGCGGTCCTGCCGTATATGCGCAAGGCGCGCAGCGGTGTCATCGCCAACATCTCCAGCGTCGGCGCGTGGAACCGGTACGCCGGTGTGGGGCTGTACTGCGCGTCCAAGTGGGCGGTGAGCGGCCTAAGCGAGAGCATGAATCTGGAGCTCAAGGAGTTTGGAATCAAGGTGTGCACGGTTGAGCCCGGGTATTTCCGCAGCAATTTCCTGGGCTCCGATGCGAAGAAGGACAGGAGCGGGTTGATTGAAGATTATGAGGGCACGCAGGTGCGTAAAGGCGAGGCATTGATGGAGGCCTATAACGGCAAACAGCCGGGGGATATTAAGAAGGGGGCGAAGGTCATTGTGGATACGTTGACGGAGAAGACGGGCCAGCCGGTGCCATTGCGCTTGGTGATTGGAAAGGATGCGTGGCAAAGTATCCGTGGCAAGTGTGAGGAGGTCATCGCGGTCTTGGACGAGTCGAAGGAGGTGAGCTGGAGCACTGATCTCGATAATCCCTGAGTGGACCAGCATTATGAGTGACGAGCGATGTCAGATGGGTGGACGTCTCGAAGCGACGATAAGTTGCGAAATTGTTAGCAACAGAGCCGCAACGACCGTCCTGACCATTGAAGAATAAAGCTGGAGTGATATTCATGCTTAGCTATCAACCTAGTCTGATTCGTACGCCCCTTGCCCCTTCCAAGTCACTTGCCTCTCACAGACTCTGAACCTCTCACCAAGTATGCCTATGTGGAACTAACGTCGGCTCCAGCCCCGCTCTCCGGGTCACTTGAAGCAATTCAGCATGTAATGATCGTGGATGCGGCGCACATCCTTTATACGACAGGGCGGAATCGGAATATTGAACTTATCTTCATAATATACGGCACGATGTCAGCAGTCATGCTCCGCGGTATTCCCAGCAGCAAATATAGGGTTCTCGTAGCCCAACTCGGCCGGCACGAATCGGCAGTAAGTCCAGTGGCGCCTTACCTCACATTGCAAGTCGCAAGCGGCATCGGCTTGCTCGTAGGTAAGCTCCATGCCTGTAGTCCTCATTGTCAGCGTCAAGGACTGTGCCAGGAGCACTAGCGGCGTTGGCTTGCGTAATAGGGAGATAATAAGCTGGAAACATCCCAAGTGGATATGGCTTGCAGGTATACCTGTAGGGCGGACCAAGACGTCTAGTTTCGAGTGTGATGTTCTCAGCGAGGTTGGGGGCCTCCATTGGACCCTTTGTCCGGCAGACCAGGGGGTGGTGGAATCTTTTCTCCAGATTATGCTTTTAAAAAATTTAGGAACGAGAGTTGAGTTCGGGAGGTTCTGGGCAATCGAAGCTGTTGGTAGGATAGGCTGAGCTGTCAGTGAGCAAGGGCATGATGAGGTCGTCGGAGGCATGCATCGTCGGTAGAGTGTGCTGACTCTTCTGGAGATACTGATCGCGAAGACCTTCTTGATAGCAGCAACCAAGAGTGGGTGGCTTGTATTTACGTCGAAGGTAGAGCGTATCGGACCGTAGAGTATACTTGAACCGTAGTCCCGGTTGGTAAGATGAATATGGGTGGAGTCGGTCTGATAGGGTCCTCTCTAGCGCGCTGTGACCGTATCTAATGGAGCCGGAGTGATGGCTGAGATAGACGTGACATACTTTCGGGGCAGAAATGTGGAAAGTGGCCCAGTAGTGGTGAAGTTATCTAGGATTGTGGTTGTGTGACCCGAAAGGCACATCATAATGTTGCGAGTGTCCCATTTTGACAACATGCCAGCCATCTGCTTCCCATGGAATGCTTTGAAGCGTATCTAGACGCTGCCTCGTGGGTCGAAATGAGCCTGTTGGCCCTATATTGGCGTATTGCTTCACGCGCGCATACGTTGCCACATGCCAACACGACCAGTGCTCCGATAGCAATGCATAATGGAGCAGAGTTCTCAAACCTCTTTACACACTGCGTTCTGTTAGTCACTGCTGTGAATGGCTTTTTCCTCGTTTGGTGGAAAGACAATCTCACTTTGCACTTTCGATCGCAGTCTTCGTTCTCCTTGCCAAGAGTGGTATACCAGTCTAAATCCCCATCTACGGAGTGATAGCTGTCAATAGCTCGCTTTCGAAGTGGGCACACCCTCACGAGTTCAAACACGGCTGAATGGGGAACGGAGAGGCTTGGCCAAGAGTGCAGCCACTTACCAGCGTCGCATATGTACTTGTACTGTTACTGTCAGCAATGCTCAAATATGAGGAGCTAGACAGTACTTTCTGGAGGCAGCAAGCATCTCCTGCTCAGCTTGGTATCTTCCTTATAGACGCCGTTTTTCTCCTCTCCACAGAGCATGGCGTATTGGTGGCGCTTGGTGAGAGTATGTGCCGTGAATTCAGGACCAGAGGACGCGTCCGAGAGCTGCTGAGATGGCATGAGAGTATCGATGCTGGCAACAGTAGGTAGGGTTGGAAGTGCAATGGCTCCAGAGGTGGCAAAGAAGATGCAGAGCATAACGGGAAACAGTGACCAGCGAGACATCTGGAAGTCCTTGTTGTCCTATGATGCAAACTAATGCTCAAGAACTCTCGTGGTTACAACCTTTGCACGAATATGCTGATGCGCTGTCGACGGTGATCTGCAGTGGTGTAAGTGTATTCAAACTGCAACCACTGCATGCAAAGAAGTGGGTGCTCCGTCACCCCTGTTACCGACTGTAATATGGCTTCGGTGTGTGACTTGCCAGACGTTTGAGAGTTTCAGGATCGGAAGAGGTTGACAGCGTGATCGAATGCAGCAGTGATGCTGCGCTGATGTGTCGGCAGGTTTGTATGGATTGCGAAGCTCTGTTGAACGCCCAAGCCTAAATGAAGAGCTACAATCCTCTCGGTATAGATTGTAGGCACCTAATGCATGTAGTCAATAGCTTGTGGTCAAATGAGAGATGAAATTCAGAGGTCGGAAGAGTGAGATGGAGGTGATCCGAAGTGAAGTTGGCAGGAGCGTCCACCGACAGACACTTCCCATTTGCACGTCTGATGCTTTCAGAGGTGTCTTGCGCACTCCGACCTCTTCTCACTTCATCTCATGCAAACACACCTGACTCTCTTCGACCTACCACTTTCTTTACCAAGGCAGACGCAACTCACCTCTCCCTGTCCACACCTCCCCACCTCCGATTCTCTGATAGATTCACGATCACACGAGGGCACCTACCTAAGATGCAGACTTCCAAGTTCATCCTCATCATTCTCGCTGCCGCCTTCATAGCACCCGCCGCTGCAAGTCCCATTCAGATCAATGACCACGCGGTCTCGGCTCCCGCCAATAGCAAGCTCGAGAAACGCCATCTCTGGACCTTCGTGTGCTACGCAAGAGACACGATGGCCCAACCGATAGAGGACATTGAGCTGTCACGGAGATGGTGAGTTGCCATGTGTCCCTTTTGCCTTGTGCGGATTTTCGCGCACAAGTTGAGTCTTGCTCTGAAAGTCATACTGATCAGTCCTCAATACAGCGTCGGCCCACCATACAAGTACTATTGTGATGCGTTAGTATTCCTCAGCAAACTTGGGTCGGAGCGGACGTGTGGCCTCTGTTGCTCTTCTAGTTTACTATCTCAACGCAATCTCGAAGTCACTTGTCAACAACACCGTTTCAAGCTTCTGCGGTACCGATGCAAGTTTACTGATTGCTCATAGGGACGGTGATTTTGATAGCCCATACGGAAAGAGCGACGAGCAGTGCAATAAGAACTGCAAATGCATTCAGCACTTCGCCAACCCCGCTCCGCTGTGTGTAGCATTCTTCGCGAAGACAGCAGCACCCTGTTTCTGACAAGTCTGTGCTCATGAGTAATGAACTGGGGCGGTAGCACACTGCATCACGGAAACGATGGTCTGGATGCCGCGTAAAGTGACAAGAAGCAAGACAAACGCTTGAGCTTGAGTGAGATGAAAGGCGTCCGAGTAGCTAAGGCCATAATCCTGAAGATATCTTGAGCTGGAGCTACATCAAGAAATGAGCAGACTGAAGTGTCACTTTGTCTCGTGGTGTCTCTACGAAACCCGCATTCTGTTCTGCCAGTCCCTAGTGATCCTGTGGAGTCGTTTCGTCGCATCGGCCAGTGACACACCGACAAGATGACGAAAGCCATGTCGTGAAATGGAAATCAAGTGGTCAATCATAGAGTCGGATGACTTGTACGACGATCACCAATGTCGTGGCTAAGTAAACGCCAAGCTACACCTGATCCTATTTCGAGACCAGGGTGCGATACAAGTACGGTACTGATACGGTTACGTCCGGGGGTGCCCCAGTTTCGAGCTTATGGGGGACCTGCCAAACGAGGATTAATTTTTGCGAGACACAGCCACCAGTCTACGATCTATACCCCATTTTGGCAGCCTCATTTCTTGCAGCCTGGAGGCTTGCCATGACAAAGACCCTAGCTGCATCATGACTCGGTATTTTGGGTAGCAAATCGCATTGCGGAGTTCCAACTCGGCGTCGTAAGCTGGCATAGCGAGCGACTACACTAGATGCTGCGTAACCACCACAGCAAGCCCGGCCGCGGGGGATCTGCGTATGCCTCTCATACAGCCAAGGGGAGTCGAAGCATATATTGGGCCTCGGATTCCAGGATGAAGTTGTTCTTCTCCCCATAACACTCGCTACTATGCATTTCCACAACAGCGCACCACCACAACACCAATACCAGCCATACTATGGCTCCCCTCACCCCCACCCACAACACAAACCCCCGGGAGGCTACGCCAGCCTGTACTACGGGGGTCCTCCACCTCAACCACAGTCCTTTCATCACCGGCCGCACAACCCATTTCATTCCCACACACCTCAATCAACACCATATACCCTCCTACTCGCACGCACCTCTCGCCGCAGCAGTAAGCGCGAAACGCTCACCTCAGCCAACATGCGCAACGCAACCCCACTCTTCGCCATCCACCACAAAGGCCACAGCCTCTCCTCCGAGCCAACGCTGAAACTCGTACGCAGCGACGGCCAACAGCTCGGCACCGCCAACTTCCACACCTTCTCCACGCGCATCGACCTGGCCCTCGGAGGTAATCACGGCGCCGCCCCTCCTCTCCTTAGCTACAAACCCACCCAACCCCTACCACCCGCCTGCACGCCACCAGGCCAGACCTGGCGCTGGGAAGTCGCAGCCATGGGCCCCAAGCGCGCGGTGGCGCGCCTCATCGCCACGCCCGACTCCGCCGGCAAGCGGTCATCGCGGTGGACCGGCCGGAAGTCGAAGGGTAAGGCGCCCCTGGGCGAAGTGGTGGCCGTGGTGTGGCTGGAGGACAAGCTGAAGAGCGGGCGCGTCGAGGTGCATCAGCCAGGGTTGCCGCAAAGCTTGTTTGAGCTGGTGGTGTTGAGTGCGGTGGCACAGATGGCGGAGATGCGGCGCAACGTCAAGGAGGGCAAGAAGCAGCTAAGCGCGGAAGCATTGGGGGCTTTGGGCGAATCGGTGGGGAACTGGGGCGATGCTTCTGGAGGGAGTGGAGGGGATGGCGGTGGTGGCGGAGGGGGAGATGGTGGTGGTGGCGGCGGAGCGGTCTAAGAACGAGAGGAGGTGCATTTCTGATACCATACTGTTGAAGCGATCAAGCTATTCGTGCCTCATACGAGGCAATAAAAACCGTTCATGACCCTACAGTCGGAAGGTGTTGTTAGGTTTACTAAGAGAGCAAGTAGAGAATGTCGGGCTCAAACTGTACTTGTATTTCTTCCTGCTCATGTTTAACCGACATTCACGCGTACCTTACGCCGCTCATCGGACCTCAAGCTTTTGCCGCCTTCACGGCTGGCACTTCCTCATCTACTTCCAAAATATTCGGGATGGGCCCTACCGGCGTGATGCTGTGCGGGTTGATCCTGTCTTCTCGTTAGCCAACCGACATCCCCATCGACCATACAAAATCCTGTGGAAAACCTACTGCCTGTGACTCTTGGTATAGTGTCCTTTGATATGCTCGAACTCGGTCGTCTCTCCAAACGCCGGCACCTTCCAATACAGCTCTCGGAGCCACTTGTGCAGGGCAGGGTAGCCCGACCTGATGTCGCGGATGTTACACTTGAAGTGCTGCACATAGACTGGATCGAAACGAACGATCGTGGTGAACAGCCGCACGTCCGCCTCGGTGATGTCCTTGCCGTAGTAATACGGCGCGGCGTTCTTGGCCAGGTGCTCCTCCGCGCGGTCCAGAGATTTGAAGAGCTGTGTCACGGCCTTTTCGTATGCGTCCTGGGCGGTGGCGAAGCCGGACTTGTAGACCCCGTTGTTGATGTCATTGTAGGTCCACTCGTTGGTCTCTTCGATCTGGGACTTTAACGAGACGGGCAGTAGATGGACATTGCGGTACTTTTCGTCGATGATGTCGTCGAATGCGCTGTAGAACATGCGGATGATTTCCGCGGATTCATTGGAGACGATGGTCTTCTGCTTCTTATCGTACAGAGTTGGAACGGTGAAGCGGCCAGAGTAATCCGGGTTGACCGAGAAGTAAATGTCGCGTAGGTGCGTGAAGTCGGGATGGAGCGGGTCTGGGTGTGTTTCCCCGGGAACTTTCTCATCAGAGCGTGCGAAGCGCCAGCCTGTGGGGTGTCAGAGCACGTCCCCGAACAGAACAGCGGGCCAGACCTTTCTCTAGCATCTCCCAGTGCACCGAGGTATAGGGAATAATGTCTTCTAAACCTTTCAATTTGCGGACGATGAGTGTCCGGTGAGCTATGGAGTCAGTACGAGCCCTTTTGGTTCGGCGTGCCACTTACCCCACGGACAAGCATAGCTAACGTAAAGGTGATAGCGGTCTTTCTCCGCCGGGAATTGGGCGTCAGGCTTGTTCTCGATCCAGTTACGGAACTGCGATTGCTGCCGCTGGAAGGAACCATCCTTGCCAGCCCAGTTCAGGATGTCGTCTTTCTTATCCTGGAAGACGTTTAGCACGGCCGTCAAGGAGATGATGCAGAAGACGGGGATGATGATGTAGGATCGTACCATAGTGGAGTTCGATAATGCACGTGTTGGCGTGCGACGGGCAGGTTGGAGATGCGAGATATACTGCGAAGCACGGGACAGCACTCTGGACATAGATGCACCTTTGACCAACGACTCGTGGAAGCAGGAAGCGTTGTCTTATGATGTCGAGAAATGCTTTTCTCGTACTACACCCAAGCCGGAACGCACTTCCACGATGTTGTCATTAATTGGTTGGAGTCGCTGACTAAGGTAGGAGGACAGTGATCCACGGACTCTTTTCGGTGCGTTGCAAGTCTTGGGCTGACTAACGGCTCTGTAATTCTTGACCTCTAGAACATCATGTCTTGTCCATCTATGCCAGACCTATGTGCCTACGTTCTCTTGGACTCCCCAAACGCCGTGGATATTTCTATTCACTTCTTGTACTTGACCATCACGTACGGAATCTCGACGTCTTCCTCCGTGGTATCTTCCGCCGTAACCTCAAAGATGATGTTCTTCTGGTGCTCTGGGATGGGCTTACGGCTGATGGTCTCAAGCAATTTGCTCATCTTCAGAGGCATCCGATCCTTCAACTTGCTCGGTGCGTAGAAGCTAGCGTAGAGTAAGCTAACACCAGAGCTGACCATCGATATGGTCAAACCCTTGTCTTCGAACCACTTGATGAACTCGGTCAGAGTGATGTCGTCCACCTCAAAACGATCCCAAAGCTTGTCGATGGTCACCTCGCCATTCTTGCCCTGGTAGGTGCCCTTGGGGCTCGCAATAGGCTCGCTGAAGCCGAAGAAAGGCAACGCTAAATTGATGAAGCCGTTCTTGTATTGCTCGAGATCATCCTTGCCATCAATGACTTTGTAAAGCTCGAGAATGACCAAGCCAGTCACCAGCGCAGTAGTGGTGGCGATGGCTGGGATGATCTTACCGGCAATAAACTTGGTCTTGTGCCGATCCGCGACCGCAATCTCGTAGTTGAGTGCTCGCAGGTTGCTGGCAGCAGTGATGAAGTCAATGTGGTGGTTGGTGTCGTCATCCTTCTCAAACTCAACGACATTCAGGCGGAATGTAGGAAGAGATTTGGGACTAGGTAGCGCTTCAATGATTTTGTTTAGCTCCTCAGCATCGTCAGCAAAGGTAGGAGCAGGTCCATTGGGATCGGGCTCCTTGTCGTCGGCCTGAATCTTGACGTTGGCGTCGGGTCTGAATTCAGGGATGATCATGCTGCCGATCACCTTCGCATAGTCCTCGGAAGTCAACTTCGGCACCTTGATCCCGTAATTGTAAGCGCGAAGGTTCGCACCAGCGATAACGAAAGCCATATGTGTTTCGTCAGAGGTGTCAAAGTTGAGTGGAGTTGGTGCGCGCTTGGGACCAGACCAGAACTGGGCACCGGTAGAGGTCTTGGAATCCTTGGGGAAGTTGTACAGAAGTTGAGCAATGGCATTGTGGTATTGCTTTTGGAACTGGTTGCGAGCCCACGCAATGCAGTCCTCGAAGGTCTCGGGCTTCTCGTCGACCAGGAAGTCCTTCAAGCTGTCCAGGATCTGCTTCTCATTGCCCTGCTGCCTAAGTGTCGTATTGATGTAGTCGGGTTGGGAGAGGTACAAATTGACAGTCTCGGGGGGACCAACGAAGAATGACTGGAAAAGATCGCGAGCCCATGCAATAGTGTGCTCAATCTTGTTGGGGAAGCTTCGAAGGGTACACATGGGGAAGGACTGCTCAGGAGGGTCCTGAGAACTGGAGTATGACTCAGTAAGGCGAGGAAGAACAACTTGAGTGTTGCCTTTGGTGCCGAGAGTACCGCTCTCAAGTAACGGCTTCAGGTGGAAGACACACTTGCGGTCAACGTATGTACGAGCCTCAACATTGTCCAACGCATTGGTGACGATGTCGAGACCGTTCCAAAAGCCCTCGTTGAAGATATCCTCCGAATCAGGACCAACGCGATCCGTCAAGGTCGTGATCTTGCCCTTCAGGTCGGGATTCATGGCCTGGACTGCAGCTGCCGCACATTCGCTCTTGTTCTTGCCAACGTCCTTAGGTCTGAAAAGGAATTGACGGTTCAGATTGCTCTTCTCAATCGAGTCGTTATCGGTGACGATGATTGACCCATCGGGGCCAGCGCCGAGGCCGATCATAGCATAGTTTTTCAGCATCTCACACCCAATCGCACCTGCACCGACCAGGAAGTTCTTGACGTTTGAGATCTTCTCCTGGTATTCCTTGCCAAACACTGCAACCTGGCCGTCATATCGAGTGCCAGCGGGCTTACAGAGCTCCTCCGATCGCTTTACCGATGCAGGCAGGGATTCCAAAGAATCAAGGTATAGCCACTGTTGAATAGGATTGAACTTTCCCGAGACGGACTTGAGCACTTCTTGGGCCGTAAGACCGCCAAAGAAAGCAGCCATTGGGCTCAGATCACCCTGGGCTTGATAGCTGAGTTCCTTGATTAGCTTTTCATCAAGCTCAACCTTGGTCTCCTCGGCAAGCTTCTGAGAAAACGCGAAGACCTCATTCGCATCGCTGTCATTGTGGGGGCGAGGGAATTGGCCGTCGTGCTCGGCGGCGAAGTTATGGAGAGCCTGGATGCCAACATGTAGTTGTGCAGGCCGGTCGAATTTGGCAAAATCTGAAATCAAGAATTCGGGCTTCTTGAGCTGGGAGGAGAATGATTCGAAGTTAAGAACTTTGGGCATCTTGACTTGAGAGAACAGCCCACCGCCCTGATACGTACCCAGGCCGGACACGTCGCCAATGGAGAAGGAGTAAGGGCCCTTGACAGTAATCTTGCGCGGTGCAGCGCCGTTGAGGCCATCCATGCCTTTGATCTCAGCGAATTCGACATAGTCGCCATCCTCAAGACCGTGTCTCGTTTCGTCTAGCGCAGAAACTAGGCCAGATTCATTAATATCTGCAACGATGCCGCTGATGGGATTCTCGCCCGTCACATCACCAACTGCGAAATTCTTCCCAAAGTCCGTGAAGATGTAGCCGAAAAGGCCAAAAGTATCCGCAATGACGAGGAAGATGCCCTTGTCGTGACAGTACTCCGAGATGAAGAGCTGATCTTTCAATGTCGTAGCAGTGAGGACTACCACCTGAAACTTGTCAAGCTGGCTGAGGTTCTTCGTGATCGAGTCAGTCTCCAGGATAGAGACGGGTGTGTAGTTGTTGAGCTCGGCGACTCTCGGAGCCGTCACTTTGTCTCGCGGCTTGCCAACATCTTCAGGGTGGAGGAAGAATTGTGAAGAGAGGTCTGAGATCGCGGCCGGAGTAGGATCGTAGAGAGTGAGGGACTTGACGCCAGCAAGAGCGATGTTCTTTGCCACTTCGACACCAAGACCCTTGAGACCAACGATGAGCACATTTGAAGCACCCATGCGTTTCATAGCCTCGTGACCCAGAACGTAGAGTTGTCTGCTGTAGAGTGATTCATCAATCTCGCCATTCTGGAGCTGCTGAATCGCCGCCCCAGGATTGTCAACATCCATAACGGCGTCCGTCATGACTTTTTTCTCTGGCCGTGAGAGTTCTTCGTTTGAGGCCTTTCTTTTGCTGCCGGCCTTGGATATAGTCGGTGACTCTGCGTGAGGCGAAATGGTGATCGTGGCCTTGCCTTGACGCAAGACCGACGAGTGAAGTGGAGTGTGAGGTGGGATGGTATGGAGAGAGCACGCTCTCGCAGATGTGGAAGAGAGGAAGGAATGTAAGATGCAAACGCAAACAAATCAACGCAGGCAGCAGGACTAGGTCTGAGTCAAGGATACCAAGCAAGAAAGTTCGCGAAGTGGCAGTGATGAGAAAGGCCTTTTGGTTTGCAGTCCCTAGAACCAGTGATGCAATGCCGCCTGAACCGCAGCCTTGTGCCGCCTGACAAATATTGTTTCGGCCTCGGAGGGTGCAGTCGATGCAGACTACAGCGGGGGCAAGAATCGCACTTTCCTTGGTGGGGATGCAAGCGAGTTGGACAGCGGGCTGTCGACGCTCCTGCAACGACTTAGTCAAGCTCGACAAGCTCGACTTAGCTGCACACGAAAATGATGGCTGTTGTAAGTTGTAGACGGTGAGAAGCTGGCTACCCAGTCACTCAGAGCTCTGCCTCGTCGCGTGTCGCGTCGAAACTACCCCTCCATTCACTGTGCTCGTGTCTTTCAATGTGTCGGTACGAGTTGCTCGGCCGCCTCATTCTGTTCTGCCAGCCCTCCCACAAGCTGCCACTTTCCTCAAATCCTCATGTTGCCTCTGAGAAGACCGACAACATCCGACATTCGAGTTCGCAATGCTACACGAGATCCTCTTATCCCTGTCCGGGTACCAATCAGAAATCTTCGAGAAGGTGAAGAATACGGAACATCATGTTGAGGGCATCCACAACTTTACATCTGAGCCCGAACGAGCGATGCTGGAGACTCTGGCGCATATCGCACAGTTGCATATCGACATTAAGCAAATTGCAGCCCGGATTGCCAGCGATCACTCTTCCGTAGTTTGTCGTGGTGTAGCATCCGCCATCTTAGATGTCCACTTAGCTGCGTTCAGGAAGAAGATCATCCAAGTTGAGCATTCGATACTCAGACAAGACTCCTCTTACGTGGGCGGCTATGGGATTGTACCACTGAGCACTGTGGTTTCAGATTTCGCGCCATGGACAAGACCCCTTGAGTGGCTGCTGAAGGTAACACGAGTGGCCGGTCGCCAATCTGAGCAAGAGTCAGCGAAAGGGTATTGCACTGGCAATGAGATGCTAGACTTCTTACATTCCGAGACTCACACGGGGTACGCTGATGTCGAAGAATTGGCGGTAAGTCTGTTGATCACAGCTCAAAAAATGTGGATGAGATCTGTTGCGTCTTGGATCTTGTACGGCAGGCTCCCTACCTTGGGTACGGGCGACTTTTTCATTCAGCAGAACCCAAACCGCACGAGTGTCGTCGACGACTACATCCTAGACCGGACGTTGGTGCCCAGGTTCGTCTCGCGTTCGAGCGCCGAGTCGATGTTGGCAATTGGAAATGCGTTGTGTCAGCTTCAAGTGCAGAATCGTGGCACAAGGGGCAGCCAGACCATGGCACTCTTGCCCAAGCATCTCCGAATATTGGAAACTCTCGAGTACCCTCTGAATCAGTCCATTTTACAGCTCGCGGTGGAAGAGATTGACTGCTCAATATCGCAGAATGTTTTGTCTGAGATTGTGCCCCTTCATCAAATCCTCGGCGTACTCGACGTTGTGCACCGCTTCATGCTATTAAGCAACGGCGAGTTCGCTACAGCGCTGATTGAGCATGCGGGAGACAAGATCAGGTTGCGGCAGACTGCTCCAGCTGTCAAGCCTGCCCGGAAGGTCGGCCGGATTGACGACCTCACTATCACGGACGCAGAACTCAACAGTATTCTGACCAAGTCGTGGGATGAGTTAGCTGCACTCCAAACCGGCCAAGCTGTTGACGACGAGACTTTCAACTTAGCTCGCGGCATGTTAGCACTGCACGGTATTCAGGAAGGAGAGCGACACTTCATCCCTCTCGCAACATTGATGCCAAATGCTACAGTCCTGGATCTCAAGCTTGCAGTCGACTCAACACTCAAGCTCTTCCTCTCTCCAGCCGACCTGCGCTCCTATGCGGCAATAAATGCTTACTTGCTGTCCATCAGACGTACCGAACTGCATCTGTCACATCTCTGGAAGCTCACGCCCCAACGCCGCTGCTATCCTACGCCCTTTGGACCCCCCATCAGCGCAAGCCCTTATGGGCAATCCGCACTTGCGAGTCGTCGGACCCGCGAGCAAGCTCGGTCCACGGCCATGCGTCGGCACTGGGCGACCGCTTCCAAAGCCCTCTTTGTTGTCAACGAGCTGGATGCCTACCTCCATGGTGAAGTGATCCGCAACAGCTGGGATCATTTCCAGGGCTGGCTGCAGGAGGGTTCGCGGCCCAGCTCCTCACGCAGTGGCTCGCGACCAGGCACAGCATCGTCTGCCAAAACTGCATCCACAGGCCTCAGCAGATCGAAGCAAATGAACGATCCACGGACGTTGGCAAAGGGACATCATACGTTTCTGTCGGCCTTGTACAGCGGACTGCTACTCAACAACGCTGAGTTTGTGAAGGCACTGAGGGAGCTCTTGAATAGTGTGGATCACTACATCGCGTTGTTTTCAAGACTGTCGTCCATTTGGTCAGGACTAGACTTGCAAGAAGACGAAGGCGTCGTGGATGCCTTTAGTAACTACAAGGAGGAGGAGCGGACAGTCTTGGCTGAGACAACGAGAAGCAGAATTATCATCGAAGAAGGGGTTGGAGTATTGGTCGAGAGACTGAAAGATGCGGAAAGAAAGCGAGATGCAGAGGGACCTATTGGTGCGATGGATGGGTTGGACCTGCATGCAGCCAGCGTGTTCATTCCGTGGAAAGGGAGGAACATGGAGCGCTTGATCATGAAATTGGACTACTTAGCCGGTGCTCACGCGCAGGATGTGCAAGAAAAGCTGGTGGACGATATTATTGACGACTGATGCGTTGACTGTTCGGTTGATCTTTTCAGAGCGCGGCGCTTGGGAGGACGATGACCACGTCTGTATAAGCTACGGGACAAGAGACTATGAAGGGAATGAATCTGCAAGCTTCATTAGCATCGTGCCTTTTGCTTTGAGCAGATTCCAAGCGAATTGCGCGAAGAGCGGATCAGTAAAGCCGAGTTACCGCATCCCCGCCCAGCTTCCTATGCCTTCCCTTCCTGGTTCCAAAACGGAACCATTCGGTTCAAACAAAGGACGCCAAACACGGTACCTCCCATCTCCCGGTCTTGATCAGCCTCTCCACAACCATCGTCCTCGCCGCCGGGCTATCCTTCTGGCCTCACCAAACGGTTCTTCACAGAGTGAAGGCGAGAGACGTGACGAGAAGGGTGAGCTAGCGGGGTCCGGTATCGGGAAGAGCGGCAAGATGGGTGTGGGAAGGAAGTGCCCACCGACCCCGAAGGGTTGTCCCGCTCCCGGGGGAGGAGATAGTGAGGAAGGGTATTGGAGAATGGATAGACTTGTGTCATCATATGAGGGCAATGGGATGAGTGGTGATTCGACTTACGATTTGGACTCGGTGTGATAGTTGGATCGAGGACGGCGGTTTCATTCTGTGGCTTGCCAAAGTCAGTGTGATGCGGAAGGGTGTCAAAGCGTGATAAAGCGTGAAATGGTGATGAAGTCAGATATGGTAAGCTTGGTAGGGTTATCTTCAAGGGGTATCAGAAGCAGAACTGATATTGAAAAGGTTTGATCATCATAAAAGGTACCATTGAGAAATGGTGAGAGCAGAGAAACTGACCATGAACTTGTCCAGGATCGGGAAGGAGACAACAAAATGATGATCTACCTTCAAATCGTTAGTAGACGTTCAAGACCAAGTGAATGCGATGAAGACTGAAGGTGTATCGATGAATCAGATGGTAGTGCATGTTTAGTTCCATGGCTCATGGTGTTGTCGCCGGGATCTAGGTATGAGAAATTTCCTCATGGAAGAATTTATGGGACATGATGGGTAGAATACTCACATAGTTAGCATGTGCAGACAGGCGTGTTAAGAACACGAAAGAGAAATCCCAGTACAATTCAAAGGGTAGGTCGAATTCAGACATAAACCCGTAAATGTGATGAAAGGCAGAAGTGCAAACTTCAGCAAGAATCAAAGCTTCGGAAAATCGCGCCAAGCATTTCATAGCGGATTGATGATTTTCCGCTCCGCCTACCAAAACGATTGGGGAGACCTGGCAGACTCAGATTCTTTCTCCGTCAAGCATCATGCACAGCAAGAAGGCAAGGTTATACTGAAGGTAGGTCTAGAGTCTATCTGCTCCGCATTGGACTGCTCAGCTCCTGAATTACAGCTGCTCAACCATGTCCTGTATTTGCTGCGGCATCTTACGTCTAGACTCTCCCAACACGGCGGTCTTGAGCAGGTCCTCCTTCAGGATCTTCTCCTTGAACTGCTCCAACTCTTCCAGATTCCATGTTGCATCCACGTATCGCCCTGACAGATAGCTTGCCTTGGGAGTCGAAAGATACACAGCAGTCAGAGCGGCCAATTCCGGTGTATCGACATAGAAAGCCTTCATGAAGTCCGCACTGAGGCTTGTGATGTCGGTGTCAGCAACACCACCTGGATGGTAAGCTATAACCTGGACGCCCAAACGCGTAGCCTCGGCGGCAGCATACTCGGTAAGTCTGTTCAAAGCCGTCTTTGGCGCACCATATGATGTTGCCTCAGGGAGAATGAGGTTACTGCCGATACTGCTAAGATTCACAATGGCGCGTGTTGGAGTGGCTGGTCGCTCTTCCGGAATCGCGAGAGAACGCAGAAAAGCGCGTGTAGTAAGGTAAGGGCTCTTGACCATGACTTGCCAATCGGCCCACCATTCCTCTGGGTCACTGTTCCTGAGGGAAGCCTTGGATCTGACGGTTCCTTGAGAGTTGACCAATACATCGAGGGTGATATCTGCTGCGGCGATCTCGGCGAAGAGCTTGTCTACGCTGGCAGTATCTGCAGCATCACAAGGGACCGCGAGTACATTGGTCTTTGGGAACGAGGAGTTGACGAGATCCTTCACGACCTGGAGGTTTGCGACTCGTCGGCCGGCGATGATGACATTTGTGGCGCCTGTCTGGGCAAAAGCAACTGCGGCGGCTTTTCCAATACCACTCCCGGCCCCGACGACGAGAACAGATCGAGAAGTGGAAGCGTTGGCTAGGCCTGAGGAAGCGGAGATGAAAGGGTAGACGTCATGGTACTGCGACTGAACGAGACTGAATTCCGCCATGTCTGGTGTGCTATGTTGACTTGTAAGTCAATAGCAACACCTACGTCGGCCATGGCCTGGCACTTATATACACATCGTCCGCAAAACCTCCATATGGGATCTAATGACATGCTGTGGCCGCTAATCTACTATGGAAACACGACCTGGGTAGAAAGTGCAAAGTCCGTAAAAGCCTGCCCGAAATCTTGAGAGGCCACCGAAGCCCGTCGGCTTGACTGAGCAAGCCAATCAAAGATTTACGGTTCAGGAAATGCACTAATGCAGTTGCGAGGTCCAATTAGAAGCAACCTAGTAGCGAGTCGACCACTCAGCATGTATCTGTTCAAATGCCACACCTTACCTGAACACTGTTTCAACTTTGATGCCCTTGAACACCAGGCCTTGATTGCAGCAAGACGGAGACTCTGAGACCGGACTTAAAGCGTGCGAATATCAACGTCTTGGGCCTTCCTAAGGTTACACTCTTTGTCTCCGTTTCGCGGGAGGCCGGCGAGAGGCGAATTGGGACAAGCCTATCATGACCTGGCTGTGAATGAGCTAGGAAAACGCACACGGTTTGGATGAGATATGATATCCTCGATAGGAGCGTCACCCAATGCGATATTCTCAAATCTTTCCAGGACGACTTGCCAAGATCTGAGCAGAGAAAGCAGCAACCAGCTGGAGTCCTCTAGTACACTGCAGTATTTCGTAGGATCAAGCGTCCTTGAGGTGGATCACCCCGATACGCGGAAATTTTGAACTGAGGACGATATTACTAAATGAAGGGACTACTGCTAGGTTGTCTGGGGCTGGCTTAGTCGGCTCTCATCCGCATCTCTCGCTGACCTACCTGCCTACTCACCACACTTGGTTTTCCTCCGTTCAGTGCACTGTACGCAGCTGGCCACTTAATCGACGCGACACAATCCTTGCAATCGTAATACCGGAGGAGTCAAGCCTCTGATAGTTATGGACAGGATCAAAAGAGGTTACCGTATACGGTAAGTGGCCTGCCGTTTCAGGAGATGTTCAGCTTTCGGCGGCGCGGCGCCTGGACACGTTAACCACTCGGCCATCCTTCCAAGACTGTGAAGTGCAACCTCGCAAGGCTGCATCCCGATCGCTTACTAGCTCTGATTGGTTGAATCGCCATATCTGGCAGCCTTGCGAGTCTTAGACTTCAATTCAAAAGTAGTTGGGTCTGGGTTCAAACAGATGATCGACAACTGCTTTGTTCCCACATTAGAGCCTGGCAGCAATGGTATCGACGCCCGATCCGCCATCGGGCGCCTCTACTCCTCGATTTGTGTCGCAAGCCGCAACGGCTGAGGATTTACTCAAGTCGCAGACCGTGGGCCTCGTTCACCTAGCAGAATTCCGAAAGAGACGCGCGGATGTTTTAGACCAGAAGGAACGGCAGCTTCAGGAGAGTGGTCGGAGTGGGAGTAACACGCCTGGTGTGGAGGGAGATGATGGGTGCGTCATTGCTGTGCGATCGTATCGAGGGCGGAACTAACGGACAAAGTACAGTGCCCTGACTCCAAATTCGGACCTACCACCGACAAAGAAGAAAAAGAAGGCTCGAAAACTACTTTCATATGACGACGATGATAATGTCGACGAACCAGAACCTGTCAAAGGCAAGAGTGCGGTGGGCAAGTCAGAGGGTAGCAGAGCGCCGAAGAAGGCCATGCCTAACCCGAACTCAGTATTGCCAGCGCCGAAAGCTATGACTAAGGCAGCGATAGCCGCGGAAGCTGAAGAACGTGAGCGGCTACGAAAGGATTTCCTCGAGATGCAAGAGAAAGTCAAAAATGCCGAAATCGCCATTCCATTTGTGTTCTACGATGGCGCCAATATCCCCGGTGACGTTGTCAGGATCAAGAAGGGCGACCCCATATGGCTCTTTCTCGAGCGGGCACGTAAGATCGCCGCTGAAAAGGGCGTGCAAGGTAGCGGTGCTGCAGCGGGAGGCATGAACTCGCAGGACAGTAAAAAACAGTGGGCTCGGGTTGGCGTGGACGACTTGATGTGCGTAAGGGCGGGCGTCATTGTGCCGCATCACTACGACTTCTACTATTTCATCGCAAATAAGACGCAGGACCCAGCCAGAGATGGCAAGTTATTGTTCGATTACAAAGGAACCGCAGAGACATATGTCACAGAAGAAGCGCCGCTTCTGAGAGTCCCGGGCCAGGAGAAGCTGGAAGGCAGTGACAGTGACCCAACGTATACCAAAGTGGTCGATCGGAGATGGTACGAGAAGAACAAGCACATCTTCCCAGCATCGACATGGAAAGAGTTCAAAGTGGGCAAGGATTTTGAGGAGGGCGCGAAGCAACGAAAGGATGCTGAGGGTAATGCTTTCTTCTTTTCATGAAGTTTGGATTCATCGCCCTCAGTGCGTGGGAATGACATCGGAAACCGCGACGCCGGTATTCAAGATCTTACGAAGGTGCAAGCGCTTCTGCCAAGCTCACTTCGTGTCTCGTGTCTCTTTCAGACTACTTGTGACCATAGTCGGCCATTGAATGCCTCGAGCCAATCCTGCAACAACAGACAAGCATCACCATGACGGAACAGCCACTGCGATGCAACAATCAGATTGGAGGATATTGCAGGAATCAGTTGGTGGATGAGGCTGTTGTAACAACCTGCTCGTGAGTTTGGTAGCTTGGAGCAGTTTACACCACAGCTGACACTTCCAGGCATATCTTCTGTCTTGATTGTGCTACCAAAACTCGCTTCGCCAACGCTGCGCTTCACGAACGATCTTGCCCAGTCTGCCAGACTGCTCTGCCGAATCATGATGATGCCGTACAAGCCCGACTTTCGCCCAGCGAAGACTACAAGACAAGCGTGCTCAGTGGTCTTGATCCAAACACCATCATGGAGTGTGCCGGTCGAGCCCTGGCTTTTTGGACTTATCAAACGACGCAAGAAATGTAGGCGTCAACGAGTGAGCAACCTGGCAGCACTAAAGATGACAGCCTCTACCAAGAACATATGGGCAAACAGCTCAAGGACAAGTATGGCCAGCTGAATTCCGCGATGGACAAAATCATTAATGAAGCCAACACTGAGATATCAACCTTGCAAAACAAGGTCTCGGGTATGTCTCACCTTTCTCACCGTCATCCGTGCTAACTTTCTAGCCATGTCTCTTGACCAGCGAGCTATCCAAGAGAAGTACGATGACCTTGTCAATTTGTACCGTGACAAAAGCAAAAGGTGTGCACAGGCACAGCAGCTCTACGATACTCTGAAGAAAAAATTCATGCTCCGAGACGTCGAGACAGCTGCATCTGAGAATGTCACCCAGACGCTGCAATCAATTGTCCACCAAAGCAGACCACGCACTGATCAAGAATACTCCGTTCCCAGGCTATCGTACTCTAGCGCTGCTGGTCAGAATGTTCAAAGAAGTGAGCTCCTACAGCCAGACCTTCTGGGGACAGACCTGAGACCTGTGAACTATGCCGCTCGCCGGAGCAGTGAAGCTGGACGAGGCAACGATGAAATGGCCCCTCCTTTGCGTCCTGTTGCGAATCGGAATGGTAAGCTGATGCTACTGCTAAGTTCCCTCGCGTGCTAATGAACGAAGCCAAACCAACCGCCCCCGATACGCCGCTGCAGAAAACTACACTGTCCCTTCAAGGTCGAGCTACGATCAATCGATCTCAAATCCCGGTCAGTACTCGACCTGATGCTCGTTTCAACGTTCAGAACGTTGGCTCCATCAGACACGGCGTTCATGGCGAGGGCTTCGATCGCGCCAAAGCTAGCACTCCTCGCGGATTTGGTATGCTTCATGGAATGAGAGTTGGCAGAGCCGAAACTGCTGATGGACAAGCCATGGAGTCAAGACTATTGAGATCCGACGGCATGTACTGAAAAGAGTAGCGAAAGCAAGGATACAAGTACGTGCACCAGCATCGCCTGCCGTTGTGTGAGACGGAAGGTCATGGGCGGCTCCTAAAATCCACTGAGAAATATCAGCAGTATAAGGCAGTACTTCAACAACTTGGTCTCCTTCTTAATACCTGTCCTAAGGAGGTGAAGGATGTGAAAGAAGAGAAGGACTGCCGTGAGGGAGTTGTAGGCGGTACTTTCCTACGGCACGCTGAGGATGGAGAAAATTTCATGATCTCAAAGGCTAAGAGACCCTGTCGCATTCTATAGACATCATCATGTAAGTCTACTTTAGCCTCTATCTCTTGCCGCAAGTCTGCTTGTTGTTTTAGTTAATACTGTGTTTGTAGCCACACTCTACGGCATTGTTGTTCACCTGTCCACCTGCTGAGGTGAGCTTAGACGCGTTGGCTGCTTCTTACGAGGCTTTCGAGTAGGACCCTTTACGGCAAAGGCTGTCTGGATTGCCTGATGGACGATCAATGATGGAGCTACAGAATCAAAGTCCACCAGACCGAATATCATGACCTAAAAGGCGACAACCAAGATCTTTGACGATTACATCCTGTGGATATCATGACGAAGTTACCGCTGTAGACCACGTTTTGACATCCATGCTAGCTGCCAACTAGGACCAACAGCGGGCACAAATCAACAGCTTGTACCCTGTGAGTGTTGGTGAACAAACTTCAAGGCTACCAACGGTCAACGTGAGGTGTAGTAAGGCGGCCTAGCAACCAATGTACGAAACACCGACGCTTCCCAAGAAACTTCGTCAGCCTCCAATAAGCACGGTGGCATGCCACTATGCATCATCGCTGGGGCCGCGCACGGTAGAATCGTTGGTCTGCTTACTTAGCCGCCATCTCCTGTATAAATCCTGTGTCATGGCGCAACTCCAGGACCGTTCTCGACAAACGCCTGACTTCAAGCTTCTTCACAACAATGGCCGTCGCAACAACCCTCAACTATGAAGCTTACGATGGCAGGGACTTCTATCCAGGTACGTCTGGTGCCATTACCCGCGCCTGGGATCCTGTTGCCGTGAACGTGAACAACATCCGCGGGCGTGAAGATGATTTCAGTCTCGATAAAAGTGGCTTCGAGTTCCACCGACACACCTCAGCCTGTAAAGACTGGAACGACAAGGACAGCGTCCGGGACGTTGTCTACGAGGAAGTCATTCAGCTACTGAAGCAAAGGTCTCGATCTCACTATCCCGATCAAAGGCCGAACCCGATCAAAGGCCGACACCACCAGACAGACGCTGACGTTCCAACAGGACCGGAGCCTCGCACGTCCACCCCTGCGACCATCTTGTCCGCGGTGCCACCTACGCCGCCGGCCAATCATTCGCCCAAACCCACGGCCAACACGACCGCCTCGGCTTCGCCGTCCCCAGCCGCATGGTGCACGTCGACCAATCGTACACGGGGGCAGTGCAGTACCTCCGCGACAATCTCTCCGCCACCGACGCCGACAAGCTGGCCAAAACCCGTTGGGCCATCATCAATATCTGGCGGCCGCTCAAGCCCGTGCGCCGCGACCCTTTCGCCGTGTGCGACGGCAGCACCGTGCCCGATTCGGATCTCAGGGAGCAGACGGCCGTGCTGACGACGGCGAACGGTAAGTATGGCGATATCAGCAAGGGGGATCGGTTCAATAATTGGGTGGTCAAGAAGGGGGAGGGGCATCGTTGGTATTACATGGAGCATATGACGCCGGAGGAGGTGGTGCTGATCAAGTGTTTTGATAGTAAGATGGATGGGCGGGTGAGAAGGGCGCCGCACAGTGCGTTTGTGGACGAGAGGTATGAGGGCGTGGACGAGGCGAGGGAGAGTTGCGAGGTTAGGTGTTTGGTGTTTTGGGAGGGTGAGGATGTTGAGTAGCCTTCTAGGTAGATAATGGCGTTGTCACGGTGGGCAAAGTTCTGTGGCTGAATCTGTGCTTGTTACTCATAGAAAGGTCACGCAAGTCAATGGCGAGGGACCGCCAACATCAGGTGCTACGGACAGGATGAGTACAGATGAGAGGACAATACCGAGAACGGGGAGGAAATGCTGAGTTCAAGTCACTTGATTATTGAACTCCTGTGAGTCTGAGAAGTCTATCCGCTGAAGCATCTATTCTGAGGAAAAGAAGTCCATTGGTCTACCCCTCAAATCCGTAGGACAGTGTGCAGTACCTTCTGCGACTGCAACCGCCTTCCATAATATCTTTGCGTCGTCACTCATGTCTGACTTTGAGTATGCCGTTCGTGATTAGTGTTCGTTGATAACCTCGATAAGAGGCTGATGTGCGAGTCTTGCCGTGGATACGTTGGATACACCAGGACTGCCTGAAGTCGAAAAGGTCTAAGCGCGGCCCTCGATCTTGGCCAGGTGGGTCTGGAACTCCCTATGTTATGTTAGATGTCTCTCCATTGCGAGAAGAGAATGTAGTCAATGACTTACTTCCAATCATACATGATGGCATCAGCCTTGCAGTCGTCGGTGAGAGTCTTGGCCATTTGGTCCATTCTCTCCTTGCCATCTTCGATACCGTAGACACCGACATAGCCAATCAGAGGGATACCAGCACGCATGGCAGCAGTGGCACCAGAGCGAGAGTCCTCGACAGTAACGCACTCCTCAGGCTTGACGCCAAGCTGCTCGCAGGCGTAGAGGTAGATCTTGGGATCAGGCTTGCTGGAGGGAGGGTTGAGAGATGTGGCAGCGGAGTAGACCAGCTCGTCAGGGAAGAACTTCTCCATGCCGACCTTGTGGAGAGATGCGACCACACGGGGTTTCGCAGAGGTAGAGACCACAGCCATGGGGTAGCCCTGCTCCTTGAGCTTGACGAGCTCAGCGGTTGCTCCAGGGCACTCCTTGCACTTCTCAGAGAGCTTGGCGGTAACGGCACCCAACTCCTTCTTGACATAGTCCTCAAGCTCCTCGGAGCTCAGCTGGAAGTTGTGGATCTTTTGGAGGTTGGTCAGCATGCCACGGAAGTTCTGGCCAACGAACTCCTCAAGGAGCTTGTCGACGGTGTAGCGCTCGCTCTTGCCATGCTTCTCCAGGAGCTCGTTGGTGAGATCAGCGCAAGCTTCGAAAGCGAGACGCTCAGAGAGACAAAGAGTGTTGTCGCAGTCGAGCAACACGTACTTGACCTGTTGGGATGTTAATGAGAAAGCGGTGAGCCTGCGGGGAATGTGCTTACCTTGGGCATGGCGGCGGTGTTGTTGAGAACGAATTTAGGATGGAGATTAGTCTATGGCAAGCAGCAGGATTACTCTAGGAGTAAGTGAAAGAGCTTGGAAGAAGGAAAGCGGTGGTGTGACAGTCGTTGTAGATAAATGAGAATGAGAGTGCTGGCGAGAAACAACGCAACAATTAAAATAGCGCGGGGCAGTTTCTGTCTGTACCTGAATTCACGTGTGAACCAATCAACGGTGAACATGGCCTGCAGGGGTGACGTCAGCGGGCATCGTTGGCAGAAGCATTTCACGCAGGGGTGAAGAGTGAGCCAGAGGTGAGCTGGGGAATGCTCGAGAAGGAGCCCAGCATTGAAGTAATCCAGAACTGGCAACTGAGATAAATGGTATTGCATTCGGTATCATAAGACTTGGTGGCTCGCTTGGGTGACTCTGAATGGTTGAAACAAAACATGGCGACATCCGCTCTGGAGTCATGCCCCACTCGCACCATTTCAGCCAAACCTTTAGGTACCGAAAAAGAGAGTTGCAGGCGTTGTGTCGAAGAAGACTTTCTTTCATGAAAATAGACACCAGCGTGGATGTCAGCTACCGATATGCGGAGAGTCCGTACCAAGGTAGGCACGGACCAAGGTAGGCACGGCCCAAGGCCGGATCCTAATTGGAAAGGTTGTCTGAGATATTCCCCGTCTCCTTCAGTGGCAGCGCGGTGATCAGCTAGGCGCCAACGACGCCTGAAGTGCACATGCGCAAGCCTTTACTTGCTCTTCGTCTTCTCGATTAATGCGACGATTTCCTTCTCAAGGCTCTCTGGCTTGGTCGTACTAGCCCATCTGTTGACAACCTTGCCGTCACGACCGATCAGGAATTTCTCGAAATTCCACTTGATGCGCTGCAAACCCAGCAGGCCCGGCTTCTCGTTCTTCATCCAGGCATAGACGGGCTCGGACTTGTCGCCGTTGACATCTGTTTTGCCTAGCACGGGGAAGGACACGCCGTAGTTGACCTGGCAGAACTCTTGAATTTCGTCATTGCTGCCAGGATCCTGTTGGCCGAATTGGTTACTGGGGAACCCGATGATCACGAAGTCGTCCGGGTATTTCTGCTTGATGTCCTTATAGACCTTCTCGAGACCCTGGAACTGCGGTGTGAAGCCACATTTCGAGGCTGTATTGACTGCGAGCACAACCTTGCCCTTGTGCTGCGAGAGAGGGTACTCCTGACCCTTCTTGTCTTTAGGGGCGAATTCGAAGAAATTGGTCGCGGACGACATGTTCGCGGACACGACGGAGGACGAGGAGGCTGTCGAGGCTTTTCGTGCTCGATCTACGGACGGAGGCGTCGAATTTGACCAGATATTCAGAAATGGATGATGTTTCTTGATCCCGTTCGGTCGATTGGCAGCAGGGTTGTCAAGCTTGATTGCCGTTTGGAAGAGCGACCGTGAAGCTTGCATGCAGACTATATGTGATGCAACTGAAGGCGATGATATGATAATCAGTGGAGTCGGAATGATTTGTGCACCGGAGGAGCTCTATCCGTGGCACGACACGATGGCGAAACGGCCGAGGCACGCGGTCAACCCAGGCAAAAGGTCGCCGGGAACGGTTGCGCACGACTCGTGGAAAATGCCGCAGTGGCCTTGACACGATTCCACCGCTTCGGCAGTCGGTTCGTGGTGATAGGTCGATTGGATTTCTATTGAACGCTACTCACCTGTCGCGAACAATGTAAACGTTTCGAACCTGCTGGCGACAGGAAGTCTAGGCCATCGTTGCGACAGATGCTTACAAAATGCGACAACAATTCAACGACGTCACTATGCTTCCTCGGTGAAACTGTTTCGCCGTAGCCGGCGTTGACAGGGATGCTGCTGGCTAGCGATCAATATGGCGGCAGCCCCCTCTCTCAAAACACGAAGCAATCCTCCTAACGGCCCTTTATGCTGCAAACCTCAACAGGCTGGACTCAAAGCTGATTCGCCTGCCAACGTCTGGCCTTGAGCTTCAAGGTGAACTGATTGAATGGCGACCAATCTGATTCCTGCGCGGGGTAGATGTTTGCATTTTGACTTCACGAATCATGCGAGTTGTACGCTTGCACTTCCAGCTGGGCCGGCGAGGCAGTTGCTGGCGACGACGGTGAGTGATGGTATATATGACGGCTACGGCGCTCCAGCTGCGGCTCTTGATCATTGCCTCCATATTATAAGACCTAGATCTCGGAGCGACTACCCTGCGACAAGCCTCGCATATCTATTCTCTGCTTCAGCCTAATCCACTCATCCACCAGCATGTCAGGTGCTTTTACCATGCCGCACGCCCTCACTGGAGGTAGGCTCGCTTCTCATCCGGTTCACTCGAAGAGCAACCGCTCCTTGGCGGTCCACAACACTTCTGGCCTATCTGGACATCCAAAGCAGCCCAGCTAACCTCGCTCCACCACAGGTGCCGGCTACAAAGCAAACCCGACATACGACGAATTCCTGCGCAAGAACAGCGCCTTCTACCGCCGCCACAGCGCCGCCTCGGGCGCCCAAGAAGAAGACCGCCGAGCGTCCGTGACCGCCCACGACCAGAACGCCGCCGCGGCCGCCGAAGCCTCTGCCAACGTTGCGAACCATCGCCGCGGCTCGATCCAGAGCGCGGCCGGCGGTGCCGCATCCGCCAATGAACGCAAGGGCAGTGTTGCGGTTGTGAGTGACGTTGAACGCAAGGATAGCATCTTTGGCATGGAGGCGACCGCGGGGGTGAGGATGGACGAAGGGAGACGGCCTAGCACTAGCTTAGCTAGCGACTTGCTCCATAAGATGAAGGGGGATCGGAAGGGAAGCCGCGGTTGAGTGGCTGAGCCATCGAAGCGGTTAGGGAGGGGATCGAGAGGCGCAAGAGAGCGGCATGAGATACCCACGTTGAGAGAGCCTAGAGTCGATCGTTACAAGTTTAATTTGTCATTTGTCATTCCCTGTCGGCACGCCGAGGAGAGGCGTACCAACCTCTTCTTGAAGCCTGCTATTAGTCCCAACCAGCATGCGTGCTTGCAGTGTCCCGCTTCATCTTTAGTTTGTTGACCACGACAGACCGGGCAAACATGGTTTCTGCAACCTTGTAGATGGTAGAGCTTTTGGTTTCTCCTGAAATGCGAACAGTAGCTCTGATGCTGATATGCCGACAACTTTCACCCTCCGCTATGTACAAACATGATTAAAAAGAGAAACAAGAAACCTCAACATCGCCATCATCCGTTCACCTCACGCAAAAGCTCGGTCGCTTTCTAATTCAGGACTCCATATGGCTATTTCGTATTCGGTCGTGAGATCAAGTGAGAGACCTGCTTGTAGGCAGTCTTTCCGCGCCTTCAAGGCGGTAGGGGTGAGATGACGTTCTTAGCTTGGAGACGTTGAGTTGTGGCGCCATCGGAGGCTTCGCTCGATGTCGCAGATGAGATGGGATTCGATCGTCCCGTGATGCAGGATATCGGCTTCACAAGGGCCCGGTATCTGTCTTAGGCAATAACGACATGCAAATGCAATGCTCAATTCTTGGTGGCAAGACCAAATCGAATTTCTAGTCAAGCAGATTGTTTGCCGCATTAGAGGACAAGCCGCTGCAGATTCTTCTGGATCAGCATATCCTGGACATCGTTCATCGTCACTTTGAGGAGATTAGTGTCGGTTGCGTTGGTGAAATTGATGTAGATCTCTCGAGCACTGTTGCGGTTGATGGCCTTGAACCTGTTCGCGAAGTATTGTTTGGCCGCTTCTTCGTCGTTGTCCGGGCCCTGATAGTCGGGGAAGTGGGCCGAGATGGGCGACTTCTTGAGCTTTTCCCTGAAGAGGTCGATCTTGTTCAAGAACAAGATAATTGGCTTGTCCTTGAACCATTCGCCGTTGACAAGAGATTCAAAGAGCATGAAGGCTTCGTGCATCTGATTGGCGTTGACATCTTCAACCAGACACTGGTCGTAACCTGAGAGTGCAGCCATGAACATCAGGCATTGCACGCCCTCAAAGCAGTGAATCCACTTCTTCCGCTCAGACCGCTGGCCACCTACGTCCATCATCCTGAACGTGAGCTCCTTCAGCTCGAAGACAGTCTCGGTAATGCCGGTCGTGCGGAGGCGAGCGTGTAGCATGTCCTGGTCATCCGGGATCCAACCAGGATCAAACATACGGTTGATGTTCTGGAAGTAGAAAGGCAAATTGTCGTTGAGAGCGAACTCGTGGCTCTTAGCAACGGCCTGCTGCACACCATCATCTTTCCAGAGACCCAGCATAGCTTCCTTGAGCCGCTGGTCGCGGAACGCGTGCAAAGCATCGACATCAGCGTCGACATCTTCTAGTACTTCGGCATGCATTTTGGTCTTTTCGTCGGCGAAAGCCAGCCTCTCCTCTTGCATGATCTCGAGCAAGACGCGAAAAGCGATAACCACGTTGGAGAAAATGACAGCCTTGACTTGGACTCTTTCATCTTCTTGAAAGCCTCCCGAGTGTATGATGCGCATCTGTTTGATTATGGTCGATTTGCCAGACTCTCCCGCGCCTGGCCAGAGTTAGTTATCAGGATCAGTGACAAAGAAACCACGTACCTAGCAACAAGATCTTTACTGTGCGCTGCTCCTGTTTCCGGTCCTGGCGTAATTGACGATCGATCTTCGCATTCTGTTGCGCCGCGTCCCGCTCGCCCGGGTCGACTTTGGAAGAGCCGCAGCCCATTGTCGAGGGGGATCAATTCAAGAGATGAAATTGTGAAGCTTCGCAAGGTCGCCGCCGTTGTGGTCTGATGCACCTCTGCTAGATTCTCATATTACTCCAAATATAGATAGCTAGGACGTGGATCGGTCAGAGATATGCGGGAAGCTCGACGTTCGAAGGGAAATAGAAACGCTGCGGATGCTCTTGTATTCGTGATGGGACAATGGTGTGTCTGTCGAACTGGAGGGGTCTCGATGTCAGTCGTGCCGGGAGTCGAGGTATGAAGAGAGCTGGTCAGCTACGAGAGCTTCGCGGATCAAGCAGCGTCGCAGGCAAGGAATGTCTGGCAAACAACTTGCGAGGGCACAGCAGGGGATAAGTCGAAACAGCGTGATCTGTTGCCCCGTATCAAAGGTTAGCGGATGCCTAGGCGTGCAAAAGACGACTGCTGTCGACCAGGTTAGGGGATCACGAAAAGATGGGTCACCGAAACGAGAAGGGGGGCGTTTTCGGTTGATCGCCCATAAACCACGCCGACCTTCTCCACCAGCTGAAATACGCCCTCTCCCTGCACGCTGTTTCGACTCCCTCGCTAAGGGTGATTTCAGGGCTCCTCTAAAGCACAAACTACTGGACGAGTCCCTCCTGAATGAAGCTACTATCAGCTAACAACTGTTCCGCCCGGCTTGTGCTGGAGGCCCGCCTTGCTCGGTGGAACAGCGCCAAACTGCTTCTTCCACCGGCCGTCTCGGCCCGCGAAGCTTCACAAAGTCATTCATTGCTGTCGGAGAAGATATCTATGTACCAGCCCACCACGTCGAGACATGATCTCGGAACAATGCAAAGATACCGTGGATAGACAAAAAAGGATTTCCTGGTGTCTGGGCCCTCGGCCAGTTGAGTGTTGAAGAGCTACCCTGCAAGCACGTGTATGTAGGCCCTGTTTCAGGGGATCTATTCGTTGCCTGCTGAATCGGGCATTTCTCACTCCGCAGATTGGTCACGGACCCCAATTCGTGACTCCGGCCAGAGAGGGTGCCACGCGACGAGCCACCTATCATCGTCCGACGGGTCATTTGCGACTACCGTTCTGCCTCCAGATCCGCGTTCTGGTGGGCCAGAAGGGGAACAATTAGCGATGGTAAGCGTGGAACGCTCGGCATTGTTACACAATGGTAGCAATACCAAGATGATGAGCGGCTGTTTCTCGATTCAAAAAGAATCCCTCATCTTGCCCACATCTGCGAAAACTGAGTCCGACTGTTGCTGGTGTGGACACGCCACGCGATTCACCATATGACCGATCCTTTCTCTCTATTCACTGTGCGGCAAGGGTGAAAGACGATCGAAAAACGGCTCTGCTTGACATGCGACAAAGCACGGGCAAGTACCGCACATCAAGAAACGATGCTCGATCTATGACGCGCGAGGCTGAGATGGGTGCCATGCATCAGTGCACCAATGTTGGTGGTCATCAAGTGTCAAGTTGACGACAAAACACACCGCAACGCCCGTACAACAAAGTCTAGAACCATGTCATGCGACATATCGCCAGATAGCCCCGGATGACAAGCAGGTCGCCCTCCAGGATACGTGAGAGACAGTAGTAGACCTCCCACACCATCCCCGGTTCAGGCACAATGTTCAAACGTTCATCTTGTGGCCAATCAAAGCGATGTCTCACCAGTGACACCCGCTTTGCTCATACCTGTGATCCTAACAGAACTTTTGCGAATTTGTCTCAAGGAACTGTATGCTTGATATATCACAGCACTCACATATCGACGACCAGCTGCTCCAGATTTCGCCGATTCACTAATGGCTTCGGCTACTTCCCCAGCTCATACAAGAGCCTGGTAGCTCCAGCACGCAATTCTCTTCGCTCTGTCGAAATACTCTGCTTCTCTCACTATGGACACCAGCTTTTTGAACAGTTCCCCGAAACCAACAGAACTGATATGTCATGAACACATATCGAGGCATAATCCGCTAATCGTGGTTGGCTCTTGATGAGTCCCTCTGAATCCGCAGCAAATGTCGAGCTTCGATCCACGTGTCCTCTCTGTGGCTCGAGTCGACGATCTAGCAAAGATCTCCTGAATTTGCTCACTCAAGCGACCACGGAGTATATCTTGACCCGATTTAATGAAGAAGCCAAGGATTCCAGAATAACTCCAAAGAGGACATTCTGTTTCAGGTGGCCGACGTGATCGACGGCGATCCGCACATGCGGGAGACGCCCCCGAGACAAAGTTTGTTGCACTTGCTACTTCAGTCAGAATAGACGAATAATGCGCGGCCTGGCCCGCGGTCCTGCGCTGGAATCAAATATGATCAGCAGTCGCCAACGACTGGTGGACTGTTCGTCGCCCGATACTGTGGCTTCATAAAGGTCTCTACCTGCCCAAAACCACTTGCACACCAGCTCGCTTCGAGCCATGCTGGTGTGGGGTCGAAAGCCGCAGCGCTCCCCCGCTTTGTGCACGTTCGCAACAAATGAGGGCCAGCCTGAGGCGTCCAGCAGCCCTATAGATAGGTTACTTCCCTGGGTAAGTGCCCTTGACTCCATGCAGCCCCGAATGAATCAAAATTCCGGGTTACGAGTGCCCATGGCTGTCCCTACCTGAGAATGCCGGTCGACGCTCGTGCGTTTTCTTTGACCTAGAGAAGCACCGCAGCTACAGCTGATCCCCGATTACTGTCAAGCTGTGTGGAGGACGGAAAATCCAGGCGTCAAGACCAGTGAGCATGAATACCAAGCCGATGATCCAGGCTCAAAGCAAAGTATTGAGGGGAGATGCTAAGTCTGGAAGCAAGCTTGTATGAATACTAAAGCCACGAGGCTTGTCTAGACTCAGTCTCTACTGACTCTGCTGCTCTACGAGCATGTCTGTCGACCAAAGCGTCCCTTCATCCTCCGAATGCATGGAGCAGCGTGACTGAACCAATGAGTAGTCAAGGTTCAATGGCCGTTTGCGTTTTAGCTTGGTTCTCGAAGCTGATGTTCAATTAACGCTTTATGGCATCGCAACTATCTACGAGCAACACGAAAACCTCGCCTACCAGACTTCTGCTGGCCTGCAGCTGGCTCCCAGCTGTCCAGAAAGATGCCACAATTAGACCGACGGTAAACCACAGCTACTGAACGACAACTGCTTGACAGGACATGGTGTATGGAAACTCAATGCCCGGCTCAACGTTCAAGTCAAGAGCCGCTCATTTCAATGTTTCACAGATACCGCTTTTGGGATAGGCCGTGTCTTTATCAGATCTCGACGCAGCACCTGGACTAGCAGTCGTAGGGCGAGCCTGCGGAAAGCAGCTGTCCAGTTGGCAATAGGTCAGCCCTGGCAAAGAGAGACACGACGTCACTGCTCCCATAAGCAAAAAAGGTATTACCTGAGCAGGTAAAGGCAGGGGTGCATGCAATCTAAGCCAGTCAACGTGCAACACACCCGTTGGCGACCTGCACCCGACACCTGGCCACAGGACCCTGATACGTCTGAATTGTGCTGAAAGCTTCTCACTGTACCCACGGCGGACCTTCATCCCGGTCATCTCTTGGGGCGCCTACTCTTTAAGGAAAGGTGCCAACTTAGCAACGAGCATCTCTCGCAGCCGCTGGCGTACTTTTCTCCTAGCCCAAAGAATCTGACCATGCCCCTCTAGGTAGTCGAACAGACTCCGGTGACTGCTGCGGCCGTGCCTGAGAACCTTTTGCTTACCCGTCGGACGACGATAGAACACGAGATGGTAGAACCTTCTGCGGCCCCTGTCAGCCATCGTTAGCCCGGCATTAGATAGCCGCAAGCGACACGGACTGCTGGGTTCTACGCGGTTCACAATTTCGGCCCACCAGCCTACGCGTTTGAGTAAGTTAATTCTCTAGATCTTATTAAGGACCGACCCCTCCTGGCCGCGGACCCTGACATCTGATCTCCATTGACCACTTTTCGTGTTTGCCCTAAGCAGGATCAACATCGCCCTTTCCCTCACGAACATCATTCTCACAGAACAACATCATCCGTACCTCGATCCATAGCCTCTGACTACTCGTATCACGCCGCCATGGACTTTGGCTTTAGTCCGTCGCAATCGCCGAGGCAGAGCAGTGCATATACGGGAGGACAGTATTTCGACTCAACGTCGGAGGGATCAAGCCCTGACTCGCCTCATGTGAGCTACTTTGCACATTGAGTTTCAGCGATGGCGTGGCTGACAACGGGCTTTCAGAACATGAGTCAGTTGCTTTTCAACGGTGGCTCGATGCAATACGATTCCATGTTCAACTACGGCGCCACTCCTGCGACATACTACCCAACATCCTCAAATAAGATCTCCGTCGAGTATACGGGATCTAGCACACTCGACGACCGAGACCGCAGACGGCGGAGATCCGGCAGCACGTCTACCTCGAGCATCAACACCTCCAAGGACAAGGATTCACTAACGAACATGCACCTGGTATGCCACTTTTCGAGCCCCGAACTTTAGAGGCCGCGGAACTGACTCCCTTCCAGCGGCGACGCGCACAAAACCGTGCCTCGCAACGAGCATTCCGCGAGCGCAAGGAAAAGCACGTCAAGGGCCTCGAGCACCAACTCGAAGACCTCCACGAGAAGCATCAAGACCTCCTGCAATCGTACAGCCGGCAGGCCGACGAAGTCTCGCGCCTCAACGCACGCGTCTCGGAACTGACCGCCGAGCTGGGCAGCCTCCGCACGACAGGCCACCAGGACCAGTCCTTCTCCGAGATGCTGATGCCAGACAAGTTCGACAAGTTCGACGCCTTTGCCGCGCATGACAGCATGCTCTACAACGGGCCCGAGAGCTATTTCGACAAGAGCGCCGCGGACCTCAATTCCGAGTTTGCGCTGCATTCTTTCGAGGACTCGCTATGATGATCAATGACTCTTTTTACTGCGATACCCCTGCCTCTTGCGGATCACGGCGTTACAACGGCATGGGACTAGATTTTCAGCTCCTTCACAGGACTCAACTTACGAACGGAGTGAGAAAGAGGCGAACACTGGGGAACGGACGGCGAGGCACAACGATTGAGCGACCTTTGGGACGAAATTGCTTAGCGCATGGTGAGAGGCGAAAGGTAGGGACCCGAAGAGAAACAGTGATTCGTGGCCAAAAATGCTTTCTACGACTTAATGCACACATCACACTAGCACCACAGCAGAAGCAGCAGCAGCAGCAGCAGCTTCTTGCATCGCTGGAGAGGTAGCTTTAGTATTCTTTCTATTCACTTCTCAACAGTGACTACTGCTGGCCTTTTGTGTAATTCTACAAAATGGCACATGCCTACTATACACTGGGAACCTTTTTTTTTCTCTCGCACGAAACTAACGGTACGGCTGAGAAGCGCCACTACTCCTCCCAATAATTATGAGTCGTCAAACCCCCCCTGCAAGGCCAATAATACCGTGGCAGCACGCCTTAATCGCTTGCGCGAGAGCGAAGTATCCGAGCATCCCCGAAGTTTCGCAGCCGACGACCGAATTGCAGTGCAGCTACTCCAGTCAGTTACACTGCGTCGTCGTATCAAAGACCAGCCCGCGGAACCTTGATCAAATGAACTTCCCTTGGAATTCCGCACTCTGCCGCTTGGCACCTACTTACAATGGACGGCGCATGCGCGGATGGACCTCGCCCTAACGCCTGGGATCAACCGGGCATGAGAAGATGTGTGAAGTGTGTTCCGGGCCCGCAGAGCCAATGATAGGGGGTCGCTCACCCAATGCCTCTTTGAGAAAGGCGCAGCGGGCCTGCAGTACAGTGCCCCTCCGACCTCCCCTACCCCTCCTTGCAACCCCCCTTGTGATTTGAGCTAGGTTGTGCGTGTTCGCATCACGGCTGTCCTGATTCCCAGTTCGCCGGGATCCTGGGGCGTAAAAGTGCATCGTGCAGCTTTTAGACGGGTCTCGAATGCTCACCAAGCAACCCGGCTGCCGGACGGCAGAGGACACGACACTCATTCCATCAACACCACGATCTCGCTCTACAATGGGCGTTGTTGTAAGATCCAGGATTGTATGAGCCCTTCTTGGGTATGCTGGGAGCGCGAGCAGCCCAGGAGCGGAACTGCAGCGATTGACAAATTCGCATGAACCTTGCGACGCATCATCGTATTTTGCGCGCTCAGACGTGCCACACGTGGTGCTCAACCCGCCGCACGTTCTTCCACAGAATTAAAGTTATTCCATTCAGTGTATCCTAGCTAAGTCAGCAAGCCACACGCATGTGGCAGGGGCGGAATTCGAAGACAGTCAGCAAAACTTCGGCAATCGAGCTGGTCCTGGTAGATTATTGTAGTGGGGGCATATGAGCGTGGGCTTCGTGAGGCAGCCGCGGGAGGGGGCCATCGTGGCAGCAGGAATACCATAGAAATTGCCTCTTCTGGAAGTACGTCCTTCCAACAGTGCACCGTCGCCTATTCCGCATCAGCACGAAGCGGGTATGAGGAAGAGTCGGGTGGCCAAGCGAACACCGGAGTAGAGCCGGTTCAGATGCCTGGGTCGCTCAAACAACCGTACTCGGTATCAGAAGCTAATTTCTTTCGTACGACGGCTTTGCCGGCCAATGTAGACGGTCAGCAGCTTTGTGATCCGACACAAGCTCCAGCCGTAGTGATTTTCCCTTTGTCAACGGCCATGCCTGGGCATGCAGGGTCAAGCGCCAACCAGAGAACATCGAGCGTTGGCTTTGTCATGTTGGCTTTGGCCCATAGTCTCGATATGGTTTAGTTCTCCCAGTGTTTTCCGCTTCAAGGAGCAGCATCGCATTGCATAGATATTGGTGGATGTGCCTGGGCACAAGCTCGTGTTCGTCGACAGCTCCTGGAACGGTCAACCTGCGAGCGATGTCCGCCGTTCGCCGGTTTGCAGAACGTGCCACAGGTCGTGTTCGCGTATGTAGGGTCTTGATTCGTGGCACTTCGCACCTCCAGTTCCGGGCGAAGGTTGTTTCTGCATTCTTATCTGGGTCCCCGAGCGGGTGAATCTTTGCTCGTGACAGATCTGGCTGTGCCTCTGAGACGATGAACCACCAACGCCTCCATGCTGAAACTCGGGACTCTACAAAGCCGTGGCCCGGGGTCTCAGACGACAAGCCCCAGACATTGCGAGGCTGGGCTATACCTAATCCAGGATAATGTTGATCAACACCTGCTACCCGTCGGTAGATGGGGAGCTGATGGTCCGAGCTCACCCTACCGTGATTGACCGCAGGTGCAGGCGACTGAGTCGAACACACCAAGAATGCTATTGTTGTCAAGCACGACTGACCATACGCCAATAGCTCTGCCCTTCCGACCGAGATGGGTCACCAATAAATAGACATCTCAGTCTTCTCACCGCCGCAATCTCACGCGCCGTGCAAACCGAAGCGAATGTGCCTTGAAGCGGTCTCAGAGGGCTGGGACCGGCATTACAGGGGAGAATGTGAATCATGGCAACGAACATATACAATCTGCGAACGCGGGTGAATGGCTCCTCGTCAGTCCGCACCACGCCCACGGCCTCTCCCACCACGCTGAAACCTGCGCCCCGCTCACCCCGGAAAGCTCACCACTCCCCTGTTGCGCTGCAACTCCAACATGTCATTGGAACTACGACCACAACTCCGACTGGGCTTACCTGCTGCCCTGCAACAAACCAGTATGCTTACTGTGCTGGGGCAGTCGCTGTACTTGCCACCGTGCAAACCGACGGAACCACATCGAAGAAATACTACCGAGCACGACCGACCGCCCCTTCATTGAATGCTCCGACCTCCTACTACGACAAAGGTTCTCCCTCTACAACACCGTCAAGGCGCCGCACCTCGCTCTTCTCCCCGACCCGAGCACGAGACCCTGATGCCACACCAGTGGCCGCACGAGAATGGGAGGATGGGGCTTCACAGACTTGGACCGCGCGCGAGAGAATCAAAACTGTCACTTGCGTTGCGATAAGCTCGACTGGCAGATGGCTGGCTGTCGGCGAGTCCGGCTATAATCCTCGGGTACTACTTTACTCCACCACCGAAGATGCTGCAACCGATGTCCCCATTTCTATCGTCGCAGAACATGCTATTGGTATCAAGAGCGTGGCTTTCAGCCCAGACTCGAAATATCTGGCTACTCTCGGGAACCTCAATGATGGTTTTCTATACGTCTGGAGCATCAACGCCCGCACCGGCCAATTGACATTAGTCGCGGCGAACAAATGCACTACCAACATCGGCGCAATGACCTGGTGTGGTCAGACGCTCATCACCGTTGGCACCAGACATGTCAAAGCTTGGACAGTGTCCGAAGCCGCAAGGTCATCGCCGTCTAAGAGGTTCAGCCTACAGGCGAGGGGTGCCGCAATCTCCGGTTCTGGACCTGCCACACTTCACGGTCGCAATGCATTGTTAGGATCGTTGGTGGACTGCACCTTCACATCCGTCATCTCCATCGATGATCAGCGAACGGCCATTGTGACGTCCGATGCCGGCCATCTCTGCATGTTCCACACTGACGGTTCACCCGAATTGCAGATTCTCAAGGCGTTCGAATCTGGTATATCTTCCATTGCATGGCAGCCTGCTAGGGGCAAGCTCATCCTCGGCGGACGTCAGGGACTCACTTACGAAGACTACGATGATCTCCTGGCTGCGTTCCATTCTGCTGTGGTAGTGAACGGCACGAGTCTGAAAACAATGAAGAAGCGCCTGAGGTCGTCGGCGGTACGAATGTCCATGGGATTGCTGAATGGAGACCATGTTGGCATTTCTGCAGTCGGCTGCCTTTCGGAACATACCATCGCACTTGACACAGACGGCAACCTTCAAATGGAGTCGACAATAGAAGAATCGTCTCGCCCGGATATTGCCTTCGCAAGTCACAACGACCTGATCCAAGGTGTGCAAGGTCTGCCCACTGACTGCCAGCTGGGCGCCTTTTACACCTGGTCGCGACGAGGCGAACTGAAATTTTGGGATACCAGCGGCACCATGCTCTGCAGCCGACAAATGGACTTGGACCAAGCGGACCTCGAAGAGGATAACAATCCCAATGAGCTCCGTGTTGCTCGCTTCCATTCGGAGACGAAACAAGTTTTGTTGGGTGACAGGCTTGGGATTCTGAAGTTGCTTGATCTTTCCACTAGCCAAGCTGTCTGGACGGCGCGAGCCCACGGAGCTGAGGTGACGGATATCGCCATACATGAGAGGCAGTCATTAGTATCAACTTGCAGTCGAGATCGAATGGTGCAGGTGTTCGCCTTTGATACTCGTGAGCTCGAGCTTCTACAGACGTTGGACGATCATATCGGAGCCGTTACCCACCTGTTGTTTTCTGAAGATGGTGGACGGTTGCTATCGTCCTCGACTGACAGGACAATTGTGGTTCGAGAACGGGTGCAACGTGAGGTAAACGGGAGGCAGATGATGGCCTTTCTCTCGATGCGAATAGTGACTCTGAGGAGCTCTCCTATGTCGATGACCTTTGCAGATGATGTTTCGGGAATGCTGATCGTCTCTACCAATGATCGACATATTGCGAAAGTTGACCCTTCTGCTGGGACCATTATCGAGAACAACAAGGTCACAGATCCTGAAAATGACGATACGGTGGCTTTGTGCTCGATCAGCATCAGTCACAGGGGCACCGCCGTGGAAGAGGTCTCGAATCTGCTGGTTGCATGTTCTCCGACCGACAAATCGGTGAGGATTTATGATGCTGACAAGTGCTTGCTCCTCACAAGAGAGTCTGGCCATACCGAGGGTATCAGTGATCTTTGTCTCATCGAGGATAGGGACGAAGAAAGTGGCGAGGTCAACCGAACCCTCGTCTCGACTGGCTTAGATGGAACGATTATGATTTGGACGATCAGACCAACGCCACCTCCCACAGCGACACCGATGCACGAGCTCTCTCAGAGTGTGCTGTTGGATGGCTGGGAATCCGATTCTACGCCCTCGAAGCCCAGTCCTGCCACTCTTCCGCCACTGCGGAAGGTCCTCAGCAAAGTTGAGGTGCTCGAATTCTCGCGGAGTGCTGGTCCCAGCACCCCATCATCACCACGGTCGCTGTCACCACCTAGGCTGACAAGGAAGAGGTCGCAGTTGGCGCTCTCATCAACTATCGACGAGAAGGACGAAGAAGAGCCGTTGCCATCTAGGCGTACGAGTGATGGCAATGTAATCGGCCGAGGTAGGGAACCTGTTGAAAGGTCATCCTCTCCCGAACCGCCGACAACATCCGCCAAGCCGAAGAAACAGAGGTCAAAATCTGTTGTCGGCGCCTCAACAGATGCGAAGCGAGCGCTGGCAAATCGATCGCCGTCACCGCCCCCAGGCTGGGGCTCTCCAAATCCGAGTACGCCACGAAATCGTGCTCTCGCAAACAACGGCCGGCTGCGGAGGCCACCCTCAGTTCCCACAGATCTACGAGAGCGCGCTCTTGCTCAACGCAAGCAGAGCACAGGTCCTGTGAATGATTTCGGGAGCATGGGTATGGCTACAGAGCAGGCGACACGAATGCTCAAAACGTACCGCCAGAAACTTACGGCCGCCAAGGAAGATCTGGGCTTGGACGAGCTCGAGAGTGAGCTCGAGCGATTGATGAAGCTGGTCAAGGAGAAGAAAGCGACCAACGTGCCGGGTCCTTCGAGAACATCGAGGGGTACGTTGAGGCGTATGAAGTCGAAGCCAGTGGTTGCGGCAAGCGACCTGGATGGTTTGGCGGTGTTGATGGACCAGACGAACCTCGCGGAACGGTCGCCGAAAGGACTAAAGACATGACGAATTAATGGATTGGGATCAAGGTCGCCATTTGCGATATTGTTTGGGATACTTCTCCATGCCGCTATAGTCGGGCATAAATTAGGGTGGGCTTCACGGGGACAGATGTGCTTTGAGCAGGAAAAGAGAGGCTCGCACAGATATGCTATAGGGTGCACGATGAAGAGTGCTAGAGCTCCGGATAATACGAATAAAGAACATAGTGTCGCATCGTACATGGTCGTGCACAGCGAGACTCACCTACTGTGGACCTGAACAGATACTCGACGTGGAGCAATCATTCACTGCCTGAGATCTGAGTTCCCCGATCTCCGTCCCCACCGGATTATTGGTCCGCTGCTCGGTGAGATGACTTTCATCATGACTTCTCAGACCCTGAACCACATATGAGCACACGGTGACGCGAGTGGCCCAGGGGGTCATCGGACCGCGGAAGCGTGTAATGGATGCCATCACTGCGTCACTCATAGGCTGTGCCCCGTACATACTAGTCAACAAGACAGCCAGGCAGAGATTCGCTTCAATAATAGATCGCTCCTGCTTCAAGCTGTTGTCGTAGCTCGATAAACCAAACACTCAACTTATGCGTCGCTCACCTCTGTCCAGTCTTCCAACGACTACCTTCAAGACTTTCCCGTGCTCGTTCTGCTTCCGAGCATTTCACACACGGCCGCTCACCACCACCACCAAAACCGCGACCACCCACCGCGTCCAATTCCTATCGTCAACCCACACCAAAACCCCCTCCCCACGACCCTTGCACACCACACCCTCCAAAATGGCCAACAACTTCTCCGCCTACAAGCTCGTCACCCCGGCCTCGGTCCTCTCCTCCTCCTCTCCCGCCTCCATCACCCTCTCGGAGCCGCAACAACTCCTCACGGCCTCCGTCCTCGACCTTTTCGCGGGCCACCCCTCGAAACGCAAACTCACGCTCTGGACCGACGACGCCAGTTTTCATGACCCTCTGACCAACGCCACGGGCCGCAAAGAGTTCGAGGCGCAGTGGTACGGGTTGAAGGCGGCGTTTAGCGAGATTGAGAGGCTGGGGCTGGAGGTCAAGGGGAATGGGAATCCTGTGGAGTTGGGGCTGAAGACGAGGTACAAGTGAGTTGTTTCTCTCCCCATCTCTAGTCTACGCCGAAGGTGATCGCTGGTTTTGTTTTTTTGCGCTGACAGTGCTGGCGGGATCTAGGGTCAAGGGCGTCGGCAGCGAGCAGACGATCGAGTCGCAGATTCTGATTCACACGGTCGGGGAAGGGGAGCAGATGCGGATCAAGAAGGTGGAGGATAAGTGGGATGGAGAGATCAAGCAAGGTGGGCTCAAGAATGCGCTGAGAGAGCTGAATAGTAAGTCGGTGCCGCTCGCTGTTAGTGTGCCGAAGAGTGTGGAGGAGGAGGAGAGTGGGCAGTGAGTGGTCACTCGGGCCTCATGTGAAGATTTGCTCCCAGTTTGTAGAGTGAGGTACGAGGAAATTTGAGGCGAATGCACCATAGAAGTCAAAACCAACCATTCAATCATTCGTCGCGAGCGCGTTCCTTCCAATCTTCCTGTTATCTCACTCGGTCAGATTCTTTTCGGTATCCTCTGCCACAGGATCTCCGGAGCGGCCCGCAACGCATTGCTACCGGGCACGGCTACCGATTTGGCGCCAGCAGCGCGCAACGACCTCGCGACGGCGACTTTCATCATGGCCCTCACCCAAGATGGCTCATGGGTTGGGGAAGCTTCGACCTGGACCTGTCATACCGCTCTTATGCATGATAAGGGTCTAGACGGCGGTCATCGGGACGAAATGCGATACCAGCCATGGGCCAGGACACAGACTGGGCATGATCGCCTGTACAATGCCACCTCGACCTCGAGCAGTCAAAGATTTGAGAAAGCAGATATCGCTTCAACCAGCTTTCACTCAGCCCATATGCCATGCAGCAAGCGCCAGCGCACCAGCAACCGGGGCCGCACATCTTGCGGGCCTCGCTGTCGGAGCGGCGCCCTCGAAGACGTTCAGCACCGAGGATGCTGTCGCCGCTACCGTACTGCCGACGCCCTCCACAGGTCCAGGGCTAGAGTTGGTGACGATCACGGTACTAGGCTGCTGGTTCGTGGCTGGTGGCTGCTGCTCTGTGGTATATACGGTGTGCTGGGTGGGCTGCTGCTGCTGTGTTGTGTAAACTGTCTGCTGGGTGGGTTGTTGCTGCGTCACTGTTTGAGTCTGCTGAGTCGGTGTTTGGGTCGTGTATATGGTCGTCGGCTCGGGCGCCGGCGCCGGCGCAGGTGTATTGAGAACAGGCTGTGGCTGGACCTGGGCTCCATCCCGATCAAGGCACACGCTCCCGGCAGCGCAGCAACCGGGCGTGCCTTGACGGTCTGCCCAGTAGCAAACGTTGGGATATGGGCAGCAGATGGCCTCGAACTGGTCATTGCCGCGACAGTATGGATTTTGGTCCGTATTGCATTGCGCGACCGCGCCGAGGATGAGGAGGGGTATCACGGCGACATTAGCGAGCGACAGCATCGTGGACTCACTGAACAAAGACGGCAACAGGCAGTGAATGCGAAAATGATGGTGGCTGGGAAGAACTGCGACATTATGTACTTTGCGACAGGAAGTGAGAGCCTGGACAGCTTCCGGGCGCAGCCAGCACCCAAGCCTAAGCCTGGTTTTCCGGCAGTGCCCTGCTTCAGTCTGGTGCATCTGAGCCCAGGTGTACGTACTGTGTGGCAAGCGGATAAGAGAGAGAGAGCTCCGGCACTGAACAGCGAATGGGAGAGCTCCAAGTGAACAGCTTACCTGTAGCCGGACGCAAGGGCGCTGCTGCAGAGGCCGGGCGATGCAGCACGCAAGTCGTGCAGGACGATGATGCATGATGATTTTTGGCAGCCCTCTCGAGCCCCCCATCGGTGCCTCGGTGGGTGGAAGCCTAACGCAGGTAGCCTAATCGATAAGGACTCGATGCCTAGAGTTGCTGCCCCCGCCCAACCGCCACGAGCACGAGGGCTGAAATAGAGGCATGTGAGACGAGGTGGGCGCTCCCAATGTCGAAGATCTGACCAATCTGGGTCATCTTGCCGTAGAGCTCTGAGCTTCAGCATGGGCACGCACCAGTCAGCGGTCGACTGTCGCTGTCTCTGAGGCTACCCCACCATCTCGCCGAGCCCAGAGTAGCCCTTTACGAGCAGCCAAGAAGATGGGCAAAGGCGCCGGGAATCCAAACCGCACCTTGTGCTCAGCCACCCCGGGGATATGATTCTAATAAGGGCCGTCGTCGCCAGGCAGCGTTTCGCCATGTACAAGTATTATCTGTGTCACTGAGTGTTTGGGTCTTGCATATTGTCTGCTGTGGCATTGATCGCTGGACAGCCATTCAACGGCCGGGGTTAGGGATCCATACCGAGAGCAGCGACTAGCCCGGCCGGATATTTCCCGCAGCACCCCCACAATTCTCGAAGATGGCTCGTCACTCGAGCATCCCTATGAGCCTCGAGCAGTCACTCGACGAAGACTACGTCGAAACACTCGCCATGCTGGACGAAACCCGCACAGACAGCCCTTCTCGGCGAAAAACCAGCCGTAGTGGCCAGTCCCCTACTTCTCCGGGAATGCTCGATGTCGATTCTCCTACCCCACGACATGGCTCGATAGCCGGAATCGGTGTGGGTGTGACAAGCCCACGACAGCAAGACAAAAAACCAAAGCTTGATCCAGCGGACCCCTCCACTTGGACGAGGCGGCATACTGGCAGCAAACCCAGCAGTCCTACTCTCACCAAATCCCAGCCTGCGGTCACGCGACTGGGTGACAAAGCAAGTGCGGACGATACAGAAGGCTACGTTGGACTTCCGAGGGAAGAGACAAGTTCTCCGCAGACAACCACACACAGAGCAATGTCAGATTCGGGTCCAGCGCGACCCCGCGATAGCCCTCGGTCAGGCGCTCTTGCAGCTGCCCTGTCGGGTGAGCTTGAAAGGTTGCAAGTAGCATCTCCTGAAAGTTCCGACCAAAATCTTCAAAAAGCGGCGGCGCGCTCACGCAGTCCGAGCGGACGCGTACACAAAAGCCCTGTTGTTGAGAACCCGGCTGGCCTCAGTCCAGGGAATCAGACAACACAACATCGTCCATCAAACAGCTTCTCCACAATCGGCAGTGGATCCGACGCTGATCAAGTTAAAGACGATCCTGTGGGAGATGAACTGGTAGTCGACGAGAGTAGCGATGAAGAACCGTCGACAGATTCGGAGGATGATTCTCGGGGACGCGAAAGAGGTCGGAAAGCTGAACCTTCAGAAGAAGTGACGAGCCCACCGTCAACGACCGAAGCAACCCCTACGTCCCCTGAGCCTTCAATCTCGATCACTAGTCCAGAGGGAGAGAAGATGGCTGAACCACCTTCAGCACCATTGGCCACAGACAACGGACCTCAGGATCGGCGGGCATCGATATCTACCCTTGGGTCTACGGATGGCGATGAGAATGACATCGCAAAAGCCAAGACCCTCGGCCTGAGTATCTCACCACTCGACACCAAAGTCCCGGACAGACACGTACGAATGATCATTCGTGGTGATTGGACAAAATTCCACAAGCAGGCCGAGGCTGGGGAGCGCAGTGTCCGCACATATCTCGCCTGCAGCGACCTGAGCAACGAGGCCAACTACGCGCTGGAGTGGACTGTTGGTACTATTCTCCGAGATGGTGACACATTGTTGTGTATGTATTCGATCGAAGACGAGCATGCTGGGGAGGTCACAAGCGACAACAAGGTCACCGAGGCGGAGAAGGAGCAGCTACATCAAGAAGGTGCCCAAGCCGGCAAAGACGCTATGGACGTCATGGAAGGTCTGACGAGGCAAACTACCAACCAAGACAGTCCTTCAACCTCGAAGTTCGTACCTGCTACAGAGGCCAAGAGTGCTACCGGCAGTGTGGATTCCCGGAACGTCGGCAAGAAGGAACTGGAGAGGTTGAAAGCTATCGACGAGATCTCACAGACTTTCTTGAAGCTGGTGAGAAAGACCAGTCTGCAGGTACGGTGCATGATTGAGGTCATTCATTGCAAGAGCCCCAAGCACCTCATACTAGGCGCAGTAAGTGTACTCTCAGGGTCATGTGCATTTTGACTGACGTATAACAGATCGATGAGCTGGAGCCGACGCTGGCAGTCGTGGGCACGCGCGGACGAAGCTCCCTCAAAGGCGTGCTGCTCGGCTCATTCTCCAACTATCTTGTCACCAAATCGAGCGTGCCTGTCATGGTCGCACGCAGGAAGCTCAAGAAACCCAGATCATCTGTTCGCGTGAGCAGCAACAAGATTCGTCTCAGCAATAACTTGACGGCAAGCTCGATACCGGGGAAGCGACGCAGCTTAACACAAGCCCGGATCGACTAGAAGGCGAACGCGGAGCACGAATCGTGAATATGGACGACGATGCTCATGACAATTTTGACGATATATGATGCTGTGAAAGATATCGAGCCGCATGTCAGTAGCGGAGCGGCTCTTCTCATCAGTCATTAACAGTGATTCAAACTTCATGCTTTCTGCCTTGCAGTTCGCGGCTGATCGACCTCATCATTTCAAGCCTACCGTGAGGCTCCATTGTTCGGCCAATGGAATCCCTGTTCTGTCTTGTTCTAGACCGGCTCTGGCAGGGCCACCCGAGCGACCTCGTGACAAACTCCGACGGGACATTGTGGGTTCTAACTTGTCGGCGACCTTCGTCGCGGAAGTTGAATCATATGGTCATGACTTGACAGTTGCAAGGGTGCACGACATATCGGCACTGATTGGTTTGATAGCAGACTGGCCATTCAGTTCAAGACAGGTAGCGTGGGGTATGGGGCTGCTTCATTGCTTCTGATCCGAATGCCGCGTAGGGCGGAAAGATCCTTGCAGATGGGTTAGCGAGGATTCAGGGCTCAGCATTATCATATCATTTGCTTCATGCCCGTTTTCTCTTCCGGTTGTTGCCTCCTTCACCTCTGCCTGACTTCAGAACTCACCTTGACCCCAAGACTAGTAAGAGCGATTCACTGAACCTCAGCCCTGCCTCGCCTGCATCTGCACTCCGAACACCTTCCGTCCTCGACCTATTTCTTGTAAGACGCACTCACGCCTGTGTGACCTCGTCTCCGTATTCCCACTGGACCTCATTCTGCTCAAGTCGACCACGGCTTCGACAACGCTGATGTCGGTTGACCTACGCAACTCCATCTGCCTACGCTATCCATCGAGACTCAGTACAGTCTCGAGATCTCAGTTGTCCAGTAGTCATACTGGAGATCTCACAAGACCCATTGATAGAGGCTGAAACTCCCGACACGACGCAAGGTAGGTGCAGACTCGTCACCCCGGCATTGACAGCTAAACCTTCAGACAGCAATCATCAAGCCAAGCGTAAGCAAACATGGCTCTGACTAGTTCCACTACTCCCATGCTGGATGCTGCCATTGTTCACGAGAAGAGAACTTCCGGCCCAGGCATAGTCGCCGGGAAGGCACCATCCATCCAAGGCAAGGACCAAGTTCGCATCGTGACTTGTGACGAGTACAAAGAAGCCGCCGCGTGCCTCGCCGAAGCCTTTCAAGACGATCATGTAGTGCGCTATCCAGGTTTGTTTGACGCACTGATACTACCTCATTCAGCTGAGTTTGACTGTCTACCTAGTCGATACGCCCGACCGCATGCATCTCTCTGAAGCCGAGCGCTACAAGCTTCACGTCGAATCCATGGAATACATCGTCTATGCCCACTGTCTGAATGGCCTCGTGCTCACCGTCGGTGACAATTTTGACTGCGTCGCCCTGTGGCTTCCTCCAGGCAAGAACATCGATTCTTGGTGGACCATCCTGCGTAGCGGCATGTGGAGGTTGCAGTGGTCTCTGTCCACCGAGGGCAGGGAGCGCCTGTTCAAAGAGTTTCTCCCGCTCCTCTCTCGTTCCAAACTTGAAGTTCTTGGTGACCTTGAACCAAACTCGTGGTATCTGAACTACATTGGCACTAGGGCTAGTGCACGTGGCAAAGGATATGCTCGCAAGCTCATCGACTATGTCACCAATGAGGTATGTGGCTACCCCTGGCTCAGTTGTGGGCTGCTGACAGGTCCATCAGGCCGACAAGGAGGGCGCAGCATGCTACCTCGAGAGCTCCCATGACATCAACGTGGTCATCTATGGTAAAATGGGATTCGAACTCAAGAAGCAGATATATCTCCAACGCGAGAAGAACCCGCTCAAGATGGACGTCATGGTCAGATATCCTCCGGCCGCCAGCAAGAAGGTCTGATGGTATAGTGAACAGCAGAGCAGAAGCAGACCACAGCTAAAGCGGAGGGCTGGGTGGGATACAACATTCATACATTGAATCATCCGGGGGAGAGTAGGCACCTGAGGACAGGATCTTTTCTGATCGGACCGCGGCCAGAACGGAAGATCGATGACCAAGATTGCATGCAGTACTTACTCACCATAACACTCACTTTCACGAGTCCTCTGTGACTAGATAGTTGATAGCAATAGGAAATGGCAAGCCCAAAAATAGGCTGCTGATCGGCGTGACCTTTTGGACCCCACTCATTTTCTTTGTTTGACAGCCTACGGGTGACGTTGGTGTCTCGAGCGGCGCGTCTTGAGACTTGCAGATGCCGACTCGTACACTGCTTCATCACATACGTTACCTGCTCATTTTAAACTCTCAGCACTGTTTACCATGATCCTTTGTAGATGAAATTGCACATACGTCAACATTCGCTTCTTTAGCCACCGCGGCACCCCCTACAACGGGTCCCAATGCCGACCTACTCCTCTCCTTCTTCGTCTCCTCCTCCGACTGCTTCCCGTCGTCGCATGAGAAACTGCGCCCATCGAATAGAGCGTCTGTGCTGCGCCCTTGCCACATACTTTCCACTTGCTTTTGTCTACAGCCTGACGACATGGGCTGTCTGGGTGGAAGCCAGCATTGGTCTGGGCAAGACCGGCTCGGCCGAACACCAACACCTCACAACCTCTGTCAGGCTGACTTCCCTTGTTGGCGTTATCTTGTACCTCCTTCTCAACACATCATACACGGTCGCCGTTTTTACAGACCCGGGCTCACCTTTGAATGGGCCATCGAAGAAGTCAGGCAGCGGAAGAGGGGGCAAATACTCGGTGCTGCCCACGTCGGAGCCCGGACACGATGCGAACGGTGACGGAGGTTTGGGCGGCATCCAGACCGTCACCGTATCCTCCTCGGGTGAATCCAGGTTCTGCAAGAAATGCCACACTCCCAAGCCCGACCGGACGCACCACTGCTCAACATGCAAGCGTTGTGTTTTGAAGATGGACCACCACTGTCCCTGGCTCGCTACTTGTTTAGGTCACCGCAACTACAAGGCTTTCGTCCTGTTTTTGTGCTACACGACGTTGTTCTGTTGGGTGTGCTTCATCAGCAGCGGGAGGTGGGTATGGGAATACTTTGCTGATAGTGTATACCTCGCCGATGAGTATGCGAGTGTCAACGTCATTATTCTTTCGGTCGTGAGTGGGTTGATAGGCTTGGTTCTGACTGGGTTTACGGGTTGGCACTTGTGGTTGTGCTTCAAGGGCGTGACAACGATTGAGTGCCTAGAGAAGACGAGGTACATGAGTGGTGTGAGAGCTAGGGTCGAGCGGAACCGCCTGGAGCAGCACCGACGAGGCCCATCTGGAAGTAACACCAGTGAGGAGCTGATGGATCGAATGCGGAGGGCCGGCGACCAGATCCTCGAGTTCCACGCTAATGCCGTGCCCGGCGCGAGTCGGTATGAGGAGGGCGAGGAAAGAACGAGCCCGTCTCCGAGCTTGACGGACGCTCAGCGGTATGCTGACGATGGTCCGCTGTACCACGATCAGCCTCCACCAGCTGATGGTGAGCCCGAGACACCCGCCATGCGCGCTCTACGGGGAGCATATCAGCAGTCACAGCCACCCCGTGGTCCTCCAGGGAGGTTCAACTATCGTCTGGGTGTTCATGAGTACGAAAACTCTAGGGAACAGGAGCGATACAATGAGTACCTGGAGGACAAGGAAGATGAGAAACTCCCAAACGCCTTCGATTTGGGTTGGCGGAAAAACTTCAAGGCTGTCTTCGGTGAGCAGTGGTGGGCATGGGCTCTTCCGATCATGAACAGTCCCGGCGACGGTTGGAGATGGGAAGTTAGCGAGTCGTGGCGTCAGAAAAGGACCGAGACAGATCAAAGACGAGCCGAAAGGCTACTCCAACAGCAGCAACAGCACCACCAGCAGGGCTACGGCTATGATGGATCCTATGATCAACGAAGCTATCGATTCCAGACAGCTCCGCACGACGAGCGAACCCCTTCAGACCCGGGCAACTACAGCAGGAGTGCCACCAGCTTGTCTACGCTAACACCTCATGGACAAATCCACGGACCCCCTAGAGGCCGGGCGTGGGGTGGACGATTCAAAAAAGACATTGACACCTCAGGTGCAGACGGGGAGCATGGTGAGTTCGAAGTGAGCGGCGACAGCGACAACGATGACGACAATGACAACTACGATCAACACGCTCCTCGAAATGGCCCGGGACGGCAGGATACCTGGGATCGCGACTGGGACTAGCGATTTTCTGCCAGCTGTACTTGTATAGAAAGGCAATTGTTTGGAATACTAAAGCACGATGACTGACTGGCCTCACGAGTCGGCATTCTTACGTTCTCACGACATTTCAGTCTTCCATCCATGACATAGCGTGTTCTCGTCACTACTGCTTATTCTACGATCTGGCCAGTTGAAAAAAGAGGTAACATCATCACCCAGATGCGTTCACTGCCACAAGAGCCTCTGCGCGTCCATGCTCCGTCCAACAAGTCAAACCGAACAAAACAACGACGAGACGTAGCTGCAGATCAGTGTCTGCTATGCACAGCACGGTCAATGCACTGCGTCCTGTCGTCGCGAGTCCTAAACTTAAGCACCGAAGCCTGCATGCGGCCTTACATAACCCCCGCTGGGCCTTACTAACACTCCAAGGTTGGCGCTTCCCTCTTCGAGCTACCGAAGCATGCAATTAGACACCACGATTGCTGACGGCAGCAAGCCGTATATAAGTCACTTGAAGCTGGTATACCGAACCTTCCGTCTGCCTTCCTCATGCTCTTGACATCGCTTCGACGCACGATCACTCGCCCCACGCCAACACCGACTTCACTCAGCCTTCTCAGCCTCATCTTCGTCTTACCTGGCCCGTCAACGACGCACCACTTCCTCCGTACAATGGCCACCAACAGCGAAGACCCCGACCATTATGGCGCCTTGGTTATAGGTTCCGGCCAAGGAGGGACCCCGCTCACCATGTCCCTCGCCAAAGCTGGCCATCGCACCCTCCTCATCGAAGCCACGCATATCGGCGGCACCTGCATCAATGAGGGCTGCGTTCGTTCTCCCTATCATTCCCCTGCTTGACGGCCCCTGTTCTATATTTCTTCCACCATAGCTCCAAACCACCCCATCAATTCCTCCATTCGGAGCCACAACCCATCTTAGCCTTCTACCAAACTGATCCCTCCACCTCCTAGAATAGCAGAACTAACACCAGCCCCCCACCCCATCTAGACCCCCACCAAAACGATGGTCTCCTCCGCCCGCATCGCGGCTCTAACGACGCGCGGACCCGACTACGGCGTGCGCTACAAACGCTCCTCCCTCGCGCTCGACATGGAAACGGTCCGCAAGCGCAAGCGCGACATCGTCGACTCGTTCCGCTCCGGCGGCGAGAGCCGGCTCACCAACCAAGACAACGTCGAGATTCTGTTCGGGCGTGCCCGCTTCGTGGGGGAGCGCACCGTTGAAGTCACGCGGAAGGACGGCAACGGCAGCGGCAACGGCAACGACGGCACGAAGCGCACCGTCAAGGCGGATCGCGTCTTTGTCAATGTGGGCTGTCGCCCGGCGGGGCTGCAGGCAAAGAATGCCGACAAGGTGGCGTGTCTGGACAGCACAAGCATCATGGAACTGGGCGAGGTGCCGCGGCATTTGGTCGTGGTGGGGGGCGGGTACGTGGGCATCGAGTTCGCGCAGATGTTCCGGCGCTTCGGGGCCAAAGTCAGCGTCGTGCAAAGGGGCAAGAGGCTGCTGCCGCGCGAGGACGAGGATGTGAGTGACGCAGTAAGGAAGATCTTGACCGAAGACGGCGTCGAGATCTTCACCGAGGCGGAGACCAAGGAGATCTCCAACGTGCCCACGGGGCAGATCGTGTTGGGCGTCGGACTCCCGGGCGGCAACGTGAAGACCCTGCTGTGCTCTCACGTCCTCGTGGCCGGAGGCCGCGTCCCCAACACGACCGACCTCGACTGCGACGCCGCCGGCATCCAGCTCGACGAGCGCGGCTTCATCAAGGTGAACGGCGAACTCGAGACCAGCGCCGACAACGTCTGGGCCCTCGGAGACGTCAAAGGCGGCCCGCAGTTCACGCACGTCAGCTACGACGACTTCCGTATCCTCGAGCACAACCTCGTCACCTCGAGAAACTCCAAGCCCAAATCCACAGAGGGCCGCCTCGTCCCCTACACCGTCTTCATGGACCCGCAACTCGGCCGCGTGGGCCTCACGCTCGCGGCCGCGCAGCACGTCTTCCCCCAGCGCAAGCTGCAGGTGGCCAAGATGCCGATGGAGTGGGTGGCGCGGGCGCTCGAGACGGCGGAGACGAGGGGATTCATGAAGGCGGTGGTGGATGAGGAGACGCGGGAGATTCTGGGGTTTGCGTGTCTGGGTATTGAGGGCGGGGAGGTCATGAGCCAGGTGCAGATTGCGATGATGGGCGGGTTGACGTATGATAAATTAAGGGACGGCATCTTTGCGCACCCGTGCTTGAGTGAGGCGCTGAACAATTTGTGGGGGACGCTGGAGAAGGCTTGAAAGATGAATTTGCTTGATTCCGAGTTCGTTGGGGAGAGCTGGTCTACGGACATACCTATATGGAAAGGTAAGCATCAAATGAATATACCCACTACCTTTAGCAGCCTTTGAAGGCCATCATGGAGCTGAGTACATTTTGTATTTTCCCATCGGGTTAGGCCGATTTCCTTTTCCGGCAAATCACTTGGCTTTCGTCGGAGCCAGAGAGCGTTTGTTCTGCGGAACACTTGTGTGGCTGCTTGCTCTTCCTCTTCTTAGGGGTCTCTAGGAAACGATCTAGGGACATCTGGACAATGTTAAATTCGCCAATGTGCGTTGCGGAGAAGACTTGGAGCGGTGCTTGCAGATCACGATAAAGTATGCTGGACGGTCAAGCCGAGTGAGTGTGTAGACGCAGTCGCTGAGACGGACACGAGTATTCGCAACATAGCTACATGCTGTGCCCGTCTATGCAGGTACGATTACTGTTTCTGGTCGACCCATAGAGACCTCGTTTGTGAAGGATGATTTCATTGCTTCAACTCACAAATGCGGACTGCCCACTGACTGTGTGCTATGTAGTGACGCCGCACTACTCCAGCTATGCTGCTATTATACAAATGCTTCGGCCTAGGGGCAATCAACGGATCCCCCAGTGCCGTACCGCATACGTCAAAGTCATCAATTGACGGACAAGAGAGACCTGGGCAAACTGTCCAGATCTTAATCCGTCCGCCAACGGTTTCTTAGAGATCCATCCCATGCCATGCACAAAAGAACTAAATCAAGCAGAGAGCCGTTGTTCTCAGATTCGCCGAGATATTAAAGCTGCTAAACGCACAAGGTATCGAGCCGAGAAGGTATTAGAGAAACGGCTGAGTCGAAGAGAAGACGAGTCGTGGGCGGCTGACGTGGCTGCGCACACCGGTCCACTGTTGAGAAATGAAGATCGTGTCTATCGGTGGAGGGTATGAGGTCGATTCCTTGTGCGAGGCTCAGCCTGCATGGCGAAATGCACCAACCCATTCGTAAGGTCAATTAGTCTGATATCGAAACAATGTGAACTGTAAACGCCCAGTCGCCCGTGAACATATACTGGAAAAGTCTTGAGTGGAGGGTGGTGGTGTGTGTTTAGTACGAGGCTTCCATGCCGATCATCGTCTGGTCAGGCATTTGAGGCATACCATCGACAGGGTTAAGTTCAATATCATCGACGTAGCCAATGAGAGCTTGGCCATGATGCTTGAATGCTTCACCCATGGTTTTGGAAATACTGAACTCTGTTAGTGAAGGCGCACACAGGCTTGGAATGGGTACTCACCCCCAAACAACAACACCATCGAGCATTTCGCCCCATACTCGGGCGACAGTCGAGCTAAGTCCGTCGACTGCATTCTCGTCGAATAGCGACCTGACCTTCATGTACAAGGCGAGCTCCTCTTCTGTGGCTTCTTGATCATCGTGTTCAATGCGATAGAGCCAAAGACTCAAAATCGTGACAAGATCCAGCCCACAAAGTGGGTGCTCGACACTCCAATTCGTCGATGAAGTCCGAGCCACCCAGTTGATGCCCTGCATGGCAACAATTTCAAGGCACTCGTAGCACTGCTCAATGACTTTGATCATCTCCTTGGATCGTTTGACGATGTCTCGCGATAGCGTCATCGCGGCCGCAACCTCGTAAGGGTTATGATATCTGAGGGCTTCCTGGACCGATTTTAGATCGACTTCCAAGAAAGCACGAGTGTTTCGGTAGACAGCCATCGAGTTGAAGATCAGCGGATGACTCTTGTGAGGAGTGCTCAGTGGGACGACGACGGTCTCGGGCTCGCACAAATCCAAGGATCGTTGCCAAGTTTCGAGGGCAATACGAATTTTCCATTCCAGTACAACATCTTGCAAGGACTCGAAGCTCCGTCTCAAGTTCCACACTTCAAGGTAGAGCGCGTTGATCATGACACGCGTTGCGAAAGCACTGTATCGTGCCGGATCACCTTGGAAAAGGCTATCATGCGCTTGTCGTACAGTAATTGTGGTTGACGCGGCGAAGATGTCTTTCCACGATTCCTCATCGCTCGGTTCGATGTTCCAAAGTGACTCTGATGAGGGCAAGGGGAGTGAATCAAACTCTTGAAAAGAAATTGCCGGGGTGTGATTGTATGTCATGGTGAGCATGCCGAAGAAGATGTAGACGGCATAATATGTTCGACGACAGCCTTCTTCAGCAACCCAAGATTCGTGGGATGGCACCATATCACCACGAGCCTCAGTCCGTAGCTTGAGTTCGTACTTGTTACCGGCGACCATCTGCTATCGTTAGTGGATATTAATAGGCTCAGAAGCATCGAAACTTACGTTGGCCAGTAAACTCTTAATAGAGCAAGCCCATTCGAGACCTTGAGATCCGCCGCTCCAGCTCTCGAAGAGCATGTTAAGCAGGGTGGCTTGCATGGTCCACAGAGGGCATTTTCGAGAATCGAAGTTTTCCTTGTTTTGCAAGAATTGGTTGACAAGTTTCTTGGAACCGTTGTGAAGGATGAAAGCTTGGTCTTGTTCGAAGTTGTACAGGGCGCCGATAGAAAGTACCGCCAGGATAAGCGCCGGTTCAGTGGTCTCAGGGCGGAAGGATACGGGATGTAGGAATGGCATGTGGTGATGGAAGAGGTTGAAGTATGTCGACAGGTATAGGTTGATCGAAGCCGTGGCGGGAATGGTCATACCTTCACCCAACTTGTTAGCAATCGAAGCTCTCTGGTCGTCGTTGGCTATCTGAGGGGCCTTGGGCAGTGTCAGCGCCTGACTGGGCCCAGGAGAACGACGATAGTTGACAGGTGAAACTGGACCTGTCATTGATGGAAAGGGCGAGAGAGCATTAGGAGTCGGAGTTCCTGAGACGGGGAAGGTGTCGGCGAGGGTGGGGAAGGCCGGCGGCATCGAGGTTCCTAGAGAGTCTTGTCGTTCCATGACGGCGCTGAGTTGAGACTGTGCTGGTTGGATGGAGCCCATGTGCACGTAGGGTTGCTGCGAACTGTTATCTTGGGAAGACATGCTAGAGGACATGGAATGTGCCTTTTCGTCCGAAGGAGCGGCGGGCATGAAGTCCCAGGGCATGTGTAAGGAGCCAGCAGGGCCAGTCAGATAGTCGGTGGAATCGAGGACAGAGCTACGGTCGGGCGAGTATTCGGGGATGGAGCCTTCGTCGTTGTGGAGGGTACCATTTGCTGCTGCCGCGGCCTTGTGTTGGAAGTCTGTCATCAACATGGCGGCAGTCTCAAGGTCGAGCATACCATCGCTGCTTGCCTCTATTTGCTCCAACGTGCCAGGCTCTATTGAGATGGAGGGTTTGGACGGAGTCGTCGTTGAGGACGAGGTCTTTGGCCCGCTCTTCTTCCGAGTCTCGGGTTGTAAACGGTCACCATCTTTGGCATGGACGGTTCGGTCGTGGCGGAGCAGAAGGTCGCGGCGAACGAAGGTTGACTTGCATTTCGCACACTTGAAGGGACGTTCTTTTGTCTGAAGGGAGGAGAAGAGTTAGTCCTCGTGACGAATCTAACATGAGGATGGAGGGGGTGGTGAAGGTAGGCGGGGTCCTGCATTTGCCCCACGTTGGCAATACAAAAAAAGTTGTGTACTTACATGCGACCGTTCGTGACGACTCCGATGCTCACTCCGACTAAAAGCACGATTGCAATATTGGCATTTGTACTTTTTCTCGGCAGGAGTCGATTTCTTGACGCCGTTGGCGCTGGGAGGGTCAGAGGCGGTGGCCATGTCGGGCTGCACAGAGCAAGAGCTTGCAAGGAGCGCCGTCGCAGAATGGCACAGGATGCCTCGTCCAAAGCAAAGGTGAAAAGCCTTCTACCACGCGCAAGCCTGTCGCTCAGAATTGAGATGGTCGAAGGAGGTTCTTGAGTCGTCTATCATGCCGCAGAGGGAGACGAGGGTTGGTGGGAGGTGAGCAGGGCGGTTTCTGGACTAACGGAGTTGGCGTGCGTCTTCTTCAAAAGTCACGTGAGGGCCAGCCTGGCACAGCGCGCGCGAACCGAGTCGAGTCGAGTATTAGATATGTCAATTGATTGATTGTTGGTACAGGGGACAATGGTGTTGATGATTTGGACAGTTGTTGATGATGGCAATTGATACAGACGGACAAAATTTGGGGGGAGGGGGGAATCTCGAGGAGGGGCTGCCGCTGAGCGATGGCATGGCCCTTTCCCAAGGTCGCGTTCCCCCTTTTTTCCACCGACCCATTCTCGTCGTCATTTCATCTCTCATTCTCATTCCGATGGTGGTACCGTTGTGGCGCGCCGTCCTTCCCTTCGTCAAACCTGCCGACAGCTTCTTAGGATCGCCTGTCATACACGCATGTCTGCTCCAACAGCTGCGGCTCGACTACAGATTGGGGGCGCAGCTACCATTCAACCGTGTACACATGGCCGGCGGCCTTCGCGAGTGTTGCGCCAGCACGCAGCTGCCGAGCCACACCCTTTCTCAAAGTGAGGCGTTCAAAAGACGTGGCAACATGTCGTCTTTCATCTCCCCAGCCTCCTTTTGATTCTTATTTTCTTCTCGATGGTTTCTGGATCAGGTTCCCCCCGAGGGGCCTGCCCTGCCCTGCCCCTCTAAAGGCCCCCGTTTTGCTTCTGGGTCAGCTACGGTGCCGGTCCGAGCCAACGCCTGCTGGCATTCATGATCCTAGTGTCACAGCTGACCAAACGTATTGCCCTGCTCGGTTGGTTTATTGGCCTTCCACACTCTCTCTCGCTCAGAACGCTTGCATCGTCTCATTCCCCTCATTAGGCCCCCTCTCGCCTGTGAAGAACATTATGCCGAGGTGCTTGCACGGCATCCCTTAAGCACATCGGTCACCACTACGTTCGAGCACATCTTCTCCGTACAGATTTGTGTTTCCTGTTCCTGCATCATCTGCAAAGAGATCAGCGATCTCCTAGAGTCCTGGTCTCCAAATGTGTCGCGCGTGGATCTCGCCAAAAGCCGCTAATCCGAGCTAAAGAGCCATGCCTGCTTCCCCGGCACCAGCCTGGTGGAAGCAGCCAAAGGTGGACCTGGTATCCATCAGGACTGCCATGCGCCGTTGTTTCCCTTGCAAAGAACAAATCTCGGACTCTTCATCGATGTGGTAAAACAGCTTGGGGACAGGCGCCGAACGCGACTGCGACCGCGTCAAACTCAAGTCTTCACGTACTAGAACAATACACGCGCACAGTGCTCATCTCCTGGATAACAAAAACTCTTTATGGTCTGGCATCTTGCTGTCATTACCAAACTTTGGTAGCTCTATATGGGCCAATTTGCTGACAGTCACACCAGCTGAGCAGTTGCGCCTCGAGCACCCTCGAGTGGATGGTCGTACGGTGTACTCCATATCTTCCGTTGACTCCCTTCCATACGCAGTACCGAAGAAGGTGTTATTGCGCGCCAAAGACAAGTGACCTCCGAAGCTCCAGCTGTGCATCCACATACCGGCAAGCCGAAGCGTCCGCGTGGGTACGCGGAATATGCGGCGGCCCCGGTCATAGAAATCCGACCAATTTTGGATGATTCTTCCGACTCCACCACGCCCAGGAAATTAGATCGCCCCGGCAGCTGTTCCAACCCAAGCCGCGGGTCGCATCTGTCGCAAGGACACCTTGACTCTCTACTCACCGACATCGCAGAATGGTGGATGATCCGGTATCTGGTCAGCTGCTTATGTTTACTGTTTCTCGGTTGGACGCCTCAACAATACCGTTACTATCTGCGAGCCGGCCGGAACTTTACCATTAGTGGACGCAAGTCCCACGCAATCTTTATGGTCCACGAGTCAGTCACCGTGTTGCTAGAGGAAACCGAAGAAGGCACGAAGTACTCACGTAGAAACGCGCGGTTTCGAGCCAGCCATCATGTGGACCATCTAACTCCATATCAAAATGCCACAATAGCTTGGCTGTAAGCAGCCGCATCTCTGTCAAGGCGAGCCTGTGATTGTCGTTATCAGTGATTTGGATACTGATGGTCACCATCATTTGAACTCACGTCTTGCCCACGCAGTTGCGCGGCCCAGCACTGAACGCCGAGTACGCGTTCTTGACGTGTCGTTTCGTGTGGCTGCCCTCACCACCGTCTATCCAGCGCTCCGGTCGGAAATCGGATGCATTGTCGAAGAATTCATCGGAGTGTGAGTTGTGGTAGTTGGCAATAGTGACGCCAGTCTGAGTCGAGGTAAGTCAGTATCAGCGTCAGCAAATCCTGTGCCCTGGTCGAGACTCACACCGCCGGGAATCCACTCGCCGCCTATCTTATGGCCACTCTTTGGCACAATCCGGGGCGGCAAACTAGGCGCCGGGATGAAGAGCCGCAGAGCTTCTTCGACCGCTCCATTGAGATATCTCAGCTTCACCGCGTTCTTCGTTGTAATATCTGCAGCTGTTGGGAACGCCGTGCGGATTTCTTCTGTCAACTTCTTCAGCACTCGAGGTGACTTGGTCAGATAATACATCATGCCGGCCAGCGCTGTCGTCGTAGTCTCGCTGCCGGCGATGACGAGAGTCAGCGAAAGCGCCGCAATTTCTGGATCGCTCAAGGGGTCCTTTTGATTCTCTGGATCGCGAACAATCATACCCAACAGATCCTTGGTTTGCTTGCCTTCTTCTGTACGCTCTCGCGCAAGACGGGCTTGTACATGATCCACGGTAAATAGCCTGATCTTATCCCTTGCTCTTTTTGCAGCGTTGGTACTGAGCAGGGCGCCGACAGGAGTGGAGAGGCCGAGACGTCGCAACTGATTCAGCAGCATGATACCCTTGAGATTCGGGAAGATGGCCGCTGTCCATGGGTGGTGGCGCCGCTCCTTGATGCACTCAAAGTCGGTACTCAGCGCGAGGTCTCCGATGATGTCCGTGATGGTCCAAGTGATCCACTGCCGCACGTTCTGCGACCCTTGAGAGCAGTCATGGCGCAGCGCCGCCACCATCTCATCAATGCGGCCCTGAATAATGGGCTCGACCTCGTCCATGGCCTTGTAGCTGAACCCCGCGGCGACGCTGCGACGAAGCCGAGCATGGTACGCGTCGCCCGCCGTCATGATGGTATCCGGCAGGTCCGCGCTGGCCGGAGGGTACGCAAACGGCGTCTTGGCCAACTGCGGGCGGTGGCTGAAGATATCGTTCCACGCCTCCGGGTTGGTGAAGCTCAGATCGCTCGGGCTCGTGCGCACGACAGGGCCGTACTTCTTGTGCAGCCCGTCGGCCCACTTGTAGTAGCGACCCGAAGCATTCTTGTACGCGATGGGCAGTCGCGAGACCGCGCAATACCAGGGTCCGGGATACTTCCGGAGAGGGTGCCAGAAGAGGCTGTAGAGACCGTCGGCGATGATCCAGACGGGTACCTGGAGGGGGTGTAAGCAGGCCGCTGACTATGCGTCTTGTGGAAGATATGCAAACTACTGACGCTCGCTATGAGCAGCCACTTTAGGGTCTGCAGGCTCCAGATCGCATCAAACATCATTGTGTGGTTTCTTGTTAGCAATGACTACGAGAAGCGGTTCTGTGACTGGTCTAGTATGTATGGGAACTATATCTCGTAAATGCTGATATTATATGCCCAGTTCAGAGCGCCTTTTTCCAGGCCCCCCGCGCAGGGGATTTGCGTGCCTCTTGGCCGACTCTGGGACCTGGGCCAGCGCGGCATCGCGCTCTCATAGTCCTGCCCTGGCGAACCATTGGAAGCCCTCACCAATAATAGCCGAGGCTGTTAGAGCGCATTCAGGGATGAGCAGCAAATGATCAGCGTTGCGAAAGGCTTGCTCGCTTCGTCGGCTTACACTCGCAAGCCGTATCATGGCCGCAGATACGAGCAGTTCGAGTTATTTTCCGCGCCCGATTCTGCTGGATTGTCAGCTGTGGCCTGTTGCATTTGTGATTAGCAGAGGTTATGTTGAATTGGTATCGATGCACCTCAACAAACCCGGTCAAGGATGATATGTATCCGAATGGCAGTCTCGTGACCATGCTGATATACGAGATACGGCATCCGTCCCTGCAGCCTTGTCGCCTCGTTGGGGCGTCGTGGAGGGAATAACCATCGACATAGTACGAAGCCAATAACAGAAACTGCTCAAGCACGCCTCGGGCAACATCTAGCCTGCTGTAGACCCGGCATTCTAGAACTGCAACCGGAGGCTCGACGCACAGAGGATTGCCTATGTCTAACCAATGATGGCGAGGCTTGGCCACGTGCTCGGATATGAAGCATTCGTTTGGCAGTTTGAGCGTCTCACTGATGAGGGGCGGAGCACTTTGTTTTGCGATACTTCACGGCTCTTAGAGTGGTGTTGTTGTTGTTTCTTGCAGAGGTCGAGTGTTTGTTGCTTTTGCTGCGCGGGAAATTGCGACGCATTCGCCCAAGCCTCTGCGGGACGAACGGCCTCTTGAGCAGTGGTGAAAGCGATTCTGAGCATAGAGCACAACTGGGAGCTGAAGGCTGATTACCACACGAGATATTGAGATCAGACCACAGAGACGACAACTTTCCCTAACCATGTTGCTGAAGCAGACTCACCGAATAGCCTCACACCGGGCCGAAAAAGCATTCTCGCGCAAACCACGCATCAGAAGGGCGGCATATAGTCAGTCTCCCAACGATGGACTGGTCCTGGCCGAGGAAGAGATGTATGGGCACGGTAGAAAGGGCGAGCATCAGCATACGGCTTCATGCAGATGCCGGACGCCGGGCATTCGTTCAATACTGCCTCTTTGCATGTTTGTGCCAAGACAGAAGTTCGGAAGCAGTCTCCTCCCGACTCCTCTGGTCGTGCTACTACGCTTTATACTCCCAGCAGCATCCATGAAGATGCAGTGCGCTCATACGCGGCACAACAGGGAAGCTTCTGATCCGGTAGAGCGATCGTCAGCGGCAGGCGCTCGGTTCTCGTCATCTTATCTCAGACCGAGGCGGCTGAGACGCGAGTCGAGCATCGAAAACGCATTCGCGCATCTTGGATATCGACTAACGACAACGGAATTCCTGAATGAAGTGACAACCACCACCAAGTATGACAGCTGGCGCGTTGTGTCAGTGACATGGGTTAAGGCTCTTGCCTCGCACATGTCTCATGAATTCGTCCAATTCGTTGCAGAAGACACCGTCACTGGTGAGCGAAGGCGACTCATTGCGGACAGACAGGAGACGGGGGATTGGGTCTCGATTACACCCAACCCCAACGACCCGATCGAGATGAGCACCACCTTTGCTGGTCTAGGGTCTGGCTCGTGGTCGAAGTCGACGCCGTACAAGGACCGGCACACGCTGCCCTTACCTTTGGTCTCACTGGTCTTTCAACACAGCAATTCCGAGACGGATCCGCGGCCCACTTTGAGATCCATCGCGGAGCTGATTGCAGACGTGAGCAGCAGGTGCCAGGAGTATAATCCGCTGCGTGAACACTGTTGGTGGTTCTCCGAGGCGGTCATCGAAGGAGCCCAGGAAAGGTACGAAACCGGCGTTTTGAAAGAGTGGGATTGGGCCAAGTATCGGTACAGCTTTGTGGTCTGCAATAAGTGGATACGGCGCAAAGTCCTTGAGAAGGCTGCACGACTGTTCGAGGAGCAGTGTCTCGAGGAGTTCGCCTATTGAAGATGACGTGGGGACAATCAAGGTGTGCGATTGACAGGAACGACACCCATGCAACGAGGCGTTGACAAGATAAGCTCAGCCGATAGAAAAAAAGATTGATAGAGAAGCATGTTTGATACTTCCTAGACAGCGCATAGACCCCTGTCTCCCCCACGTTCCAAACCCTGACGCGGATCTGAGATTAGGTACTTACGTCGTTCTGTGTCGAGCTTCAGTAGCAGTTTGCAAGCACTAGATGGAGATTGAACATGATGCATGCTGGCGTCCGCTCTGCGACTCTCAAGTGGTCAGGACGAATCTTCTTTGGCTCTAAGCAGTCGCTTCAGAGTCCACGCGTGGAGGGACGACAGTTGAGCGTGTCCGGTGCTCGATAGATGTCTCGGCTAGGGACGCAACCGCGGGGACCCGCATTATTGGCTGTTGCAGTATTGGAACGGCGAGTCAGGAGTCAGGACAGCAGGTTGCAGATCGCAGATTGCAGAGCGCCTCAATGTAGGCGCCCTTGGCTCTGTACCATTTCTTGTACATGCTGGCAGGCGGAAACGGTCAGCCTCAGCACGAAACAAGCGCGTTATTATGACTTACGAGCATTGGCGTTCTCTTTTCGATTGTTGCTACCGGTACGAAGTACTAGTGCTGCTAGGCATCGGGAGAGGAAGGAGCGACAGGCGTTGTATTCTCCACCCCTGCAACACCAGCACTCGGCTCCAGCACTTGCCCTTTAAGCGGTACCAGTAGGCTATAGGCTGTAGCCTCCCCGTCGTGTCTCGCCCGAGGGTCTTCCCCCTCCCTTCTCTTTTCTCTCACGCTACGAGTTCCAGCCCCAAGCGCACCAGTCCCAATCGCTGCCGAGCTTTTGCTGATCCTTGTCGCGCCGCCTGCAGGGCTGCCGCACCCAACAGCAAACCTCGACTTCACTTGAGAGCGTCGCGCAATTGTACCACAGATTCCTTCCATTGTGCTCATCGCGGCGACACATGTGCGTCCAAATTTTTGTCCAGCGCCAGCACTAACATTTGCTGCTCCCCGTCCACCGTGTTCAATATTCGTCTCCTAATCCAGGCGATCCGAAACCGACCGACCCCTCGTCCACGTCCATCCTCTGCGCGGCACCGCCTTCCCACCAACGACCAACGAATTGCGGCCAGCATGAAGCACTAACACTTGACTGTGGTATTGCTGCCGGTCCACGCCCATATCTTCTCCCGTCCATTTAATATGCGGGCGTCCTCCATCTATACAACCGGTATATGACTGCGGAGACGCCAGACTTCCCCACTAGGCGGTGACAGATTGCACAATGGCCACCACCTCGCGCAGAGTCGCACCAGCCCGCCCAGGGCAGCGCCAATCGCTCAAGCCTGGCTTCGCGGCTGCCTTCCATTACACCGAACCCTCTCGCACCAGCCAGATCCCACCTCAGATCAACACACAAGCCGCCCGCACATCCTCGGGCTCAGTCCCCAACATCTTTGACCAAGTCTCCCCGCGACGCCGAGCCGCTCAGCTGGCGGGCATGAATGGCTACAACGCAAGTCCTGATCTACCTCCGCCTCTTTATGTCCGTGCCTTGTACGACTACGATGCCGATGACCAGACCAGTCTGAGTTTCCGTCAGGGCGATATTATTCAAGTTTTGACACAACTCGAGAGTGGCTGGTGGGACGGCGTCATCAATGATGTCCGTGGATGGTTCCCCAGCAATTATTGTACCGAACTGTCACCCGAAGAGTTGACTTCAGGCCTGCCACGACACGAAGAAAGCGAACAGAGTGAGCAGAGCGCCGAGTCTGGTACCGAGGAAGAGTACGAGGAGGAAGCAGACTCCGAGCATGACAACGGTGACGATTCGGACCTGCCCATCGAGGGAGGTAGCGATTTGAACCAGGAAGAGGCCGCATTTTGGGTCCCTCAGGCAACTCCTGATGGCCGCTTGTTCTATTTCAATACCCTCACAGGCGTCAGCACCATGGAGCTGCCTCTGGAGACACCCAGCGGGCCAGACGAAACCGGTCCCCGAGATCGCAACAATTTCTATGTACCAGATCAGTCCAGGCCACCTCCAGAACTGATGGCCGGTGGGTACGAAAAGAGAGATGACGACTCTGCATCAGATGCAGATGGAGAACATTCGTTCTTGAGGACCGGCAGGAACGCCTCCAACTCGGTCTCTACAACGACCTCAACGGCTTCCACAAGAGTCGACTCCACTGCAGCGAGAAGGGCGCACAATCGGGCTGCTTATGCCAAAAATTCGATTGGATCCCTGTCAACAGCTGCTTCCGGCCCTCGCGGAGGTAGTATCAGTAAGCCAGTCGTGCCAAAGTATTTTTCCGACGATGGCATGGGCCCAGTGGTCACCTGGGATACCCTGGTCGAGAACATGCAGTCTTCAGTCGAGGCATACCGACAAGCAATCCAAGACCGCGAGCGTGCCGAGTTTGTCAGGCGCGCCGAGGATATCTCTGACCATCTTCGCGTGTTGCTTGCGGCTGGGTCTGGAACCACCGACAACCATTCGGGCAATCCGTCCATCATCTCCACGAACAAGGCTTTGTACCCGCACTTCCGCGAGATGATGTCCAAGTTTTCGAAGCTAGTTCTGTCGTCTCATATGGCTGCGGCGGACTGGTTTGGGCAGGACAATTTCGCAAAATGCCTGCAGGAAGCTGACGGCGTTCTAAGAGGCGTCTATGGCTACGTCGATGTCGCGAGACAGCAATGTGGCGAAGACCTGCCACGTTTGCAACCCGGCTTCGTTTCAGGCAGTAACTCTGGCGGCAACTGGAGGGACAATAACATCAATCTGCAACCTAGTGTACAGGGGACTTCCTTCATCGATGAAAGCAATGACTTGTACCCGCGCCCGTCAAATACGCTAGACGCACATCTGCTCAGGCAGCTTGAAGAGAACCGGCGGCATATTGGAGCATCTGTCAGGCGCTTGGAGGAACACCTCCAGTGCACTGACAAGGTCATTAGTCCTGCACGTCAAGCAATGATTGGTGACAAGATCTGTCTGGCTGCTGGGAATGTCATTCAGAATTTCCAGCACTGGATTGGCCTTGTTGAGTCGATCGATCTGTCACCGCTCGGGAGCGCCTTCCAGAAACCCTCGCTGACAGATTTTGGCACACAGAAGCAGAAGGTGTACGACTCGATCGGCGAGCTCGTTGTGGCCTGCCAAGCGGTGACAGCACCGCTACCGGATGAGTGGTCCGACATTCGGGGAGACACCTTCGACTCTCGGCTGAACAACGTCCGTACCATCCACAAGCAGCTCGAGACGCATGTGTCGAACGTCGGCCATGCTTTGCAGCTGTTGCTACCAGCTAACGCGGGCACGGCAGCCGCTACCAAGAAAGACCATCGTCTGACCGATGGTGGCGAGACCTACCAGAACCATCATTTGCGTGCTGAGCCTAGCCATGCCGTCAATAACCGTCCTGGTATTGGCGACATTGGTCAGTCGCATTCATACACCATGGGCCAAGACATGGCCGACAGTACGGTTCGCCGACCTGCCAATAAGGACAAGGCTGCGCGCTTCTTTGGTCAGGTACCGACCCCGTTGATGAATCAGCAAAGCCCACCAGAGATCCAGTCTCCTCAAGAAGAAACTCCGTGGTTCTTGCAGCTTGAGCACCTTGGTGAGATTACTCATGATATCAAGTCTGACTCTCACATCGTCAAAGCGGGCACTCTCGCAGGACTGATTGAGCAGCTGACTCGTCATGACCGGCCCGACACCACGTTTAACACCACGTTTTTGTTGACCTACCGTTCTTTTACCACTGCGGCTGAACTATTCGAGCTCCTCGTTCAGCGATTCAACATTCAACCCCCGCAAGGACTTACACGTGATGAGTACACCATGTGGGAGGACCAGAAGCAAAAGCCGACACGCTTTAGGGTCGTGAATATTCTCAAGACTTGGCTCGAGCAATACTGGATGGAAAACAATGATGAGGAGTCTAAAGCGCTCCTCGAGCGGGCTTCAGCATTCACCACCACGACTATCGCTGGCGCAAAGATCCCAGGCGCCACGCAAATCGCAACAATCATTGACCAACGCATCAAGGGCCAGGATACCTCGGCCAAACGTCTCGTGCTGACGCTGAACAATTCCGCTCCTCCTCCGATTCTTCCTAAGAACATGAAGAAACTCAAATTTCTGGACGTGGACCCTCTGGAATTTGCAAGACAGCTTACGATTCTTGAATCCAAGCTGTATGGAAAGATCAAGCCCGTCGAGTGTTTGGACAAGACGTGGACAAGAAAAGGGCCTATCAATGGAGCCGACCCTGCGCCGAATGTCAAGGCTCTCATTCTGCATTCCAATCAGTTGACGAATTGGGTCGCGGAGATGATCCTGCATCATCCTGAGGTGAAGAAGAGGGTGATGGTCATCAAGCATTTCGTGGCCATTGCAGACGTGAGTTGTCGATGTTTTTGCTCCTATGCTTTTACTAACTTGTACAGAAATGCCGATCACTGAACAACTTCTCGTCCATGACGTCTATCACTTCGGCATTGGGAACGTCACCTATCCTGCGACTGGCTCGCACCTGGGCGCAGGTCAACCCCAAGACAAACAATATGCTTGATTCTCTTCGCAATCTGATCAGCACCACCAAGAATTTTGCTCAATATCGCGAGGCGCTGCATATTGCCAACCCGCCCTGCATTCCATTCATGGGTGTTTATCTCACCGATCTTGTCTTCATTGAAGATGGTATTGCCTCGATTGTCAAGAATTCGGAACTGATTAATTTCGCCAAACGCACAAAGACCGCTGAAGTCATTCGTGAGATCCAGCAGTACCAAAATGTGCCGTATGCTTTAAATCCAGTGCACGAGCTACAAACCTGGATTCTCGGCCAGATGGGCGCGGCTGGCGACGTCAGCGAGATGTACGAGCGCTCCCTTGAGGTTGAACCTCGAGAGCGAGAGGAAGAGAAGATCGCGAGGTTGCTGTCCGAATCTGGCTTCCTGTGATCCAGGGGCCACAACATCCATGCAATGATTTTGCGCCTCGTCATTTTGTATTTGCAGCATATACCCCCAACACATCGAAATCGTCTGTTGTTTTCTCGACAACGGCAAGTAAGCCATCGCAATTATGGGATTCGGTCGAGCGTCCATGAGTTTTACGATGTCATGTCTGGCTTGAAAGTTACGCATACACATCAATCACACCGACCACAGAAGAGATGGGAAATTATTTTTCGCTTCATTCTCACAACATATATGGAACAACCACTTTTAAGGAGGTGTGATGCAGATGGAGCTTCAAAGCAACAGCAAGAGGGCGGCGCCTAGCGGGATCTCGGGCGGGGGGGCTCAACTTTGAAAGGGGATTGAAGGATTGATCTGTGGATGGATGGGGAAAGGCGATACTATCGAAGGGCTCAAACGGAAAGGCGAACTCAGCTCTGGGTATCTTATGTTAGGTAGATAGGGCGTTTTCCTTCGTGAGCTTTGCAATCATCTAAAACAAGATGTCGATGCCGATCTTATTGACACTTGCTGTCCTTGTGTGTATCTGCCCGCTCCTGCACTATAGTCGGCTTGCCCCCTGTGTCGCGCTTACCGCCAACCCTCAACAGCATAGAGCAATATCTTCCACCCCCCCGGCCTGGGAACCCGGGTGCTGGCGCCCGCTTGACGCCCTGTGCGCGGTCGCGTTATGTCGTATTCTATTGCGTGGCAACTGTGCCGTTGAGACCTAATAGGGTGATACTGCTCTTTTCTTTGGATCTGCGTGAGAGATAGGTGATATTCAGCGATGTGTCGGGGTGTATAGCGCCGAAGTAGTGGTATATATACATGTATATGTATACACGCACACGATATATAAGCCAAGGAAGTACCCAAACGTCCGCGAACCCCTGTCAATGAATGGTAACATTTCGAACACAACCAAAAAATACATCACTTCATACCACTCACAACAGTGCCTCAGAATTAAAGTAACTTCTTCATCTATCTTATCTGTGTCTACTCGTACTTGTACAAGAGGATTCGCGAAAACCGAATCGGTGGGGGCTCACGAGAACGTCCCCCGTGCTCCCTTTCCGCTTCTGCCCTTTCGCTCCATCTTTAGGAATCCCATCTTCGCCCAAGGGGCAGATAACACGTATAATTACTCCCCCCCTCACGCATGCATTGAAGGTAACCACAATTGTGTGAGGCTACCGTGTATGAGGGCAGAAACTTTTTTGGTTGCTCACAAGCCAACCCCTTTTCGTGGCGGTATGGTGGCAAAAATCCCAACGCCTTCTAACAATGCCTGATTAATGCAGATGCAAACGTTAGATCTTCAAGACAGGTTCGGACTCCCATTCGGACTGGCGACGTAACCACCGCTCGGTCCACCTGCCGCAGCGGTAGCATTAGCGTTGAGATACTCCAACGGCACTCTCGGGACACGAGGACTCTGGTTCGGTGCGGATGCATCTTTGCCGCCGTTGGACAGCGCACGCAGTCGCGCGGATTCCTTGACTTGGCCTTTCTCCCTGGCGCTCTCGCTCCTGCCGCCCGTCAATCGGCGCATGCCACGGCGCATGAAGCCGGGCCCAGCCTCGGTGGCTGACGTTGGTGTGAGGCCCGTGTTGGTTGGTGTTAGGGCGCCGACTCTGGAGCTGTTGGACATGGTGGCGCTGAGAGGCGGGAAAGGACTGTTCTCGGTGTCAGACACTATGCCATCTTCATACTCCATGGGCGCTTGGGGTAGTGCTGGCATCATGGCTCCCGGTGTCGGTTGGGAAGCTGAGAAATGATTCGCAGGTGACGTGATTGATCTGGCATGGAGGCCGGGCCGAGAGGGTGCAACAGTCAGAGCAGGCGGTCCTTGTTTCTTAGACGAGCTGGGCAACGAGGGGCCGGGTCCGTCAAAGCTGCTGATTTCGTCGATGGAGGAGAAGGAGGTCTGCAAGGATCCAACGTATGATGATGTGCTCATCTGCCCGCGTTGATGCCCGCCAGGTGAAGGTCCGATGTCGGCAAGGCCATTGTGCAAGCTAGCAGACGACGGCGCTCGATTGAGGGATCTGTGTAGGATCGGAGCTGTCTGCTCATCGTACAACTCGGCACTATGTTCATGCAGATCAACGGCAGCGTACCTCGAATGCGAGGTCCCGGTGGGGGTGCCACCTGATTCGTTGTCAAGGTCATCGAAGAAATCATCCAAACTGTCGAGTGTGTTGACCAGCTCGCTGACGTTGAAGTCAGTTGGGGTTTCCAATGAGCGGATGGTCTCAGCCCGACTCTGTGGTGGGAAATATGAGTCGGTGTACTCTTCTTCTTGATGGAACTCAACCTCTGGCGTCTTGTTCTCCTTCTCCTTCATGCTCTCAGTGTCGCCACAGGTATAGAATACAGCGTGAACATTGTTACGAGTCATGCTCGAATACACCGCAGGCATTGGTATCGACCAGCCAGATGATTGTGGTATCCCGTACAGGCTCTTAGTTCGTTCGTATTCTTTGCGGATGGCGCGAGCCGATCCAGATGCCATGCTCATTCGCAAGTGGTGCTTCTCCATAGGATTACCAGAGACTTCCATGATGTGGTCCATAACTTGGAGTGCCGATTGTGAGTGCTCGGTTTGCAACAGCCGCAGTAGTGGTGAAATAAGATCGGGTCCGTGACTCGTGATGGCAGAGTCGGTCATATCAACCAACGGAATGAGCTCGCACAGGATCTCCATCACCCGTATTCTGAGCCAAGGCGTTCGGTTCGTGAGGAGACCGATCATGAAAATAAGGCTCTCAGCGTCATGCATAGGGAAGTAAGTTGCCTGAATGCCGCCCACTGCTTCGACCAGGAGTTCCTGCCCGTTGCGATATTGCTGTGCCGCAAAGCGGCTCAGAGGCGCGTAAATCTTGTCGTAGCCATAGCTCTGTGCGAGGCCAGCGAGCTGCTGAGCAGTGCTTCTCAGAGCGCTAGATGGTACCTCGCAATTCAGATCTTCTAGCATACCAGGGAGATTGGCCAGGAAATCGAAAAGGAAACGATCCTCGCGTCCAATGAGGTCGCAATCTTCGATCTCGCGCATCTTTGACAGCAGAGCAAGCGTGCGATCTAAACTGTCGGCTGATCGCAGTCCTTTGTACAACAGAGCCTGCAGGCCCTCAAAACTGCCTTCCCATTTGGCCGGCTGTGCTTTGAGGATGATCTCTGAGACGTGAGGGTCGGCGAGATTCAACTTGTTGAGGAGTTTTTCGAGCATGCCGAGCGTCTCGTAGAACTCTCGCTCGTGTATTGTACTGAGACATGCGCAAGTCGTCCAAAAGAGCTGTGGATATCTGAGAAGGTGGCTGGGATCAAGCGCCCCAATGATGACTTTGAGCGTGGTCAAGATCTCCAGTGAGAAAGTCTGATAGTCGGTCTGCTCATCTGCGATGGTGTTGGACAGGCGTGCTAGCATATCAGCAAGCATTCTTGCGTCCAGAGTCACCGATATACATCGGAAAACTTGGAAGGAGCGGCAGGCAAGATGCCGTACTGGACAGATTGATGCCCAGTGCAGCGCCTCTTTCGCCCATGCGTCACTGAAATTCTCGAAGGCGAGGCTGAAGATGTCTACAACGCTCTTGGCCAGGTGCAACATGGGCGCTGGAACACGGCTGCCGCCGTCGTCATCGGGTTTGCCTGTGTGAGACTCATAAGACCAGCAGACAGAATCTTCGTTCCTGCGCACAGACTCTACGACTTGTTCGATCTGATCCCAGACCGGCGCAAGGAGTTCTGCATCTGCTTTGGTCGCAACGAGTTCTTGCAGCTGATGCACTAACATCTCTCGTGCTTGCTCCTGCACCGTTGGAGTATAGTGATCCCAAAGTATGAAAACAGCATGAATGACTTTGGTTGCGTTTTCCTTGGACAATTTCACAGGCGGGACCATAAGATCCACCAAGAAGATCAGTGCAACTTGACCAAGAGACAGCCCAGCCTGCTTGTTACCAGTCGGAAGCACGCCGTTCAGATCCGCGACGTAAGGCAGATGCTTGGTATCTGGTACCAAGATCTCGCCTCGCTTCTTGTCGTTGACCATGTTCTTAGGAGTCAGTTGCAACAAGAAGAACTCAAGGACGCGAGAACCTGCGGGAGTGGTTGAGAGATAGACCACAATCTGCTTGGCATACTCGACAAAGTTCTGTTCCCGACGTTCAAGACATAGATAGATGATGAAATCTAGGATCAGTTGGACGTTACCGGCATGCGGGCCTGTTGCAAGAGCTTGCCACAGAGCTTGGACTTCGTTGTGCATCGCGTTGCTCGAACAAATCGTAATCTCAAACATGTTGGCGAGTAGCATGTAGGAAACAGCTGTTGGCCCACCCGTCTCCGAGTCCACTTGCAGCTCGAGAGTTTGTAGCCAGGGCAGAAGGGCGGCCACGATGTTGCGCTGATTGTCTGTTCCCACTGTGTTATACCGCAGCGAGAACTCGGAAAAGATCAGGAATCCAAGACTTGCGTGGGCCGATGCCAGCCGTTTTGAATACTCAAATTGAGCAAGCTTGTAAACGGCGCGAGTCCTGTCGGAGATGCTGATGTCGAATTCTTGAAGGTTAGAACTCTTCTCTTGTCTTTCATCTAAAGTGCGCAGAAGGCGGGCCGATTTCATCCGGAGGTCGCGGCTCTCGCTTCCAAGTGTGAAGACCACAGTGCTTAGGATCCTCCAGAACTCAATCGGGTAGTCTGGTGTCTCGATGAGGACCTCTGCAACGACATCGAAATAGCTGCTGAGGCATCTCGGGTTGTCCGTCTGGTAGCAAGCATCAATTGCATGGCAGGCGATTGAATTGTGCTCAGGGTTATTCAACAGTAGCAGGCGGAGGGCTCTTCGTCCTATTGCATGCACCTTGTCGTTCTCGGTGGCAAAGATTGCGTCGATCCAAGCCACCATTCGCGGCAAATTGAACGAGAGGATGACACCGCTCTCAGTTTGTATGCTGATCGGCCCCGCGCAGAGCGTTGCCATGGCACTCAAAGCAGCGACGCGAAGAACGTTCTTTTCCTTTGCCACAGCCGCGTTAGGGTTGAGTCGATCGTGATTCTCTCGAGGTGGTGCAATGCCTGCACCGTCAAGCGAACCTCGTCTTGGATCTGATTCAGGTGAAAACCCACACCAGTCTTCCATCAGAGAAAAGGCTGACTTGCGTGCTTCAAAAGGCATCCATCGAGAGGGCACATTTGATCGCTGGATACCCTCAAAAGTTTCTTCAACGAGCCCACAATAATGATAGCGTAATTTCTGAAAGCGCCAGTCGTTCTGAACATTGGTATCGCTCAGGTAGATCCGCAGGTCTTTTGCATAAGTGACAAGGTTGTTGAGAATCCAGTCGTCGCTGCAGACATCGTCGTAGCGAAGGAACGACGCCGTGAGCTTGTACACATATGTCACTTCTGTACGCAAGCGCTCTGTCCTGTGCGTTCGCTGTGGACTGCTTGGTGTGCGGTGATGGGCATTGATCCTGGCTTTGGCTTCGTCATTGCAGGTGATGACTGCGTATTGCAACGACTCCAGGAGGGTACGGTAGAGTTTGCGGTTGATTGAGCCAAGCGCTATCACCACAGCCGTACGGATGGCTTCCGGGCCAGCCGCAAGCATTGGAATGATTGCAGAGAAGAGGGCGCGTGCGGAGCCCAGTCTCTCCTGTGCAGCAGCAGTGCCTCTGGAAGTCTTTCGGGAGTGCGCGGCATTGGCAAGCTGGCTTTGTGATTGCGCCCCTGATGAGCTCAAGGTGACGCATGCCATAATGAGGTACAGTTTCCACTGGTCAATCAGCACATCAGCTGGCGTCGCGGAGCTGCGGCCCTGAGGCCGGACGTCTTGCAAGGGGCCCCCAATGGAAGGAAGCTTCGCAAGCGCTTCGACGTCGGACTGCATCAATAGCAGCCGGTCGCACACAAATCCTCGACAGAGAGCTATGGCGTGAGGACATTGCTCAAATACACAACGTACAAGATTTGGAAATGCCTTGAACCATAATGCAGCATCGTAGGTGACTTCGGATCCGCAAATTTCGATCAAGGTGTTTTGTCCGGTGCGCTGTTGTTTGTCCTTCTGAAGACGACTGCGCTCCGCGACGCTTAGCTGATCATCTGGTAGCTTTAATATCTCGACTGAGTGTACTTCCAGGATGTTTATTATGCGAGACTGCTCAACTTTGCCAAGTGCGGTATCGAACTGTACAACTAGTCTTAGGACTCGGATGGCATACGATCGTACTCGGCGCGATTGTGAGCAGAGAAAGAACAGACCGTAGGCCTCTACCTCGTCAACAAGTGCGATGACATTTGTCATCTCCAGCTGTACCGCACGAGCTGCGCTGGCGGCTGTTCGGTCGCGTGCGTCGGCCATAGTGTCCCTCGTCTTTTGTTTGACTTGATCGATCCAGATTGTCAGCAACTCAAGGTACAAAGCTAACGTAGCTTCGATATGAGCAGGCCCAAGTCTGCCTTCATCAGACATGGTGGAGTACTGCATGTCATAATTGAAGATGAATCTGGGAAAGGCGATCGCTACAGATTGTGCGTAACCTTGTTTTGCAACCGCCTTCAAAGAGCTAGCTGCCGACGCAGCTATAGCAGGCTCAACGTGCGCCGAGCCTGTGCATAGAAGATTGATCAGGGTGTTGAGAGAGATATGGTCTGTAAAGCACCGGGGTAGAGCCTGGATCGCAACATGTAAAAGTTCTAGGTACGGCTGCTTCGGGTCTGCCAGGGCATCCTCTCGCCTGCCAATGCTGAAAGCATCAGCGATGGGCGTTTTCGGGGTTAAAGTACCGAACTTTTCGTTCAGTGATGCCTGGCCACCGAAAGTGTTGTCACAGACGATGGTGATTTTCCCAACGATCTCGCAGTATTGGAAATAGTACTTGCGGGTGCTCTCACTTAGGCTTGAGACATTGACAGGCGCAGCTGGTGGAACTGTGTCAGCCATGAAAGGCTCCCTCGAGAGGTCGGCGAAGAACTCGGGCTTAACGGAGAGCGGCGACGTTGGCATGCCTTCCTGCGGGTAGGCGATGAAGTTGAAGACGGGGAACGGCGGTCGTGTCACATTGCCATTCTCCGAGTCTGCCATCAAAGCCAGGAAACCTCGAATGCTGATAACGATCTTCTCTGGCTCCATACTTTCAATGCGGAGATCCCTACTCGACTGGATCAGATCCGTATTCGCTAACGGGAAAATGATGGAGCGGAAGCACAAGTCCTGGTAGGCAAACCCGATGATGCGGATTAGTTGCACCAGCGCGTCAGATATGCCCTGTTCGGTGACAATGTGAGTCTTCTTGCCACTTGGGAATGTCAATTTGATCATGTCCTCTACCCGCCGCGAGCTTGTCTGGGGCGCCTCGTTAACGCGAGCCAGGTAGGTCCACGTTAGCTGGCACAAAGCCTGTATTGCTGGAGCTCGTGTGGTCTTGTCTTTCAGCTTGGCTCCCAGGCTCGTCACTGTTGGGGCCCATTGTGTCATGAAAGTGTCGACAGGAGATATGCAAAACAACAGAATCGACAAGGGAAAACCGCTATTCCAGTGTCTGACCTTGGACAACATATTGCCCAGGCGAGAGTTGACCGTAGAAATGAACTCGCCCCATGGAATGTTGTTTTGGAAGCTTTCAGGGCAACCAGCAACCGGTATGAGCAGTCGCTCAAGCAATTGGCAGTATGCTTGCTTAATGCGAGGCCCATGAGCGTCTGCAAAAAGGTTGCCGAGGGTGGTCAAGAATTCACACGACTTTCTGGCGCCCTCTTGGGACGACGGAATATGCAGATTTCTCATAGAGAGCAACAAAAGCTCGATTCGCGATTCGAGGTCACGAGCAGCGGTCGTTCCAGAACTTTTAGTGACATTGCCTTGCCAAGTGTCAAGCTGTCTTGTGAAACGCTCCGTGACGTTCTCAAAATCTAGGCGACTCATACAACCCAAAACCTGGCCGTAAATTCTCCAGTTGGCAAGCCGTAAACTGGAGCCAAGCAGCTGGTTTGGGTCAACATCTCGGAGCTGGCAAAAGACGATATCCTCGAGTTTAAGGGCTAGATCGGGCGTGATGGCGGAGATGTGGCTCTGTTCGAATATCGATATCAGAACTCTGCATAAGACATAGATTGAGACAATCGCTCTCCGATCAGCAAGGGTGTACTCTTGGTGCAGCGGATCAATTTTGGGCATAGCTGGGCTCTCCACATGTGGCGGGTGCATCCCAGATTCCCCGTTGGGCTGGCCTGGTTCAGTGTGTCGATGTGGCATCGAAGGAGATACGAACAGAGCGTTCTGTTGACTCTTCAACTGTCGTTTGATGGCCGAAGCCGCATCTCCTTTGGCCTTGCGCCACAGCATCAGACTATCGACCAAGGATTTGGGATTCTGTCGCGTAATGTGACCGAGCGAAGTAATAAGCTGATCAAAGGAAGCATCCGCCCCAAGTCCACAGGTCTGTTCAACGGGTGTCGCAACAACGTCGATGTTCGCGAGACACTGGTTGATCTTCGCATCGGCGCGCACGACGAACGAATGGAACAGATGATGTAAAGCATATTCGCCCGGCGTTCGTGGCTCCTGCGGCTGTACCACCGAGGAATGCGATTGACCTTGCCCTCGTCGGCGTGGCGGCCCGTTTCTCTTCCTCGCTATACCGTCCAGCGGAGCCATCGAGCCTTCAACTGTAGAATCTATTGATGGGTTCTGACCGTGACCCAAAGGTGATGTCGAGCTTGACACAGTGGCGGGCGCTTCGGTGGCAGAGGTTGGTATGCGGCGAGCATTGGGGGCGGCTCGGAACGTGGAGGATGCGTGCAGGAGAGATTCTGGACTCAAGGGACTGGAGGTCTGGGGAGAGTTGAAGCTCGGATTTCGAGAATGCTGTACACCATGAATAACGGACGTTTGTCGGTGGTGCCCATAGCTATTGGACAGTTGTCGCCTCAAGCCAGGTTCTATGGGCGAAAACGGGGACTCTTGAGAATGTCCTTGAGCGGAGGGGGCACGCGGCTCTCTCGTGACGCTGTAGCTCGCAGAGGTGGTGATGGGCGGTCGGCCTCGAGTCAACGAAGGGTCCCGAACGTGGGGAGGCACGGAGCCAGTGGGGCGGGGATGAGAAGGGAGGGCGGACGAAGCATCGGAGGGATTGCCTGCGGGCTGGGCGGCGGTCTGGAGATAGGGAGGCAGCCGTGTGACGGTGGGTTGGACATCGGGGGCCATGTAAGTGGGTATGTTATGTGGTGCGACGGGTGTCTCGAACGGACGGTTATGAAGCATGGTGCGCTAGTGCTGCGGAGGCACGAGACGGAGAGTCGCACTGAACCTGCATCGCTCTGGTACGCGGGCTGCGGAGAGGTGCAGTACGACGCTGGATGCGGTGCCGTTGTCAGTAGGTTCTTGAAGGTAGATGAGCGGAGAGACACCCTTGGAAGAGAAGAGGCTCGTGTCCTGTTACTTTCTGTCCAAGACTGCAGCGGTACTCGCGCCATATGGGTGAGAGATGGACCAATCAGAGCCGCTTGCCCCTGATCTCCGGTGTCTTCGCGAAGGCATGTTGCTGGTCACCAATCCTGTCTTCCCTCTCAACCCTAGTCCGTCAAATGAAACATCAGACAGCCGCCATGGATGTGTGATGCGTAGATGAGAAGTGCTAGTTGTGTCTATCGGGCAGGCCGGCACACAACAGTAGGCTCTCGCCGCATGAATCCAAGGCCGCCATTAGTAGAACTCACTGCTGACACTCGCGATGCCGACTCCCGGCCTTTTGATTTATATGACGCTCGAGGCCCTGCCCTGGAATGGCCCCTCAAAGGACGCAGCTGAGCTGCAAGGCGTATAGCCGACGGCTGACATTGCCATTTGTCCACGACGGGCTGACAGACCTGTTCCTCACCACCCAAACTATTCTAGCGTACGAGTCTCTCACCGAATAAAAGCTGACAGCTGAGGCGGCCATCAGTGTGAGGTGAGACGTGTAAAAACCGCAAACCAAAGTCATAGAACACTGCAGACTACAAAGGCACCGGTAATCCATCTGCCGATTGCAGTTTCCATCAATTCTACACTCCTCGATCAAAGCAAATATTGTCGCTCGAGCAGCTCACATGCTTGACTTTCGCTGAGCGGCTTCATACCGCCCCATCGGAAAGAGTGCTCGGAGGGACGCGTGACAGCGGCATCGGGCCCCGCGCATTGCCTCCCACAGCCGACAGCGCCACTCGATTCCTCCCACATTGTCCCGCTGGGCTTCTAAATAGTCGGGTCCCGCCCATCACTGTTGACGTACTTGATCAGATCTCTCACCAAGTCTTCGGTGCCTGTCGATGACCACGATTACTCTTCACTACCTAGATTCACATAAGTTGTAGCCCAGATTGCAGCCGAGATCTCTTGGCGTCAGGCCACTGCGGTGTCGATATTGCTCTGTCCGCCTCAATCTTCCCCGAAAAGGCCAGATCCTCGTCCTTTCTCGCTCCGATCGGTCCTTTTGCTCCGACGAGACGAATCTGTCCGCGTTCAGGGCACAACAACTGCTGCTGCTGCTCCGAGTCCTGACGAGCATCCTTCCTTGACCCCTTCTCGCAATCCAGCGACCCCTCCACGATACCGCCCATCATGGCGCAGGTCGATACACTCGATATCGTAGTGCTGGTGCTGCTCCTCGTGGGCAGCGTCGCCTACTTCACCAAAGGCACTTATTGGGGAGTTCCCAAAGACCCGTATGCCAATTCCGCTATGAACGGTAGTGCAGCGAAGAAGGGTTCCCGAAACATACTCGAAAAACTGGACGAGACAGGCAAGAACTGTGTCATCTTCTACGGTTCGCAGACTGGCACTGCCGAAGACTATGCCTCAAGGCTGGCCAAAGAGGGCTCTTCTCGATTCGGTCTCAAGACCATGACTGCGGACCTCGAAGACTACGATTTCGAGAATCTTGACCAATTCCCCGATGATAAGATTGTCTTTTTCGTCATGGCTACCTACGGCGAGGGTGAGCCGACCGATAATGCTGTCGAATTCTGGGAGTTCGTAAACTCAGACCCTCCTTCGTTCTCCGAGTCTTCGGACGAGAAACCTTTGAGCAAGCTCAAGTACGTAGCTTTTGGCCTGGGCAACAACACCTACGAGCACTACAATTCCATGGTCCGGAACCTCGATAAGATCCTCACAAATCTGGGCGCAAAAAGAATTGGGACCGCGGGCGAAGGTGATGACGGAGCCGGCACTATGGAAGAAGATTTCTTGTCCTGGAAGGAGCCTATGTGGACTGCTCTGGCCGAGGAGATGGGTCTGGAGGAGCGCGAAGCCGTGTACGAGCCAGTCTTCAGCGTCGACGAGAGGGATGACTTATCGCCCGACGACGATACAGTCTATCTTGGCGAACCCAACAAGAATCATCTCGAAGGCAACCAGAAGGGACCTTTCAACGCTCACAACCCCTACCTCGCACCCATCGCCGAGTCTCGCGAATTGTTTACAGTCAAGGATAGGAACTGCCTTCACATGGAAATCGATGTGTCCAAATCCAACATTCAGTACACCACCGGCGACCACATTGCGATCTGGCCCACCAATGCGGGTATGGAGGCTGACCGATTCTTGAAGACGTTTGGTCTCGACGAGAAGCGTAATCGTGTCATTGCCATGAAAGGCCTCGATCCCACCGCCAAGGTCCCCTTCCCGACGCCCACGACCTACGAAGCTGCAGTTTGCTACCACATGGAGATCTGTGCACCCGTGTCCCGTCAATTCATTTCTACGCTGGCGGCGTTTGCGCCCAGTGAAGACGCCAAGAAGGAATTCACGCGACTTGGTTCTGATCCAGACTATTTCAAGGAGAAAATCGCCTCGCATTACCTGAACATTGCCCAGGCCTGCAACTCTGTGTCGTCGGAGCCATGGTCGGCTGTTCCATTCTCCTGCCTGGTCGAAGGTCTCACCAAGTTGCAGCCACGTTACTATTCGATCTCATCCTCGTCCGCCGTTCAACCAAAGAAGATATCTATCACTGCCGTTGTGGAGTCGATCCGGATTCCCGGTGCCGGCCACGTTGTCAAGGGTGTCACGACGAACTACCTCCTAGCACTGAAGCAGAAACAGAATGGCGACCCTGATCCATCTCCTCATGGCCTGTCTTATGCCATTAGCGGGCCTCGCAACAAGTACGATGGTTTCCACGTTCCCGTCCATGTCCGTCACTCCAACTTCAAGCTACCTTCGGATCCTTCAAAGCCGATTATCATGGTTGGTCCTGGTACGGGCGTTGCGCCCTTCCGCGGGTTCGTACAGGAGCGAGCGGAGCTTGCTAAGAAGGGTGAGAATGTGGGACATACTGTGCTATTTTATGGCTGCCGCAAACGATCCGAAGATTGGCTCTACAAGGATGAGTGGGATGTAAGTTCTACGATCTCTTCCCTAGGGGCACACTTTAGCTGACCATTCCACCAGCATTTCCAGGAGGCACTAGGCGATAAGTTGACCATTTTCAATGCCTTTTCTCGTGAACAGGACAAGAAGGTTTACGTCCAGCACCTTCTCAAGGAAAACGGCAAACTTGTCAACGAATTGTTGACCAAGAAGGCCAACTTTTACGTATGTGGTGATGCCGCCCACATGGCGCGCGAGGTGAATGAGGTTCTTGGGCAGATCATCTCTCAAGAACGCGGCGTCGATGAGAAGAAGGCGGAGCAGACAGTGAAGAGCATGCGGAGCAGTGGCGTCTATCAAGAAGATGTGTGGTCATGACCGAAATTCTCCTCAACAGATTGACGAACCTTTGGCGCATATAGCGAGGCCGAATCTGGAGCCTGGGTTGTCACTCGGTTCCCTCCGTGCAATATTCTGGCCGATGCACGGCGTGAATTTGCAGATCGCCGAATTGACGGCTCTATGCGGCTTTTCGGCACCCGGTGGTTTGTGTTGGAGCATTGTTTCTGCAAGGGTCGTGGGGTCGTGGGCGCGAGCCACAGCCAGGTTGTGGATATATAGATTATTCAAAGACTGCAATTACAGCTACGACATTTATGTTTGTTAACTGGTAAAGGAGGGAAATCTGAGAAGTGTAGCAGACCAATCATCAGGGCCGGAAGAAAGATGAAATGCCAAGCCTTATGGTTGGAAGTCGCGAACTGGGCGTCTTCAAGCTGTACTCGCAGAGAGATGCACAGGATGGCCACGGCAGTCTTGACAGGCAAACTACATCATATTTCTGCTTCCAATGTATCTGGCGTAGCTCCAATGCGCTCAATTCGTCTTATCCCGCTTTCCTCAACAGCTCCGACCTTCATCGACGCCTTTCACCTTTCAAGATGCCCCCAGCCACCCCACGCTCCACAGTATTTGTTCGAGACCTCACTGACGATGTCCCGGTCATCGACAGCACCGAGGGTTTCACCGATGTTGTCGACAAGTTGATCACCTACCTCTGCAAAGCTATTGATGCAGCGTATACCTACGACCAGCTCCGCACCTCGTTTGCCGGCCAGAGCTTACGACCTCTGATCGCCTCCCTCAGCGACGAGTGTCATCATCCTGCCATCGTGGCCGCTCTTCTTGCTTGTCGCTACCAGTTCAGGCTAATCGAAAGCGATGGGACGGGCGTCAACGACAGTCGGGCTCTTGCCTGTGAGTTTGTCGCTTGGCAGTTTCTGACTTTCCTTTCAGAGCGGGAGCTGATGGACTACCTGCTCTACGAGCTTCCGGAGCCAAAGCATGAGAATACAGAATCTCCAGAGACGCATATGGAACCTGCACACGGTCGCCGGCCCATGGCCCCGTCCGCCGCCCACGATGAATCGGCCCCACTTCTCCATCCCCGCCCCACCGAGCACCTGGGCCTTGCGGGACCCAACCGTCCGAGCGTCGGTGAACCACATGGTACGGGGACGGAGAACGCCCAAGATCGGCTGAAGCCAGACAGCGATTTGTCCGACAGTCTGGCGGGCATGAACGCCCTGGAGATCGCTTTAGTATGTGATGCCAAGAAGTTTATCAGTTCTCAACCGGTCCAGAAGGTGGTAACGGAAGTCTGGAATGGTGATATCGTTTTCTGGGAAACTATGAGTGTTCATGCGAAGAAGCAACCTACAATATACAAGAAGAGGTCGACCGATCCATTTATCAGGCTGAGGGTGCCTCGATATCAGAAAACTTTCCAGGTGATGTTCTTTCTTCTGGTAAGCATGCTATAACTCCGATGTCTGTTGGGCTCCACTGACAGCGCCAGTTCCTTGCACTGTACTACATTGTACTTGTCGCACGAGATCCGCAGCATGTCAATGTGTCGGAGATCTTGCTTTACGTCTGGATCCTGGCGTTCGCCTACGATGAATTTGGAGAGATCCAGGATGCAGGCCTTTTGTTTTACAGAACCGATTTCTGGAGTCTATGGGATATGGCGATCATTATCATCGCCACAGCATTCTTCGTTACCAGTATGTTTCGGAAACTGTTAGTGACCTATTGACTGACGACCCGTAGGAATCATCGGCCTTCTCAAGCACGATGCCATGTTGATAGATACGGCATTTGACATTCTATCTATGGTCGCTCTGTTTCTAGTTCCCAGGATATTTAGTATTTTCTCTCTGAATCCCTACTTTGGATCATTGGTTAGTCGTATCTATTCGTTTCAGTACCGGTCCTAACGAATACAGATACCTGTTCTCAAGGAGATGGTAAGTCCGCCTGACTGCAATACAGCCAAGCTGACGGCCTTGGAAAGACAAAAGCCTTCTGCAAATTCTTACCGGTTATCGTCGTCCTCTACCTGGGTACGATGCTCACTGTGTTATACAAACGCAAGGCGGCTGACATACACTAGGGTTTCTAACCACATTTGTGAGCATTCCGAGCACCTTACCACGTCCTAACCCTGTATCTACACGGCCCAAGCGACCCGCCCATCGCTTCCTGGTACCATGGTTCATCTTCGTGCAACGGACTAACCACTATCAGAGCATGCTGGCGCGTGACAAAATCTCCATCAATGAAATGTCGTGGATACTCATCAAAGTTTTTTTTGGGTCCAGCTACCTTGGATTCGACGTCGCAGTCACGGTAGGTCCTATGTGCGTGCGCCACGCTTGACGGACCCGTCGGGGCGCTTCTTTGCTGCCAGGGCTAACAGGAACGTGTCGACAGATCAGTCCCTTGTTCGGCTACACCTTGATGTGAGTTCGCACCCCTTGCGGGACTACCTACCAAGATCCCTACTTCACGAGATTGAGCTGCATCTCCCTTAGCGCGGGCGCTTAGAAAGGGCCTCGGCATTTCACCCTGGATGACCACCAAGAAGCTCTCCCACAGCAAGCCATACATGATACGATGACTGACCACGGTATGGTACAGGCTGATATTCGTCTGTTTGACCAATATCCTTCTGCTGACATCTCTGGTGTCGTTGGTTAGTAACTCACTCACAGAAGGTATGTGCTATCCAACCCAGGCGCTAGGAAAGGCCGAACTAATGCGACCAACTTGGCGGCCGCGCACTAAAAAGGCGCCATCTGGCTTTTGTACTTCCGTGACATAGATCATGCTAATCGAAGCATTCATAGTGATGGCTCATGCACGCGAAGAGTATCTGTTCCAGGTAAACCTCAACGGTCTCACAAGCCTCATCCCTGACACGTCTTAGTACTCGATTTATGTCTTGGAGTCGTCAACCAGTGGCCGGCTAACATACTTTGTTCCACCACTCAACCTAATACCGCTGTTGTTCCTGCGGCCTCTGCGGCTGGTATTGCCATCAGACGACGCCAGGCGTGTGAGGATCGTGGTACTCAAAGCAACACATGCTCCGTTGGTGGCGCTTGTCTGGGCATTCGAACGCTCCTTTCAGGCTTGGGATCGCGCATCGTCTGCACTGGCACCCAAAGGCCCTCAGCCGACCATGCAACCCTTTGTAAGTCCTGTGGGGCCCGATGGGGTACGAGGAAGCACCAGGTCCGTCCCACGACCAGGATCTGCAAAGGCCGCACAGCAGACAAGCGCCCTCCAAAATACAGTAGCGGCTTCCCCAACCAATGCGGACAACTCTGAGCTCCTGGCCCTCGTGCAAACCCTGTCGACCAAAGTCGATGATTTGGCCGCAATGATAGCTGGACAGCAGCCAACCTGATCACACCATTGCTCAAGCTCGTGGACAGACCACCAGACGAGTGACATTCGAATCTGGCCTTTCAACGTTAGCCGCACGCCATACGGGCTTGTCTCGCGATACCCACTTCACGCACGACGCGACAAGGTCGAACCGCTGTCAGCAAGAGCAAACCTCCAGGATCCACCTCGGTAGCAAACAGCCTATTATGCGATGGGAGTGCGCCTGCATAGAGGGAGGACGTTCCGCGTCGATCTTTCTGCAGTCTGCCTTGAGGCCTTCCTCACGACCACCTTCTGACCCCTCATGCTTGTTCTCTATTACTAGCGCCACCCCACTTCGAGCACGGATAGTTTGCGTCACGACTAGCCCGACTCGGCAATTATGTACCCCCAATGGATAGAGCCGTTCGCAGCAGTCAAACCGCCTTCAGTCAGTGACCTCTTCCTCCACTGTTGCGCCTCATCTTCGAGTTCTATATTTCACACTGGGCGGCCTCTTACACCTTTTGTGTTCTCTATTCCCTGCTATTATCATTGGCAGTACACTTCCAGCATTATGGATACCTACTTTGGAAATTGTCAACTAGAGTCTACTCATCAATGGACGGAACCGGTCATGCCCAGTCCTAGCCTGGCGTCACAAGAGTACATGATGTCCTCAGATTCTAGTTGGAGCTACTCTTCCGTGGATATGCGGTTCTTCGCCAAAGGGTACTGCGACATGGACCTAGTTGACGATTCTCAGCTCTGGGCCACAGCAAAGACTCCACCTGACACCATGGCGGAACAGCATGACTCATTCCAGTACGACGCTCATTCATACCCCTGGCCGGACTGCCCAGTCCCATATTCAATTGCCACGCCGCCCCCATCAGAAGGGTCGGACTGCAGATCGACACAATCATACGGCTGTCCAAAATGTTCCAAGTCGTTCAAAAGCCGCTCCATCCTCAAGATGCATACAAATCAGAAACACAGGGCTATGCCGGAGGCCAGGTTCTCGTGTCCCAAGAACAGGTGCGGGAAGGTCTTTGGCCGGTTCCAGGAGATGCAGCGGCATCTCTCCAGCGTGAGTTGACCTCGTGTCTTTCCACGACGATACAAAGCCAACATCAAACGTACTTTGTGCCAATTGTCTGAACCACACCCTCCCTGCTCAAAGAACCGATGGTGTCAAGCTTCTCTCTATTTGACTTACGAGGCCGTGTGGCTAATGATTCCTTTCGGCAGAAACACGAGGGAATGAGGGTGCAGTGCGAACGATGCGGAAAGGACTTTGGTCGTTACGACAGTGTCCTGAGGTGAGCTATTGCTCCGTCTACTCATCAGTCTCATCAGTCCATCACGAAGTTGCCGGAAGCTGACGTTGCACGCTTTGGTCCTCCGATCCAGACACCAGAAGAAAAATGGGCAATGCAGACGTCCCGATTCCGCTTAGTCGCTGTCACCCACGTCAAGGAAGAGGAGAAGCAGCGGCAGCAGCAGCAGCAGCAGGAGGAGGAGGAGGAGGA